GGGGGGGCGGCTTGTTTGACGCATGGTCAGTATGCAGGCAAGAACTTCAACCACAGCAGGGTCCCTAACGACGGCAGAATACCCTCGTTTACACTTCCTTTCCTTTGTTCAACCTTTGATGAGTACGGCAAAAAAGGCGTTTCCTATACCACGGTCAGTGCGGAGTGGGCGGTCTCGTACCAGCAATTCCAAAACAAACACATCACAGAAGCAGGTCATGCAATCAACGCATGTATCCTCAGTCATACTAGCAAGCCACTCGACATGTCTTGCCAAAGGCAGTACTTGGGCAGGAACCAACACCAAGTACTGGAAAAAGGTTAATCCGGTCCGACTTGGCAACAGAGAAAGATTTGAAGCGGCGAAAGGCAGCCGTCAGGTGACTCAACAGGCCACAACTTGAGGATAAGGCGCCAAACAGCCGTTCAGCCTCATTGAGTCTCATGTATGGTACGCTTTCAGAGTACAAAAGCAGACCCGTCTTCAACACAATCACCGACTTAGCAAGACCCATCTCAAGTGCTCATCAAAGTCAACAAACAACTGCATGAAGCGGTGAGACCAGGTTTCGTCCACGTTCAAGCAAGGGCAGAAGTCAGAGAAGGGCATCAAGAACGTGGCAGGTCTGCCAGAAGAAATCAGGTCAGGCTGGTGAGGTTGAATTGTGCCATCGCTTGTCCGAAGGGGAGGGTGCATCCTTATAAGAGTCTGGGAGGAGGAAAAACCAACTTTCCACCCGGGCGTTCTTGTGTTATGAGCACAGCTGTCCAGGATCCGCCACCCGGTCAAAGGCCAAACCCAAAGCTGGCTGTACTCCGTACGTGTACACCCTTGCCGGAACACCGGCCTGTTGATGGCTGCTTATGCTGCCTCAGACCCAATCTCGATCAATCAATGAGCAGCGGTGCAAAAAGCCAATCGCATGGCCCAGCAACCCGGCGACAACGCTATCCTCTTTAGGCTTAGCGCATTCTCAGACTACCCCTTGGTGGCTTAGGGGCCCCCTACGCCTAGTCATTAGGCCAACGGCAAAATGCCGGCGTTGAACTCGGGGCCCTGCTTCTCGCTTACAGGTGCGCCCGCCCATGCATCCCAAGTGACAAGGGGCATGGTGCTACACGGTGGCGGCCGCACTGCATTTCCATAAGCGTCTGGGCTCTGCTGTCATAATCTCGCCATTATCATGGCAGGGTTAGTGATTCTCAGGCTCTGCAACTCCAGCCGGACCTCTCTACAAAACCGCGATGGCTGTATATAAGTACTTCAACGTTACAAGAAGCTAGGGATGGCAACGCAGTACCAGGACAATTGGAACGTGGCTGACGTGCGTTCTTGCCGTCATCCTTGCCCACAGTATGACCAGGCCTCCTGACGCAGTGCGGCATCCCTGGCCAACAAGGCCGTGACCAACCAGTGCTAGGCCAAACCACGGAAGAGCGCCTGGCTTCATGAAACGTCCAGCTCTTCCGCCAGAGTGTGGCAGGCCTGGCCCAAGGAAGCAGTCATCATATTCCGTGACTGGCGGCAGCAGCCGGATCACATATTCTAGTCCGGTTCACACGAGCAAACATAGCTCGTATTGGTCAGTCTATTCTGAACGCTGCCTGAATATAGGCAGATTCGGTGTGCATGTAGAATGCATTCCTCGGCCCCAAGGATACGAATCAACCCGAGAGGATATTACTGTGGCGACAGCATTTACCTCATTTTGCGTTGCACCGGTCTGTCTGCCTGTTTGACAAATCTGCAAACAACATATGCTTGGACTCTCGGGCGTCTCGATTCGAGCGGCCATGACATGTTCTAATGGCGCCCATGTTTGGTTGAGTTTGAATGGCGGACTGCGTCATCCTCAATGTGTGTCGAAACCTACGAGTACATATACTGCACTTTCGAGACTGGGGTCAAGGATCTATGCGCGTGGTTCGGGAAATGGGTCCCAGGGGCTTCTACGCCTAACAATTGATTTCGGCAGGGAACAGGCCCCAAATGAGAGAGTGAGGGGGCTGGATGACCATTTCATTTGTGATTTTAGTACTCCGTAGAGTCATCGGGCACCGGCAGAGATTGAGGTGGCAGACTCTGCAGATGGCGGTCCAATGAGTACAGTGTCCTCGGCATATGATGAATTACTGATACACACGTAAATCAAGTCACAGCCTGAATTAAAGCCATGATTCTATCTCCCGCTTACTTTGACAAATGATCTAGCCTTGTCTGGGGCGAAATGCAGGAGTGGAAGGAAATCGTTTGGCTGGATGACACCGTCGAGCCATCTTGAACGATTGTTCTTCTCTAGTAGAGTATGTTGAGACCCAGCCCCGAGACAGATCCGGCGAAGGAAATCGGTCACATTATTACCCAAGTTCCCTCCTCTCCCAACGGCGAGGCGATGTTGTCTAATCCTCATATCTGGATTCCATCGATTTCTGCCCGTCTGAGAACCAGCTGCTGCCTGCTGCCTGCTAGCTGGGAGATGAGGGGAACCCAATCTGGTTCAGATGAGACCGCACGCAGGGCGGAAGACAGAATGTGCCTATTATAGATGAGCCCGGTATGGCTGCCGCCTGAAAATGAGACGCCAAATAAGCTCAGTGTGCCTGGAGAAACAGAGCTGGATGAAGAGAGAAATCTCGGTAGACTTAAACAGTTCGACGCCTGTCCGGCGTGGACGGCCAATCCGTTGAATTAGTGCTCCGACTTGAGCAAAGAAGTGTTCACCCGTTGTGATGTGCGTATTGACATCAGGTCGTCTGTGAACTCATTCTTTTTCGTAACCTCATCCCTTGCGGTAACGTCGCCATGTGTTCATCAGTCATCATGTCATTTCTTGCCTTCCGGTTTTTCCAGGCCAGGGATGTTGTCTAGTGTATGCTCTTCAAGTGTTCCACAAGGGCCTGCACCTGCTCTCGTACCTCATCGGTCAACTGATCCTGCGGCTCACCGAGCACGCTCAGCATAATTGGAGCGAGCTTAGGAGTAAGCTGTTGTACTGTCGGGTCTTGGAGACGGTAGAGCTCGACAATCATCTTCCACACTGGCTCATTTTCCTGGAAATCGTCCTTCAGAGGTAGGATTTCAGCTTCGACGAGAGCTGGCAGGACCTGCGACACGGGTACCTTGTCCTTGTGTTTCAGAATCAGACGCGCCACACAGCCAGCTGCATTGTCTGTGCAGCGTGCTTCACGAATGTGAAGGATGGGTTCGAGTTTTTGAAGAATCTGAGGGTATGCTTTGACGATGGTGGCGTCGTCGCTGGAGTATTCGACGAGACGGCCGACAGCGTACGCTGCATTGGACTTGGTCTGCGGATCCTCATCACTGAGACGCTTGAGCAGTACGTTCAACATCTGTGACGTGTAAGGGGTGACTGCGCCTTCCATCCCGGTAATGACCTCTGCAAGGACGCCGCAAGCAGACGCGCGGCCGAGTGCTTCACCACCACTCGCGTAACGCAAGACTTGTTTCTCGAAGATCTTCCAGATTTCACCGAAAGTGGGGCCAAGGGCGGCAGCAAGGCCAGAGATAACATCCATAGCGCTGTCAACGACCAACCATTCTAGTTCTGTAGATTCCAGATCTTCTTCGTCCAGTCCTTCGTCCGCCAGGTCAATTTGGCACGGGTGCTTCTTGGTTATCAGATCGGTCACCGTCTGAATGATCTTGGCAAGGACTTCAGGGTAGGAGAGAAGAGACGGTCCTGTCATTTTGAGATTCTCCGAGAGAGATCTTGAGATCTCTGTAACCGTGGCACTATATCTTCCAGTTAGTATACATCCCTGAATAACTGGTTGAGAGATTGTATCCAGAAAATGCCATCAATTCAGAGGGTTGAAGATCGTTTTCGCTTCATCCACGATTTTCGTGTCGGAGTGAGCTGGGATTAACGAAGATAGCTCATCATGATGGGTGGGGTCGCGCAATCGAGAGGGGATAAGGGATAAAACTTACGTATCGTCTTCTTCGGTCCACACATTCAACGTCGCAGTCATTAGAATCTCGCCGAATTTCTTGAGCTCTTGTGTTGGTTCGACTTGGACCGGAAGACCTGGCCTCCACTTCTGAAGTTGGCCGGACTCCTCTGACACATCGTACAACGCAGCATACGCCCGGTGCAAGGTACTGATGGTGGCCTTCCGCACATTCTCATAGCTGTGCTCTGACAAGGGGAGCAGCTTCTCGATCGTTTTCTCAAAATATGGTAGGTAGGCTGTCTTGGTGTTGGAGACAATATCGCCTATCACCTCGATTGAAATCTCCTTTTCAAGAGCAATTGGTGTGACGGTTGCCAGATCGCCCCAGTCGCTGTCGTCTTCACCATCGATGTCAATGTCTTCGATAGTGCCATCCTCAGCGTCGTCGTCACTATCCGCCGCTGCAACCTTGACCTTTTGGCCTGCGATGGTCACTTCCTTTCCAAGTAGATCTTTTGCGCTTTCTCCGAGTGAGACCTCCAAGTCCGCTTCTTCTTGGTCAATGCATGCAAAGAGCCCCTGCACCACACCACCAAGGAAAGGAGCAAAGTCTTCTTCGTAGACCTTGGCCAGAGAACCCCACAAGATATATGTACTCTCCTTGAGTCTTGAGTGGTCAAGGTGCAAGGCTTCCTCACTTGCTTGCATAAGTGGACGTACATAGTCTTTGAATTCGGCAGCCCCGACAGCAACAGCCATCTCCCCAATCGCATCTGTGCAACTGGCGCGAAGGTCGAGCTCCTCCTCGCTCTCCTTCTTCAAGATGTACTCTTGCATAGAGTTCATGGATTCCGCGAGGTACGGTAGGAAGGGTGCCTCGACTGTCGAAGCCAGTGACCCGAGCGCACCCGCCGCCAACGCTTTGATCTTGAAGTCGGGATGTTTGAAGAGTCGCTGCAAAAGCGGAGCCAACTTATCCAGGTATTGGACGGCGTCTTGCGCATCCATACCATCGACGACCGCGTCAATGGCACTTGTGCCGGACTTCATAATATCAACAGCGGGCCCTTCCTCCTCACCCTTGTACACACTCATAGCAGCAGTCAGGTTCTTGACCAGCAACGGCATCAACTTCTCGTGCTGATTGGTAACATCTTCTGGCATGTCATCTGCGAGTCGGGCGGTCGTCTGCAGAGCGGCTTGTCGGACAGTAACCTGCGAATCCTCTAATAGAGTAAAGAGAACAGGCAATACCGAAGACAACTGAGTGCTCAAGAAGTCGGGGGCGCCTTCGACGGCCATTCCCAGGGCGAGTATACCCGCTCGGCGGTACTTTGGATCCGGACTGTTTGAAAACTGGGGCAATGCATCTAGTAGTGGCACCACAACCTGGCTGGCAGGGAGAGACTGGGCCATGGTATCGATCAGCCCCAGCGCTGATCGAGCGGGTGTGATATCGTCTTCATCGGAAGAATCGTCATCTATCTCTGTGACAATCTGGAGCATACTCTTCGTCAAGGGTTCCCCCATTTTGGCACCCTGCACACGGAGTCTTCTGTAGATCACACACTGCATGAGAAAGCTAATAGCTTGAGTTCGAACATCGTCAGTCATGTTAGTGTTGCTAGCGATGTCGTTCATGAAGACGACCAATTCTTGAAAGTGCTTTGACATGAGTTGGTACTCGGCAGTCAACAGGGTGTTGAAGACCTCGAAGGTCAGCATGATTTGTTCGTCCTTTCCGGCATCAATCGTGTCTTTCAGGACAGCGACCATGGAGGGGAATATGTTTTGGAATGCTTTGATCGATGCTTGGTCCTCGTCTGGATCGACGACAAGAGCCATCTTTGATATTGCCAGCATGGTATTGACCCGCACTTCGAGGCTCTCCGGGTCTTTGATTGTCGTGCTAAACAGCACAAACAGCTCCTTGAATTTTGAACTGAATCCATCACCCATCGTCTCGAGAATGCTGTAAAGCACGTACACTCCTACAGCACGCTCGGCTGCCTTAGAACTCGTGGCTGCCTGTTGCAGCATGCCTGGCAATTCGGGCCACTCGCCATCGTCAAGGTCAATCTTTGCGATTGAGCTAATCAGACGAGATGAAGAGTGTCGGACAAGAGAAGAGGGTTCGGAGAGGGCAGCCTGGAAGAGCTGGCTTCTCGCATGTTGTCGTTGGTCGGCAGGGATCTTGGACCAGTGTTTCGATACTAAAGGACGGGCTTGAGTAGCGGCAAGTTGCTTCAGATCGGGACTATCGTGTGAAATGACGAGTTGAATGAGAAAGAGGAGGGACTCGGGGTGCTTGTAGAATTCGTTCTGAAGCACGCTGGTGGCGTTCTTGACATCGCCCTTCTTAGGATCTAGGACAATTGCAAGCTGCTGAACAAATCTTTGTTGGTCCATGGTGCAGACAAACTGCGCCGGTAGACGACCGGCCTTATCTGGACGGCAGCGACGGTAGCGAACTGAGAGTCGAACAAAAGCAAAACAATAGCAGTAATGATTTGGGCTTTCAACGCTCACAAGCCAGGCTCACAGGAAAAGGACAAGTCGAAACGCGAGAGAGTAGGAGTGAAGAATTTTGTCCCTCAATCCACTGTTTTGGACCAGAGAGAAAAAATTATTAGGCCGATGTCATAGCAGCGGTGATGCAGTGCCAGTGGTGCACGGTTGAGGCTGGATCGAGTCGGGCAGCAAACATGCCAAGCCTGGCCAATTGCACTACGGTGGAGTAAAAGGCCAGCCTGCGACTGCCCGCGTCTGTGGCTCAAATACTACGACGGAGTACTCGTACACAGATTTGATGGTGGTACGGCGGCGACCATGACAAGAGTTGTAAAGACCTCAGGCTTGACCCCGAGTCCGTTCATGGAGGGCCCACAGAGGTCACAGAGGTATCTCAGGTAAGGTACCGGCTGACACTTGGTAGGACAGATGCTGGCGCAACCCAGGAATACGCAAATAAGGTACATGAGGTAGTTCTACACTTTATCCTCTTTCAGTTCAGACGAGAATAGGATAGCAGTCCTCCTCCAGGGGATGAGAAGACAGCATGTTTGGTTAGGAGACGCCATCAATTGGCAGCTGACACCTGATAGGACCTTCTATGTCCCTATAGATACCTCCGTGTGGCAGTGGTACCCCGTACAGCCCACAGCATGAGGTTTGGTCCGACACTTCAGCTCAGATCTGATGGCTTCAAGTCCGGTCACATGAAGATGCACTTCATCCTGTCTGGTGGCCACTCGGAGTCTATTGTCTATTTGCCTGCGTGGAGCCCAAGTCTGAGCTTTGCTGCTAACCAGCGAAGAGAACTGGATCGACCCTAGGGTCTATCGGTTGTTAGTGCACCAATCTGAATGATGGCCTATGTTGACGGATGCTGGCTCGGGTCAGCCTGGAACGGCGCCACTCGCAAAGGCTCAGTCCGAGACCAAGGCCTCCGTACGGGCACGGTTTCAGGCCACACTGCTACCATCATGATACAAAGCTATTGGCAAAACGTTGTTCCCGATCTGGCGGGAGCCCTGCAGGATCTGGCGGTCGCTAAAAGAGGGCATCGGATGATCAGAAAGGCTATAAAGGCACCTCTTGTCGTGATACTGAACTTGAAGGTCACCAAAGGCCCACCAGAGGCAACTCGGCCAACAACGGACGGCACTCCCGGGCGGTCTAACGCTGGTTGACGAACCTTGAGGCTGCATGGAGCGCTTTTGCTAGGCGCCGCTCCTCCACGCCTTCGCACCACGGTCGAGACCATGGTTGACCTCTGGTGAATATGCCGACCCAGGGCCGGCAATGATGGACATCGGCAAAGAAAGGGACCAGCGTCATATTTAGAGCTGCCACTGGTTGAGTAACGAGGGGCGAATTTACAAGGCCAAGGCCCGGGGTACAATCTTCAGTTTCGAGGGGGCGTTAACCGGACTGGACTATACAGAAGAACGGATCATCTGTCCCATTCCAGCATGACACGTTGGCCGGTGGCTGTGACGGAATAAGTGCATTTCATCCATACACAAGGTATATAATCTGCCACCGTCCATGCCCGGCTCTGCGCTCCGGCTTCTCCTCCACCCGTCTGTCTGTCGCCCCTGCCTCTATATTCTAGCTACTGTGGCGCCCCGAACACTCAGGGTCAGGGTCTTAACATATTAGAATTATCCCCAGTCAATGCTCACTTTCCCCCGGTATCTCTGTTCTTGATTTGACACTGTTTCATTCATGTCGTCGACCCATCACAAGTGCTCAGCAATCCCCTCCCACTATCCACGCAGGCAATGAGCTTCTAAACAGACCAGATGCAGTCTGCAAAAGCCAACCTACTATCATGTCTCAACCTTTGGCACCTCGGCCACCTCAGGCCCCGGATGCCTCGCAGGGTTTGCCAACCTCCCCCCGTCCTCGAAAAATCTCTACAGCTTGCGGGGCTTGCAAAATGCGAAAAACAAGAGTGAGGGTCTAGACTATGGCCCGCGTTCGATCTAGCTAACCAAAATGCAGTGCACCGGCGGCACCCCTTGCGAAGCGTGTGCCTCAAGAAGGAGTCCGTGTGTCTACGACGCGAGTTCTGACCAGCGTCGAAAGATTGCCAACCAGCGCAACGTTCACGAATTGGCAGAGACCCAAGTACAACTTGAAAGGCATAAACAACTGCTTGGGGGCATGATTGCCACCATCAGAGCCGGCGATTTCGACGCCAACAGCGATCTCATTCGCGTTGTCCGTTCAGGCGTTGATCTTTCGCAATTAGCGGCGCACGTTAGGAACGAGTGCCGATCAAACGTTTCCATTCAGCAGGCATACGAGCAGATCGACTTCTGCATCGATGGGCCTCTAGAACTACCGTCACCAACCCAGGTACTTGGAGAGATAGCACCGCAGGGAGATGCAAAATCCTCCACTTCGGATGCACCAGAGGTCAATAGCGAGCCTTTCCAACCAGATATATGGCGTAACCTCAACAGAGAGTCATGATCATGGTATGACAGGGGCCAGAGGGACATGCGAAACAGGCAATGAAGGTCATGAACCTTGGAGTCTCGCGCTCTTTGGCAACAGACCAGACGTACCGCATAGACTGTTTGGCACGGGATATGTGCATTCCAAGGCCGTTCGATGACTGTAGAAGGTCTGCAAGAACGACAGGGTAGTCTGCAGTCTGCGGGCTCAAACGTGTTTAGTCTGCGAAATTTGGCACGTTTCTCCAGTACAGTCTATTGACTGCGCCGGATCCCATTCGTCCAGATCTCTGTCATTGCAGAAGCCGGCGGCCTGGGCCACAATCCTAGCACATCAAATCTCCACAGAAGACAAGTGGCTACTGGAGGGACAGTTTCCAGCTCTGTTCGAGATACCCCGTGCGCCTACCTTGGGCATGCACACTATCAACCAAGAATGGCTCCCTCAATCAGGGATGACAGAATGATGAGTCAGGTACAAACGACCTGCAGATGAGGGTTCTGGGATCAGAAGCAGTCAGGGATTGATATGACATTGTGGTGCTACCAGGCGCACTGAGCATGGATAAACTGGCGCAGTTACTGGAAAAGGTTTCCGGGCAAAATTCGATCCAGACAGAATCAAGATTTCAAACGATCCACGGATATTTCTTGCGAGCACTCATGTGCAACAGCTGCATTTTGTCTGGACTCCCGTGCATTATGTCAGATATAGATGCCAGCAACCGCACAATGTAGGCATCCTCACCATAATCTCTCTGAACTCAGTGGCACCTCAACAGAAAAACACCATGCTCGTCGAACTCGCCTCCAGCTCGGGCTTCATTGGTCCTCTGACGGTGTCTTCTGTGAAGTTGTCCCACTTCATTGAGGTGTGGCGTGGGCTGGCATTGGTAGACTTTGGCCTCAAAAGAGCCAACTTTGACGTCGAGGAATGGAAACCGCGTTCAGGTGTGCAGGGTGATTTCAGAGACTGAAAAGCTGGAAGTTTCTTGTGTCTTTAAAATGCCACCTCGTCTGAAGCTTGCCAGCCTCGGTCAAGAGACTTTTATACAGCGCAATCTCTATGGCCCGGGTTTGGATTCTGTTGGGGATAGGCGAGTGTACATTTCCAAGTCGAGCTACAATTTGTAGCATTATTTATCTCAGTGTAGTCTCAGGCTCTGGCAGTATCAGGGGGGCAACAAGTCGTATGTCGACGATGGGGCGACTGGACTGGCCAGGAAGACATGGGGATGCTCCAGAGTTCTCGTGTACGAGATAGGTGTGTGCAGGGCGAGGTAGGTCAGGTATTGTCTTCAGTAAATTTCGGCGCAGGGGGGGGAAGAAACTAAATACCCGACATTACATCAGTCAAGAGAGTGAAAAGGGGATCAAAAGACGCGCGAACATCCTAGACTTGACTGATCGGCTGGCCAAATCAAGATTCGCGACCACAGAAGGCACCCTTGGGGGGGCCCCAGCCCTCTGGCCTCCTAAGCCCTTCCTCCTATCGTCTTCTTTCGCGCTGCAACACGCCCCCACCACGCCCCCTTCCTGTCCGGCGATAAACATCCGGCACCAGGTCTCCCAAAGTAAGGTACGGAGTCCTCTGTATAACGATCCCAACCTCCCCATCCCTCTAATCCCAGTCCCCCCAACCCCAGAACAACGACCGGGGTCGCAGCAAGAGCCAGGACCTATGTGTACTCTGTACGGAGTACGGAGTACAGTATCAGTACCGGCATAGCACCACGGAAGTTGGCTTTAGTTCGGCATAGGGACAAATATACGTGATGTCGCCAAAGGGGAGGCCAGCTGGATCAGATCTTTTCAGATCTTTTCAGATCCTTTCCTTCGTCACGTCAACTGGTTGCGAAGGCCCATCCCAGCCTAGGCCAGAATGTCAGCGTGCCTATATTGCTCAAAGTGGCTGGCTTAAGGTCAGGCATAAGAACCAAAAAATGAAGAGGCCAATTGTATGCTACAAGGTCTCTGCGGATACTGGCATCATCACGGGTATCGACCACGATCAAGGTCCATGGGATGAACATCGACTCTTCCAAGATCATCTACCATTACCCCCTTCAAAAGGCCAGCTCTACTGACCAATCCAATTCACAGCAGCGACTTCTCTGGGACCGCCATTTTCTCTTGGTCTGATCACGATTCTCGCCTCTGAATACCGAGATTGGTGGGGGAGTGCGTAAGCTGAACCACCATCGGACTCTATAGTGGCAACGCAACCATGCAGGTACGAAATGAGTGATCAGGAATCCCTGCTGCTCAGAAACATGGTAGCTCTGGATGGCCCGCCGCCTGAGCGCCCGCCCCCCATAAAACAAACCAAAATTCTGAAGCTGGCCAGATAGGTCAGAGGATCAGTTGCTTGATGGGATCGATGGGACTGATGCGACTCAGTGCAGAGTACGGAGTAGACATGGGTGAACCCTGCGTCACGCTTGGGAGATATCTCCTACACTCGCCACCCTCACCCTCTTCGCCTGAGACAGAGCACTGCACATCCAGACCGGTTCTGGTGTACCGAGTAGACTGCCTTTGCCTCGTCACCTGGGCCTGGGTGTTATAGACAGGCGGGTCGGAGATTGCTGGCACCAGACCAGTCTTTGGAAAGCAAAACACGGAAGAAGATCCGAGCAGGCGGATCTAGACAAGCACACGGGATCTTTGGCTGGCATTCATCAATGCTTTAACAGCGTCATATCATGCCGCCCTCGCCTCTAGTATCCGATGATGGGCGAGGCTCTTCTGTGGGTAATGATGTTGTCATAATAAGCAGCCTCTGGACCCCGTGTCCAGAACGAACTAGTCGGGGCGACGGGAGCGCGTTATTGCCCTAGCGTTTTGCATGCCCGGTATAAACTTCCGGTCTGTAGCTGGACGAAACCATTGATTCGATCACCAGGAAGGTGGCCATCGCGGAATTTTGAACTGAGGGCCTGGCCTCGAACATGAATTCAACTGCAAGGCTCAAGCTGCGTATCACGATGAAAGCATTCTGGTCCCAGTCATCTCACCTAATGCCCGACCTGGTGGTCACACTCGCCTCCATTGGGTTGTGTGCATGATCACCCGTCCGGTGGCAATCAAGGCCAGCCGACCACTCGTATGTGTACTGATGTGCCCTGAGAAACGATAAATGATCCGTGACGATGGAATTTGATCAGGCTGCATGACCAGGAAAGGCAAAAGTAGGAGTCGGGAGGATACAAGCACAGACCTGGAAAAAATATAGGGACCTTGCTGCTCGCCTCCATATAGTTGTGACAATGATGTGTAGACATGCCTTGGCTATGCTGAAAGCTGCTTTCAGCATGTGCCTCTGTTGGGGGGGGGGGGGGGGGGGGGGCTGGAGCTGAAGTGTTACCAACTAGGAGCACCTGGGCAAGGAAATCGCGACAACGCAACGAAGTTCGACCACGCAGCCGATTCATGAAAACTTGTTATCTTCCGGTCGTGACCCTGCCATCTGGATCATTATTGTCTGTCCGGTTTCTCTGACTCTTAAAGTCTCTGATCAAGTACCCGGTCTTCAAATCTTGATTGAGTAGCCCAGTTAGGAGGCGGGCTGCGATGATATAGGAGAAAAGATAACAGCTCCAATGAAATTTCGTTCAGTCTAAGCGTCCATTGTGGAATGTGTACAAGACACGCCGAACATCTCAAGGCCTTACTGAGAGAAGGATGTTTTGTGCCAGGAACGAGGAAAGGTGCAGGGCGTTGATTCGTGTCGACGATCTGTGGCAATCAATGTTCTTGAGACCAATCATCAATAGGAGGGGAACATGCTGAATGAACAGGACGACCGCCTCGAAGGCCTTCCTGGGCAAGAAAGACTGGCCGCTGATGGCAGACGTAGTGACGGCTGCTCCTCCTCAGAAGCAAGACTGTAGATCTCACCTTCCTGTATCCGCGCGAGTGTATGGCCACCGTCTGGATACTCGATTCTCGGCTGGTACATCTTTCATCCTGCTTGACGTTCCAAGGACTGGCCATCTGGTACGAAACAATGCTCTGGGGGTAGTTCCTTCCTGTTGATCCATCTTTAAATCTATCTGAGAAAATTGCTGGTAGAGTCCCTCACCTTCGTGTCGGCGAAGATAAACGACGGCTCACTACACATAGTGACCGTCGTGACTGTACACCTTCTAGCTGCAAATCAAGTCTGTTTGACCTTCGTGTCATCTGCAGACAAGCAAGAACATCACATCCCAGTCCCCTGTTTCACAAACTAAGCTGCCAAAAGCAAAAGGGACTGCTAGGGAGTGGCATCATGCCGTATCATTGACTGGTAGGGGTGGAGAGGACTTCGAGAAGGTAAGGTTTTCCTCTTCAAGCAGAATAAGTGTCGAAGGAGAAGTCGTAGGAGGTGGAACTGCCGTTAATCCATGTCAGCATTTCACGAGTGCTCTCACTTTACGCAGTTGTGTAAAGGGACAGAGAAATCGGTTGCAATTGAGCTTCGCGCCACAAGGTAAGCCGCAGCCGGGTATCGTGGCGGTGGCAGTCTGGCGGCGCAAGGGATCCTCAAAGCTGGATCTATTGATTTGTGGCCAACAAAGTAGAAACAGTCGATGGCCAGCTGCGCCAATCTACGCTGCGGGTGTAATAGGCTTGCAAAGCAGTCTAGACAACTGGCAGAGAAAAGAAACGTGGTCCAGGCTCCGGCTGAGTCCAAACCGTCACACAAGCTGAGGGACGAAGATCCAGACATTCTTATGTAACAGTCCAATGCATCATATTTAAGACTCACGGCATCATCACCTTGTTCTGGCGTGCTGATACTCCAGGGAAAATCTTCCGGGCTCTTCACCGACCTTCCTGTGTGAGATCCATTTGGGAGGGAAAATGAGGGCATGGAAGCCTTTTCCGGTCGAGGTGTTTGCCATGCAACCGAAACTCCGTGATTTTGCAGTCAAGAATGTGTTTAAAACTCCAATACCATACAATCTCTTCACAGTCTGCCTTGTCTTGCAGTTCTTGCCGACATAGCCATCCTCCATCATGCCGACATATGAAAGCAAAGCCGGGATAGCGAAGCTTTGTTGCAGGACTCTGCCACATGGATACCGATCCGACGCGTTCACCAATGCCCAGCCATCTTCCCTCTGACCACAGAAGAAATCAGCTCCCTCTGACATTGTTCCTCATCTTCTTGCCGAGGCCTGTCCAATCTGACATGACTTGGTGAGCAGCCATTGTCATTTGGTATGGCAGTGCTGAAGGGGCTGTTGATAGCTATCTAACCTTCCTCCTGATCTACCTTCACGCGTCGAAGAACGAATGCCACTCGCCTTCCCCATTGTCGAGAAAGATGAATGCACAAACGGGCGCTCCGATACTTGGGGGATGGAAAAACAAACACGGAAACTCATGGGTCGGGCAGTTTTCCAAATCACGCCTCGGGCTTGGGCTTGCAATCAGGTACTGGCTTCTATCACGAGATGAAACAACAGTACCGATTGACCCTGTGCATGTGGCAATGTGACATGGCATGACTGGCTCGGGGATTTCCCTGATGCCCCAAAGGCCATTACGGAACGCAGTCCCTCGAGCCGCAGTAAGAAATATTGAAAACATACGAAAGACTTTCAATACCTCGTTCAAGGATTCCAGTGCATTGGAGAGACCGTCTACCAGTCATATGCCTTGTGCAGGAAGTCATAGGACGTTAGAAGTACGTTCTCCAGTGCGTCAATGACCTCAAGTGGCGTGTATCGCCACCATACCGATTTCCTTGAATTACGAAGGAATTTTGATCGTCAGGCGGATCATTTTGGCACGTGCAGATCAGTCTTTTGAAGAGCAACAAGTCAACCTGATGAACCAATCAATTATGATACTGCTTGTGGGTTTCGGGCGGCGACAGGGAGGTTTGATCTCTATGATGCAGGGGTGGCATGACATACACAGACGTCCGCAACTATGCTCTATCAAATCCGGGGACCCTGGGAAGCAATATCAGAGCCTTGCGAGGTGACACGGACCACAACCAAGGTGACCAGTTACCCTCTACAGCGATTTTGGATCTACCAGTGAGTTCAATGCTTGACAGCGGAGAGTCTGAACAAGTGTGATCTTCAGATTTTGGGTCTCTCGACGGGCATCTACATAGACGAGGCCAACCCGGCCCCCCACAGCAAGCCTTGACTGCTAGATGCGGCTGCTGCCTGTTAGCAAGAATGAGCTGTGGCATCAATGAAGGGCCAACTACGGATATATCTCTCGTATCTGACGTGTGTGCAGAATCGTCGGCTCACTCAAGTGAATATACGAGGAAACGGATAGAGGAGCTATCCAGCATCGGCTTCCAGATTCAGACACCCACATGTTGCCTTGGGGGTGCTCTAGATACTAGGTACTTACCTCCGATAGACGTTCGACCCAATCCAAGCACATCAAATCACCTCTTCGAACTGCGAGGCTGTGATGTAAGGGTGGCGACTCTACCCCTGCGGCTAGATTCAAGTCTTGGTTCTGGAAGGGTCTCGCCAAGCCTGGCCCGACTTGGCACTCAGGGTCTGGCTGCTAAGGTAACTCTTTCACTCCGACCAATCCGGGTCAGTGCAGTTGCTACCTACAGATTCAGGCGGGTGCCGATATCAATGCTGAATGGGAAGGCCATACAGCGTTGATAGTGGCAGTTTGTAGCACTGAGACCCTCGAATTAGTCCAAAACTTAGTCCAGAACCATGTTGACTGCCAGGGCAGTCTGTTTGACTGATCAACTACATACAGCTGACTTTCCGAGGTTGTCTCCGCTAGCAAGGTTGCTCTATTCATTCAATGCTGTTATAGGAGTCAGGGAGCCTTCCAACAGCAGAACGGCCAGTTGCTGGTTTCCGACGCGCATCACAGTGACAGTTAATCATAGACTTACAGTTACAAGAGCCTTCCTGTCCTTCTTACCTCCTGTCTATCGGTGTATCACATAGCGCCGTCGTTTTCGGGTTCCGGGACATAGACATTGTGATAGCCTACCTAGGCTTTCCAACAAATACGTGTGCTCGTGTAACCTCTTCCATTGATGCGATATTGACGCAATCCCGTATTCGTCAATTCCAAGAAACATCACCCTCCTAACCCATTAGTTTCAGTCTGAAGTCGATATCCCATCAGGCATCCCTCAGGAATGTCTTTGACGCGCGATGCCCTATGAATCCATGTAGTCTGCGATGCTCTTCAGGTTGGCATACATTCTGGGTAATGATTGTCGTGGGATATTTTCAGAAATGTAATCCCTGCCTGATGGGCTTTAAGAATACCATGACTGATTCGCATCGAAGTGAATTTCTAATGTCGGACATGACGGTTGGGAGTCGGTCAGTATCGTTCCGCACCAAGAACTTCCGTGTCATTATCCAAACCCTGATAATGACCGCGATGGAGCTTTCGAGGCAGCCATGTGAAAAGGTCAAACAACTTGGTTCCGATGACACAGGCAATCGTAGCGCCGACCTGCCAGGTAACCACAAGGAAGACGCCCAGGCCCCAGGGTATCAGGAATTTGATCCATTCACTTGTCTGGTAGAGATCATTTTGTGATTGGATGAAGTATTGTTCACCGCCGGCTTGTTTCAGTATTGCTGAATCTGCAGATTTCTCTCTCTTGGTGTCTTTCTTTCTCGCAGGGTCCTGGGGGGAAAAGGTGACCTTCCTGTTGCGACCGCTTCCTTTCACTTCGCTGTCTTCTTGTTCGAGTGAAACTGCTTTCTCGACAGTCTCGAGGGGGTCAGAAGCGTGTGGAAATGGATCTGTGGTCAGTTGCAGAACCGTGACCAACTTGACTGGAGCATTGTAGAAGGGGACGACCCAGAGTTTGAAGTTCTGGTGCATTGACACGTAAAGAAGCAAGTTCTCCTTATCAAAGGCTATTTTATCGTCACCCATACGGTTCATTTGGAGCGAGTATCAGTCTGACATACCCACGCTGTCAACGCAGATGTCGATGTGGGGGCTGAGGATCTTGTACCAGCGGTAGATCATCATGATGAGCCATATTGAACCGGCAAAACTCCCTGTACGGCAGAAGGGATGGGTGAACGAGGCAGTAGGGGTGAAGTATGTGTCTATTGTGGATCGTTGAATGGCCGGGGAAGCTGTACAGAGAGTTCGGATGATACGTGGTATTTCGGCCACTGCGCAGACGATAGTAAGACACGATGTTTTTCTGTATGCATTCATAGAGACTTACCTGGGTCATCCATTGGAGCGGGTTACCTATCCTAAAGTAGAGGAGAGAAATGCGTCAAATTGAAGGGAACGCAGCCTATCGGTTTGGCCGGGGAATTGCGGTGGAGAGTAGGAATATCATGAACGCTTGGGATGGTTGACGGCACTTGCTCAATCCTGAACTGCTGACGCATCTCTAGAAGGCGTAGGTGTAGCTAGGGGATACGGAACATAGACTACAGGTTTCGCGGCAGCTCTTGACGTGCCTGCAAGGAAGGTACTGTGTAGAATGGGGAAACGAAGTCAACTTTTTGGCCGCAGGCTGGCTATGGTGGCTACCTAGGTAAGATACATAGCATGACGTCACCCCTTTATAGCTCCCCTTTGTGGTATGTGCCAATTAGGAACGGGCAGGCCCGCATCGAAGACATCCACCAAGTGCCTAAAGGCCCTGGATGCTCTATGGATATTGCCCGACGCTGTTTAATCCGCGTAGAGGCTCTTCCTGTAACCAAGTCCATTCCTCAACCTGTCTTCTTCCTCCACGACCTTGGCCGGTAAGTCTTTACCAATGCCGAAAAAGACAAACAGAGCCCATTTCCATCTGAAAGGGTTGATCACCGTAATAAAGAAGAACCAGTAAAGTAGCTCCGAGTAGGTGAAGAAGTCAAAGGCTTTCGTTGGGCCCAGCGACTTAATAGCGCTCGTAAAGTCAACCCATCGCTCCATCCACCAAGTCCGAGGGGTAGTGAGAGGGTCGACCAAGAACATCAGCAGCATGCGTGTGTAGATTCCGATATGGTAGTTTCCAACCGTGCTAGGCAAAAAGTCAGCTTATGGTAAAGCCACTTAGCTACCGTTGAACTCACCCGATAGCCGAGACGTATGTTGAGTTGATCGCGCAAATAGATGGGGCCGCCGGAGGAAAGCATTGTATGAACCATCGAGGTGGTACGTAGCCGTCCTTGAAGCATTCATCCGGCAAAAAGTCGAGGCTGGGCCGCTTGTAGCCGGTAGCCATAATGATCACATCTCCCTCAATCAATTTGTGGCGGCCAGGCCCGCCCTTTGGAACATTCTTAGCTCGATGATTAAAGAAGATCCCATTTTTCCGGACCTCTTCAATGTCACCACGCAGCCAAGCGGCTTTGCCAGCCCGTATCCAGTGGAATATTTCACTATTCACCATTGGCGTCTCCGTGAATAAGCCCTGGTCAGCGGGAGCTATATCTTTCAAATCACGGTAGAAAAAGAAGCGTAGGAGATTTTCGGGGATCCACGAGAGGAGGGTTTCCTGGCCGAAGATATTAAAAGCAAGAAGCGCATCCACAAATGCGTTCCGAGGTATGATCCATTTATCAGATCTGGCAAGGACTTTGATCTCAGCAGCTCCCGTGTTGACTGCCCACTCGAGAGCCTCAACCGCGCTGGCGCCACCACCAACGATGAGAACTTTTTTCCCTTCCGCATCCTTGTTGTCCAGGTCGGAGGAGTGGTAGATGTCGCCCTTGAAAGTTTCTTGGCCAGAGAGATGAGCCATCTTAGGAGCACCGCAGGTCCCAATAGCTGGGATGATGCCATCAAATCTACCATTAGAAACGTCGTTGAGTATCCATCGCCCTTGTTTGTCCTTGTAGATCTTCTCAACTCGGGTGTTGAATTTTGTCTTCTCGTCGAGGTGATAACGGTACCACAACTGTTGGATTTGACTGACAATCTGATTCTGCCTTGGGTATCCCCCTTCCCATTTGATCGAGGGATGGAACCTATACATGGCGCTATGAATCTGGAGCCCAGACGTGGTGTTCACATGGCTCCATATACCGCCGAGATGCTTCTCGTCTCCGGCTTCAAAAAGGGTGACATCAAACCCATGACCCATGCAATGTGCGGCTGCAGAGACGCCAGTAAGACCAGCGCCGATGACTGCAATCTTTGGCCGACGTAAGCGTGCACCTGGCGGAGGGGGGGTGGGTGAGAAGATCTTGTCGAGTATCCATTGGAGAATGGAATAAAACCAAAAGACTGGACTGAAATGCATGGCCTCAAACGTCCCTATCACTTCCCGGAAAGGTTGAAGTGAAAGACCATGGAAACGAGAGGAAACGAGGAAGAAATGAAATACGCGAGGAGTGTAAAATCGAACTGGAGACTGAGAACAAAGGTGGTGCAGATACCACAACGTCATCGAATGTAGTGATGTTGGTACGGACGGGGCTTAGGCCACTGGCGACCCAAAAATGGTGTTATAATGCTGGGCACCAGCATGTGAAAGTCAGCAGCTTGGTTACCGAGAGATAATGACGAGGCTGAAGAAAAGAGGTGGTTGGGCCCTGCCTCACTGTGGATATGGCGGCGGGACTGGACGGTCGAACAGCCCGTGATTACGCTTCGGAGGCATTAACAAGGCATGGTTGAACATCGTCGGAGCTGGAGCCATCATCCCTGTGGTTTGAATGGGCCTCGTCGCTTCTGGTCGGGCGAGGCAAGTAGTCATCTGGGAAAATAGTAGTGGCAGAAGCAGGCCAAGGTAAAGCATTCTGACTCTCATGAAGGTACATGGCCGTTTCATGTTGCAGGCGGTTTACCTACGATACTTGTACTGTAATATAGGACGTGCCTCCACAGCAACGGTTGAGGGCTCGTTGAGCGGCCAACAACAGTAAGTCCCATGCACGGACACAGTTAATTCAGTAGCAGAGCCGCATCTACAAACCCCCAAGAATGCGTCAAGAACAGGTATCTACCTAATAATGTAGTCCATATCGGAGCGCAAAATCCCTGGTGCGTCAGCCTGGAACAGTCACGGTGGCGCCGCCCTAGGAGTGTCCGCAATCTCAGCTTGCGTGTCATTCAATACGTGGCCGGGCACCACAGCCCCGTACTCCATGCATACGTCAACCTCCCCTAATATCCTGGTTTTGCATGCTTCACGGAGTTCTTAAGCATCTCTTAAGCATCGCTGGTGGACAAAAAACCACTCCTCTTCAGTCTTGCAAGAGCCCAATTGCAATCCGAGCCAAGTGAGTCAATCCACCCAGCCCCCGGCGGCGTTCATTATTGATACTTTCCCAGAATTCGATTCCAATCACTACCTCGATTCAAACCTGAGAACCATGCCTCCTTCATCCACTTCCTCGACCTCGAGCATCACCAAGGGTGTCAAGGGTCCCACGAAACCCTGTATTCCTTGCGACTGCGGTGACTACGAGTGCGACTGCTGCATCATCCCTTGCACAGTGATGTGAGATGCACGACATCAATTCTGGATTTCACTTGAGCGGAATATACAGCGTTATGGATTCAAGGAACGAAGGGGTCTGGCAACTGCTGGAAATGAGGATAGCCGTTTATCGTCATACCTTGATGGAAGACACAAACTATGCCTGAAGATTAAAACGAATGCAGGCAGCATGATAGCACAAGAACTTTTGGGTAAATGATCGAAGCAATGCACCCAGTACGCACCCAGTACGTTTCTAAAGACCAGATCAAGGGGTTTCCGCATGAGCGGATTGCTCGTCTGTCCGTGGCGACTGTGCATGCGTAAGAGGATAGGCTAGCACCTCATCCTCAGACAGGTCATCCAAAGAGTACTCTCCATTGGTCTGCTGTTCCAAGTCCCTAGCCTTGCTTGCAATTCTTGCTGCTGCGCAGTCTGCCGGGTTGGGATATGGAATCTCACATCTGGGGTGCTTGAGCGGGCGATAATAGCGCCGGTAGGAGAAATATGCAACCAACATCCCCAAAAGACTCCCGCAAGTGACGTCAAAAACGTCATGTCTGTAGTCTGCCAGTCGTGACATAGCGATAAGCGAAGCTCCCACCAGCGGAGCTAGCACAACCATGACTTTGGCTAAGTCTGCATGCGGTCGAAAGATACGAAGCTGTCCGGCGAGGAACAAGGCCAGATATCCTAACCCGGAGAAAGCCCAACTGCTATGGCCGCTCGGGAAACTGCGCCAGCCATCATGAAGGGTGTGATGGTCTGTTTCCGTACAGACAGATATCGTCACCAACTGGTGCTCGGGTGTGCCTGGTTCCGGCTTACACCGTGCGATCAGGTCAGGACGAGGCCGGCCAACAGCATTTTTGATGATATCGGTGAGAAGCGAGGCGAGGAAGAGGCTGATGAGGAGGCCGAGAATCGTGACATGTGCCTTGTGCAGACCTGGTCGAAAGACCAACGACCAAACCATTATGAGAACCAGTGGTCCTCCCCCTGCCCATATAATGTTCTCCCGCGAGGATACCCGCTGGACGATCGCATGGGGATACTGTTTTGCATGATCATCTAGGCTAAACATCCGATGGAAAGGCTCGACAAAGAATTGAACCTGGCGTTGGTCAGTAAGATGTGGCAGTGAGTGCGAGGGTACCAACGTATGTATACACAGCCAGAAGCAGCGCAAATCCAACATAATCGGAGGCGTATGACCATTGCCAAACCCGCCGTATCGAACCTGCAACTCCTCCAGCATCGTTCGTGGACCGCCACATCTGACTTTCTAGAGATATTCCGCAATGAATAGCAGTGCTCCTGAACTTAGCAATGGCCCATGCTGTGAGATGGTGAGATTGTTGCCGACAAGGAAGGGAGAGGAGAGATGATAAGTCAATCCCGCAAATCGCGGTCTTCTATTGGCATGTACGCGTGGTATATCAAGGGTGTATCACGTGCTTCTTTAGCTAGTTGAATAGAATTACACTCCCTATGTGCGGAACAGGCTTCATATATAACCATCACTTCCTTGCGACTGCTGTGTAACCTATTTAAGGCGCTCCCCAACATGTTTACCCCTTGGCAGTAGCGGGAACCCAAAGCACCACCCAGTCCGGAGAGATATGGCGGACCAGGAGCAACTGCAACAACTGCCTGAGGCGCCGTTTCCTGCACCACCTCCCTTCTGGAAACATTTCACGGTTGCCAATGAAGAGCAGCTGAAGAAGTCTGAAACCGCCGAAGGCTCACTACCTCTCCCTTTAGCATATCTGCGTCCTCCTCCTCCCCCTCCAGATTCAGCAGAATACTACACCACTTTCGGACAGAAGCAAGTTGTTGACCCTACGAGACCTTCGTCGCTCCCAAGAGACCAGCTCCTCTTCAACCCGGATGACCCAAACCTGAACCATGCGGTCATTCTCAGTCGCCTCACCAAATCTCTTCTACTCAATTTTCTCGAGTTGACTAGCATCCTTTCGCTCGATCCTACAAAACACGCAGAGAAGATGGAGGACATCAGACAGCTTGTGCTCAATATTCATGTGGTAATCAACGTGTATCGGCCGCATCAAGCGCGTGAAAGCGTTAAAGAGTTGCTTGAAGCGGTCCTCGAAAACGGACAGAGGGAAATAGAGGAATGCGACAGACTCAAGGAGCGAGTGGACGAGTTCCTAGGCAATGTGGGTGAACTCAAGACAACTAATGTGGTCGAGGGTCCGACGCAGGAAGATTCCGCAGCTCGACAGCTCTCTAATGACGCGAAACTGGAAGAACAGCGACAACTGTGGAAGCTGATTCATGAGATGGCTGATTGAGAGGTGCCATCAACTTTTAGCTCGGAAAGGACTTTTTTCCACTGCTTGCAAGAGAGCTTGACTGACTAGGTCAATATCCTCCTTCCGGGTATCACAAAGTCCAACTGCCCCCACTTAGCCTTCACCTTGTGCCCTTGCACTGGGAATGGACCTAATGTGTTGATCTCAACTCAAACATGGATCTCAGCGGCCCCGGCAGACTGAATCTCTTCCTTGTAAGATACCAAAGCCGGCTGTACCTCCTCTTGGACAAATTCGTCCACTTGTTGAGCAGATCTGCCTACGAACTTGGCAGGATTCAGCAAGTCCTCCTCGGTCAATTCATTCCAGATGGGTTCGAAAAACTTTTCTTTTCTGACCCGCTCAACCAAGTCATTCGGCTTGCCCTCCTGTTTAACAACAGCCCCGGCCTGGTGCGACAACACTCGAATTTGCTCATGAGTCTCTTGCCTGCTGGCACCCTTCTCACACATACGCATAATCATCGTCTCAGTCGCCATAAATGGCAATTCTTGCTGCAAGCGGCTGTTGATAACCGCCGGATAGACAACCAAGCCTGAAGAAACGTTTTCGAGGAGGATGCACAATGCGTCGGCGATCAAAAACATTTCTGGGATATCTATTCGTCGAATGGCCGAGTCGTCCAATGATCGTTCAAACCACTGGTGAGCATACGTCGCTCCGAAGCCGAGCGGGAGGAAGGTTAGCTTTCGGCCAAGCGAGCACATACGTTCTGAGCGCATGGGATTTCGCTTGTAGGCCATGGCAGAAGAGCCGATTTGGTCTTTTTCGAAAGGCTCTTCCACTTCTTTCAGCATGGCAAGATGACGGATGTCTGTACCAATATGCTCGCACGTTGTCCCGAACGACGCCAGAGCGTTGGCAATGTCGAAATCGATCTTGCGGTTGTAGGTCTGCACGGAGACGATGGATCTTCTACTAAAGCCGGCCTTTTCGGTGACGAGCTCGTCAAGTTTTTTGACCTTTTCATGGTTTCCGTGGAACAGTTCCAGGAAGGACGCCTGGGTTCCCGTGGTTCCTTTGACTCCCCTGAAGCGGATATCGGACCTAGCGCGTTCGATGTTCCTCAAATCCATCAGAAGGGATTCAATCCATTGAATAGCGCGTCGCCCGACGGTGATTGGCTGTGCCGGTTGGCCATGTGTAAATCCTAGGCAGGGGAGAGCCTTGTACTCGATCGCAAAGTCCGACAGCTTCTGGATACATCTGGCAATTTTAGGCAGGAGAAGAGACAATCCCTCTCTCAATGACAACAGGTCTCCGTTGTCGGTCACATAGCACGAGGTAGCGCCCAAGTGAATGATGCCCGCGGCCGCTGGTGCCCGTTGGCCATATGCATGGACATGGGCCATGACATCGTGGCGCCGCCTTTTCTCCTCGACCGCAGCGACTTGGAAATCTTCGTCGGTCATGACCTTGGCCGCCTTCATCTGGCTGATTGCCTCGTCCGAGATGTCGAGCCCAAGCTCTTGTTCACCCTCGGCCAACCAGATCCATAGTTGACGCCAGTTTTCTGAACGAGTGCGCGGTGAGAACAATGTGAGCATTTCCTTACTGGCATAACGCGCCCCCAGCGGACTCTGCCATGAGTCGTACGACATCTTGATGGAAGTCTAACTGCGAGGTAGTAGATGAAGCATAAAATGGCGAGTAGAGGGCGTGGGATTCTGTCGATCTCAGTTATAAAATAAATTTTTGTTAAGTCAAGTTCACTGCGGGCAATCCCGGCGGCGGGGAACATGAGATGCCAAGCCTCGATGGTGCTTCATGAAGTGATACATGTAGACTTCGAACTTCCAAGTTCACTTCAGCTGTCTTCAGGTTTGGTAAATGTGGCGCACAAGGGGAAACACCTGATGCCGTATCAGGAAGTGGTCCGACTTGGAGTTAGGTAGTACGCAAATCGCCTTCGCCCTCGCCCACAGGGCATGGTGTTGTTTTACAAACGACCAACGCACTAGAGAAGCCTCCTTGCCGCTTTTGAGGCACTTCTGCAGTGAGCGACTTGTCCACTGCTCCGCACTACTCCGCCGTATGTTACTCGTACGTCTGTTGAGGTCGTACGTCATGATCAACGGCCCTCCTTGTAGGTTGAAGCCTGGTAGACTGGGCCGCCTATACCGAAGCCCCTCCATGTTCCAAGTTGAATGTCAAGAAACCAGGCCACCTCATCCTCGTTGCAGTAAAGACTTTCAGAACCAGGCGTTGGATCTCCGATCAATCTCTGATCTTCTGGCCCATCCCTGTCTGGTCTTTTCTTTGTGTCTGTCCTCGTCTCCTCTCCATAATATTCAATCTGCTCTTCTATCTCTTCCTCCCCGCTCCTGTCCCGATGCAACACACTTCCATCTCAACTACCAACTGACAATTAGACCATCAACCATATACCCACCTCGCCGTACACATACCTGAGCCAACATGGTACGCATCGAAATGGGCGGCCTGCCCCGTGTCAACATCGACACATCGCGGCCCGGTGACCTCAACATACGCGAACTGAAACAGGACATCAGGCGGCAGATGCGAGGCGGCGGCCGTGCCGTCCACTTGAGTTGGGACACTGCCAAGCCACGACTGGTGCTGACCAGCGACACGGACGACTTCGATCCGACCATCATCTCACACTTCGAGGAGGAAGGGTTCCAGCTAAGTTACCTCATCTACTCGGGCAACCGGGCCGAGTATATGTCCCATCTGCAGCACTTACAAGATCCACTCGAGTTGGGCGAGAGGTACGCAATTGTAGGTAAGTAAACACGGGAGAAATATCAGCTTCATTACAAGATACTGGCTACGGCCACTCGTCAAAGAGCCACAGTGCCTGTGGTACATTTTGGCCCTGCGATATCCAGGTATCCTACAGTTGCAGCCCAGAGTGCCAGTGCAGCACCAAGGAAGTCACAAGCCACCCTTGATCACCAACATACGAGAATTTTGAATTACCTTATCTAACTTCGAATCAAATTTCCTAGCGTACGGCGACGCGGCCGCCCTCGTCCTTGAAGCCTGCATGAAACCCATGCCGAAACTAGTCGCCGCTGTTGCTTATTATCCGCCATACATGCCGCGCACGACAACAAATTTCCCGCCGACGCTCAACGTACTCATTCATCTCGCGGGGGATCAAAAATTTGGCACCCGGTACCCATCCTACCGATATCCCGGCACCACCTCTGGCTTTGCGGAGCATGACCTCGAAGAATACGATAAGATCGGTGCGTCGCTGGCGTGGTCACGCACATTGTCGGCCCTCAGAACGGCCTTTGATTTCGAGCCATTCGACATCGAGGCAGCCTGGGAGACCCACCTGCGACTCAAGTTCGGAGATCAGGATGCTGAAAAGACGATGGGAACTGTGGCAAGGCATCCGTACGTCAACCATGGCCCAACCATGACCGGAGGGATCGGACGTCAGGAACTGCGCCGGTTCTACCATGACTTCTTCATCCCAGGCCACCCGAAGGACTTGACGATCAGATTACTCAGTCGCACCATCGGCTCGGATCGCATCGTGGACGAAATGTATGTCAAATTCACGCACACGACAGAAATCCCGTGGTTGCTGCCAGGTGTGCCCCCAACGGAGAAGAAGGTCGAGGTGGTCATTGTCAGCGTGGTGGCCTTCCGTGGCGGCAAACTGTACCACGAACATGTTCACTGGGACCAAGCCTCGGTCTTGGTGCAGATCGGATTGCTCGATCCCAAATATATCCCCAAGACGTTCAAAACAGCCGAGGAAGGCAGAGAAGAAGAGGTCGAGAGGCTTCCTGTCCTCGGAAGAGAAGAAGCCAGGAAGTTGCTGGACGAGGATGGTGTCCCCAGTAACGAACTGATTCCTGACTGGTGAAATGTGAAGGACGTTCCTGCCTCTGTAGGAAGAAGGAGAATTGGTAAAGGCTACTAGGTAATTGGCAACCCGGAGCAAATTGCTGTTGTGTACTTAGCGTAGTCATCATTGTAGTATCTATCCAACGAAACTGTCAGGACAAGATCCCCTGCCCTCCCGCCCTCCACTGCTCTTGGTGGCTTAGGCAGGCTTCCCGAATACATGTTCGAGGGAAAACGGGCAGTCACAGCTTGCCATGAACGTGCTGTCTATAATACAGCTTCACGCCCATCTCGGTCTGCTCATCCGTCAACTGGGCATAAATGTCCCTAAACCTGGCGAGATCGGAGCGGGCATAGTCGTCGATGTCGACCCACACCCTCCTCCTCTTGATGCCACCGGGGCTTGGGCTTGGGCTTGGACTTATTCGGCTTGCCGGCCATTCCAGCTCGGGCGTCAAGACCTGCGACTTCATGTATTCGCGGCCCAGGCGCTGGCTCTCGAGGGGGTCGAGGAGGCGCTCGAGCGACGGGATCTGCTCGCCCGACTCGACCCTCATGTGCTCGAGCAGGTCGGCGAAGAGCCTGTCGAGCACGACGTCGAAGTCGGCCGACTCGAACGGCACGTCGGCCAAGGCCAGCAGCTGGGATTTCGCGCGTTCGTGTTCCGTCCGGTCGTGCTCGGCCATCTGCTGGCCCTCGGCGCCCAGGTGCTCGACGAACGCCGGCCGCATCACCAGGTCCTCGGACACGTCGTGCCGCACCAGACGCCAGGTGACTTCGCGAAGCAGCCGCGCTCGGTCGGAAGCCGTCCGCGCCCTCTTCAGCCGCCCCGCGTATCGGTTGATGGCGTTGTGGTCGTCGTTGATCACCCGGGAGAAGGTGATGGGCGCCTCAACGGCCCCAACCGCACCTGGAGCCGTCATGGTGCCGGTGGCGATGGCGGTGTCGGTCTCGGTCTCGGTCTCAGTATCGATTTCGATTTCGGTTTCGGCCGTGATGGTCTCTGCCTGATCCTTCTCCTTCCCCGGCTCCTGCTCCTGCTCCTTCGACTTCGACTTCGACGGAGACAAATAGGACCGTGACCCCGGCACGGGCGGCCGGGCGCCTTTACAAGTCCCAATGATGGCTCAGGCTCGTGCGGTATGAGGATTCAACCTCGACCCGCACAGTAGTGTGTGATCACGATCGACTCAATTAGAGGGGGACAACCGGTCAAGGAGAGTCCAGACGAATGGGGTAGTAGAAGGATTCTAGATAACATAAAAAATGACATGGTGGCAAAGGGCACGGCATAAACGAGCGGGCACCCCGTGAGCACCAAACACTACTGACGACAATCCTGTAGAGGGGGGTAGGTCACAAGCAAGAAAACCAATCGCCAAAGACGGAACAGGGCGCAGCTCGCTGAAGCTTCATCAGTCAGCCTGGCGAAGTGCAACCCTGGAATCGGCAGGATCAAATACGACCACGCAATGGCGAATCAAAGGAATCAAGGGAATCAAGGGGTGAAGAGGAGCAAAAGTACATTCGACCCCGGCGACGCTATTAGTCACCTCAGTTTCTGACTCTCTGCCGCTCCAAGGTATGTGACACCTTGTCTAGCAGTCGAGTTGAGCAACAGATCTATAAATTATCGATGATCACTTGTGCCCGCTTCGCCCCTCTCACTCTCGTGTAACATATTCGAGTCTTTTCAAAGGACCAGATGAAACCGCTTTCCTGGCCCATCGTAGAGCCACGAGCCGGTCAATGCTAATAAATGCACTTTCGGCTTTGGCTCTCCATGCCGAGTGGCCGAGGTGATGAATGGATCGATCGACTCGGTCTCTGTAGCCCCATACCAATCCATAGATGTCGACCAAATCTGCGTAATCATCGCTTGGCGAGGACCGTCCATTGATGCTCGCCTCATGAAAAATCCCTTCCTGCCATGGCTCTCGGTAACACGTAGCCTGGACCATCATTATAAAACCCTAGACATCCCGCTCAAACGCAGCAGAGGAAAATGGCGTCGTGACAATGCAAATCATACTCGGCCATTCGATGCCGAAAAGTTTGCCCAGGTTTATCTTGTCGACAAATGTTCTCCCGCATCATAAACCTCTCGACTATCCCAGATTCGTCGGATCAAGGCTTCCTCAGGTGGGAGTCCTTCCTGATCGTCGATTTGGTTCTCGTCTGGGCTTCCTTGGGAAGGTGTAACTTCAATGTCATCATGACTGCTCTGTCGCTGGAAATGAACTCTCCCCCCTCGAGTCTTGGTTCTAGGATGCGACGCCAACGGCGACGAGTTCCCGTCCTCCAAACTGCGACTTACGCCAGTCTTTGCATGGCCATTGACGTTGGCCATGCTAGGCCCACGGCGACTTTGTGGCCTGCTTTTAGACGTCGTACCAGGAGCCGCCACGCCGACTTCTGCCGGCACAATGTTGGTCTCCTTGAGCCTACTCATACTGTCAATGATGGGACTTCGGAATCTTCGCACAACCATTAAGTGCTTGACCGCGCTTCCATAGTCTTGCTTCACGGCCTTGAGTTCGCCTGCCAGCGATCGATTCCGATTTCTAGAGCCTTGGCGGCTTTGTAGAGACGTGGATGAACCCATAGGGAGGCCCAGGCCAGTAGCCGGCGGAGTCGTGGGCGTGGCGGCAACAGCGCGCAGCATCTCCCTTCGTTGGAGCTCGAGTCTTTGTTGGGTGCGAGAGGGATTTTGTGGTAGTCGTGCCTTGTGGATCGTCTTTGAACTCTCAGGCGATTCCGACGGTTGTGGCTTGTAGTTGGAGAGGAAGTTCGATGGCGAATCTTCGTCAGAGCCGTCTGCCATGTTTTGAAGCGGCGTGTTGGGCGTTTCGGCCGGCAGAAAGTGCGAAACGCCGCCATCGACAGACAAGGCGGCTGGACCAGAAGCAGGACCTGAGCTCGCCGGTGTGACATTCACGGATGAGGCATCGGCATGGGAGATGTGTGTGAAGGATTTGGACGATTCACTTCGCATCATTTGACTAGGTCCAACATGAGCAGATACTGTTGACATAGCGGGAGGTGCACGCGATGCACGAGGGTTTTGGTGGAGAAGAGCAGGATCCGATGGAAGTTGGGATGGTGATATACCCGATTCTCTCCTAAGATCCGGGGCCGATCGGTTGCCTTTCTTAAGGGAGGGCATGGGCGGAGAGGACGTTTTATCGGCGCGAACACCATAGGATTCAAGAGCCTTTTGAGGGATCTGCTCGCCATTCGGTGTCGAGGCCCTTTTTGGAGTGGAAGTCTTCGAATTGCTCCGCGTGAGTTCCGGAGATTGCGTGGTCGAGTCTTCCCATTCCTCCTCCTCCTGTTCTTCATCATCTGATGATCGGTCTCCTAGTTGGAATACTCCATCTCGCTTGTCCCTGCTCTTTGGCCTGGGTGCCGGGGCAAGCCCAACTTTCTTCAACGCTGGATGTGAAACATTTCGCGCCAGAGCGTTTGCCGATTGGTTTTTGCGCAGATTCCCATAAGACGTGTTCTTCGGTAGCGTCACATGAGAGCTGTTACGTTTGACAATGGATGCTCGGGGACTATGCGGCGGTGTAGTCCCCCCTGACCTTTTTCTCTGGTGCTGATGATGATCTGTGGTAATGTTGGCGGTCGAGTGAACCTTTCCCAGCTTCCCGAGGCCCTTGCCATGCGAGATGTTTCGAGAGTGCCGAGTGACGACGTGAGGACGGTGGACCTTATGAGCAGCCGTCGCCTGTCTGCCTGATGACGAAAGAGAATGTGTCGAGGAAGTCCGTTCATTAAGCGACGGCCGTTTGATGGGGGAGGGGGATGCGGAAGGCATTCTGCTGAGGGCGGAAAGTGAGCGGAAAGTGAAATGAACGCAGAACTATTGATCAAAAAGGTCAGACATTGTCCATGGATTGAAGATGTGAGTAGTCACTTCAATTGAAGGATCACTGGCAGTGGCAGTGGCAGTGGCGGTCACAGTCGCAGTCGCAGTCGCAGTCGCAGTCCAGTTGCGCCAGAAGACGAATGGCGGGCTGCAGGATTGGGGAGCTCGACACGTGACGCCACATCAACACTATCTCTCCATGCTCGATTACTAGATGAGATTCGTCTTCTACCGTGACTAGAACCTTGGTGCTCTCCCTGTACGGTATCCTGTGCGGTATCCTGTGCAGCGAGTAGCCCTTTGTAGCATCCAGAGCACAGCAGACTGGTTTCTGATTGCATGCGCCTAGTCTCATAGGTTATGGTCAAATGAAAATAGAAGAAATCGTATTGTCAAGAGTAATGTTCGGATCCTTTAAGCTGACGTCCGTATGCCTTACATTCTCCTTTATCTGCCAACATGAAGTCTTCAGAGGCCCCTCCGGCACTTGAAGACAGCCTCGGTTTGAAGGGCAGAAGGAGTAGCCCCCATGACACACATTAAGTCCACGATTCGGTATCGCAAGCATGCTTACCTTGACATCACAGTGCACACCATTGCCGTCTGGTAACGAGGGAAATCCATCGGTGCCGGCGAAACTGAGCACTAATTATATGGAATGGAATGGAATCGGTCGCGACGGCTGATAGCCATGCCCATTCACTTCGCAGATTGAACCGCCAGCGGTCGAAGGCTGCGCCAGGTCGGTGGCCATGGTGACTAAGAAATGATGGTACCGTTATACAGTACAGGATTGCTGGCTTAAAGTCGCCGAGGCATGTTGAATTAACGAGCAACAGCAGCCCACTCATCGCACCCATGGTGATAACAATGCCGGTACGGTTTCACCAAGTTTGGGTCCGGATGTGGTGCGACTGGCCTTATCGGTCCAATACCATGTGCACTGTGCTGTTCTTAGCACACTCGAGAGAATGAGCGCTTCAGCCTGCGGCCTTAATGTTGGGTTGTTTGGGTATTTTGGGGATCAGCGTTGCAGTCAGAAGTCAGGAGGAACGAAGAGAGAGAGGGAGCGGCTGCGGCCAGTCACGTTACTTTTAGCTTCCGATGCATGCAGCATGCAGCACACATGCACTCATGCTGGCAGCCAAATCGCCTCCAGGCTCCTGCAAGTTCTTGCCCGATCGACCCTGCATGTGTGCATGCGGCGGCTTGTCTCAAGGGGAAGCTGCAACTCCTCCTCGCCTCCATCCTGGATACTACAGTACGGATACGCTGCACACATATGAACTGGCGGGCTACTTATGTACCTTCCCTAGGCCCGGTATAGCAGGCTGGCGGAGGAACGCTTCCGGTCACAGCGTCACTGATTGGTATCTGATTGCACCATCCGCCGCCGCGCCGACTCATCACTATCAATGCGCCCACTTTTGCCGGGGCACGATGGTTGCTAGCCTCGTCCAAACCGGAGCACGACTCGCGTTTGTCGGCGCAGGCCAAGTGGCAATCTGCCTCTCTTCGCACGCGCACTCGCACTGACAGGTCCCTAGGGTCTCACAGGCGGCCAGCCTGACGCTCTTATCAGGCGGTCTGCTGCCGAGCCTGCTCGCTTTTGCTGCCAGCCTGAGTGTGCAGGGTCCTGCCGGCCTCCTCCTGCATAACCTTATCTCACCTCTTTTCGACCATCCTCAAGCTACCAAGCCAACCCGTGTCCTGTCGAACCCACCCTTTCCGCACTCCGTTTTGGCTCCGTACCCGTCGTCCATCTTGGCTGATATGCGCCGGATTGGCGGTATGCTGTTGAAGTCTCCAGTCTTCTGAATTCTAGCCCGAACCGAGTCCTCCCCCCCTGTCAAGAATTTCTCATCCGTACTTCGAACACCGACACCATGATCGGGGGATATCCATGACATACTGTACACATTTCCCTCTACTCCATACTCTTCTTCGACTCTACTCCCTCGAGCTTTAAACTCCATCCGCCTACAAGCTGTACACACGGTCTTTTGGTGCTTGGGACGTTCCCCTACGTATTGGAAAAAGTCTATGGCGTCATGTCGTTGACATTCGGGACTCACACATGGTGGCCACTGTACTCCTTACGGATCGATCGGTGAACTACAATTCAACTTCACAGGAGTAGATGTTTGTCTCTTGACACCCTACCGACGACAATCTGCTTCTAGCCACCGTCATCCACGGTCCGGCCAAATCGTCTACAAAATCTGGCCTAACTTAGGCACTCCTTCCACAGCCAGCACTCGCTCAGGCAGTGTCTGTCCCCATCATCTGCGCAAAATGGCTTTCGCACGCCAGCTTTCTTTTCCGACACCGCTCACGCCCTCAATGCCAGTGCCAGGTCCAATCCCGGAGCAGATTGAGGCATTGCCGATAACTCCACCCGACATTTCGGATTGTTTTGGTGAGAAGTACTTCAAACCCGACAGCCGAGCTATCAAGAAAGCACTGCATGTGCTTGCCACTGAAAGATCGGCATTGTCCCATCTTGAAGACCTCTACACCACCTCACCGGACATCCAAGACTCCCTCCTGAGGGCCATCAGTCATATCATTCATTCCGAATCTCGACACGGCAAGACGGTTTTCACGGGAGTGGGCAAGTCGGGCCACATTGCGAAGAAACTCGTGGCGACATTCGTGTCTTTGGGCATTCACGCACAATTTTTACATCCTATTGAGGCTCTACATGGCGACCTCGGGGTTATTCGACCGAATGACACTATAGTCATGATCACCTTTTCTGGAAGGACTCCTGAACTCTTGTCCCTTCTTCCCTACATCAGTCCTGCCATACCATTGGTCGCGATGACGGCACATCTCAATCCCAACACATGTCCTCTTCTGTCGCACCCGTGCAGGTCCGGTTCCAGCGACGTTCTTTTGCCGACTACTATCCCTGAATCCGAGACCGCGTCGTTTGGAGTGTCCGCACCCACGACGTCCACAACAATCACTCTCGCATTGGGCGACAGCTTAGCGTTAGCCATCGCCGACGAGCTACATGCGGCGTCGGGGCTTCAAACGCCCGCCATCTTCGCAGCAAATCATCCAGGGGGAGCTATCGGAGCGGCCTCGAAGCCTTCACCTCAGGAGATCCCACGGATGTCGAATCTTGCAACAAACGTGTCCGAGGTGCCGGTTGTAGCGGGACGACCAGGCCACATTCTCATGGGCCTGGATCTCCTCGTGGCCGCTGTGCGGTCACCCCGGGGTTATGTGCGAACGTCTGCAAATCATATTGTTGGACCTCGACGGATTCAAAATCTGCGGGATCCCGACCTGCCAATTTCGGAGCTGCGGGACGAACTTGGCAAAATCGAAATCGAGAAAACCGATTGGATTTCCGTGCTTAGCACCACCACCGTTGACGAGTGTAAACGATGGATTCATCAGATGCGAGAAGAAGGCACCGGGCGAGGCAAGGAATTCCTTCGACGAGGAACCCTGCTCGGCGTTGTTGAGCGTGATGAGGTCACAGGCATCGTCGAGATTGAGGATGTGATGGGCGAGGACTTCTTTTGATTTGGGGCGTTTGAGACTTCTGCTTGCATTGAACAAACGAAGAAGTTCATTCAGCGCGAGAAGGTGCCTGATCGTGGTTACTCAGGACATGGGTCATGCACCCGGCCCCTACGCCTTATGATTGTCATGCATACCAATCATCTTGATCTGCATCTTCTTCTTCTTCCTCTTCCTCTTCCTCTTCCTCTTCCTCCTCCTGCTCTTCCTGCACCTCCTTGTCATTCTCAGGCTTCTTCGCAACCTGGTTAGCGGTCCCGTTTCCGATATCGTCAGTGGCTGTTACAGGGTCACCTTGGCCAGGGTCCTTCCCTGCGATCACAGCATTTTTCAGGGCATCCCTCTTTTCTCGGAGTCTGCGTACACGTTCTTCCATTTCATCCATGACCTCGAATTCGTCTTCCAGTCTCCTTTCCTGTTCTTCTTTCTCTGCCTCTGCTTCTAGTTCCAACGTCCTTCGTCCGTCTTCAGCCGCCTGCGCCTGCGTTTGCGCTGCAGTCACTGGTGCTGCACTTATCGTATGAGAAGAATAATCTGGGTGCGCTGCTGCTAGCGGAGCAACCTCCGCCTCAAAGGCAGCCCACTCAGCCTCATCCACGGCCGGACCTTGAGTGCTGGGTTGAGCATCTGATTGCAGTTTGTCCTGATCCGTCGTGGGGCCAGCCGTTGGGATGGGCACATCTTTGCCCAGCTCATCTAGGCCAGCGGAATCTGCCTCCTGATGTCCAGTTCCTGCCTGGTTTTGTTCCTGCGTGATTTGTGATGTGGTACTGGCCGGCTGTGACTTAGTCTTCTTTCTTGCATCTGGGATAAATTCATCATGCTCCTCCTGCGGCTCCTCAACGTCTTCAATCTTCCTCTTCACCCCTTTATTCGTATTTTCTTGACTTGATTGGGCATTTTTTCGGTGGTTGGCACTTCTGAGATGACCTTCCCAGAGTGTTTCGGATTTGACGTTCAGATTGCACAGAGTACATATTAGGCCGGATTTCGTGTAGGATAGGTGAGGATGAGTGATACGTCGTGACTGTCGCTCTGCGGCGAGAAGAGCACGAACATCAGCCATGGCCTTGCCTGACTGCGTTGGATTTGAAAAGGGGAGCAAAAACGCCGGCAAATATCATCCACGCGCAGGACAGTGAAAACCAACAGCAGCCTTGGACCGGAGAATCACGTGGCTCCAACAAATGCATGCGATGATGATGATGATGCGGCGGCGCGGTGCTGCGATGGTGGTGGCGTCTCTCCTAGCAGGCTGCACTCTGACTCGCCAGATGACCATCTCCGCTGTTTTCGGGCTTGGCGTCTCCCAGCTTCTCGCAACAAGGATCTCCTCCCGCATCAACTGCACTCTCAATTCCAATCCAATATTTATTCTTGCCCGTATCACACGCCTTACTCAGTTGACTTGGCTGTTACTATCTCGTCACAGAGGCTCCCGCAGGACGGACTGGCAGCGTTTAGGCCCATCGATCCTCAAGCTCCAAGAGTGCGCCACTCGGCGCAGTCACTGGTCTCGTGAACAAACACGCTTTCTTTCACCACTTGTTGTAGATCGCGACAATAAACGTGACTTGTGAGAAGCGCCTGCTTTCTACGTGTCTTGTAGTATTGCGCGCCCAATCTTCGATCTATTATGGCTGGTAAGCACTCAGCTTTGCGGGCGCCACGTACGGTTTGGAGGCACTTAGCTCATTCGGCGACAGATGAACCTCGCCGATCCGGTCGCGCGACCAAAGGACAACACACGAAAGAGCGCGATATCCTCGAAGATGCACCTGCGAAAAAGAAAGGCAGAGGAAGAGGCGCGAAAGCCAGAACCTCGGAGCAGGAGGAAGAAGGCGACGAAATCATTCGTTGTGTCTGTGGAACATACGAGGAAGAGGAAGATGTCCCTCGGGCCATGATATGCTGTGACAGCTGTTCAGCATGGCAACATAACGGTTGTATGGGTCTCCCCGAAGACTACGAGGTCGACACGTACTTTTGCGAACAGTGCAAGCCCCAAAATCACAAGCCTTTGCTGCAGGCTATTGCGAGAGGAGAGAGGCCGTGGGAAGAAGCAATCAGACAGAGAGAGATAGCTATAGCGGCAGAGAAAGGAAAGAAGAAGAGTGGAAGGAAGGGTCGAAAATCAGGAGGCCCTCGAAGCAGTGAAGTGACTTCTCGCGCGTCTTTGGAGGCGGAAGAGACGACACCACAGGCGCCTTCAACTGGGCAGAAGCGCAAACTCGAAGAATCTCCTGATGTGCCAGAACTCAAGGTATGTTTGTTGCCCGAGAGTAGCAGTGGGTTCAATCTGACTTCACGACAGAACAAAAAGGCTCGAGGGACACCTGCTTCGGAAACCAATGGCGCACAACCCTCGACTGCAGCCCGCAAGCCCAGTCAGTCCACCACTCCTTCGAGACAAGCATCGGGATCAGAGTCGATTCCTGCCGCTGTGTCGGACTTGAAAGAACTCACGAACACGTCGAGGAAGCAAGCTGCGTCAACCTTGATCAAGCTCATAGAACAACAAATCAAAGATGCCGTAAAACAAGGCGAATATAATGTCCCCACTGGCTCGAGTGCGAGCGACACCGCAAGTCGACTCGGTCTGGGTCTCGAAGATGCCTTATATCAAATCCAGGCTGGTGGCAACGGTGACCCGAATGAAGCCTACAAAGCCCAACTACGGTCGATAACCTTCAATGTGAAGAAGAATCATGCATTAGGAGTAAGGCTGTTTAAAGGAGAGCTTCCCCTACGCACGCTCGCGGCAATGGATCCAAAGGACATGGCCAGTGAGGAGCAGAAGAGAAAGGATGCGGCTGTCATGAAGGAGCTGGAGAAGCAACACACCATCATTGAAGATCAGGGACCCCGCATCAGACGGACACATAAGGGCGAAGAATATGTGGATGAGTCGAGACAGGTTGCCGCAGAGTCTGTAACCTCAAACGCACCCGCCAGGAAAGCAAGCGTTATAGAGGAGGAGGCAGAGCAGCCGACGAGTCCTGTTGTGAAGAGTCCCATTGCGGCGTCGGCCAATGCGGGCAAAGGAGTCACGCAGACGAACCCCAGAACCGGGGTCGACAGCTCGAGAAAAGCGTCTTCCACTAATTTCGACATTGACAAAGTGTGGTCGAACGTTCAAGGCTCCCCAGATGCTGAAGGGCAGCGCTTTGGTGAACTTTCCCAGCACTCACCAACCATGAATGTTCGAGAGCCCATGGGTCCTGGTGCTAAGGCTGATGCAGACATCGACGAATTGCTCAAGGATGAAGACGCCGAGTCTCCGCCGTACTCTCCCAAGGAATCCGGAGAGAGCGACGGTGTGGTCTGGAAAGGCGTCGTTAATGGTGGCAATTTGGGCCGGTTTCACGCGGCAGCGAAATATGCAGCTGGGGCGACTCCTGACTGTGAAACCTTGCGGATGACCTACAACCAACTCATACCGCCCGAGATCGCTATTGGCGGTCGGATCCAACCTGCCCGAGCAGACGAATACCTCTGTGGGCTAGAGTACAGCAACAGTTCGGATCTTGTTATTGTCTGGATGCCTGAGCCGCAGGACTCGCACGATGCAGAACAATTTGACAAACTCTGCCGGTATTTCAAGGCTAAAGATCGATTTGGAGTTGGAATTCAGCATCAGAACCCGGCCATCAAAGACATCTATCTCATCCCCCTAGATGTAGGGCAAGAACTCCCGACTTTCGTCAAAAAACTCGAAACGGAGTTCCCAGACCCTGCGCGCGAGCGGATGCTTCTGGTCCCGATCGTCATCAAAAACAGTGAACTGCCTCATAACATGACTGCAGCGATGGTGGACGGGGCGGTACAGAGCCCAACAGCTCGGGTCCCTATTGCACAGACACCAATCACTCCACACGAAGGCAGTTTCGAGCCACCACAATTCAGCGCGTACGAACAGTCCCCGGTGCCTGGTCAACATGGCAGCTCCAATGGCACTACTCAAATGGTGCCACCGCAGCCGTATCCACCCAATCTTACGACACAACCGCAAGCTCAGCAGTCCTTCTCGACATTAATTCCTGGCGGCCCACAATACCCTCCTCAACTGTCGGTGGCTATGGTCAACGCACAGAAACTGCTTGGACCTCTAGCGGCCAGCCCTGCCGTTGTTCAGCTGTGTTCTCAAGTGCCGGAGGCAGGCGAAAATGAGTTCAAAGTCATCAAGGAGTGCCTAGAGAAGAATCCCGAGGCGGGAAACAGCCTGGAAGTGTTGACGGGAATGCTCCAGCATTTCACTGCTCCTAAATCTAATCCTGGAACCGACGGCGGTGGAGGAAAATAGGGATGAAGATTGAAGTCAGCCCGCGATACGCAAAAGGTCTGTTACAACTCGTCGTGAGGTTGGATATTTGCTATTTTCAAGGGAGCGATGGTGCTTGTTGATGTACAGGGTATCTTCCAAGAGAAAGGTAAGAGCGAAGGGGCGAGAACAAAGCAAGGGCTGGAGGCACAGAATTCACGAATCTGATGTCAATAATGACATGAACTGGAGGACGACGGCGCATGAGTGTGGTCCGGCATGGCTGTCCATTCGCTTGTCTGTATTGTGAGAGTACGTAGTGAACTGTGTGACCACAGCGCTGGCTGGCTAGAATCTTCTTGTTGTGGCATCTGGCATCAGCATTAAGCCGGGCGCGGGATGGAGGAACAGGCAGCCTTGTCAAGCCCTCTTATCTCGTCAATGAGTCTGATTCCGGTGCTGTGGTTTCTCCTGCCAATTGAACCAATGCGACTCGGTCCTGGTAATTGCTATGCTCTGTCGACGAATCGTATCTGTCCGAAGTAGCATCACTGCGTCTCTAGAAACGTCCTAACCAGCTCATCTCGCCTCCTTTCGTCGAGTGTATAAAATCTCAGATCCCGCAATACATTGTCCGGCAAGTGTCGCAAGTCCATATCTCTCTGCAACGTTGCCTTGTCCGCCCCTTTTAGTAACGCAACCAGGTCCTTACGTCTCTCTGCCTCGCCTGTCTTCAGTTTCGCGACAAACTCGCGATACAGCTTCTCTCTGTCTTTCTCCTGCATGGCCACGTCGCGCAACTCCGGTTCTTTTTTGAATTTGCGCTTGAACTCCGGCCAGTAGAGCTTCGGCGTGGCATGGCGCTGCAGAAAATGCAGGTATTCGACTTTCGGGTCGCGAGTCTTTTTCTCGGACTCCTTGCGCGCCTGCAACTCCACGATACGGTCTTTCGACCATGCGACAAACGCTTCTTTGCGGCTCGTGGTGTTCGGTAGCGCTACCCAGCGAGTGTCCTCGACAATGGAAAGGTCCTCAATCAGCTTCTCGAACGTCGAGTAAGGTGAGATGCCGCAATCATCGAGCAGAGAGCGGAAAAGCGCAATGTTGTCACTCGCTGTGAGCGGGAGGCCGTCATCCTCGTCCTCTTCTTTGTCGTTTAAATCTTGCGCACCGTCACCGTAGTCTTCCTCCATCTGGGCCAGCTGCCAAGCTATATCGTCTTCGTCGAATTCGACGGGTCCGGCTGCTGGTGGAGCAGGCGTTCCCTCGTCCTGAGAGAGGCGAGGCCGCTTCGGCAGTCCGGGGCCCTCTTCATCCTCTGGCGCCTCGTCGTCGGTGACCTCCACCTCCTCATACGAGTCACTGTCATAGTCTTCTTGCCTACTGACGGGAGCAGGGGGCTCCCGTGCGGCAGGACTTGCGGGTGTTGCGGAAGCAGCTGCGCTGTCACGGCCTTGTGGCTGCACTTTAGCTTCGTCCTGTGGGATTTCACTTTCGCGAGGCTGGCTTTCGGCAAATTTCTTCGCCTCCCACTCCAGTCTGTCCATCTCGATCACCGCCATCATGACGTCCTGGGGAAATTTCCACAGACTTTGTTTCGTCTCGGTATTGTGCACAAACCTCCTTCCCAGCTTCGTCATGACGAGCACCCACGGCGTGCAATTGGGGATTGTTGCCTTCGACTTCGGACGGTCGCCCTGGTTTCCTCGGCGGCGAGAATGGTCCTGGTAGCTTTTCCCGCCAGTAAACCGACCTGGCTCTGGTGTTGCGCCGTTGTTCTGGTGGAATGATTCCATGGCCTGCATGGATGCGCGAAGCACATGATCGGGTTCCGTCGCGCCATAGTCAATCTGCAAAGGCTCATCGGAGGGAGCAGTGGGACGAGTGTAGGTGGATTGTTTCGTCTCAGCATTGTAGTAGTACGTGTGGCCGCTTGGGGCTTTGTGTTCGCTCCAACCTCGCGGAAGAGGCGATTCCACCGCGGACGGGATATTGCGGTGATGTGTAGATTTCAACATCGTCACCGAACTGAGCGATATGGACGGCCTCGCAGCCAGTTGCAGTGGTAACGAGACGAAGAATCAACTGCCACTGCAGGTCAAGTTTGGTGCCGGTGCCAACCTGAGAGAAATCCTTTGGCGGATGCTGATTGGCTGAATGCACCGGACGACGCGTGAAGGCCGTGCCTGGACTGAAGTGCAGTGCTTCCCTCCGCATCCAGTCTATTGTATCTTCGACCATAGTCTCCCTTTCCTCGCTACTTCTCATCTGCTCAATCTCCCCAATACAACAAATCTCTTGTGGGTCTCAGCAGCCATGTCTCGCAGATACGATTCAAGGGTAAGTTGGGCCCCAGCTGCTGCTAGATTTGATCAACTGCTGAACAGATGTCTATAGACAACCATCTTCTCTCCCGAAGGCCGGTTATATCAGGTCGAATACGCTCTAGAAGCCATTTCGCATGCCGGCACAGCTCTGGGTATCTTAGCACAGGATGGCATCGTTCTGGCAGCCGAGCGAAAAGTCACGAGCAAACTACTAGAGCAAGATACTTCGGCAGAGAAGCTCTACATTCTGAATGAGTGCGTTTTCCCTTCCCCCCGGAGTACGAAGCAAGTGGTGTTGTTACACATGGTACTGCAGGAGTTAACATATTCTCTGTCTAGCAACATGATCTGCGCCGTCGCAGGCATGACGGCCGACGCCAACATCCTGATTAATTACGCCCGACAGGCTGCTCAACGGTATCTGTTGACATACAATGAAGATATCCCCTGCGAACAATTGGTGCGGCGGCTCTGCGATCTGAAGCAAGGCTACACACAACATGGCGGTCTACGACCGTTTGGCGTCTCATTCATCTACGCCGGCTGGGACCCTCAGCGCCAGTTTCAATTATACCAAAGCAATCCTTCGGGGAACTATGGCGGGTGGAAGGCCACGAGTGTCGGGGCGAACAATGCCAGTGCGCAAAGCCTGCTCAAGCAGGACTATAAAGAAGATTGTGACTTGAAGGAAGCTTGTGGGATGGCGGTCAAGGTGTTGAGTAAGACAATGGACTCGACCAAGTTGAGCAGTGAGAAGAGTAAGTCGTGCAACAACTTGTATGGGGATAGCAGACGGACATGAGCTAACACATTGGTGCAAACAGTCGAATTCGCGACAGTGGGCAAAACGAAAGACGGCAAGATCTACCACCACCTGTGGTCCGGGGATGAAATCATGGCACTGCTAAAGGAGCACGGTCTGGCCAAGGAAGAGGAGCCTGAGACTGGTTAGAGCATGCCTGGTAACTACAACCAAGCCTTTGGACCAGGGAGGTGTTCGATGTCTCTTGGTAAGGACAAATCAGATGGGGTTTGAGAGAACGAGGGCACTGGGCCCTTTGAACTGTAAATCAGACAAGGCAAAAGCCAAGGCAAGGCATAGCACCGGCGTTTACGGTTGCACGGTTGCACAGCTGGAGAGAAGACTGGAATCGAAAAGACTTCAGAACCTGCACGGGTCATGTTCTCTATTGGAGCTAATTTTCAATGCTGGGCTCGAGTTCCTTGACGCTGACGCCTATCTGTCTCATCCACAGCGGTGGTCTAGCAGGGAATGCGTGTGACCTTCACTCCGGAATTCAGGGATTGTCTGGGAACAGCATTGTTCGACCATCCCAGCCTACTTTCTGACATATGCCGGCCTCCATCTCAGCCTAATTAGTGTTCGATGCCCGATCCCTCCCGAAGTCCTGTGTTCTTCAGCATGTTTGACACATGCCTACTTCCACGCAGGCTTGTTGATATCAGGTTCGACTATTCCCATAGATAGTACAGGCCAGTGAGAAAGAAGGCTGCCCAAGAAAAAACATGCCACTCGGTCACTCGGTGACCCAATCACTCACATTCCTGACGTCTGCGTCGATGCATTTATTCCCTAGTGCCTTCACTAGCTGTATCGCCGAGAGATCATAGGAAGACTAGGATGTACAGGATACACGAGTACCAAAGAATATGGGAGCCTGGCGACACCGTGATCTACCCACCCACACAAGGCAGAGAGGACTCGGGATTAGAACCACAGTTCAAACGGACACCTATGTCCATACCCATGGCTATGTCAGAGTGCCAATGTCAATGTCTGGTGATGTCCACTCCCACATCCATGTGTATGTGTCCTGTCTCTTCTGGTATCCCGTCTTCTGCGCTGAGTATTCTGTGTCATACCTAGACGGCAACGTCATCGTCACGGAGCAAGTTGTGACTGGTGCTGGGTGCCTGATGTCTGTGGGACAGTAGTCACAGTCAATCAGTAAAAGTCTCGGCCCCCAGAACTCAGGAAGCCCAGACGTCACCCACACGGAACGGAAACATGGGGCCAGAACCAAAAAACAGAGACAGGGACAGGGACAGGGACAGGGACAGGGACAGGGACAGGCACGCAGGCACGCGCGCATTTGTAGAGAGGGTGTGCGGCAATTTCGATTTTTGTTGTTCTGCCTTGCCCTGCGACGAGGAAAAGTGAGAGAGCCGGGGGCGAGAGTCAGCCATGATCGGCTCAGGTCAGTTCGGTTCGATTTGATTCAGCTGGACAAGGAACACGACCACGGACACGAACACGAACATGAAGTTGAGCCCCTGTCACTTGGACAGCAGCCGCTCGAGCAAGGGTTGAACAGGTGCGCAATCTGTACTCGTATCTTTGGTATCTTCCATCTTGGCATTACGTTGGTGCAAACTATCCCTGTAAAGACGTTGCTCCAAACATTCCAATCTACCTGTATTGATACAGTCTCTCGATGCCAGCAACGAAGAGTGACATCTGGAAGTCTGAAACAACATTGTGGTCCAATCACCTCGAAGAGTAAGAGCGCCTACCCTCCCTCGTTTCTTGTTGCTTTGGCTATGTCTGTTCTTCCGCCGGCGCTACCTTGACATATTCCCAAGCGATTTCATCTCTTCCTGATACCTGATACCGTAAATCGACAACCCTTGCCATCGTATCAGTCGCCGTCATGGCCCAAGTCGAAAATCCGGCCGAGGCCGAAGCGAATGGAATAAGAGTGCTTGATCCCAAGGGGGGACCTGTTGCTCGATGTAGGGCCACATCAGCTCCTGGTATCCTCGCGAGTCCTCGAGTTATCCTGCCCTTTCTTCAAAAAGATGCTGCAATCGAACGCCTTCCTAGAAGGCATCGAACAACCCAATCCTCACCAGCCACCTGTCAAGGAAGTGGATGAAGAGCATCCGGACACCTTCTACTCGATCTGTCGCGTTCTCCACTACCTTCCAGTCCAGGCACCAAAGTCTATCGGTGACTACAAACCCCTAGCGGACTTGTGCAACTTTTACGGCTGTAGCTTGGCTTTGTCTTTTCATGTCAGGGCTTGGATGGGAAATTGGGAATGGTCAAGTCTTTCTGCCGACGACCTCCAAACGTTTCTGTGGGTCGCGTTCGTCTTCCATCTGCGTGATGAGTTTTGGCGTCTCAGCCTCCATTTGGCAGAAGCCTTGACACCCAGCGAATGGAGGGCATGGGAAGTGCATCCCATGCCTGCCCGATTGAAAGGTATGCATCGCCAAGGGAGATGAGATGTTGTACCTGTCAGTTTTGCTTGCCACTAATCCAGTTCCTTCCATTTACAGACGACATGAGAGACCTTTGCGAGATTATCAAGAACTCGTTGCAACATCGGATTGAAAATACCATCGATGATGTCGGCGGGAATGGTGAAAGGCACGTCAGCAAACGCGATAAGATCTGCCGGCGTTGTTTTCGCACCAAGCCTTTGGCAACCAAAAAATGTGGTAACTGCGGATCCAGCGAGTTTGATGATTACGTTTGCACGAAGGAGGTCCGCCTATCACTCTTTCAAGAATGGCTCAGGCTGCATGGACTCTGGCCTCTAAGTCGGCTCCGTGGGTTAAGTTGCCGGGGATTTTTGGCAAGTATGCCTTCCTCCATGGACTCCCGGACCCCCTGCGGATATGACGACTCTTGCCCTTTGACGGGAGTAAAGGTGCAACTGATTTTAGATCTAAAAAAGATCCCAAGTCTCGTTGATCGCTTGAACCTCGAAGACTACGACCCTGCATGCCTCGATGAGGAATATGAGACGGAGTCTCTGGAGTTTTCAAGGACCTGAATTGGAGACTGCGCAATCGCGATGCACGAAAAGGAAAGCGGAAATGGGTGTTAGATCCGAAATTGTCACATTGATCGTCGGCTCTGCGTGGATTACGGTGCGCTCGAGGATTAAGAGATATAAATAGCTTCAACTTAAGCCACAGCCACTTAAGGCATTTTACTTTCGATAGGGCTAGAGTGTAAGCCAGAGCCTCGATCTAGACACTAGAATACCAGCCTTAGGGTAGGTGCCAGAATTAAAGACGGTTTATCTTACTACGACTTCGATAAGATTAAAGAGACCCTCTAGCTCTACCGGATAATTATCTTTCTAAGATACTTAATATACTCTACGGCCTCTCTAGAGTAATTCTCCTATTTCTAGTATTGAAATTCTATATCTAGAGATAGTACTCCGTAGCTATCTACTTAATAGAAGGACCGCCGTATAATCCGCTATATATCTTAGCACCTAGGCTTAGCCCCCTGTCACTTAGACAGCAGCCGCTCGAGTAAGGAACGAATAGGTGCGCAATCTATATGTTTAGTGTCTTCTATCTTGGCGCGACAAGGAAAGTTCTTGGGCCTATGGAGTACTTTCTTATCCTGTACGAGTACAACCGTCTTTCATCATCTTCTCATCTACAACCGCCTTTCATCTTCTCCTGCCGTACACACTTGGTCTCTTATATTCTTCGCTCATACGTCTTGTCTTTCACCCATGGCAGCCCCCCATCAACCTGCACATGGACTTCCTCTCGGCCCATAGCCGAATATCCCAGTCCTCGAACAAGCCTTCCACCATGCCGGAGTAGAGCTAGGCAGACTGGCAAACATCCCAGCTCTCGCCCAAGGCGATGAAATCATCAACCGTCTTGACCAGATGCAGAACCAGATACAAAACCAGCTGCAACAGATCGTTCAAATGCAACAGCGGATGTTTCAGGTCCAGCAGCAAATGCAGCGCCAGATGGATCAAAATTTCGCCAACGTCCACACCACTCAACGTGCTAGGTAAGTGAATCCCTTATAGTGACGTCTCGATTAGCTGCTAACTGGTGAAATTTGTACAGCGAATTTAATTCCATCGCCAGACTGCAGAACTCTGCTGCAAAGCACCAAGGGTCTACTCTTACTGCACTTCATGACACGTTCACGAATCTTGTTATTCCTGGCTTCCCACAGACTTGCGCCGCCCTTGCCGCTCTGGACGAAGCCCAAATTGACGCCATCTTGACCGCCCTCGGACTGGATCTCCTAGGTACTCTGGCCGAACGTCGATCTCTCCTCGAATTTTTCATTGGGGTTCCAGACACATAGGGGCTCCCCATGATGGAGTGGTTGGTCGAAGGGAACAGCCACAACCATCCCCACGATCATTTTAGTTGTTGCTTGCAATGACTTCTCAACACGGACTTGGCAGACCTTGCTTCCAAGCTCGGTTCTTGCACAAAGAATTACGACGATATGGGCCCAGGCTTGCTGTATGGCACTAAGGCTTATGACTTATGAACATCAAAGATGAAGAAGACGGCGATGACACGCACTCTACTGTATCTTAGATTGTATGAGTATAGAACGCATCAAAGATGCAAGGGATGATCTTGATCGTCGGCTTTGCGTGAAGTACTGTACGCTCGAGGATCAAGAGATATAGCTTCAGCTTGAGCCACAGCCACTCAAGGCATTTTGCTTTCGACAGGGCCAGAGCATGAGCCAGAGCCTCGACCCAGACACTAGAATGCCAGCCCTCTCAGCCTGGAACCTAGCCCAGATGCTGCTGCCATGCACCGCGAAAGGGGTATGAGGGTCAGGGTTTCTTAGCCGACGTTTCGAGCATGACAGGTCATGCCTGAGGGAACAGGGTCCGAGGCTGGGCATTCCATTCCGACTTCCGAACATGGACATGACGGCATTTCACCTCCAGTAGGGGGGGGGTGCGATGTCTTTCATTGCCACAAATGTACTCCGTAGTGTTGGGGTTACTGTCTCTCCAGACTCCAGGCGGAAAGATCAACCTTTCCTTAAGGAAATTGTAAGGGATCCAGGATCCAGAATGGTGGGGTGCGGTTTGAATCTGAGCCCTGAGCCCTGAATCCCGTACAGCAAGTTGACCAAACTTACCTAGTGCTCGAGTGCACGGATAGTATCGTAGGAAATTACAGTACATACATACCTAACGTGCACACCCACCCACACCCACCCCCAGCCTAAGCCCCTCCAGGAGTCTCAGCCTCGCGCTCAGCCTCGATTCAGGCCACCCCATCCGCCCAAATCCTCATGTCGTGCAGTGGTCAGTGGTCAGATTCGTGATTCTAATTACCGTACGGAGTATTACAAAAACATAATTACCAGCACCTGCCTACCTGTGGTGCCTGTGGTGCCTGTGCCTGCACCCTGTCTTGCCCGTCTGTCTTGTCTTGTCCTGTCCTGTCCTGTCCCGTCTTGTCTTGTCTTGTCTTGTCGCGCCCGTGAACTCCCCCTCCCTTCCTTCCCCTTCCATGACTGTCGCCACGACGGCCGCAAATCTACCCGTACAGCAAATCATCTGTGCGTGTATCCGTACATGGATTGTAGTTTCAGTTGTCTCGAAATCGGAAAATATCCCTATTCAGTACTGGATTCTCATTTCCTATCTAAGATACCTAGTAGTTCCGAGCCGAGCCTTAGCCTTGCATTCATTGTTTTTGGGGTTTGTTTTGGACGTGTTTTTGTGAACCCCCAGCCAAAAATACACAGCCAAGCCAAGCAAGCAAGCAAGCAAGCAAACAAGCAATATGCATGCATCCAAGACAGACTTAGACTTGCCGACTGACAAGGAGTAAAAGAGACATGCCAGATCCTCCCTTCCATCATCTATAGAGAACATTGCAATCAAAGCCTAGATATAGGTAACCTCGAGTTCTACCTCGCCTTGCCCGCTCTCGATCGTGTCCTTCAACCATAGCCCGTACTCGGCTGGACTGCTGCAAGTCGAGCTCCCCTTTTGCATCGGATCATTGCTGGACCATCCATGGTATAGAGAATGTCGTTTGGAGGCTTTTCGAGGGCTGTTCCAGGTCGAGCATCCTCTGGGATGCTAGACCGTCCCCATGGTATCCGTACATGTGTTATGCTGTTTGTCGACATCATTATGGTACATTCAACTCATTCCCGCTCTCGTAAAAAGTCATATGTGGTATGGATCAACAACGCCGGGCCCTGTCACCGTCGCACATGCCGTCGTGGAGGCTCGGCCACAATGACAATTGGTTGCTCTTCGTACCGTCGCCGTTGTCGCTTTTCTTGTTCATCTCTCTCGTACAGACTTCCTTTTCTCTCCATATAGCTGAGAGGTCTTGCTCGGCGTTCGGGTCTGTATTGTTCGTCAACCCTGTCCCGGTAGACCTGCTCTCTTCTTTCACGGCGGGCGGTGGAGGGGGTGATCTCGACCATCTCAACGTCACCCTGGCGGTAACGTCTTTCTCTCGGCTGATCCTCGACATGATATTCCTTTCTTCGCTCTGTCCGGGGAGAATAGGAGGAGGGCCGCTCGGTCTTGTCGGCTCTCTCTAACCTTTCTCTCTCGAATGTGGGCGTAACCACCACCGGTTTGGAGGCTCTGAGGGTCATACCTCGGTCGAAAGCCTTGACGAGGCTGCTGATGACTTCACAACCAAAAGGGATTTCGATCTGGACACGGTCTCCTCTCTTGCGGTCAATTACCGAAAACGGCTTGCCGCCCTTAGAGTAGATATAGTTGGCAACATCTATGGCATAGGCGTTTCCCCGGTCGCAGAGAGGAGTGTCCTGCTTGTACGCCAGGTAAGGGTCCTTGCAGATGTTGCACTTGGAGGCATGTCTAGCGAAGTGCTCCATGACAGACTGCTCGTCGTCCTTCGCCGGACGGATGGAAGTCACCTCCGTGGCGAAGCCGACGACGCGCTGGGCGGTGGCACCTCGCGCCATCGTCTCGATTGGGGTTGACGGGGAGCTGTTGATGGGGGTGGAAGTGTTTGAATGGACCAAGGGTGGGATGGGAAGAGGAGTGTAGGATCTTGTTGGCGCACGGGTGATGGTGATATACTCGAAGGCGGGAGTCAATGGATCCGAGGCGCGAGGCCTCTTGGGATAGTAGTAGTAGGTGACGGAGCGTGGATTCGACAGCGTGACGACTTGTTGCGAGACGAGAATTGGTGTATAGGCAGCCCCGATGAACTGCGAGGGGGACGCTTGGGCAATGGGGGTCAATGAGGGTGGGAGCAAGACTGATTGAGCACTTGGAAGAACTGTCTTGATATACAATGTGAGTGAAGGAAAGAGAAGGAATCAATGGACAGAGAGGGGGGATTTGCGAGGAGTTATAGCCTTGAGATGGGAGGAGGCCAATGGAGTGTAGGACACAACGGTGCGTTTGCTGTGAATGGAGGGAGCTTTGGTTGGAGGGGGATTTTGGTTGGATGCCTGGACCAGGGACAGATTCATTATACTCGAACAGGAAGGGCGATGACGGCAATGGGACCAAATCGCCAGGCTGCCATGGGCCGTGAGAAGCGTGCGATGACTGGAAACTGGAAACGGGCCGGGGTGAGTCAGAGAATGGAAGAGAAGTGGACAGGCAGTGCTGCACCGGCGCCCTGGATGCCCCGAGGGGAGTGGACACGGATGACTGACGCCGACCGGGACCATGTGGCCAGCGTGTATCAGTGTATCGTGTGTGTAGTACGTATGTGTAGGAAAGTATGTTTGCAAAGGAAGAGAAGAGCAAAATGGGGCCAAAAGAGGAGATGGTGAGGGTGAGGGTGGTAGTGTGGTAGTGTAGATAGCTGTGCTAGGGCCAGAGTGTACGGTTGTAGCAGACTCGAGGGGAAGGGTCGAAGGTGGAGGGTCGAGGGTGGCAGTGACCAACTCTAACATCGACTGCGCCCCAATGGGAGCGGTTTAGAGAGGGAGCTAGAGGGCAAACCCGCCGCGGGGCAGACAGGCCGACGCATATCTGGTTGGCTGTCTGCCTCACCGGTCGAGACAGGCACCTACCACCACCTACAGGTGCTGGAGGCTCTAGGCTCCTGTAGTGCCGAGTTCTGCAGTAGCCTCCTTAGCCTAAGCCCGAAGCCTAAGCCTTACAAGTCGCCCTGCAGGGTGCGAGTTTAAGTTGTTGGCTGAGGCTGCGCCACCACTGGCTCTGTCTCTGTCCGACTGATACTCTAGGTACGGAGTACGAAGTACGGATACTCGGTGCCTAGTACCTATTAGTATTAGTATTAGGTACAATGCTCATGTACCTTGAACTTCTAACGCACTACAAAACTACCGCTCCGCCAGATTCCCCGGTACTTCAGAGAAAGGTCCTACAAAAGTCCCCTTCGGCTACACTGACGTATGTCGTATGGCGCATTGTAGGTAGGTAGCTAGGTAGGTACCTAGTACTCAGTACCACCTAAGTACTTACCTACCTCCCGATGTAGGACATCATCTGATCCTGAGGGATGCCTTTCCCTCCACCCTCCTCTTCTAACCGATGTCACTCCTGCCACTATCCCACTCCCACTCCCCGCCCAGTCGTGGTGGGCTTAGGAGGCTTCATCGATCCGTCATCGGGTCCCACATCCCGGCACTACATTGCAGCCTTGCGATCCATCCTCTGGCTCTCCGAGACTCCCCTTCGACAAAGAGTACGGCTGCGACTTGACATGAACGGTGACTTCTTGTGCCTGTGTGTATACCTGAGCGCCTTGCTGTACAACACTGCCGTGTCGTGATCACTAAACAGAGGCTGTCTACTCGCACACACACCCGCCGCAGGTTTAGGTTCTGTGCTGCTGTAGCCCCATCGGAGCAAACAAACAACAAGCCGGCAATCGAGACACGATACTACCGTCCCCAGGCTTTGAGCCATCAAGGCTCTCGTGAGAACTCGGTTCTGTGCTACTAGTATACGGAGGAACACGAGACACCCTTAACAAAACCACTCCTCATTTGTCCCCTTCGCTCACTGCAACCACAATCTTGCCCCGTGCGTGGTTTGTTTTGAGCTTTTCGAACGCTTTGGGGGCATCATCCATCCGAAACACCTCATCCGATACCGCCTTGACCTTTCCTTCATGCATCCACTTCCCAATCTCTTCCAGCTGGGTAGCGTCTCCGGAGACGGCCAAAAATTGATATCTGCGCTTCCCACCACCCAGAAACCCCGGCCAGACGGACCGGCTCACCAGCTTGAGCACAGCCTGCCATGACACCTCCATCCCCACTTGCACGTATTTCGCCTCGGGCGTCGTGAACTCATGACAGTGCTGGTACAGTGTGTCGTGCGAGCCAACGTTGTCCACAATCAGATCAAACCTGCCTTGGTTCGCTTCTGAGGTGGACAACGCCTTCTTCCTCAAGACCTCGACAATGTCCTCGCTCGTGTAATCAAGCACCTCGTCCGCCCCCAGCGACTTGCACAGCTCGACATTGCGTCCGGAACAGCTCGTGACCACATAGCACCCCACTGCCTTTGCAATCTGAATGCCCCAGACACCCGTGCCACCGCTTCCACCATTGATAAACACTCTAGTGCCCTGCCCTCTTGTCACATTCGGTATGATGCATTGATAAGCCGTGAGCCCTGCAGTGCCTACACATGCGGCGTCCTGGGCGCTGACGCCCTCTGGCAACACTGCGAGCGCTTGCTTCCGTGCCACCGTATACTCGGCCAGGGTGCCAAACTGCCCGGGTGCGTCGAGGCGGCCAAAGACTAGCGTCGATGTTGCTAGCTCGCCTCCTCCCGGGGCTGCCACCCGTCCCGCGAAATCTAACCCCGGCGAAGCGGGTTTCTTGATCATCAGACGCCCGACCACAGGCAACTCGGCGAACTTGTAGTCTACCGGGTTTAGAGACGTCGCGAGAATTTGTACCAGCACTCTATCCTGGCCGAGCGTTTTGGCGTCGTGGGGTGGGAGCGCCGCCGCCGTGTTCAAGGTCAGATTCCTCTCCAATCCTCCGTGGGTTTGGGTGTACTGCCAGGCGCGCATCGTCGATGGCACTTGTGGAGACGCCATTTCGTAGAGGTTTCAACAAGCCAAAGACTCTAGGTGAAATAGGCGCTATGTCCTCGGCGTCCAGGATCACCTGGTTTGCAGGTAGTCAGAGGCCCGGATGGTGGTCGTTGGAGTCACAGGAATGCAACTCTGTACCGAGGATCAGTGAGTGCGTGTTGTAGGAGAGAGGCCAGTTCTACAAACCAATATTGGGTTGCTGGCCGAATCAAGTCATGGACTCATGGGAAATGTAGCTTCAAGACACCACCTCACAGCATGATGATGCCTAGCCGCTGTCGTTGGATATGGGTGTAGTAGTACCACCAATATTTAGTGGCATGCCATTCTAGTTCAAGTCACCGAAGTCTGTTGCCTCTGTGTCGTCACCACCCACCATCCACAAATGTTTGGCGGCTTGGTCACACTCTCTTTCTTTCCTACCGAGGTACTCTTCATGGTAGGCTAGAAATCGTTCCTCGATATGAGCGGATGATGTCAAGGAATATAAATGTCTTTCTAAGCGGAATCGGAATCCCATTCAATTCCAGCAAGGTCAATGCCAATGCAAATGCCAATGCCAGCCACAGTAACAATACAAATCCGATGCATACAGAAGCGACCAGCTGGTGACTCAGAATGTAACCATGAAAACATGAAAATTCTTGTTCCATCATTCTGACTCTTCTTCAAGCCCTTTTCGCAAGCAATGCCGCACACTCGTTGATCATGCCGTCGACATCGGAGTTATTCAGATATCTTTCCGTGTAGTCGCATAACTTGGGCATCTTTAAGTAATCGCTCAGGTCAATCTCTTCTTTCTCAGTGGGTGCGTTGAATCGGAAATAGCCTGTAGGCCGGTCTGGGCGTCGCCGGTTGCGCTGGCGCATGTTCCGCTCGAAATCGCGGTGCTTTGCCTCGGTGTTGGTTACGAAGGCGACGGTCTTGGACACAGTGTTGAAGAATCCAGAGATACTTCGGCCGCGTGGTTTCTTGTTGGGATTGTAGTCCGGATGAGTGGTGCCCAAGCTCACAATGCATCTGATGTGTGGAGACTGACATTCTCGGGCAACCAGATCATATCTGTTGTCCCAGACCTGGTCAATCGGATTATTGTTGAGCAGTCCACCGTCCCAAAAATTCAGCCCCTGGATGTTGACTTGCTTGAGGTACGTTGGTGCAGCTGATGTTGCCCGTGCGGCATCTTTGATGCTGATGGTGTTGAAGTTGAGGTCCTTAGCCCCGGCAGACACAGGAAGAGGCGCAAATGGAGGATCGTAGTTCCGCAGGAGAATGCTCTCTCCTTTGTCGGCGAGCGTGGCACACATGAACCTGTAAGATCAGCAACGAAGTGAGCCATTATTCAACGCTTTTGCATGCTCACATTTGACCTCGGTTCTTTTTAATGAGCACCGCATCCCCTTTTCTGGCCTTGTCATCGTCATCTAGAGGAAACGCTCCCACAACCGTGTCGATGGCCTTTTCCAGCGGCTGGTGAGAGAATTGGGATTGGCCGGTCAGCATCTTGAACTTGATCCAAAGGTCCCCGACAAGCTTTCCGAAACGACCAAGTCGATACAGAGAGAGCCGACCTATCCTGGGACTGAAGACCTGTTTGGCCAGGATGTGATATTGTGCAATGACTTCGCTGCATTTCATGTTTAGGCGAAACAGCATGAGCGCGATGAGTCCCCCAGTACTTGTGCCTGCTGCAAGATCGAAATAATCCACAGGTCTTCGTTCTTCTGGGTTGATAGCTTTGTCCTCCTGGGCCACTGTCCCGTTCTCGATCTCACGAACCCTGTCCATGATTTTTTTGAGTATAATCATGCTCGAGATCCCTTTGACACCGCCACCGTCGATTGACAATAGGTTGTATGACTCTTCAGTTCCTGTCTCATGGAGAGGCAGTCTCGATGTATCTTCGCTGGCTGACATACTTGTTCTTGACCGCACCAGATGCGCCACAGAGCCTTGGAAGAAGCGTTCCCGCTCACACCCTAATGTCTTTTAGGACGAGGATGTCGTCGTGTAATGCTTGACCAGGAAATCGTGTAGATGTTCAAAGATTATGAGGGTGGCTCTTCTGCTCAATGGCCGGCTTTCCAGATCCCGCTTCTTGTTTGGACTGTGGTAGTCAAAGTTACATAGTCTGGGCTGCGCGGGCGCCAGGAGGCATTGGGATGGCCGCAGGATTGGTTGGAGGCGTTGGTACTGTTTGTAAGTGAAGTGCGAGGGGCAGGTCTCGGCCGGTATGCAATGAAGAGCGGAGTGTGTGCTGTCTGACCATAATCAAGAAAGTGGTATCGGAGAGCTGCAGAGACGAGACAGAACCCTCTCATGAGATAGGCTAGCAACAGGGAGGCTGCGGTGGTTGCCTGAATCAGAGGTGTTCAAACCTGCGAATCACTCTTTCGTGCTCACTAGTCTTGTGTCTCTCGTATTTGTCTGTGACGGAAAGTGGCAGGACTGAGATGGGTGCAAGCCGCATGCAGACAAACGGTGTGGTTTTGGCCATTGGATTCAGACACACCGATTCGACAACAAACATTCCTATTCCGTTCTCGCTGTATCCAAGGCTGCTAGTTCAGAGTCCAGAATTCAGGATTTGAAAGAAACACGAGCTACTTGCTCGTCCTCCATCCATCTCACCGACTTTCGAGGAAAGCTCCGTCCAGCTTGCCGTCCAGCAAGGCTTCCATGTCAACCGTCCCACCGGCCAGATATCTCTCACTCACCCCTAGATTGATTCTTTTGCCCAACAGACTCGCCAATTCGGCTCGCCATTGGACAATCTGCTCTTTCTCCACTGCTCCTTTCTCTTTGTCTTTCGCTGCTTTCCCACCACCTCTGCCTCGTTTGTATTTCTGACCTTGACTTTCGAATTCCTCGCTGTCATAATCCACCCCGAGCTCCTCTGCCGCCGACTTCAGCCAATCGTCCTTGCTAGCTGCTTTCTCCTTGGCCTGAGTAGCACCGGTGATCTTCTGAGCCAAACTCACTCGATCTTGAAGCCGTGTCAACAACCGGCCATCTACCTCCATCATCGCCGGCGCTTTGTCTGTCTTATGCACTTCGATAATCAGCCTTGCTACGCCTGCCACCTCCTCGGGAGAGCAAAGTAGAATTGACCGTCCGGAGTTTTCGGCACGGGCAGTTCTTCCGGACCGATGCACGTACATGTCCGCAGTTCGCGGGACATGGTAGTGAATGATCAATTCAACGCCTTTGATGTCTAAACCCCTTGCGGCAACATCCGTAGCAACTAGCACGGTCCGCTGAGATGCAAATTTCTCCAATGAGCGCAATCGCGATTTCTGAGGCATGGTAGAATGTAATCCTGTCGCTGGCTGTTTCAGGTTCTGCAGCAAAGAGGTCAATCTTCTGACAGCAGAGATACTGTTCGTGAAGACCAATGTCTTCGCAGTAACATTCTGCAGAAGCAAGGCGTAAAGATAGAGGTCCTTCTTCATCGCTCCACATTCCACAATAGACTCAGACAAGGCTGAGGCCATTTGAGATGCAGGGTTGACATCGATGAAAGTGGGTCTCGGTTCTCGGAATGAGAGCTTTTGAAGGAGGTACTCCATCGACTGTTGATTGCTGAGAAGTTCGGTGTCGTTTCGCCATTGTGACGATTTCATTTTCACGGCCAGTTTTCGTTGCAGACCTTTGTGAAAGGTAGCCGAGAAGACAAGCGTCTGTCGCTGAGACTTCGGTGACTCCTTAGATGCCCCTTCGATGCTGTCTTCGTCTTCGTCAAGCACTTCCCTGTCCAACGCATCCAGAATATTTTCCACCTCTTTAAAGTGCCCTTCACTAAGTAGACGGTCCGCCTCGTCTACAGCCAAGAATTTGATTTTCTTGAGCCGGTCCATCAAGCTACTTGTTTCTTGATCAGTAGTCGCATCATTCATCACTTCCCAGAGTCGACCAGGCGTCGCAACCACAATATCTGCAGACACCAATTGCCGCTGCTGTTTGTATACGGACAGTCCACCAGTGACAGCGCAAACTCTAGGGTGATTCTCCAACCCGATACAAAGCTCGTTCAGGTGTCTATTCAGCTGAAGCGCAAGCTCTCTTGTTGGTGCTAGGATGAGGGCTAGGATGGAATCTTTGACCTTTGCTGGGCCATTGACTGCAAAATGCTCCGTTGCTAGCCAAGACTCAAAAATGGGGATTCCAAACGCCAATGTTTTGCCCGAGCCTGTCACGGCTTTCCCGATTACATCGTGGCCCTGGAGAATTGCCGGTATAGCTGCCTTTTGAATTGGTGTTGGATTTGAGAATCCCTGCCGAGCAAGCTGTGATAGCGTCGTGGGCGATAGTCCGAGATCCTTCCATGCCGACACGTCTGTCCTAGGATCTTCTGGTGACTCTGAGAGTACATCAAAACTTAGCGTATCATTGAGCTTATCCTTCTCCTGGGACTTCGACGAGTGCACAACTCTGGCTGCAGTCGGTTTTGAAGATTTTGAAGCCGAAGGAGCAGTAACAGTGGTTTTTGTTGCTTCTGCATGCTCGGGACGCTCACCCTCGTCCTCAAACCCATGCCATTCGTCGAGGACAGTGGGATCGTGATGTTTCTCGCCCAGCGTTGAGGCTGATTTTGGCCGGAGGATCACTTGATGGCCAGTCGTGTCTCGAACTACTTCAACATCTTCAATCTCCTCAAGTTCATAGAACCCCTCCGCGTCCTCCAGCCTCCCTGGCAGAGGGACAGGCCTCCATTTTAACGCATCAAGATGAAAGGGTTGACATCCAGTCTCAGGGCTTAGCGTGGATTGAGGCGGCTTCTGTTTTTTCCGTGGCTGTTGACTCTTTGCAGCCAGTTTCCGCTTGGCATTCTTCGACATTCGGAATCTAGTGTGACGGTCGTAATTCGAAGGTGGCAGAGCCTGTACTGATCCTGAAAAAAAGTCTGGAAGCGGCGGAGATAAACTTGGAGGATTAAGGATAATTCCGTAGCGCAGCCCTTGGCGACTACTACAGTAAGTACTATCACTGCAGCTCTTTGCACTCCGCCGTAGCAGTCTAAGCAGCAACCCTTCGATCTCCGGTGATACTTTAAACAATTGGGCGCAAAATGATATTGCCTAAAGCGTTCCCTGGCTGTCCTGCTTCATCATTCGCCGTGGCACCACTATGACTCTATTTTCGAGAGTCCTGCCCCGCAGGTCAATCGGTCGAGGTTGCTCAACTACGCTTCTCTCAGGGCGTCGGAACCTCTCTGCTCGAGACAGGCTCTTCCGTGTGTCGGAAGAAGTCCAAGATGCTCTCGCAACCGGCAAGCCAGTTGTTGCCTTGGAGACAACAATATATACGCACGGTAATACGACCTGGAGAGCTTTCAGCACGTATCTCTTGATTCTCATGGCTCATCAGGCTTCCCCTATCCCGAGAACGTCGCCCTCTCTTCGCACCTTGAGTCACTGGTCCGTGTCAATGGCGGTGTCCCTGCAACCATTGGAATATTGAACGGCAAAGCACTTGTTGGCATGTCCCCGGAAGAAATAATACAACTTGTCTCCACTACTGGCGATGATAATACTTGGAAAATATCGAGGAGAGATTTGGGCTTCATCGGTGGGCTGGGGCTGAGAGGGCAGAAACTTCACGGCGGGACTACCATCGCCGGGACAATGATCCTCGCTCACTTGGCCGGCATAAAGATATTTGCAACCGGCGGCCTGGGAGGAGTCCACCGAGGAGGAGAAAATTCCTTGGACATCTCTGCAGACTTGACCGAGTTGGGGCGAACACCTGTCACTCTCATCAGCTCCGGGTGCAAGAGCTTCCTTGATATTCCCCGTACTTTGGAATATTTGGAAACGCAGGGTGTTGGCGTCGGGACCTTCGCTGACGGCAGAGCGGGAAGTGTCGATTTCCCGGCTTTCTTCTCACGAGACAGTGGCGTGCCTAGTCCTAAAGTCATTTTGGATGAAGCTGATGCTGCGGCCATTGTCTACGCTCAATCGCAGTTTCCGATCCACTCTGGACTACTTTTCGCCAATCCCGTTCCCGAGCACTCCTCAATCCCAAGGGACGAGCTTGATTCAATCATAAACCAAGCCGTTGCCGAGGCCGATGAGAAAGGTATCGGCGGAAATGCAAATACCCCCTACATCTTGAGACGAATTCGGGAATTGAGCGACGGCGCCAGTGTGGAAGCTAACAGGGCTTTGATCTGTGCCAACGTGATACGCGGCACCAAGGTTGCGGTGGAACTGGCAAAGCTCGAACGACGAGATGGTGCAGCTCCGCAGCGGTGAGCCGTGTTAGAATCCAAGTGTCATACTTAAGGCATCCATTAACAAGTGCTAGAAGTCATACCAATATCACACCTATCGCCAAACTTGAAGAGCCTGTCAGCTGCAGGGCAATCGACGAGGGCGTCCCGGACAACGAATGGGTCCCTCAACCAGTAGAGATATTGGTTGCTGGATCGCTGGCAAGTGACACGATCTGCGATTACGCACCGTTTGAGGGCACTTCCTCTCCCATATCACCAGCGTTGCACACCTCAAATCCCTCCAGCATTTCTCAGTCTGCAGGCGGCGTTGGGCGGAATGTGGCAATGGCTGCCCACCTTGCCGGTGCGAGCGTCACTTTGGCGAGCGTAGTAGCAGATGATCTTGCCGGATCGTCGCTACTCGATCACGTCCAGAAGAGCGGTCTTTCCACAGCAAGCATCTTCCGACTTCCCAGCGAGGGCGGTGCCAGAACCGCACAGTACATTGCCGTAAATGACAGAAACAAAGATCTGGTCGTTGCAATGGCAGACATGTCAATCTTGTCTCGCCGAGAGCTGGAAGACCTCACATATTGGACGGAGCAGATAAAGCAACACAGGCCAAAATGGGTTGTTGTGGACGGCAATTGGTCTCCAGCAATTCTTTCATCCATAATCACTGCTGCAAAGGCTCATCAGGCCATGATAGCTTTCGAGCCTGTATCAACGGCAAAGGCTGCCCGCCTTTTCCACAAACCCGGCTCAGTGGTCTCCAGTACGATGGTTGTGCCCGATCATGTTGTTAACCTCGCTTCCCCAAATAGCTTCGAGTTGACGGCTATTTACAATGCAGCAAGAGAAGCGATGATGTTTGAATCAGAGCAATGGTGGAGCGTCATCAACAGTTTGGCTCTCTCGGGCGCCAGTTCACGGGATCGGCTAACTTCGGTGGCGGGTCACGAATTGGTCGAGGAAGGTATCCCACAACAGTGCATTCAGCTTCTTCCCTTCATTCCAAACCTGGTGACGAAGCTCGGGCGCCAAGGATGTTTGCTGGCGAGCTTGCTTAGACGGACGGACCCCAGGCTGACAAGTCCGGAGTACGCCCCGTACATTATTTCCAGGAATCTGTCTCATGATCTGGAGATTGGAGGTGTGTATATGCGCCTGATTCCACCATCCGTCGAAGTTGATCAGTCGGAGATCGTCTCGGTCAATGGAATTGGCGACACAATGCTGGGTGTCATTGTGGCCGGCCTTGTAAAGGGACATGTGCTCGAAGAGGTTGTGCCAATTGCCCAAGATGCAGCGGTGCTCACATTAAAATCTACAGAGGCAGTGTCGCCAGCCGTGCAATGCATCAAAGCAAGGCTCTCGGGCGAATGAGATGACCGAAAGAGTGGTTGGGTCGCGTGTCACATTGGCGTGCTGGGGCAAAGGCTCGACGCACCAATAGCGTGCTCACACGAATCGAACGCTCTTGACAAAAGTGTCCATCTGAATGAAGTCTGCGGACTTCTGCATTTCCTCCTCCTGAATGCAGTGCTCACAACAATGTCGGAGCTGGATTCTTATAGTGCAATCTTGCCGTCATGAGGCTGCTCACCGGCATCAAGGCCATGAAGTTGCTATGTGCCCTCGGTCTGGCCGTGTTTGCCTCTGCACGACAGGGAGGCGCGCATACTACGGATCCGGCGATTTCCGAGATATCGATTGACGGGCTCAACACCAGCAGCTTACTCCATCCGATCAATTTTTTCGGTTCAACGCAGGCGACCCAACTTCATGCCAAAATCGCCGCACGGCAAACAGCATGCCCTGATCCGTCGACCAGCCAGCTTTGCGACTCAGGCTATTGCTTTCTCGCCCAAGATAATGGTGACTCGAGATGGGGCACATGCTGCCCTGCGGGCTTCAATCTCTGGTTGAGTTCAAGCCAGTGGTCCAAGCAGAGATGTTGTCCGGCAGGGTCGACGAGCGACCAGTGTGGAAGCGCTGGAGGGTCTGAGCCCCCGTTACAGCCTGTGTCGTGTGGTAGCGGCGGGACAAGATCCGGATGGGCTTGTGTGTATTCAGATCAGAATGTGAACTCGGCCTGGAGGGTGATGGTGATGGCGTCGAGGACACTGGCAACAGCATTGATGGTGGTGTGGGTGAGCAATTGGATTTATCAGTGATTTTATCCGAACACAGATGTCGATGTCTCGGCGAGAGATGCAGGGTGATGATAATGCGCCCAAAGGAATGAGTCACGCCCGCTACTATCTACTATCCAGATGGAATTTCATATACATAATATCAATGTTCGTATCAGAATGTCAGAGGCGGGGGGAGGGCGGGTTCCGTGCAGGCAAGCCTTGGGACTGCCGCTTATCGCGCCGACCCCGGTGCGGTGCGGGGGTGGGCGACGTCTCACGGACTGGATTTTGGGTGAAGGTCAGAGCTTTATTAGGTTGTGTTATATCAGTGCTGTAGCCTTTTTAACATACTGGTAAATCTACATCTACCTCAGACACCAAAGCAAAGCCGAATTACACAACTGCAGACCGACAGAGGACCGACCGACAGACCGACAGACCGACAGACAACACCCGTCAGCCCTGCGAAGATGTGCATGAGGGAAACGTGTCCGAGTTGCCGTACGTTGCCCATCCTTGGTGCCCACCATCTTTATGATTGTTGTGCGCATCGTCAGTGTTTCTCGTGTTCCTACTCCCTATAGGGTCGCCTTTGAACCCCCCAGTCTGCAACTCTGCACGAAACGCCGGCTGGAGGAAAGAGCTGGTGGTTCATTCCAAACAGCAGTCTTCGAAGACCCTGCCGGCACCCCCGGGCGTCCTTCTCCTCCTCCTTTCTCCTCCTTTCTCCCTCTTCTTTTCCCGTTCACGCTACTGGTACTGTTACCGCTACCACGATTGCTACTGACGGGCCATCACAGAGAAGGCAACCTGGCGGGGTTGCGGGAGACATATCCCTTCAGTGCTCGACTCGATCCCCGAGCAACAATGGTGCACATGCAAGCCGAGGGTCGAAGTGGATGGGAAGAAGTACCCACCCAAGCAGGGCGAGGGCAAGCCTGAATGAGACGGACGAGACGGAAATGGATATGGAAACAGAGATGAGGTGGGCACCTCGTGGGCAACAATGACTTGACTACTGTGCAGCGATGACGGGCCAGAAGAAAACGGCGTCAGCAAGGTGTTGCAACAGTGGCACTTGTAGATTCTGGACTAGAGTTACATTGATTCGATCCGATCAAACCTGGCTGACCCGTGGCTGCGACTTCGCGGTGTGTACCAACTCAAGACACGAATGTCGAGTCAACCCAGACCAAGTCCGGCATGATGTTCTCAAGTGTCAAGTGTCAAGTGAAGACGATGCCACCGTCAACCACAATCGTCTGGCCCGTGACGAAGTCGGAGTCCTTGGAAGAGAGGAAGCCGCCGACCACGCTGCCGACATCGTCAGGCACACTGACTCTGCCCAGCGCGGTCAAGTCGGAGGAGTATTTCTTGACCGTCTCGCCCTTGGGCCGGCCCTCGATCTGGCCGAGCTTCTCATCGATGAGATCCCACATGGCGGTGCCGACGATGCCGGGCGCATACGCGTTGACGTTGATCTTGTGCTGGGCCATTTCCATGGCGAACACCTGCGTCAAGCCCCTGACCGCCCACTTGGACGCGCTGTAATGCGCGAGCAGCGGGAATGGCTTGAACGCGACGATGCTGGCCGCGCCCAGGATCTTGTACGAGCTGCTCCCCTCGGGAACGGGGCCTTGCTTGATCATCTGTCGCGCCGCGTGCGTGTAGCTCAGCCATACCCCCATGAAATTGACGTTGAACATGCGTTGCACGTCCTCGTCACTCAGATCTAGCGCTGGAGCCACCTGTGCGATCCCCGCGTTCGCCACCATCACTGTCAATGGGCCCAGTTTGCTCACCGACTCTTGGATCAGCCCTTGCACCTCCGACGACGAGGTCACATCGGCAGCCACCCCAATCGCCGTCCCCGATCCGTGTGTCTTGTTCAATTCGTCCACCAGCTTGTCTATCCCCGCTTGGTTGGCGCCCACGTCGTTGACGCACACGGCATAGCCTTCGCTTGCGAGCCGGCGGACAATCGCTTCACCACTGCACTAGAGTCAGCTGTCTAGGTTGGCTCATGCCCTCGTTTCAGGAAACTTACATGCCCCGACTTGAGCCTGTGACAATGGCCGTTCGTTTAGCCATCTTGTTCTGCTCCCTTCCCTTGGTATGATCGATTGTATCGTGGTCTGTGGGAATGATTTGCTGTGCCGAACAAACAACCAGATAGTTCGACTAGTCTGCTGGGAGGGTGAATCGAGACATTTCCGGCTCACAGAGCAGAGATATATAGGCCCCATCCCGACCCAGCTTTGCTCACAAATCCCGAGGTCCCCCTCCGGACGCACGGAGGGTTATTTGTACGACATGGTCAAAATCATGTGTCTGTTTTATGGCCCTCCAATCATTCGGGAATGTGGAGTAGAGACTTGATGAGCAAACATTGAAACGAGGAGAAATGACATGCGGGGACAATTGGTACCGAACGCAGCTCGGCAGGATTCTTCCGAGATGCCAATAGTAGGTTTCGAGTGCCTGGGAAGCTGCCGACTTGGTTGGTTGGCGGCATCAGAGGACGTGTTACTGCTTCAGATGTGCAGCTTGCTGACTGTGTCTAATAGACTCAGAGTGTTCGCATGGCCCTCCCAGTGCAAGGCAGGATTGAGCTCATGTAGGGGATCTTCCCTTCGGCAGGAAGGTGCCAAAGTACATCCTCTCTGGTTAGATCTTCGCGATGACCAGATATCGTATTCCCCTAGAAACGCGAGCCGTTGGACATCGAGGACATTTGACAACTGGTAGTGAGGGCTCTTTGGGGGCCAAGAATCCAAGCCATAGGTCGCCTCAAAAAAACGTGAAGTTGATGGGTAGAGAGGTGTCAGAAACCGGACAGAGCGGATTAGACCTAGCCTAGCGTGCGTGTCCTTGGGAGTATGTAATCGCTGTTTGACGTGTTCTTGTGAGCATGCTGTGGGCCAAAGGATGTCACCAAAGTTCGAAGGCTCGCCTCCGAATGCGATTCCGACTCCGACTGATGATTCCAGTCAAATCAGTCCATGAATTTACAGACTGGAAGCCGGTAGCTGTGCACATTCCAGTATTTTCTTCGAACCCCTTCCCACTCGTGGTCCAGATCGGGAAGCGTGACGTCTTCCCATTCCACATCAAAGCCAGATTCGAAGAGATCCATTTCGACCACTCTCTGGTAGACGTCGTAGCTGATCTGACGATCGGCACCCATGCCGTTGAAAAAGGACCATTTGCCCCTCTCATTCAGAAGGCCAATCACCTGCTCAGAGAAGAAGTCTCTGAAGTCGGCATAGGACTCTGCAAAAGTGTCGAAATAGATGGCATCAAAGACTTCGCCCTCGGCGACCAGTTGGGGGAGAATGTCCTGCCATTTTCCGCTATGAACGACGACATTGGCCTTGTTCATCCATCCTTTGTCCCGCATCTCGGTGAGAACGGCAGGGTGGGCCTCGACGATATGGTGGCTTGCTGGTTTATTAACATGGTTCTGAATGCACGAGTCAATGATGCCCATTCCAAATCCAATATTCAGAATCTGCATTCCTGGCTCCGACAAGAGAGCGTCCGCCGACCGCTGCATGATGCCGCCTTCCCATGCCATCATCACCCCATTTTGCTGTTCATCGAGGAGTTTATCACTGCTGAGCGCCAAGGCAGACGAAAGGTAGACCGAGCTGCTGACGTCTTGTGCCTGTGCCTGTGCCTGCGCGGTTGAGACGGCCAGTGACTCATCCTGCTCCTCGGGTTCTGCCTGAGGGGATGCCGTTCCCATGCCATTATCTGCATCGTCGCCTTCATCGTCGTCCAGCTTCTCATACTCTTCTAGCCGGCTGAGTAGCATTTCGGCGCGAACGCCAGCATCGACCATGAGTTGGTATAGACTGGTCAGTCCCAGTCGGTAGGCCAGGCAGCCTGGGGTCTCGTTGTTATCGTCGACCTGATTCCAAATGGCACCGTTTTCCAACAAGAACCTGACAGTGTCGACGCCGCTGGCCTCAACGTCGGTAGTCTCGTGTTCCTGTTCCTGTTCCGTGCCACTTCCATTTACTGCAGGCTTGCATGAAGCAATGGAAGCGTGAAGAGGCGAATGGCCTGTCGTCGGTTCTTGTACGTCAACGGCCTTGCACTCTGGAAAAGAATATTCCTTGATGCACTTTTCTAGTCTCTCAATGTCGTGTTTTGAGGACGCCCGCATGATCTCCTGGATGTGTTCTTCCAAGGACTGGCCATCAGTGCCCGCCGTGGGTGGTGAAGCCATCTCCAATGGTCTGTCAATGGTGTCTGCTTCAAGCCTGCCGTCTCTTGACTTTATTGTTGCAGTGTCACTGTCACACAATCAATTGGAAGTCTTTATGTTCAGACGTCGACGCAAGTTTCAGTTTCTTGGATTTCCCGGATAAAAGAAAATCCGTGCCGATGGCAATGGCCGAGCCAAGACTCCCTCTGATCCCGTGACACCGCCGGACACCAACTTGAACGACACCTTCATTCAGCCTCAGCTTGGGGGCTTTTGTCTTTATCAACCGAGCATCGTGTAGCCTGCGCACTCTCTCCATCGGACCGGTCCTTTATGAGTCTATCGCAGTTTTAGTGAGATGCTAGGGCACATTCTCTGCCGAATCTCCCTCCTGGTCCTGGGAAGCAGCATTGCCGACGACAAATAACCTCTCTTGTGTCGCCTCTTTCTGCTTTTTGCCGTTTGCCTCCACGACTCTCAAGGACAATCGGCGACCAGGCACTTGAGACCTCAAAACTCCATCCTGCCTCTCTCGGGAAAACATGCGGTGGCTTGCAACCGAACCGTGCTTGTTCATGCCATCCAACCGTGATGCCGAGTTCTCGGATGTGGTAGGGTCTTGCTTTCAGCCTTGGGGTTGCCAGTTGTCCACAGGATCCAGGCAAATATTGCACCTTAGAGGCTGTTGGGCGGAGATTTGCCAGCTGAGACTTGCTTCCTTGCCAGCGACTGGCATCTCCACCTCGTAACTGCTCCGCCACAGCACCATCATTCCAGGCAAGCTCGCCGATCTCAAAACTCAGCTTCGCAACTCGTCCAGACACCAAACAGAATATCAGTGTTCAAGTTCACCAATACCATATCTCCGGCTGCACCATCTGCGAAATAAAGCTCCTCCTTGTCCTAACAATGGGTAGGCCGAAGAACAAGAGCATTAAGTCGGGAGTCAGCAACCAGTCAAGTGAGGTCTCACACGAAATGGCACCTGCCCTCGGATCTGGTCCTTCGTTGAAAGCTGCAGATGGACACAACGTTGATGGCTGGGCGGACGAAGACATCCGAATATACAACGAACTCCTCAGTGAAAGAGCGAAACTAGAAAGGGAGAAAAACGAGCTTGAGCAGAAATCCTCCAGGCATCAAACTCAACGAGCACTACTTGCTGAGAATTCTACCACCCTAGACAACTTGTTCAGAGTCCAGTTCGGGGGGGAGGTCAAGTTCGTAGGTGAAAGCGTATGTTGCCTGGACACAGACCTTGACCAAGCCTGTGCAGTGGGATCCCATACCACCTGCGGTCATGACATATGCACACGAGCCAAGACCAAGGGTGTCTCGTTGACGGAACTGGATACGATCAAATATTATCATGCCAGGATCCTGTCTGAGAAATCCCAAAGGATGCAGAATGCCTTGCGCAAACAAAGAGACGTTGAGCTCGTTCGGGTCAAAAGGGAGGATGAATTGGAGCTTGCATGGAGGGCACGGAGAGCCGCTGTTTCAGACAAAGACGTGGGCGGCAGTGCTGAGATGCCACATGGCTGGCAAGCTGAAGGTTCTGGCATTGTGATTCCGGCATCCCTAGACACGGTTGCACCCAGGCATGTCTTGCTTGATCCCAAGAACAGTGCCATCTTGGAGGCCGCTAAGGAGAATGAACATGTTGTTCGCCGCATCCGGGGCAGGTTGGAAAGAATTCGGCACGATGTAAATGCAGGCAAAGTCTCGCCGGCAGATGCTCGTGTGTCGTTGGACCAGGCCAATGTTGAAATGGCAGAGGCCGAGAGAAAGAACAATGAGTTCAGGCAGTTAATTATGGATGCCGAGCCTACCCTCTCACGCGCTCATCAAGCTGACCATGCCAGTCTCGCAAACGCGCTCCAGAATACCTTGGCCGCCTCCACCACTGACAATTTCTCCAATGCCCTCAATGTCATGAGAGGCTTCTTTAGCACCTCCGACCCCCAAGAAGTCCAAACAGCCATCGGCGAGCTACGCCGAGTCCTTGAAGTTAACGGACCGATGACCCCGATCCTCCAAAAGTCTTTCCAAGCTCTTTCAGAGATGTTGGCCAAATCAAATGCCAGAGTCTCCAATACCGATGCCACTGGCGCCACCCCCAACGACGGCAGATCCTGGGCCTGCCACGACTATGTGGACGTGACGATGCACCTCAGACCGACGCCGGACAGCCAGTCCTCTACTCTTGGGCCCCGCGAACTGAATCTAGACAAAGACACGATCAAAGCTAATTTCGAGTGCATCAAAGTGGAAGAGGCGGCCAAGAAGGACATGGAGAAGATCGCTGAGAGGATGTCCGATGATACTGCTGACAACGTCGCTGCTGCTCTCAAGAAAGTCAAATCGAAGGCTCTGCTCAAATCCCCCATACCGCCTCTATCCGAAATCGTCCTTGAAGATGTGATTACCGACATTCTGTATTACCGCTCTGTCAAAGCTCTGGTGGCTGAAGCGGCCGGCGCTGTCACTCTATCCTCTATTTCCGGCAAACTGACCTCGCTTGTGATCAACATGGCTCGAAAAGAGCCAGAAAAGTACGTGGCTACATTGGAGTTGGTCAAATTTTCCATCAAGAAGATCCTAAGCACACAAAACAAGACGCCCTCTGCAATTCTTTCCGAGGCTGTATCAAAGGTCGAAGACTCAATTCCCAAATTCGTCGCAGCACATGAAGCGAAACTGAGAAAGGGTGGCACCAACAACAAAATCCCTCCAACTGGCTCCACGGCAGCTTCTGAGACGATATCTAGCTTCTCTAAAAAAGCCCCTTTCGCCAAATACCTCCTCACGGGCGACCTCGTCGATAGGGAGTCGTGGAATGTCTTCATGAACTTCTTCAGGACACAACTTGTCCACGATGCGGGTAAGGTTAGAGACCGAGTTATGGCGCACTACCGCAAACATCGGGATGAAGGGATTTGGGAGATCTTCCGGGTGGTCGCCGATCATCACACCCTACACAACTTCCGCTTTGAACCTTGGCAGGCCGAGAAAGAGTTGTACCGTGCCAACATGACGGTTGCTGCTCTAAGCCGTGAAAAAGTGCTCGACGCGATTCTGGCGTATCAGAAACGTGGCATCTGCCCTGGAATGGCGGCTGTCGCGATATCTCAGCGTCTCACCTATCAGGTCAGAGACGACTTTGATGCTGCTAAAAGCAGTACGATGCTTCTGAGGAACCTCTTCGACCACTACAAGCCACTTGACAACCGAGACTGGTTCCAGTCGTTCAGTTTCATAGCCCAGGCCATGATAGACCTCTTTGCGGTCATAATCTTTCAAGCGAAAGGTCTCGACCCAAAAGATGCGCCGATTCTCGCTGCTGATGTAGTCGGTATCGTCTGCACATTCGTTCTGCGAGCAGAGAGCCCCACCGCTGCCGCCACCAATCTCCATGTGATTCAGGCTTTCATATCCAGTACCTTGGTGAACCACAAGGATGACATCGAGCTCGGCAAACTGCAAGGTGTCCTGCTACGATTCCTTCACATATGTGGGGACTCCCGGTACAGATGCACGCCTGACCACGCATGCAAAGCACTTATCACGGCTTTCAATACTGAAAAGTACAAGGCGCTTGTCCCTGCGCCGTTGAATGTCAGCAAGCAACCGCAGCCCAAAAATTCCAGCAATCAACATCAACCTCAATTGACACTGAACAATACCATAGAATATCTGAAGCAAAGTTTGGCCAGCCAGCCAGCAGAGAAGCTGGTTCCCATCAGAATTTACATGCAATGTGTCCATGATTGGGAGACAGCGACGCTACTCGCACCCCATCTGAGATGTCTGCAGTCTGGAAAGACTTGCACTTGCTCAAAAGAGGATCAGCTAGCTGCCGAAGATTTTCAGATTCGCAAGAACATATTGGATGCCGGCTTTGAAGAACTGAAGACCTACCTCAAAAATGACGAAGATCCACCTAGGACATTGTGGGTACGTCTTGAGAAGGAGGCCAAATCGCTTCGTGCTCTTACCGTGCGAAAAGCGGACGAGGCTGAGAAAGAGACTGAAAAGAAAGCTGCGCAAGGGAGGTCTCGTTTTGCCGAACACATTGGTCACGATTCGGAAATAGACACGCGTCTGAACACACGACGCATCAAACTTAAACAAGTTGCAGTCAACTTTCCCAGAATTCAGAACAACCTTTCCAGCAATTCATCGGTGACCGGCAATCTAGAGAAAGACTCATCCGAGGATTCGGCAATCCATCAAGCCGGCAAAGCGACCTCTGCAGCCAACCAAGCGTCAACTTCGAAGATGGGACAGGCTAACTCAGTGGACGACCACTCCAAGGTCGATCAGCCTCTCCCTCCGTCAACTTCTGCCTCGATAAATGCACCTCACCTGACTGACCGGGAACTTGTGATGATGAAGCAGCTGGTCAGGTTTGTCGACGGCATTTTCAAACTGGAGGACACCACCGCGGATATCAGTGGTCTCTCACAAAAAGAGGCGCTCAGAGGTATCTCCAAGCAGCTTCGTCAAATGGCGGTCGGACACCTCGAAATGGCTTGGATCGTCACAGAAGCCCAAGGGTATTTCGGCTTGCAGGCCTGGATCGAGCGTAACTTCGGCAGAAATGACGCGGACGGTACCGACACCGATGATGATGAAGACCTTACCATGATGAAGGACGCTACCACCGCCAGTTATGAAAAGGGCAGAGGTCTCAATGAGACGCAAGAACAAATCCAGGACAAACAAGTCACTCCAGCATCAGGCGCTGCATCGGTAGCACAGCAACACCAACAAGCCACCACCGCTACGGAAACAACTGGTCACGACTCATCAGCACAGAAGAAGACCGGCTCCCAGCGACGCAAACGCCTACCAAAGGGCAAGCGCTAGATGATGCTATCTCATGCTCCGCATCGGCGCCATCATGTCGGGAACAGGGGCGGTTCATCAGACTAGGCAGGCTGTGGAATAACTTTCGCTTTTTACGATCGATCATGGCAGACCAGGCGTTGGGGCGAAAAAAAGTTGTACAAGGTACGGAGTTTTACGGATCCTGCAGCGGCTACCAGACATGGGCAGAGGCATGCAGATGATTGATAGACGTGTCTTCACAAGCCACAAGCCACGAGCCACGAGCCACGAGCCACTGGCGACGCGACGTCTGCTGGATATGAGTCTCGAGAATCGAAAATTGGGGCTGGTCATGTTGTTTTTGGGCTGGGTTGCTGTAAATTAGGGATACCAGAGCTCTCCTCCAGGGCGTTTCTTTCGGGCCTTTTTCTCTAGTGTCTTGTATGCCTTCTTCTTTGGTCTTCTCCTTCGTGAATGAGGAGGGTCTCGTGCTCGTTATCTCGTTTCGACTTGTACCTGTATGATGAGGGAAAGAGGGCGTGAAGATCGTTGCACAAAAAGGTACGCAGTTAACCTTTATGACGGACGACAAAATGCAGCCGCTGCAGGGGAAAAGCCCTTGCCGCTGCTAGGATAAATCAAACACAATGGGTGCGAAGCCATTCTTCATCCCTTCAAGCTGCTCTGCGTTCGAAAAATAGTCGATAGCTTCTATCGCTGTTCGTTGCGTCTTCCGGGAACGATTCGCATCAGAGAGCAATGGCATCTCGCTCATATTCACAACATTATCTAGTTCTACCCGTCACAGCGTCGCCATCGTCAAAGGTTGAGGAACTTCCTGGACAAGTCTCGCCCTTGAAATGCCCACGTGTGGTTTTCTCTCGCGTTTTGAATACAAGGCATGTCCTGTGGCGAGAGTTGCACGGAACACGCAGACCACCAATATACCACACTTGCGATGTTGAAGACTGCTGGCAGATTTAACGCTTGGGCGCTATCTTCCAGGTTGATCCATATGTCAGAGTCTGCCCGGTATCGTATCTGCCCGAGATCCAGCCTGGCACCTTTCAGCAGCAACTGGTCTTAAATACCACCCGCACCAGGAGCATTCTTATCTCCCTTAAGGCTGAGCAACAAGTCTCGCATGATCTTCTTCGAGGACCCTTCTCCCCCTCCGGATTGACCTTTCCCGCTCAGATCGACGAGTTTCGCAATGCGCTCCCAACTCGTGCCTCCAGCTGTTGTATCCTCCCTCTTGGCCAAAAACTCCTCAGCCTCCGTCCTGGTCTGAGCCTTCTGCTTGTCGACTTTGCGGTTATATGATTCATAGAAGGCGTCAATGTCCTTTCGGGCGGTCGAGACGGTCTCCTCCTTCTTGTGGGCGGAAGCCTCGTCGCGGCGTTTTATGTCTGCGTCTCTCTTGGCTCGCCATTCACGGATGGGTTCGGTCTCTTCTTGCTGTGGAGGGGACGTGTAGTTGGTGTAGCCTGGGGCGCTCTGGAACGGCGTCGAGGAGTCTGTGATCGTGCCGCCAGGGCCGACGTTCTACAAAGTCATTAGCAAAGCACTGTAACGTTCAACGGTTCTTGACATTGGGTAAAGAAAGGGTGGAAAGTCAGGGAACCGTACCTCATTTTGTGTGTCGATGGCCGGAAAGGAGCTCTCGAAGTCGTCCAGCTCGTTTTGTGCTCCCCCTGCTGAGTCGTTTGGAGCAGATACGAAGTCTCCATCGTCACCACCCAGTAAGTCATCAATTCCATCCTCGACAGTTGCGGCTCCAGGCCTATCGTTGGCGGCAAAGAGCTCCGCGTCTTCGCCTAGCAGGGCCCTCTCACGCTCCTCTAGGCTGCCTTGAGCAGCTGGATCAGGGCGAAGATCTACCTCTCCTTTGGAAATATGTTAGAAGGGGCTAGCGATTGAGCTGGACAGAGCTGAGAGGAGCCTCACCGGAATCAATGTCTTCAATCGACGGAAACCGGTCGGCCATGACGGGCGACGGAGAGGAAATGCAGTGGCAGAGACGGAAGGCAGTTGTGTGTGTACAGAGATGTAGTGAATGTTTGAGTCGGATGGATTAGGGAAGCCCGTGAGCCGGAGTATGGTCGTGCAATGTATGGGAATCCTAGTCGTTGAAGGGACAATTGGCACTTCCTAAGATCAGTACGGATACTCCGTAATGCATTGCGCCTGCGATTCCAGATTCCAGGAGACATGTATGTCTTAACTAAAAACAGAGGGCGTCTGACCGGATGATTCTTGGCGTCTGTAAGGGTCCACGCAATGTCACTGTACAAAATTCCTGTGTCAGACAGCAGCAATTTTGTCAACTCACCAACACCTTTGTCTAAGCACCAATTTGAGCTCCTATATACAAGTACAAGTGGAATATATTAGCAGTTCTTGGTATTTATTCATCAATCGCATTCGCCTCCTGCTATGAGGGTAGAAGCAAGCCCGAGGTCTACGGAGGAGCTTTGGGGCGTGAAATGTTATTTGATATCACGTGATGGTGGTGTTTTCCCCGTCTTGTGGTCGGTCTTGGCAATCTATAAACCATCCTCGTTCACTTCTCCCAGACCTGCGAGCATCAGTCCCGATTCCTTCAAACGCTTGCACATCTTTGATCTTGCTTCTGCCGCTGCTGGATGACACATCCGCATGTCAGGGCCGACAGAGACGGGTCTTTGAACTGTGGCCGAAGTCACCTACCCTGTGTTGTCATAGCTCGTAGCATAGCCTTCAGCCGTGACTCTGCTCTGTCGCAGCTCGGCTGATGACCCGTCTCGAACTCGCCTGAAGTAATCAAGCTCGACCAAAGCATTGGAATTACTCGGGAAGAACGGTTCACAGCTCTTGTGTACGCGTTGATAGACACGCATGAAGCATGGCCTTCTCAGAGTCGGGCCTCAGCGCGAAACTGTCGACGCTCAACGAGACTCAAGACAGTATCGTCTCAGTATCGCAATGGATCATGTTCCATAAGTACGTGCACTCAGTTTCTCTTCTATCCATCCCCGGCAGAGGCGAAAGAATTAAGATCTGACCTCCCGCATAGGAGACATGCCGACCGCATTGCCAGCTACTGGCTCACCCGCCTACGCGACTCGCCGCCTCCCAAGAGGTTGAATTTCATCTACTTGGTCAACGACATTGTACAGAACGCCCGAGCCCGGAAACGCACCGAGTTCCCAGATGCCTTTTCACCATTGATGGCCGAAGCCATCCAAACCGCCTACCGCTCCTCGCCGCCAGACGTCCAAGGCAAGATCCGCCGCGTTGTCGAGGTCTGGCGGACGCGCAATGTTTTCGAGATTCCAATTTTAGACGCCATCGAGGCCCGGATCGATGAAATCGACAAGTCAAAAGGATCTAGCGGCAAGAAAACGCTTATGGGAAACTCCCTCTTCAATTCTTCTTCGTCAACCGGAACTCCAAAGGAGCTGGAAACGCTTGCAAACTTGCAGATAGCGGTGACCAAGGAGTCCATTTCCGCTCGCCCAGCAATCGATGCAGCACAGACAGAGTACACGAAGCTCAACAATCCATCAGCTGCACTACCTAGTCCACCCGTCCACGCCGCGCGCCTTTCCAGCTTGATTAAGTCTCTCGCAGCAGCCGAATCATCCCTCTCGGCCAGCATCAAGGCGCGTAAGGCTTTGATAGCGGACCTTGAGCGCATCCTAGAAATCAACAAATCCGCACTCGCCAAGGACGAGGAGACGTATCTGGAACTGGAGAACCGGAAGGTCATCACAGAGGCGAAGAAAAGGGAAGTCGAGGACGGAATCATCCGTGAATTGTCAGCCGTCGACCATTCCTCGACTGAGACAACCGCCGCAGCCGGTGGCATCCATTCCCCGGTCTTCGACAACAAGGCCGGGTTCTCCGAGCGTCCTGAGATCGAGGAACTTACCCCCGACCGAGAATTCCCAGGCGATGACTATGCAAGTGGCGGGTTCGACCACCCCGGCTTACTGCCGCTACCAGCGACGGAGCCTTCGGAGCCATACCAGCCTAGTAATCCGGCTGTCGCAGCAGCGCTGGCCAGCTTCTCAGGCACTGACTATGATCCCCTAACTAGCAACTTCGGCGGCAGTATATATGGCAATAGTAGCACGATACCGCGCGTAAGGCCTGCGAGTGGTGGACTAGGCACCAACGGACTCGGCGTCAAGAGGCGCAGATTGTCTCACGGCGAAGATGATGTCGTCCCGGACTTGGGGGAGATGGGCATGGAGGGATTTGGGAAGCAAGAGACGGTCACATTGCAAGGGGAAAACGCTCCCCACGAAGATCTTTTGCAGAATTTGGACGAGGACGTTGATGAACTCTTGAGGCAGGAGGGTGGTGGCTTTTAGGACCCAGCTTTATCTGGTGTACCGTGGCCCATCTTCAAGGTCAGGAAGACTATAAACTCTTTGAGGGGTGGTTGATGATTGTCACCACGTAATTCGGTGGACGGAAATTGCAAGCGGATCGGGCAGTCCGCAATTTGACTCTCGATTTGCCCGTTGGATGCAGCCATGCTGTATTATCGACTGAAGAGTGAAGAAGCTGCGCATTTGCAATTGGTGGGCAGCTTGGAAATGAGCCGTGGGACGTTCAATGGACATACATTTCGCCAGAGGCATGTTATAAATAGGGTCAACTATGTTAGGTACACCCAAGGCCATCTGGTCACTGTGCTTATTGCGCTTATTGCGCATCTAGGTCTATCAGGAAGAAGAGCCTCGCACGTGGCACAAAGATGGTGAGTTCCGAGAGCCTTCCAGCAGATCGTAGCATCCTTAGTAGGAGCACAACCTGGGCTCGTCAGAATTTAAACAATCCCCTGTGTAGTCGTTTCAAGTGTTGGAGATATACAGTTGTTCCTCGTGAACGCGGGCAATCAAGACGCGCATCTCTGGTATCCAGAAAGAAGCCTAGCCAATGTGCTTAGCGTTAAGGTAAAGGAATTTCCCGCCCGTTTTTCTCTGCTTGAATATATCCAAGCTGTCGTCGCCTCCTCACGACTACTCCATTTTGGAAGAAGACCATCTTTCAGCGCTCTGGCATTGGGCCACCGCTGGCTTGCGCACTGGACCAAAGCCGACTGCCCAGTGTCCAGAGAGAACGGGATGCTCTTCAAGCCATATCGGAGATATGAATGTGTCATCTGATGATTGATGAGGACTTTTATACCAAACCAGAGGCAATCTTGACAGTGTAAGGATAAGAATTGCTTCTATACCTTACTAGGTCGAAACTCAACTCGTCGGCCTTTGGAAAGGATGCGCCTCCGTATTCAAAACCCACTCGTCCAGGTTCACAACGGACGGCTCACTGAACACTAGGTAAAAATACTTGAGTGTCTCCGCAAGCCAGAAGCTCTCCATGCGATCGCTCTTTTCCGGGTTTGCGCGTCGGACATCGTTCACCGCGGCGTGGGCAATCGGCGTCCTGGTGGCCGCTTCGATGGATTGAAACATTTTCCAGGCGATGTCCTGTAACTTCACATCGCCTGTGATACGGTACATGATGAAGATCGACTCGATGGCTTCAGGCCGCAAGATGTACCGGTTGTCACCTTGATCGGTGAACCCCGGGAAGATCAAGAGCTGTTTTGCAGTGTACTTTCCTCGTTCGACAGCGCTCATCTGCTTTGTCTCCGGCGTTGAGGCATGTCGTTTCGAAATCGCTTCGTACCACTTATCATCGCTCCACTCACATTGACCAGGCGGAGCATCAACCACTCCAACCTGGCACGGTACCAGATGGAACGTCTCAGGCATTAAGCCAGACGGCATCGCATTATACGCCCAGACGCACCCATCAATCAGCCTACGAGCGATAGCGAGTTCTTCAGGTCTGCTGAAGATCTTTGCGCCGAGAGCTACCATTCCACTGACGAAACAAGCCAAATGCTGGCCTTGCGGCTCCAGGTTAGATATTGGGATAGTGTTCATGGACGTCAAGGCGGCGTTGCCACTGAAAAGAATGTCCTCATCAGATGGCACCAGGGGTCTGAAAAACAGATATCGTTTTGCAGCTTCAATAGCCTCTTCGTACATGTGCCGATACTTTTGGTCTCCGCGGCCTCCAAGCATCATATACTGTTTGGGTAGGTATTCGTAAGTGGAGTCCGCCATGCCTCCGAAGGTGAAGTGATTGTAGTCGAATTTGAGCTCGTTGGCATTGACAATGGTAGGCCACAGACCGGGAATTTTGGTTCCGTTCTGAGCGTATTCCATTTCCTCCGCGATTCTCTGCACAGCATCAAAGTATTTCAGATCTCCCGTGAGTTGACTTAGCCTTGTAAATTCGAGGCTAAGACTTCCGAGCTCTGCCAGTAGTGTGTTGGTGCTTGGTTCAACCTCGCCGCCGAGAGCGCTTTTCTTCCACGTCCAGCGTGCCATCGGCATATGGTTGGGCGTGTCAAAGGCCGAATAGAGGATCTCACCCAATTCTTGCGCCTTTTCGAGGAGGGCGGGATACTTCCCACCCGAGAGATCGTACGCGGCGAGCAGCCCTCCTAGATATCGAATGGTAGTCTCAAACACGTTTAAAGTGTCCTCATCGTTGGAGGTGAAATCAATCTGCTGGACAGCCTCGACACACCGTTCGAAATCGCTCTTCAGGTCCATGATCCACAATGTATCCATTGTATCGACCAACGTGGCGCCCCAACCTCCAAAACTCGAGCGGTAAAGCCCACTGATTGGGGCGACTTCATCTTGTCCCCAGGCATACTTTTTGTAGCCATTCCATGCATGTATGAACGCTTCCTTGACCGCGGCTTGTCTCGTACCGCGCGTTTTCCGCGCCTCTTCGGATTCGGCCTGCGATTCATACTCATACTGGATTCGGGGAATCCGCTCGAGTGGACCTGTGGGAAACTGGCGGTACCCAGCCACGGGGTATCGTTCGGGATGCTTGGTCCAATGTACTTTGCTATGTGGACGGTCCGTAGAAGGGTACAGGACGGCATCACCGGGGTAAAGGAAAAGATAGTAGATGACGCAAGCAAGGAAGAAGGCGGGTACCAGCCAGTGTCTTCGGATCAGCGACATGCTGGCTGCACAGTGGAGGAGCTGGTTGTGCTTGGACACCGATCAGTTGAGGCAGGATGGCTGACAGCCTGCGTCTGCATGGAATGAGTATTATACACGAAGTATTATGCACGATAGAGGCGTGACAATGTTTGGTGGGCACCCAAAAGAGCATCCAAGAACATTATGAGGTCTCAAGGGGCTTGGGATCAGAGGCTTGTTCTCGTTGCTACTCCTACTGGATGCCGAGTTGCACGGTTCGGACGCAGTCTCTAAAACCAATGCGGACACGGCGCGTTCACCACCAAACTTCACCCTCATAGCCAGACCTGTTTTACGAGATGCCATCGACAGGACTTTTCTTCCTGCCCATTGCCCCGAATCAAGCCTCCCCGTCGGCAACTCTGGTCGCCCACATCTCGCGGTCTTTTCCTGCTCAAGCGCTTCCGACCTTCCACCTCGACCACCGTCTGTTTGTGGACACCCCATCCCTGCTCCCCAATTCCGACGCGTCTCTACGAAGATTCACAAGCATCTTGACGCTCTCGCACACTCCTGGGACGACATATGTCGGGACAACGTCTCCGAAAGACAGAGCGACAGCGACCGAGCAGCCAGTTGCCTCCACACTTGTCACCATCCCATCCACGCACGCGGACCCATTTACTCAATTGATCGGGACCAAGATACAACCTCACTGGGCTCACAGACAGTCTCTGGTAGTGGATAACGGAACGGCACTGGCCCTGCAACCCCAAGAATGGGCCGTTCGCATCGGAGATGTCAAAATACCTACTGGCCGTTCCGGCCAACAAACCACATCGAATCTGCGTGGGATGCTCGTCGAAGTCTCCCTCAACAACGCCTCCGCCCAACATGAACGCCTGGACTCTACGACGGAAGAAGAGACCGAGCTCGAGGCTATCAGCAAGGATGAAGAGACACTTATCAGAGCATTCCTCGACTCATTGATCGACGGGACGGGCGTGCAGATGACAAATAGCCGGGCATTGTTTCGGAACACCAGGATTCCTTCCGAGGACAACGACACCAATGGTGTTGTGGATTGGGGCCTGGCAAAGCTCTACATGGATATGCTTCGAACACCACGGTGATGAACTTGAAGCAACAAGGCACCATGGATGCCTTAAGCATAAAGCCTGCCTGCAAGTCCTCATGGGAAAACGGTTCGATGAGGTCGTCTCCTAGAACGGAACGACTCGATGCCCTTTCCTTGCCCGATCGCGATCTAGCTCAACATTATCGCCCGTCATGGCTTCATTGTCCGTTCATGGATCGGTCGGGGCCGCATCGGGGCTTCTATCTATCCGGAGCAAGGGACCCAGGGCCCAACGTACAGCTATCTTGGGACTCGGCGGACTTTAGGGTCCATGCATCAGTTGCAGTACTGCGGGCATCTTTTCATTTACCATTTAGGATACCTACAAGAGCTTGCTGTTCAAGCAAGTGAAGCCGTGCAAAAAGTGCAAGGGAGCGACAGGCCTCGGCGACCTCAGAAGCAGAAGCTTACTCAACAGCCCCGAGAGAGTATGTCTCGTCCCACACGCTGTTGACACGAATATAACAGATGAGTCCGTGTGCGAGATTCCAGCGAACCGCTGATTTCGCTGGAAATCGTTGCATGCATTTTGCATGCTCACAAGAAGATGGAAGAGTTGGATCGATCTATGACACTTAGCTAACACCAGGGATAAGTTAATATTTAATGTTTTAACCTCTTATTTTTAGAAAGGCCAATAGGACTTGGGTTCCCTCCCAAAGGAAGGGCTCGCATATGCCTGTTTTCGCTATTGAATATTGAGTACAGCCGGTTCCCTACCGGTAAATCTCTTCCAATTAGTTTTGTGTTTCGTTTCCTGGTGGTGGCGGTCTGAACGGGCGCCACAGATGCTCGAGATGCAAAAGGTGCTGATCGAATATAGCCTCCCATATGTGTCATGAAAAAAAAATCTTGTCGACTTCGTGAACTCCTTTCGTAGTACTCTCCTTACCAGGTCTCAGCGATATACTGGCCCGATACCTTTTTCTCGTCCCAAAAGCTCTGAGCTTCCTCGCGATTTAACTTGCCCTTCGCCATGGCGACATCAACGAGTGCAGCCTCCACACCCTCGCCCATCCCCTTCGAGCTTCCACAAACGAAGATTCTGCCATCGACGGCGTTGATAATGAACCAGACGAGATCGGCTTGGGCGCGCACTTCCTCCTGCACATATCGCCCCTCACCGCGCCGAGATTGGACCACCTTTTTGACCTTGTCTTCGTGCACACCCCAATCGCCAGAGTAAAGTTCATCGACTAGACTGTCACGTACGCCTTGGAGGACCCAGACTTTGTTGGCACAATTGGCAGATTTGAGCCTGCGGTGTACAAACCCTCGGAACGGAGCAACTCCCACACCTGCACCGATCAGAAGCATGGGGCCGTCGCTGATAAACTCTCGGGCAAGAGGATTAGCCATCAAACCCCTGAACATAGGTATCCGGAGATCAAGGTCGCGAGGGTCCTTCCCTTCCTTCTCCGCTTCGATGAACTTCCTGGCTACTCTCTCGAGAAAACCGGAGCCAGCTCCCGTCCGTTGCCCGTCTTTGTAATCTGGGACTTCATGAACTGTTACGGCGATTTCGATCAATCGGCGGGATGCATCACCGTTCCTTTCCGATGAAATGACCGGGTCCTGAGATAGCGAATAGAAGCGCGGCATCAGTTGGTTGAGGACGGAGAATAGGTAATCTAGAGGTGGCTTGCTGGATGGGAAGGCATTTAGAAGTTGTGGGATGGTGACGTAGGGGCCGGTTCGGAGATCGCAAAACACGCCTTGACCCTGCGCCGAGCAGAGATACATCAAGATCTTCTTTTCGTGTTCGTTCTCTGCATACTCAGCCAGGATTCGCAAAAGCTGCTTGGTGGGCGGGTAGCTTTGAAGGTCTGAGCACCATGTCAGGAGCTCTCTCCTGGTGGTCACAAGCTCTCGGGGTGCTTCTTCGCCCCAAATTGTAGGCCACCTGCCTGTGGTGGTCTTCAACAATACCTGCTTGTCACGGACGAATTTTGGGATGCTTAACAGCTGGAAGATCTGATCCACCACCTCCGGTGCGTTAGGAACGCAAACTCCAATGGCTCCTCCCACAACAAAATCGACATCTCCGCCTTCTTTGGGGTAGTCCGTGACATCAATGTCGAAGTGGTATGTTCTCTTCTCAGCGCCAGGCTTGGTCAGCTCGCGAGCGTGATAGAGCGGCGCGGGAAAGACCTGGTAAGGAGGATGTGGGGTGACAAAATTTGGAGGATGATTGAAGACCTCCGCAGTGCTTTGTGGTGGTGGCTCGGCGTATGCGGCTGGCCGTGAGGCAGGTAATGGCTCAAGCGAGATAGTCTTGACCGGTAAATCGATGACTCCAGTCAATTGACTGTCGAGACTCAAACCGCCCAACTTGAGCTTCAGACTCCGGAATGCCGGATTTTCCGGTAGTTGGATGGGATTTGCACCGGGTGACACTTCTGTGACCTTCAATTCTTGTAACATACAACAGCCTCCACCACAACATGCCTTTTGAATCATCTGTGTGGCCGTTCCTCTCTCGCCCAAAAACAGTCTTGCATCTTCCGAGTCCTCGGAGACCAATAAGGTCGAAGCACGTCTCTGCCTCGAGGCAGCATTCTGACCGGGTTTCTCTTGCAATTCTTCTAGAGAATCGTCGGAGAGGCCTTCAGTGATTGGGGTCGTGGGTGCTGTGTCTACGCTGGACGCATCGTCGGAGTACGCGGTGCTGGTCATGGTGGATGCGGATGACCGGCTAAGCTGTGAGGTAGTCACGGACAGTTTTCTTGACCGAGTAGGATCCTCGGGTATCGGGTTGTTAGGATGGGAGTGGGCAGTCAGAGGTACCGGATGGCCTGGGGTGACTGTTCGTAGGGTTGGCATCCTCGGTCTCGTATATGTGATCGGGCCTGTACCTGCGTGAACAGCTGTGTCAATAAATGAAGGCGGAGAAGAGCAATGTACAAGCAAAGTCGAACGGGATGGATCTGGTAATATCACATGGATTTGGCAGCATTATGAAATCGCTCAAAATCGTGGCCGGGAATGTGTAGATAGTTGTAGGAGGGGCCTGCACTTACGAACAGTGGTGATGATGTAAGGTGCGGAACGAGAAGCGGCGAAAGCCAGCCCAAGCCCGGTTCCTGCAGGTCGCTGCACCTTTGCTAGCAGGCTATGCGTGTCAGTCGAGCGAGGATGGATGGGGGCATTGGAGAAGTAACAGTGTCGGACTCGAAAATGGAATTGGTTGAAAGATGAAAGGGAGTTTTGTGGCGTGATGGGAATGTTGGAAGTCGGGGAATATTGGAGAGGAAGCGAAGTCAAGGTGTCGAGGCTGTTCGATCGGCTGGCTCCGGGCCACACTTGGCAGGAGCAGGGCTTAGGCGCAGCTGTGGGACGGGGGTTGGAGCGGGATCAACTGATGTTGATGACCCGGAGGGCATGAGGAAGAATCAGCACGTACGGCGTACTTGGTACTGAGGACGCCGGATTTTCTTCAAAGTACTGTAAGTGTAGAGAATCCTGCGCGTGCCCTCGGTCTCATGGTCCCATATAACGGGCGTACACAGGTACAGTGGCTATCCGACTCCCCTGCGCTGTTTTCTTATCTGTGACAGTCAGTCATTATGAGCCCACACAGGCAGAGGCTGCGAGGTCGGAGCATGGCAGGCGGGGACCACGAAAAACCCTTAATTGTTAGGGACCACTGGACCAGTCATAATTCCAGCCGCCATCTCGTGCTGTTTCTCCACTCTTCGCACAGCCAACCAACGGCGGACGCGGACGTGAGCATCTCGATCGATAGGATAAGATATGATACCACCACCGGCCGCTCGCATTCGCCATCGCTCACTGAAACCTGCCCCGCCGTCTATTAGACATTGCCGAGAAGCCGACACATGTTTACTCCAGCCGTCGGTCAACGGTCACCGACCGAACATGTAAGGGACATGCGGATACTCCGTACCTACCTACGTACGATGCGAAGATCGTCGATAACATTTGCCACGGATTGACAGTACGGCGGTCTCGAAATGATCGCACCAGATCATGCTCAGATCTGATTACAGCTGCCCTCTGAAGGATCTCATCTAATCTTATCCCCTGGCCACCCCAGCCGGCGCAATCACAGCCGTGTCATCTAATCTGATTTAAACCCCACCACTGTCTCCATTCGCAGGGGCTGTTCATGTACTCCGTACTCCGTACGGATACTATTGATGGGATTATGGATTTATCTGGATTTATCTTTCTTCATGTCCCTCCACGAAAGCTGGCGGAATTCAAACACACTTCCAACCAATCTGCTACGCGTGATCTAACCATGACCATAATTCTCTACCATACGCAAGGCACATGTAGTTAGGACTGTTTCCCACTCCAGACTCCCAACCGTAACTTCCAAGCCACTGAACGCGGCCATCCCCGTTTCCCCGAGACATAGTTTGTTTTAGTACATTGTTGGTGCATTTCTAGGACTGCCCGAACATTTCCGCGGCTGTTGGAAACAAGAACTGGCTGCCTGCAGGGGCGAAGCGCCTGTAGTGGCGAATAGATCGCACTGCCCCTGACGTGCCACAGCCTTGTCGGAAAGCACGCTTCAATAGTTAGAACAGTTCTTGTTGAGTAAAGGAACGGCAGCCTTCCTGTTCTCCACCCTGCTGACAACTGACTTAAGGAGTGCCACTGAGTGGTATTTCGGAGAGGTGTTCGACCGTTGTCAAATCGTGAGGACACTAGAGTCGGCACAGCTCGAGCCTTTGAGCAACTGTGCCAATTCTGTCGGTCTCAAATAGGGTTCGGTAGCTTGTGCGAATTCGGAAGAAGAAGAAGAAGAAGAAGAAGAAGAGGGGGTGGAATTTTTGTGAGGATCATGTCACCTTGTTCTTCTTGGAGAAGGATATATCCTGTACACCGTTCGACATTGTCATGGAGCCTGACACAAACATTGCGTGCGGTTCGTCATCCTGTTCACTAGTAGTAAACAATTCACTCTCAGGGCTGCAGTTTCGTGTCTAGGTGCGGCCACAGAACATAGACATCAAAGCGTCTGAATCATTGTGAACTCCTAGAGCATCTGCAAGAAGTTGATTAGCCTTACTTTGTATCATTCTCCGTCTAGTTTGAAAAGGACATAGAGGTGTGAGAAGAAACCTACCATCTTCACGTACCTTCCGCTAAGGGAAACTCCTCAAGCGTACCCTCTGATCCACAGCCCTGTGGATGAATCTCCGACTGGGCCCTCCATCTTTTGGAGCAACTGTATTATTCGAGTCGTCCCGCGTAGCGTCTCTATCCACGGAAAAGCAGTCGTGCTCATAGATAGTTTCTGACTCTCCGTGGCTTCTGTGTCGTCGAATGTCAGAGATGAATCTATCTTCACCAGCAGGTTGTACCCTCTTCTCTTACAGAACCTTCTCAACTCAAAGAGCTGTGGCTTCTCCCTCTCTTCCTTTCTTTTAAGCCGAAGACACGCAAGGCGATGGCACTTGAGGCTGGCGAAGACATTGAAGTATCAACTTGGAAGGAGTTTAGGCTGCTTCGTCCACAAAAACACGGGTGGAGTTGTCATTCAGATTTACAGAGCGAACTTAACAGAGCGGCTCTGCTTGTATTCCGTACTCGAGCTTCAATGGAGCGGTAGAAGGAGCTTAGACGCGGATCGTCCAACTTCCGGTGATAGTTTTGAAAGGGTACCGGCGAGGATGCGGTGTAGAAGACAGGAAATGATGTATGATATCTTGCGCAGTTCTCTGTTGCCAGAGTTATGGCCAAAGAGGCGCCTAGATCTCCTGTCAATATCAAAGGACTCAATCCGCAGGTGGCACCCCTGGCCTGCGCAAGGAGAAGATGGATTCAATCGCAAACCAATCCCTCGCGAAGAGGCAGAAAACAAGATTTCCAGTGGGTCAAAACTCCCACTCGGACTTGTCTGACACCACTGAACCCAGATCAACACCTGTAGAAGGCGTCTGTTTGAATCTGTCGGGTTTTCGTTGACGTTGGAGTGTAGCCGTGGCTGGCGGCAACTGGTGCAGGGTCTGGTCATACAGTATTTCTGTGGGTAGGATAAAAAGGAAAGTCAATGATGCCACATCTTCTAGATCAGCTGCGACGTTGGCGAAAGGTCGTCGTGTCTACCTCGACCGTTCAGACATCGAGGTATTGTGACTTGGACCATTCTCTTTGTCTTCTTTGAGGACCGGAAAAGTCACAAATCCGCAGCCAGTGGTAGTCACCACGCGTGGGCTGCTTTAGATACCGTCGGTGAGAAATAGAGGGCACGACTGGAGGATTCGGAAGTGTCTCCGACAAGGTGGTCTTCAGATGATGGAGCGAGATCTATAGCTTTGCTGAGATGATCGATTCAATCTGCGCGCTGCTTCCACAAGGTCAGCTAGAAGGTGCATTGAGCCTGCGGTATTTAGGAAGAGAAGAACCATCCCTCAGAACGTTTTCGCCCAAAGTACGTTGTGGTCGTTCAAGGCGAGACCTCCTTGAGTACGAAGACGGCAGGCTGTCAGGTGTCTAGAAAGGCTAATTAGGGCCTGGTGATTAGCTGTAAGTACGGGACACCCTTGTAGAAATCTCCTTAAGCCAAAGTATATGTTAAATCTTCTAGGGAGAGCGCAGCCATTGCCGCAATGGCATCAATCCCCCTTGAAGATGTCGATGGGGATGTCTATCGGGATCATTTCCTGACTTTCCGCAAATTGACCGCAGTTACAATGATTTAATGAGAGTTCTCAACTCTGCCTCCTTTTGGCATCGTCGCTACGCTTGGAGTCCCGAGTTAGCGTCTCGCGCCCGGGGCCATCGCATCTAATCCCTGCGAGCTATCGACATCTGCAGAGCTGGTCATTGTGTTTCCAAGGATGGCCTCCGGTGAAGAAATGGTGCTGAGATGATAGACTCTGGGGTCGTCGTAACAATCGAGTCTGACCAGGAAGAGTCATGGCTAAGGAGGTCCAGCTTACAGTGCTACTTGATTGGGGACGCTCAGGGTTCGAGCACGGTCTCACGTGGAAAGGGGCACCAGGGGTGATTCCGAGAGCCTTGCCAGCTCAACTTTGCCTCTGCACGAGGGAGCAGCTGAACGCCCAGAGGGTATCCCTCAATTAACGGGAAATTGCAGATCTGATCGCTAAGGGCGCATGCGTTTCGCCGGACGAAACCCAAAACTACACCTTGCAACTCTCCCTATGAGAGCTATTTGGCAGTTCCTTAAGAGGATTCGACCGTTATAGATAGAGTCGACAGTTCTAACTAATCCCTAGTGACTGCCAGGGCTGGTCTTGGACGTGGGTAAGCTACCAAATCTGATACCATGCATGCTTGAATCGAGAGGAAGTGAACAGCTAGCATTAGCTTTGGGTTTGCACCGCTTCATGATTTCTCATTCCTAGAGAGGGAGATCGCTTGACTGGCGATCTGAAGCAGGTCTCGCTGGTCCGGACAAAAAGCTTTTTCAGTCGGATAAGCAAAGAGGCAACATAGTAGTACCGCTTTTCTTGCTGACTTTGCTGGCGATGCAGCTCTGTTCATGTTGGACGAGACAACCGCTCTCACGACCACCGTGGCACCGTGGTCCAAACTTCGGTGTCCATCCAGGTTGAAAATCACTCGATACGAGAGCCCGCGGAGTGGGGGGTGACGGTGCTGGACAGAACTTTACTTCTGTGGTTCCCACCGTCCTAACGGGGAGCTTTCTCTTCGCCCCCAACGGCTGGTTCGCTGACCAGCAGTACACAGTACTGGTCTGACCGCTCCCGAAAGAACCGTGCTAGGGTCGCCGTTTGGAGCAGCTTTCCCTCAACATCTTTTCAGATGCTGATGTGACAGGCAGGGTTGACCTTGTGTTGTGTTTCAGCTGTCTGGCTGACCACACGTCATCGAAATGGGTTGCATCTGTCAGAAACAATGCGGAGGGAGGAGTGGCCAGGGGTCGGTACGCGAACGCGCAGTCATTTCCATCGCTTCAACCTTGTTACACTTTTAGGTAGCAATGGACCGCGAGCACATGGCATCAGGCGATCGTCAAGGCTTTGATGTATACCGGCCCCGTGACGGTCGAAAGCATAACCGGATAGTGTCAATCCTTCGGACACCCGTTGCATCGTTTTGATCGTAGTGTCTTCCCACTGCCGAAGGCGTAACGTTGCACTTGCACTATGTTAGGAAACCGTATTGGTAGTCAACTCTTCTTTCGTTGTCCTCATGTTCTTCTTCGATCATTGCAGCTTCTAATTTGGTTAGATAAACATAAAGTCTTCTAGGGCATTTTACCAAGCATGATCAACTGACGTGCTTGAAGCGTGGAGCAGGGACCATGAGATTAAGGCAGGATAACAGATGCTGAATGCACCGGGACAACACTGGGTACATAGGCTAACGTGCACGACAGGCACCATGGAGCACCAAGAGCGTTCTTGAGAACATCCAGCCATCCACCCAATTTCGGGGCCCGCGGGCGGCAACAGTCGGGTTGACCCAAATGGATTGGAGAGTTTACCCTCGTGTCCATCTTTGCACACCCACGTTGCTCCACCTAAGGGTGTGCTTCAAGCGCAGAAGGTCTCTCGCTTAGATGCGCTGTGGTCTCTGACGGCAGAGAGAACTTTGGTTAGTGGCAGCCGGAAGACAACAGCTGACAGCTGCTGTGGGCTTCATCATCCATGGTCAAGATATATCCCACTTGCTCGCATGGTAGCGATAAAGATGCTACCTGGGCCATCGGAAAAGGGTGGCGCCATAGCAGCGGGCCAGGCCCTTGTAGGCAGGCTGCTCGTCAATCCTAGAGTATTAGTAGTAGTATAAAAGGAGAGGTACAACTCCTACATCTCCCAAGCCTCCGGCCTCGAGGACTTCAATACGCTACTAGTAAGTCTTGAGACCAAAGCCACAAAAAATTACCAGGTATTTTCGCACTGTTTGGTGGCATGGTTCCAGACCAACAGAGGAGGAGGCGTTATCCTACCGTAGAAGGAGGGTTGGTCGGGTGACTCTGGAAAGTGGTGTCTAAGGACCTGGGCAGACTTGGTCCAGCGACCGGAAGATGATGGCTAACGTACTGTCCGTTCAGCTGCGATTCAAGGCAAGCCTGGCCTTGATACCTCGCCCCGAAGTCTGGTCGCAGCCATTGTGGTAGTGGAAAGGACAAGTTTGGAGCTGACCATAACCATGATTGCTTGCAGACTGCCGTTTTGAAGCCACACTGACCTCAAGTTGACCGTAGGAGTCTAGACTCCTTGATGGCCAGGCCGTCGTGCATGTATCGGTAGGACTTTCGAGGAATGGCGTCTACAACCGTCCTATCGAACCTCCATTTTGACTAGTACCTCTTTTTGTGTGCACCTGTCTCTCTCGGAGACAACAACGATGTGTGCTTTTCTGACGACTCCAGGTAGGATGCCAACACCTTGATCGGAGTATCCTTCGGGACCAGAAGACCAGCTGGAGTGGCACGAGCAGGACGGCAGCGAGATAGAACGCTGACCTTCGCGCAAATCACGTCGTTAGGCAAAGGATCTGGGGCTAAGAGGCGTGGCACGACCGGGCCTAGCGACGGCGTCCTCCTGCCCACAATTCTGGAACGCTCGTTGTGCGCTGGCGTAATGTCGCTCAATGCTGACAGTCGCCGGACTGGCCGGCCAAGTCGTCTTAGCGCTCGATCTATTGTCTGGTCGAGGGTAGTTCAGGCACCAGCGCACACAAGCACCGAGAGCGGTAATGGTCTCGCACCTAGGAACAAATGCCCGTCGGCTCTCGCTCACATCAACGAACCTGTCAGTCAGACGGGGCAATTGATCGCATCAACTAATCACTCGAAAGCTGTATAGAGATAAAAAAGTCCCCGGGCACGACGAGGCTAGATAGAAGATCCATGCAGCCATACGCCACCATCTATCTAGTATCAGGCAAAGACGATTCGGCCATCCTAGCCGAGATACGTACATACACTACATGCTGCCTCGGCCACTCGACCACTCCCTCACATCTTCGCGGCCTGGTCTAGGAAGCGTGTCCTGCATGCAGAGTATTTCGTACGAAGTATGATGATAACACAAGCTAGCACAACCCTATCAGCCGGTGGCGGTGTCCAACGTCCAAGAGAGGCCTCCTTCAACTGATTCTGGGATAATTAGGATCTTCTGCCTGCACCCCATCTGCTCGCGCCATGTCCACTTCGCTTACGATCACAGCCACAGTCACAATCGCGTCCTTTCCCAATTGGGGGTCTCGATTCGCCCCAATGTCGCCATGTTTAGTCCATGCTTGAACTGTCGTCACATCGTTCGTTTGCTTGATTATGTCCCTACCCAAGAAAAGCTGCCGTCACCTTGACGGCGTCAGAAAATGGCAAGCAATTAACCTGAATGTCCATTAAAGACGCCCGAAATCCAGAAATGAAGCGCGCTGATGCCCCGCTCAAGAGCTCGAGATAAGTCATGCAATTGAAAAGCCGGCCATTAGAAAATCCAGACGACTCTGGTTTAACCTCATGTCCTCGTTATCATCGCAAGGCAGAATCTGGCTGTTGTTGCCGCCGTACTTGTTCTGAGTCGTACTCTAATGCCGAGTTGAGAGAACCTCTGTCACGAGCATGTCGCAATGCAGGTAGCTGACGTCTTCTCGCATTTATGAACCAGTTGCTAATCTGAAATAGCACCCGAGTCAGTCATGCGCATTCACATATGGGTAGGGCTGCGTACCTGGGCGATCGTGAGCCCCGTTCTAGCCATAAAAGCCTGTTTATCCTCCTCGGTAGGATACGGATGGTCGAGGTGCTCATGAAACCAGGCACGCAGGATGTCGGTGATCTGCCTAGGGAGATTACCTCTACGCCTCCTGTTTCGCGTATCTGTGTCCATCCCGACGGTCGGTGAGGACGGATGATTCGCACCGCTGGGGGACGAGGCATAGTCGGCCGGCCCATAAGGCGACTGATACGCTACTCCAGCCCGATACTCGTAAGGCGAAGGCGCATATCTGGCATAATCCACCTGCCCAACACTTGGCCGGTTTGCAGGCGGATAACCTTGTCCGTAGCGACTGACCGGATCATAATAGGCTGGTCTGTCTGCCGTGTAAGAGTAGGTCTCCTGACTACCATGAGTTGCGACTGCGGATGGAGCTGCATATGATGGGGGATACGTGCTGGTCGGGGGAGGGTATTGCGAATCATAGCCCCCAATATCCCGGATCGGCGGCAGACTGGGACTCTCTCTGGAGGGAGGGAAGGGCGCCTGTGACGGGTACTGCACACGCTGCTGAGTGTTGTACGGGCCTATCATTTCCGCGTACTGCGAAGCAGAGTTCCAGGACGAACTTCGCCTCTGGTGGTGAGGCATTGGGTACGACGACTCAACGCTGCGGGCAGACATGTTGTCGAAGCCCTCGACACTGGTTCCTGCCTGCGAGTGTCTAGGCGAAGGCGTCTCTGATTTCGAGGCTACGGAGGGCGGATGGAATGTCCTTTTGGTCATATTAATTGGGTGGAGAGGAGTGAAGGAGTCGCCCGACAGGGTTGACTCTGAAGCGGAAGATAAGTGGGTGCCGAGGATCTAAAATGTGTTAGAAAACCTAAGAAACACAATCGACAGCATTTCAGGTTCAGTTACCTCTCGAAATGGTGGCAATTGCTGTTGCTGTTGATGTGTAAGGAGGAGTTGCGGAGACCCTAGAGGTGGATCTGAGCGTTCCGGTCTTGTATGCTGGAGGTCAGAGGAGCAGCTAAAAGGAGCGTAGGGATCCATCAAGGCATAAGACGAAGAATAGACAAGATCTGGGACACGAGAAGGCCTCGTCAATGTCGAGAAAGAAAAACTGAGGGCGGGCAGTAATCGTGAGTGTCAGACCAGGATGAGCTGCTTTAGAGCCACGGGTCCCCTGTGCCACCAGTAGGCACGATGAGATGAGGACGATTGGAACAAAGGGTTGTGCATGACCGAAACGCCATTGATGCATGCCCCAGAGGATCAGTGCCATAAATTATGGATGACAGCCATGACATGGCGTCGTCGACGGTAGAAATGGCATCCGCCCGGGTGGGAAAGGGAAGTGACTTGGGAAAAGATGGAGATGTCACTCACCAGGCAGCAGGCACCCGACAGTAAGAGACCACGCTTGGGCCCCGTGGCTCGGAAGATATTATGGTCAATTCGGCCTGTCAAATAGAAGTTATGTTCAATGGCAACGGAGCCAAAAATCGTCTTCCCGCGGTGGAAAAGAAACAAAATCCAACTCGGGTCGGTGGAGGAGAAGGACTGGTTCGTCGAGATATAGGGAAGAAAGTGTTCAATTTGGAGCTTTGGGCTTTGTTGCAGCGCGTGAGTGGCGTTGTGGTGGAGTTGAATTTGGATCGGTGTGAATGATGGCCTTGAAGCAAGATGAGGCAGACGTACAGGTAATAGGGTTTTCGGTGGAACAGCAGGGGGTGGAAGCACTTGCATGAGCTGAGCAGCAAGCCAGGACCAGGGAACTAGACCCTAGGGTATGGGCCCCGAGGCAGGGTTGTCGATCTGGCAAGTGAGTGGGTGCGAAGGGTTGTGAAGGCTAGTTGGAATGATGTTGACGCAAACCCCCTTGGTGGACACCAATGGAGTACAAAGGCGAATCAAATCTCCGTACCGTGCCGTGGAGGGAACGCAGCTGCGATGTTATGGCAGGAGGGCATATCTCGCTGGATGAGAGATCGTGGGTGGCGGAGGAGGTTGAGAAAGAGGAGGAGGCTAGTGTAGCCTGCGGCTAAGAGGAGCGCAATGTGGATGGAGGGACCAGTCGCCATGGTGAGTAATAAGTCTCGGCCGTTGACCTAAGCGGGCGAAACGGGCGTCCGGGAGGAGAGGAGAGCCATCATGGCCAGACAGGGAGGGCAAGGCCGGCTGGGACTCTGGAGGCGAGGAGACTGGAGCCCTTGTTACTGACCATCTGAGAATCTGACAATAATGGAGGTGAATGATGGCGGATTCCCGACTGGACGACACCAAGGTGGATTCACAAGATGGTGGGCTCGCTGAGCAGAAATAGGTATAGGGGCATCGTCCATCGCGTGTAAGGGAGGGAGTGGAGCTCGCGAATGACAGCAGGGGGCGGAAGGGGTGGTGGCCGGCCAGGGAGGGAGAGGCAGTTCGTTGACAGGTTGCGGGAGGATTGTGCCGCCCGTCACGAAAGTGGGAAGTCGATACGCTGTGTACAATCAGCATGGACATGTATGCGGGTGAAGTTTAATTTCGATGGCCACAGCCCTTGTCTCAGCCTGCACGTTACCTGGTCATGAGGACCTTGCAATGGCATGCAGTGGAAGAGGCTCGGATGGAGAGGGCCATGGTTAGGGCGGATGCGGCTATTTGCTGGGGTGGAGCAGAGAAAAGAAGGACGGAAGGTAAGGAGGAGGTAGGTATGGAGATGGAGTGTTGTTGGTACGTAGTCGCGTGGAGGGCAGGGCGGTTTGGCGGAAGCAGCTGCGCAGACTCGGACCTGCCAGTGCAGTGTGCCAATGCCAATGCCAATGCCAATGCCATGGGTTGCATGCCATTCCCATGCAGTGAGGTACAGAGTAGGATCTGTTCGCCCTAGATGCATCACTGGTTTGGTTAGTAGCCGTAGATGGTAGGAGTGTGGTAGAAGGCTGCCGCAGCCGCAGGGAGGCCGGGGGTCGACAGACGGCAGTGCCAGTGGCAGAGGAAGCGGATGATTCAGTCAGCGGGAGCAGAGAGAGCCCTCACTGCTCAGGGTATGCTTCCTGCTGGCACGGCACTTCTTGCCTGTGCACTCCTGTCACCGTCACCTGTGTGCCTGGTGCCTGCCGACCTCGTACGCACACACACGACTCGATTCGTTTTGTGGCAGGGCACACTTGTGGGAAGTGTCATATTGGCCTCGGTGGGTGTCAGGCGAACACAATCTGGGACTAGACAGTTAGTATCTTTTCCGAGGACAGCGCGACGCAGCGGGGCCGAGCAGATGACGTTTGGTCCAATGGCGCGCCACTTTCCACCAAGCACTACTCCGTACATACTCCAAAGTCCATAGGATCCGTACCTACACTGCACAGTGCACATACTAATAAGGTACCTACAGGCTACTACTCCCTAGGTGGTACTCCGTAGTACTAGTATTTCCCTGCCAGAGGGTCGGGTCTGGGTCAAGTGATTTCTTTCGTGTTGGCCGCCGGAAGTCCTGCCTCAGAGGCGCAAGGCAGGGCAGAACAGAGCAGAGCATTCCTAGAGGCCATGTTAAGTTAAATATAGCCACCCCGAATGCTTCATGCAAAGGAACATGTTCCAACGTGCTGGCTTCGGAAAACAGAAAAGTGGAAATCTGGATTGCCCGCAGCGACATGCGATGCAGTGCCTCGTTCCGAAGTTTTTGCTGCTGGCCAGCATGTCCCCTGCATGTGACAGTGCGACCAAGGATGGAGCCGCCCACCAGCGTCAGACTAAGAAAACTCTATTGCCAGTGCCAGGGCTCCAGCATGAATCGCGGTTGACATTCAAAAGACGACGTGTTCTTGGCCTCAGGAGCCAGGAACGACACCGTCACTTGCCATGTTGTACACTCCCATTGGCTCTAGCTGCCCTCTGCCTGGCAGTCGTACCCCAGGTTTCACCCTCGTCCCTTGCCTGGTCAGGTATTGCGTTTGACGGCAGACACCTGCTGGGATTATCTTCGAGGACATGGGTTCAAGTTCGCCATTGTGCGCGTCTCTGTTCGGAGACTATACAGGCCTTTGGTGTTATCGGTAGGGATGTTTAACCGCCCCCCTCCCCCTCGCCGACGGCTGGTATCCGTCCATGTACTGGCTGACCACGTCGGGAACTGTGACCTGGAGTTGTTGTTGCTGCCCTGCTCGTCAACGTCCTGGCACATCCTTGCATACCTAATGATACCTGGCATCCTGGGTTCGATCTGATTCACCCATTATGGGTCGTGCGTCTAGCTTTTCTCTCCCTTGCGAAAGCTGAACGGATACTACAAGTCTTCCAACTCAGCTAGCGCATCCCCTTGCCTGCAGTAGTGGCCAGCCGCGGTCAAGCCACTCAATGCTAGTTCCGATGAAAGTGACTCAATAATGCGTATCCGTACTCTGGATGCGTACTCCGTACGGCGTATGGATACTCCATATACTATCACTAGGTGGATAGAGAGTTGGCCAGCGACCAGTCCCGTTCAGACTTTTCTGCCTCTCCACTGGATGCACTCGCCTGCACACCAATCACGCTGACAGCAGCTCTGATGACGCCCACCGGTTGAATCACCGTTTGATTTGAGGTGATGGCGATCCGTCCACGCAATAAGATACTGCTGCTATACTACGAACGGATACAAATGCCCTGCAATTGCTTGCATACCAGGTAGCCAGGGATGAAAGCTCCCGCTTCTGGTCATGTGGCGGTCCCCGCTGGCGGTGATAGGGATCCGTTGCTACTACTACTAGTCCAAGTGGCAGTATACGGACAATTAGGCGTAGACGGAGCAGTAAGTGGTAAGCTGTAACATGGTGCTTACTGCTGCCTGCCGCATCCAACCATGTTCTCGGGTCCTCTCCTCTCTCGCCCTTCTCCCTCCTTCCAAGTTCCAAGCCCCTCTCCCAGGAACCGCTGTTGCCGGCCGGGCTGGTGTCACCACTCTGTCAGTCGCCTTTCCTCTCCCCGCCCTCCTTCCAAGATCGACTGCTTATCTGCTCCGAGATTCCGGCATCGATTGTGGTACGTGGCCCAAAGCTCGTGAGACTGTCGTTGCGCACCCTGCCCAACACACACTGCGGCACAAGTCGCCCATTGCACGCCAGCCGAGTCCAGCCCGTGTGCGCCCTGCGTTCCTTGACCTCCATCTGACTGGTCAAACGTGCCAGAGCAATTGCTGACCGCCTCAGGTCGCGTTGCATCCCTCGTGACGAGACGACAGTTTCCTCGTCCCTGCGACCCGCACCGGCCGATCTCGATGCAGTGGCCTTAGCGAATCTCGCCGTTGTCCAATCGCTTCCAGGTCCTTCCCGGACGCTATGACCACGGCTTCAGTACTCCGTACGTGAAATGCAGTACGTGAAATGCACGATCGGCTATTCTCCTCCCTCAGTTTGACACGAGTACCAAGAAGATATTCCTCTCCGCCACTTCTCACAATTCGTGGCTGGAAGGCTTGAATAGACATCGCCAGCGGTGCTACAACGGCCGGATTATCTCATCGGGTCAGACACTGGCTGCGATTAAACTTCCTTAACACCACTATGAGATATTTCCCCGACCAGATTTACTCAACAATGGTCGCACGTATAATCGCTGCTCGATCCTTAAGTGCCCAACACGTGGCAGTGATCGGACATGCATTCACCATCTCTTCCTCCTTGCACTAGAAACCTGCATGTGTCGCGTCGTACTGTGTATCTGACCGTTGTGTCATCTGTCTGCTAACGAATGCATGGCTCTAGGAATTTCAATCGCTCATCTTTGTCACATCGTCTTCTGGCACCACTGAATGGAAAATTTGTCCCCAGACCTGGGCCAGGGCCAACACATGGGCAATCATTTGCTGCTGCTACAGCGAGGCTGCTTGCTGAGGACGATCAATTGCTCGGGAGCAATACACATGGACTCATCCATGCTGCTACTACGTGATCATGCTCTCAGTGACTGAAAGACAAAGAATCGAGCCGTCACCTGCTCCCAAGACGAACGCTCCGTTCTTCCTTACACAACCTTTGGCTTCCTCTCGGCGAGGCAATGGCTTAGGTCTTGGTAGGCAGAACCTACACCTGGCTGCACGCGGACCAATTTTTGTTCAATCCTTCTGTCTTGCACATGTAGATGTGGGTTTGGCGTTCCGGTGTGTTGTGATGTTCAAGCTCGACTGCCTCCCCTTCGATTGATGTTTGATTTGCTGTGTTTACAACAGGTTAGAAAGCCGAACAGCACCGCGAGGAGCTGTTCACAACACCAGTTGTTGTCTCCGCACTTCGCCCACAGGCATCCCGTTCCCGCTGCAGGGATCGCAGATTGCCTGAAAAGTGAGGCTTGATACTGGTCGATCTTTCGGAGCAAGCGAACGTGTCATTCGAGGCTTGTTCACAGCCAAGGACGTGGTGTAACCCATTGGCGACAGTACCAGCGCCACGGTTTCTCCCTTCGGCTCCAGCAGCCAGGGTTCGGACTGGACTTTTTACCACCCTTCCCAGAGCCCGTCGGCCAGTCAGGCCCGGCCTTATAGATGACTCCGCTTTGGGATCTGAAGGTAGGCGACAATTCAGTGGGCCTGAGTCTCTTATCAAGTCCTCGCCCGAGAGGAGTATTCCACCGACCAACAACTTGGCTGTTTCTCTGATACTACGAACATCACTAAAATGTGCGTCGTGTTACGCACGCTGATCCATTGAGCCTGGATTTCCACGTCGACATACTATGCCTTTTCTTGCCAACAATCCTGAATCCTCAAGGAAAGCCTGAGAAACAGTCCTAATTCTCCGAATTGGTAAAACACCATGTCTTTCTCTTCTTTCCCATGGCAAGGCTTAATTCCAGGTTTGAACATTTAAAGATCAACACGTCTGCATTGGTTTAGACCCCGGCCTTCGCCAGGTTTTAAACTCATCTTTCCAGTCACGTCCTGAGTCAGTCAGTAGCCCAAACTGAGACCTGCGAGAAGCCAAAATCGTCACACCGTTTTTTTCAGCCGAAACCCAGCATTCTAGCGACCGGCAGCCAACGAGAGCAACACTATATCATCACGGCAAGGTGGTAGCAATCACTTTAGCCACAAAGTAGCCCAATTTTTTCATTACCCAGATTTCTTCACCCTATATTGTGCAAACTCCGGGTCGGTCTGCTGGGAGGGTGCGTTCCCGCAAATTCCAGATGGCTCTTCCTTCCGCCATGAATGGAGAAATGGGAACAGTCTAGCTCTAATCAATGCATCACGTTCGTCCAAGGGATAGCCCTTTGAAACCACCTGGATATACAGATCCTCCCACCGTAATGCCAGCTGGTGCTCCCCTACCGGAGATAGGGTGTAGTCGGGTTTGGCTCCCCTTGCACATCTGGCTTCCAGCCTGTTGTACATAGCTTTACTTAGACACTGACTCCATGACGGGCCTAAGGGAGAGATCCAGTTACTACAGTCAGCCAACGAGCCGCCGAGGAGGAACGATATGGCTCCCTCCTTTGATGATCCTCAATCATTAATCCCATTTGGAGAGCCCACGTCTCTGGTTCTACGTAAGCCGATCACTGGGCCCCTTAGCCCTTGTTTTGGGGCGTTGCATGTGCACCCGGCCTCGTCCGGAAACAAACTAGCCACGCGATACGCACGAGCATGAATAGGAGCCCGCCCTATGGCAGACTCCAAAGCCGACTGCACCCTGGGCAAGGCAACTGAAACTACCTGGCACGACACAATCTGACCACCGATGAGCATTCGTCGCTATTTGCCTTGCCGTTCGAGGGCCTTGGCTTTCTTAGCCTGGGCTTGGTCCCAATCCGCTCTTCTCCTCGACTTTTCAAAGAAAAAGGGCAGCTCTTCGGGTTCTGTTTGGACGAAATGGATCTTTCGCAGAGTCTCGAGGTCGGCGGAAGCGGGGATGCCTATGGAATGGCTCGACGGTGCCGCATCTTCACCTGTCGCCATTTCCGCTAAAAGGTGTTTTTCCTCGGATTCGTCGACCTTGCTCAAATCTTCCAAGTCTCGCTGCCATTGCTCTCGAAGGGATTGGCTCCAGAGCAGATGTCTCGCTACATCCTCGCCCTCGGTATTTTTGACTTGCCACAGGATCCACTTCAGAAGCGTCCTTGAAGTGCCCGACTCGCCATACCGGGCGACACCAACATGCCACAACGCTCGTGCGATAGTAGGCTGCACAGGGCCGCCATAGCGATGCAGGAACATATAGCACCAATAGACCCGACGGAGCGAGGCTCGAGGACTCGTCACAGTCGAGGTCGCAAAAGACACTGCGAGGTGGTTGATTAGGTCCAAGGCATCCACCGGGGACGGTATGCCGGAATGTTTGGTCTGAACGTTATTTCGACAGGCGGGTCGGCCGCCCACCTCTCCCAAGAAACTGATAAATTGGGAGGGGGCCTCGTCCGAGGGTTCCGCCCCTTGTTGTACTGCCAGTAGCCGTTGAGGAAACGCTTGAGAGAGCGCCAGCTTGAAAGAGATATTGTTGTCCAGAATTCTAGAGATGATCTCGAAAGAGAGCGGGCTCTTTTGAATCATCCTTCGTGACAACATCTTGAACAGGGGGAGATCATGATTTAGTGACTCCGCCAGCACTGTGAGCACATCATGGTGGCTGATTCGAGCATTTTCATACAGGTTGTGGCTGAGAAAAAGCGAGAAACTCCGGTATCGAAACCCTTCAATGTCAGAGGACGACTCTGACTCCAGCAATATAGGAAGAGGGTCGCGGTCAGCGATTCTATAGAGATTCTGCAGTAGTACGTGTTTGTTTGGAAGGGGCAAGCTGTCGATGGCGAGGATGGAACGGTCAAGAAACCCCTCCGTGGCCAGTTCTGGTATAGATTTGAGTGTCTTGCCAAAGGAATCGAGGAATTGTAGCCTCTCTGAGAGGGCTGGCGACTTTCGTCGACACTTTCCGAGGCACAAGGAAGCCCAGGCAAATGCTGCCAAACGCTGCTCTGTGCTTAGACTGCTTGCGTTGGATGAATGAATAACCCAGGTATCTTTTGTCAGCAAAGGCGCCTGTCGCGACCCCAGCAATGCCAAAGTCCCGGTCCAATGATGGAGAAGGTAGGCATAGATCGACGTCGTATCTTCTTGTCCGATGCGGATCAAATCATCTGTTGTCTGCAACAGAGACAGTTGTAGAGCTTTTGGTTCGACTTTCGCGAGACGCTTCGCGAGCCGTTGCCCCACTTCTTCATCAGGGTTGTCCCGACATCGAGCCCTGAGATGTATCATGATGAGCCGACTAATGAGTGGCGCATCGTGTTCGGAGGCCCATGGAGAGAGGTCCCATAAGATTCGTTGCGCGGTAGATGTGAGGCGTCTATTGTTTCCAACCTTCCTCAACAGTCGTGAGAGAAAATCGCGTCCAAGGTCAGCCAGTTCAAGGACCCTAGAATTGGCCAGAGATGTCAATAGCCCGTAGATGAGATGTTCTTTCTCAATAGATTGCACGATTTGCAGTTTGCCGTTGTCTTTCACCAAGCTCATTGGACCTGCATCGGCCGCATGGGCAATGACGGCCCGTAAATCTTCAACACTAAGAAGTCCCAATTCCGCAGCTTTGCAGAAAGAATCCCGGACAGCATGCCAGGACCGGAAATCCCACGTCCGATCCAAAAGACCCGAAAGCATCTGCAGGTGAAATGAAGTCCCGGGTGGATGGAAGGCCGGATCGCACAGGTAGGCAGCAATCTCAGAGCCGCTAAAGTCTTCAGCCAGAAGATGCTGAGAAATTATTTGGCCAATCCTTATGTTGTCCCGAACAGTAACTCCTAGCTCTTTCAACGAAGTGCGTATTGCGACCAAGCTTCGACATCGCCTTATCTGTTCCTCATCAAAACCGTGGGTCTTCAGTAGCGTGGATGTCGGGTTGTCTGATCTGCCGGATGAGGATCCTGGATTTCGTGAGTTCTTTCTGGACTGGTTCGAGTCGGAGAAGAGCCAGGATGGCAGTATGCGCGAACCACCTGATAAGTTAGCGCAGTGCAGGCAAAGTTTGGTCTAACGATATCATACTTGGTTTCCCATCCACAGTCGCAGGGGGTTGCCACCAGTTTACCTTGGAGGAATCTCCAAGGACAACTGACAGATCAATAGCAGTGGCTTCTTGCCCGTAATGCGCGAGGCTCGTGTTCTTCCGCTTCGTGGCTCGACGCTGGGCCTCCAATGGACCGGGGACGCTACTGCCATGACGTTTGTGGTGACAGAAACGGGTGAATGTGTCGGCGAGGAGGGCGTCCGATATCCATACAAACCGAGGAGCCTGGTGGGACACGCAGCTTGCTGCACAGAAGCCTTGATTCATAGCATTGGAGCGAACGAAGCGGTGGTGGTCTGGCTCGCAGCCGAGAGGGAGACCTTCCTGTACTAGCTAAGAGCGAGTCTTCCTAAAATTGCGACCACAATCTGACGAGGGGGCTACGAGTATAATGAAGTTGACGACGGAGCTTGTCGACGTTCCAATTGCACTAGTACTAATTCAACCAGGCTTGGCACTGAATGCGCACAGCCTTGTCTGCGCAGCCTTGTCAGCCTTGTAGACCAATCAATCCTCTAGCCACACTCCTACTTTTATCGAAAGTCTCGACATACAGGGAGGGCGTATTCAGAGCCTTTGCCCAATATCAATCAATCTATGTAACCCGTATCGACACAAATTTCAACCTTTCAATTCGCAGTTTCCCGTCCTAGACCAAAATGCATGCTCATGAGCATTGATGGTCCAAGCTTGCCCCATCCATGCTATCCTTTCCTGAGCGTTGTTCCAGACTTTCCGTTGGTATCATTACAAGGTTATGTATAGTACAGTGGTTCGCGATCCTGTTTTTGTTATGATGGAGAGATGCCTGTAAATTAGTGTAAAATCAACTATCTCCGCCGCCGGCTCAATGAAGAGTAAATCGTAATATGATTTTCCTGCTGCTAGAGTCAGTCCCTTCTACTTTCCGGTGAAGCGTACCTTTCGCCCTCGAATTGTGAAGAATGTCATCGTGTTTGCTGTTGTCGTGGAAAGCGTAAGAGTCGTTTCCACTGTTGAAGTCGTCTCGTCTGTGATAGGATCGGTCACCGTCACAAAGGCGGTCGCAGCGTCGTCCGCCAAAGAAGTGATGGGTGGGATGATGGTGGAAGAAAGGCATCCCTCGATAGGCGATCCAGAGTATATTGAGCAAGCAATTGCATCGCCGGCACCCACACTCGAAGAGTCTAACGTGCTAGTGTTGGTTTGGCTCGTAAAATCTCCAGCAGTTGTGCTTGCAATAGTCGTAAAAGTGGTATCACTAAGCGCTGTTGGTTGTAAGGATGGCGTGCTTAATGTCCTAGTACTCTCCGGCGTGACTGTTGTGTACAGCGTCGTAGTGGAGAAAATTGTCGTCGTTGATGTCCCTTCGGTGGAAGAGCTTGCGTCCCCGGCCGACGCAAAAGTGGTGTATGTGCTGCCTGTAATTATGTATGTAGTACCAGCATTGCTGAAGGTAGTTGCAGGCTGCGAGATTGCACTCTCTGGCACTGTGCCGGAGGCTGCAGGGGAGAAGAAAGTGGTGTATGTGCTACCCGTGACCGTGTAGAAATTGCCAGCACTGCTCAACACACTGACAGCTTGCGTGGCAGTACTTTCTTCAATTGGAATTGTCGACCCTGACTCGACAATCGTTGTGCCGGGGATTACAGTTGTCATGGTTATGACCGTGACCATATTCGATCCTCCATCATTGCTGCCTCCATCACTCGGAGTGACAGTGGGGGCTAGGACGCTGTCAGGGACCGTGGTTGTTGTTTCAGACTGCAGCGGTGTCGTGTCTTGATTTGCTCCCGGTAATGCAGACACTGAAGGCGTGACTGTTTCACTGGTGACTGCCACGAAGTTGCCTGGGGCATTGCCGTTTACAGTCACGGTAAGGGTAAGCCAATCGGTAGTCGTCACTGTCAGAAATACAGTCTGTTCTGGCAGACTAGAAGGCACACTCGAAGTCATCGTGCTCAAGTCATCCAACCCAGTTGTGGTCAACACGCTTGCAGCGCCTGTCGCGGGCGCTACTGTTTGTGGAGAGCTTGACGGAGTTGTCGGGCCGGTTTCGGTGTATACAGTGTTGCTTGGTGCTGTCGTGCTTTCGTTTGTCGATGAGACCTGTACAAAAATGCCTCCCGGCGTTGGCCATGTCCATCCTGGAACGGGAGAGGTGAACCAAAGGTGATCGCCGGATATACTCGTCGGGAACAAATCTCCGGAAGCGCTGGAGGTAGGCATGAGGTCGGGGGTCGCAGTCGATACGAGGTCGGAGATAGGCAATATACTTGACGCTCCATCTGATGCCAATGTAGACAACAGCTCAGGGAAGCTAGAAGTCGCTGTGGTTGAAGTTGATTGGTCGTCTGCTGTTGTGGGGGTATGAGTCAAGGACGACCAGAGTGTGCTGGAGCTGGTTGTAGCGCTAAAGGATACGTCGCTAGTTGATGTCGTTGCCGCGGTTGAGCTCGTCCCAGAGATTCCGACAGTTGTGGACGTAGTACTGGAAATTGAGGTGGTATCTGAAGAGTCGAGCGAGTGGGAGTTGAGTGGGCATACCAGTGGCTCAGCCAGACCAGGGCCAGGGGTTATGGGATTACACCCTGGCAGAGCACTGATGTTGCCATGGATGGGCTCGTCAAGCACCGATGGCTGCTCAGGACAGGTGCGAGAAAAGTTGACATCATCACTCTCAGTGAGATATGAGCATGCACTGATGACTCCGCCATTGTCGGTGTAGAGGCAGTTTTCCACTGCGGCGGTCTGTACGTCCATATCCCAACCATTGAGAAAGTCACCGTGGAACCCATAGCCGGTGGGATCGCCATTGGCGAAGACAAACTCGCCACCACTTGATTGATCGATTAAATTGGTAAAGTACAAAACCCTGCAGCGTGTGAGTCAACAGAAGGTAAGACTAGTAGTATAGGCAAACTAACTCAAAGAAGAGACCTGGGATAGAAACAGGATGTGTAGGAGGGCAGACGCCGTAGTCAATGCCGGATAGATAAGCAACATGGGCGGAGTTGTCGAGGTAAGTGTTGACCCCGTCCCAACAGGATTGGAAGTTGATTTGAGCTCGTAGACCATTTACGCAGTCGGTCTGCGAGATGTAATGTGTTTCTGGAATATCGTTAGCTTCATTGATGCAGCGGAAACTTACCCTGCAACTGGTCAGCAATTGTTTCCAAACATTCAAGTGTTAGAAACAGCATACCTGTCGGCTACAGGCCGGGTTTCCAGATATGTCAAGGTTGAGGTGTCGTATGACCGCTGGCGAGTATCTCCCGAGATCATTTTGAACCCAGCAGGGAATGGAACAGTATTGGATGCATTTCCACCACGTCCTGTCCCGTAATCAGTTGGCGTTACGGCCAAGAGTTACAAAATACATACCGACGTAGTACACAGTCATTCCGTAATTTGGCACTTCCTCAAAATCGCCATTGGCGTGGGCGTAATACAACTGCGGGGTCCAGTAAGCCGAGGTGTCCTTCTGGACCTCGCAGGAGGAACAAGTTGAAGATTGAAGAGAAGTGAAGTCGGAGTTTTGGTTGACGTCTGGTTCGTTAGCGACAGGTCAGATCTTTTGAGTGCATAGAGAACTCACTGCTTCCGCCGGCGAACTTGTGGGCGTGCGCGGAGACTTCGCCAGGATTGAGGATGGGGTCGACTCTCGCTGTTTGAGAGACGCTGCATGCCATGCGCCAGTAGGCAAGTGAGAGATTCGATTGTAAGGCTATCAGCCAGAGGACGAGAGAGAGAGGCAGAGGCTTCATTGCGACAACGCGGCTATGTTGCGCCGCTGTGTTAACAAAGTTGTTTCAGTATATCTAAAAAAAAAAGAGTAGGATATCACTTCTGGTATATGAAACCGGAAACATTAGTAGACGAAGCAGACGAAGCAGACGACGACGACGACATGCATAAACAATGCCGGCGATCGTTGTAGCATATGCCATGGAGTCGTTACCTCGTGCACAGTGGGACCGTCGTAAGGCCATCAGGCAAGTCCTACATGCTAGAGGTGGTTCTGGAACGAGGCTGAATGCCCAAGAGGGAATAGGCCGGCCTGCTATGAAGAGTGCAAGGACTACTTCGTGCTCCAAGCTCTGGACTTTGACTCAAGCCGTGTGGGATCGAGCACCAGCGCTGGGAGATCCTTGCTTTGACGCCGCTTACGACGACGAGCTGGGAGGACTACCAGGTGACCACAACATGCTACTGTGCACGGCTGATGACCCGAGATTTGAAATAAGACGTTCGACGACTTCTCGGGTCAACGAACGAAGGTTTGAGCATTTCTCTAGCTTGAAGCTGCAGAGGGAGCTCCAAGCTCTTCCGCAGAGATTGGAGTGTCGGGCCATCGGTGTAGGAGGCGCCAATATTGGATGAATGTGTTAATCATTCTTGTTGATGATAGAAGGGAGGCCTGGTCTGGTGGCATTGCCAGCGCACAGAAGGTGGACTGAATGTAAGTGTAAATCAACATTCGCCATCTCGACCGTGCAGGGGCCACCGATTGACATGTCGCTATGGTAATGGGGGAGCCGGCTTGCTTTGGTTGACGCGTGGTGACAGGTGTCAACATGGATACAAAATGGGATTCAGGAGGACGCCTGCGACGCTGGTGCGATAACTACGTAAGTTAGCAAAGGGTACTCCGTACAGAATGGAATATAATCATACTAGCCATGGTCCGTGAGGCTGAGGCGTTCAAACAAGCCTTGTTGGCTCTTCTCCCGGACCTACTCTTTGTATACCACCTAGGTGCCACTCACGGCATGGTCGTACAGTAGTACCAATCGTTTTCTGGGCTACTACTAGGCCAGGCTCGCTTCTTAGCAGATGTGTAGCAAGACCAGGTCGCCAGGGAAGCTAGAATTCAGGTGGACAACCGGGCAGAGCTATGAAAATGAAGTTGGGTTATTATTGAGAGGAAACGATTGAGAGCACAGAGGAAACAAGTCTGTGACGTCTACGGAGCTAAGTTGCTCGTGACGAAGTACGGGATACGGAGTACGGAGTACGGAGGACGCCCTGTCTCGGTGCCTGTCACCGGCCTGTTGCCGCAGCAGCTTACTCAGCATATGTGAGTGCTGACTGTTGAGCCCCTAGCCTATGAGTAGGTAGGTACAAAAAGATTTTACTATGCTGAGGCTTGCTGCAGCAATGACGATATCACATGCGAGTCTTCTTTATACCTAGGTAATGAAACATAGGTTAGGTACAATAGATACCTGTAACCCAGGTATGTACTCCGTACTCCGTCCCCCAGGTGCTACCTTACCTAAGGTACCTAGGTAAGTAACCCCTAATCATTGCAAATCGTTTTACGGTACTCCGTACTAGTATACGCATGCATGCCATGAAAAGCCGGGTTACTACCTACTACTTGAAGAAAATCAACATCTGGCCCTTTCAGGCAACCGGGTAGAATGCCAACCACGGCTCCTCGATAAAGTTGGCAGTGCCTGTGAGAATATCGCTGTACAGTGTACATTCTCCGTACGGAGTAGTGTCCGTACTCCATATTTGAAAGCTGATGAGGCAGAATCCGCGGCCCCCGACGCTAAAGCAGCCTGGATTAAATTCCCCACGCGATCAGGCTCCCAGGCTCCCAGTCTCCTCAGTTTCAACACCAACTTGACTTGGACTCTCTTATCTCAACGTTCGTCCTCCGGATACACATACTTACAACCATCACAGACCTCGGTTGCCTTTCATACTCTGCGCAGGCGTATCCTGATCAACATCTGTCCTCTGATCGCGGAGCTATAATAAGCCACCTAGTTGCATGGAGCCAGAGTTCCGGCTTTGACCAACTGCCACTCCCTCTCCCCCGCGCCCCGACATCCGCCTGTGGGAAAATCACTCAGGTAATAAACCGACGAGGTCGCTGTCCCTGCGTCCCCAGGAGCAACCGTCTAGGCTATAGGCGGGCGACGCTTGCATCCAACGTTATGGATAGTCCATCTTCTCCCCAAGACAATGTTGCTAGAGAGGAGAAATCCAGGCCTGCCTCGCAGAGTCGGGTCCGGCGCAGAAACCGCATGATCACCTCCTGCCTAGAATGTCGCCGGCGGAAGCTCAAGTGTGACAAGCTTCATCCATGCACTAATTGCAGCAAGTCTTCCCGCGACTGTCTCTTCCTTGCTCCTGCACTAGACTCGGTCTCGCAACAGCGTCTCAATGAGATCAAGGAAAAGATGGGGTCACTTGAAAGGGTTCTTGAACAGGACATCGTGCGGAAAGAAGGACGCAACACCACTGATCCTGCTTCGACGTCGCAACGGAGGACATCGGCCGATCTGCCTGGGGGCGAAACAAGCAGCTCCGACAATGAGGCTGCCATACCGGAAGATGAGAAAGGCCTGGAGCCGACACCACTGGCAGTGATCGACGCTTCATACGAAGATGACACTAATGATGACATCTTGGATCTAGGCATCAAGCTTGGGAGAATGAGGTGAACTATCATAAGCTGTTGAAGGCACTCCTCTGTATAGACTAACCATGATCAGGTTAAATGAACGCTTAGGTGGCTTCTTTCGCCCCAGAATTCACGAAGAGGTAGTTTTCAGAGCTTTTCCTGGCGTGCTTGAGACTGACATGGACGCAGTTGAGCCATGCGCTTTCAAATTCGACAACTGACTCTGGAAGCTCTGCTGAAGACCGGTCCACCCTGCCCGAACTGCCAGACCACGAACTAGACTTCTTAGCTCCTGGTCCCTCATACATTGCTCCGGGTTCGGGATTCTTGTTCGGCGATGTCGGTAGCAAGAGATCCCTTATCAACTTCCTGCCAGCAAAGGCTGCAGCGGACTCCTTAGTCCGCACATACCTGGAGAATGTCCACTTTATTGCACGGGTAGTCCACTGGCCAAGCTTCCAGCTCCATTATGACAATTTCTGGACATCGGTCCTCGCCGGTCTAGAGCCTCCAGCATGGCAACAAGCCATTGTGCTATCAATTCTATTTGCTGCAGTCGCTAGCATGGCGGACGAAGACGTGGTTTCGATCTTTGCGAGGTCGAAGAATGTCATCCTCGGCAATTTTCAGACAGGGACAGAGGTCGCTCTGAGCAAAGCCCAATTTCTCCGAGCGACAAAATTGGAAACCTTGCAGGCTCTGGTTATTTACCTGATTCCCATGTGTCGAGATCAGGTGTCGCGTGCCCATTCGGTGCTTGTTGGCATGGCCGTCCGCTTGGCCGAATGTATGGGTCTCCATCGCGATCCCGAAGATGTTTACGGCTTGTCTCCAATCGAATGTCATGTCCGGCGAATTGTGTGGTTTGAGCTTTGTTGGCTGGACTTTCGCACTTGTGAGGGCCAGGGGCCTCGACCCGGCATTAGACGAGATGACTACGACGTTAAATTCCCGCTCCACATCAACGATGCCGATTTGTTGTCCGCGAGGCCGCAAGAGGCCAGTACACAGTGGACTGATATGACAATGTCACGGCTCCGATTCGAATGTATAGAAATGCAACGGGTTATCTGGTTGGATCGGATTAGGATCGAAAAGAAAAAAGCGTCCTTGACACATGTGTTGGGCAAAATCGAGTCCTTTCGCAGAGCCATGGAGGCGAAATATACGCCGATTCTGAACGTTGAGGCGCCATTGCACAAATATGCACAGCTGGTGATGAATCTGCTAATTCAGCGGATGTTTGTGATGGTGTTGCATCGCTACCTCAATAACCCCAGCAACCAAGTACCGGAGAGGCTTCGACACCTCACCATCCACAGCGGCGTTCAGGCAATGGAAAACGCCATGGCAATTGAGCGGATCCCAGAACTCAAGAGATGGAGCTGGTTTAGCGGGGCGTATCAACAATGGCACGTTGCATTCCTGTTATTGACCGTCATTTACCAAAGCCCAACGTTGCCCGAGGCGGAGCGGATATGGAACATTATCGATTTTGTCTTCGAGCCCGATCTGTCACTCTCGCGAGGTCTGAAAGCCAGGAGCATCATTTCAGCAATCCGAGATAGGACCGCAGTGTACCAGGATCTGCGCCGGATCCGCGTCCCTGTCAGCATGAAAGATAGGGTGGACGCACCCAATAACGCTGGGGAGGACGCTGGTATCACGAGCGGATCCAGGCCCGTAGAATGGACGCCGGAATTGGTCCCCCCAACTAGGGCTTCGCCACAAACCATGGAGGAAAGAGCTAATACGGCGCAACAGGCCGGTCAGTCGTGGACCTTCGATACACCTACAAATTTCTACGTCAGCAGACATGGCCTACGACAGGATGGCGGCACTTCCAAAGCACCATTACCTCAATGGCAAAGTCAGCAGCAACAGCAACGGTACGACGCAGCCCAGGCAACGCCAGAAAAACAATTTGATTTCAACAGCCCGAGCGACTCTGGGACAAATGAATCTTGGCCGCCATTGATTACCACCGACCAACCCGGTTGGCGCACAGTGCTGAGGGCCGGCAACACGTCGTCGTCGTCGCCGCCTCCAGGACCGCAAACGGTTCAGGGCGTGAAAAACAACCACGTCTTGCCCGGCGGTAATAGCCCTTACGGGATCGAATCAGGGTTTCAGAATGACCATGTCAATATTCCCCAGTTCCCGCCATCGAATCCACGAGGAGATTCCGTCATGTTAGATATTGACTGGGTAAGAGCAACCCGTCTCTGGTGTCAACGGAGATATCGCTAATCAAGGTGATTGCAGGCGGAGTGGGACCAGCTGTTTCCCCCTGACAGCAGCAACATCCCTTTCAACACAACACAGACTTTACAATAGGGCAAGAGGTACAAATACCCTGTCGTTGTTTGATGCCTGGATAAGAAATCGCAGCGAGTAGGCGCCGTCATCACTCCTGCTCTAAGTGCCTTGAGGTTACTATGGGATCCGACTAGTCTTAATGTGGCCAAGCGTGGATCTTAGCTATTGGCAAGCTTCAAGCCTTCAAGCTTCGCCAGACCTGGAGCCACAGGAGCCACAGGAGCCACAGCAGCCGCGCCGGCGATGATGTCAGTGGCCCGCCTGCGCCTGGCGGGATCTCCGGCTGCGAGCTGCGAGCTGCGAGCTGAAGCATGGAACATTCACCTCAATGTCCATCATTCATCAATCATTATCTCCCCCGTGCCCCCATCTGTGCCAGCCCCCGGCTTGCAGTCGGATCTGATGTAGAATGACAATGACTTTCCCGGGTCTCGCGGCACCGGCGGCTGCAGGGTGAGGTATCATCGTAGATTCCGAAAATACCTTAGTCTGTTGATGTTTCTGTCATCTGTTACTGTATATTATTTTGGCCTTCTTGTCTCAGCCTCTTTTATCCTCTTGTTTTGTGAGACTCCCAGTGACCACTCATAAGAGGACCATCCCCTCCAACCCAACCCTCCGCTCGGGCTTTGCACCATTTGAGGCAGGCGTCCCTCGCCCATACAACAGACATCCTACATCCCAGAATCCAAAGACCAGATCGAAGCTTCGCGTGTCGCGCCTCCTACAAAACCATCTACCAGTCCCCTCCTCTTCGATCCACTTTCTACAAAACGCAGTAGCAACTATGGCAAGCTTAGGTTCATCCTCGCTAAAGCCGCCTTCGGCGGAAACACTCAGATCTTATCCATTCGGGAAGATTGAACCCAATTCGGTATGTGAAAAGACAAGCGTTGGGACACTGGACTGCGGATGGCCCATCTTGAAAAACACCTGCCTCCTCCATACTACCTGTTCTCACCTTAAGGGAGAGACAGCTAACGCGATGACGTCGTGGGCAGGCCAAATACTTTGCCTCATGCATGCTTGGGGGTGTTATCGCATGCGGTCCAACCCACACACTAGTCACGCCGCTCGACCTGGTCAAGACCCGTCGTCAAGTCGACCCAAAGATCTATACCTCGAACTTTGCGGCATGGCGCTCAATCTTTGCTAATGAAGGTCTACGCGGTGTCTTCTTCGGCTGGACGCCGACCCTGGTAGGCTACAGCTTCCAGGGTCTGGGGAAGTATGGCTTCTACGAGATATTCAAGCACGAATACGGCGACAACCTCTTTCCCAATGCCAACCGCACGCTGGTCTACCTCGGTGCGAGCGCCAGTGCAGAATTCATCGCCGATATATTCCTGTGTCCATTGGAAGCGATCAAGGTGCGCATGCAAACGACGCTCCCGCCCTTCGCAAACACTCTGCGTGAAGGCTGGTCCAAAGTGGTCGAGAAAGAAGGCATTCAAGGCTTGTACAAAGGCATCACTCCGCTCTGGGGCCGTCAGATCCCCTACACCATGTGCAAGTTCGCCACGTTCGAAGAGACAGTCGGTCTCATCTACAAGCAGCTCGGCAAACCCAAGGAGAGCTTCAACAAACTGCAGCAGACCGGAGTCAGCTTTCTGGGTGGCTACATTGCTGGTATCGCCTGCGCCGTAGTCAGCCATCCCGCGGATGTCATGGTCAGTAAATTGAACTCCGATAGAAAAGGTAAAGCCATCAATACTTCAACTGGATGACCAAGTCGTGCGATGTATGGGCTAATTTATTTGTAGCTGGGGAGTCCGCTGGCAAGGCTATGACCCGGATCTACGGCAATATCGGATTTGCAGGTCTCTGGAACGGCCTTCCTGTCAGGATCGTCATGATCGGAACGCTGACGGCCTTCCAATGGCTTATGTACGTCTTTCCCCTGTCTTCAGATCCAGCTCTCATCTCCTCTCTTCTACTCGCCAAGACGAACTGTCCTAACACAGCATCTCTAGCTATGATTCTTTCAAAGTCTACCTTGGGCTGCCCACAACTGGCGGCCATTAGGCCTGTTTCTGGTCCCTTCAGCGGAAGAACAGACATGCGTCAACGAGCAAGAGGCCACCTTGACATATCCCCGTATTCAATCCTTCAGGTCTCTTACAGCAAGGTACGCTAGCGTCCACTTATGATCTTTAAGTTATCACCCAAGGCCACACGGTCCCAGATACCAATGTATTTGAGAGCATACAGAATCTCTCTTCAGGGGAATACGAGGATAAAGGAGAATCCGGTTAAAATCTCGCCATTCAAGCTCGGGGGCTAATTGAATCAGTTTTGATGTTTTCTCGAGAAGGATGGCGCGGAACATAACGTGGGCAGGTTCATAGAGGTGTAAACAGTGATCAAGGCGTAGATTCTCATATTTACATCGATGCTATCTTCAATCCTATTCATCATCCACGTCGGTTTTAGAGTCCTGACAGGATCTTCAAGTCGGCTGCATAAATGCTGTCTGTCGCGCGACGTTCCAAAGTTGGCCCTGTGAGGAGAGGAAGAGCCAGGGAGAAGCAGAAACTCGCTATAGACCTGAGTCAACGAGAAAGGCCAGGCCAGCAAGCTTGTCCCGATTGCCATAAAGTCGGCTTGCTGTACGCTTTCGGGATGCGGACCACCACACAGTAGAAAGAGGACTATCAGGTGTTCAAGTCAACATGCCGTTCGAAGTTGCGTGGGCTGTTCTGCTTCTCCTGGGTTGTCCAAGGGCCAATGCCTCTGGGCCAAACAATTTGACTCCAGAACATATATTTATATATATATAATATATATAAACAACCAGTCCGACAATCGAACATCAACTGTCATCGACATAGCGGCGGGCGGGGATAAGCTACCCTTTTCGAAGCGCAAGGTCTCAATGATTCGTTGGGAGGGTTGTAGATTCCTGAGTATGCTCGCGCCTGACACAATGCACCAACAGATATATGCACAAGTTATAAGCGCTCGCTATACATCGCTCATTGCAGCATCTGTATCGCCAATCTTCTCTTCAAATGATATCCGTTCGTCATCGTCCTCTACAGCCGGTATCCGCTCTGGTAAACTCAAAGGGCTTTCAGACCTTCTTTCCCAGGGCTCTTCGGGCGGTGAAAAGGACCAGACCTGACAATTTCATTAGCAATGAACCATGCGGACGAATTTCCGGGACCACATACCTCCATGACAGTCCTATTTGACCGACTTGCCATGATGACGGCCTTCTCCTCTTCAAATGCCACTCTCCAAACAGCTTCTGCGGGTTGACTAAGCTCGCGAACCAAATGACCGGTCGCAAGACTCCAAATCTTCACTCGTCCGTCACTGCCGCCACTGACTATTCGGTGGTTGTCAAACTGCAAACTGGTAACACTATTATCGTGTGCAGCCAAGCGGTGGATGGGGGTATTAGTCTGCAATGACCATACACGAACCGAGCCATCAGAGCCACCGGTCACAAGAGTGTCGCCTTGCATTTGCAACTGTCCGACCAAAGAAGTATGCCCTTGCAAAATAGCTGTGCACATACCCGTCTTAGGGTCCCAAATTCGAACACTGGTATCAAGACTTCCGGTAGCAATCCGGTTACCGTCAAAGGCAATGGCGTATATCTGACTAAAGTGTCCAGTCAATGTGCGGAGGCATCGACCTTCGGAGATACTCCAGATTCGGGCCGTGGTATCGTAACTGCCGGACACCACCAGGTCTCCGTGGATGGCAAGGCATCGAACACTAGCTTGGTGACCAACAAGAACGTTTTTGCACATTCCGGTCGTCAGATCCCATATCCGCAAGGTAGTATCTCTGGACCCAGAGATCGCCGTGTTTGCGTCAGACATCTTTAAACATCTCACGGTTGAGGTGTGTCCTCGTAATGTATGAAGGCTTTTGCCGGTAGACATGTCCCAAACGCGAACGTCCCGGTCACATCCGCCGCTGACAAGGATGTCGTCCCAAGGTACCATGGCCCATACTCCCATCACATGGCCTTTCAACGTCTTTTGATGCTCGCCAACCGTATTGAAGACGTGGATTTTAGCATTGTCCATAGCGACCACAATGTATTTGTCGGTCAGATGCAAACTCGTTACGACTCCCTGATCCGGGGTGATGTGCTTGATGATACTCTCACCCCCTTTCCTCCACGCAGCCTCAATCATATATTTATGCCGGAAATGTGAGTAATGAGATTGGGATTGTCGTTTCCTCGACTGGGGACTCGCTGAGAAGTGGTCTTGTCTCGACAATGTGAGATTCGGCGCACTACTGGACGGACCAACGATCGAACTATCGAGGTTCCTTTTAGGAGACCGAGTGCTGTAACTGTAGGGACCTTGCGCGGCCTGTGGTAAATATAGTGATTCGACGTCGTCGTTCGAGGCCGCGGATGATTTGCGCCAGGCATGCCGTTCACACATAATCTTCCATAACATATCATCATTCAAGAGTTTGTGCCACCGGTGTGATACTTGCGAGGCTCGGGCCAGGCTCTGCGGATCATCAATATACGAGAGCACCTGCAACGCGTCAGTCCGTATCTTTCTCACGGGTTACCAAACCTACCCTTAGACAAAGTTCGTCTGGGAGATGCTCGAATGGGTCCTTCTTCAATCGTGGAGAGACGAAATGATGGACGAAACTCAAAAGCTGACTGTCGCACATGTTCAATAATTCAGCAAGGTATCTCTCTCTTCCCGCAGCATGCAAGTTAGAAAAGTGCTCCCGAGCATCCCTGAGGAAAGCATCTTCATTCTCTCCAGCAGAACTCCAACTAGGAGCACGTTGATAGGGCGTGGGAGAAGGTGCGGGCGTGGGAGGAGAGGCGGGGGCTGACGGCAATATGCTCAAAGGCACACCGGTCTTAATCGAGGTCGACAGTCGCTTTGGGCGTGGTTGCGCCATACTGTGTCGAGTTCTGGAGGAATGTGTTGCGTCCTGGGACGCAGAGAAGTGACAGTCGGTTTCTTGGTCGATGATGGCCATCCTGGCATTGTAGGGGAGGCTGGCTAACTGATCGGGGTCTATTGTCATCGATCGCGAGGGTCTAGGAGAGAGCGGCCTGTCCACAGACATTGGATGGTTGTGGTCGTCGATGTCCATCGGTTTCTTCGAGCGATGTTGGGAAGAGGCGCACCCCGGCAAGGAAGGGAGGATTCAAGAGCAGCGCTGGATGAGGTCTTTCAACACAAACGAGCGGACTCCTGCGCGCCTTAAGGTGGTGGTTGTTTAGAGTAATAATGCCATGTCACAGAGAGGGGGGTCAGCGAACGGGCCTCGAGTCTGCAAGTCTGCTGTTGGCAGAGGCGCTTATGAGATGGAAAGGACAGGCCTAGCCCCAAGACAAGAGAGTGCCAGTACGATCGGGAGGAGAAATGGAGACAGACGGTGGCGAGGTCAGTCGGCAGCAGACAAGGGTTGGTCAGCGGATCAGCAATAAATGGGTATTCTTCGACCTTGCTGTTGTCGTTGCCGGTGTAGATGTGCTGGTAAGTAGTAGTAGTAGTCGTGCTGCAGCAGTGCGGTGCAGTGGTGGTTGGTGGTGGAGAGGATGGAGAAACTGGTCGAAGGCGCAGACAGCATTACAGCACCAGTAGGTGCCAGCACTCCGTAGACTGAGGGTGGCCGGCTAGGGAGGGAACAGACTCTAGGACTCGTCGTTAGGTACAGCATTAGGCGGGAGAGAGAGAGAGTCGTGTCAATTGTGGGTATTGCAAGCTTAGGGATCCGGCAGGCTCCCCAGACCCGGCCTTGGGGGCACCATACCTGAAGAATTATGGCTTCTTAACCAGCCACTTGTTTCTCGACCGGCGCTGCTTCCAGCGCTCACCGCCGAGCGTGTTTCCAATGTACTGTATCCGTACACAAGAGGTACTAGGTAGGTAAGCAAATTTGATTGCCACCTGTTAGGCGCCTGTGCACGCGTATTTGTACTCGATTCAGGATCTGTGAAGAATTTCATGCCCGCAACACTCCTTACTTGTCACCAGCGAATTGTTTTGGCACGACGTCCCACTACTTGGGTGCTCAAGTACGGAGTCCTATCCTGGGTAGCTCTGTGATGGTAGCTCATCCAACTGCATACCAGTTGGCGTGAATCTAGCATGAACTACCCCTAGCTAACATTTTCATACATCAAGGCGTGAGGCACTACTATTACATCGACCCATTGGGCCGTTGGCTTGGTCCACCCGGGCGATCAAATGAGCCTTTGGTGGACGGAGATGTACTGTATTGAGTACTCAGAGCCACGAAAAACCCCCCACCACGTGGAATGGTCTGTCTTCCAACGGTCGGAAATATGCAAGACTGCCCAAATACACTGACGATCCTCACACTTACCAGGTCCAGTCAGGAACAGGTAGTCCTTGTCTTGACCCATTGGATGTTTTTCACTCAGAGATTTGCTCAAGAGATATCATTGCCATCTATGTTGGTCGCACTTGCGAGATCTCAGTTGCAGATAATCCGAGGATGGCATGTCTTCATCGAATCTGTCGAGACTCCCATGGCTAAATCACAAGACGATGGCTTGTAGATCGGCACTTCATCTGAACATCTTTCGTGTCTCTTCTCCTGAGCTGGCTGATCCAGATTGGATATCATGGGTCAATAGGGGTCGAATGATTTCCGGGAGTCTGTCAACGACTATCGTAATGTGCAGAGTGCTGGCTGATCAATGTGCATGTCCAACCTGCAAGAACAAGGGCAAAATCATTCCAAAGCATGCTGCCCCAAGATCGATCCAAGACGGTTTTGGCTCATTTGCTGGGGCATCGCGTCCATCCACATAGCCATTGGCCTGCCCGTTGACGGGCTCATAATGAGAGTTTGATGTGTCATGCATGGAATGCATGGCAACATAGAGAAAAGTCCCGGCGGAGAACAGCAACAACATTCCAGTCCACCAGGTCGTATTCTCGGCACTGTGACTGCGGCCTCCACCCAGCATATGGACCAGTAGCCAGGTAAGTACAGCACCTGTAGGTGCAGCGAGGCTGAAAAGGACAAGATAGTACCGAGCTGTGCGTTTAGATAGTCCTTGCTTGAGCAGGACGGAGGTCAGACCAAAGGCCGCAGGGGCCTTGTGAATCATGATCGCAAAGAAAATCACAAAACTCAATCCAGAATTCGTGGTCGTAGATGAGGCTCCTAGTGCGATTCCATCCGCAGCTGCGTGAATGACCAGGCCAATGGTAGTTGCAAAGCTCCGACTCCGTACTCGGGACCCCTCTGGGGAGTCTAAGAAAGTGTCTGCCTCATCATCCCGGTCCAGAGACGTGGTCAGGTTGAACCGGCGGCCGAGGTTGTTCAAGGCAATATGATGTGTTCTTGTTTTTGGCTTTGACGGTCGGGTGTATTGCGGTACCTTGTCAATCAAATACATAAGCATGAACCCCGCCAGCAAAGCCACGCCAATCCATGCATGTTCAGAGTCATCATGGTCTTCTTTCGCCCCAGGTCCCTGGTCCAATGTCTTATCATCTCCATCCTCCGCTTCCGTCTCCATTATGCCAACCACCCCAGGCTTCGTAGGAGTTCGCGGTGGGGGGTCCATGGCTGAGGGGATGACAGGCCCGGGTACGTTGAAAGGGCTGGACCCGTCATCAGTCGAACGTGCGGCGACCATATACCGATTATCTGGTGCAAGGTGGCTGGCCCAGCGAATGTCTGCTTCATGCGACAAGATGTGTCTCTTCACATTGCGATGAGAGTGGCCAACCTCAGAAGCACTTGAGAGAGTTTCCACCCCTTCTGGAATGATGACAACCAGAGAAGTGCCGACCAAGACGCCCATCCCGATGGTTGATATTAGACGCAACTGCGCTGTGGATAGTGACAGTGACAAAGGGAGGATGCCGGCAAGAAAAGAGGCCAACGCCATGACAATGCTCAAACTGAGCAGGGTGAACAGTCCGTCCATGATTGAGACGTGGGAGGATTGATTTTGCGACAACCTCAGCCCAGTAGGATTGTGGAAGAGAAAGAAATCAATGGGATGAACATGGTGACTCAGTTCGCCATTCACTTCAGTTGCGCGCTTGCTTTTAGCAACAGGAACAACAGGAAAACGTGGACATTGAACGTGTCGAGTCCCCTGAAGGCGCAGGCGCAGGCTCAGGCTAATTATCCCTTTTGACGGTTCGCTGCGATAAGAAGTTAGTCTACCATCCTTATCACCACGTGAAAGCCTATGTATAAGTGCCACAATATGCACGGAGTACGGATACTGTACTCTGTACTACTGATGCTCGCATGATGCTAGCTGCTTGACAACGACTGAATTGCTCTTTGTTTTCTCGCTCAGCTGCCCAGAGCCATGCTCTACAAATGGAGCGTGCCTTATATCCAAAAGGAGGCGCTGAGAGTACTACTCTAGCCTCGATGAGAGAAGGCTGCGCCCGGATGGAAAGTATGTTGAGGACTGGCCATCTGATGGGAGTGCCAGGCACCAAAATCAAGCGGATCGATGCTGCTTTGGTTCAGCTCCACCATCTTGGTGCAATGACGCCTCCCGTTCGTGGCATAGTTTCAAAGAAAGCTTGGACGCCCGAGTCAGCATCCTTTGGTGTCGTAGCGTCATAAGTTGTGAAAGGGTGATGTTTCTTGTTTCTTTTGCTCCCTGATGTCTTAGAGCATGATGGCACCTTTCAGGACTAGGCTTTCTCGGGACATGTTGGCAAATTCGTGAGGTTGCCCGTGAGAACAGGAACATCCCATGGCCCAATTCCGTGGTTGGTAACATGTAGATGAAGCCATACCTCTGGTCGACTTCCACGCCGTACAACCTGCTGGGACTTCCGCCTTGTGATGAGCTTAAGGCAGCCATAAATTGTGGGCGCATTGGCCACAAAGCACGACACGACCATTTGAACAGATGCCCAAAAGCTGCGTACCGGTTGGTATGAATCCTCCGCATAGATGTATCCAATGCGAACACATGTTGTGACGATGCAGAAAAAGCCTAAGCAACATAGTATGCCCACGCGTAGCTTTGCGCGAATGCTTCGGTGACGCACGACAACAAGTGGCCAGGCGATTGCCAGCAAAATGAGGTCGAGAACGATGTTTGCGATGCCCTGGGTAAGTAGTTGAATGTAGGCTCGAATGCAGATTCCAGGGGTTGGATCTATTTGCCAGTATAACTTGAAGGGACGACATTCCAGGAAAGTGGCCAAGACAACCGCTATGTATGTCAGAGGTAGTGCTGTCCAGCAAAGTCGAATAAGTATAGTGGTCCATCGCGCTCGTATTTCGAGGATGCGAGAGTAGAATAGCAGGAGGAGGCAGTTCTGCAACCAGTAAAATGTGGTGATCAACAACCTCGCGATCAAGGCAAGAATGCTGCCGACTTTGAGCGTATCCAAATCATGGGAATCGAAATACTGGAATTCGCCGTAGAGGGCATCATTCGAGGTCCCATAGTTGAGGACGTACTGATTGACCACAAGTCGAGCGGAGACAACCACTATTGCGGCGATGCATATGACCGTGCTGGTGTCGAATGAGCCATAATGCAATCTCGATAGAGCCGCTCGAATGATCAAAATGAACAGCGAGATGCCTGCGCAAGCCCAGCCTGCTACTCGCGCGTGTTCAGACGAAACCAGCATTGTGTGGGACATGCATCCCCAAGGCGGGTGGTCCTTTGGGAACTTCGAACGACCCGCTTTTGGAGGAATATCGGATGAAAGATATAACCGGATCGCAGCCCATCACCTTGAGCCTCATCGTGGAAGTAGTTGTTGGTCCATGATGCCTAGTTGAGGAAGGAGACAGGAAGATGATTAATGGGGCGAGTCTCGAAGCGACCCATGACTTTTTGGACCTGACGTGTTGTTGATGGGGCTTTCCCTGGCATCGCCCGATGACAAACCACTAGTAGTTCGTTAGTATCCATGGGGGTTTGAAGCCACGCTTCCACAACCTCCTCAAGGCATGCCTTTGAGGGCTCAGGCTCCGAACCCCGCTGGACGGGTCCATCGTGGGGCCCCCTCACCCCAAGTTCTATCTAACATGAATTCTTAATTAGGTGCCATACATGTATGTATCCTAAAGCAGGTTTCCTTCAATACAGCTGGGACCGTCCACGGCGAATGGTGATATCGCTCGGAAAGTCCTCGAACAATTGTTGGTTTGCACATGATGAGCGACCAGTCTCCATGCAGCGTACATATCTGACTAATGAACGACGTCTCCCTACTCGTTTATCGAGGATGATTTTTGTAGGTTGTCATCAGCACGCTTACATAATCGAGAAATGACATTTTGAGTCGATTCTGCTGCGCGAACGAACGGAAGGGTGCATGGGATCAGTTCTTCCCTCATCGCGATTGCTCCGTAGGTACATCTTTGGATGTGAAGGCACCTGGTATGTAGAAGGCTCTGCTTGATAGTGATATATGCCATGCTGCCATACCCGATTGCTCCACCGTAGTGCTGGTGGAGGAGGTATTTCACGTGATGAAGAATTTCATGCAAAGTCTTGGCGGCCTAGCACCAACAAGGCAGTACGCTTGACGCGTAAAGTGCTCGTCAAGTTCGCGACTAGACTCCGTCTGCCGTCTGCGGTTTGAGAGAGAACATATAATCCGTACACCTAATCCATCATATCTGCAGACTGGCAAGTATTCTGGTCAGTTTAGCAGAGATCTTCCGACCATGATGGGTCATTGATGTCCCTTTGAACCAAACAATCCAGCCATCATGGCAGCGCCTTCTGAAGAATGTGAGCTTGTGGCACGAAGACATCGAGATTCATCCTTGCTGATCTACGTAATATAGTCTCTGTCAATGCAAACGAAGCCATCCGGATTGCATTAGTCCAACCCGGTCCGAACCACCGAATCCTCACGCGACATGAGTTCCATCCTCAATTTACCTATCCCATAGTTGGAGAAGCAGAGCAGATATTTGGCTACAAGGGCCTGGATGTCGAGATACAGTTTGCCGCCCACGACTTGCGCCCGCATGTCAACATCACATACGAGAAGAAATTTCAGACCATCGGGACGACAAGTGCTCTCGATCTAAACAAAACCCTGGGTAACTTTCTGCCGCCAATTGCATTCCAACAAGGTTTCGAGAAAGAGCTGCAAAAAGACGCGACAAAATGGACACCACCAGGCGTTTGCGTAAATAAATACACTAGAGGGGGTCAAAGTTACGAAGTATGGGCTGGGTCACTTCTGGATGCTCCCTTGCGGGCTCTTGTCGACAACATTCAGATTCTCATCGTCCTCTTCATCGAAGGTGGTCAGTTCATCAATCTGGACGACGTGGACTGGACTTTGGATAGATGGAGAGTGTATCTCGTGTATCACAAGTCTTCCGAGCCTCCAACTCCGCTTGCTTGCCCGTATTCCTTTGTCGGGTATGCCACGACGTACCGCTTCTACAAATTTCAGAAGACGGGCCCGGAACGAGAGGACGTGACTCCTTTCTCATTTCCACCCTCAGAAGAAATCACTCCCACCAAACTATCGTCACGACTGCGGATATCACAGTTCTTGATAACACCGCCATATCAGCAACATGGCCATGGTTCCGCTTTGTACCAAGCGATCTACGACGAGGTCCTTGCTGATCCAACGATAGTCGAGATGACGGTCGAAGATCCAAGTGAAGAATTCGATAAATTGCGGGACTTGAACGACTTTGACAAGCTCGAGCCACAGTTCAAAGCAGCGGATATCAAAATCAACTCATCACCGTTCGCCTCGGTGGAACGGGCCCGCCTGAAAGCAGTGCCAACCGCGACCTTGCTCCAGGTCGACAAACTCCAGACTATCCGGGCTAAGAACAAGATCGCCAGCCGACAATTCTCGCGCATGGTCGAAATGTACCTTCTTGCTCAGATACCGCTTTCCCACCGTGCTGCTGGTGGCGCGTCCTTAACCAGCCTCAAGGTCCGAGGTCCTAGAGCTGCCAAGGAAGATGACAGAAATTATTACTGGTGGCGGACGTTGCTGAAGCAGCGCATTATCAAGAAGAACAAGGATTTGCTTGAGCAGGTCCCATTGGAAGACCGTCCCCCACAGATTGAGGATAGTGCTCGAGCACAAGAAGATGAATATGAAGGCCTGTTGCTCTCCTACGCACTAAGGAGAGAAAAGGAGGCAGATCGACATGGGAATGGGGATTCATCGCATGGCGTTCGCAAGAGGAAAGTCGTCGAATCTGATGAGGATGAGTCGGGTGAAACCAGTGTATCATCTAAGAAGCCGCGGACTTGACCAGTCTGGGAATTGCGGGCTCAGAGTTTCTAGGTTTGCTCGTGATCAGCAGTCATCTCGGTAGTTCGAGGCAAGGCCTGAAGCATCCCAACCCAGAAATAGGATGGCCCCTGTGCCGTAAGGCAAAATGTCGCACAGTGATGCACTGGATAGGCGCCTCGTTGGAGGTGTGGCGATCCATTTTAGCAGGATCGAAAATTCCGCTCGGCGGAACCTGATGCTCTCATGCTGCTCAAGTTCCTAACATCATTCGATGATACCGTGTGAACTGGAGTCGCTCCTCTGCTTCTTCGCCAGCAATCACACGTTCGTCTTCACCAAGATAGCTTCCTTCCTCCCACATCTTGTCTAGTTCCTGGTCGTCGTCTCCAGTAACTGCCCAGACACTTTCGCGCAGTCGTTTGTTTCGTTCTCTGTCCTCCTCGATTCTCTGCTCAATTGCTCTCTTGTCCATTTTCGAGACGGCGTTCGACTTTCCGGAATTTGGTCCGGGTCTTGGTGTGACTTTATGACTGTCCGCTGTACCATCTGCCGTCATGTCCACGGCATGCTTATCACCTTCTGGCTTACCATCTTCATCTCCAAGTAGCCTTCCCATTTTTTCTTCTTTCTCTTTCAATCCAGACTCGATCCCGGAGAGAACATTGGGGGTGAGTACTCCCTTTTCGCCCAGGCTGGTCACAACCCTTCTCACAACCTTGACATTTGCGCCACTTTGTGCGACCGCATCCACGATCCGCCGAATATCCCGCTTGACCATTTCCACATACGCCTCGTGCCCGCCTTCTTTCATGTTGATGTCAGCGTGATGTTCCAGAAAGTACATGATGTTTGCTCGGTTGTTCATGTTATTTCCCCTCTCCAGATTTTCGAGGATGCAGGAGTGCAAATCCTCGTCCATGTCCCGGTGTTTGAGTGCATAGTGTGCAGTCTTTATTGACGCCGTTGCGGATGCAGAGAGATGGGTGAGAAGCGTGGTGAAACGCATGCGAACTTCGAAAGGGTCCGCCATGATTGATGGCTGAGGCTACTGTTGGTATCCTCCAAACGCGCCTTTCACATCATCCGTCGCGCAAATAGAGGCGGTTGTCTTTATGCGCGATGACTCGGCCGCGGTATTTGAATCAGCTTAATCGGCCTTCTCTAGCCTAGCGACGGTGCTGGCTCCTGTGATGGGGCACAGGCTACGTACCACATTTGGCAGAGTTAGGAAGACGAGAGACTTGTCCGACTACAAGGCGGATCCGGAGAAGCGGTGATTATTGGTGTGCCTTGCAGGCGGACTTCGCCGTATGTCACCGTGGCCGCTCCGGAGCCTTGTACATACAAAAAATTATTCCATCACCCCGCAACTCCATTGAAACAAGACAGTGAGCAGTCTGTCCAGCTGTGCTTTCCCGTAGCCTCCCAGACCAAGTCTTCAGTATGGCAGCGGCAATCCGTGCCCTAAACGGCGCCAATAGCCTAGACACTAACAACAATGCGATGACACTGACCGTTCTAGGATGCGGTGAGTTCATATCCAACTGACATCGAATCGTGGCTAAAGGACAGGCAGGAACTTTAGGTATCGCCATCCTCTCCGGTATCCTTTCCTCCTTGACCGAGGCTTCAACAAATCCTTCTCCTGCGTACCCTGACTCCGGGACCGCAACACCCACCACCGAAGGTCCGCCACCACGTACGCCTAGCAAGTTCATCGCTTGCGTCCGCCGACCCCAATCTGCCAAGCGCATCAAGGTCGCGGTCCAGGACTACCGCCCCAGTGTCACGGTACTGCAGAATGAGAATGTGAAAGGTGTTACCGCCGCCGATGTGGTAATCTTGGGCTGCAAACCGTATATGGTTGCCGACATCCTCCAAGAAGAAGGCATAAAGGAGGCACTTAGCGGCAAGATTTTGATCTCGATCTGCGCTGGTGTCCCGGTTGAACAGATCGGCCGAGCGCTGTATGGAGCAGAATATCCCAAGGATCTTCCTTCCAACGCATGCCGAATCGTGCGAGTCATGCCGAACACCGCAGCCGTTGTGCGGGAATCCATGACAGTTATTGCAACTACGACACCTCCTCTACCCGCTGAGCTCTCTTCCGTCGTGGAATGGATCTTTACCAGGATAGGGCGGGTTGTGCACCTGCCACCCTCAATGATGGACGTCTCTACGGCACTGGCTGGTTCAGGACCAGCATTTCTGGCTTTGATGCTCGAGTCTTTGGCGGATGGGGCGGTCGCCATGGGTCTGCCCCGAGCGGAGGCACAGTTGATGGCCGCGCAGGTAATGCGTGGGACAGCCGGTATGGTGCTAAATGGCGAGCATCCTGCACTCGTCAGAGAAAAGGTTAGTACCCCCGGTGGGTGCACTATTGGCGGATTGTTGGTTTTGGAAGAGGGTCGCGTACGAGGCACCGTAGCACGAAGTGTGAGAGAGGCGACAGTCGTTGCTTCTGAGCTGGGTAAGGGAGTCAGTGGCGTTAACGGTACACGGTTTTCGAAGCAATAGAAACTGAAGATGCCGGATGGGACTGAGCCAGGCAAGAGCATGAGACAGTGCTTTGCGCCTCTGTTTAACATATCTTATGAAGGGTGATAGATTGTGGACGTCCGGCGTTGACAAGACTGGCCTATCTCTTTGAGGAATATAGAGGTTGGAAGACAAAACGAGTCATACGTTCACTCTTGTCAGCGTAGATGGAGAGCGGAAGCCGTAAAGCATCATATACTGCAATGGCAGTGTTCCGATCTGTTCTGACCTGTTTACAGACACATGCTGGAAGAGTAGTTGTATTTCGAATGGTACAATTTGATGAAATCCCAAGCCTACCCGTTCACCGGTTTTAGCGTATAGTTACACAAGGCTCTGTGTGGACATGTCTCCGACAAAAAGCGATCCTCCGGCTACTGCCTGGTCTGCTCCGCAAAGGCAGAAGAGGTGTATCCTGTCATCTCGAGCTCGACGATTTGACCCGAAGCTCGGCGGAGACTGCAGGTCCTTCAGTGCCTAGTAAGCACCAGGCAATGCTACATGCATGTCATCCGGGCGACGCAGCCTCTCTCTTCTAGTGAGATGCCTCGCCGTCGACAGGGCCTTGGAGCCAATCCCCAGTGATTTACTCCATTTCGACCACAGCACCCAGCGCCTTCATGGCCGCCACAATCTTCTCGGCATCCTCTTTCGGCACGCTCTCCTTGAGGACCTTAGGAGCACTCTCCACAAACTTCTTGCTGTCGACCAGACTCAGGCCGAGCATACTCTTGACTTCCTTGATGACCTTGGGTTTGGCGGCGGCATCGAACGACTGGAGTTTCAAGGTGAACATGGTCTTCTCGGCCGGGGCAGGTGCAGCTTCCTCCTCTTCAGCAGCAGGTGCCGCGGCGCCGGCAGAGCCAGCTGCCGAGGAGGCTGCGGGCGCGGCGAAGGCCATGTCAGGGATGTTGAGATGCGACTATGCCCAGGAATCAGTTGAAGCTCTTACAAGAAGGCAGCTGGTATAAGCCTGAGCCTTGAGACCACGATGGGCAATGCTAGACACCGGCATGCATCTTGTCGACGTACCTTCAAGCTTGCAACTAGGTCGGCTGTCTCCAGCAGTGTCAACTGCGATATTTGATCGACGATACTAGCGATTTTGGGATTCGTAGGCGCGGCCGCTGCATCAGTCGACTGCCATCTTCTCGACTGTAATGAACATGACGGGCTGTCCCTCCGTCTATATTGATTTGCGGAGCTTGTGGAGGACAGGCGCAGGCAGTATGAGGACATGTTTCGTTGCTGTAACCGGGCCGCGAGCCGGCAGCATCGGTACGTGGCGGACGGTGCTTGGACAGCCATTATTGTTTATAGGGGCAAACCAGGAGGGAAGAAGGACAAAATCTGGACCAGGGTTAATGAGATGCAGTGGCTTCACAAGATCGTCTCGGACCTCTCATGCATTGGATGCGAGAAAGTCAATATCGCGCCAAGCCCGTCAAAATCTTGTTCTTCTTCCGGAATAAAATGAAGCTGCTTTAATTTGCCTGGGCTCGTGGTAGTTGCTGAAAGGGTCACGTGAGACCCGAGAAATACTCCGTAGTAGTACTACCGTGGGCCACTTTTGGTGGGAGGCTTAACTCAACGTCATGATTGCAGGTGGCCGATCGAGGCTTCAACCCGCCGAGACGAGAAAAAGCGTGAAACCCCCGCAAGGAGAACTGATAAAACGACTTCTTGAGGAGTTTTACAGGGTGTAGAAAGCTGTTGGCTGGATACTCATCTCGGGCTGCACTTCGCCCAGTTTCTCGCCGGCGCGGTTGCCACCCGAACTTTTAAGGCGACTTTCGGTTCACGATTATGTTGAAAATATGGACGAAGTCGCAGTATTCCGGTCGTCAAAGCGCAGGAAAATCAATCGTACCCAGCACGAGAGATCACCAGAACCTCAAACCCTCCCCGAATCGACCCCAATAGGGGATGGAGACCAGCAGGGCGATAAGGCCGACGCCCAGCAGTCAGACGCCTCCGAAGTCGATCTCTCTAATCTGATCCGGGCTAGAAAACATGTCCGCAAACCCGTCGCTGGTGTCCAATTCTCAAACACAAAGACAACACACAGACTGGACGCCGACGGATCCCAATCAGCCACCTTCAGAGCGGAACAAGCCATCGACAAGCCGATAGACATCGGCAATCGGTTTGTCAGCAGCACTGGGCAGGTGATTGATGTCGATCAACATATGTTCGTACCTGAATCCCGAAGCTTGATTTCTTGGAGACACGGGTTACTAACAGGATAAGGGTTGCATTCATAGACGCTGAATTGGCTCGACGGCGAATTCGCACTGTTTCTCCATCAAACCCTACACCGCAGGTTCGGGAAACTGATTCCGCCTCTCAGTTGACGACGTCCAACAGATCGACTACAGCACCAGTACAGCCGGCTAGTCAATCCCTTCCAGCCTCGGTTCGCCAGCTGTCCGAAGTCGATCTAGGCTCTTCGGCGCACGACCTCAACCTTGCGCGGACCCAGGCCGCCCTGCAGCGCGCCATATCAGGTCAGCCCCCTATGGCAGAGGAACTGCCGGCGCCGAAACCTCGCAAGCCGCGGATCGGTCGTGACGGGAAGCCGATGAGGCCTCGACCGCGGAAACGGAGGAACAGCGAGGACATCGCGCGCGACGCGCTGGTGGAGCAGGTGCTGCACGAGCATAAGCTGGACATTTACGATGTGAACGATCCACAGCGTTCCAAGGACTCGGCTGGGACAGATGCTGAGGGAGGTGATGCCGATGAGCGGCTAGCCGAGCAATTCCGGCAGGAGTTCATGGACGCCATCGCGGATAGACATCACAGGCACAAGGCCGCCAGCCAATCCAAGACATCGGCGGGAGCCGCAACAGAGTCTAGAGGACCCAAATTGGGAGGAAGCAGGAGCGCGAGAGCAAAGATGGCGCTGATGAAGCAGCAGCAACAGCAACAGGGTCAGCCGTCCGGTAAGAAGTAGCATTCAAGGCCAATGGCGACAGACATTATCGGTACACCTGAGCAATCAGTCTTCCTTCTCCACACCATCCAAGAGGCGTCTCAAGACGAAAAGTCCGCTGCGCCGCGGTTCATAGGCTTATACCTAGGCTTATACCTCTTACTTGTCCTCCTCAAACATTGAAACCGTTATACCGACTTTTGCGACCGACCCTTCCATTCCCTCTTCTCCGTACCCTAGCACAAGGCCAAGTTGAACGATGAAAAAAAAAGGGTATCCAAAGAAACCGAGAGTGTGTAAAAGTTCAAATGTGTAACGACCACCCACCACAAGTGGCATGTAGCCAAAACACGAGGGAAAGATTCCCAGAATTGCCGACCACGAATGGAAGGCTGGTACTCATTGAAGAAGCCAGTCAGAGCAAGCTCTGACAAGGTTCAAGTCACACCTCTTCTATGAGAGAAGAAGAAAAAGAAGAGCCAAAAATTTGACAGGCATTCGTCGAGAGGACGGATGCCTGCAAGCCAAACAGCCTTGCCACAAGATGCCTTTTGGGCCATGGGTCTGCTCCCAATAATGCACTCGTATCTGCATGCCTCGCAGTAAGAGGGCCTCTCGGCAAGGAACTGCTTCCGACAGAAACATTCCTGGACTGCCATCATCAAGATCACCTCCTTCCAGGGTCACCCCTAGACCAAGCCAATGGCATCCTCGGAACGCATTGTCTCTGGCATACTGAGACTCCGTAGAGAACACAGCCGCAGCTATCGAGACTCACCCAAAAAGGGAGCCAACACTAAAGTGGAACGCATAGCCTAGCCAAAGACCCCCGCTCGGCTGGAACAAGACTCGTAAGTCACACTGGTACCCGAAAAATCTTGCGACAAAAAGATCTCAAAAGAAAACCAAGATCGGGAGGATGTAAGAGCTGTTGGCTTTGTTCGTCCCTTTGCCAGCGTCGGGGAAACTCGAGAACAATGTGCCTGAAATCTTGAAACAAGATGTAGACCAAATAGGCTGTTCTGGAGCTCAAGCAAGGTGCCACTCTGGTGTGCGGCAAGTTGGACCCTTGGACTTCAGAGAAGTCAGCAGCCGGTGGAAATGTAAGACCAGCATGCTTGGGACAAGGTAATGTATGTGGCCTCGATCTTACCATGAGAGAACCCCATGGATAGATGTCAAAACAGAAATGGTCTTGCCTGACTTGAGAGAAGGGAAAAAGAAGAAGGAAAGAGGGAAGAGAGTGGAGGGGGACGGGGTTACTTATACACGAGAAGACTGATCTTGGTCTTGGCGAGAAACAGATCACATGCGTGCTGGATCATTGATCTGGAGTGAATTTCATGAAGGTTGAACCGCGAAGCTCAACTCAGGGTGCGGCAGAAACAAGGTCAACGAGTGGTTGTGGCCGCTGGATCGACCCGTTGCGACAGGATCAGAGAGTCCTCTAGTGACGCTCCACCCCAACTTCACCGCAGAACGAAGTGCCTTCGCGAGTCACAAGGGCTGCGGATAAAGTGAGAATACTATGCCAGGATGCTAAACCTAGCCATCAAAGACAGTCTGGCTGCCACGCAACATCCATTTACACCGGGGGTTTGAGTTCGAGGCACTATGGAATGGACTATTACATCTTTTATGCACGGCAAAACGTGTTTGAATATCGTACAGGTGGATTTGACAAGGCTACACAGCTGTGAGGCAGGAATGTTCAAGTAGCTATTCTAGCAGGCTCATCTTCGTAGCCGCTGTAAGGCTTCAACGCAGCCTCACCTCACTTCTCACCTCACTTCTCCTCCCTGTACAGGCGCGATCTAGACATGTGACCAAAGAAGCCCTAGTGTTCTGCAGGGGTGTAATATTATATAAATCCCCTTCACCTCAATCTGTAATACTCTCTTTTTCTTCTTTATACATCCACCTTCTGAGGTGCTGGGCTTTGGCTCAACGCTCTCTTAAGGATTCAGCAAGGCAGGGTTCATCTGCAGGGTTATGTCTTGCTGTGAGGAGTATATCAGACCTCGCTTCAGCATACAAAAAAGCTGAAAAGAAAAAAAAGAACAGAAGATGCCCAAAAAGGAAGGCCACCGTCAAAAAAAGAAAACAAAAGTCAAAGAGGCTGAATACATCCGAGGAAGGGTCAAGGGAATCTGCATGGTCAGGCGAAGGCAATTGACAATGTGCAGTGGGTATTGGAGGAGCGAGCGATGGAGCGAGGACCACGGAGGATACAGGCACAGTGGAGAGGAGTGACAGAGAAGGGAACATTTCGACCTGAAGCAAGCCATCAAAACCCCCGTCATATTACAAAACAAAACAAAAAGGCCACAAAAAGAGAAGAGAGAAGATGCCCAGAAAGGAAGGCCAACGTCAAGAAAGCAAGAACAAAAGGGAGAAAAAAAGAACAAGGCCAGAACATCTCATTAGCTTAGCACGACGGGGAAGAGGCGAAATGCGGCCCAGGATTGCGCGTGTGGAGAAATTCGATAGACTTCAATTCAGGTTACTGACAAAGTCAGAGGGCGGAGACGGAAACGGAGTTATTCGGATGGAAGCGAGATTGCAAGAGGATGGTGATGCAGAAAGGGCATGAGACTTGTACTGGTGTTGTTGTGTTGTTGTGTTGTGACTTCTGTCTTGGACAGGATATTGGTGTTTGATGTTGATGCTGGGGAAAATCCTCTGTGGTCCGTGGTACTGTGTTTGGATCTGGGGTTTGGAAGGCAGGACTCAGTCAGGGGTGGGAATGGGTCGGACGGGCAGGCGGGCGAAGGGTGGTCATGGTGTTCGTGGTGGCTGTTTGTCAGAACTGGGAATGAATGGAGCAGGGAGCTCAGGTCTGGAAAGGCGTGGTGGTGGTTGTGGTTGTGGTTTGTGGTAGTCTACGGACACCATACCCTCTTAGGAAGGGCTGACCCTTATGGCACCTTCGAGCTGTTGGTGGGAGGAGGAGAGAGGACAGGCTGCTGGTCTGTGGATGCATTGGGGGTTGTTGTATCTAGTATCTCGGCGACACATCTGTGGTTGGGCGGTTGGGAGCGGATGTGGGTGTTCATACAACACCAGACTAAAATAGAGTCAGCTTCAAAGAAGGGAAACAGTTTCTAGACACCGGTATGCTCGCATTTGTGTGGTTCCCGTGGTGGTGGTGCGGTGGTTCTGTTGCTGTTATTGTCGTCGTCCAAGTCCTCATAGCAAGAACAACACGAGAGACCAAAGAACAAGAATGAGGAGAGCCAGCCGCAGATATGAAGATGCAAATTCTCCTCTTTCTAGACTATTCATGACAAATCTGTGTGGACTCCACCAGATACTCGGTGACTCAGTCACCTGTTTGAACAAAAATGTACATTTTCCCCGGTTTGAACGGAGCTTGCAAAACGTGACAAGAAGGAAAGGCGTTGCCATTTCCAGCAGGACTCGCTCGACACAAGAAGAAAAGTCGTCCGTGCTCCCCTAACGCCCTCGCTAGATTTCTCGATCTGTAAGGACAAGACAATAGGTACCAACTGGATGCTCCAGTCTATTGGGAGAACTCTGGACAAGTTGGATGCCGCAATGTGGGTGATCCGCGATTGAAAGATAATTGTGAGCCTGTAAGCATAGATATGATAGGATTGATGAGTGTGGTCAGAAGGTCTAGTCAACGCCGGCGTAGAGGTCGACGACGATGTTGATGGCACTGCGCAGACAAGTCAGCAAAGAGAGCATTCAGAAGGGCGCGAGGATGGTAGCCTACGCAACCAGAATTTCCGCTGCGATGAGGACGATGACTGTAATCCGTTAGCAGGCGTTTGACTAGGAAGCCGAAAAGATTTCCGCACCGATCCATTCCAGTACCTCGCCATGTCGTCGGCTTCCTTGCTCTCTCAAAACAGCCAGCAAATCTGCCTAGTCAGCAATCTGTATGGCCAATTCTATTGCAAATAAGCTTACCAGCGATGACATCGAGTCTCTCAGTCAATAGGCCAACGCGCTGTTCAATTTCGAGATAGCTTCTGACTGCCGCATACACAGGCTCTAGGTGCGGTTCTGCCCACATCAACTCGGGGCTGTCAAGAACGCTTCCCTGCAAGTGAATGTTGATTCTTAGAATGAACAACTCCCCTATCTGCATGTTCAGTTGACGCCTGGTTAGGTTGACGCTGCCCGTCTGGGCGATCAGGGCGGGAAGAGGGCTCGTCGCCTCGATGGTCTCGCTGACCAGATCTTCAAACAGACTGGTCTTCACACTCTGAGAGAGAGCATGACTGATGGCTAGTTTGGTCATGTAATTGCGGGGGTCCCTCAAGCTAATAAAGTCGTTGTAGATGCGGGCCTGGTACTCTTTGGTATAGTAGAAGTTGAAGTTTTCTGTCTGCACGCTCTCCTGAGGCAATGGTGCGTCGCTGAACTTTGACATGTCGTTCAAAAATCGCTGCTCCTGCTGGACGGTCATTCCCCAGATGACGACGGTACCGTAGTCGAATATGAAGATTTCGGGGGTGTCTACTTTTGTGGAGAGTTCGGAGTTTGATCGCTGGTGCATGTCATCATTCTCGGGATGTCGAAGGTCGGTGGAAGAGCGCGTTGCTGTCATAGCTAGTTCGGCCGATTCCTCCATCATACCGGGGCCTCCCAGCTCATCCTGTAAGTCGATAAGGTCGTCTCGTCTTTGTTTTTTATTGTCCTCCACCTCTACCACACTGTCCGAGAATCTTCTCTCCCCCGGCGCAATCCTTGGACTCGCCATAACCCTTGCGATTCTTTCTTGCACTGGGCTGTTGCTCCTCGAGTCCCCCTTGTTCTTGTCGTGTTTCTTCAGATACTCGTAGTCATACGGACTGTACAGGCATTCATCAAACAGCTTCGGATTCGCACCTCTCGTTCTTGTCCGCGATTTCATGAACTTCATGATTCCATCAAGCCGGTAGCCCTGTGCAATGCAATACGCCGTAACGCGAGGTAATCTATCCCTGTCCGCTTTTCCTAGTCTGGCTGCATCTCTTCTCGCCGTTGGATCTTTGATTCTTGTAAACTGTGAATACACATCTCTCCCACTTTCTTCATCCGGTTCCTCCTCTGCGATGTCAGGGTTTGGCAGGATCTTCAGTTTCTCGATCGTCTTGGTCGTTCGCTGGGCTCCAGCACGAGGGGCTGCATGAAACGGCTGTGTGGTAGGTAACGGAGAACCATGGCTATTTCTCCGGCGCAATTTCGAGTTGAAGGCACTGAGCATGGGTTGCTGTTCACGGCTGGGCTGGGACGAGCTCGTGAGGGCTGCCGAGGGACTTTGCACTGGCCTTAAAGATCCCGAAGATGTAGCGCCTGACTGCATACTGACGGAGGTCAACGGATTAAACGTGACAGTTCGTTGATTTCTTCCACCTAGGCGTGACGGGGACCCCACGGAAGCTGCATGCTGTGGAAGCAAGGGCGAGGATTCTCCAACGGCCGCCGCCATGGTTCGACTTCGAGATTCGTGGGCGTTATACAGATGTTGACGACAAGGGACAGGCGAGGGTTGGCCGAGGTGGATGGCGGTCTGGAGAGAGCAGCGAAGACAAGGGCCAGGGCACCAAGAGTGCACGCAGTCGGGTGCCCATCGCACTTGCATCATGGTTCAACTTTGGAGCTCGGCTATTGGCAGTCCGAATTCTCCGCTGCTGACTAAGGCTGCTAAAATCTACGACTCCTTGGAAGCATGTGGTACTGTACGGAGTATGTGGCAACAGACCAGACCGCCTTGGGCCAGGGGGAGGGCTACGCCCGCGACAACAACAAAGGAAGACTTCTTTAGAATTTGGCGTTCACTCCGATCCACCTAAAAGACATTTCATTCCCAACCCGGTCCATAGGATGCTGAAAAGCCCCTTGCTAGCCAAGGTAGGCCTGTTAAGTATACACTGCTTCGAATCTGCTTTTCGCCAAACATGCCTTGATTAAGGAAACAGCCCTCATTGGTAATAATATGTCTCGTCAGGCGTGCGGCCACGCAGGAAAGCAGGCTCACTGCCACGAGCATAGACATCCTCATAGAGAATCTTGGGAGTTGGCTCGGGAGGTGCCATCTTCTCGGCCTCAGCAACTTCCGCATCAACGTCTTCCCGGGCTTTCTTGTCGATTTGCTTGAGCTCGTCCTCAGTACAGACGCCCCAGTCGAGAATCTTTTGCTTCAGACCGGCGATAGGATCGTTGGTGGATCGCATTCTCTGGATCTCCTCTCTAGTCCTGTAGGTTGTGCCAGGGTCGGACATCGAGTGGCCACCATATCTGTAAGTGACATATTCAATCACCAACGGCCCCTTGTCGTCCGCCGTATACTGCTTGCCATATTGCACGGCAGCTTTCACGGCAAGCACATCCATGGCATTCACCTTCAGACCGGGGATATACTGTCCACGCTTATAGTAATCCGTCAAGGCCGAAGATCGTGCAGCCGATGTTCCCATGCCGTACTTGTTGTTCTCGCATCCGAACAACACCGGCAGGTTCCACAACTTGGCCATGTTGAACGCCTCAAAGACTTGACCTTGGTTGGAAGCACCATCACCGTACAAAGTGACGGTTGCGGTCTTGCTGCCTAGGTATTGGTGCGCAAAGGCAATTCCGGCGCCGACGGGTACCTGAGCGCCAACGATACCATTGCCTCCAAAGAAGTTGTGAGTAAACATATGCATAGAACCTCCTTTTCCATAGGCAATACCGTGCCGACGGCCTAGCAGTTCACCAATGATGGATTTGACAGTCCCGCCGCGCATAAGCGCGAAACCATGACACCGGTAGGCGGTAATAATGGCATCGTGCTTCGTGATGGCATGTTCGATACCAACCGCAACAGCCTCCTGACCCGTCGACAGATGACAGAAACCTCGAATCTTCTTTTCCTTGTACAGTCTGTCTGCGGCCATCTCCATTCGACTAGCACTAGTGTCAATGCATGGTCGGTCAAAACTTTCCCATGCTTCACTTACCGGACTGTGACCATATCAGTGTACATCTGCTTCAGCTCCTTCTTCGTGGTGTCGAGGGTGTATGGGGGAGGGTCGAGCATATAGGTCTCGAAACTCTCATCGTGGAGCTTGACTTGGAAGGGCTTGTCATCTTCCTGAGGGTCTCTGTTAGTCTGTCGCATGGAAAATGCCATCCAATAATTTATCATACCTCCGGGACATCATCTTTCTCTGCGTGAGAGCTTGCAGCATCTGTGGTGACCGATCTGCGGACAAGCTGGTACGCTCGTCTCTTCGGAAGTGACTGGAGGCCGAGCCCTCGAAGGCAGGCTTTCGACAACATGGCACGGACAGATGGTGGAAGAACGGAGAGACTCGATGGAACTACAGTAGGCAATTGATGAGAGAGATAGGTTTGAGGTGTTTTAGCTATCAATTGCGGTTGGGGCGCCGGAAAAGCACTAGCGTCCGAGGACTCGGACTTCAAGCCAACGGAGGAGCGCCACTGCACTGGCAACTGGAAGGAGGGTCGCCTTGGCATCGCATGCGAGCGGCGAGGACGGTGTACTCCGCAGTAGTACGGTGTACTGCTGCTCACAGCTCACAGTTGCTAATAATAGTAATTAGTGGTACAGCCGGGACTATCTGTACGGACTACTCTGTATAGTAAATTTGGATGACTGCCTCAGCATACAGGCAATTCATACTCCTAGTGTCTACTGGAACTTGTCGGGAGCATGTTGGCTTCCAGACCGTACATATGTAGGCCATAGTAACGGGTAGGAGACAAGAGTTCCCCCTATTTGAATGTTGGCCGAACTCTCAGCTTTAAACATGATCTTGATCAATACTCGTATCGCAGGCATATCATGGTCCCACCGCCTCAAAGATGGCAATGCCATACATCCCACTAGAATCGGGTATCATCAGTGCGTGTTGACCTCGTCTCCCTATTCGTTCTTCCTTGCATTCCTTGCCTGAAGATAAATGATCTTTCCACTGCATTTCCTGCTCGAGTGTTCCATGCGTCGTGCACATGGTCCAACAACCTTCACTCTCGCAAGAACAACTAAACTCAGTATCCTCCTGGCCCCACCAACCCAGGCTGCGTACCATACCCTCCAGGCACCACGCCTTGATGTCCGAGTTGCCCAGGTTGGTGCAAGGACGAGCTGACCTGAACCCGTCCTTGTCCCACGTAGTCGGGAAGGTCTTGGAACCATGGGTGTCTCAGAGCATCTTGTGCGTTGATTCGGTTTTCGGGTCTGAGCTGCAGCAGCTTGCCCAACAGATCGAGGCCCAGCTGGTCCACCTGCGGCAGTAGAATGGCTAACGATTGCGTGGCGTACGATGGAAAGTTGGCCTTGTACTCGGGTAGCTGAGAGATGCCCGGCCAGGTCCGTTCGGACGGTGTGCCCATCAACCGGAAGATCTTCTGTAGTTGATCCTCGTTGGTTGTGCCAGGGAACAGTGGACGACCCGTGTACATCTCCGCCATGATGCAACCAGCCGACCAGATATCAATGCTTGTGTTGTACGTCCGGGACCCAAGGAGCACATCCGGAGCCCGATACCAAAGCGTGACAACTTCGTTGGAGAAGGTATTGACCGGGATTCCGAATGCTCTTGCTAGACCGAAATCTGCCAACTTGAGTTGTCCCCTGGTGTTGATTAAAAGATTCTGAGGTTTCAGATCGCGGTGAAGGACTCGGTTCTCATGACAGAACGCAACTCCCCTCAGTAGATCCTGCATGAACCTCTTGATCGTGACCTGATCAAGTTGGCCCCGGTCCCCGCGAGCGTCCATGTACTTTTTCAAGTCCTTATCCATGTACTCGAAGACCAACATCAGTTTATTCTCTGTATGGATGACATCGTATAGTGTGACTATGTTTTCATGTTTCAACTCTTTCATCAAACTGATCTCTCGGATCGCCGTCGACGGGGTTCCCTCTTCGGAGTCGAGATGAATCTCTTTGAGTGCGACGAGATCGCCGGTCTGTCGGTTTCGACCTTTGTATACGGTGGCATATGTCCCCTCCCCTAACTGCACGTCGAATTTTAGCCTGACGGTAGCATGCTTGTGAGAGGTTGCAACGTACCTTTTCCAATTGTTGGAATGAACTGGGATGCCTTCGATCCATCGGGAAAGGCGACCTGCGTTGGGCTTGCAGACGGTCTCTTCCGGGAGGCGGGGTCGAACCGTGTGGAAAGAGGATCGAGGCGGGAGAGATGACACGTTCGGCGAGTTGTTGGGCAGTGAGTCTTTGAGGCTGCTGGGTTCTTGATTGAGAGTGGGATGTCTGAGGAGGCTGCGACGAAGTGGTCGACGAGACTGAAGATCGATGGGGAATAGTTGTGGAGCGAGAAGACATGACAAGGAACAGGCGAGGAAAGAGAGACAGCCTTCCTTTCCTTTAGTAGTGCGAGATCTTCGCCTTCAGCGTAAGGCCAGGCCAGTTTCCGACATACAAGACGCGCGCATCATTTGCCACGAGCGGCTAAAAGAGATCGCTTGTGGAACAACGAAAAGGTCTGTCTGATAATATTTGCATCTCTTGTGCAGGCCGCCCGTGTGTCACGCTTTTCCTTTCAACTCTTCTGAGAAGGCCTGTGTGTCCACCCTCCGCCAAAGCCACGCCCCAAGTCACTCGTTGTACGGATACTAGTGCCTGGCCTGGGCATTGTCACAGTCGCTGTACTCGTTCGTCTCCAAACGCCCCAAAATACACCTGGCGTCTGCTCGTCCTATCGATGTTGCCTCCTGCTCCAGCGCAATCTTGGTCTGATTTTAGTACCGTCGCATGTTTGAAAATAGCAGTTAAGACACAAATCGTATTAATACTTGGACATTATAACTACTACCCAATGGTTGGCTGCCTGCAGCTTACCCTTCAAGGTTCGTCTATACTTTGGGCTCGCGCCCATCTGGATTCTCGCCAGTATCATTGTCAATCTTTAAAGATATGCCCAAACGTGAGATTTTTTGTGCATGATGTCGCAATGTCAGGTCTGACTAGAAAGACAACTCGTGCAAGGAAGGTGTTTCGTGACAATTCATGAGATGGGTATCTTCCAACTATTCGCTCGCTCGCAACGTCGTTTCCAGGTCACGTCAATGCAAGCGACGAGCATTCTTCAGTCATAAGGTATTCCGGACCACGTCGTGTGATGGCATAATTCGTCAAATGAATCGTCAGGTCATGGTCATGCTGTGTGGGACTCGTGGGATGATTGCTGCGTTCGCCGCTGGGCTCCAGCGGTAGCTAGAGTCTGCACGAGAGGTTCGCTCATCGTTCGCCGCCTTGACTCGAAGACTGGGCGCTGCGCATGGGCGATGAGCATCTTGAAACTCGATCCCCGGCTTCTGCATTCTCTCAAAAGATTTTTCTCTGCGAAAATACTTCTGGAAAGGTCACCGTCCGGGATGACGCTAGCTTCGAAACAGTGCTGCCACCATGCCCTCGCCGTTCGCGAGACAATCCTACCGATCTTTGCATCAGCATTCTCGGAGTGATCTGCAATCAGATCGTTCAATGACAGGTTGGCTCCTTTGCGCCCTAGACCAAACGTCATTCGCGGCGAAGCAGTTGCTGGTCTTGGACTTCCAGCACCGCCCTTTGGGAGAGAGTCTGATCCTCCACTTGAGCGTGAGGACGAGGATGAAGCGGCCGACCCAGTTGGCCGACCTGCAACAGGAACACCCACAACGCAGCGACTGATGCTGGAGAACCCTCTTGCACTAAGAACGCTCTGGACATTGTCGATTATGGGCCTGAGACTAATCTGTGTGTCTGCCGTTGCCAATCGGAATTTGAGCTCACGGACAGCTCTTCGAGTTTGCACACCCATATTGACAATGTCAAGATCTAGTAGTAGGAGCTCGAGATATCCGCCAGGGAGCAACACCCGCCTACATTCGGATATGATATTCTTCATCTTCGCTTCCGGCATTGCTGGTGGAAAACGAAGCACAACGGCAGAGAAGAAAGCAGGCGGGAAAGGGAAGCGTTCGTCAAAGCTGGTCACCTGAGCTCGGCGATGATTATTCGGGGCGTTTTGAGATGCTTTGAAGCTCTTCAAGCCGGGTCCCGATGGCTTCTCCTGCAGGTGGTGAACGAATGCTTGCTGCGCCTCGTAGGTAACGGCACAATAGATGGACCAGTCCTCAGTCCCTAACCCATCGATGACGAGAACATGCCGTTCACGAAGAGTCTGAATCTCATCGTGTGCAGGTGAAAAGAGCACACGCCCGAACGAAAGCCATTTAGCGACCATGAGCGAAGCAAATTGAAGTTCGGACTGGGCTGCTGGATCCTTCTTTCGCTCGACAACATCCAGAAGTGCAACATGTTCCTGATGATTCGACTCTTTATGCATTTCCGGTCGGCTCATGGTGGCTGTCCAACGCTTCAAGGATTGACTGGCCGAGGAAGTACTTAGTCGCTCAGATGGTATTGTGCTACTCCTGTGGTGACTGTCGTACTCGTTGAGCAAATCGCGGATCGAGAACGGGGATGTTGGATCAGTTGAGGAATGTAGTGCTGACACAATCCTAGACCTTCGCAGCCGAACGTCTTCTCCTGCGGTCTGCTCAAGCATTGCCGAAGGAAATATAACAGGAGATGCGGTCGAGGCTGCTGTCCCCTGCCCAAACACAGGCCGTTCCATTGCAGGAATAGATAGGTCGGGAAAGACAATATATGGCTCCCCTGTTTGTGGTTTGACTGCGTTCCTTACCGAGGCGGTGAGGTGGCGTTCTGCCTGCTCGGGGAAAGGAATCTTTTCCCTGAGGGTACTACTTGTATCCTTCCTTGCAAGTGAAGGTGACATGACATGATCGAGAAAATCATCATATTCATTCCACACCTCGTCCACACTAGGACTGTTGGACGCATTAATGTCGATATCGTGAGCAAATCGTGCCGGGTGCCCTTCCTTGGGCGGGCTGGAGCCCGGTAATGGGCCAAGCATGCTCAACGGGCCTTCGGAACTGCTGGACGTAGATGCCTCGGAAGCTGCCCCTGACGGGAAACGTAGGAACTCGGACTTGGCGAGGGTATCGGCGTTGGAAGGTATGGCACGATCAACTGAGGGGAGAAGGCGACCCGGTTGCAGATGCGTCCTGGTCTCGAGCGGCGCACGAAACCCAGCTGCGGGCGTATTTCGTAAATTGTAGACATTTTCTGCAGTTGATTCCCTCACCAATGGTTTCAAGAACAATGCCCGACTGGGTTGGCTTTGTTCTTCGTTCCGTGGGACCACTGCAGGAATTCTTCCAACACGAGCTAGCCGGGGCTGTCGCTGCGGCCGCTCCTCTATCTGACCCTGTACCCGCTGTTTCGGACTTTGCAGCGGCACCGAAGGCAGTGATCTGTCAAATGACTGCGGCAGGGATAGCGAGGCACTTGGGAGGAGGATATCATCTTCATAAGCTTCCGCTGTATGCGCGTTATATGAGGTTTCGGCCTCGTATCCTTCGTTTATGGGGCTGACTGCAGGAGATTCGGTCAACTGTGGCAGAAGATCCGGAAGTTGCTCAGTGGTATTCATCTCGCTTTCAGAATCGATCATTGCATAGTATGGCATTGGCCGAGGCGTAGAAATTGCCAAGATGCTGACTGGTAATTCGTCAGGAGACGAAGACGGTAGGTGGGCAGTCTGCTCTGGTTCTTGTTCTGAACCCTTTCTCCGGAAGATATTCCATTTGCGTTTCCAATTTCTCTTGTCCTTCGATTTGTAGAACGAATTGTCACTGCGGTATAGGTCCGTTGTAGTGCTCGGTGTCGAAAGAGACCCCAGCAGAGCAGATGATCGGCTTTCCTCTTGGCTGCTAATGTATAATGGCGTTAAGAGCTCATGAGTCCGAATGGACATTGGTAAGCTGAACTTCTCCTCGTCATTACCGAGTCTCTGGGATCGGCGAAAGGCCAGAGTAGGAACGGTCCTATGGCTCAGAGCGGGATCACCAGTGCCACCTAGACCGTCTTGCCCAGAATTCTGGCCGAAGGAGCCTTGAGATTGAGATAGAGGACGCCGTTTATCAGAGCCTGATGACGACGGCGGAGCATTGTCGTAGACATCGAGTCCGTCGCCGGGACCAGCGCTGTTAATGGCTCTTGACCCACCAACAATTGGAACAGGCCTCAGCCGCGTAGCAGCAAAGTCGTCGAGGTCGGACTGGCTGCTACGGGTTTGACGACTACTGCTGCGGCTTTTCGAACTTTTGGACGAGAACAGGGCAATCCTCCTAGTACTACTAATTGATCTCTCACTTTCGCTGTTGCTTGCTGATCTGCTTTCCTGAGACATTTCGCGACCTCGTCGTCCATACCTGCCGTACCCTTCATGGCCTGTACCGGCAGTAGGTCCTTTGCGCTGTAGTTTGCGCGGGGTCACCTCTGGTTCTGGAGCTGGGGACTTGCCTCTGCGACCGAAAATCCCCAGTCGAGAAAACTTGCCCGATCGAGGCGGAGGCGTTTGAGATTTTGTCCCAGGATGCGGATCATATCCTTCTTCCCGGTTCATAACAACAACTTGTTTGATCCTGCTCTCTTCAGCAGAGTCTGTTGGCATCGTCTGCTGACTTCTGGAAGCTGGATGATGCCCACGGCGCACAACAGGCATGGTACTACCCGTCGTGTTCACGCCTCGTCGACTTGGTTGAGGAGGAGCACCACCTAGCGACTGCTGGAGGTCTTCGTGGGCTCTTGTAAGAGGGGCTTGCAGTAGAGACTCTCCAAGATCCTTTGTACGTTTCGACAGTGGACTGCGCTCCATTTCCGATAACGGATCCGAAGGTTCAAGTCTTCCTCTTTGTTTGCTATTCCGGCTGCTACTCCTGCTCAACGCCTGCTTGGTGGAAGATGTCCTCGGCGGCGGAGTAGGCGCAGGAGTAGTCAGCGGCGTCCTCTTTGCACCAGGAGAACTCCTCGACTCTTTCAGACCGGGAGGCCACTCACTCTTACGCGCCCGAGAAAACGCTTCTGGAACAGCAGGTATTTTTGGATGCCTTTCGCGGGTTGTAGTGGGGATTGGAACAGTCTGTGACCGTTTACCGGATTCCTTAGCTGGTAGTGGCTGCACAGCACCAGGAGAAGCCGACGACCATGATGTCGGGGTGGTCGTTGTCGTAGATACACTCCAAGGGCTTGGGGAACTCGAAAGGCGAGTCGACGGACTACTTGTTGAACTCAAGGACTTTTTGAAAGCGCCAGGACGGTTTGACGATGTAGCTGCCAGAGCTTGCAGTTCTGGTATCAGTCGAGGAGGGAGATCAGTGGGACGGTTTGTGGTACTGATCCTGGGCATGACAACGCCGAATATTGCATCAGGAGCTGCATCCAAAGGTGATTGTGCGTCACGTCCAGTACTTGAAGTATCTGAACGACTGAAATTCCGCCTAGTAGCAGACCGATCGTATTGCATGTTTAGTCCCTCGCCAGAATCCATCACCAACGGGACTTCTTGCATGATTGTGTTGGCACTTTCACCGGACGAATTCAGCTCTCGTGGCGCCGACACATCTCGCAAGAGAGCACCTGGCCGTACATTGACGGCTTTTGCAGGTACTCGAGGAATTCCTGTTGGCCTAGAGCGAGGCTTTCCACTTGAAGTACCTGAGGACTCTGTCATGAAGGGTGATGATTGTGGGGGCGAGATTTGTTTTGTGCTAGGACGAGCTGTCTCTAGTTGGCGAGCATCCTGTCTGGCCCTCGGTGACCTGACGGCTCGTGGCACGGTAGCATCCCTGGTTCTGGAAACAACCTGTTGGGTGTCATGTGTCTGCATTCTGTGTGACATGTCCTCGGTGGAACAATTTCGCCCTTGCCAGTTGTCCAAGATCCGAACAATGGTGGACTAAACTTTGAAAACATCACGTTCTTCTGTCACCCAGAGTCCGGCCATTCAGATACCCGCAACAACTTAAGAACTGGTGTATGGTTCTTTCGTGTGCGCACCTGTTGCAGATTGATGTAAATGCCGACACGTTCACTAGGAAGTTTAACTGATGGAATTTCAACCAAGTAGATTGGATCTTCCCAGTGAATTCTGCTGAAAGTTGTACAACGCACTTGTATCCAAGACAGAAATGTTGGTGGTGTTAAACAATGGTCAGAGGCTGTGAGCAGTAGAGTAGTATAGTGGACGGATCCGTAGACTCCCATGCGCCACAGGCGGCCGGCATCACCGAGGCAAAAAATAGTATCTCCGAGAGTGGCACGTGACGTTGCGCACTGCCCCAGTTATCAGTGGCGAGCAGAGGAACAATTGGATTTATGGAGGAGAAGAATAACAGGAAAAACAGGATTTGAGGCAAGAGATGATAAACTGCTGGGTAAGAGATGGTTGCGTGGATGAAGGCGGGTCTTGCAAGGGCACTTTGTAACGAGGTGGAGAGATGGGAGAGATGCGATTAGCGCACATGCATATGGAGTACTTACTGGTAGTCAGCAGCCTCCAGTTGACAAGGCAAGGTGCGGCAGAGCAAGCAGCCCCATGGCTGCAGCGGCTTCAACGCCAGGGTCCCAGACGGGCTCAGGCTCTCTCTCATAGCTTCCGCGCATTCAGACAGCGGGGCGGGAAGAGACCACATAGCGACCCATCTTCAGCGCTGAACTTATGTAAAGGGTCTGGGCTCCTGGTCCCATGGCTCAAGAAGTTTCCCTGGCAAGTGGTTAACTTGGTTTGCTCACGCTAGAGCCGATGTTGTTCCCACGCCTTATGCACAACTCTCCATTGACATGAAGGCCATTCCCGCTTCTAGCTCCATGGTCGGCTGACCATGGTTGCGGCTGATGCATCAGGCTGACTTGGAAGATCTGACAATTGTTCATGGCATCGTGGCGGCCTGATCTTAGCAAATACCCGCGGGCTATGAGTGCTGTACGTATTGGGATTTGTCCGTCCGGTATTCCTCGGTCGATTCTGTGGAGTAGCGTGGCGGCCTATCTGCGTGGCGCTTGGAAGGAAGGCAGCATCATAGGCAAACTCATGTGGCAAGGCAGGATTGACATCAGGCTATCAGGGAGCAGCCCCCTTCGTGCGACGAGTCGGAACGCTGTGGCGAAATGTTGGTGGGAAGCCCGGTTAAAATTGACGCTTTACAACCCCATAGTGACTGGTGTCTTCGTATTGATCACAGTGAAAGGGGAAAGCGATATCGCGAGGATGTTGAGGAGGGCAACAATAGGTTTCATTCGCACCAACAAAGCGTGGTGGCAGAGAGTGAGCAAGGACGAGAGCCAGTCGTTAGGAAGACAGCAGTCTCTAGAGTCAAAAAGCTGCGGCAAGGTGGAGCTGAGGACGAGCCTTAGTCCCTCAGCCCACATCGGCCCCGGAGGGCAGTGGCTCCAGGGCTCAGCGGCCAAGCTCAGCGGCTCACTCGTACAGGTAACCTTACGGAGACACTTAGTTAAACCGCGGCCCCAGGCGGCCGTTGAAAGGTGGCCCGAGCCGACTTTGAGACGCCTACGGAGTACGGATAGAGGGCTGAGACAAGCCTAAGAAGCCCTTCGAGTTCTTTCCACCCTTCTTCTCGACTTCGCCGTTGGTCTGGAGAGAGAAGTCTAGTTTGTGCCGAGGGAAAAACTCCTCACTCCCGCCGTACCAGGTAGGTGCCAGGTACCTATATGGCTGGCTGCTCACAATTCCCCTAACGGAGCGTCCGACCATCCTGTACACCGTACTCTTGGATGTTATTCCTGTGTACCTTTCAGAGACGGATTTAGTCCAGCCTCGATCGACAAACCGTCAATGAATGCCTAAGGCAGGTACACTACATGCAGCGCTGTCCTCCGCACTTCGTAGGAACTCACGCATTCTACTGACTGGGTTTCCTCCTACCCTCGCCTACCTCATTTTCTTCTATCCACCAATCCCGCTGCGAGACTGGGAAAATACACCATGGTGTGGCTGATCGAGCCACCTTGTGCGTTCGATATGACACGCTAAACGTTTCTAAAGAGGATCGTTGGCGAATCCGCCTGTCGCCCTCCCCTCCACACCAGCTGGCTCGAAATCTCCGATCAGCCCCTCGCCTTCACACCCTCACGGTCCCTTCATGGGGAAAAAGACAGGTCTAGCCGACGTCACATATCGCCTGATCGCTACGGCGGCACTCCTACGTAGGTATCGAGAGTCCCATCAGATTCAACCAGGTGTACTACAGTATCCGTACCTACCTGCAAATACCCACTACCTTAGTACCTAAGGTAGCTAACTAATACTCCGTAGTGTGTAAGACTCAGGTAGTAGGCACCCAGTAGAAGTAATAGGACTACTTGGGCTTCAGCCCGCCCTAGGTGCGCCCTACTGTATACATGTATTTACTAATCACCACAGACACTTGAAATCCTTGGCACTACTCATGATACATGTGGGCTCCCGGATGATACAAGAGGCAGCAAGTATCACATCATGCTGCCCCAGTACCTAAGGTACCTAATATAGCTCGACCAGCAGGTCGGGTCAGAGCTCTTCAAACGAACCTTGGCTCAGATTATTTGTCATAAATCTAGTGCTTCGTCTAAGCATCGAATTCACCAGCATGGCGCCACATGAAGCAGGATTCCCTCAGGAAGGGGGTTGTGACTGTGGAGAGGTCCGGTATGTCATGGAAACAAAACCAATCGTGGTTCACTGCTGCCAGTAAGTCGAAACTGCAACCCATAGATGAATAATTTTCGCTGAACTCGGCGCAGCTGTCGGTGGTGCCAGCGAGAAACTGGGGCTTCTTTTGCTCTCAACGCCATGATCGAGGCGGACAGGGTGAGAGTATTGAAGAATGAGCCTGAATGGATCACGGTGCCCAGTGCAAGTGGGGTGGGACAGAGCATTGCACGCTGCCCTAAATGCTGGATCGCTGTATGGAGCATATACCCGGGCTTGGGCCACGACAAGAAGCTGTTGCGTATCGTGCGTGTTGGCACTCTGGACAAGCCAGACTTGTTTCCACCTGATATCCATATCTGGACCGCTGAAAAACAGCCTTGGATCGTGCTTCAACAGGATGTACCCGCTTTCAAGGACGGCACATACGATAGAAAGGAGGTCTGGTCGCAAGAGGCCTTAGACAGAGGGAAGGAAGTGTTCAGGCTTTGACCTGTCAAATACAGATGTAACCAGTGTCCTAGAATTCCTCCATCATACTGCTCAGCCTCAGCCTTGAGGTACAGGTCGGAACCAACCCAGCTGAAAGTTGAAGTTGCGGCTGTTGCTAGTCCTTTCATTGGGTCTGCGGCCTAGGATGTGTCGTCGCCTCCAGTATAGTGGTCACGAATCGATTGCTTTCTGCACAAGGAGTCTATAAGTTAAGCTCAAGACCAAGCAATCTCAAAAGGCCTCGGGAGCAGGGCCACGCTAGACTCGGAAAATTTCATCAGCTTCGTAACATGGACTTACACAGTGTCAATGGCAGCTCAGCAAGTGTATTGGACACCCTATGGTAAGACCAGAGTTGGATCGCTGTGATCAGCTGTGGTGAATTTGTGTAAGCATCAGAAAGCCTGTAGGAAGCACGTTCTTTCTTACGTACAGGTTGACATGTATTAAAGCGGCAAGATATTTGTTTCATTGCGCAGACACTCCGAGAATGCTTGTAATTAACAACAACCGCATTGACAGCAACAACAGGATCGTCGGCATATCAACCATCTCTTCTACAACGCGTAGCTCCACCATCTCCTTGCATCTCGGTCAGTTGCTTCTGCCTTGCTACCGTGGTTAGCTCCAATCGACAAGAAGCTCTACATCTTCCCGTGCCATTGGCGCGATCACCCTCATTATGGTGGACTACGCAAAGAAAACAGTGGTGGAGTTGCAAGAGATCCTCAAGTCACGGAATCTCTCACATACCGGGAAAAAAGCAGAGCTGATTGCGCGTCTCAACGAGGCCGACAAAGCAGCAGAGGCAAATGGTAATAATTTCTGACATTGGTGCTTGCGCGCCTTCCTGAAGACTGCTCCCATTTCCCTATTGTGCGTTCGAGGCGACCAAAGAACAACAGCAGTTCAAGATGACTGACTTTCTTCCAGATCCAGCCGAAGCCCCTCCAGCCGAGTCCACGAGTGCGCCGCCCGAACAGCAAATCGAGCCAGCAGCGCCACAGGACAGCGAAAATCCAGCAGTAACAGAGACCGCACCGGTACAGTCCCAAGTCGACGCGACAGCGTCGCCCTCAGCAAACACGGATACTGCCCTTGCGAACTCGGCCTCTTATGCTCTAAATTTGCCCCAATCAGACATCGATGCTGAATTGGCCAGACGCAAAGCTCGCGCCGAACGGTTCGGCACCGGCGCAGCCACAGCAAATGGAGAAACGGGAACTGCAGGTACAGAGAACGCAGATGATGAGGCGCAAAAGGCATTAGAACGGGCAAAGCGCTTCGGCACAGGTCAGACAGCGGTGGGGAAGCTGGACGAAGCCTTGCCTACTGAGCCTGAACGTCGGTCAAGGAAACGGAACAGGACAGAAGAAAGCAGCGCCCTGGACGATCCAGCCCTCATCAGAGGCTTCGGTGGGCGTGGTAGAGGAAGGGGAGGGAGACTCCACGGCAGAGGTGGGCGGGATAATTCACGGAGAAGAACAGGAGAGAAGCCCCGGGGTGTTAGTAAACAATCGGGTATCTTTTCCAGCGAAGCGGATCGTCTGGCTGCGGAGACGAGGAAGAAGAGGTTTGCTTCGGCATCATGAGGGGATCTTCTTGTACGCTACTAGTGCTGCCCACCGCACATCTTGGAGTGAGGCAAAAACTGGGCATATGTAAAATGATACCGGCTTCATTGTTGCAAAAGGCTGTCAACCCCTCGTTCAAGTATGGTCACATGCATCGAGCAATGGTCCATTGTATGAGACCCTCAATTCAATTCCATCCGGTGAGAGAGTAAGATCTCGTATCATCCAAACAAGATCTATCCTACGAGGGTGGAGGGCATTCGCACCATATGTAGTATATTACCAACAGCAAATGATCAATTGGCTAGACTGCAGAAGCAGAAGAAATCTTGCTTTCGAGCGTGATCCTCGATTGACCTAGCAGCCATCCCTTCCAAAGACTGTAGCAATCGAATGGTTCAGAAGGGGGGAAGTTCTTAGATGAAAGGGTCAAGATTATTCCGAGTGTCTCATCTGCGGAGAGATTGGATGCTAGACTGCTCGTGAAAGCAAGAGCACACTGTTCCTGGTAGCAGAGAACCCAGCGAATGGCACCTCTCGAAGAGAGGGTCGAGCACTTGAAGATCAGTGAACAGGAGGGACGGAGGTAAGAGGGACTAGGCTGGAAAGCGCGAGGGGTCTGAAGGTAAATATGGACTTTCTAGCCAGGAGGCCTGGGACTCCGGGGTGGATACCATTGTACACTCGACATGAGGGAGACAGTCCAGTCCAAGAGGGGGCCTCCTGAAGGGAGGATGTCCCCAACGTAGAGCCGGTCATTAGGATGCAGAAACGACGGCGGCGGAGGGATAGTAGAGAGGATGACGCGCTGGAGTCATTAATTGCAGAACAGACGGAGGCACCACGGCAAGGTAAGTCGAGAGTAGTTGTACGGTCGAGGCAAGCTGCCACGTGACCATTTTGCCTGGGCCAAATAGTCGTAGTAATAGCGGCAGCCTTGCAAAACTTGGTGGGCGAAATAATGCATCCTTAACCTCAACCATCAATCCAGTGTGAGTGCGCCACCTCGTCACACCCCCAAATCTCAGGGTCAACGTTCACTGTGATCCTCGAGCCAGTGTTCGTACAGACTTGGTTGGGACTCGTCCTTTGCTTAAAGACCATTTGATGGCCGTCAAGACGAACGGTGTGCCATCAAATTACCTGCGATTACGCGGGACGAGACCCTGGGTTATCCTGCGCCATAAGATTAGGGATTGGCACTCGTTGATCAAGTAACATCCCGCGGAGAACTTGAGATGTTATTGCTTCACAAGTCACCAAGCTCTTATTTAAGTCTAGAGCGGTTAGCCAGAACGGGAGCTCCAGCTCAGCTAATAACAGGCCTTAGGAGCCATTTCACTCACTCACATCCGATAAGGCAGATGCATCTGGTTGGGCACAAGTCTAATGATAAGCTTGGCCCAACCACTGCACATGTTCAGTTGCTCATCTCCAGGCCTTGAATGAACACAAGCCCTGGTTCAAGGTGGCATTTTGCCCTCGTTGTTGGGCTCTTGAGCTTCTCGCCACCTCCTTCTCGTTGTTCTCGCCCGCCTCGACACGGCTGGTAACAAGGTGATCGAGTACGCTGAATGGTCATGCCTTTGGGACGCGGTGATCGACAATCGGGATTGAAAGGCATGCTTGTGACGAGCCGAGCATCGTGTCGATAACGTCTGATGCTGGGGCGTGTTCCTAGAGAAAAGGACAAATACTGGTCTAAGAGGGACTACGACTTGAGGCAAGAAGGACTTTGACACAAAATTTCCGAGGACACTGTGCTGTTTAGACGCGGCTCTTGCATTATTCCAGCTATATGTTTTCAGTCACATCAAAACCTCCCTCGGAGTTCATACATAACTGACTGGGTCAGTTCGGGACCCGTCTCTACCCCGTTATCAGCAACAAACTTGCCTAAACTCAGCCAGTGGCTTGTGCATTGCCCCCTTTCATTCGCTCCTCATTTCTCAATCTCTGGCTTGATCGGCCGCGGACTTGCTGATCTAGATACCACCCGATCTCGAGGTGATTGACGCTACATCCCCGGAGATGTACAGAGACATCACATCCATGGTGAACCTTACAACGACAAGATCTTTGGTCGTGCAAGGGGTTCATCATCCTTATAACTACTCTCTCCAGACCTCTTCTTGAGAACGGCTCCATCAACCTAGAGGGTCCTTCGAGCAGCAAAGGTCGGCAAAATACTCCCCGACCCCATACGCTGGTACCAGGACTATATCATATCGCTGCAATGGCTGTCGACTTTGGCCTGGCGTTCAGGGCCCCGGAGATCAACCCCATCACCTACAAGGCCCGTTCGATTCCTTTCTTGAACCCAATCAATATCTACGGCCGGGTCTTCTTCTTCTCTTGGTTTGGCTTCTTTTTGGCATTCCTCTCGTGGTACGCCTTTCCCCCATTGGTAAGTCAACACCTCTACGAAGCTGTCTCATGGACCATTCGGGTTGACCATCATCCAGTTACACGATACCATCCAGAAAGACCTGAAGTTGACCAAGGTCGATGTGGCCAATTCGAACATCATTGCCCTCTGCGCAACCCTCCTCGTTCGACTTGTTGCTGGTCCATGTTGCGATCGATTCGGACCTCGTCGGACATTTGCCGGCTGTCTTCTTGTTGGCGCCATTCCTACTTTCCTAGCCGGAGCTGCCTATACCAAGGGCCAACTCTTTGCAGTTCGATTCTTCGTCGGGATCCTAGGTGGCAGCTTTGTGCCTTGTCAAGTGTGGTCGACAGGCTTTTACGACAAAAATATCGTGGGTACGGCAAACGCTTTTACTGCTGGTTTAGGCAATGCGGGTGGCGGAGTGACCTACTTCGTCATGCCCAGCATATACGATTCACTGCTGAACCGAGGCTTGACACCTCATGTCGCCTGGCGTGTGGCGTTTGTTGTTCCTGGCATTGTGATTGTCTTCGTCGCATTGTGTCTCCTTTTGCTTTGCCAAGACACACCTGTTGGCAAATGGAGCGATCGGCAGCTTGCTGCCCAAACCCACCTTGCTGCACACGGTGTCCAGGTCGCTATTGTTGATCCTCCAAAGGCAGGAGTCACAGACAAGCCTTTATCCGACAGCAGCCCCCCGCCTCCTTCCTCGCACACGGGCGAGAAGACCCAAGACGAGGCTCCAGGAGACCGCAGATTGTCCAAATATGCCGACCAGGAGGTTCAGATGACTGAACAACAAATGCTTGACACGGCACGCGGAGAAATCATTGTGAGCCCGACCCCGAGGGAGATCATCACGGTTATGTTCGCACCCCAGACACTTGTGCTTGCCTTCTGCTACTTCTGCACCTTTGGCAGTGAGTTGTCTGTCAACTCCATTCTCGGCACATACTATCAAAAGAACTTCAAGTCCCTTGGACAAACCACGTCTGGACAATGGGCTGCAATGTTCGGTCTACTAAACGTTGTCTGTCGCCCTCTGGGTGGCATCATAGCCGACCTGCTTTTTGGAAGGTTCTCCAACCTCTGGGTAAAGAAGATCTGGATCCATACACTGGGGGTTATCACCGGCGTCTTTCTCATAGTCATTGGTGTCCTTGACCCTCATAACACCAGTACCATGTTTGGGCTCGTCGCTGGTATGGCCGTCTTCCTTGAAGGGGGAAACGGAGCCAACTTTGCTCTGGTGCCTCACGTCAATCCCCACGCCAACGGTGTTGTCTCTGGTATGACTGGGGCAACTGGCAATTTTGGCGGTATCATTTTTTCTATTGTGTTCCGATACAACGGCAGCAACTATGGCAAATCCTTCTGGATCATTGGTGTGATTACTATCGCTATAAATTTGGGTCTATGCTGGGTCCGACCCATTGCGAAGAACCAGATTGGGGGTCGTTGAGCGATGGTCTGGTTTAATGTACCGTCTCACAGTCGGGCGGGACGTCTCGCCACGCTCCGGGGAGCTTTGGATTACTCTGGGTCACGATAATCGTGCTTGAACGGCAAGGTTCGAAGCCGCTTTTAGCATCATGTCAGGCCCGGAGTTTCAGAAGACTCGGGCTCCGCAAGTGTCCTTCAAGGTGTACTAGTAAACCTGTCGTCACGACTTCTTCTGAGAATCGAGTCCCATCAATCCAGAGAAGCCACAATTGTGCAACACTGACTGATACTTGCATGAAGATGGCCGTCCTCGGTGTGGCAACGTCATGATGGACGTTGACATCATGAGGTGAGGGAACCGAATGAGCTGCGTTGGTGGGTGCGGTGATATAACACCTTCCTTGCCTCACGCATTGTCTTGTCCTTCGGTGATTAGAATGATTATGGTTCTCACGTGGAACGTCCTTAGATACTCCCGTCGTGCTCTAGGCGGCCTTGCATCACCCCAGCTCCAAAAGAACTCTCCTACTAGTGTATACCGAAATTTCTGCACACCACCCCTCCTCAAGATGCCTGAAGAATTACACAAGCAAGAGGTGACCTCCGGGGAAGACCCGTCCGTCACAAAACAATACGACCACGGAACACCGAAGGATGTACAATGGAAAGAACTCTACGAACTCATCGACGGCAAAAAAATCAGCATGCTGAACACCTACCGCACTGGCGTTGGCCTGGTTGGTCGATCGATGGTGGTTGCCAAACGTGCCGGGCCAGACATCCTTTACCTTACGAACAAGAACTCGACGAAATTCGAAGACATTGCGAAGAACAAAGAGGTCCAAATCACCATTCAAGACAGCAAGACGCAAGACTGGATTTCCATCGCGGGAACGGTCACCACAGCATCCAATGACGACCCACGAATCAAAGAACTCTACAGCCCAGGAGTCAGTGCTTGGTTTGGAGACTTGAAAGATGGCGTACATGATGGGACTGCGAACGACCCTCGCATGGCTCTCATTGAGGTCCAAAGCAAGTACATTGTGTACTGGAAGAAGGAAACATCGTCGTTAGGCTTCTTGAAGGAGGTGGGAACTGCAGCATTGACAGGCAGTGTCGCGCAGACCGGCGTTCTAAGAGAATTGATGGAAGAAGACATCTCGCGTGAACGGGGCTAAGGGAAATTCCACTCTGGTTGCCCCGTCTCGAATCCAGCCAGGGCAGGCTCCTATGCGGACTACGGCCTACTCTGTACGGATACTCCATAGTAGCAGCAGGCAGAGCGGCAATTACTAGAAGATCTATCACACGGTGCCATCCCAGCCACGTACTAGGATTGTGAGGTCATGTACTCCGTACTTCGTACTCCGTGTCCTGTAGGGATATTCTCTAATCACCAGTAGGTGCCACGGACACATATTAAGGGGTAAAGCGCATCTAGCGCGTAACCGGTTTAGCGCGTCAGTGACGACTGACAGGTCACGCTCCTTTCAATCTCAGCCACGAACGGTGAAAAGTGACCCGTGGCCTCATGTCTGCCTCCCTGTGACTGCGTTCAGATCGAAGAAAAAATCGGAAAGAGCAAGAGTCCCTACGCAGTGTTCCCTGACCGTTCTTGCCATCTGGTTAAGAAAGTCACTGTCAATCAATTCCCTTGTTGTCTGCGTTGTCTGCGCTGTGTCCAACACCTTTCACAATGCTGAAAGTCCCCTCACGTAACAAGCCCACTGGTGCCAACGGGATCACCAAAGCGGTTATCTTGGTACATCGATCCGTCTCCCAACCCCTTGGACATTATCGCTGACTCCCATACAGGTCGGAGGCCCATCACGAGGCACTCGATTTAGACCACTCAGTCTTGATGTACCTAAGGTAGGCATACACTTCATCGGATCTCCTGCACCAAATTGACAACTTATCCCTCTCAGCCTCTCTTCGATGTTGCCGGCCATCCAATCATCTGGCACTGTCTGAAGGCCGTGTCCAAGGTCCCTGACATCAAAGAAGTCATCCTCATTGGCTACTACGACGAGAGCGTCTTCCGTGACTTCATCAAAGACTCCTCGAGAGAGTTCCCTCAGATCAAGGTCCAGTACCTGCGAGAGTACCAGGCCCTGGGCACTGCTGGCGGTCTCTATCACTTCCGAGATGCCATTCTCAAGGGCAAGCCTGACAGGTTCTTCGTGCTCAACTCGGACGTCTGCTGCTCCTTTCCCCTCGAGGCCATGCTCCAGCTCTTCGAAGAGAAGGATGCCGATGCTATCATCCTGGGTACTAGAGTTAGTAATGAGGCGGCTACTAACTTTGGTTGTATCGTGTCCGATTCCCACTCGAAACGCGTCTTGCACTACGTCGAGAAGCCCGAAGGCCATATCTCCAACTTGATCAATTGCGGCGTCTACCTCTTTGCCACGGAATGCATCTTCCCATCCATCAGAAGTGCCATCAAGCGCAAGACCGAGAGGCCACGAGTGATTTCTTATCCTTCCTCGGAGAACCTCGAGTCGTCGTTCGTGGCCGACTTCGATGAGGACGGAGAAAAGAACGAGGTGCTGCGCCTTGAACAAGACATCTTGTCTGATCTTGCCGACAGCAACCGCTTTTACGTCCATGAGACCAAGGACTTCTGGCGCCAGATCAAGACTGCAGGCTCCGCTGTCCCAGCCAATGCCCTGTACTTGCAAAAGGCATTTCAATCTCAGTCGGAGGAAATCGCCAAACCATCCGCCACCATCCTCCCACCAGTGTTCATCCACCCTACAGCCACGGTCGACCCTACCGCCAAGTTGGGCCCGAATGTGTCCATCGGGCCGAAAGCCATCATCGGCGCAGGTGTGCGTGTCAAGGAAGCCATCGTTCTTGAGGAGGCAGAGATTAAGCATGACGCCTGCGTCCTCTACGCAATCATCGGCTGGAACAGTCGTGTCGGAGCTTGGGCCAGAGTTGAAGGTACCCCAACTCCTGTCGGCAGCCACACCACCAGCATCATCAAGAACGGCGTCAAGGTCCAGAGCATCACCATTCTTGGTAAAGAATGCGTCGTAGGTGATGAGGTGAGGGTCCAGAACTGTATCTGCCTGCCCTACAAAGAATTGAAGCGCGATGTTTCCAACGAGGTCATTATGTGATTTTCCTTGTCTGGCTGGTCTATGAATGTCATGGCTCGGAGCACAGAATGATTGTCTTTCCTTCTCTCCAAAGGAACCGTGATGGAAGGATCGAACATGGGATCAAGGCGCAAAATTGTTACAGTAGCCACTTGATAGAGTAAACGTGGGGTTCAGCGGTCGATTGTTCTGGTTAAGAACCTGCTCTCAAGTGTCTCGTCTTCCTACTGGCCGTGTGACTGTCGTTTAGGTAGTGCATCACGCAATCGAGGCCAACCTCTTAGCAAACAAGGGCCCGCAAAGCGATGCTACTCTGCACATGGAAGTATACATACATATATAACAGCAGGCCCGGCTGTCTACGAATTACTTTTTGCCTTGCGTCGCGCCTGGGGCAAAGGAATGTTTTCTCCTTTCCAATGCTTCTCGCAACCGTTCAGAAGTTGGGATCCGCCCGAACGACCAGAGCAGTACGCCTTCACTCTTGATTAAGAGCTGACTCACCGATGTCTTCTCTCAGGTTGGTAAGCAGCAGAGATCGTCTGAGGATTCAAAGAGCATTCTTATCGAGACAAAGGTCAGAACCTTCTGGTAGAAATGAGTGCTACCGGTCGGAATAATCGCGTTCCCGATGGCGGCGGAGACGGAGCAATCAGGCGAGCGAGTGGTGGTACAAAGGATGCTGCGACATTTGCCACATTCTTCGCATCCGACTTCTCTGCTACCGTTTAAAGTTAAAACATTTCCCTCTTGTCTGATCTGTGTCTCGAGTCATCATTGAAATCGTCGCACACAAAGATGCCATACGCTGTGACAGTCCCAGATGGCTATGGGTAAGTGGATACTTCGTCTGCCAGCACGGCGCGACTCAGGCCAGATTTAACAGAAGATCACAGCTACGTCGTTCTCATCGCCTTGGGCCTGGCACCACTCCTCTCTTGGGTTCAAGGCACTGTGGTTACAACGCTGAGAAAGCCCGCGGGCGTTGCATATCCGAATGCGTACGCAACGGCTCAACAAGTCAAGGAAAGTCGCGACGCCTACAAGTTCAACTGCGCCCAACGAGCTCACGCCAATCTCTTGGAAAATATGCCCCAGACGATGCTCTTCATGCTCTTTGCAGGCTTGGAATACCCCAGGGCGGCTGCTGCTCTCGGCGCCGCTTGGCTGCTCTGCAGAATCATCTATGCGTACGGGTATATTGCGAGCGAGAAGAATGGAAAAGGCAGGATGTACGGTGGAGGATTCTGGTTGATGCAGGCGTGTTTGTGGGCGTTGAGCGCTACCACAGCTCTGAGGATGCTTTGAGTGGATAAATCCTGAATCAGGAGCCTGGATCAGAAGACTGAATCAGAGGGGGCTCACGCTGGACTGTATAGCATAACATAAAACATGAGGATGATTGTGGAAGACCAGTCTTTGAACATTCAATCAATAGATATTTGTGATGTTTAGTACAGATCCTGTCAGTTTGCTGCAAGAGTCATGGGGACCCCTGCTCACTCGTGACTCTGCGCTCGCACGAGTCACAATTTTCGATGCAAACCCGAGCCACAAACTCATCCCACCACCGATCGACACTCGCAGCACAACCTCTGGCAGTCAACACCTTCATTTGCTTTCGACCTGCATGTCCTGAATTAGTGACATTGACTTTCACCTCCAAACATGGCCGACGCCACTTCATCTCTGGCGCAGGACACCGCCAACCTACACCTGGACGAGGTCACGGGTGAGCGAGTCTCCAAGTCAGAATTGAAGAAGAGACAGAAGGCGAGACAATTGGAGGAAAAGAAGAAAGAAAAGGCCGCAGCTGCACCACCCAAGGTGGAGAAAAAGAAGGTCACAAATGCCGAGTTGGACGAGAGCAATCTCAACCCCAATGTCAGTCGCAGTCCCAGTCCTAATCGCAGTCTGCTTCGGTCTGCAATACTATCATCCTCGAGGTCTTCTCTCTAACACGTTTCCACAGCAATACTTTGAGATCCGAAGCAAACGGGTCAATCACCTCCGAGAGACCAAGTCGCCTAGCCCTTATCCCCACAAGTTCCAAGTCAACACCGATGTGCGCAAGTTTGTTGAGGAATTCGCCCACCTGAAGCCTGGCGAGCAGAAGAAGGACGTTGAGATCCGCGTGGCAGGGCGAGTCTACACCAAGAGAGCTTCCGGCGCGAAGCTGGTTTTCTACGACATCAAGGGCAATGGCACCAAGGTTCAGATCATGTGTCAAGCGCAAGAGGCCAAAGGGGATGCCAGCTTTTTCGAGGCCCAGCATGAGCACCTTCGGAGAGGAGACATCATCGGGATCGTGGGATACCCTGGTCGAACCGCGCCCAAGAACCGTCCGAACGAAGGCGAACTGTCGGTGTTTGCCAACGAAGTCATCCTTCTCACCCCGTGTCTACACCAAATCCCGTCGGAGCACTTCGGTCTGCAAGATGTCGAGACCCGATTCCGCCAGCGGTACCTTGACCTGATCATGAACGACAAGTCCCGCAACATCCTCATCACCCGAGCCAAGATCGTTTCCTATATCCGCAAGTACTTCGATTCGAATGGTTTCGTCGAGGTCGAGACCCCGATGATGAATTCGATTGCTGGTGGCGCCACCGCCAAACCTTTCATCACACACATCAACGAGTACCACCAGGATATGTTCATGCGTATCGCTCCGGAGCTATACCTGAAGATGCTAGTAGTGGGCGGTATCGAGCGTGTCTACGAGCTTGGAAAGCAGTTCCGCAACGAAGGCGCCGACCTGACGCACAACCCGGAATTCACCACATGCGAGTTCTACGAAGCCTACGCGGACGTGTACGATGTGATGAACCGCACGGAGGAACTGGTGTCAGGTCTAGTCAAGGAAGTTACGGGTGGCCATCAGACAACGTTCCATACGCAGCACGGCGAGGTGTACGAGGTTGACTGGTCACGGCCGTGGAAGCGCATCGACATGATCCCAGCCCTCGAGGAGGCCACGGGCGAAACGTTCCCCCCGGGCGACCAGCTGCATACAGCGGAAACAAATGAATTCCTCAAACGGGTCCTTAAGAAGGTCAATGTGACGTGTCCGCCCCCGGAGACTAACGCGCGCATGCTTGACAAGCTGGTTGGCGAGTTCATCGAGGAGAAGTGCATCAACCCGACCTTCATCACGGGCCACCCGCAAATGATGTCCCCCTTGGCCAAGTACCACCGATCGCAGCCGGGCCTCTGCGAGCGATTTGAGGCGTTTGTGTGTAAGAAGGAGATCGTCAATGCGTACACCGAGTTGAACGATCCGTTCGACCAGCGCCTGCGTTTTGAGGAGCAGGCGCGCCAGAAGGCACAAGGCGACGATGAGGCGCAGATGGTTGACGAGAACTTCTGCACGAGTCTGGAATTCGGGCTTCCCCCGACTGGTGGCTGGGGCATGGGCATCGACCGCATAGTCATGTTTTTGACGGACAACTACACCATCCGCGAGGTCCTGGCGTTCCCGTTCATGAGGGAGGAGAAGCCCGGCGAGAAGCCCAAGGAGCTAGCTGCCGAGATCGCCGATGTCAAGCCTCTCCCTGAAGAAGGGATCGGTGAGTTTGGATCTTCCCTTTGTGCACCAAGCGAGTGCTACTCTGCCAGTTTCAGAGCTCTGTGATGATGAACTTCTGCTGACTTGTTTGTTTTCCTCTCCAATTACAGCCCACAAATAAGCGAAATGCTTCATTATCTGCCCCGCTGATGAGATCCAACGGCTGGAGATGACGATGATATGTGCGAGCGTGATGGAAGAGAGATTTCTTACGTGGAGTAGCTTGATATTACGCATTGATTGGAAAAAAGAACTGGTGTCTTTGACCTAGGGGAAGATCCCGACCGTCCCGGTCAGGCGTGACTGTGATCCAGGAACGGCCACTGCTGTTGGGAGATGAGAGATCGTATTCAATCGCGAGCACGAGCGGCACGATGCACGCGTGATGTGATTGTGATAGAGGCGCAAGAGGGGAAGATCTGCTTCTTCTCTCGTAGAATGAACCCCCTAACACTGACATGGCATATTTCTCGGAAAGAGAATGCTTCCTTTTTTATGGTTCTCCCCTTCTCTAGATCTATTGATACATGACACTCGACCTGCTCCTGAACATACATAAGCCGTGCTGGCCAAAAGCCGGCGAATTGTACATTTAAAATTAAATGAGAAGAGACGGTCTCTCCTTCGCCCTTTTATGCCTCCTCGGTCCTTTCAGGTGCTGGCTTCCCAGGCTTCTCTTCACGCCGTGCTCGCAACTGCACTCTCAGACTCTCTTCCGCATTCATGCTGAGCATAAGCCCGAGTGCTGTGACCGCGGGCATCACGCTTGCAGCCAAGACAGTGGCGCCATTGGCATTTGCGGCATGCACACCGCCGGCTTGGGACAATACAGTGCTGCCACCAGCCTGGCCGAACGCAGCACCCCCGACGTTCTGCTGCATTCTCTGTGCTAAAATGCGTGCCGCCTGACCAGGGAACCAGACACGACTACCGAGAACAACCGTCCAGGTCAAGAGGGCCAGACTTCCTGCCTGATGGGCGCTCGCCAGGCCGGTCGGGACGAGGTACAGCAGCGTCGAAATCCCCAGGATGACCTGCAACCAGACGAAGCCTACCACGCCGTGCACACCTCGCTTGGCGGCCGCAGGGAGGACTTTCTGTAATGCGCCGGAGCGAGCGTACGTCCAGAGTGCCATGACGGCAGTGAATGTGGTGGTCGCGAGGATGCGATGGTCGAGTTGCACGAGACTGGGGTTCTCGAGCATGTTGCGCCACCACAGATCCGATCGATCCGGGGCACGACTGTAGAATGAATCCCACAGCTCGGATTTTGGCGGGGTCAATCCAAGACCCATGTACGGGAACTCGTTGTATATCAGCCCTGCGTCGAGCCCTGCCACGAGCCCGCCAGACATGGCTGTCAGAAACACCAGACCGGCGAGTAGGGCGACGGAACGCTTGAACGGCTTCAGGGCCGGGTTGCGGAGTGCGTTGAGCGAGGCCTCAGCGACGTCCTTGGATGATCGGAGGAGTTTGTTCGTTCGCAGGATGTCCAGCCCGCTCCACAGCATGGCGAGGTAGCAAATGAACGCGGTGCCCAAGTGTGCGGTGAGCCTGTACTGTGAGACGCGTGGGTGCGAGCCCGGCGCGAACAAGTCATCTTTCAACCCGGACTTTACCATCCACCAGCCGATGAAACCTTGGAACCCAATCAAACCTGCAATTCCGAACAATCGCCAGGCCATGGATCGCGAGACCTGCTTTCTTGCCACGAAATACACCGCAGGCAACACGAAGCTGATGCCGATGAAGCGGCCCCAGAGCCGGTGAATCCATTCCATCCAGTAGATCGACTTGAACTCCTCGAGCGTCATGCGTGAGTTGAGCAGGTGGAATTCCGGACTAGATCGATACTTTGCGAACTCGGCTTCCCAATCCTCCTCGGACATTGGTGGGAGAGATCCGGTGACAGGCTTCCATTCGGTTATGCTCAGTCTACAGCCCCGGCAGTCGAGTCAGCATTGGGCCCAGAAATTCACTCAGTAAGACTGAGGTATGAACATGGCACCGCCTGCACCAAAATGCACTTCGGAGACTTACCCGGACTCTGTAAGCCTCGTGAGGCCTCCGAACACCACAATGCCAAAGACGCTCGCGGCGCTGCCGAGAAGCCAGTAGGCCACTGTATTCGATGATGTGTCTGGGAGAGTTGACTTCCTGCTTTTGCTCTTGCCCGTGCCCTCTGACCCTGATTCTTTTGCGGCATCGATTGGCCCATCCCGCGTGTTGGCCTGCGAAATTCTTGATCTTGTGGAAACCGAGAACGCCCGGCCGAACCGGCTTATCGTATCTTGACGCGCATTGGCCTGGCTATTTCGAAAGCAGGTGATTGAGACTTGCGTGCGTCGTATCGGTATCTTGGGGCTCGTAGTGAGGTGCCGAGTCTCCACGGCTCGTCTTTTCGTCCTCGAACTCACATGCTGCGCTTGGCTCAGGATCGAACTATGCCGGCGACTGCTGCAGTCGAAGAACCGCTTTGCCAGGCTCGGGGCAGCTTCGCGGAGGACCCGCGCAAAGCCCGATGCGGCTGGCATTACGGAACCAAATGAGGGAGAACTGCTGAAGCTGCGAGAGCTGATCAAGTCCTGTACTCGTAGTGGGTGGTCTGAACCGTTTATATGGTTCAAACGACAAGTGGGCACAGAAGCACTGGCCAATCGGGGAGCTTGCACATCTAAGCATCCTCCGAATCCCAGTCAGACCACTACAGTTTTAGACGTTTTATACGTTTTATGAAAAGAAGAATCTCGGGTATGATAGGGTGGCATTTGTTACAGAATCGATCTAGCTACTATCATCATTAATTTTGTCGTTATGAGCCCAATCCAAAACAAGATCCGGGCTAGTGTCAGTAATGATCCAGAATCTCATCAACACCACTACCCTGTCTCTGTGGCGGTTGCCTATCTCGCGGATATGGTGACGGGGCACCAGGAAGACCTGGCTGTCCAAAGGGAGTATATGTTCTGGTTGGCTCGGTGGCGCTGCGCACACCAGCACTGGCAGAAGTTGAAGATAGGGGTGTCATAGACCGCGGTTCGGCCGAATAAGGCGCATATCCTCCAGGTGCCGGGCTCTGCAGTCGAGGTAAAGTCGGAACCCCAGTCGGTGTCATTGATCGGATTGGACCAATACCATTCGGCGTGTATGACCTTTCTGGAGGCCCTCGAACAGGAGTCTGTGCTCGAAATTGTGGACCAGGTAATGGAGAGTTTCGACCTCTTCCTTCGGGGATACCTGGGAAAGGCGGACCGATTGCGGCTGCCGGTGTACGACGACCCATGCTATCAGCTGCAACATCCACATTCGGTCCAGACCAGGAAGGTGGCTTCACTGACGAGGCTGAACTTCGATCTTCTGGGTAAGGCAGGGCACTGCTGTTGTCGGATGGATATCTCGGCCGTGGAGCATTCGACATGCTTGTTCCAGGACGCGGAAGCGAGTCCATTTGATAGGATCCAGGCCCGTTTCTATCTCCCTGTGCTGTACCTGGCCGTGGGACGGTGGCGCTCAAGGATCGTTGTGAGAGTTGGGAAAGACCAGTCATGCTTCGGTTAGGTAGTGGTTTACTGTACCACGGACTCGTTACGTCTGCACCTGGTGTTTGTGCTCGATCAGGCATCTGGCCCATCTCTCCTGCGGAGCCCATCAACGGAGCATTGGAGCTATAGCTAGACCACGATGCGGCAGACCCGTGCGTGACAGTTCGTGCGGGGATAAGTGGACGTGTAGCGATGTCAGGCAACGTCGGTATCGATTCACTGCTGTTGCTACCTGTCCCAGGCCGAGACGAGTATTCAGGCAGAGTTGTCATGGTCGTTTGTCGAGATAACCCAGACAGAGAGTCGACTTCGGAAGTGCTGATATTGGGTAAGGTTGGCTGCTTTTTGAAATCCAATCCTTGACGAGCAGCCATTGCCTCCTGACGCGCGCGAAGTTCGTTTTCTTTCCGCAATGCTTTGTCTACTTTGACCTTGACAATTCTTTCCATCCTTCGATTGATCTTGTTGCGGCAGTAACCGGTCAAGCCTCCATCATCTGTGGGGATGTGATGCCAGAGGAAAAGGAGGTATAAAATGATTGAAATGATCAGACTAAGCATTGAGATGACCCAAATGAACAGAGTCCAAAGCATGCCGAAAAGGATGACCGCTTGGAGGTGGTTTTCGTCTGCCAGTATTCCAATGTTGACAAAAAACTGGACCACTGGCGAGTGGCCATCTGTGGCAGCATGGTCGCCTTCCGGGATCAACTTCAACTTCATGACTGAATATAGAGTGATTGCATTGACGACTTGCCGGGGCCCTTCAGCAAACACAATTCGGAGCCATGCTTCGAATGAAAAGTAGGTGAAGAGCGCAACGTAGTCGGCACCTTTCCTGCTTTTGGTTAACTCGGCGAAAACCAAGAAACGTTTCCAACCTCTTCCTTGTCCCCATCGAATTGACTGTACACGCACGGCGAGGGGGTCGAGGTAACTTTTAGCAACTCCACCCTGACGCATGACCCTAACAGCACGAATCCATCGGTAGACGAGTAGGACGAACGATAGGATGATACATCCAGCGAATATCCATCGGGAAATATGTAAGGGAATTTCTGGCTTGATCTGACCGGCCCATCGGTCAAAGGCGAGGAGATTGATGGCTGTAAAGGTGTCGACGGCGTAGACGGAGAGGGAGACGATCAGCATGACCAGGAGATAGCCATAGGCGAAGGGTGTCCAGCACGAGGTTGATTTGAAATCGTCGAGATTCTGTAATCCTGATTAGACCCTCCGCGGCAATTTTCTTCATATCAGGCACATACAATGTATTCCCATTTCTGTTCGGCATTGAGATTGCCATATTTCTCCCGTTCACCACAGCAGCCCATAGTGAACGGAGCTTTTCGTTTGTGTGTTGTTGTGTTCGAGGTGCTGCGACCGGGCAGCTGTTGAGGAGGATTTCAGTGAGCGGCAAGCCACACGCGCGTGGCCGGTAATCAGATATGGCAGAGAGGTTGTGTTGGTGGTGGGCGGGTGTTATGGCACGGCGCAGCCGTTGGTCAAGGTAACAAGAGCCCGGCTCAATTGTCACTACAGTTCAAGACCTTTGTCCGTGGAGGCTTTGTTGCATTGCTTTCGGACTTCCTGTTATTCACTGGAGACTATGGTGGCTGTTGATGTCTCCCAAGCAAACCTGGTGTCTCTCGAGGAGGTGCGACACTAGAGAATAGAAATATTCTCAGGCGACTTGTGCTGCAGTCGTCAGCTGGCGAGAAGGTTGCGGTTGCACAGAGCGCAGGGAGGTCGGCGGATAAGGGAAGGCTGGTGAAGGACCCTGCTCGAGCTGAAAGTGGCCCCTGGGCGTGTTGAAAGGAAACAATAAGGCAAGGAGAGTGCGGCAGAAAGAGAGCGAGTGAATGGGTGAATGAACGACTTGATACAACAATTGTAGAGAGTGTCGGAAGCGCTGAAGTGACTTGCTGAATAGGTGCCAGGTCAATGAAGGAGCAACGAAGTGCAGAGAGTTGGCAGGCTGACGAGCGCCTCTCCTGCTGCTCCTGCTGCAGCTGCCAGGACCAGGGGCCGTGCAGTCAAAACAGAGGCAAAGAGGGTCGCCAGCCTCTAGGTTTGGCCTCGGGGATTTGATGGGCCCGCACTTCAAACCACGCCATACTCCGTACACATCTAGACACGATCTAGCCCCTAAGCTGCCGTCTCGGGGCCTGCAATCGGGCTGCTTTCGGCACTAGCGCCCCCATCACTCAGGCCCCCAGGCACCAAGCTCAGCCAATCTTCAGCCCGGGTGAGATCTTCAGACACGCCTCATGCAGGAACCCGTGCGCGCCTCCGCCACCAAAGGCTTATCCTATACGAGCACCGCGTCTACCAATAAGATGAAGAGGTGCACTCGAAACCAGTCTTGAAACCACTTGGGTTGGTGTGTTGTACGGAGTATGGAGTATGCTGTAGAAATATCAATGGGTTGTCTATCTTGCCAAACTTGGATCTCTAAGTCTGTGTATACTTCCTTCCCCGCCTCTCTCTATGGTGTCTATTCTTTCGAAGGGCCTATTTCTGCCAGTGATCTCACAGACGCCGTCGCTCCAGCCCAGCACATGTCCACAGTACTCCGTACACCATCCAACCGCTCCTTAGCGAGCAGGCCCATCCTAGTTCTTTGCATGATGCTTGCCTTTACCGCCTGCGCGACCCCCAAAGCCCCATTCGATCTGGTGCGGCAGCTGTATTTCAACCCCAAGTTCTTCGGCAAAAGTCCACACCAGAAAGGGATTCTTTTGGAAGTAGCGGCCCACAAATACCGCATCCAATCCTTGCCCCAGAATCTCTTGAGCCTGCGGCCCGGTAGTGATGCTGCCAACAGCCGATACAGCGAGAGAATCTCCGGTCTTCTCTTTGACAGCAAGAGAAAATGGAACCTGATATCCCGGACCGCCCTTGATCTTCTGGGATGGGTGAAGACCGGCAGAGCTTACGTCCAGTAGGTCGACACCGAGCTCGGCCAGAATTGGCGCCAACCTGGCTGTGTCTTCAATTGTCCAGCTCTCCGGGAACTCATCTTGCCCCTTAAGCCAGTCGTCTGCGCTGATTCGAAGGAACAGCGGCGTCTCTTTCGGGATGACGGCTCGAACGGCTTCGACGATCTCCCTAGTAAGCCGGGTTCTGTTTTCAAATGATCCGCCGTATTTGTCGGTCCTTTTATTACTGACCGGGCTCAAGAACTCGTGAAGAAGGTATCCATGGGCGTTGTGAATCTCAATCACATCAAACCCGGCCTTGATAGCTCTCTTGGCTGCGGCAACAAACGCGTTCTTGATTCTCACAATACCCTCGGGCGTTAGCTCGTTGGGATGGGGGAATGATGGTGAGAAAGCAATGGCGCTGGGTGCGACAGTCTCAGTAGGCCAGCCACCAGCCTCCTTCTGGGCGGTGTCCCCCAGACTCAACCAAGGAGCGACCGTGGAAGCTTTGCGGCCCGCGTGGGCGAGCTGAATACCGATCTTTTGATTCTGGCCGTGAGCATACTCGACGATTCTTTTCAGAGGGCCTATCTGCCCGTCTTCCCACAAGCCACTATCTTCAGGGGTGATGCGACCTTCGGGTGTAACTGAAGTAGCCTCTGTAAGGGTGAGTCCAGGTCCGCGCTGAAGAATTCCTCCGAGGTGAGTCACATGCCAATCATTCAGATACCCATTCTGAGCCGAGTATTGGCAGAGAGGAGACAGAAAGATCCGGTTGTGGAAGGTGACACCGCGGATGGTGAGCGGCTGGAAGAGTTTCGGCACAGGCTGGCCGCTGGACTGAGGGTCGTGAGCGGTGCCAGCAGCCGGGATTTGGGCTGGAGTGAAGTACGAAATGCCTTCAGCTGCTTTGTTGAGAAGGACAGGCTTTTGATCAGCGGATCCCATATTGTCAGTGAAATATTGCTGTCGGCCCTGTCCGGAATGCTAGCTGTAACTTCTCCGAGTCTTTCCAAGGGTATTTATATGATAAGCTGAGTCGCGATTGTTTGAAATAGCTGTCAATATATAAAAACCTATGTTGCGTTGGCTTGTCTACCTCCTAGGTACTTGTAGGTAGTGACTATTGTTCAGGTTTTAAATCAACGAAGGTAAATCAATGAGGCGAATCTGCTTCCGAGAAGTTCCCATTCAAATGACGTTTTGATGACACAATGATATCTCGGGGAACGTTCGCCCCAGGTTGCCTCCAATATGGTGCAACACTTGAGTCAGACATCCATATTAATTGCCTCCGTCATATTAAGATGCGACTCGCTTAGAAAGCAATGGAAGTCTTGAGTCTCGAATCTCGTGTCCCAAGTCGGAGTGATTTCCTAAATCGGAACATCGCTACCGGAAAATATCTCTTCCAATTCATTGCTCATCAACTCGTCATCTCGTCATCCATGCTTCAGCAACCTTCAAGGGTTGCTGGAGAAACTTTGAGGCATTTCTTCGTGTATCATCCGAAATCATATGTTCCCAATCACCACCATGTACCTTAGTCTACCCTCCTTGCTCGCCTTGCTGGCATCGCATTCCCCAAGACCATCGTCAAGTTGCATCTGGCCGCTCTTCCAGCCCCAGCTCTTACTCACGTCGAATTTGTCGGGCGCACTCTCGTATATGCTCAGGAGCCGCCCTGCCCGGCTCGGCGAGTAGATTTTGAAGTACGTCTTGATCGTTGGCCGCGAGTCCATATAAGGCGGAATGGCGGAAACATTGTACTTTTTGTGCCTCCGCACCAGTTCCTCGTCGTCGTCGTCCGAATCTAGTGTCTGAGAGCCGAGAGGACAGAACTCGCTCGGCACCGTGCCAGCGGTCTGTGAGGTCTTTCCTGATTGCGCCGACCCGCGCGCTCGACGTGTTGTCGAAGCACTTCCGTCTTGGGTGGAATTAACATTGGCAAAGTCGAGGTCGTTGGAGGGGGCAGCAGGCTCGTCCTCGTGTGCGCCTTCTGGCCCTCGCGCGGCCTCGTTTGACCGCCAATTCTGGGTCCGACGTCCGCTCTTTCGAAGCAGCATCTCACGCTCCAGCTGCCCGATACGATCATCCACAGCAGTAGGAATGAATTGTGCAAGCGGGTCGTCGTGTGGGTCCTTGTCTTTGGCCCGGTGCAGATATATGCCTAGTTGCTGGACTTTCGAAGTGTTGACTCGCTGAATATACAGGTTCCACATACTGCCGGCGTACCATACAGTCTGCGAGTAGACCCTCTTTCTATCCTTGAGAGTCCGGGGATTGGGGAATTCGGCAGAGAACCTGAAGGGAGGATAATAACTGTACCGTGGTCGAGTAGTGGGAGAATAGCTCCGAGAGGGAGGACGGCCACTTTCGACAACATTCCCTGTGGCAAAATCGAGAGCCCATGCGACGTCAGTGGGCTCGAGAATTGCCGATAACCTGGCTGCGTGCGTGCTCCAGTCGGCTCCAATGGTTGCATTTGCGGCTGCAGATGCTTCTCGCGTGCCGCCCATCACAGACGAAACATCATGTTCTGGAATCCAGAACTTTCGGGCCCTACCATTGCCATCCCACGATCCTGACTCCATGTCAAGTGTAGCCTCGGTTGGGCTTCTATAGTCCTGCTCCCGTAGCTTGCCCTTGCTGGACGTTGCTGTTCTCTCGGTCTGAAGGTCAGCCTCCTCATAATCTTCGGCCGATTCACTCAATCCAAGCTCGATATCGCCCTCTCCTGCATTGAGCACTTTCTGTCGAAGCTCTAGCGACATCCATAATGCATCAGAAATGACCTTTTCTGGAAGGACTGGAACGCCGAGGATGTCCCTTTGCGATCGAATCTGTTGCAACTGCTCAAAGCGAAGGTGGACATAGTGAATGCCTTCGTCGAGCAACACCAAGAGCGGCGCAATCTCCGGGGATGTGTACAAGGCGATCCAGGCCTCATCCCGTTCTGACACGTATCGATGTTGTGTCGCGATTCTATAGGGCGCGTCGAACCTGACAGCGAAGAACTGAAGACTGCTTGGTTTTGGATGGAGATATCGCCCACCAGGGGAGACTAGCCCAGCCTCGACGGCTTTGGCTCTCAACCGTCGATTCAACAGCTTTAAGGCCAGATACCAACGATCCCATTCACCAGGGATGAAGAAGGGGTCACCTCCAACGATCTCGCGAATCAGTTCAGCAGGGATTTCGTCCCAATATTCATATGGCATTTCCCAGCCTTCCCGACAAAGCATGGCTTTCGCGGAAGACAGAATACGGTCCCCAGCCTTGCCGTAATAATTGTTAGTCACCAGCTTGATGAAGCTGTGGAGTGTAGCAGGCTGCATTTGGCGCAGTATTGCTTCAACGCAGAAATCTACCAAGTCAGGCATGTCTAGCCAACAACCTGTGGCGAATAAGCCGACGGCTTCTTCTTCCTCCTGCACCGAACACTGGGTACCATAGATCCTCTTCAACGCCAGCTCGAAGGCCTTCTTGGTGATGTTGGAATCAATCTCTTCAGGTACCACTGTCATCTCTTTCGCCATGCTTTCCGACCAAGACCCTGAGAATGCCGAGGAAAAGAACGGTACCCGGTCGAGGAGTAGTTTGTGAAGCCTGTAGCTTTGGCCGAACGCGTGCACTGTGATATCCGAATGGCGGCCTGCTTCAAAGCCATTGTGGATAAGGTGGCCTGTCAATGAGCTTGTGTCACCCAATCTTCTGCCAATACTAGACATGGAACGGATCTGAGAGGGGCCTCGAGATATGGCCGGAGTTGCCCCATCGCTAGTGATGAATAGCCGAGCGAGCGCGGCAGAAGTGTTGGCGGAAGGGCCATCGCAGGAGGAAACAGCGGCGTTTGCAGTGGGATCATCAACATCTTTTTCCAAGTTGAGCAGAGGATGCCTGTTATTCACTGGGACTGGAGACTGGGCGAGCGTAAGATCTCCTACTCGGGGGTTGAGACGCCGGCTTCCGCCAGCACTGGTCAATGCAGCCAACGGGCCCGCCGTGTTGGAAGACATTGCACCACTCAGTGAAGCCACAGCCGTATTTGCAGAGACCGAGGCAGTCGGAGGCCCTGATACGAAGATTGATCGTAGTGGTGGCTCAAAGGCGGTATTTGAGTAGCTTTGGTCTCCATAGCTTAACGGAGTGACTTGGCCAGCAGATATCGCCCTTCGCTGGGGCAACGGTCTTGAAGCAGGCACACTGCTTGTCGGCTGGTGGAGGGGGGATCTGACGATACCAGAGCTCGACGATTCGACAAGATAGTGAGACGACAGAGCTTGCGATGCTACAATACCTCGTCCACTCCATGTACTTGTGTCGAGTTCCGCATCCGAAGTAAAGCCATCAAAGCTTCCTATAAGTCCATCCAAATCATCCCTGGGAGGACCCCAACCAGAGAGTTGCTCGCGGTCCATGAGACTGTCCCCCAATGTCAGTAGAAAGAGGCGTAACAGGGACCTTCTGAATATGGGAACGTGTTATCTCTGATCATGTCATGAAAGCAGGCCGAGCCTGATCGAGTCGAACTTGGAGAGCTGTGGCGACAATATCACTTGAGCATGCAGTTCAGGTTACAATAAGGCGCTCGCACCAATCCTGCGAATGGACACAGGCGGGACTGCTAGGCGGAGGTCTTCTGAAGAAAGAGTTGACTTTGGTTTAAAGTGCACTGAGCGAAAAGAAAAGCATCCTCGAGCGCCAGATAAGCCCGTCCTTTCCCACAGCCCCCTTGACCAGCATGATCAATGACGAGGGCTGACAGGTGACCAACTCGACTGTTGGACGGATGACACAAGCTGATGCCAGCAAAGATGATCGAATCCAGTTCTCGCCCGCACTTGGGCGTGAGAATTATGTCCGAGCACATGTCGGAGATAAAAGAACACCTGGTCCCGATTGCGTTCGAGCCACCACCTGCTCGATTCGACTACTTTTAGTCCTTGCCGACGAGCTACGAGACCCGAGCAAGTGATAAGATACGGATACCGACCGAATGGCAAGGCAACAAACTGAACGGACGCAAATCCTCCTTTGAGGTTATATGCAACGAGCACTTTCGTGGACAGAATGGCAATCCGTCAAACTGGCTACATTGACTGCTCAACACGAGCCGCCTTACAATTGCAGCCGTCGCAGCGTTGACAGTCCTACTCTCACCGAAAGCCTCTTGGTTCCCTAGATTCACAACGTCCTTCCAACCAGCATCGTCCACCATCTGGCCAGTCAAAAGAGAAGGACAATAAGGCAAACCAAAACAAGGGATACTCGCTATATGGAGCCCCAGGACAAAGACTACAGAGACAACTATGGGTTTAGAAAAGATGGACGTCGTCGGTCAGTCTCACAAGGTCGGAATGACCACCACGACTCTACGGACACGAGTCCACATACCCTGTTAGATGGTGCTACTTCAGCGTTTGATGCGCAAGAAGAACCTGCGCTTGCAAATGGACAAGATCAAAAAGATCCTCTTGACTTGGATGGAAATCTCCCGGGCAGGGGTCGAACTTCACCTTTAGCAGGTTCTATGCGAATGGGCGAAGGCTTTAAGCAGGCGAGAGTTCTCAGATTATCCGTCGAGAAGTTGCAAGCCCTTCGGTTGTCTCCCGAATCACTCACCATCCATCCCATGGAGCAGAATCGCTCACTGCGCTCTGCTAGTGAGGATACTGATATCACTGTTGTTGAAACACCTACGGCAAAGATGGTTGGGTCTGCGGGCGCAGATGTGTACACATTGAGATCCCCTCTCCATACATCCCAACTAGAAAAGCTTGACAGTTTGGACAAGCAACAATCTCACCAACCTACAACAGAGGCTCTTGACCACAACATTCGGCCTCTGACAAGTCCAAGTCTAAGACCAGGGATTCCTCAACGAGCCTTCTCGACTCCAAGTTCGGTTAAAAGCCCTCAGTCCCCATCAAAACCCGATAGAGTGCGTCCGACTCTTAAGGTGCCAGATCCTTCTCTACGCATAGAGAATGGCTCCGGCAGAAGATACTCCTCTTCCGGTCCACTTCTTCCTTCTCCGATGCCCCCGTCGATCCCACTGCCTCCCATGTCAATCCCAACCTACCTGCAACTCGAACTCTCCTCACAACGACCTTCAGAGTTCTACCTACACCGGTCTTCTAGCGGCGACTTCCCATACGAGTCTTCGCGGGCTAAACTTGAGAGATTGGTCAATTTCCTGCTGCTTCCTCCACATCTTGAAAGCGTACTCTGGTTTGGCATGCTTGCATGTCTCGACTCCTGGCTCTACACTTTTACGATACTACCGCTTAGGCTCCTCAGGTCGGTCTACCTTCTTGCGAAATCGTGGGCTATCAATCTACTGACGGAGGTTCGCTTCGTCTCAAAGTTTGTGTACAATGGCGCTGGGAGAATGTGGGAACGGCGTCGTCGAAGCAGCGTGCTGCAAAACTCGGTGCGAACAGTACCTCAGCCCAGCCCAGGGGATACCAAATTATCACAGAATGGGCCGACTCACAATCGCAAGCATGCAAAAGATCATCGCAGATCTAAGTCTATCCCGTCCACTTTGTTACCAGATAACAAGGCGGACATGCTAAAGGGACTACTAATCATAAGTACATGTCTCATCCTGCTAAAGCTCGATGCCAGCCGTATGTACCACTGGATTCGAGGGCAGGCCGCAATCAAACTATACGTCATTTACAACCTCCTCGAAGTCTGCGATCGCCTCCTCTCGGCCATAGGTCAGGACGTCCTAGAGTGTCTGTTTTCTAGAGAAACACTCGAGCGCAAACCGGACGGTCACAGCAAGGTTCTCCGACCATTTTGGTTGTTCATCCTTGCTCTTATCTATACCATTATTCATTCCACGGCTTTATTTTACCAGGTGATCACTCTTAATGTAGCCGTCAACTCTTACTCGAATGCGCTCATCACTCTGCTCCTATCCAACCAATTCGTCGAGATCAAGTCTACGGTGTTCAAGAAATTCGAAAAGGAGAACCTCTTTCAATTGACTTGTGCGGACATTGTCGAACGATTTCAACTCTGGCATATGCTTATTATAATTGCCTCTCGCAACATCGTGGAAACAGGTGGTCTGACCGCCGGATTGAACGCGCTGCTAGGATCTTCATCGGCGACGGCGGTGGCTCCATTGGCCAGTAACAGCAGCATGCCCTTGATGAGTGCCCTGCCACCAAAGTCGTCAAGTTCGATCCTTCCTCTGTCCTTTACTCTGGTGCCTGCGGTGGTGAATTCGATAACATCGTACGCACCCGCAGTCAGCCAGATCCTAGGACCATTTCTGGCTGTTCTGGGTTCTGAAATGTTGGTGGACTGGATCAAGCACGCCTACATCAATAAGTTTAACAATACCCGTCCGTCGATCTATGATCGTTTTCTGGACGTCCTTGCTAAGGATTATTATACCAATGCTTTTGGCGATCAAAACTTGACAAAACGGTTGGGGCTCCCTGTCATTCCTTTGAGTTGTCTCCTCATCCGGGCCAGCGTTCAAACCTATCAAATGTTCAAGGCAGCCTGGGTACCTTCGACGCTCCCTACCTCATCGAACAGTCTTGCAAGTATCCACGAACACTATTCATCAGTCAGATCGACGATGCCATTGACAACAGGCACGGTAATCTCCAGGACCGTCGACGACCTCATCAACGCCATTCCAGCAGTCATTACCGGCTCCCGCGTTGTCACTCACCTGACCACCGTCTTAATGGTTCTCATGATCTTCTTGATATTATTGGCTTGCAAGCTTGTCCTCGGGATGATGCTGCTAGCCTTCGCGAGGTATCGGTACCATTCAATGAAACTACGCGAGAGGGATCCGATACATCAAGTGGAGGGGGGCCGGCGCGTTGGCGGGTGGGGTGTCGTTGAAGTTGATGAAGACAAGCAACGGTGGATATATGAAGATGACCCTGCTGGGATGCGAGCACTACGAGAGAGAGGGGAGCGAGAGAAACAGAAGCAGCAGAAGGATAAGGATAAGGGCGAAGGGGTCGACAGCCTTGATAATGTCAAACGCTATGAAATGGTCGCCAAGCGCATATGGTGAGGACGCGGGATCGAATACTATGGGCAGGAGAAGCGTGCGTTAGGACCGAGCGCTCGACCGCCGACAGTAGGGTCTTAGAAACAAAATGTCAAGTGTTGTGGCATCTTCTGATTATTGATAGATCCATCCAAACATTGTGATATCTGCAAATGCACCTCTTCATGAGTCTAGAGACTTTGACATTTGCACTGTGTGACAGGTTGACAAAAGCGTGGCAATCTTTGAGTGTGGCCCCACGACCCTGTCAATTCTTCCTGAAATAAAGGGAACAACATCCGAGATGAACGGCAGAGCGGGAAGAAATTCTAAATTGATGATGGGCAGGGAGCACCATTGGCGCTGTTTCCTGCAACTGGCTATACCCATGACTGCTGGCTGCAAGCCTGCAAATGTTCGAAGGGGTTGGTTCAGATTGGGCCCTTTGAAAAAATGATCCTGGACGTAGTTACACATAGTTTCCAATGAAGCTTTCTCATGGTACTCCGTAGAGGGCTCGCAAATACACGCGAATTTATGCTGTAAATTGACTCCAGCCTGAAGGAGAATTTCAGTCCAGTCGGCACCAGTGAGTATGCAGAAGGACGGAGACATGCACATAGCAGGCTTGTCCGTACCCAGTTGCAATGCACTAGGCTAACGTCTCTTCCTGCACCCTATAGCCCATGTCCCTGCTCACAACGGGTTGAAAAGGTCATCGTCGTCATCGTCATCGACCGTTGATGCAAAGCAGCCAGGGGCGTGACTGACGGGCCTGGCCAGTTTCAGGAAATCAGGGATGCCGGCCCGGGGTGGGTAGAGAGCGTCTTAGGCTTGTCTTGGAGCGGAACTATATTTGTTTCGCCTGTTCAGGCCGAAGGACAACAATGGACGGAGTAATATGCATATCGTAGGTGCAAGCTCCGGCATGCCTGTAGCTGTTCACCCGCAAATTCCTTTGGGCCCGAGATGTGTGCCGTTTAGATACGTGGAGGTGGCAGTGCAGAGCCAATTCTGCTTTGGACGGCTGAAGGTTGTGATCAACGGAAGTCCATATAGCAGATCCCTACCTAGTAACTACTCCGTCAACCCAGTGAGAAGGTGGAGATGGCCGTCGGTGACAGCACAGGCTCACCAGACTCCGACTGCTGTGACGGTGATGGCAATGGCCCGCACGGGTTGAAGGACTGGTCACTCTGGTTTCAGCAATAATTATTGTCGACTGGTCCGTCAATAGTGGTCAAGGGCACAACGGACAGATGGGAATACGTATCTCCCCAAGGACCAGGGTCAGATTGGATGCAAGGATCGATCGGTTGTACTAGTACGTACTGAGAGATACTCAGGGCACAAACAGCTTGAGCATCTGATTACGGGGAATATTGGGTATTCAGACGATGGACAATTAGGGTTGTGTTGGTTGGATCAAATCATACGAGGTGAGGCTAATATACGAGGTGGCTTGACAAGGGATGTTGTTTTTCACAGAGGTGGATACGGATATACAAACAATTCATTCAGCCTGGATACCTTAGTACCTAGGTGTAGGTACCTAAGGTAGGGAGGTATGTGTGGTAGTCAGGAATAGCAATGAAGAGATATACTGAGTAGGTGCTCTGTACTACTAGGCATGAATACATACTCCGTTGCCTGTTATTCGACCTTCGTACTCATTAGGCCTGCTGGATCTGTGTCTTCTTCTCTATCACCTTCAGGCTGGACAGATTGTGGGCTGTGCTGTGCTGTGCTGTGCTGTGCTCCCTCTGTGTTTTCTCCAGCATTGGTTGGAAGCACAAACTCCGATTTATCACCTCACCACCCATTCATCACTCAGTTCTATCTCTTCTTGTCTGTGGCAGAAGGGCATCCTATCCTCGCGACAAGTCTCCGGGTCATTCGTGCCGCAAGAGAGCCCCTTTCACCGTGTCTCTCTGTCGCTCTCGACGGCCAGTGGTCGGCGCGCCACCTCCAGCTTTGTTTCTTGTTCTCCCCCCGGGCAGGCAGGGTCCAGTAGGGAACAAGGACAGGGTTAGTTAAGCTGCCAACGTGAGGCACTTGACTGCGCCGCCCGGGCTGCACCTGCAGTGGTCCAGCTGCGCTTGGGCTGCATTGCACCACAGGCACACAGCGTGATTGCGCTGCGTGTCCGCCTCCTGCCAACTCCACCGCCCGCACCATCTTGCTTCACACAAGACACCACCTGCCAGCTCAACCTTGCCTTGACAACATGGACTTGAATGCCGATGCCCACGCCGGCACCACTTTCAAACGGCGTCGAGCAACCCTGACCAAGAATCCTCCTCCATCTGCCTTTACTTTCGCTCAGTCCCTTCGCAAACCTCAATCCTCCGCAGCCCTTCAAAGAGCGCCGTCAGCTCCTCAGCCACGCAGTCAAGCAGCCTCACATTCGAGCCGCGATTTCCACCAGAGGACGCAATCCTCCGCCTACGGTTCCTCGACCTCGTCCCTGGAACACTTAAGCAGAGATCCTTCCCCCATCCTTCCATCCGCTCACTCTTTCGCATCCGCCGCCAACAACCACCAAGTACTACATACCTTTCCGCCCACGCCTGAGACCTCAGATGACCGTCACAACGACTTGATCGGCGCGCCTTTCGACGCCTCAGGACTTCTGTCATCGTTCCAAGCCGTCAGCATGAATGAGAAACACAATGGCAGTGCGCCGCAACCCCTTCTATCGAATTGTAATAACACCAGCCCTGACTTGCGACAACATCCCTTGCGAACTTCTCAGACATTTGGACCTGGAGGCGTTGCCATGATGGAAGTCACCCCTCCCAAGTCAGAGAATGGCATTCTGAGTCCCAAGAGGTTCTCGGGGGATGGGCAAACAAAACCTGGAGGGCCGTTTCGCAAGAGGAGTGGCTTCTCCAGCTTTGTCAACAACATGCTTGGCTCTCCCAGGACAATCAAGATCTCCGCGCCCGAAAACCCGATGCATATGATACACGTTGGCTACGACAATCAGACCGGGCAGTTTACGGTGAGTTCGACTGAGTGTATTCCCATCGTCTGATCTGTCGAGCATGTATCCTCAGCCCGATGTGGCGGCTAATTGATCGATTATAGGGACTCCCTGCGGATTGGCAGAGAATACTATCTGATAGTGGAATCCCCAAGACTGAGCAGGAGCAGAATCCTCAGATGATGGTGGACATTGTCGAGACTTACAGAAGCAATTTTGGCGGCACAGATGATGGCGTTTGGCAGAAATTCGATCATGCAAAGCTTTCGGACTCCCCTCAGAGCAGCAACAGCAGCCATCACGGCCCCGTAATAACGACTACAAGCATTGGATCGAGTTCCGCTGCCTATTCGCCAATGGTCGGTGTGATGTCGCCTCCAGCAAGTCCTCGGTTTCCGCAAAACCATGAAGGGAGCTTCGAAAATCCACGAGCACCGCCACCGATTCCGAAAGGCCCTTCGGGAATGCCGGTGTCTAGCATAAGATCTGGTCAATCTCCTATCATGATGCCGCATCGGGCCCCTCCAAGACCTCCTCAACAAAACATACGAGATCTTGCGCCCGCACGATCAGCTCCTTCGCCTCCTGTCGTGCGAGATTTGCCGTTGCGGGCAACTGAAGAACAATCGAACCAGCAAGCCTGGGTGACCTCCTCCCCAGTCTCGCCACCTGCTCCTGGAGATGCGGCACGCAGTCGTTCTGATTCTAAAGGCCCTGGACTTACTCCTCCTCGTACACAACAAGCAATTCAATCTCCAGCTCAATATCAGCAGCAACAGGAACATGCAATGTTGTTGGCTCAACAAGCCATTCAGAGCAAGCAGCTTGACCGTAGTCGGAGTCAGCGTCAGGTTGCGCAAGGTGCGCCCGATGTGCCGCCCAAGGTCCTACCTCAGCAGCTCAGCCCTAACAATCCACCAACACAATTTGCCGCCGTGGCGGAGTCACCATCCCTACAAGGCACGCAGCAGGTGGCCATGGTCGGTCCCGCCCCAGGCCCCAGACCCCGAACGAGGCGACAGCAGAGCAATATTGTGGATATCACAGCTAGATTAAAAGCAATCTGCAGCCCAGGAGACCCTACCACGAAGTACAGCAACCTTAACAAGATTGGACAGGGTGCTTCCGGCGGGGTTTTCACCGCATATGAAACTGGCACAAAGCGATGTGTTGCAATCAAACAGATGAATTTGGAACAACAACCAAAGAAGGATCTCATTATTAATGAGATTCTGGTTATGAAAGACAGCAAGCACAAGAATATTGTCAATTTCATAGACAGTTTCCTGCACGCTGGCGACTTATGGGTCGTCATGGAATATATGCAGGGCGGCAGCCTTACCGATGTGGTGACGTTCAACGTTATGAGCGAGAGTCAGATTGCAGCGGTGTGCAGGGAGGCAAGTGTTTTCTTGGTGGCGCTGATGGTATCTAAGGCTAATTGTCTCAGACATTGTACGGACTGCAGCATCTGCATTCGAAGAACGTGATCCACCGAGACATTAAATCTGACAACATCCTGCTTTCGGAAAGAGGCGACATTAAGCTCACCGACTTTGGGTTTTGTGCTCAGATTAATGACACACAGAACAAGCGCACGACAATGGTGGGGACGCCATACTGGATGGCCCCGGAAGTTGTGACTCGGAAAGAATATGGTCGAAAGGTAGACATCTGGAGCTTGGGTATCATGGCCATCGAAATGATCGAGGGAGAGCCGCCTTATTTGACTGAATCGCCGCTGCGAGCTCTATACCTGATCGCCAAGTACGGAACGCCGCGTATTAAGGATGAGCAGGCGCTCTCACCGGTCTTTCGAGACTTTCTACATTTCGCCTTGAAGGTGGAACCTGAAAAGCGAGCGAGCGCCCATGATCTGCTACATGTAAGTAGCCATCAGCGTCCTAGCCACCAGTCACTAACAGCATACAGCATCCTTTCCTCCAAAACTGTGCCCCGCTTGCCAGTCTTGCGCCTCTTGTTCAGTCGGCTCGAGAGAGTAGGGCAGCGGAAAAGGCCAATCGAGGAAACTAACATCTTTCTTTATGCATTGTACAACCTCTCGCACCTGCTATTTGTTCTTCGGATGGGCAACCGGGCTGGTCAAGGCTTAGAACAGCACCGGTCAGCCATCAGCGGTCTGCATCCAGATTAGCCAATACTTCTCCAGGGGTTGGGCATCTTCGCGAAGAACTTCCATCCAAGAAAGTATAGAGCTGCGGGAACGGGCTTGACCTCACCTTTTTGACGGCGTCATGGCCAGAATCATCGCTCTAGCGAGTTCAGGGACTTATATCTCCTTTTCACCAACGTCGCCGAAAGACACGACCCCACAACTGTTTTATTTTACGACATCCAAGGAAGTTTTACGATTACACGACGACTGGGCGAGGGCGTTCAATCGGATAGCAGCATGGGCTGTCTCATGGCTATTTTCAGTGCGTAAGCACCCTAGTTTCGGGACAATATCTAGAGGTCTGGGAGAAAACGCAAGGATGAGCCACGACGTTGACCCTCAATTGTATTAGCAGGGAACTAAGCTATGTAACGACAGAGCCTCCATAATAAGAGACTCTGTTTCGGTCGGATCGTAAGCTTTGCCCCTTCGACAATTTGGTTCTTGTGTGTTGTTATCAAACTGGAGCCAACATTGTTGAGCCTTGTAAAGAGATGTGGCTGTGTTAAGTCTTTAGCTGTGGCGTCGACTTCATCAGCCCGCCTCCTTTGCGTCACCGGGCTCTCAGGTTAGGCTCCGGCCGCAGCGCACTGGTGCATCAGAAACCGTGAAGACCAACTTTCTGTTACTATCATCCCATGCTCTCGTCGAGACTGTAATCCTGTCTTGCTATCGAGTATAACTAGACTTCTTCCGTGCCCATCATGTTTCGGGCCCAGCAGAACACCTTTGACGATGCCGTTGGTAAGCTACACAGCACAAGTGTTATTGTTGTCTTAGACTGACTGACTTTTGATGTAGCTAAGGCAACGGACGAGAACTTGACTTCCGAGAACTGGGAGTACATACTAGATGTTTGCGATCGAGTGTCATCGAACGAGAGCATTGCCAAAGATGTTGTGGCTGCCATGATCAAGAGGCTGGCGCACCGGAACGCCAACGTCCAGCTATACACCCTCGAGCTCGCCAATGCGCTATCTCAGAATTGCGGCATCTCCATACATAGGGAACTGGCGTCCAAAAGTTTCACTGACCAGCTGCTGAGGCTGGCCAACGATAGGGTGCGTTGACAAGGTCACAATTCTGCCACTTCGGCACTGACCTGGGCCAGAACACACACCAACAAGTCAAGTCGAAGATCTTGGAAAGAATGGAGAGTTGGACGAAGGACTTCTCGAGCAACACTGAGCTTGGAATAATGGAACAGGCTTATATGAAAATGAAGGCGCAAAGTGAGTGCTCTGTTCAATCTTGAGAATTCGCCCAAAACTGATTGTGGCCAGACCCAAATCTACAGCCTCCTCAGGCGCCGGTGAAAAAACAGATCACCGAATATGACCGGCAGAAGGAGGAGGAAGAATTACAACTGGCCCTTCGGCTTTCTGTTCAAGATAAGTCCACTGGACCTTCAAGCCAGCCATCCGGCCCGGCGGCTGAACTCGCAGCCCAACCGTCATCATCATCGCAATCGGCTCCCCATCCCCCAGTTCCGTCGGGCACGACCGCTGCAACAGTCTCAAGAGTACGAGCGTTATTCGATTTTCAGCCTTCCGAGCCCGGCGAATTACAATTCCGCAAAGGGGATGTCATTGCGGTGTTGGAATCTGTCTATAAAGACTGGTGGAAAGGCTCGCTCCGCGGACAGACTGGCATTTTCCCACTCAACTACGTCGAAAAGCTCCAAGATCCGACCACGGAAGAGTTGCAGAAGGAGGCACAAATGGAAGCAGAAGTCTTTGGACAGATCAAGAACGTCGAGAAGTTGCTGGCCTTGTTAAGCACCAGTAGCGCCGACATGAGTGTCAGAGACAATGAGGAGATTACTGAGCTCTATCAGAGCACATTGTCGATTAGACCGAAACTTATCGAGTTGATCGGGAAATACACGCAAAAGAAAGGTAATGTTTGCCGCAGCACGATACCTTCAATGACAAGATTTACTGACTGCTATTCCAAAGATGATTTCCAGCAGTTAAATGAGAAATTCATAAAAGCACGGCGAGATTACGAAGCGCTTTTGGAAACATCAATGGCACAGTCAGCGCAGTATGGCCGCCCGGCTCCTCAAGCATATGGATACGGAGGTGGTCTGCCACAAGGCTATCCGCCCCAAAGATACTATACTCCTGGTGAGTTTTGAAAAGGTCCAAAATGTTCGGTCCCGGTCTAAAACTGGTATTCAGATGGGTTACCTCCCAACAATGCGGTACCTTATCCGCAGCCTCAGCAATCGTTCCAACCTCCTTATCCTGTAGCATCGCCTCCTCCTCAAAGCCATACTCCGTCCAACCAGCATCCATCACAACCACCACCGGAGACGTATCCCTCGTACCCGATTCCATCACAGGTGTCGGGACGTCGACAATCACAGTCTGACAGTTACGCCGCATATCCTCCCCCGGAAATGAACCCGTCGTACAACCACCCTCCGCCATCCGACACACCTGCCTCTCGGCCGGGGCGCCAGTCTTACCCTGGCCTTCAACCGCCAAACGTTGCGCAGCTTCAGCATCAGGATGACACCAAAGACTACTCGCCCTCAAACTACTCAAGCGAAGATCTTCACTCCACAAACATTCCCTCGCAACCTCCCCAACAACAAACGCTGCCTTCGCAGAGTTATGCACCGATCCCCCAAGTGCAGCAGCAAAGTCTCAACCCAGTCTATCCGCCCTCTACAGCTCCTCCACAGACGTACGACTACCAAGTACCGCAACCTCCTGCACCAAGTCACGGGCCTCCTCCCATTCCAGGGGTTGGATCCAATCCGACAGAGCGGCCGTCAACACCTCTAGCACAGTCGTCGGGATATCCAGCCTTTTCGCCTACCCAATCCAGCACTGCACACCCACAATATCAGGCATACAACCAGCGGCCGACGAGTGTGGTAGGACCGGCGCCAAGTGTGGGAGGAGGAGGAGGAGGCGGTATGAACAGTTACTACAGATAACAGACGTTTCATCAGTATGAACAAGTTGAACATGGTATGACCGCCTGGAGACTGGAAGAGTCCAGCTGTCCTCGGACGGCAGGCGGACGGATACTGTAGAGATGCCAGAACAAATGCAAGCCGAGCGACGTGCGTTCTTTTTGTTGCACTGCAGATTCTTGTGAGGAAAGATTCCTCATTCGACTTCGACCTTTGCCTGTAATCCTACATCTCGACCTACACACATGTACTGTCGTTTAGCCATGTGGAGCGGAAATAGCAATGACGGAGATCTGAAATTGGTCTATTTAGGCAGGGAGGGAGGGCACGCGAAGAACTCGAACTTGAACAGCCAGTGGAGGCTGTCATCTCAATGACCGCTCTTAATGCATGCTGCAAGCGCACCTGAACTTCTTCAGGATAGGGAATGGAAGTGAAGTTTTCCTTTTCTTTTTCTTTTCTCCGTCAGTGCTTGGGTTTTCGAGCACCGGTTTTGGCCTGATAACTTGAATCATTGAACAGTACTTGCCTAATTAAGGTGAGGTAGGTGGGCAGACAGGCAGGTATCTATCTTGAAATGACTACGTCCCTGGTACGGTCTGCAGTAGGTATCGATGATCAGATGGTGCTGGCGAACATGAGCCTTGTGGACATGCTGCCGAGGCCGGCTGGGGCTTATAGGGAGTCAACTATATTATCACTTCCTGGGAAACCAAGTCAACCATATTACCACTTCCTGGGAATCCAAAAGGAAAGTACCGTGTAAGGGAAACCAAAAGGAAAGCAGCGTGTAAGCGAACGTCTAGATCAAAGTGGTCTGGTCCCTGCAGCTGAGAAGCGTTGATGGCTATCAGACTCATATACGAGCAACTTTGTGTCCTCTGGTCGCACCTGCCAACCTCCTATACCGGGAACAAGAGGACAAATCGAGCGTCGACCAACTGGAGCTGACGGCCACCCGGAGAGGAAGACTCTGGGACCAGAATTGCACGCCGTGTGCATAAGATATGAAACCACTGGACTTCGACCTTGTTGTTCAGGCTTCTGGTTGTTTCTATTGTCAGCGAGACTAGGTACAAAACCAGTCTTCCTGTCTAGTGGACAAAGGTCTCTTTGTCATGGCCTCATACATGAGATCCTGTCTCCTTTGGCAACGTCCCATCTAGCCCATCCTACCCCCACCGTCACCAACACTCGCGCCACCACTCACATCACCACTCACAACGTCGTCGTCCGTGGGCACGCCAACCCCAATCCCACTGTTGCTTCCCACTGTTGCTGCTTCGCAACAACGTCAATCTATTTGCCTTCTTGATTTTGCACATAGTTATATCCAAAGTACGCAACTGCAGCTCCTAGCAGGAGAACCGCGTAAACAGCGATGCCGAAGCCAGGCCCGGAATCAGATCGGCCTCCAGGTCCAGCGGCGATCTTGTCAGTTGCACCAGTCTTAGGAGCAGCTTCGCCAGGAGCTCGCTTCAAATCGCCAACCAGCAGGCCGTCCAGGATTTCACGTGCTTCGTCTGAGTGTCCAACATCTTCAAAGGCTTCTGTAGCATCTTGACCGCCGACATCGAGGAGGACTTCTTCACCGCCCCTATAAGTAATGATACAATCATTAGCGATGATTCCCTTATCAGACAGCACACTTCCAGACGGGGGCTTGAAGAGAGGACGGGAATTGCGACTCTCAATATAATGTGGGGCTGGGAAGGGTGGGGGACGATGCTGGAAGGTCTTCGAGGACAATGTGCTGGGAGAGATTTGGACAGGGAACGTACGGATGTTCATCGACAAAGGAAGAGATGTTGTAGACCTTCTCATGGATGGTGACCCAAAGATCCTTCTTGGACGAGTGTTTCGACACCTCGGCGGAGCTGAATTGTCCAGACATGGCTGATAAGTTGAAGCGGTGGGCGGGAGAACGCTGTCGTTTCTTGAGGTGGCGCAGAGAGGCAGCAAGTTGAAGTCCCCGATGGTTGGAATGGAACAACAACAATTATTATTATGGATGATGAATCTTAGTTGATCGCAGTTGGGTATGGGTTTTGGCGGTCGGGGAGGGAAGTGTGTAATTACTCTGTACGCAGTATTTAGCAGAACATCCTCAGGAGGGCCTGCGGTGGAGCCACTTCACCTGTCCCCGGCCCTACAGAGTACTAAGGTCTTCGGCACCACGAATCGGAAGCGAAGTAATTCAAAGGCCAGCAACACCGGGAATCAATGCCCCAAAACTTCCAAAAGAGACTCGAGACTGCGGCAGCGCGCTGAATTCCGCTTCCCGGGTCAGCCTGCCCTCAGTGCCCTATCACCTAGCCTATTATCACCCTGGGCTAAGGCTCCTAAGGCTCCTAAGGTCTTGAACCATAAGCGCTCGGGGTGTCGGTCGGAGTAATTCTTTGCTGCCCGAGCCCGATTCCTTTTGGGTGCGGTAGGCGGCCTGTATATACATGCACCTAGGCACCTACCTATTTACTTACTTTACCTAGCTTGGTGCATCGGGGCACGCCCGGAGCTGGAGTTGGAGCTGTGATGTCACGTGCTTTCGTAGCTCTTGGTGCTGTGTCGTGCAGCGGTGCCAGTCGCCATCGCGGTGTGCGCGCCCCCGCATCTCCCTAAACAAGAAACCCCCCAACTTAACGCGACGCCTGCGCCTGCGCCTGCGTCATGCAACGAACACTAGGTATGCGACTCGGACAGCAATGACCAGCAATAGCAATATCTTGCATGAAGGAGTGCCGCATCCTGAACAAGATGGAAGCCATGGGCAGCGCACCTTTCCACCACTGTTTGCAGGGCAGAAACTATGGTTCCATCATCAGATCCCCCAACGGAAATGGCTGGTCGATAATGCCAAACAATATGGCGCCACTGTTGTCGGTCTAGACAAGCAAGCAGACATCAAACTGGTCGACCACGCCAAAAAGAATAACGCGCCAGGTACGCATTCGTACAAATATGTCGAATTCTCCATCCGGAAAGGAAGGTTGGAGAGCCTCGCCGACCATGCCGTCGGGGTTGCTACTTCAGCCGCCCGACCTGTCGGAAGTACAGTGACAGCACCAAGAACGGGAAGAATGCATTTTACATCAGATGAGGATCAGTTCTTGTGGAACTGGGTGAAACCATTCGAAAGTAGAGGGGGTCCGTCAAAGGGGAACGAGATCTACAAGCAGATCGAACGAGTGAACCCAAGGCATACATGGCAGAGCTGGCGGGAAAGATGGCTCAAAATCACCCAGTTTCAGAGGAGACAAATCGCCTCACCTGCTGAAGAGGTTCAGGATCGGCCTGAGGAGCAAGCCACGGAATCCTCGCACGCGTCACCACCAAGAAAGAAGAGGCGAGCTGCTGATGACGAGGGAGATTGGAATGGAGTTGCTCAGGATCAACAGCAAACGCAGCGTCTTACTACGGTGGCACCCTCCATGAGGGCCCTTGGACAGGTCTCTAGCTCTGCGTCTGGCCGGCAAGGGTTTAAGATTGTTGAAGGGGTCAACCCGCCAGAGCAACCACCACAGACGTCTGTTCCCACAAATGCCCCTGAAAGAGGAAACAAACGACCTGCACCTTCGCGGTTGGATAGCACGGTGTCAACACCCCGTACACCATTCACCGTGGAAGAGTACACACAGCTTTATCACATGGTCCCCAAGTTAACCAACATCAGTATCGAACACTTCCATAAGTCTTGGGCAGACGTTGCTTCATCATCGGATCACCAACAACACACTGCCGAAGAATGGGAACGCTTCTGGATCTTCAAGGTTGTTCCTGATTATTGCAACAAAAAGGGCTTGCCAATTGAGGAGGTGGCTCCTTACCTGGTCGACCAACCAGAAAAGATATCCACTGCAGTCTCACCGGTCAAAGAGGTAGACAAGGGTGAGAGCCACGTTACAAGGACCGATTATGGACCGAGGACGATTGTCTGCAGCAATTGCTTCACGGCCGAGAGCAACAAGTGGCGGTTTGACAAGGAACGCAATCCGCTTTGCAACCCGTGTGCTGTTTTCTTGAGGACTCACGGAGTTCCCAGGCCGTCCATGAACGCAGGAGCGGGATGTGACGGTGAAGAGCGCACATTGCCTGTGACGAAGACACCATCAGCTACCTCTCGTTGGCATGACCTTACTGTAGTAACACCTTCATCAACTTACGTGAATCGAGCAGTTCAAACCTCGTCATTAAACCAGAAAGAGGAAGCCGGACCTGATGAGACAGCATTCCCCAGAAGTCGTCGTTCCTCGCCTCCACCTAAGTCTCCCTCTTTCCAGCCCGATTCTCCAACGTTGGAGCGACGTCCTGAGCCTAACGAAGCGAGAAAAAGAAGCGCAGGTCGAGGTACTCAGTCACAATCAACCGAAAGCTCCAATAACCCTGATTCACAGGCTACGGCACAAGCGTCATTTAGTTCAGTATTTGAGGCCGCTATGGGTGAGGTACAGTCGACGCAACGGGATACACAGCATGAAGAACGATCAGAGACTCAGTTGCATGAGACCAGTGCTGCAACTTCCACATTCCAATTTCCTTCGAATATACAAGAAAACAGACCATCATTGCTCGATGATCCAAGGAACCTAGACACCGCACATGATTTCTGCCTGGGTCCTGATCGAGGACCTCCCCGTGATCGGCCTGACGCCCACCTGACGGGATTGGAAGAAAATGCAACTGTCTGGGGGCCCCAGACTCAAACTTCCGTAGCAACCCCTGTACGCTCCCAACCAGATGAGTCAACATTGTTCATTCCTGAGCATGACGAGGACGACGAAGAGGACTACATTGAAGCCGGAGGGGAAGGCGCATCGACTACGGACAATCATTATACAAGCGTCAGTCCAACCTCTCGATCCGACTCGGAACCTGATGCAAAGGTTGACCACGGAGAGCCCTCGCACAATGTTCTATCATGGGCGACAACAGGGCAGTACGAAACAGGACAGGAAAGCCTCGAAGCTTGGGAGACAGCGCCAGACAACCAGCACATGCAAGCGAATAGACGGGCCACGACACAGGAACTGTTGGAAGACCCCAAGATTGGTAGTAATGCTTTGGACCTCGAGCTCGAGCTCCCTGAGCCGGAGGGCGGTTGGGATACGATCCTTGGCTCCACTTCTTCCCATCTGTATGCCGAATACAGCGAGATTTCAAACCTGAACGTCCAAGAGAGCGAAACGCTCGACGCCAGCGACCCGGACGCTAACGTGGAGATCGAGCGCGACATAGATAAAGAACTGCATTTACTTTCTCCGCCTCCACCTGGGACTCGTTCTCTGGACGCAGAAAGCAACGCTGACGATGAAGAAGAGGCCCGTAAAGTGGACGACTGGATGGCACTCCAGAGATCTCTTCATCCCCAAGTGAAAAACATTCAGCACCTGCTGTTCAAGGCCCTCGAGTCTACGACCTTTGATCTTGTTCTCGCTACCACTGTCGTCGATATCATGCTGGAAAAGCTGATGAGGCCGACTTTGAGACGTCGATCTCATGTTGTCGCTGCAGATGAGATCGAGGTCCCACAGGATTTGAAGGGCGTCTGGACTGAGGAAGACGACAATCTCTTGACCAGCACCAACACTAGAGACATTGAACGGGTTCTGGACAAACATGGCCGCGAGGGCTGCGATGCCCGCTTCGAGTATCTCGACAAGGTTGCGGAGACATGATGGTTCGAGCAAACCGACGTCGTAGGAGGCTGTGCGTCGGAGGTGGCAGAAACAAGGACGCAACAACGAAGAAATGCTGTGTTCCTGGGCTTGTGGCCCGCGTCAAACATAGTAGTAGATGATGGCCAGGAACGTGATATTGCACAATTGAACCTCAGGGGTCTAGGGCTGGTGCTGTGTTTCAAATGGCCGATTTTCGGAGGTCGTGGAGCATCTTCCTTCGAAAGCGCCCCGATCCCAGGCTCCTTGGATGGCATTTCCCAATATTTTCACTAGCCAATCCCTTTGGTGCCATCACACGCATCAGTAGACCGGGCCACCCATGCCTGTGTGCAATGCTAGTTCCTGGGCCTGGTGCAAAGGCGATCCATGACCCCCTTGATCCAAGCTAGCTCCGATCCTTTTTGAACACCAGAGTCGTGGAACCAGCAGCTCACAATCCTTGATACATTCCATACCCAATGATCTGAGTCGGCGCCCCGTGACATGCCCTATTTCGCCCGGCAGAGCAAAAGAGCTCCTCCTGTTTGAAAGCTGCAAATACTATACAGGCTGCAAGAAGCACCATCAACTAGACGATTCATTAGCAATCTCGTCGTCGTCCGTCAAGCGCCGGACTCGCTCACTTGAATTTCAGGTGGTCCTCATAAAATTTCAGCATCGGTCGTGGACAATGTCGATAGACCTTATCCATCCCGACTCTTGTCTTCTTCCCGTTGTTGAACAAGATATATGCCGTTAGCTGTCCGAACTCGTTCTTCTCGACGGTTTCCACCTTTTGAATGTACGATTCCCAGTCATCCTTGGGCGGCAACCAGGTTCCAACATCTTCGGAGCTGCTATCTGCCCTAGCACCATTGCGTTTTCGTCTTTTGGGGGCGGGAGATCCAGCGGCCGAGGACTGTCGTCGTAGCGATTGCTTGGATTTGACCTTTTTCACGTTCTTTGCCGTGGGCGGTCCGCCTATGTCGCTCTGATATTGTGCCAATAGTTTCGCGGCATGGCTGCGAGGACAAGCGTGTCAGCGATCCGCGCTCATAGAGAAACTACTGGCGCGTGGGACTACTCACGGCAGCAGGTTATCTTCTGGTTCCCATGTATTATCGTCCTCCTCGTAGCCCAGCCATTTGATATGGTACTCGACTTTTCCATTGCGGATCCTATGGCTTCTAATGCCTTCCACAACGTACTCGTCCTCTTCCGGGTCAATTTCGGCCTCGTCATCTTCGAGCTCTTCGTCCTCCTTCTCTTCTTTTGAAGCAAGTTTTTCTTCTTTGGCGTCGTCTAGCAGCTCTTTCGCGTCCACGTCCGCGTCCGCGTCTGCTTCCGCTCCTGACTCTTCGAACGCGTCACCTTCGCTGCCTATGTCTGCGGCCACATCGTCAGGAGCTACACGTGGGTCAGAACGCATGGTAAATGTAGTGACAAGGCGCATTTGAATTACACATTGAGCGGTGGGGGGACCGACCTATTGTTGGAGGCATCTTGATTGAGAGTCTTCAATGCGCCGCGCCCCAGACCAAGATGGAAGGTCGTAACGTAGAGGTTGCGCGACGCAGGAGCTCTTAAGTACTTGAACGTGATAGACGAGACGAGACGAGATGCGACTGAAGCGCGTTGGCTGAACACTGGCAAGTTGAACGCGGAGAAGGCAGGCCGAGGCTTGGCAACCAATGACGAGTAAAAACGGCTCGGGGCTCACGTGCAACTTCACGCGACTCAAAGGCGACGACTCACCCCATACTCAACTGTATAATTAAAGACTTGATTCGATTTTATTTTATTATCGTAGCACAGTTCCAATTAACAGCACAGTGATCCTTACTCTCAACGGGCCTTAGCATTTCGTACTTATCTGCCATTGTTTTCCCTTCCTTTCTCCTTCAGGACTGGGAGAACTCTGTCCACCTTCGTGTCTCATCGCTGGATACTGAACGACGTCTATAATGACTCGTTGCTACACTTTCAAAATTTATGCCGTGTGCTTTGAGACTGCTTCGCCAATCCAAACTTGGAACGCAATGTGTTGCTTATGCAACATTGTTGGGCCGCCGCTACGAAATCGGCTGTAGAGCTTCTTTTCGTTCAACCTTTGCAACCATGAGCCTGACAGGCAAGTATCTATCTCCAGTTGTGGTTTCGAGTATTAATGATTACGAAGATCTGGATCCCTATGGGTATTCGGACGGTAAGTGGCTCCGCAACGACAAAGAAAATCAACAGGCCCGTCGCATTTCGTTCAACTTCGACGCTCTCCGTCGACGAGTCGTCGAAATTTCAAATGCCGAATCCATCTCAACCTTTGAGAAGAAAGATGGTGGTTTCAACCGCGTCTTCATCTTCACTACCAATAATGGAAAAATGGTCGTGGCAAAAGTGCCCGTTTGTATTGCGGGACCTCCTAAACTGACCACCAGATCTGAGGTTGCAACCATGAAATTTTGTGAGTACCACCAGTTTCCAGCTAAACATGACCTTGGAAATTAATTATACTTTCTCACTTGCAGTGAAGAAACACTCGAGTGTACCACTACCGGCAATCTACGACTGGAGTGATGATCGAACTAACGAGATCGGGAGCGAGTACATCATAATGGAATATGTTTCAGGTGTTTCGCTCCATGTCAAGTGGCTTTATATGACTGTCGACCAGCGCATCAAATGTATCAAGAATATCCGCCAAAATCTGAGCTCAATGAATGACATATCCTTCCCAGCATATGGAAGCTTATACACCACAGACGATCAAGTTGACCCCGCAATAACATTGACGCAAGACGATCAATTTTGCATAGGCCCACATGTCGCGACCAGATACTGGGACTGTAACGTCGGGTTCAGTCGATATTACCATCTTGTACCGCCTAATCGAGGTCCATGTAGGTATAGCAACGACCTCATATCATGGAAGGAATGTTAATCGGTCGATAGGGAGCGACCTTTCGGCTTGGAGCGACGGACTGATTGACGCTGGTATCTCGAGAGTTCCACCGTATGACAAGAGCAGTGGGCGTCGACCACGATATTTTGGAACACCTAGCATGCACTTGCGGGTGCTTGAAGAAGGGCGTCTGCTTTTGAGGAAGATGTCGCAAGACCTAAAAATCCGCGCAAACGCGACGCCAACATTATGTCATCCAGACTTGCATAAACGGAATATTGTCGTTGCCCCGGATGATCCTACAACAGTTATAAGCTTCCTCGATTGGCAGTCAGCCGGTATCGACCCAGCATTCTCACTCGCGGATGTGAGGCCAGACTTTATTGTTGCACCTGACCATGCCGACAACCCATCCAATAATGGTGTAGCCACTCAGTCTCACTCTCAAGTATATGCGGATGCTCTCAGTGTCTGTATCGAGTTCTATTTCCCAAACCTGGCTCGCGCACAGTCCTTGGGTCCACATATCCTTCAACCGTTTCGATTCGCACATCGGACCTGGATCGACGGCGTGGTTGCGTTACAACATGATCTATTTGAAGTTGCCCGTCGATGGAAGGACTTAGGGTTTGAAGGCATCTGTCCCTTTCCATTACCCGACGCTGAAGCCATTGCCGCTCACGACAGCAATTATAAATACTTTATAGCCGCACAAAATTTGCGAGAACAGGTAGTCAGATATCTCAACATTTCGCCCGATGGTTGGGTACCCTCAGATGCCTGGGATGCGACAAAACTGCTGTATCAGGAACTGTACTCTCAGGCACGGCAAGCCATATTGAGTGCAGAGGATTCGGACGACGAGGAACCAGTCAAAACCGAAGATGACCTGAGAGCAATATGGCCCTTTGATTTGTAGGATTACAACCAGCGCGGAAGCACCACCGTGTCTGATCGAAAGATTCGGCCTGCGACGTGCCACTTAGTCCAGCTGAATGTGAAGTCAGCTGGCCTAACCGGGTGCGCCCTGCCCAGCGGGACTGTCGAAGAATTTACTGGTTGACATCTAGTTGCAAGAGATCCAGAGGGATTGATAAGAGACAAGCGTTGGATGATTGTCTTTTATGGGCATGTACCAGTGGAACAACACTTTGGACGTCTCCTTCAGATTCCAGCCATCATGACGCGACTTTGGAGAGTCTAGCTTAATGCCCCTGGACTAGGATATGATGTTAGATAGAAGGCCCTGTCCGAGTAAGTACCTAACCCGACCACATGTATTTAGCCCCTCACCTAGCCTAAGTCAGAATTCTTCGCGCACCCGATATTTAGCCGATTTATACGATATTCTCTAACCCTCTCTATACTACTAATTACGCCCTTTAATACGCTTCCCACCCGTTTTTATAAGGATCTCGTATCTCTTAGGCATCTCTCTAATACGCTTACGGATATCTTCTATCGTTATATTCGTCTAAACCTTCTATAGAGCCTCCTATAATTACTTAACTATAAAGTATATAATACTAGGAATACGCCGTACGCGTTACTTAGTTATATTATAAGCGCTCTTCGAGAGATTTAAATTAGGCGAGTTTAGCGAGTATATAAGGTTAAGTACCTACTAAGCGTCCTTACGCTATCGCGCGAGCCTAGAACGCTTTATATCGTAAGAAGGATCGCTATCTTTACCGAGATAGACCTTCTAATTATATCTTAATCGAGCGCGTTATATAGCGTCGATATAAATAGGTAAAAGACGCTCTATATAGTACGCCTAAGTTATCGAATTATCTTTAGGCTTTACGTTAAGAGGTAGTAGTAGAGAGACCTTCTATTCGACTACTTAATATTAATATTACTTCTTCGTTTCTTTAGTAGATCGACGACGAGATTTAGAAGGCCTCTTCTCTTAAATCGCTTAAGTCTACTCCTTAGCGTTATATATAGCCTTCTCGGTCTTCTTATCGTTATAGAACTCGAGTCTTTTATACTTCTTATACTAATTTACCTATTCTATATAATATATCGTAACGCCTTAAGAAGAAGGTTAATTAACGATATTCTCGAGGTTATATTATATATTACGCTCGCGTAGAATATTGTCACGAATCATTCCTCAAGGAGTCACGTGTTCGCGTGAATGTACTGATAAGCGGAAGAAGATGTTTCGATGCGTATGCTAGAGCAAGGGTGTCTTGTATTCAGAACGAAAACTATTGATGAAATGTATCACCTAGTTTGTGAACGAAGTTGACTACGCAAGGAAAGCTACGAACGGTGGGAGAACCCACGACTATATAGACATAGGAAACTCGTAATATCCCTTCCTGCTCTGTCTGCTCCCGGTGCTCTGTCAGAGCATCAGAGCAAACAGATCACTTCTGGTGGTCACGTGACGTTGTAGCCCTGTGCTCACGTGCCCCCGTTTCGGTATACCTGCCTCCCCGTAGCCGTCTGTCAGGCAGCAGGCAAGTATGCCATCGTCTCGATCCTGACAAATATAAGGAGAACGTTATTAAGTAGAATCGAAGTAGAACTTATCTATAAAGTAAACCTATTATTAGAACTTCTCGATCGACTTATCGCGATACTCGTACGCGTAAGTAAGTCTTACTTATTCTTATTTATCGTTAAGATTATTCTTTCTATAGATAATACGATAAAGTTAAGCGTAATTACTAAATTCTTTAAGTCGTCGCTATAGCTATCGCTTCGATATATAAAGAGAATAAAAAGTAATCTATTAATTAAGAGACTCGCTCCGTACGAGGTTCTTCGACGGCGATAGAAGGAGATTAATATACTATTTCTAGATCCTTAACGACCTACCGAATATAGACGAGTACTTACGAGTATATCTATAGATAGAAGTACCTTATAGTTAACGTTATCGTAGCTAATACCTCGCTATTAATTTAGGGACCTTTTAGGTACGGCTAACGGCTCGGAAACTTTCGCTAGATTATTAATAGTTAAACGCTTTAAAAAAGCGAGTTTTTCTAATAGTATTAGCTTCTTTATTATATAAACTCTTATTAGGAGTGCTCGGACGATAAGTTAACCTTATTTATAGTACTATTATTAACTGTATAGAGTATTAAGGCGTTTAGGCGATATTAAAGATAAATCGGCTAAATATCGGGTGCGCGAAGAATTCTGACTTAGGCTAGGTGCCCCTGAGTTGCGGGTGAGTATAAGGCTCCTAAGGCGGCATCACCCTCGTCCCGATCGGGGGTACTCATCTTGGCATTTGATGCCGTCCACCCAGGCCAAACTACGGAGTAGCAGTAGGACGGTCAGTGGCAGTAGAAACTCCAACTCCAAGTCGCAGTCTGGCATGTCCCTCTGTTCGGGATGCCAAAATTTTGAGCAACCCATTCCACTGTCTATTCCACTGTCTTTGAAATCTGGACTGCATCATCTGACGTGTCAACGATCCCGGCGTTTTCATGGAACACGAGTTGCGCAACTGAATTGTTCTAAAGTCAACGTATAGCGAAGTTACAAAGCCTCCAAAGTTTCCCATCGAAGCCAGCCCGAACTTCGGACAACCTCAAGGTTCCGCCTACTTGTCGTCGACCGAGGGAAGCACCATCTCCATCTCTTATCATAAGACTACATCTTAAATATGGCGATGCAACTAGACCTGTCTCAGGCGCAGGTCCTGAAGGATGAAACAGGCAGACCGTTCATTGTTGTGCGAGATCAAGGAAAGAAGAAGCGTACACACGGTACAGAGGCGGTCAAGCAACACATTGTCGCGGCGAAGACCGTCGCCAGCATTGTCAGAACCTCTCTGGGTCCTCGGGGGTTGGACAAAATCCTCATTTCTCCTGATGGGGACATTCAAATATCGAACGATGGCCGCACAATCATGTCTGAAATGGAATTGTCGAACCCTATTGCGAAACTGATGGTTGAGCTGTCAAAGTCTCAAGATGAGGAAATTGGTGATGGAACGACTGGTGTCGTCGTATTAGCAGCGGCACTCTTGGACCAAGCAGCCGATCTTATCGACAAAGGCATCCATCCTATCCGAATCGCCGACGGTTACGATCAGGCATGTGAAGTTGCTGTGGCAGAGTTGGACAAGATCAGCGACGAGATACCTTTCTCCCGGGAGAACCAGGAGAACCTGATCAAGGTCGCCAAAACCAGCCTGGGAAGCAAAATCGTTAGCAAAGCACACGATCAGTTTGCCCAGATCGCGGTCGACGCTGTCATGTCGGTCGCCGACCTAGAACGCAAAGACGTGGACTTCGAACTAATCAAAGTCGACGGAAAGGCAGGCGGATCGATAGAAGACTCTCTTCTCGTCAAGGGGGTCATTGTCGACAAAGACTTTTCGCATCCACAAATGCCGAGCGAGGTGAGGGATGCAAAGATTGCCATTCTGACGTGTGCCTTTGAACCTCCCAAGCCAAAGACTAAGCACAAGCTCGACATCTCGACAGTAGAAGAATTCAAAAAGCTCCAGGACTACGAGAAGAACAAGTTTGTCGAGATGATTGACATGATCAAAGCCACCGGGGCAAATCTGGTCATCTGTCAATGGGGGTTTGATGACGAAGCCAACCATCTACTCCTCCAGAACAAGCTTCCGGCTGTTCGATGGGTGGGCGGGCCCGAGATCGAGTTGATAGCGATTGCTACCAACGGAAGAATCGTGCCCCGATTTGAGGATCTCAGCAAAGAAAAACTCGGCAGAGCCGGACTAGTTAGGGAAATGACATTCGGTACAACTCGAGAAAAGATGTTGGTCATTGAAGAATGCGCCAATACTCGAGCAGTCACAGTGTTTGTGAGGGGAAGCAACAAGATGATCATTGATGAGGCAAAGCGATCATTACACGATGCCATCTGTGTCGTCCGAAATCTGGTCAGAGACAATAGAGTGGTGTACGGCGGCGGAGCGGCCGAGATTGCTTGCTCGTTGGCCGTGGAAGATGCGGCTTCCAAATCGCCCGGGCTGGAACAGTATGCCATGAGAGCCTTTGCCGATGCGCTTGATGCCATTCCAATGGCTTTGGCGGAGAACTCTGGGTTAAGTCCCATTGAGACCCTCGCCTCCGTAAAATCACGACAAGTCAAGGAGCGGAATACTCGATTGGGAGTGGATTGCATGGCGACCGGGACCAACGGTAAGCCTCACTGGCGCGGACTTTATGAGCATGCCTGACTCACTCTGTGAACTTCTAGACATGCGGGCCAATTTTGTGATTGACCCATTGATCGGGAAACGCCAGCAACTTCTTCTTGCAACTCAATTATGCCGGATGGTGAGTACACTGGTTGTCTATCTAGTTGCAGCTGCCCTTGCTGATTCTTTTCTGCGTTTCTAGGTGTTGAAGATCAACAATGTGATCGTGTCAGGCAGTGACGAAAATGACTTTTGAAGGAGCTACAGTTGTCGTCGGCACAGTTTAACCAAATCCCACCGGATCACAGGGCGTTGGTGGGAGTGCATGCATGGGAAGAAAGAATAGAGAGAAAGAACAGGAATCATCATTCTGTACAACATGATACCCCACCCGAGAGTGGTAGAAAAATGAAACAAAATGGCGGTGATGATAACACCCGGCTAGGTCATGGCTACATTGCAATGCGAAGATGGTGCTCTTGCTCTTGCGATATGTTGGATGACTACGACGTGAGAACCTTCTTGCCACAAGGCTAGCCAACTTCCAGAAGAACAAGTACAGTTCACCGCAGCCATGCTCGATTGGATGGTGACAAGCAGTATGAGGGATAGAATATACAATATGGATATGTATCCATCGACGCCTTCAAGTTCCTCTGCCGGCGGAAGCTGTACAGAGTACGATGCTAGTCTATTTAGTCCGTACAGTACGAAAGTCAAAGTCATATCCCTCGCCGCGACTTCCTAGGATATTGATGAAATAACTCCTGGGCGCATGGCGATCTACAGTCATAGACCTTTCTTGCGACTATTTCTTTGGTACCGCAAAGTTGAAATTTCTTTCCCTTCCATTTTCCTTCATCAACATTCTCTCCAAACATGACTTCGACACCACTCCCTCCTGTCGTCTTCGAGAATGTCGCCGCAGACGACATCTCTGAGGCAATGCTCGTTGAGGCTGCAAACCTGTTTTCAAATTCGTACGGTGTCTGGGGACCTAATGCAGAGAAAAATATTGGGCCATTCGCAAAGCAAGGTGAGCATCTACCACTTCTCGTCCCCCATCCAGTGACACATGATTGACCTCACCAGGTCGCCGTGTCCGGATGAGTCCCGCCCGCCTGCGCCAGCAGTCTTTGCCCGCAAATGCAAACAACTTCCACACTCGAGCCACATGCGGAGGCGAACTGGCTGGCTACGTCTTTGCAACTCGTTGGAACTATGCAGGCCGGGAAATATGTTGGATTACACAGCTCTGCATCGACCCAAAATACCGACGCCACCGGCTCGCTACCGGAGTAAGTTGTTTCCAAACATACTGTCGAGAAAGAGGCTAAAAATTGCAGCTGCTATTGAAGCTTCGTGAGGGCAAGGACGACGGAGGCTTTGGGATCCTCAGCTCTCACCCGGCTGCTGTCCTCGCTGCACTCAGAGCGTTTGGCAGAGGAATCGAGGAGGTTGATTTGAAGATGGCAAGAGAACATGCCCGCGCAATCATGGACTGTAGCCCTGTTGGCTATGTCAAGGAGGCGGTTCTGCGAGGAAGTTTGTTCAAGACTCATGGAGAAGACAACGTCGTCTGCTGTGCCTACACCAACTTCTGGGTTGACCATACAGAGCCTCTAGAAGTGTTGCAGGCCGTCAAGGCACGTGGAATAGACTGGCCATTTGGTGATCTGCCCGACGGCTGTGAGTTTCTGGTCATGGTCAAAGGTGGACAGGTGAATCAGGAAGGCGAGCGCATTCGCAAACAGCTCCTTTCTTCAGAATCCGAGAGTCGTCACCAAAATGTTGCTGTACTGTCCAAGGTGGAGGGAGACCCGAACGACGATTTCAAGGGCTAAGGGGCCACGGGTTTGCCTTCAACAGAACAGATTCTAGTTAATACCGCGTGCCATGTCTTCTACTTGGCTTGGAATGCCTCAAGTTAAAAGAGGTGACAGCGGGAGCGTCGGGAGGTGACCCATGTACGTACATAACTACTAGTACGGCTTCCGTGGTTCCCCGTGGATGACGGTGGCGGGAATTTGACATGCTTGAACGCGCAGTTGATGCTTGGATGCTGCAAATGTCAGATGCATCTGAAGTGATCAACACAAAAAACTTCGGATGAATTTCGGATCGCCCGTCCTTCTCCCCAAGTCAAAGATTACGAGTAAGGGAGACATCCATGGGATTTAAATGTAATTACATAATCTCCAGGAGGTGGAAGCCTGGGGAAATTCATAGATCCACAGTTGTAAAATAGATGGATAACGTGGAGATAGAACACGATGATCCTTGAGCCTGCAACTACGAGTATTACCCAGACGTCATGTCTCGTATTATTGAGGAGTGGCAAGGCTGCGAGGGAAGAAACATGCGCCGATATTGTCGCTCCAGAGGTAACATAACCGACATATCCTTGACCCGTTGGGGGCCTGCGGGATCATCTGATACAGGAGTGGCCGCTTGGCCCTTGTCGTGGGGGGTGCAAGGAACAGCAGACCCTGGTTTTCGAGATATGGCCGGCAAATGACAACAAACATTCCGCCCACGGCCCTAAACCCAACGAGCAACTGGTGTCCCAGCCACCGTGGTGGTGGCATCTTAAGCGAAAAAGTCGAAGTCTGAATGATTTATCCTCAATCCTCTGCAGCCGAGTTTCTGCGGAACCGAATATGCCAGAAACCAAACGGCCGGGTTCGACGTCATCTGTTCCCGCTACCCCTTGTATTAGCCATTATGGTTGTGGAATCCCGTCTCGAGACGGCGATCGTTGCTGAACGCGGACTGTTCGTAAGGGTGAAGGGTGTTGCTCGGTCAATGAAGGTTGGGTGTCAGGCAGGGGGATTTGTCGTCGTTTGCGGCGGAAACACCTGCACACAGGAATCCACCAGCGTACGAGTACCGTAGATAGGAGCCTTGTTTTGCACACAGGGATCGAGTGGGATACACATATCCGTACTCCGTACACCGTCGACATCATGTCCCCACGGTGCGAGGCATCCTTGAGGGTAGAAAGGGTCAACAGCGGTGAATGGATATGCCCTCAGCCACGATGGCAGGGGTCGGCTTATGATTCTGTGACTGCCGACAGCACGATTACAGCGTGGCTTGGAGGCCACCGTAAGTGTGGAGGTGATCCCTGGCACAGGTAACATGGTGTCTTTTGCTTTTGGCAACAGATCTGTCAGATCCTCGAAGCCATGGCCATGGTCATACTGTCAATTATACGGATACTTTGCCATAACCCTGCACGTACGTACTGTCCTCTGTTTCTGGTGTACTCTGACATACAGTGGTGGGTTGCGGGTTGTCCGCTGGAGGTGCCAGAGCGCTGGGCAACCACCCACGCGGACGTACTCAGAGTACTCCCGTACTCCAGAGTAGGGGACCGACTAACTCGGATCTTAGCGTGGAGGGAGGCTCGGAAGAGATTGCTCGCACATGTCACGTCGTCCGATGGGGGTGGTATTCTCGGGGCTGTCGAGATAGACGAACAGAGTCGAACATACAAAGTTATACTCCCCATCGAAATAACTGCGCCAGGTGGGCGCAGACTCGTCAGGTGGACAGAAAAAAGAGGCTTGCCATCTCCCTCATTGCACGTGGACGCGTTTTTAGTGAAACGGGGAAGGCGGAATTGCCGCCTAAACTGACATACCTAGGCACCTCTAGGTACTTTTAAGTGCCTAAGGGGCCTACGGCTTGCTCTTAGAGCCTAAGGCTACCTGGTACACAGCATCTGTATTTCAAAATCCCTCTATCCGGCCCGGCCACCGGTATCTACTAGGTACTAGGTAGGTAAGGTAGGTGCCTAGTAGGTACCTGACCTTGGTAGTACGTACTCTGTACTCCGTACTACCATTGCGGAGTTACGGAACACGCTGACCGTAGTGCCCCGGTGTGTTTTTCCTTTTCTCTCTCTCAACCAAAACTTGCCTAGGAGCAAGCATCTCGCCACGTTGACAGATGTTTTTTCAATGCGTGTTTGATGCAAACGACCGGGCTGGGTACGACCGAGCCAATTGGTCGCATGCGGTACTCTGTACAGAGAAATGGCATAAGCTGCGGTGAATAAGGTAGAGTCGGCTCCCTCTCGGCTCCCTCTGCAGAACCGGAACGCACCGCCATCTCTTGACATGTGACCTGGTCCAGGGTGGCTGTTGACCTCGATATGGACGTGGTATGGGTACCACAGAATCGTTTAAGTGACTAAACAGAGCATTAGCATGCTACTAGCAGTGTCACCATGGATGCACCGTGCCACGAATACATTCAGCCAGTTGTCCCACATGTCACGGGCTCCGGCTCTCAGAGCGGGCTTTTATCTGCAGACGCATGTGAGTCATGTGTCGCACTGCTTTTGCTGTACATCCGAAGTCGAATCGGCCGCCATCGGTCATGGTTGTTGGCCGGAGAGAGTAGCCTATAGCATATAGCCTATAGTCACGTCTCGGCTTGCCCGTTGTTCGGTCGTTGTCTTGATGCCTGGCGCAACTCCGGTAGATTCGGCGCAGAGATGATTCACCGACACTGGCGAGCATGGGAGGGAAGACAGCAGGCGCCTCGAGGGTGGGGGAGGTCAGCGTTTATCGATCGCAGCCTGAGTGGGTAGCGAGCTTCAAGCCTCCGATTTTCCGCCCAAAGCAGAAACCCCCCGGGTGGCCAGGGTGGATAAATGGCAAGACATGACCTGTCATTTCATTTCTGATTCGCATTACGCCTGTACCCCAACCTAAGCTGCTCACTAGTGGGCGTCCCACGTCGGCGCTAGTAGGCCTATTGCGGCCTGAGAGCCTAAGCCTGAGCCCCTGCTTTGCCAGCAACGTCGCGTTCTCCAAGCTGCCCGGACTCCCCATCCCCCGTCGGCGGTCTTTCCTCGTGTCTCGACCCTGCGATCAACGCTACTACTGGCAGTAACCTCAGGCCTGGACATCGCCAAACTGTGCCTCCTCCCCACTGCTGGCACCACACTGGCACACTGGCACCCGGCCGCCCCCCTTGTCCCTGAATTTGCCCTTTCTTCTCAAAAGCCCGTCCCGAGAGAGCGCCCCCTGCTCGTTTTTCGTGCCCTGTGCCCTGTGCCCTAATCCTGTCCGCTGCGCTGCACTGCACCTGCACCTCGCACTTGCACCGGTTTGCCTGCCATTTGTTATACCCTACCGCCCTCCCCGTTCGCATCTTCCATACCTAATCCTTCAACATACCCTACCTCTACACCTTCTCGCCCTCGATCCGACAGAGGTTTGACCCTGTACACCCTCTCAACGCTCTCATTCCCATATGGATTGACTCCCCAGCATCGGCTGAGTCCACACTCTCCAAACTCGACACCCGTTTCTCGTAGTGATCGACCCGAGGTTCTCGAATTGCGTCACAAGCCGATCCCCAGCAAACTCCCACCGTTTGCGGTCATCGCGGTCCTACCAACGCCAGCCGTGCCTGCGTCTCGCCTACATCACTTCCGATTCCACCTGTTCCTTCGATATTACATCCTCCACCTCCCCTGTGTGTCTTCTACCGCACCCTCCAGAAGAAAAGCGCTCCCTTTCGCAAGATGCCGTCGCGCTTAAGTGCGCCCGTGCTGTCCTTAGACGCGGGTAAAATGCACGAAATCGACCCTTCCAATGCTTGCAGTTTGATGGCAATGTGGTCGATCTTCGCCAAATGCTCAGAGTCGTTGAAAGATGGTCCGCGATTAGAGAACATGAGTTGGCGGGTATGGTCGCGAGAGTCGTTGTGCGTCACTTCAATCGACTTGTCACCGGCCAGATCAAGCCAAGTACCGTCCTTGTCCAATTCCTTCTCCTCAGACGACAGCGTGAGTGAGAAAGATTCATGTCGGAGCAACTCTCGATCTAGATCATTCGACGCCGACGATAGCGATAGATCTCTCTCTAAATCACGACATCTAACCCCTCTCACGCTCGAAAAGATTGTGGTCACGATACAAGAAAAGACCGAACTATGTCCCTTGTCTCCTTCCATCGAAGCAAGTCTTCCGACCCTACCGACTACTTCTCAACTAGGGCCCCAGCCAGGGCCCAACTTTGAACCCACCACTGAAGCCGAGCCCAAACATATTCGAGATTCAACCGAGTCCTGTATATCAAACACTACCACCGCGACTACAAGTACTGCTCGTCAGAGTGATCACCGGGATTCCGACACTTCAGTCTCCTCGGACGGCCTCATCCGGAGTCAGTCCATTGTCCATGGATTCTCCCCGGTCACGTCTTCGTTTAGAAAGACAGCTAGTATTGTCCAACCTACGCCGCCCTCAAAACTCATTCCTAAAGCCAGAGCTTCGATCAAGCCTGCCATGTTCACCCTGGGCGGGTCCTCGGAAGATGACGAGTCATCCTTTGAGCAGAGAGTACTGACCCATAGACCCCCGCCTCAAAAGAGCTCGCTGTCTCAGAGCCTGAGCAAACCAAAGCTGGCGAATGGATCCACTGACAGACTGCAACCGAAAAGGACGTCTTTCCGGGATATCATCGCCGCACGACGCATTCAAGAGGACGCAGAGAATGATGAAGGCGCCATTGCTAGCAGTGACGAAGACGAAGATACGGATGAAGCGATCGAGTCCGCCATTGATGAAGATGAAGACGGAGATGAATGGGAGGACTCCAACTCGGATGATGGAAGGACAGTCCAGGAGCCTAATCTCTTCCGCAGAGTCGAGAGTCGTCCCGACTTAGTATCACGGAGGTCCATGTTGACGTTGGCTCTTCACAAAGGTCAAGGATGGGGGAACCATGCCTATTCACAGCCCGTGTTACATCGGCCTGGTGTGACAAGCCCACGGCGCAAGTCTGTTGCAGCCTCACCCGAAGAAGAGGATGGCATGATGATGCAAACGTCCAAGAGGCCACCCATCGCTATTCCTCCCCCCAAGGCCCCGTCAAAGGCCATGGCACATTCCCCACGAACCACGAGGCGCAACATGCTGGCCACCGAGCTGACCGAATCCTTGCGCAAGAATCTCCTCTGGGAAAGACAACAGAAGTCGCAGACCGCGAACGCCTTTCTCAAAAGAAGTCGGAATGCCCAAAGCATGGCAAATCTTCAAAGCCATAGCACTTCGACAGGCGGGCCCGCTCAGCCACCTGCGCCTCAGGAGACCTCCAAGAACAACTCCTGGAATCACTATTTCGACAATCCGTGGGAATACCATGCCAAGGGTTGGTAGAGGTCTTGACGCCCAACTGCCACCTCCCTCTAATATCTGCTGTTACCCTTGAATTTTTCTTCCCTGCGTTCTGAGCGGACTTACGTGCCTTTACGTGTTTGATGACCTTATCGTCTGGGTTATGGATTGACGGCCAAAGGGGTGGGAGAGGAGGGGGTTGCCCGCATCCATGTGACTAGACAGGCGCGTTTCGGGTGTTGGTACTTTTACTTCCACCGTGAGTAATGGAGTACTGGCCAGCTTCTGGCGGTTCAAAAGTGAGCAAAGATTTGGTGCGAATTGCGTGGACTGAGCTATTGCCCAGCTGTTGTCGCGGCCATCCAGAGCCTTGGGCAGAGAACAGGGGAGAGTGGATGACCCGGATCTGATGCTGTCTCTTCCTCATACCCCATCCTCCAACATGTACTATATCACGACATCTCGTACCTCGGCTAGGTACCTAGCAGTTTGGGCGGGAATTGCTGAGATGACGAGCGAAACGAGCTTTGTACGAATAACACCATAGTATGATGCCGTAACATAATCTACCATTGGCTACTGGCTGCGATTCCGTTGGATCCATTCTACATAATCGGTACTGCCACAGCAGTCTCGTATGCAGGTGGGAAGGCATCAGGTCATTTAATCCAAAAATTTAGAACTGTAATGCTACCGCCTGCGTGGCTCGACTACCTACCTAGGAGGTAGGTACCTCAGGTAGGTACTACAATAGTACCACGGTACCAGGCGAGGATGTACTCTGTACGTGCAGCACGTGTATCGACCCTCGGTTACAGTATGTAGATGGTCTAGAACCACGGGATCCGCGAATCCGGTCTGTCATTTGACGCCTCTGCTCTGTACTCTAGCAGTAGTAGGAAGAAAGATGGGGGAGAGAGTGGATTATCAGAACGTGCCATCGGCTGGTAATATCGGACCACGCGTGCAGTAGTTGTGTAGTGGTGGTTGTGAAGAATGTTGCCCGTGCATGGTAATCGAGAAGAGATTTACAGAGTAGGTACGGAGTACGGAGTATATGGTGGGCGAATTTACGGAGTAATAATGGCCAGGAGGGGTAGCTAGGTAAGGTAGGTACCTAGGATCCTCCGTACCTTGAGGTACCCGAGACCTTCCTCAGGAACCCTACCTTAGGTACCTACCTACCTACCTACATTTAGGTAGGTACCTTACTTAATTACTATCTAATAAGTAGCACCAGTAGGTAGGTACCAGGTGCTGATACTGCCTGAGCGTGACGCTGCCAGTCTCTGCGTAAGGGTACCTAGGTAAGTATGACGTATCGGCGTCCAGTTACTAATCACTCGGGGAAGAGACACCGAAGTGCATATTATTGAATGAGGTGAGTAACATAGGTACTCCGTACTCCTGGTGCTCTGGTACAGAGTTGCGTAGCTAATTATTTTATTATTTATGATTTCTGTCAGGTCGGCAAATACCAGTATAGAGCACACAGCACAAAGCACAAAGTACAGAGTACAGAGTACAAAGTACGGTACCAAAATGCACTCTTGGTATATCTTAGGTTCGCAAATCAGATCATCTGCAGGACTGTGCAATATGCCGGCATTATTGTGTCACTTCCAAACTTGAAGAGTGTGGCGTGTGGCTCGGCTCATAATGTTGGTTCACTGTTACTGTGCCTCCTTGGAATTAGAAAAATCAAAATCAAAATCAAAATGAATGAGCTGAGCGTAACGTCGCACTGCAAGGAGGCAAATAAATACATACCTTACCTGAGCTGCCGGCTTACAATCAATTAAACTGCCGAACGGTACAATCAATGCTACCTAGAGGTAAGGTAATCCATCATGTTCATCATATCTTGATGGCGAAAAGTCTTCACGACGCTGCAGCTGCAGCGCCAGGCGGCGAAAGATCCGGACTGGTGGACTGGAATCCGAATCCGAATCCCCATGATCACAGAAAATGCCAGGAAGAGAAGAGAAGAGAAATACTACCTTGCTGTGGAGAAGCAACGAAGCTATAGGTAGGTTGTACTGTAGTATGTCGTGAGGTAGGAAGGAGGTGTTGATACGATTCTAGATCTTGGATGGCCAGCACAGGTTGGTGACAGGTAACAAATACTGTAGCATCGTGCCTTGTCCACTGTGCGCCCCAGCCCCAAAGTCCAGACAAAACACCACACTACAACCTTACAGAGTGGTGAGAACCGAGGGTCTAGAAGAGCCACCAACTCCCGAAACCTATCGAGTATGTACATACTTTCGACCTCCACGTACCAAGGACGGATACAGTGATACCTTGCTCCTATGTAGGTACCTGGTCTTACATACTGTATAGGTGGAGTTGCTGACTGCCACCTAACTGCCTGTGTTCTAAAGAAAGACTACTTCGTACATATGCAGTGGCCCACATCGAGGTGGCTTTCCGCTGCCGTTGCAACGGTACGGGCCTTTGCAGCAGGCTGCTGTATGTACTGTGCAGAGTATACTGTTCTTGCCCTGCAGTAGGTCAGTGCCATAATACTACACAGTTATCCGTACACTGTACACCGTCGTGTCGCCTGTGCAGAACTATTGTAGCCAACGGGGCTTGTGCCCGGCTTCGATCAGGACCCAACCCCTAATGGCCATGTGGAGATGCACTCTCCTGGTATGGGCAAAGGAAAAAGCGAAAAGAGAAAAAGGACAATGGATCAACACGCGCGGGGGCAGGGCACGCTGTTTGCGAGAGTAGAGTCGGACAAACGAAATTGGATGTGCAGTTCAAAGGTGGAAGGTCACACTGACCTGAGATGGACGGCACCAACGGCATTCAAAATGGCCACGCAAGGCCGAGTGAGTACTCTCTAGGGTCCCTGTCCCTGCCTCCCTCCCAACCCGTGATGGCTCGTTAGGCCAGGCAGATGCCAGCGCATACTGTAAATCTGGGGGGCGAGGCCAAGGATTGTCTCTCATGCCCAAGGGGCGAGAGGAGAGCATCGCTCGTCAGGTCAGACACGTCCAAAGCACCCGGACTGGGTCAGGCGGAGTTTGTCTCTAAGCCGGCCGGGGCAAGATAAGGATGACCATGGTCCAAACAGCCTGAATGTTGGTCTTGTGAGGCTGTGATCGGTGACATGTGGGAGCCAGAAATCCAGAGGGCGCATCCTCCTACGGTAGATAGGTGGCAGGCTCGTGCCAACCGACTCACCGCTCATCGGTCGATCAGTCTACAGGCTAAGAAGCGTGTCTGCTTGCCAAAGTCAGCTGGCAAGTTTCGGTGCCCGACGCATTATTGGGGACTACAGGGCTGCTGCCTGCCAGGAGGCGATGAACATGGACATGGCCCGCAGGCAGAAGAGCAGGGTACAGAGTCAGTGAGATTGTCATTCCAGGAGGAGCATATGTCGGCGACGCAGGGTGATGGCGTGCTACATGGGGGTTGCACAAGCAGGCACGGTCAGCCGTGTGCTCAACAATCCTGCAGCAGGAAGATCCGGCGTCTGACTGTTCGAGTGATGAGCAGCTAACTGGACCTTGCGATAGAGCTTCGACCGGATGAGGAAGGAGTGTGAGCTTGATGCAACACTGCGTAGTCCGTACAGTAGTAACATGGTACTCCTGCCGGACATGGGGATTCGAGGGGGGCTCTTCAGGCCACGGAACCTGCAGGGGTCGGGTTCCGTGGGGATGGGTCAAATGAAGCGATAGGGAGGAAGGGGAGAGGAGTACGGAGTACGGATACGTACATGGTAACATGGTGTCCCCCATACCTTGTTTGTGTTCAAGTTGTGCTCATCAAGGGGGTGTGGGGAGGATCCGTGTTGTACCCCCAGATAGTAGATAGCTACCTGGTAGACACTACGTAGATATCGACAACCATTCCACGTGGGATGGCGCGAACGGCGAGTCAACCGCCAGAAAAAGGAAGCAAGTCACTTGCAAACAGCGCATCAGTCATCGGATAGAGCTACAAGGATGCAGGTTGGTTTGCACCAGGTAAGAAGGTAGTGGAGGTGGCTTGATGTTCCCTGGCAGACGGTCACACACTGCGTTTACAGTACCAGGTATCTACCTACAGTACTCCGTATATGTACCTTATGGATGGCGAGTACGACAAGGCAGGAGCTGGTACCATAAGCATGATGTTTACTATACTCCGTACTCAAGAAGATTAATTATATAACATTGTCCTGAGGATATACTCGTGATATCCCCGGGAGCTTATACATATAGGTACCTAGGTAGTTAGCCCCTAAGCCTATAAGCCCCAAGTTTCACGGGTAGTTTAGGGGAGGCGGCCCGCCTAGAGTTGTCCCAGTTACTGTAATAGGCAACTGGTGCTACCTATAGTTGTCTTCAGTCATCGAACTCGACCGAGTGAGTCACCGTGACCTGCTCTATAGAAGTCATACAGTAAATTATCTCCTACCACCTACTACCCACCTACTACCGGTACCTATAGGTGGCGCTACAGTTAAAGCTTAAAGGTACTGTACCTAAGCCCAACCCAGCCCGCAGGAAGTCTACACTGTACGGATACAGTGCAGTGCAATCCATCCTTTTTCCTCCTACCTGCTGGTCACTTGACCCGGTTGCCTGCACATCGCTCCCTCTCCTCTCTCGTGTGCTGGTCGTTTGCTCACCGTTTCGCTTCACCTCGATCCTCATTGCTCCTTGGAACCGGGCACGATACCTCGACCTGGACCTTCTCTTCTCCTGCGCGAAACTAGTCGTCATAGTCGTCTAAGCGAAGACATCTATCAGGCGACCAGCAAGACTGCAGTCACTCATCCTCCTCCTCGCCAGCCGTCGTCGTCATCGGCGCCAGCTCATCAGTCCATGTCACCTGAAGGGCCCAGCCGCAATAGTAAGCCCGCATCCGCGTCTCAATTTCCTTTTGCCCCAGACCAAACCCTGCCATACCGGCCACCGTCTGCTTCCGGGCCCGAATCTCCAGGCACCTCCACATCGAATCCGCCTCGGGTCTGGGGTGATGGCTCGGGAGGCGTGATCGTGATGGCTCAGCCGGTGAAACACTGTCCAGCGATCATCTGATTGCTTCGCTGTCCCAATTTATTCTTGGTTACCGTCTCACAAGTTTAGGCAGCGACCAACCAAACGTCCAACTGGCTCGGCCAGATCCTCCTCAGCCTCGGCCTGCCCCTGATTCGAACCCGGCTGAACGGCGGCCTCAAGTTTGTCGCTTCTTCAATACAAGCAAAGGTATGTGACGGTCTGTCTTTTACACTGCAATTTTCTCATTGGACTCCCCTCCGTAAAAAAAGACTTGGAAACCAAACAAAAGATTCCCTCGATGGCTCGCTTAATCGCCCAAAGCCCAGAGACGGGACGAAGGGTCCCGCCCCATGTTCGACGGACATGCCGCCTAGTCAAATCACCGGACATGGTGTTCATGCAATCTGCAGAACTGTTGATGCTTGATTGTTCGTTGCTCCAGATTGCTGACACTGTCTCGCTTTCATAGGATGTCGCGCCGGGTCCCAATGCCCCTATCGACACGTTCAACCTAAGGATCAAGTGAAAGCCACCAGGCAGAAACATGAACGTCCACACAACAGCGATGCTGCTGGCTCGGCTGTCACAGAACAACGCACTCTTCCCAACCGCCCGAGGGAATCCATCTCAAAACCGGCTACGGTTGAAAAGCCTCTCCCGCAAGCCCAACGCACCAATCCACGTGAGTTTCAGATCAATCAAGTGATCAGAAGGTGGTCTCCCGGCCGCAAAGAGATCGACGATGCGACACAGCTGGCACTCTCCCTGAAGCCATCCGACCCGGATTTTCCCTTCGAACTTGACGGCTTGCAATGTACCCTGACTGTCCCGACGTCCTACCCTGGAAATGGAGCGCCCACAATCCGAGTCACAAATGCTGAGATGGCACGAGGCTACCAGATCAACGTTGAAAGAGGGTTCGACAGCCTCGTCGAGCGGTCGCCTGGAAAGACACTGTTGGCCTTGCTCAACGATCTGGACAAAAATCTCGAGAAGTTCTTAACGGCGGAAAGGGCAAAGACCATTAAGATTGTTGTAAACGCCAACAAGAGCGCCAAGGTCCCCAATCCCGTCGACCAAGCGGCTCCCAATCCCATTCCGCCACCCACCTCGGTGATCCCTCCACCCCCGGCCTGGACTCAACAGCAGACGGCCGATGCGCTGGCCAAGAGACAGGCAGATATTCGTCAACTTGAAGCTCGCATGGGTCATGTCTCAGGCTTCTCCAGAAGCTCCGATGGAACAAGATTTAACATCCCCGTCCAATTAGCAAATTCTGGTAAACTTCCTCTGCCTTTACAGCGTTTCAAGGAAGTCACCTTGATAGTACCGAAAATGTACAACTTGGAGCACTGTACCGTCCAGTTGAAGGGGGTCACTGGTACGGAGGCGGAAAACGTCGTACTCGGCTTCTCAAAGCATGCTCAAGAACATCCCAACATGACGCTGATGGCGCATATCAACTACTTAATTCAGAGCATTCATACAATGGCTTCGGAGGCTGTCCAGAAGGCGACCTTGCCACTGACCTCTTCAGAGCCTCAACATCCACCCTCCGAGCAGCCTACAGCTACGTTGGACGATGAAGAAACAGAACCTGAGGCCAACATACTGGACCCAGAGCGCCCGCACATCAAGGTCATCCCGCGGCCTCCAGAATGGAACCGGCACCACTCACAGTCTGAGTCTGAGTCTGAGTCTGAATCATCCTACGCGTCTGACGACTTCACTGGCTCTGAAGCCGAAGAGGAAGAGGAAGACGAAGACGAAGAACAGGCTGAGCAAGGTGGTGCTACCCTTCCAGCATCGTCAACATCATCGGAGAAGGGCATTATCCTTTTCTTCCCCAACTTAGAGATCTACAACATAGAGCTCTTAGCCCTCGTCTCTTTATCGCTCTCGGTGAAATGCCTGCGCTGCAAATCTCCGTTGGACATTGCCAACATCAAGCCTAACAATACGACCGACTCGACAAACACCCCAACCCTGGCTTCCAGCGTGCGCGCTGAAACCTGCCTCAAGTGTACTACTCCATTCACCATCTCATACACTTCGAATCTTTTACATGCCAACTCGGTGCGCGCCGGCACCCTGGAGGTGACCGGCTGCACGATCGCAGACATGCTTCCCAGTGTTTTCCAGCCGACATGCTCGTCCTGCTCGACGACATTCCCTGTCCCGCCCGGGATGATCTCCGTCCGCGGTGATACGCCCATCCAGGTCTGCCGGGCCTGCCACGCCAAAATGACCTTCACCATCCCGGAAGTCAAGTTCCTGCGCGTGTCGCATCCCACGGCGGCCTTACCATTGCGCCGGCCCAAGAAAGAGTCCCTTGGCATCTCCGCGGGCACGGCGCTACCCCGGAATGGCGCGTGCTCACACTACCGCCACAGCTATCGCTGGTTCCGCTTCGGCTGCTGCGGGCGTGTCTACGCGTGCGACCGCTGCCACGATGCCGCCGAGGCCCATGTAAACGAACACGCCGACCGTATGATCTGCGGCTGGTGTAGTCGCGAGCAACGCTTCAGAACTGAGGACTGTGGTGTTTGTGGAAAGAGCGTGATTCGCCGCCGCAAGGGCGCCGCCGGGTTCTGGGAAGGCGGGAAAGGCACGCGTGATAGAGGGCTGATGAGTAGAAAAGAACGGAGGAAATACAGACGGCCTCCTGGCGGGACGCTGCCTGCGAAGAAGAAGACTAAAGGGGGAAAGTAGGCATGGACACTACCTAGGAAGATATCAGAAGTGTCTTTCTTGATCAAGCCCTGGTACTCATGTTACGCCACCGTAGCCTTGCCTGACCTTGGCCTTGATCTTGGATCTAGCCGTTAGGGTGTGGCTTTTGCAGGTCAGGTCACGACCGCTCCGCTACCTGCATCTGCATACTGTATGCCGGTAGCCGTCGTGCCGTGGCCCATCTGCTTATGTTGTTGCTGGTTTCTGCCTGATGGCACGTTGCGTCTCGTCTGATTTCATTCGTTTGCTTGACCTTGACCTTGACCTCCATATTCACGTCCACATCCACATCCACCTTCAGCAAGATCCATCCTGCTGACAGCCCCTGCTGGCAGCAGAAGCACTTCTCCACCTTCACCTTCACCTTCACCTGCAGAGCACTTCACCGCTTCTCGCTTCCCGCCTTTCACATTCACTTTCAACCACCTTCCAAGGAGTCAAGTATTCATAATCAATATCGCCAAAATCGGCTCAACAATCAAGTCAAGTCCAGTCCAAAGCCACGAACTTCTCCAGACGACATTTGGCCAGTGTAGTGCAGTGGTGAGCACGTTTCGTTGTGGCATGCCATACGGAGTACATACATCGATCAGGCTGGATCGCCTCTGCTCTCGGCTGTGCTTTCTCAACCTGGTTCTTGGGTCATCACTTTCAACGGGCCAAATGGGTTGAGTTGGATTGCCAACGTGAGTCAGAGTGTGAGAGAACAGAACTGGTCGATAGTAGTGCGGCAACCTGAGCTGCAGTTCCGAAGAGACCTCAGTTCGAATCTGAGCACTGGCAATGTCAATGTCGGTCTTTATTTTTGGCTGTCTGTTTGTTTTTGGGCCTTTCCTGCCCCTCTTTTTTGGCCCTTTCCTTCGCCTCAGTCCTTGTGCATCTCTGCGCCCCTTTCCTTGGCCTTGGTTCTCCTGCCTCTCGGCGCCCCTTGTACCCATGTTGGAACCAGCGAACGTGTGTCGAGGAAGAGCGGTCCAGGAAGTGTTTGAACTTTGGCCTGGAGAGGATGTAGGACTGTAGAACCCGAGAAAGACCTCCGACCTCCGGAGGGCCAGATTGAGCCCATATGGCTTTCAAGACCTACTTAGCTGGATGGTCCAACAGTACGCCAGAGCATGCATGTTCCCTGGTTGCAAGCTTCTGCGTGACAGATTATGTCATCTACATATGACAACAGGCACCTGGTGTGGCACCTGGCAGCCGCTTGACGAGAGCATGAGGAAGAGTCCGAGAATCTGGCCTGTTGGACGGATGGTTGTCCCGATGTGACTGTTTGCATTCAGATCGATCGGTCTTGTGGATCGAGCATGCCGTCTAGTGGTCCCCCTCATTTGAGTTGCCTAATAGTCTAGTCAACAATCGAGGGCCGACATGGTCGAACCCATGGCTAATCTAGGCAAGGCAACTGAGTTACTCTTGAGGGCAATTTGCCGACTTTTCATGGCCCAGCACCAGCTGGATATCTTTTCCGCTCCGCCTTCACAAGATCCAGACAAGAGGGCGGTGGATCCGGGGTGGGACCAGTGGAATCGGAGGGTTGAGACATCCATTGGGGCCACGCATTTGCAGACCCTGCGGACGTTGATGGGAAGAGATCGATCAACTAAGGGACTTCAACGCCTGAGGTCGATCAACTAAGGGAGGAAGTCCTTGCAACTACATGCATCATGGTCTCGATGTCATGATCCCAGGGGGATGAAGGAAGCTGGGTGGTCCTTTGCACCTGGCACTTCACCACCCTCGCCATCTAACCCACACGTCAATGATGTTGTCGGGAGAGTCGCTGCTCGAATCCACAATCAGATACCAACCAAACTGAGCCAGCGTGATGCAGGCATGGTTCGGCCAGATGCGAAGCTTCTGTCCATATTCCAGAGGAAGCCGGGCGTTTCGGGGATTCGTTTGCTCAAACCCCAGAATGCCATGCTCTTGACTGATGCGGGTGACGATAATGCGATCTTGTTTGGTGGTGCTGTCATCCTCCGGCATGTTCCAGGGACTGACCACGCCCCAGCCGGGATAGTCCTTACACGGCTCTCTGGCGAGGGCCAGCACGCCAGCCGAGACAAGAGCTTCGGGCTGCTCGGTCCGCTGCGGATACAGCGAGCAAACCTCGGCCAGCACCGAGGCTGCAATGGTGTCGTGCGGATCCGATGTGAAGTGCCGACTGCTTGCAGCCACCTGCTGCAGGTCGAAGATAGGGTAGACTCCGGCATGGACCTCGAGTTCGAGGTTGGACTTTGTCAACTCCAACGTCTCTTTCAGAGCGGCGGCCGAGGCCGAGGATGACGAACTGGAGCTGGAGCTGGAAGGCTGGATGTTCTGCAAGGACAGAGCCGTGGGAGACGCGCCGACCGAGACCACCAGCGGCGTCTGGTGATGGCGTCTGAAATGCTGCGAGGCCTGCTTGCACACGTCGATCTCCAACTTCAAAGTGTCCATGGCGTCGTCTGGAGACGATCCGCCATAGCTGAGGCTGTTGTGAGAGTAGAACCCGACCATGTGGAGAAAGCCTTGGTCTTCGCCTTTGGCGACTTGCTGCACCAGATCCATCATCTCGCTGGAGGCAGGGGCCAGCCCGGCTCGATGGTATCCCGAGTCGGTCTTGATGAAGACAGAGGCGGGAAATCCAGCTTGCCCTTGGAACTCCTTCAGCGCCTCCAGTTGGGCGGCATGGTCGACCATGACCGAGACCGAGCCTGCGCCCAACTGGCGCGCCACAGCCGCAAGTCGAGGGACGTGGGAAGAGCCCAAGGGCACACCGTACAGCACATTGATCTTCGCGCCCCGGGCTTGGTAGTCGGCCAGCAGCGGAACCAGGTGTTCTGCTTCAATGACGGTCGACACGATCAACCGCACATCCTTGCACTCTTCCCCGACTTGCAGTCGCGTGAGTTCCAACGTTTTGTGAGTCTTGACATGGGCGCGGAGACTGACCCCAACCGCGTGCACGGCGGCGAGCATGGCCTGACAGTTCGCCTTCACCTTGGCCACGTCGATCACAGCCGCTGGCACCGGGACCTCGCGGAGAGAACGGTGCCGGTAGGCTTCCAGCAACGCCCCTTTGGCCGGGACGGGAAATTTCAGCAGCGACATGCTGTCCTTGGTCCCTTGTTCGAATGTGGCTGACGGAGTATCCGTAAAGTGGCCACTGGCAGGAGGAATGTGGTGATTTCCCTCGACGCGTGTCTTGTGTGTAGGACCTAGGTACGTACCTTACTGGGCACTCCGCTCTAGATACCTACAGGTAAAGGGTCAGGGTACTCCGTACAGTAAACGCATACAGGCCTGTGTATATCGCACGCAGCCAAAACGCCGTCGGACTTTACAAAGGGTATAGAGTAAAGGGTAACGGGTAAAACGCACACAGGGGACAGGGGGGTGTGTGTGTATCTCAGGTAAAGTTGTTGCTGGAAATCCGCGCCTTAGGATTACCTACGGTTTAGGTATAGTCGCCGACTAAGAAAGGCTTGGGAGGCTCCATGTAGTACGCCGCCGCTTTTAACCAATAGCCTTAGTACGGAGTACTCCGCCGTAGAACCTAGATACCTATATATATATACCTAGGTATATATACGTATATACATTTACACGACTATCTGTGCGAGTCATTACTTCCCAACGTCTCCATCACCATCCTCCCTCGCTGTGGCGGTCCGGATTCTCTCCGATCTCCATTTGGAGGCTCCAAAAGGCTACGATGTCTTCAAGATCGTCCCAAAGGCGCCCTACCTGGCGCTGCTTGGCGATGTGGGAAACATTACGATCCACAAGGACGACTATCTTGCCTTTTTGACCCTCCAGCTCCATCAACTCCGCGCTGTGCTCTTCGTCCCCGGTAATCATGAAGCGTATCACTCTAACTGGCCTGATACCCTCGATATTCTTCGCACTTTCGAACAGGACGTTCACAAGAACGAATCGCTGGGAGAGTTTGTCCTGCTCGACCGTGCGACCTTCTGGCTGCCAGGCACGAACGTCGCTATCCTGGGTTGTAGCCTCTTTTCTTCCATCCCGGTCGAAGATCAAATGGCTGTCAGCATGAGGCTCAACGACTTTTTCCAAACTAGTGACTGGGATGTCGGTAAGCATAACCTGGCGCATAAGCGGGATCTTGCTTGGCTCAATGCGCAGGTCGTCGACCTTGAACGATCCGACGTCAAGATCATGATCCTTTCGCACTGGAGCCCATCTCTGGATGTTCGTGCAATCGATCCGAGGCATCTTGGGAGTCCTATCACGAGTGCTTTCTCGACCGACTTGTCTGATGAGGCATGCTACAAGAGTGACAAAGTCAAAGCTTGGGTATTTGGGCATACACACTATAACTGCGATTTTACAGTGCAGCGGGAGGGTGATGCTGAGCCGTTGAGGCTACTTGCGAACCAGAGGGGGTATTACTTTGCCCAGGCTGAGGGTTTCGACGGAGAGAAGACTGTTGAGGTTTGACAAGAGATAACTGGATACGTATAGGTATGGACTACTAATATCACAGCTGCCGGGACAGGGCAACGCTTGACACTGATGTATATCAGCTGTTAGGACGCTGCTTTTTGACGAACTATTTGGCAGCCGGGAAGGGTCCTGACGGCTCAAAGCAATGATAGCAATGATACTACGTACTTGAAGTTGTTGTCGATGGCGTCGATAATGCTTAGGCTAGAGTTAGGCGCTAAACTTAGGGTAGTAAAGGCATCCGTTCTAATACACGATTCGTTGCTCCAAAGGGGACCGTTTCTGGTCCTTCTAAAGTCGGCATGAGTGTAGGTGAGTGGGAAGTCAACATTGAAGTCTACAACAAGAGAAGACCAGGGTCGGCGTTCTACTGTAAATTAATCTTGCCAGCTGCTGCCAGTGATGGAGAATTCCGCCAGTCTGACAGGAGTTCGGCTTGTGAAGCGAGATCGCGCATGGACGCCTTACCATGAACCCACCCCTTTTTTTTCCCGCCCCTTGTACGTCGAGTTTTTAGGCCGGTTGATCTTATAGGGTGTACGCCGTACGGATACTGGGATGTGTATCCGTACTCCGTAAGGACTAGGGCTAATGCTCATTATAACGCTCATTATTTGAGCATTTTCGGGTGCAAGAGAATACACACCAGACGAAGACATCTGAATGCCGCAAATTACACCTTGATGGTTTCCTTCTCGTGTCGACGTACGTCTTCTTTTCCTGAACTCTGGGAGACATGCCGGCCAGAAAAGAGGAAATCGGTCGTTGATGGCATTCATGGGGAGGGAGGGATTTATCGAGGCCCACGAGGCCCATGAGGTCCTCTCCTTGCTCAAGATTGCTCTTTGCAAAACACGTGTGGATCGACTGATGCTAAATAAATGCACGCATATTAGTACGTACGTAGTACAGAGTACCATGTGCGTGGACATCTCTCTCTCTCCTCCGTCCACATACCTCTGCAGGGTGGAAGCTGGCACAGTCAGGCAGGCATCCTTGTTCGATTCATCTTCGGAACCCTGAACAACGTGCCATGGCCCATCAAGGAGTCACGCATAGCTGCTAATATAGCTAATATAGTGCCTGATCGCCCTCGGTCCGGTGCCTCGGCTGGCGTGGTTCGGGGGTTTGCCAGCCTATCGTCAACGCCACGGAACGGCAGGCCGCGTTTCACCATCCCCCCCGGCATATCATGGCCAATCTGCGTCGGCTGTCGTGTGCTTCTAAGCTTCGAACAGTCCGAATCACTACTCACTACTATCTTAGTACTCCATCCTGCTACAGGATTCACCATACCACACTGCGGCCCCGAAACGTTGAAACGATGCCATTGCTTACCCTGTCCCCCGGCCCCCATGGCTCTCAGAATTCACCTGATGAGATGAGCACCGAGTATCCTCCCTCTCAGGATCGTCCCTCTGGCATCCTGAGCAGGGCACCAACTAGCAGTTTCCACCCATCGTTGTTCGTCTGCTACTCGTATTCAGGTTGACCATTCTGCCCCTACTCCCTCCATTGACCTACCTCTGTCGATCGTCCGCCCTGCTGATCCTACCGTGTACCACTTCGGCTCATAACATCTTCGACCTTCGGCCATTCGACCACACCGTCTCTGATCTGTCCCTCTGCTCTTTGGTGATCACAAGCGTCTAGAGCCGATCTCTGACAGGTGCAGAACACACCCCGCATTGCACAGACATCGTCTCAGCTTGCAGTACGGAGGACCCCATCGACTTGATCAACCGAAACTCTTTCGCGAAGGAACTCCTGGAAGCACGACACAATCAAGAGTGGGCATACATATCCACGGTGGTATGGCACTGTCGGAAACACTGGGTGTACTCGGACCATGAATAAGACCGCCAAAGAGTTTTCTTGGGCAGGGCAAAACGTCGGCGATCTCCTCCATTGACAATCTTCTTCGATGACCTCGAGGCCCCCTTTGACGTCGGACCCTAAGGCGAAGCCAACATGTCTTCCGTCAAAAGTAATAGTGACAGACAGACGCTTGTGTCTCCACCGGCACACCCGGTACCACAACTACAGAAACCCTTCGAGGAGTCAATGATGGAGTCGGTCAACAACCAGTTGGACGAAGACGTGCCAGCGGACGCAATTACCAGAAGAACCATGCTTCTGGAGGCGCCAACCTATGAACGGGTAATTGCTGGCAGATGGAAGCAGAAGCCCGGAGAAAGATACCATCCACTTTGGAAACTCGTGGCACAAATGTCATTTGGGATGCATCTGTTGGCAAAGCATATGGCAATATCGGAAGAAGAGGTAATGAGGATATTACAATCCCACGTCGACGACATCGACGGGTTTCTGGAGCGCACCACTGAGGATTTTGATCTCGCCCAAAGCGACATCCACGAAAGATTACGCTGTCTGAAACTCCCTCTGGCACATGGAGACGTGTTTGACCGTATGTTGGAAGATCGCTCCTTTCGGGCATCTATCCTAGATGGCAACGAAAAGATTGATCATGTCATCAGTCGAACCAAGAGGGCCGCAAAGGACGCCTTGAAAGACGTGCAGAAGGGATTTGACGCGACCAATGTACTGGAAAAATACCTCACGAAGCTCGACTCTACGTGGAAAAGAGAATCGCCCGAGCACGAGGCCGTACTCGTCGCTATGCTTGGAAATGTGGAAGGTTGGCGTCGCGCATTTCTAGAGCTACATCTTCAAGGCAACAAATTGGCAGGATCTCTGATCAAACTCGCCGAAATTGTCTCTGAAATGGAGCGACGGGCTGCCGCTGTCAGCAGAAATATCGTTGTAGGTGCTCGCATACTCTCCTCCAATCCACACCTCTAACTTTCGGCAGGCTAAATCACAGAGATATTCACAAAAAAGTGGTCGTGCACTGTCTCAAGCTGCCTCTGGTATTGACCAGAAGCCTTTGCCGTCTGAACCTGGCCGGCGTCTTTCGACAAGACCTTCCTCCCGGGCTACACAGCTTGCCCAACTCTCTACCTGGCCCAATAGCGGCCGAAAATCGGGTCAAGGCTTGATCGCCTATTCACAATCCGGGAGTGGCCAGTCCCCACGATCCTCCGACTCCAGGAGGAGCGTCAGACCCAATGTTGGCGAGCAATCTTTCACCTCCCCGGCAAGGGCATCAGGCGAATCCTCTGTACGGCATGTCACGCAACGTGCGCCGGACGTTGTCGACTCTCTCAGAGAGGCTGGGAACAATCATCCTATCGAGCTTCCTGCAGACGTCCCTGACAATATACTTCGCCAGGCGCCCGTTTCAGTGAAGAACCGATTGAGTATGACTCTAGGTCTCAAGCCTAGAGATCTTTCAGAACATCGGGTCTCCAGCATCTACTACCCAAAGGCATTGGGAGATTTGTTAAAGTCTTCTGCAATGTCATCTTTACGATTAACGCCACAATCCTCGCAGGTCAAAGCCACCCCGGTGGTAGCCGTCAGTTCCCCGGTTACCGTGTTAGGGGGAGAAACAGATCACTATGAGGAAAGCCCGACACTGGGAATGATCACCCCAGAGAGCAAGAATGAGCTGCAATCAAGCCGCAATTCTCATACCACTCGAGAATCTGCCCGCGCTTCTGCCCGCGCCTCAGTAGCCGGGTCATCACCGGCAACACGGCGGTCATCTGTTCCTAACGCAGCTTTTACCTCGCACCCTGTTGTGATGGCTATGGCTTCACCGCCAGCAGAGCTACCTTCAAACACTGAATCTGACAATGACTCTTCCTCTAAGCATAGAAAAGACTCGAACCCTGGCAGCCTTGGGGAACCCGGACCGGAAATGGCAGAAATTACTACAAGGCCGACATCTCCATCTGAATCCGACTCTAGATCAGGATCTAGGTCAAACGTCGGTGTTACCCTCGGCGGCGATGCGACCACCCCAGCCCCTGCTGAAGAGACATCTGCAGCCTTACTGCAGGAAGATGAAAAGCCTGCGCAATTGGACCCGGACGAGCAGGCGAATCGGCGTGAAGGGTTGGATGAAGAGGTCGTCTCACCAGCTGCAGTAACCCAAATTCCCACACTAGAGGATGACCGAGGCGAATCGGGAATCGACCTCGCCAAAGAAGCTGAAGAGGGAATCAATGTCAAGACAGTAGTTCCAAGAGCGGACCATACAAGCTCAGAACCGCAGTCTATCGCCGAGTTAGAAGCATTCGTTCCCGAAGCACCAAACACACAGCCAGAGAGAGATCCTGGTCCTGTGGAGTTGGAAGCCCCCATTCAAACCTTCAGATTACCCCCAAGGCCACTCGAGGCATTGAGGAATCCTGAGAAAGACGTTCTCCGGGCCAGCATAACACAGTTGGATGACTTTTTCAAGTTACCGACAGAACATGCGATTAGGCCTGGAATGAAACCCAAGGATTTTGGCAATTCAGACACCCCGCAGCCGATTGGTCCTTTGAAGCTGAAACTCGCAAAGAAGGATGGGAGAATAGTGCCAGTCCAGATTGATGGCGGCCCAGAAGAGTCTCAACATACGGGCATCCCAAGTTCCAAGTTGAGGATAAACGTTGTTGCGGATCTGATTGAGACGATGTCACAGACGCCACCAGGATCACCCATCCATTCCAGATCTCACTCATCAGCTTCGAACAACTCAGGGCAACAACGCTCGCATCGATCATCACGGTCCTTGGGGCCTCCTGAGCAAGCACCAGCACCCCCTGGACCTGGAGGCCGCTCCATGGTCAGCCCCGATTTCGCAGCAGCTGGTCAATTTGAGGGGGAAAGAAAGCAGAAGAAAAAGTTCCGCACTGGCAGCAAAAGCGGTTGGAAGAGTTTCTTAGGTGGGAACGCAAATGCGGCTGAAAGCTCAAGCGCGTCATCTGCTTCACCCTCGGAACACAGTAAGGGCACCAGTCGATCCGGCGTGGAGCCTGTGCCGAATGCAGACACAATGACAGCATCAGGTAAGGATCTGGCCTGGTTCCGCGGCGATACGAAAAAGGCCGTGGGTGTATCGTAGGGTTATTACTAGAATATGACTTTTTCTTAATTAATCGGTCAACAGTCTTTGGTGGTGCTCTTCCTTTCACGAATACCTAGTAGATACGGACTGTAGATTCTGGTATTCTGGGTGACAGACCTTGCTGAGGTACTTTACCCAGGACATATGTGGGAAAAATGGTAGGCCGAATACGTGTTGAGGTAGATGTCTCGACGATTCTAGATCTTTTGCAGGAAGGACCGTAGGCCACGAAAGGAGACGGTGAGATGATCGTTGCAAGGGATCTTGAGACAGATGAATTGTCTGTTGCGGTACATCGAGTTTTAAGAGTTAGCCTGAGAGAAGGCTGAGGCCCTGGTTACAGTGTTTGCGGTATGTATGGCGGCGGCGGCGGCGATGGTGGTGGTGAGGGCAGACGCGGTCTGCGGGGGAGAAGGACACGGACTTGGTTTGTCGGAGTCCATTTGGCGTTTGGCTTTGGCGTTTGGCTTTTGGACTCCAACTTTGGAGGCGTCGGCGACTTGTCAACCTCCCTCAGCTCGTTCTCGACCCAAGAATGGTCCGGCCCGGACTGCGCTCTGTTAGATCATCATCTCCACCACCGAACACACTGCTCAAGCCATCCTCACCCTCAAGTATTTGTTGCTCATCTTTATCATCTCTCCCCGCCTGCTGAGCAGGACCTCATTAGCAGCAAAGGCTTTCCGAGCTCGTCGACAACTCCAGCCTCTTGTCCGCCCGTCCGCGGCCCGTGGAGACACTTCTCCGCCTCGACTGAAACCCCCCGTCGCTACACAAACTACCACTGCTATCCGACTTTTACCAGCTGCTCAAGGCCCTCAAGCAGACAAGCCGCGATGCTCGACCAGCTACGATTCGTCGCTCCCGTACCTAATTGAGACGTGCTCGACATCTTTGAGCAGGCCGCACAGACAGATCCTCGAGTTGTCGGGTGCCTCACGAATCTACGATCTCGAGTCCTACAACTTGCCAGTTGCGCGCTAGAGCATGGTCATTGTAACAATCTTCGCACGTTGCGAAACCCGCACCAAGTTGGGAGTGATCATGATCTGAAGTTCCCTGCCGGAGGACAAATTGTCACCTCATACAAGTGTTCAGTGCTGTCAAGAAGAGAAGGTATGCTTTATACTCGCTCTCTCAAGGCTCGTGGAATTTCTGTGTTCGTGGGGTCTGTTGTTCCAAGGTCAGCCGGTTTCTGACGAAGCGGTCAACTTCTCTCTACGACGTATGTTCTGGCCCTTGCGGTCTTCACCGCCGTTGCCATCCGGGAGCGTTCGTTGTGGGCTACGAGGACAAGTTTCTCAAAGACCAATGTCATAATGTTTGTTGGTTTCGAGTTGCGCACCGGCTAACGAGGGTTCTCTAGGGTAGGTCGAGTCGTCCTTGAGCGTTTCTCTCCCGTATACCACTCCTGCATGCGATAAGACAGCACGGTCTTGGGAGGAGTACCAGCCTACCATCCCTTATCTTCATCAGCAGCCATGGCTATCTTCAGTCCTAGCTCAGCCTCGAATCTCGAAGGCCGCCAGCAGCCTGCTCATCAACAGGCCACTACCGCTGATATCGCCCCTTGGCCGAGTAGACCACCCAACGAGTTCGATATAGCTCCTTGGGAGCGAGATCCTCAAGCACAAATTGGCGGCACTCGGCCCTTCAATCAATCGCACTTCAATGGACCTCGTGTCGGTCGGGATGACCAAGATCCGTCGATGCGACCAGATACGGCAAGGACGACTATCTCGGACTCGCCTGACTTCGATGGCGACGCACGGCGGCCTTCAATAGCCAGCGCCACGACGATCAGTAGCACAGGCTCGAAAGGCAGTGCCGCCAATGGACGGTATCACAAGAGCTTGAAGGGGTTTTTTGGCGAGGATCCGACGGATTCAAGGCTAGGGTCGGCGGCAAATCTGCCCGAACAAGAAACTCAGGTCGCTCTCTTAGAAAAGCCGTCGCAACGCAGCAACTCCGTGCAGACCCAGACCACGGTGGATGACAGACCCAAGACACCAGCACCTCCTCCTTCCAGCGATGTCACGCCCTGGGCTTACCAGAACTTCGAGGACGTTTCCAATTTCGGCTCCGCGCCTGTACGGCAGGTGCAACAGAACGACTCTCTGCAGCCTGAACATCCTGCCACGTCGTCCTATCGACGTGGCCTCCTTCATCGCCACACACGGAGTAAAGAGGACCCACCAAAAGGCCTGCAAGCTCCTACGCCTGTTCCGAAGAGACCGTCTACCAGTCGGGAATCCTCCACCACTAATTTAGGCTACTTCCGCAACACTCCCCTGAACACCACACCAATGAGCTCCTCTACGACGCTGAATCGCAGCGCTAGCCCAGCCCCAGGTTCTCGTAAGGAGAACTCTGCTCACCCAGAAAAGAGGTCGATATTTGCGAAACTTAAATCGCGACACAAAGACAAACAATCACAGCAACCCGAGCCTATCAGAACGAACGTGGACCCTGTCAGGTCGTCGGACGAACAGAAAAAGGGCAGAACACAATCATCACGATCCACGGACACACATGTCACCGACAACAAACGGGACAGAGAGACAAGTGTAGCGTCTACGGATAGCGTCTCTACAATTAAGCCCCCCGATCCGTCACCGAGGATCGACCGAACATACACCTCGTCATCAAAATCTAGTAGATTCACTCGTCATGGCAAGCATCGCGTACCCAGTCTCCAAAGTGAAACCTCAGACAAGGCTCGACCCTCGACTCAACAGGCCCCTCTGCAAGCAGGCGTCTTCAGTCTCGACACCAATTTCGACGATATGTCCGATATCATCGCGCACCCGCAGATGCCAAAGACCCCCGGCGAAGCCGGAATCTGGGCAGGAAAAGCCACCGCTACACCAGCTTCTGAGTTGTCTGCCCCAGCTTGGGATGCACCAGACAGTTGGGCTGTCAAAGGTCAAGAAGACGAGATCCTTGACAGCTTACCTGAAGCAAATGATAGCGGGCTCCCAGCAATCCAAGAGGAGGACGGCATATCCTACTTCATGCGCGTTTTCAGAACGGATGGCACGTTCGCAACCCTTTCCATGTCCATCAACGCTACTGTGGCAGAAGTGTTGAAGTCTCTGGCGAAGAAGTCTGTCCTTCATGATTCCATTGACAACTACCAACTACTCATGCGCAAGCATCAACTCTCAAGGCAACTTGGAGCTGCGGAACGCCCTGTAGCAATGCAAAAAAGACTGTTGCAGCTGGCTGGCTATACTGAGAGCGACCATATTGCAGATGTCGGCCGAGAGGACAACAGCTACCTGATCCGATTCACTTTTAGCCATGAAAAGCAGACAGGCTACGGAAGCGGCCTCGATAATGACCCTGCATTCAACAAGATGCAAAAATTCAGCCACGTTGACCTGTCAGGCAAATCACTCGTGACGATCCCGATCATACTCTACACAAAGGCCTCGGAGATCATCTCCATCAACTTGTCACGAAACATTGCGCTCAGAGTTCCGAAGGATTTCATCACCGCCTGCATCAATCTCCGTGAGATCAAGTTCACAGGGAATGAGACATGGCGACTACCCCCTAGCCTCGCATGGGCCAGTCGGCTGACTGTACTTGACGTTTCCAACAATCGACTTGAGCAACTTGACCATGCTGAGCTCCACCGGTTGATGGGACTTGTGAGTCTCAAGCTGGCGAACAACAAGCTGGCGGAATTACCGCCCTCTTTCTCCTACTTTCGGCAGCTCCGCAGCCTCAATTTGTCCTCAAACAACTTCACCACGTTTCCAGAACATATTTGCAGTCTGAAGTCTTTGGTCGACCTCGACATAAGCTTCAACAAGCTCTCGTCTCTGCCCAAAATCTCACAGTTAGCGACGCTCGAACGACTCTGGGTGACCAACAATGATTTGAAAGGACCTTTCAACGAGAGCTTTGCAGGTTTGACCAACCTCAAGGAGATAGACGCGCGGTTCAATGGCATAACTCACATTGACAACGTTACCAAACTCCCCAACTTGGAGCAACTACTTGTTGGACATAACAACATCACCACGTTCAGGGGCACCTTTGCAAAGCTTCGTATTCTGGTCATGGATCATTGCCCTGTCACATCTTTCGAGCTTGAGCAACCTGTTCTAACCTTAACGAGCCTTAACATTGCTTCGGCAAAACTGGTTGAGTTCAAGGACGCGATGTTCGACTTCATGCCCAATTTGCAGAAACTCAATCTGGACAAGAATCATCTCTCCAATATGTCTCCACAAATCGGAAAGTTATCAAGATTGGAGTACTTGAGCATGGCCAAAAATCCTCTCAACGTAGTGCCGCCGTCAATCGGAAGCCTTGTCGAGCTGAAGTTTCTCAATCTCCGAGAGTGCAACTTGAAGAGCCTGCCGCCCGAGATCTGGTATTGTCGGAAACTCGAGACTCTCAATCTGTCGTCCAACGTACTGGAGACATTTCCTAAGCAGGGTGCAGCACCACCGCCTAGTGATCTCAGAGATTCTACGTCGGCCACGACTCCAGGCCTGTCGACGTCGCCCAGCTTCGAAGAGCTTGGTAAGCTTGAAGATTTCCAAGCCCGGCGCCCCAGCCAGGCCTCTGCGGGAATGATGAGTATCGGCAGCTCCCCAAGTAGTGGGCGCAAGAACTCCATTGCTTCAATTCAGCCTCACCGGAAGCCTTCGGTGATCTCGCGAACAAACACCGAGTACTCAATGACCACTGCCACCCGGAAGGATTCTAATATATCTCAGGCAAGGCTCCAGAATACCTTTGCCGGCTCCCTTCGGTATTTGTACCTTGCAGACAACCGGATTGACGATGATGTCTTCCGGGAATTGGCGCTTTTGCCGGAACTTCGAGTCCTTAATCTATCTTACAATGAACTTGACGATTTCCCTCAAGGCATCCTACGTCGATGGCCACAGTTAAGCGAGCTTTATCTTTCTGGAAACCAACTCACTTCTCTGCCCTCCGACGACCTTGAGGAAAGCAGCAATCTGAAGGTGTTACATCTGAATGCAAATCGTTTTCAAGTGTTGCCCGCCGAGCTCTGCAACGTGCACAAGCTGTCCACCTTGGACGTGGGAAGTAATTCTCTGAAATACAACGTCTCAAATTGGCCTTATGACTGGAACTGGAATCGCAACACCAATTTGAAATATCTCAACTTCTCAGCAAACAGGCGGTTAGAGATCAAGCCGGCCCAGCAGAATCCCACGCAGTTCAACGGAATGAATCGTAACGAGACAACAGACCTGACTAGTTTCAACACACTGAAGTACCTGCGAGTTCTCGGTCTCATGGATGTGACATTGTTGACGAACACCATTCCGGATGACAATGAGGACCGCCGGGTCCGAACCTCTGCCTCGTTGGTGGGAGCATTAATGTACGGGATGGCAGATACGTTGGGTAAGAACGAACATCTGTCCACTCTTGACCTGCTCAAACCAAATTTCAGAGGTCGAGATGCAGAGATCTTGATTGGCATGTTTGATGGCCAAATAATGTCAAGCGGTGGTTCCAGGGTTGCAAAGTATTTGCACGAAAACTTCTCGGGCGGGTTTTACGAAGAGCTGAAAAAGACGGAAGGCACGAAAGACACTGCGATCGATGCCCTGAGAAGAACTTTCTTGAGCTTGAACAAAGACATGGCGAACTTTGCCAGCAGCAACTTCGACACCAAAGAGCACAGGTTGGCTAATGGCCACAGAGGATCTACTGTTGCCAACATTCTTGGGCCGGATGATTTGACCTCCGGTGGAGTGGCAACCGTGCTATACTTCAACGGCCAGGATCTCTACGTGGCTAACGTAGGCGACATCGAGGCAATCCTAATTCAGTCGAACGGCCAACATCGCCAGCTCACCCGGAAACACGACCCTGCGGAACCGGGCGAGCGCGAGCGTATCAGAGAGGCGGGAGGGTATGTTTCTAGACAGGGCAAACTCAACGAGTGTCTCGAAGTCAGCCGGGCATTTGGCCACTATAGCCACATGCCAGCCATCATCGCGGCTCCGCACACTTTCAAATGCACAGTCGGCGAATCTGACGAGCTCATTGTTGTGGCCACCCGAGAGTTCTGGGAGTATGTCACTGTCGATGTAGCAGTCGATGCGGCCCGGGCAGAGAAGAACGATCTTATGCTAGCTGCCCAGAAATTGAGGGATCTTGCAATGGCCTTCGGCGCTAGAGACAAGATCATGGTGATGGTCCTGGGTATCTCAGATTTACGAAAGAGGAGAGACCACCGTTTTCGCGGCACCAGCCTGTCCATGGCTAAGGAGATGGGACTTGACGAGGGGGCTATATTCCCTAGCTCGCGCAAGGCGAGACGCAAGGGTGAAACGCTGGTAGGCGACTCTCGACTTGCCAGACTAGAAGAGCCGGATCCTCCTGTGGGCGATGTGGCCATCTGCTTCACAGATATCAAGAACTCGACTGCACTGTGGGAGATTCTCCCCGTGCCAATGAGATCTGCAATCATGATGCACAACGAACTCATGCGACGCCAACTCCGCATCATTGGTGGATATGAAGTCAAGACGGAAGGGGACGCTTTTATGGTGTCTTTCCCAACCGTCACGTCAGCGCTGCTCTGGTGTTTTAGCTGTCAAAGTCATCTCCTGGAACTGCCTTGGCCGACCGAGATCCTGGAGACCGTCCATTGTCAAGAAAAGCTAGATGCAGATCAAAACGTCATCTATCGAGGGCTGTCGGTCCGAATGGGACTACATTGGGGTCGGCCGGTGTGCGAGCAGGATCCAATTACCCGCCGAATGGATTACTTTGGCCCCATGGTCAACAAAGCTTCCCGAGTATCTGCGGTAGCGGATGGGGGCCAGATCGCCGTCAGCAGTGATTTCATCAACGAGGTTCAGAGGACCTTGGAGAGCTATGCCGATGATGACCGACGAGATTCAGTCAGCTCGGATGACACTATGAATGACGATCGGCTGGCAAGTCAAATCCGCCGAGAACTCCGTCAACTCAGTAGCCAAGGGTTTGAAGTCAAGGACCTGGGCGAAAAGAAGTTGAAAGGCCTTGAGAACCCCGAATATCTTTACCTGATATACCCCCACTCCCTGGCCGGCCGGCTCACCATTCCTCCTGGAGCTGAGAACAAGGTCCAGCTCGGGGGTAGCAGTCCTACGGCAGGTGAGGACAAAGGTCAGCCTGGAAGCTTGGGCAAGGATAGCCAACTCAAGGAACTACAACTTGACGAAGTGTGGAAGCTTTGGGACATTGCACTGCGGCTAGAGATGTTGTGCAGCTGTCTGGAAGCCCCAGGGCTGGCACCTGGGCTCCACAAACCCGAGTTGAGTCTGCTCACCAGAATGAAGGAGCGCGGAGGTGTGCAAACGGATGGATTCATGATGAATCTGTTGGACCACCAGGTGACACGGGTCGAGGTAAGAAGTCATGGAAGAATGAAGTACTTGAGCACCGACGACTAACGGTAGAGTGGTAGGCATGCGCGACGACACTACAGCTTCGCCATATGACCAAGCCCTTCCGGAAGGGAGTCGCACTGGCTGATCAAGCCAGACCTATCGCCGAGATTGTGAATGAGTTATCTGGCCTTCTTGCGAAGGCGAAGAGCGCCAAGGAGGGAGTGATCACACCTGAAAGTGAAGATACGGAGGAAGAATCAGAATGAAATTCATCCTGACTTCCCAGCCATGGCTCGTGGAGTGCAGAACACGAGTGCATGCTGTCGGGATCAGGCACTGGTAAGGAGGGGGTTATGACGAACAGACACTATTATGCTTGCTTACAGGGAGCAATACGCACTCGACAGGCGTCTCCAGACGCCGCAGCGATGACCAGCATCTCTTAGGGGAGAGAATGCATAGGAATGCCGTTACGAACCATCATGGAACATTTTGTAAGTGTTGAAGCCAGGATTGGGTGCACATCACCATCATTGTCATCACTCTTTGGACAGCGGAACGGTATTTGATCAGGGCACCGCGAATATGGCGTGGCAGGATGGGAGATACTTTTTGCGCAGGGAAAGGGACGCAACAGGCGGCTAGGTTAGGAGACCATGCCAGGGGATAATGTCGACTGTATTATTACTATGCATTGAAGATAGTGGTATACTATACTATATGGACTGAGGCTGAGGCTGAGGCTGAGGCTGAGGCTGAGGTTGTGTTGATGTTGATGTTGATGTTGAGGTCGAGGTCGCCGTGTAGTGTAATAAGCCTGAGACGATGTTGGACACTGTAGATACTGGATACTAGATCCTAAATCCTAGATCCTAGATGCTAGACACCTCCTTCGTACTAGATACAGGGATTGATGATCAGCATCTGCCATGACAGCATCGACGCCCACTTCTTTTTTTCACCGAGCAATACTCCGTCCCTATCTCTCCTGCGTGCAGTCCTCGATGAGGCGCCATCCTCCCCTCCAGCCTCCAGTCTTGCCCGTCAAGCACGCCCGGGACACGCTGTCAACATGAACATGCAGAGCTATCTTTTCGAAAGCAAGCCGTTGGCTCACCCTGAGGCCACGGTCACCGGTCCCCATTACCGCTTCACGCTGCTGACCGACCGGCTGCTCCGCTACGAATGGTCGTACGACGGCAAATTCGAGGACCGGGCATCGACCTTTGCCATCAACCGCGAGTTTGCTGTGCCCCGGTTCCAGGCCATCGACCGGCCTGACGACCTAGAAATCATCACGGACCATCTGCACCTGAGCTACGACAAGAAGCGCTTCAGCCCCAGCGGGCTGCTGTGCAGCTTCTCAGCCAAGGTCACGCTGTGGGGTGCCCAGTGGCGGTATGGAGAACAGGCAGACACCGGTGAGAACCTGGGGGGCACTGCCAGGACACTGGACGGCTGTGATGGCCGTTGCGAGCTGGGCCCCGGCGTGCTGTCCCGGTCCGGGTACGCGGACGTCGACGACAGCAAATCCATGCTGTTCGACGGCAAGGGCTTCGTGGCCGGGCGGCTTCCGGGCGACCGCATCGACGGCTATCTGTTCTGCCACGGCCACGACTACACAGCTGCCATCCGGGACTTGTACGCGCTCAGTGGCAAGCAGCCGATCCTGCCTCGGTGGGCGCTGGGCAACTGGTGGAGTCGCTACTACAAGTATCAGCAAGACGAGTACATTGCCCTGATGGACGCGTTCCGGAGCAGAGACGTTCCCCTGTCGGTGGCCGTGGTCGATATGGACTGGCACCTGGTGGACGACGTGCGAGTGCCCCATGCAGGCTGGACCGGCTACACCTGGGACCGGAAACTCTTCCCTGATCCCGCCACCTTTGGCCGCGAGCTGCACCGCCGCAATCTGAAGATCACCCTGAACGACCATCCGCACGCGGGCATCCATCATCACGAAGACGCCTACGAGGAGATGGCCAAGTTCCTGGGCCACGACACCTCCCACAAGAACCCCATCTTGTTCGACCCGACCAGCCCGCGATTCATGGAGGCCTACCTGAACATTCTGCACCGGAACATCGAGAAAGTTGCCTGTGACTTTTGGTGGGTAAGTTGAAGTCCTTGACTGGAGTGTACAAGTGCGAAAGATGCTCAAACTATCTAATAGGTAGATTGGCAGCAAGGCTCCAACACCAAAGTCCCCGGGATCGACCCTCTCTGGCTCCTGAACCACTTCCATTTCCTCGACAACGCCCTCGACGGCAAGCGGCCGCTCATCTTCTCCCGCTACGCCGGCCCAGGCAGTCATCGCTATCCCGTCGGCTTCTCGGGCGACACGGTGACGACGTGGGCATCCCTGGAGTTCCAACCCGAGTTCACCGCGACCGCCTCCAACATCGGCTATGGCTGGTGGAGCCACGACATTGGCGGCCACTATGGCGGTGCCCGCGACGACGAGCTGGTGACTCGCTGGGTGCAGTTCGGCGTCTTCAGCCCCATCATGCGCCTGCACTCGTCGAATTCGCGCTGGTCCTCCAAAGAGCCGTGGCTCTACCGCCAGGAGAGCGAGACCGCGATCGAGAAGTTTCTGCGCCTCCGCCACCGTCTGATTCCTTATCTTTACAGCTGCAATGTCCTCGCCTCCACACAGGACGAGCCTCTCATCCAGCCCATGTACTGGCACTTCCCGGAGCGGGACGAGGCGTACCAGGTGCCCAACCAATACTTTTTCGGGTCGGAACTGATCGTGGCACCGATTGTCACGCCGCGAGACAAGCGCACCAATCTGGGCCGGGTCAAGACTTGGTTGCCGCCGATGCACCGCCACGTCGACATCTTCACCGGCACAGTCTACGACGGCGACAGAGAACTCAACATGTACCGAGCCCTGGATGAGATCCCGGTCCTCGCACACGAAGGCAGCATCATCCCGCTCGACGCCAGTCCGACCCCGCAAGACGGCGGCCCGAACCCGGAACACTTCGAGGTGCTGGTGGTGATCGGCCGCGACGGGCAGACCAGCGTGCTCGAAGACCGCGCTGACGACTTCCGAACGGCGCAAGAGGAAGGGCCAGAGCCAGGCCGGAACGAAGGTCCTGCGACCGCGACCGCGACCGGCCATCGCGCCAGCCTGATCCGGTACCATCAAGCGGCCGGCGAACTCACCGCGTCCGTGACCGGACGCAAGTGGAGTTTCCGCTTCCTGGCCGTGACCGCGATCCCGCAGGCGCTGAAGATCACGATCGACGGCCAAGACCGCAGCAACGACACCGAAGTCGTCATCGAGACGTACCCGGCCACGCCGTCGATGGTGGTGCATGTCCCGTCCGTTACTGAGAGGGACCGGGACCTGGGCGAGTCCGTCACCCACACCATCACCATCTCGTTGGGGCCGGATCCACAGTTGAGCGTGTTGGACCACAGGTCGCGCATCGAGCGGCTGCTACTGGATTATCAGACGGAATTCGACATCAAGGAGCGCATCTGGACCATCGTCGACGACGGCCGGAGTGCCATCAACGTCAAGATCGGCAAGCTTCTCAGTTTGAGTGTCGACGAGACCCTTACTGAGCCCATTGCCGAGTTGATCCTGAGTGACGTGAGAGGCATGCATTTGTGAATAAATGAGTGAGTCTTGAGTCGAAGTTGAAGGATAAGTTGAAGCCCAGCCCAGTCGAGACGGCGAGGCAAGAGTAACATGGAGGGTCGAGACGGCGAGAGGAGACCGACTGGGGTTTCAGACCGTCCTTTTCCTTTTCAGGGGCGTGGGGAAGAGGCCGAGGCCATCCTCAACAAGGAGAATCAACCCATACCTACCCCCTACCAATAACCCGAGAAAGAATCAATTGTTGTTGACTATACAGGTATTGGTTCAGAGGCCTTCAAGGGTAGGGAACCAGACAAGGCAGTGTGATGAAGAGAAGAATAGACCTAGACCTAGACCTGTAATGTTCAGAACTGGCTTAGCTAGAACCAAACTAACAAACAAACGGCAACATGAACGCCAACGTCAACGGCGAGCAATACAAATAAATACCTAATTCCTCCTTTTCGGTCTATATATGGTGCTACTGCTCCCGAATGCAGGTGGGTAGGTAGGTAGACACGGCACGGGCACGGCGAACGTCTCAATCTCATGCATCAGGCATCATGCATGATATTTGGCCTGTAATCAATGAATTATATTTCAGTACCTTAATATATAGTATAGCAACTTCTCGGAGGACATGATTCCCGCCCTTTGATCTACGGATATATATACATACTATATACTATACAGAATAGGTAGATACGGTACGGCGAGTCTTAATCTTAATAATATTTAGCCTGTGGTCAATGAAATATATTTCATGGTACCTAGGTATGTAGCATTGCACTTCTCGGGAGACCAAACCAGCAAGCACTACGACACCTAATTAACCCAAAGAAGGACCATCTCTGGCGAAGGCTTTCACTCTGCAATTGTCAAAGGTTGAAATTGTTCCATGTTCTCTATCAAAGGGTCGCAGGGGGAGCGCATGCTATATAATATAGTATGTCTAAACCAGCCTTCTGGTTAAAAGAGCAAGGCTGGTATTGCCCAAGTTTGACAAAACAAGGACCATCCCTGACCAAGGCCTTCACTCTGCAATAAGGTAATCGGATTGACAGTAAGTATCCCTTTGACGTTCAGCAGTAGTAACGGCTGGCATTGACTTCGCCCTGACCATGGCCAATCTTGAACCTGCCACTGCCAGCCCATCTTCACAGCCACGAGGTGCTGTATAGCCACCTTCTGCGGTAGTTCGGTCGCTTTTACACAATACTGGACCGTCACAGTTTGATCTCCCGGTCACCTGTCTGATCAAACACCTTTTCCTGCAGCCATTCCTCAATGAGGCGGTTGATTTCTTCGGGTTGTTCCCACAACGCCCAATGACTGGTGGCTACCTCGCGCCTGGTAAGATTGGGAATCTGCTCGCCCATCCTCTCGGCCATAAAAGGCTTGAGTGCTTGATCCCTGGTGGCAAGGACGAACAAGACCTCCTGTTGAATGGTCACGTCGCGAGCGACCTCGGCGGCGTCTTTGTTGCCGGACTGGAAAAAGTCCCTCCACTCGTTCATGAAGTTGTCCTCGCGGTTGCGGTACCAGTTGAGCGGTCCATGGAGACCGTGGCGGGAGTACTCGGTTACGTAGTAGTCTAGCTCATCGTCATCGAGTAGCTTGGTCTTGCCCACGCGGGGTTGGCCGGCCAGGTCGACGCCCGTGTTGGTGTCGAAGGCGAACTTGCCCTCCGAGGTGCGGGCGCCATATAGGTTGTTGAGGAACTGGCGGATCTCGGCGGGCGACTGGACGGCAGCCTCGATCTCACCCGAGGCAAGGTGCAACTGGTACGCGAAGTTGGGCAGGCGCTTCTGCACCAGGATGCCCAGCGGCTCGTACTTGTTTGAGGGCGCGAAGTACGGGGTGCAGATGCTGAAGACGGCCTTGATTAGTTGTGGGTAATACTGGGCGACGCGGTAGACAATGGCGCCGCCCCAGTCGTGTCCGCCCAGGATGATCTGTGTCAGTCCGAGCTGTCGAGCCAGCTCCGCCAGGTCGTCCGCCGCCCGCCGGTATGTGTAATCTTGCAGCTTGAACGGCGGGGCCTCTGTGCGGCCGTAACCAATGCAGTCCACCGCCACCACGTCCAGGCCGAGCTGGGTCAACAATGGAATCTGGTACCGCCAGCCCAGACTGAGGTCGGGGAAACCGTGGACCAGGAAAATGGTGCCTCGCTTCTTTACTGCTGAGGCAGATGCCGGGCTGTACAGGTACCCATACGTGATCCCGTTCAGGTGCGCGCTGCGCAGTGAGATCCGTGGGTCGTTGTATGGTCTGATTTTATCCACTGACATGTTGGATGGAGGAATGAAATGTATCTGAGCAAACACGTACGGAGTTTCGTCTGCTGCCGGAGGTATGCTACTCACGCCAAAGCACACAGGAGATGATGAGCACACTGGACTCTTATAGCTTGCTCGATGTGAGTATCGGAGGCACCTAGGAGGCGTTATTCATGATTAGATGAGATGACCATACCATGATCCCTGCTGCTGATTAAAAGGTGGAGAGTTCTTACGGCCGTGGACCGAGGCTTATTCAGTAAACAAGAAACAATCCCATGACGTCGTCCGCCAAATAGCCGTGCCAGAAGACACATTGTGGGAGATGGCCTCTCTGGGTGCCACCAACGGCCCAGTCGTTATCTGCTGCCATGTTACTGTGTACAGTAAACCGCAGTCCTCGAGGCGGCACCGAGAGGGTGAGGGCGCAGGCGGAAACAGAGATCTGGGGTGTTAATGCACCGCCGTAGAGATATTCTGCGGAGCATCAAGCTCCTCGCGCAGGATTGATAAACACTGTAGGGTTAGGGTTAGGGTTAGGGTTAGGGTTCACTGCCAACTCGAGCCAACACCTCAAGGCTATCAGAACGTACCATCTTCTTCAGAACTCTTTCTCTACCTCCCACTGGTTGGTGTTACTTACCAAGTACGCGCTCCAGCGGCATCTGACCAGGGTCTTGCTCTATCCTGCACTAACTCTCATCTTATGCAGAGGCCTTTCACTTCTGTTCCGAAATCCGAGTGTGTGTTTCAGGTACCCCTGAAATTGCGTGATGGGACAGTCAGATGAGCAATGTCACTCCCAGCCCGCTTGCCAGTTTCCGGGCATAAGCATGGACACGTTATCATATGCCTCTGCGCCGCCTTGCACCGCCTTGACGCGCCTTCAAGCGAGACATGATGCGATACTCTCCTCCTGTCCTGCCATCGTCCACTCTGCCTGTTTTGTCGTCCCTCGTGTTTCCAGTTTGTCAGCATCGTCTCCCATGTACCTTCCGTGCCTCACCTTGTTGTTTGCTGGGGGCCCCTTCAAGCGTCTATATCAACGCCCTCCCCCTTTCTCGCCCGTGATATATGACCTTCCAGCCTGCCGAATTTGACCTGGGTTTAGCTGAATTCTCCACCGGCTTCGAAATGCGCGAGCTTGAGACCACTCCCTTACTCTCCCCACGCTCCTCTCACGATGCCTCTTCAGATGTGGAGACCCCCCAACTGCAGACGGTCGCCGATGAACGGAAAATCGACAACGATGTCCTTCCAGAAACATCAACAGCCGGCCGGACCATTGGTTGGGGCAGCGCCTACGTCCTGGTCATATCTAGAGTCATTGGAAGCGGGATCTTCGCAATGCCTGGAACAATTGTGCAAAATGTTGGCAGTCCCGGACTGGCTTTAGTGTTATGGGTGGCCGGGGCTCTCGTTGCGTGGGCCGGACTGGCCATTGACATGGAGTATGGCTGTATGCTCCCAAGGTCGGGCGGCATCAAGGTGTATCTGGAATACACCTACCGCAAACCGCGCTTCTTCACCTCGACCATGGTCGCTGTACAAGCCGTGCTGCTGGGCTTCACGGCTAGCAACTGCATTGTCTTTGCAAAGTATACGCTTTTTGCTGTCGGTACTACCCCCGGAGACCTCAACACCAAGCTTCTGGCTGTTGGTCTTTTGACCTGGATCACCCTCGTCCACAGCTGCTTCTACAGGACAGGCATATGGATCCAGAATGTCCTGGGCTGGGTAAAGATTGCCCTGGTCCTTTTCATGATTCTCACAGGATTGTTCGTGGTCATCTTCCGGCACGATACGACATCACGCGTCCCAGATGTTGCTACCACGGCTGCATGGGACAGTCTGTGGACCGACTCGAATTGGCAATGGAATAACCTGTCGACTGCGTTTTTCAAGGTCCTCTACTCATACGCCGGATTAAGCAACGTAAACAACGTCCTGAATGAGGTCAAAAACCCTGTTAGGACTCTGAAATCCGTGGGCCCCATTGCACTACTGACAGCTTGCTTCTTGTATCTTCTCATCAACATTGCATATCTTGCAGTGGTCCCGCTGGAGGAGGTCAAACGGAGCAGAGAGTTGATCGCCGCATTATTCTTCGAACGTGTCTTTGGGCCTGGGTTCGGGGACAAGTTTCTTCCCCTTGCCATTGCTCTCTGCGCCGTGGGAAATGTCATGGTGGTAACATTCTCCGTGGTATGGACCATCATGCTCTGACTATCTTCCCAAATGCTGACGACTGATAGGCTCGGGTCAATCAAGAAGTGGCGAGACAAGGATTTCTTCCCTTTGCAGAAACTCTGGCGTCTTCCAAGCCGTTCGGCTCTCCCACGGGCGGGCTCATTGTTCACTATGTGCCTTCGGTACTGGTAATCGTGTTGCCGCCTTCGTCCACAGTTTACTCGTTCATTGCCGATGTTGAAGGCTACGCTGGTCAATTCGTTGCCCTGGCTGTGGCGGCGGGGTTACTCTTCCTACGTGTGCGAAAACCTCACCTTCATCGGCCATTCAAAGCATGGGTTCCCGCTGTTTGGCTGAGGATCGTGCTCTGTCTCTGCCTGATCTCGGCGCCTTTGTTCCCTCCAAAGAAAGGTTCAGCAGACGTGAATTTCTTTTACGCAACTTATGCACTCGTGGGCTTAGCGATGTAAGCCACGCCCTTCTGCAGACACGGCCAACGCTGACAATGAGACAGTTTAATCTTTGGAGTTGCTTATTGGTTCGTTTGGACTGTCGCCTTACCGCGCTACAGAGGCTATAGACTGGAAGAGGAGGCCGATATCTTGGACGACGGAACGACTATTACCAAATTGGTGCGCAAGGAAATATAATCACAAATAGAGGATTGATAAGCACAATATCAGATGATTGGAAACGCGAGAATCGACTCGCTGATATGCTCCCGGATGCTGCAAGACGATGTCCACGGGATTTGGCACGTCATCCCAATAACCCGCCTTCTATTGGCCTTGCCACTTGGGAGTAGGTGTATACGCCGTACGGAGGACTCGGCTACACGACGTGGACGTGTTGCACGCCCTACCCCACACATTGTATGGCCATGGCGCTGCTACGATGCCATATGGCGTGCTATCTGACAAATCAGATATAGATCTGGCCTCCCATAAGAAGGGGACATCCCCCCAGGCTGACGTTGTGGTCAAGGTGAAGGTGAAGGACAGCATCAACGACAATCACCATGGCATCCGCAGCAGTACAGCAGCCTACCGGGCACTCGACTTCTTTCGAGCCTTTGACAACCCAACTGAAGGGCTCTTCGGGCCCTCAACCAGAGAAGCATCATGTCCATACCCAGCTGAACTATTACAAGGACCCAGGCGACGGAAGTGCTCCACCTCCGAGTTATGTGAACAAGCCCGAGACGTATGAACGGCCATACGAGCCTCTTGACGTGTCCGTCCATGACATTCGAGGCGAAGAGAAGAACTACAGTCTCGACCAGAACGGGTTCGAGATTTACCGTCATGCAAGTGTCGAGAAGGACTTTGTCGACGACGATCAGATCAAGGCTCAATATTACCCAGAGACCGAGCAACTATTGAAGGACGCGTACGTACTGGAATGCCCAGGCAACCTCTCCTCCCCTCTTCCTCTCCTCTCCTCTTCCTCTCCTCTCCTCTTCCTCTCCTCTCCTCTTCCTCTCCTCTCCTCTTCCTCTCCTTTCCTCTCGTCTCCTCTTCCTCTCTTTCCTCTGTCGGTGCTGCTGCTAACATTGAGATGGAACAGGACCGGTGCTTCACGCATCTTCATCTTCGACCACACCGTCCGCCGAGCGCCCAAGGACCAGCGAGGGCCGACTCCTGCCGTCAACCTCCGGGGGCCTGTGAATCGCGTGCACATCGACCAGAGCTACAGCGCGGCCAAATCTCGAGTCCCGCACCACCTCCCTGCCGAGGCAGAGAAACTGCTTACGACCCGGTATCAGATCATCAACGTCTGGAGACCGATCAAGCCGATCCTGAAAGACCCGCTCGCCGTCGCGGACGCACACTCAGTCCCAGACTCGGACCTTGTTGGTGTTGGGCTGATCTACCCCGACCGTCGCGGGGAGACGTACACGGTACGGCCCAACCCTGAGCACAAGTGGTACTACCTCTACGGCCAGACGCCCGAGGAGGTGCTCTTGATCAAGTGTTTCGACTCGAAGTTGGATGGCCGGGCGCGAAGAGTGCCGCACACCGCATTTGTGAATCCCGACACCGTCGACGAGTACCCGCGGGAGAGTATTGAGGTCCGAGCCTTGGTCTTCCACGAGGATCAGCCTGCCGCATAGGTGCGACGTGGCACGGAAGGTTACTAGGTACAGGCTCTGTAGAATAGGTAGCAATACAGGGTTTGTACGGAGTGTTCCTTGGACACTTTCATTTCCCTTCGATAACACTCGCCTCACCTCACCCACTTGTTAGACCCTTGCGATGAATTCGATCGTGAGCTGCGTGGAAGAAGTACATACAGAGTAGTCTGCCAGTGCCACCAGTGCTAGGGCGCTGTTGGCGCTGTTATCGACCCCTGGAAGCGCCAAGTCCTGCGCCACGGTCTCAGCCTCGCGCCACGCTCGACAGTTCGGCCCGGTGGTTCTTGGCATATCCTCCAAGCCACACTTCACCCACTCCAAGCTGCATTCTTACGTCGTGTGTGCCCCGCGTGTGGATGCACGGCGGGCAAGGGGGCTGTGGTCGCTGAGCTTCTTTGCCGATTGTCCCTGCAGCTGTCACCTCTGACTGGTACCTAGTGGTGCGCCTCAAATTCATCCTCTGTAGCGTTGAAAAAGGCGTCCATATAAAATATCCTTAGTTGCGACTGATACCGGCTCGAGTTTCTTCACCTACCTTCGTACCTTTGTCTCGAGTTTCTCTACCTCGACCTCGACCTCGACCTCGAACTCGTGTTAAAGCGCTGTCCGTCCGTTGTCATCCATCATCATGTCATACGGCCCTCCGCAGGGTCAGGGTCAACCCCAATGGGGAGGATACCCTCCCGCAGGCCAGGGTTATGGCTCGCCATACCCTCAACAAGGTCCGCCGCAACACGTTGGCTATCCACCACACCAGGGAGGATATCCCCCGCAGCAAGGAGGCTACAGTGCTCCTCCACAGCATTTCGGAGGACCTCCGCCTCCCGCTGGGTATGGTGGTCCTCCAGTGCTTCCTCCAGGCCAGCACCCCGTAGGCGGCCCTCCCCCTCAGCACGGAGGTTTCCCGCCGCAACAGTACGGTCCACCTCCTCTGCCGTCGCCAGGGTATGACCCTCGAGCACAAGCGCATGGTGATGCCTCCGCCGACGCAGATGCTCTTCGCGCCGCGATGAAAGGGTTCGGCACCGACGAAAAGGCCCTCATTCGAATCCTGTCCAAACCCGACCCCTTGCAAATATCTCTGTTAAGAAACACATACAACCAGCGGCATCGTCGCGACCTAGAACGAGATATCAAGTCCGAAACATCAGGCTACTTCCGCGATGCGCTCGTGGCACTCGTACGAGGCCCCCTCCTAGATGACGTGCACAATGTCCATGAGGCGATCAAGGGCTTGGGGACGAAGGAGTCTATGCTCAACGACGTCCTTCTTGGCCGCTCAAACGCCGACATGCGCGCCATCAAACAAGCCTACCAACAAACATTCCAGCGCAGTCTCGAGGCCGACGTGAAGGGTGACTTGTCGATGAAGACTGAGACATTGTTCAGCATGGTCATGGCTGCAACAAGAAATGAGGAATCCACGCCTGTGATCCTAGCCGAGCTTGACCGCGACTGTAGCGACCTGCATCGCGCCATGGGCGGTCAGATCGGCACGGATCAGATCACCGTATGCAGCATCCTGTCCAACCGAAGCGATGGCCAGATCCGTGCCATCAACCAACACTGGCAGCAGAAGTACCACGGCAGCCTAGAGAAGACGATTGATTCCGAGTTCTCAGGCCACATGAAGGATGCTCTATTGTTGATAGTTCGCCGCGCTTCGGACCGTATCATGTCCGACGCCGTACAGCTGGAAGATGCGATGGCCGGGCTCGGCACCAAGGATGTTCTGCTCGTCCAGCGTGTCGTCCGGGTCCATTGGGACAGGGCACACTTGGATCAGGTCAAGCGCGCATACACACACCGATATAAAAAGGACTTGATCCAGCGTGTCAAAGGAGAGATCCACAACAACAAACACTACGAGGGCTTGATGGTTGCTTGTTTGTCTTGACGAGCTCTGATCCGATAGCCTTTTGTTTCTTCTCTGGCTTGTACTTGACAATGGCTACCCTGGCCATCTTATGCTGAAACGTGACGAACTTGGGGGCGGTGAACCGGACTCTCCTCCATGGAGGGGTTTTGTACTTTTATATCTTTGCCTCGCGGCTTTACACTCTGAGTCTAGGATCGGCCATCTTGGAATGGCATGGTCCAGACTTGGTCTATCGGCCAAATATCAATGTTGAATTTGACCTCTATTATTACACTGTTTGCTGGGTGGCCGTCGATGTTTGTCACCTGGCAGGGCATCGGCGCTTCCTGTGCCTTCGAACGCGCCTTGCTTCGACCTGCTCAATTCTGTGAGCGAGTGACGCCCAGAACCTGGCACGAGAAAGGCTCGGTCTTCCTTTTGGCGCCGCAATCTACGGGACGGAGCTCATCTGGAGCAGATCGGAGAATACGGAATACGGTGAGCCAGGATGGTATCATGGGTGGGAGAGATGGGAGGATGTCAAAACCCGATATCGCCATCGGAAAGGATCGGGAAAGGCTGGCTAGCGGATTGTCTTGGGCTCGTTCGGTGGATCGGGTGTTGTTCGGAGTGGTGGCCGGGGATGCGAGCTCGTACGGAGTAGAGGCAAATTGTCCGATGGACCGGTTTAAGGGCAAGATACTGTCTTGAAGAGCGCGGGTGTAGATATAGATACGACATGCAATACCTAGTAGTTAGTAGGGTTGAGCACCCAGTCCGCACCCGGATCCTATCCGGAGGACACCTGTTGGCTGTTGCACAGAAGCGCAGCGCAGGCGCAGGCTGGGATGGAACAACAAATTTGCCGAGGCTCGCAGTCACATGCTCCTGCTCCTGGCGGGGGAGCACCGGGCAGATCCCACGCTGTGACACTGTACGGATACGGAGCAATTACTCTCGAAAAAGCTGGTTCCCATTCCCCCACAAAGTTGCGAGAAGTGCCTAGGTAGAGAAAATCGCCCGCCTCCAACTTGGCCCAGACACCTGACACCTCTATGGGCGTTATTCGCCTTGACTGGGAGGAGCTGGTGGCCGGTAGACGGTTGCCGGTGGCCAGTCATCGCGTTCTCCTGTTGACCTGGCCTACTACCTAGGTACCTAGGGTAAGGAGCCTAAAGCCGTGCGCGTGCCTGGACGCCGCCCCGGTCGAATGATGAAATTCACAGCCCCCGGGTCAGGGACGTACCTCGGCGGAAAGGGAGAATTGCAAACCCTATCTAGTACTCCATACCTACCTACAGATGCGATCGAGAACCCACGCGCATAAGTCCCTCCTCCTACTCTCTGCATCATCGGCTGGGAACGGCCTCTCAGTTCTTGGGCCGAGTATCATAATAGCCGCGATTATCCTCTGTCCATTAAAGTGACCTCGCCCTATTCAGATTCATCATTGTTGATTCATCTTTCCTCTCCTGCTTTCCCCAGGATTGGCGTTGGACTGGGGTACGATCATTTCCCTGTCTCCGAGCCCCTCTTGTCACCAGTGCTTCCACGTCGGGCGTCACAGTCTCTCTTTAACCCTTCTCCGGTCCTTGACCACTTCTGCGAGTCGTGTGCAGCTCTATCGTCGTCCCGGTGTCGCAGTCAACCGACTAAGGACGGTTTACAACACCCTTGACGCCTACACACGCTTAAACTGCCGCCCTGCGCTCGGACTCTCACGCTACCCCAGGATATCCAGTCAACCCGGTGTTGTGCTACCATGTCTGCCAAAAGTGTGAGAGGCGAAGGCGGCAAGAAGCCGGCCAGCGCTGCCACCAACTTAATTGCTGGGGGTGGTGCTGGAATGATGGAGGCGCTCGTGTGTCACCCGCTCGACACGATAAAAGTGAGGATGCAGCTGTCCAAAAGAGGCAGGACGCCAGGGCAGAAGTCGCGAGGTTTCGTACAGACCGGAAAGGATATTGTGAAGCGGGAAACCGTCTTTGGCCTGTACAAGGGTCTAGGTGCCGTTCTCACCGGTATTATTCCCAAAATGGCCATTCGGTTTACTTCGTACGAATGGTACAAGCAACTGCTCGCGGACGAAAACGGCATTGTCAGCTCGAAGGCAACGTTCTTGGGTATGTTCGACCCTGCGACCAGAGAGTGGTGCGCTTGCTGACTGGACATAGCTGGACTGGGTGCCGGTGTCACCGAAGCCGTGGCCGTGGTAACTCCTATGGAAGTGGTCAAGATTCGGATGCAGGCTCAATACCATAGCTTGTCGGATCCGCTCGACGTCCCCAAGTACCGAAGCGCCCCTCATGCCCTCCTGACCGTCGTTCGAGAGGAAGGTGTCGGTGCCCTGTATCGCGGTGTGTCCTTGACTGCACTGAGACAAGGCACAAACCAGGCCGTGAATTTTACGGCATACAGCGAGTTCAAGTCATTTCTGCAGAAAGTTCAGCCCGAATTTGAGGGCAAGAATCTACCGGGATATCAGACCACCTTCATCGGACTGATCTCGGGCGCCATGGGCCCGTTCTCGAACGCACCCATTGACACCATCAAAACACGGTTACAAAAAACCCCTGCACAGCCAGGACAGTCTGCCCTATCCCGGATCACGGCCATTTCCAGAGACATGTTCAAGCAGGAGGGAGCCAGAGCGTTCTACAAGGGCATCACACCCCGCGTGATGCGAGTCGCCCCCGGCCAAGCCGTCACTTTCACCGTGTACGAGTACTTGAAGAAGAAACTGGAAGACAGTCGCTGGACCATTGTGGGAGGGACATTCGAAGAGTAGACGGCATACCACTACGGAGTACTCTGGACTGTGGCTGCATCTGTCAAAAGCTGGATGCACCGCCATGTGTTGTATTTTGTTTGATCAGTCGAGCGAGACCAAAAGGCATTTTCAAGCGCCAGATACCACGATATCACTGTACATAGCGGACAAATGAGCATCCTAACTGATTGGACTTCAAGACCTGGGGACTACAGGCTGTATTTACTTTTTGCTGGTGTGCCTGAACTGCTCTCCGCATCTTCCAAATGTACTCGTCATGTGATTGGGCAAGGCTAAGGCTTCATCAGGCTGCGCTCCCCGCTGTGTTTCCGCCTCCCTTGACCTTAAGCCTGTGTTGGCGTTGACGACCCTCGAGCCCCTCTTGGATCCACGTAAGTTCTCGGCCGACAACGAACGCTGAAACCGTTCTGCCTGAAGCCATCTTGCAAGTATCCGTACCCAGTACACATATAAGAAGGGGCCTCTGCCCATGTCTGCGTTTTAAAAGAGCAACATAGTCCTGAACCAGCCCTAACCGCAGATTTCCACGCCCGTTGACTGAAGTCTAGCCTGGCCGGCCATAAGGACAACTTCCACTTCTCGACATCTTGATACGCGGCACTCAGCACCATGCAGTCCGGGATAACAGGTAATTGAATTGCCCTTCTCTGTCACGAGCTTAGCTCTCGTTGGCACGCTCTTGGGATTCCTGAAACCTTCCACTGACCGTCTTGTCCACTCCAGCCTCCGCAGACTTGCACGAGGCCTTTTCAGACTTCGCGTCGGACCACGACCTATTCTCGCTACCCGTGACAATCACCACCGAATCCCTAACTCCTCTACCATCGATCCGGTTCCCATCGCCTTCGTCGACCTTCCATGCCTCTCTGCCGAGCCTGGACAACCTTCTCAGCCCGACCACGCCGCTCTACCTGCTCCTCCGCAAAGAGGCTTCCAAGCCCGACCTCGTAGCGGTCACTTACATCCCATCCCGGGCACCGGTGCGGCAAAAGACGCTGTTTGCGTCCACGCGCGCCACGCTCGTCCGGGAGCTGGGCAGCGAGAAGTTCGTCGAGACGATCTTCGTGACGGAGCGCGACGAGATCCTCGACCCGGCGCAGTGGGAAGAGCGCTCTGGACCCGCGACATCCTCGGCAGCAGCGCAGGGAAGCGGCGGCGCCGCAGGGGTTGACATTGGCCTGTTGAGTTTGGAAGAGCGCGAGCTGCAGGCCGTCAAGCGCGCCGAAGAGGAAGAGCGCCATGGTACCCGCGGTCGCGATCTCATGAACGAAGGCGGCAGTGGCGCCCGCTACAGTTCCAATGCTAATGCCGGGTCAGAGGACGGCGCTCCACGCCGTGCTGGCATCACCATGAATATCACCGACGAGGCGCGAAGCGCGCTGGCTCAGCTGGGCTCGGGGTCGGGGTCGGGCTCGCTGGTGCAGCTCGGCATCGACATCGCGACCGAGACGGTGACGCTGCTATCATCCAAAACCGACGTGGCGCCCGACGCCGTCCCGGGCCTCATCCCTCTCGACCAACCCAGTTATACCTTCTACACGGTCGCCCAGAGTCACCAGCAGCAAGCCGGAGCTGCGCCAGGGTCCATCTTCATCTACGTGTGTCCCGGCGCCAGCAAGATCAAGGAGCGCATGATCTGTGCCAGCTCGCGGAGAGGCGTGCTATATCTCGCGGCTGGAGAAGGCGTCAAGGTCCTGAAGACCCTAGAGGCCGGTGAGCCCGACGATTTGGTCGGGAGGTTGGACGAAGAGGTCGAGGCGTTGACCTTGGCCGGCCGCCCAGGAGGAGCGGAGGGGAGTGGTGACGAGTCCGCACCAGGCACCGGCACGGCCACGCCCACGCCCAAAACTGGCTTTGCTAGGCCTAAGAGGCCGGGAAAGCGATAGCCGGACAGAGGAGATGCCCGAGCACATGGAGCAGACTCACGTATCCAGTCATTTGGTGGCTTCTACAACGACTGGCCGGCTCAGGGCATTGCGAGACTTCCGGCGCCGAGCGGTGCATTGCATGGTCTGGTCATCCGCGCTATGGTCAGACCTTTTGGAGGTGGCGATGGCGCGAGCATGAACACGGCGAAATGAATGACTACAATCGAGCAAGACGGAAGCGGAAGCAGAAGCACACAATACGCAACGGCCTACATAAGGGGAGGGCGATTCACATGAAAAGATTGGAAACCATGTATTTGTTCGATTTCCCTATGTGGATTGACTGTGCGAGTCGACCATTCCATATGCCGCCAGCTCGTACAGATAGAGTCGATTGGCTCGTTACGAGTCGGGCTGGTCGATCCTGGCAGCTTCGTCTTTGACATGTTTTTCCTCGTCAGCGTCCACGGCTATTGGAACCCGCGCAGATGACAGCCTGCTTCCGGATCGGCACCAAAGAAAGCCAGCCATTTCGGCCTGTAGAATGTGTCAAGGCGCTGCTTGTAACATGGCGGCAAAAACCCCCTGCTGCTGTATACCATCGACGTGCAGACAGTCGACCTGAGATGCAGATGCTTCAACGTGCACGTCGAGTTGCGGGAGAGTTCGGTGACTCGAGGAATGAATGCGTGCTACTCCCATGCGGAGGGTGCTGCGCAAGCTGAGACAAGCACTGTTGTCTACATCTCTGGCGGCTAGATAGACCATATGTTCGATCGGTGAGGCCGGCGTTGGGTGAGCCCAAGCCACTCAGGAAGTCCGAGCCGCATAAACCCATGCGAGATCATAGTGTTTGTCGCAGAAAACTTCCATCCATAATCTTGCTCTCTAGGGGGGACAGCGTTCCGAACATGGAACTAACCACTCAGCCACGCAAAAAAAGAGGGTGTTTTTCTCCCATGCGAGGTCCTTTAGCGGGCGTAGCAGATGCAAAAAGAAAAAAGACCACATGTCTCAATATTGTTGATTTCTGAAATTTTTCTTCTGGTAGAACAAGTCGGTCCGGGAACTTCCCAGATTGATGATCTTGGGGCATCCATCTCTGTCTTTTTCCAGTCTTGTACATTCGAAGCAGTAGAAAGCGTCGCTGATGCCCTCTCCGCCGCAGACGACACATTTGTTCTGATAGTTGCCGAACGCACATTCGTCGCAGATGCGCACGAGCGTGGTCGGCCGCACGTATGAGTCGCAGACGGGGCATTTGCCATCGCATTTGTCGCAGAGGCGGCCGATCGAGATGCCGGGAGCCTTGCGGCACATGACGAGATCGGGGTGGTGGCGAGACATTGTGGTGATGTAACGGACGGTGAGGTTGGGTCTGGAGACGGGATTGCTTAGTGGATCGCGGGATAGCTCTTGTTGGGACGGTTAATGTTTGGTTTCCGTGTAGAAGAAAAGGGACTGGAAGAGGAAGAAATCAAGAGGCAAGGGAATAAATGCGGTGGAAGTGATGGTTGACAGAAATGGATGGCAACGCAGGGAAAAGTGGAAGAAGTGCAGCCTCACGAGCATAATTTCTATGTATCCGTAAGCCACCTAAGCCTTGCACTAGGCTTAGGGGCCTGTGAAACCCAAGGCGCCCTATAGTCCCTAAGTCTCTCCAGGCTTAGGCCTCTTTAGCCCCTAAGCATTTCTCCGCACTGTGACTGGCACCACAGGCACGTGCAATGGTGCCGGCCGGACAGACTGGACTTGCGGAGCTTTTTCTCTCTCCCCCATTCGAGGGTTGATCGATGCCATGCCGTAGGAACAGAGGATGGACATGGGCAACCCTGACCTTTGTTGACGGCGACCGCATCTGAATCCAGGAGAGTCTATCAAGCAGTGTGAGCCTAGGACAAAGAGAAGCACCACCATGATCTCCTCCGCCGTCCTCATCCCCGAAGACCCTCAACCTCAATCCGAATTCCCGGACCGAGAAGAAAGCAATCCGCTCAAACGTCGACAGTCGTCTGTGTCGACATCCTCTGGGTCCAGCAAGAGACCTCGCCTCGATGTGCCGTCTTCGAGCAACGATGCGGCCGCCTCACCCACTGCACGTTCCTCTGCCTACCCAGTCGCAGATTCGGCAACCCAGGCCCAGGCAATGTCTCCTCCCCCTCCTCCTCGCCAGCAGCCAGAGCCGCGGGGGCGCTCAACCGCCGCGGGCCTGGAGCAAGATAAATCGCGCAACAGGCGCTTGTTCGGCGCCCTGCTAGGTACGCTGTCGCAATCGACTCGGCCGTCAAAATCGTCAGCGTCAGCGTCCGCGGCGGCATCAACGGCCGCAGTAGCAACGTCGGCGGCGCGCAACTCCCGCCGCGACGAGATCGAAAACCGACAGCGTGAGCGGCTGAAGCGCGAGAATGAGGAGATGGCAGAACAGGCGCGGAGGAAGAGGGAGGAATTAGATCGTGTGCGGCGGCGTGAGCAGAGGCAGTGGGATGAGGAAGGCATAAAGATCAAACACCGGAATTTGCGGGCCATTGCTCGCTTTTTGTGCACGAGTGCTGAGCCGAGATTGGTAAGTTTGATGCTACTCCCAGAAGACAGAACGCCCCCGAGTATGGGCGGATAGAATACGACACACCAGGTTATGTCCCAAGAACAAGCCAAAGCTAACTTCTGATACCTATGCAGTACTACAAACCTTGGGAACTGCGCCCTCACGAGGAAGACGTGATAAAACGCCAAATCGACGAAGCCGAGCAAACGATCCAGCGCGAACTCGACGAGCTTGATGTAAGCCGACAACGACGGTCAGACGGTGCCGAGGAACCTTCTGGTCCGCGAAGCACGAGTCAGACCGCAGAGAATGGGAATCTAGACTCAGAGAAGCAGGACCATGATGCTGATGGGTTGCGAAAGGGAGATGTTAATGGCGATGGCGACGGCGACGGCACCTCGCTCGCTCCAAAAGGACCTGAAGACAGGCCGACAAGCCCAGCAACCGTGACAAAGAAGGTTGATGCTGACGAGGATGATGTGAGTCCTGATCCTGGGCGCCAGTCTCGGCCGAAACACCAAGACTCCATGGGAGGAGATGGAAGTGATCGGCCGGCAAGCAAAGACGACGACCATGGCGGCGAAGAGCTCGAGCAAGGGCGGGAAGATGATGTTATCTACTGATCATGCAGGGTTCGTTTCTTCTTGCTTGGCTGTGGTCCAGCGCTGGGGGTGCCCTCGTATTTCGTCGGGCTATGCCATAGCAATGAGAGGGCAGTGGGAATTCCGCATTCGTCTCCCTCGGGGCAGCCAGTTTCCACTTCCATCTTCTACATTTCTCCCTCGACTGGGCAGCCTCTCTCTTGAGACATCCCGTCGCTGGCTACCAACGGAGTGGAGTATTGACTTGTTCGCAAAGCATCTACCCGCCAGACCTGGTCTTTCCGAACACAACACTGGAAATCAGTCAGTCATAATACGGATTGAGGTTCGTGTTCATGGGCCGCGTTTCATCTTCATCTTGTAGATGGGCGAAACCATGTCATACATACATACTGCTACCGCCAGAAGCAACGCTTACCCGATTTTTGGCGACAGGAAACCGCAAATGCAAATGCAAAGGCAAAGGCAAAGGCAAAGGCAAATCCTAGGATAATAATATTGAACATGACCGTTCTTTGTCAAGGCCATCCATCCAAGAGCAAAGCACCGCCATCTTCATCATCCAGTCCAGTAGACGCAATTTGGCATAAGGTAGATGAAGAGGTTGATCAAGCGTGGGCATGGTATGGTATCGAAATACTGGAGGATGCATCTGATGGTTATTACAAGCAATACTGGAGGATGCATCCGATGGTTCTTCACAAGGGCAAGGCCGCCCTTTTCCAATACCTACCGTATCGTAGCTAATGCCTAGACTGAGGAAGTTCCCATCTCTACCTAGCTATAGAGGTGGGATTGAGGAGTTCCCATCTCTAGATAGAGGTGGGATTGAGGAAGTTCCCATTCCTAGATATAAGTGGGATTCATATAATACTACGTACGTAGTAGAATCAGATATCTGCGGAATCCTCCAGGGCGGTCGTCGAGGATATAGTACTACTACTACCACCACTACTATTACTATTACTCCGTGGCTGATCTTAGAAAGAGAAAGAAGAGGGTCTTTCCCAGTAGAGGTGGAAATTTCTCGACATGATCGAATGAGTGAGTTGTTGAACTGACCTCGAATGAGTTGTTGAACTGACCGCCGTTGATTCGATTCTGGCACCAACCCTGGATACCTTCACGAGCGACGGGTCAGAAAGCATAGTAGGTAGGAGCATCAAGGTGGTAGGAACATCAAGGTGGTAGGACTATCAAGGTCAATGGACAAAGAGAAGAGACAATCAGAAACCCAAAGAGGAGGAACACCAGAAAACCAGAAACCCACAAGCCATTGATTCTTGCAAGCCTTGGTGACGTGCAAGCATGTTCATTCGTATCCATATCTGTATCCATGTCCGTCGTGCACGCCCATCACCATCACCATGACGGATTCTGATGGTCCGGCAACGAGGAGGAACCTAACGCGAGAAAACAGCCCAAGCGTGCCTTGTCCTTGTCCAAACCATGTCCATGTTCCTGTCCCTGTCCAACAAACCCTGTGCGCTCGCCCATCGCCCTTCGCCCATGCCTGTCTGGCCATTATGTCTCGTCACATGTCCAGATTGGGCCGGCCATATGGTGCGTCCCTCGAAAGAGAGCTGCCAGTAAAATTGCTGCCAATAGCATGACCGCACGCGCCCATGTTAAGCCTTTGTGGCTTTGGCAGTCTTGGTGGTCTTGCCGTCTGCCTTCTTCGTGCCAGCTGCCTTTTTGGCGGGCTTCTCAACGCTGCCGATCACTTTGTCAGCTGCGCCCTCGATCTTGCTCGCAACAGTTGGCTTTCTCTTGTGATTTGCGGCAGGCGTGCCTTTCTTGACGCCGCCCGTGCTTTTGGGCTTGGTCGTGGTCTTCTTGGTGCCCGTGGTGGTCTTGCGTTTGCGGACTGGTTCGGTTGAAACAGTGGCAAAGACACGAGGCTTTGCGTTGCCGGTTGCGCCACGAGTTTGTGCCATTGTATCGTCGGGTGAGATGAGTCCGCGGTGTGCTTGGAATACTGGACACGCGACTCTGTTAGCTTTAGCTCAGGTTGATGAACTCTTGTTGACGTGAGAAGGTGGGGTGGGTGATGGGTTGGGTTGGGTCGCTGGGGAGGAATATGCCACAACTCGATGCGCATCTGCTGAATATCCTTGAAACAAGGCAGATCGAGTGTTTATATACTTGCGACAACAGATGAGTCACCGGCGTGATGAAAAGCAGGTGTGGGAGGTGGTGAGCAGGCACCCAAGTTGTCGCGACCTGACAAGCACGGCAGATAAGGCACGGGAATATACATACATAGCTGGTGAGTAGAGTGTCGCAACGTGATGAAGCTGTGTCGACAGATGGATCAGGCCCAGGCGACCAGACTGCAATAGTAATGAGGGTGATAGATCGGGGTTGTGGTGAGAGAAGCGTGGAAAAGTTGGACGCGACGAAGGGAGGTGGGAGAGTCTGCCGTCCGGAGCCTGGGCCCCTAAGCCTGGGTCTGGGGTCGAGGTGCAAGGCCAGCTCAGAGCTCAGAGGCGAGATCAACTGACAAGACAACAACACCACAACAACGCCAACGCCTTTTCTGTCAGCCCCCTAAACCCATATGTCCATTGTCCGCCCTCTTTTTTCGGCCTCGAGGCTTTCTGTCGCTTCTGCATCTGGGAGCTATGCACCACTTGTTCAATAGGCCAATCGCACAGCTGTCTCCCGCCTCGCCTCGTCTCACGGTAAGCGCCCTGTTGATGTGTTCCCGGGCGCTTCTCGCATTAGGCATTAGGCCCGTGTGCGCCGGTCGCTTGACTTCGACTTCCACGCTTAGCATCCCCCAGCAACATGCTGAGTACCCGTACTCTGTATTTGTCGCAGCTGTAATGACTCGATTCGATGCTTCTCAGTCATACCAATCTCTGAATTGTCGGTCTTCCACAACTGGTCCGCCCGTTTGACTTAAGGAGTTCCGAATTTCCCACTCGAACTCTGCCAGGGCTCTCAGCTCCGACCCTACGAAGAGGCCTCCGATTAATCCATCCACTGTTCCAGCCATCAGGCCCAAGCTGCTCAGTAAAATCAAGATGAATGAGACGTAATTGTGCGGCGACCACCAAACCGCAACAAAACATCCGATCGAGACCAGAGCAGACCCGACGAAATGCAGGAGACGATATCGTCGTTGTTTCCTTTCTCGCAAAGTGTACTTGTGGATCATGGCAAGGATATCGTTGTGGAAGTCCTGTCCGAGATGGTATTGCGTGGGTAGACTAGAGGTTGCCTTCTGGAGATCAGTGTCCTCAAATTCTGCAATCTCAAGACTTGGCTCTTCCGTCTCCGAGTCGTGCAATGCTCCATGGACTTCGAGCCTCGCGGCCGTCGTCGGCTGCTTGGTCGTTCTCTCGACGGTTGCGCATACCGCAAAGTGATCGCTCAGCGAGCATAGCAACGTTGGGTGTCTTTCAGCAAATGTAACCTTTACGTCCGAAACCTTCCAGCCTCTATCGACACCGCTGAAGAAAATGTAGTCCAGTCGCTTCGCCTTCGGGTCCGGATCGGTTCCTGTAATGCGCCGGTCGAGGCCTTTCTCTAGGAGTTTTTGATGAGCCTTGTCCCAGCGCCAGGTATTCATCACCGAATCGCAGGTGTGGCCGTGTTCAAGTAGACTCTGATCCACATCGGGAGTATGCTTTTCACCCATGCGTTTCCTTCGCTCCCTCTCGGGCGGGTCGACGCTCGCACCCACGCTGCTGCCCGGCTTCAAGACCCTCCACACGTCTCGGACACCCGCTCGACTCTCGAGGAGGACATGTGCGAAGCTCAAAGGGACCATATTGAAGTCTCCGAGACCGATGACCAGACTGCCTCTTTCCGAGGCTGCTCGCATCAATTTCGCGATTTCCCATGCCTGGGCCGTGCGATGACAGATGTAGCTGTCGTTCGGCTCTTTCTCATAAGGCGCGTGCAAGTGCGTGTTGAAGACTTCGATGCGGAGGCCGTCGGGCAGTGAGATTGTGGCACATGCCACACCCTTCCCGACAAACCAGTCGCCTCTGAAAAATGCTGTTGGCCGCCCATTCAGCGGGTACCTATACATCGAGGACTCTCTGATTGGCCACCGGCTGAGAATGACCAACCCTCCTCCAAAGATGCCTGAGTGGTAGAACTTGCCGTGTGGGAGGATAGATCGCGTGCGGTCCCGGATGGCCAGGTAGTCGGCGAACGTCCAGCATTCTTGCAAGCCGACAATGTCCAGCTCGGGGGAGTAGCTGGCTATGCGATTCCCTATTTCCGCGAGACGTTCTGCCCGGTACTTGGAGAGGTACTTAAGTCCCCAGCAGTTCAGGGTCAAGATTCTAATGGACGAGACAGCCGAAGGATCGTCGGCTCCCACAGGGACTGGGACCATCTCTATGGCCATAATGCTGGAACTAGCAGCAAAGCCGTTGTTCTCAGGAGCTGCGATATAGTGCTGCCAAGGCGTTCAATATGGCATCAAACTGGGGTGAATTGGACATCTCTAGTCAACTCTAGTCACCTCGGGAATGATTGAGTGAAACAATGAAGGTGAATCCAGTCCAACTGGCCGTGGAGCATAGAGTCTGCACAGAGTATGCCGACAAGCGTTTTCGCCGGGGGGGCCGAGTGAAACAAGTACTGGGAGAGAGAGAAAATTAAATGATCGAAGCCTCATCGCCCGGAAGACGCGGCACGTGACTAGTTACATAATCGGCCCTGCAAGGCTCCGAGGCTCTGAGGCTCTACCAGCCTCCATGTTTGATTTAATGCCATTCCCATTCCCATTCCCATTCCCATTTCACCTTCGCCGGATTCCATGTTGCTTTTCATCAATGTGTGTTGATATACAGTCTTGTTTCATCACTTCGTACCCCTTGATCTTATCGGTCTCGGAGAGCGCTGCTCTCTGCACCTCTGTGCGTCCTCTCACCGGACTCGGCGCAGATTCAGTCGTCGAGGCTATCTCGTCTGTTACGTCTGTAGCCACCAGTCTTCCCTTGGCCATTTAGGCTCGGTAATGGATGGTGGTAGGTCTTCGTGTTCTGGCTCTGAACGTCAAAGTCCAACGGCTCTGTGAAAGAACCTGGCACAGTTCGAATGGGACGCTGAGGGCCGGAGTTCCTGCTTGGAGAATGATATCGCCCTGGACGGGGAGCTTGTGGCGCCGCACTAGCCATTGGAGGTGACGCTACACTGAACGTTTCTTCTTGAGAGTAGGAGAAGTCACGGCGGGTCTGACGCTTGTCGGGGCTTGCTTGCCTTGAAGATTGGCGATAGCCACCAGCGTAGGCGGAACTCTGTCGATGACTGTTACTGGTCATGTCGCTGCCACCACGTTCTGTTTCGGTGTAGTCTGTGCCGTAGAACAGAGCGTCCGAGTCCTTGTTAATCCCTCCGACCCGCGCGGCTCTCTCGTGTCGATAAGCACGAACATCATTGTCGTGGGCTCCTTCCCATTGAGCCTCATTGGCTTCACGGATCTTCCTCTCCTTGACCGTCTCTTTCTTCGCCTTGGTCTTCTTGGACGAGCGCTTTTCTTTGACGATAGGTGCTTCGGAGGAGAGATCGGTCATCGTCTCGGTCATGGTGCCATCAGCCATGGTGGCAGCACCGTCCTTATCAGAGTAGCCTTCTCCCACGACACTGCCACCACCGAGCACCGTACTCTTGGTGGCGTTGCTCAGTGTCGTTCCGTTAGGCCCTTTGCGCCGCAAGACGGTCGACTTATACTCCTCCCAATCACCTTTTCGCCATTTGAACCCGCCATTCTTTGCCCAGAAGAAGAACCAAATGGCTCCAAGGACAAAGGCGACACCAATGAGAGCAAAGACAGCCTGGATGCCCTTCATGTTGATGTGCGTAGGGTCGATTGATCCTGCTCCAGGATCCGGGTCGGTCTTGGCCTTGACATCTCGGGCAGTGAGGATGGTGAAGGTGTCTATTGGAGATGCATCGTCATTGAGAGGGAGGAACGGGTTGTCAATCGAGGCGGAAAGAAGACTGCGTTTGTTGAGAGGGGTCGCGGATAGCAATACATCGGATTTGGAGGAGCGAGAATCGAGTTCGAGGGACGAGAACTTGAGGTCAGGAATGTCGAGATGAGAAGTGACGGGAGCCATGGCGGTTAGTGGTTAGTGGAGCGTAAGGCTCCAGAGAGCTCCCTTCTTCGAAATCGAGATCTGAGAATTGTGCAGTGTACAGAGAGCGGCTCGTGGGTCTGACTGAAGACAGGAGCAGTTGGCGGTCTTTGCGTTGGCGGCAGCTCGAAAAGCGTGTTCTAAAGCATGCACGGAGGTCGATGGTTGTCAGAGATTGGAAAGACAAAGGTTGGTAGGAGGAAACTCACGTTCAACTCAAAAACAGTGCAGGGAGTAATCGTGACTGTGAATGTGAATTGTTGGAGGCTGGATGCCGGATTGCTGGATTTCTGGAGGCTGGTCAAGACTCAAAAGCGAAACTTGAAGTGACGCAATTCCCGCCGCAGTATTGACATGGCCGGATTGGGTAAGGCGGGCATCTCCAGGGCGACAGCGTCATAGCATACAAGGTTGCGTACACGTACCTCTGCGTGTCCGTACTACAGTTTGCGGAAGGCACCTAGAAGGGGCACTGGGAACTGTAATACTGCGAGTACCGCGAGATTGATTAATTACAGAATACTCCTAACTCAAAATATATCGGTCCAGATCTCTCTCAGGCTTGCCTTGCCTTTGACAAAACACCTTGGAGACGCCATGATATTCGACCGCAGCGCAAACACGTAGCACGTACCCGAACAGGCGGCCTCATGGCGGGCAACAGGCAACAGGTCTGACCGAGATCAGGAGTCGAAGTCAGACTCTGCCTGGCTCAGTCGATGGTGCAAATCAATTTGCCCATGGTCTTTGACGACTCGAGAAGCTCGTGGGCTTCTTGAATATCCTCCCACTTGAAAACCTTGTCGATGACCACCTTGAACGTTCCGTCCACGAACCTTGGCAGCGCATGCTCTACTAGCGTATCCCTCAAGCGGCCCTGGTATTCTTCGTCGCGGCTGCGCAGAGTGCTACCTTCGTACCTGATCCGCTTGAACAAGAAGCGACCGATGTCGACGTCTCCTTTGACCACTGCTCCGCCCATGAGGCCCAGGTTGACGATGTGTCCGTCCCGGGCGGCGACGTCGAGGTTCTGGTTGAAATAGTTGGCGCCCACAAAGTCGATAATGAAGTCTACCCCCTTCCCATCCGTGTACTTGAGGAGCTCCTGTGCCCAGTCCCCGTCTTTGTAGCTGAATCCCTCAGTGGCCCCCAGGGACTTGCAGAACTCGATCTTCTCTCGCGAACTCGCCGTCACATAAATGGCGGAGGCGTTGTCTGCTTTCGCGAGCTGGATCCCGGCAATGCTCACGCTGCTTGCGCCGGCGTGCCACAGCACGCTCTTACCGGGTACGAATCCGCCCACCACGTACAATGCTTGGGTGGCGGTGATCCATGTCTCCGGAATGCCCGCGGCCTCTTCCCAGCTCAGTTCCTTGGGCTTGTGCACCAGCATGTGCGTGCTGACCGCGATGTATTCGGCGTAGGCGCCTCCGTACGCAAGTCCAAACACTTCGTCACCGACGTTGAAGCCGCGCTCGGGCTCGCTTCCAAACGACTCGATTGTACCGGAGAATTCAACGCCAAGGGTCTTGGGAGCCTGCGGAGGAACAGGATATCTCCCCTCACGTTGGAGGAGGTCCATCCGGTTGAGACCGAAAGCTTTCACCTTGACCAGCGCCTGGCTGCCCGTGGGGACTGGCTTGGGCGTCTCCGAGTTGATGAAGAGTGCTGAGACGGGGCCTGTGCCTCCTTTAATGTCGACGGCACGTATGGTGGCCATATTTGATGATTTGATGATTTGATGATTTGATGAATGTCCTTAGATAGAGGGTTCACTTGTAGCCGAGATGGTACACCTTGTCCCCGAGATATAGTATAAGTAGGAGAGGGACGTTTGGTGAAGGTGGCGGAAACTGTGGTCCGTGGGCGTTGGGAATATATACCTGGTAGGTACGTAGGTAATATATCTGATTTCTAATAATATTCCTACCGTTTCTCCCTTAGTCACCTTGAGCAATACCACGTTCGAGCTTCGCCGTGTAGCCGTGCAATAAAGAACCCCAACTACCACAGGCCACGGTCAAACTTTATTGGACACTTAGGTCCTTGAAAAGTCCGAGCGGTCCTGCGCCTTTTGACAGCACAGAAATGTTCGGACTCCTCGGCATGGTGTTTACGTGGTGATGCAATCATTCATGTATCTTCTGCTCACATTGCTCCACGCGGCGCATGTCCACATTGGACAAGAGCCTGACTCCCTAGGGAAGGCGCGCGCCCTAGACCGATTACAAAGCCCAATCCATGCAATAACGAGGCTGATCCGAGTTCCAGCTAGACACGTTTCTTCATCTCAAACATCCGCTGCAGATGATACCCTGCAAGCCTTCGCACATCTCTCCGCTTAGCTCTACTCAATGTTGTATTGCTTGATCAGCTCGATCAGCTTGGAGGACTCTGTCACGAAGTTCAATGGTGCCGCCGATGTAACCTGATATCGGACCCTATCTGTAGTGTTAGTTCTGAATCGTCAAGGACGAATGGTAGTTGGCACTCACCGTTGCTGTTCCTGGAAACTGTCGAGTTTGGCCTTGCACTTCCATGTCCAAGTCTTGCAGTTTGCGTCCGAGAAGATTTCGGCCACTTGCTTCTCGTCGACCTCCTTGATCTCCATCAGTTCGTCCGCCGTCTTACCAATCATCATTCTCCCAACCTCGTCGAAACAGCTCACCCAGAGCTGGCCGGTGTGATCACTGATGTTCACAGACATGATATAGCGATATTCCGGTTTGGGATGGTTCTTGTCACATCTTTCGCAACGCCATTGACCTGGATCGATCTCCACAACCTTTTTGTTGCAGCCTTCTGACAGACAAGCTGGGTAACAGAAGCTGTCTGGCTTGATATATTGAATGGAGGCTTTGACAGAGAAGAAGTCTGCGGTCTCGGACATACCGAGCTGCTCCTCCTTGACTTGGGCAATGGTCTTGATTGGATCGATCCGAGAGCCCGAACCAGAACCGGCACCCTGGACATTGGCATGAGTGGCAAAGTTGCCAGATCGGCCTTGAGAATCATACCATCCTTTCAACTTGTGTGCCTCCGGCATGTCAGGATTCACGCTGACCGAGCCAGAACTGAGTAGACTCAGACTCCGTCCACCGAAATCGGACACTTTCACTCCTTTGAAAGCGACCACTGATTCCGGCGCAACGTCGAAAGATGCTGCGGTCTTGCCCCATATCGTCATCCGTACGGAGTATCCCGTGTCGTCGGCAAGTGTGAGTTCTCGCTTCTCGTACGGTTTTCCGGTGGTCTTTGACGTGGCTTGGCCCACCTCGCCGATATCTCTGAGTATTGCAATGAGGTCGATTGTGGTATCTTTCTCCACGGATTGCAAATCCGCTACGCTGGTGAAGTTGTAGCGAACTTGAGGCACTCCATCCTGCTCTTCGGCTTTCTCGACCACGGTGTCTTTTTCGAAATGTAATTCGTAATCGTTTGGCAAGTTTGAAAATTGTTTCTTCGCAAAGGATACTCGGCAAGGGCTGGAGATGTAATAGACGCTACCTTCTTGGAATACATCGTACAGCTGGTCACACTGGTCGTTAAACCCGGTGGCTCTGATTTCGCCGCTCTCGTCTAACAGATTGACACTGAACAGCTTGCCTTCGCCATTTCGGTTGTGCCATGTCTTGATCTCTGACTTGCTGGTACAGCGTGCTTTGATCGTCCATTTGTTCGAATACGGTGAAATCGCCTCGATCGGGTAGATATTGGCGTGGGCGCTCGAGGACGTGGGCTTTGTGTGACTTGGCATGGGTCGATTTTGTTTGGGCTGCTCTTGCTTGTTTCCATAGAATCCATTGCTGGTAATAGTGGTAGGGGAAGCTTTCTCTTCATCTTCGGCCTTCAGTTCTAATTGCTTGGGATCGCCAAGTTTCTCATATTCGCCAAACTCTTCTAGGACTTTGATCTCCGTAACAATCAGGATCCTGCAAGACATTGTCAATACCAGTTGAGGAATAGGAGACTCCGGACCTACCGCTTCGTCTTGACCTTGTTCGCTGAATACCCGACCAGTTGAACAAGAACTCCGCGTCGCAGGATCTTCTCTTCCACAAGATAGTTTTGGTGTACCGCCAACATAGTTTGAATATAGTTTTTGGTGTCACTAAAGATCACTCGGTGACGTTCCTGACCTCCTGGCTGAGCGGCAATCGGCTTTATCTGCACACATTGCATGACAGGCTGTTGGACACGGCCAGGCCGATCGTCGAATATGTCCGATAAAGAGCCCGCGTCAATGCGCTTGAGCGCCTCCGCCTGACTTTTACCCATGATGAAGGTCGATATCGGCTTGCAGAGTGGTTGTCTGGGATTGGAAATATTGTTAGCAAAATGGCGCAGGCACAGGTATGGATACACAGAAGGGGATCTTGTTGCCTCCGCCACCTCGACGCGTTATTCAGGACTTGGACGCGTAAAGTGGAATTTTACTTGGCGTCACGTGATATCATCCCTCCCACTACTAGTAAGGCGAAGGATAGATACTCTGAGCCTCCGTTGGACGTTGCCCAAGACTTGGGCAGAGCTAGTAGATTAACTGTGCACTCAGCGCGAATACCTTCAGTAGCAGGAAGAAGACATAGGCCTGTACTGATACATTGGGGGATAGTGCCCAGGCACTGTGTTTTCCACTAAGGCGGCGTCACATGATTCCCAAAATGGTACTATCCAAACTTACTGCCACCTTCACCTGTTGACAACAAGCACGAATTAATGGTTTGTCTGTGAGAGTATTATCCATTGCTACTGCAAGCCTAGTAAATCCTCCGCCACTGCACTCAGCAGCTCTGTGCGCTCTCAGGACTTCTGCGAACTCCATTGACTATTGCCATCATGTCCGATCCCGAACTGGCAACCAAAGCGCCGGAATCTGATGCCATGGAGACCGGTGCCGGTGTGGGAGAACACTGCGTGACAGACAGGCCCAACCCAGATGATCGTCAGCCTTCAGGTGAGATGACTAAGTTTGGCGACATCGATGTCTACGTCTCAAAACCTGGCGACTATCCTAATTCGCCCGCGAAACTACTTCTGCTCCTCACTCCAGGGACTGGTGTTCATTCTACAAACAATCAAATCCAAGCCGATATATTCGCGTCTGAAGGATTTGTTGTCATCATGCCGGATCAATTCAGGGGTGATGCAGCACCAAACAGCAAAGCCATTCCGGCCGAAGAGCATCCGAGTATCTTGGAGCAGGTCAAACTGCGAGCTGCCGAAACCGCTAAATCTTTCCTTGTGGACATGTGGCTGGCCAGACAGACACCCGAGAAAGTCATACCCATACTACTCAAAGTGATCGAAGCAGTCAAGGATGAGTATGCTGACGCCATTGCACACGGAGAAGGGATCTACTCTGTAGGATATTGCTTCGGCGGGAAGTATGTGATCATGCTGGCAGGAGAACATCCGGATACCGTGGTTGCAGGGCAACCACAGGGGGATGAGGAGGTCGGAATGGTGAAGAAAGGCCCGCTTATCAAAGCCGGTGCTGTGGCCCACGCAACGTTGGTGACGCGCGAAGATTTCAAGGCTGTGCAAGCCCCTTTGGCGTTGGCTTGCGTCGGTGAGCAATCGCATTATTGACAGGCTACTAAGCTCAACTAATACCTCCTCAGAAAATGATCCATTATTCCCTGAAGAGATCCTACAAGAAGGTCGAAAACAGTTCGCAGCAAGTAACATTAAGCACGATATCCAGGTTTACTCGGGCGTACCGCATGGTGTGTCAGGCAACTCCTTTGCAAATGGACAAGCGCTAATTGTGGTCAGGTTTCGCTGTCTATGGAGATTACGATTCGCCTGCAATCAAAGAGGCCCAAGCAGCGGCCTTCCAGCAAATCCTCACTTGGCTCAAATCGCATTGAAAGGCACTAGCACAAGGGACTCTTTCGATCTGTACTTTTCAGGACCGCCTCCTCATATCGAAATGAGCACCATTGTGTGATAGGCCCAGCAGGCCTCTCGAAGTGAAGCGAGTGGAGGTAGCTTACATTCTGCTATTCAGGCTGGAGGACTCCAAAGATACAAAACTACAGTCCGAGTGATCCTTGAGCCGGAGCAAACAGTAACACGTGAGCCTCAGCGTACGCTGGGACACAAACGAAACGATACCCATGAGGATATGAGAACAACCAAATTGTTAGAATATGGAATCTGAAAACACACGTAACGTCTTGATTGGCTTCATTTGTGCTGAGCCCGCTATGGGGCCTATGTGGTCAAAATATCCTTGACCACAGACTGCTCGGTTCCTTCATAGGAGAATTGGCTGCCATTTGATCCTTAGTTTCTTCTAAGACTTCAACTGCTCTGCGCCATGCGTGCTCGAATCCTGGTCGTCACTCATTTCTGCATCATCAATTGTACGAATTCGTTGTCTGAACGATGTGCACGTCAGTCTATGTTTCCGCCACGTATGCCCAAGTGTGAAAGAATCCAAGATCGGAGTCCACTTACAATCAATACGTCCGTCGCCGTCCTGGTCAGCCTCTCGAATCATCTCGTCCACTTCGTCGTCTGTGAGCTTCTCGCCGATGGAGGTCATGACATGGCGCAGCTCAGCGGCTGAGATGAAGCCATTGTTGTCGCGATCAAACACCTTGAAGGCCTCTCGTATTTCCTCCTCGGAGTCTGTATCCTTCATCTTGCGAGCCATCATTGTGAGGAACTCTGATATTGTGAGCGGCCAGCGCATGCAGTAGCCAGCTGCCAAACCGTACCTGGAAAGTCAATGGTGCCGTTGTTGTCGGCATCCACTTCATTGATCATGTCCTGCAATTCGGATTCGGAAGGATTTTGGCCCAGAGATCTCATCACTGTGCCCAATTCCTTGGTCGTGATCTGGCCTTCATGCGAGTGTCAGTGGGTCTACCGTTCTTCGGTTTCGACTAGGTGGTCGGACGTTGCTAACAGGGAGGGGAAACTAACCATCGCCATCTTTGTCCTGTAGAAAAGCAAAATGTCAGCCTGGAAACAATCTGGTCGCCAACGATAAGACTTACGAAGAGCGAGAACGCTTCCTTGAATTCGGAAACTTGTTCTTCGGTCAACGAGTCGGCCTGGGAATCCAGCTTGTCAGTTCCTGGACAGTATACACAGTGTTGCACAACCGCAGCCGCGTGGCGAGGTCATGGGACAACAAACCATGTTGAATGTCTTTAGGTGATCGCTATTGTAGCTTATAGGTGGATTCGGGGATACAGTCTTCGTCGAATGTCCTAGGAGAGTTGTTGTCTGAGGAGAGAGTAAGGATGTTTGCAAGTAATTACCCAGTAGCTGATTGTTGTAAGTGCACACGCAGGTTGTCCGTAACATCTCTCGAAAGAGTTAGCAGCCCCTGCAAGGAGGGATCCTCGGATCATCGTTTTTCCGCCGTGTCCGTCACCTCTTCGAAGTGCGGCTCCGTGATGCCTGTCGCGCAACAGTCGTCAATGCCCGGGAGAGGACAGCTTGCCTATCAGTCCAGAAATTTGTGTATGAAGCCGGTGTCTCGTGTGTTGTCTGGTGTCCTCGAGCGTTGTGCTCCATCGACTATCCTCTACCAGCATGAAAACCACGGACATCACGAATCTCCTGACAGGCCGCCTATGCATGTGAGCCTTTGCACTTCACCACTGTGAAGATGTGGAGAGATCGGACCAATCTGTACGAAGACCCCCAGAAGACTAGAAGAGAAGTTGCTCATTATTGTGTAGCTACATCTCCTACCGCCAATCTTACGCTCGTCACCCCACGAAAAGGCCTAGATATCCAACAACATCCAATGGCTTTACAGATCAAGGGTCCGAGGAGACCAGAGGTCTTATGTCGGCTGGCGCATACGACACGGATGGAGACGCTGTCATTGAAATGGACCTACTTCCGCCGCGCTGGATCGATGTGCAAGAGGAGGTGGATGATGTGCTCAAGGATATCACCCTAAAAGGTGCCAAACTGGACAAGCTTCACGCGAAACACGTCCTGCCCGGGTTCGACGACGAGTCTATCAAACAGCAAGAAGAGCGTGAGATAGAGAAACTGACGCAGGATGTCACCAGAGGGTTTCAGGAGTGTCAGAAGGCCATTAAGCGTATCGAGACCATGGTCACAGAGGCAAAACAGACTGGCAACTTGCAGAAAGGCGAGGAGACCATGGCGAAAAACATGCAAGTTGCTTTAGCCTCCAGAGTCCAGGAAGTGAGTGCTACATTCAGGAAAAAGCAAAGCACCTATTTGAACAGTGAGTAGCACCGTACCTCCGTGGGCGGAAGTCTTTTTCTCATCTCCAAACAGAACTTCGAGCGCTCGGTGGGTTCGAGTCGCCCATGGGAAGGGCTTCAACCCCAGTACAGAATCCATACTCAGACCCTGCGTTGATGGAATCCGACGCCGACAAAAGGTTCAGCCAATCCACGCTTCAACAGACAGCGCAAAAACGACTACGCACCAACGATACTGCCATTGCACAACGGGAACAAGAGATCAACGACATCGCAAAAGGTATCATCGAACTGGCCGACATATTCCGCGACCTTCAGGCTATGGTCATTGATCAGGGCACCATGCTTGACCGGATAGACTATAACGTCGAGCGAATGGTGACAGATGTGAAAGGTGCCGAGAAGGAGCTCATCGTTGCCACAAACTACCAACGCCGCAACACAAAACGGAAGATTTTGCTGCTCTTACTTCTCCTGGTTATTGGCATGTTCATTCTACTTCTGGTCAAACCCAAAAAGCGCTCGCAGGACGCACCGCCGAGTTCTCCTGATCTGCCGGGAAGTCCGCCTTGATCGAGTCGAAGTCTGGGATGTAAACACATCATTTGCCTTGCCATGCTATGGCCATCAAGGCACCTGGGTGTTGTTGATTTCAGGTTTCTCTGGGCCGCCGATATCCATACATAAGAAGGCTTCGAGGTCTACTCCACCTGGACGTTAGATCCAGTTTCTACACCAGGGTTGTTGACTCAGTCTCCTCTCGCCACGGAAATGGACCGTTGCGTAACAAGAGATGCGGACCAGCACTTCCTGACAGCTCATGTTCCTCAAGCTGCTGGGGCCCTGGACTGACCACGGCATGAATGTCTATCAATCCAAGGACAAATTTTCAAGCCTAGTCCGAAACTCCCTTGCACCCCGCAAGCTGTAGGTAAGCTCATGCATGACACCCTAGAATCAATCTCTCTGCCCGACACTGACAAGTCGCCAGGACAGTGACCTCTTGTCCCGAGCCCGCCGAGCAGATGACCCCGACCACTCACCATGTCCGACCTTGTTATTCAGAGTCTCTAGATAGAAATAGGAGGCGTTGCCCAAGGATTGACGCAGGCTAAACGCCACCACCAGAAACAAAAGTCGAAAACCATCTAGGAAGATGAAGAGCGAGACGCATGAGAGCCCAGCCGGCCAATCACTCGCTCCTGGACCCGTTTGAAGTCATGAAACATCAATGGGACCAGAGGGGAGACATGGAATGGAATGCTCACCCCTTCCGCCTTGTACCACCTGGCGGGCCAGGGCCAATATCTAGCTAGTGCTCTGCTTGGACTTGCTTCGGTCGGTCCACCCAGGCCATCCATTATGGTACTCGAACAGGATCGTTTTCTCAGAGTTTGGTACTCGTACAGGATCGTTTTCTCAGACAGACTTTGGTACCTCCGCTATCCGTACATCAACGTACATAGAACCCATGCTGATGTTGATGTTGGTGTCGGTGTTGGATGTACTATATATATACACCATACTACCTTTACTTCCTGGCCTAATTGGTGTGCTGTGAGTGTGCTGTGTGCTGTGAGTGTGCTGTGTGCTGTGAGTGTGCTGTGTGCTGTGAGTGTGCTGTGTGCTGTGTGCTGTGTGCTGTGTGCTGTGTGCTGTATGCAGTCTCTTGTCTTTGGCGTCCTTTTTTCCATCAGAACAGCTGAAATAACTGGGCTAACCTTGACCTGGCCGCTGGACAAGAGATCGATCGCGAAATATCGCAAGGATTTTGATGCATTCATTCCCCGTGTCTTCCCCCGCGCAGTAGGCTGGATGTAGGATGTAGGATGTAGAATGTAGGCCGAAGCAACGCTGACTTAAGATACTATTTCGCTTTTCCAACTTGCTGGATAGCTTACAATGCATAAAGGAGGAATTCGAAAAGCGGATAGTAGAAAGAAACGTGAGCGAGGCGAGAACGAACCCATATAAAGTCACACGTATTTCCTCTACGGATCTGTTGACTAGAACATGCCTAGACCCTAGCTAGGGTGGTCCTAGAAGAGGCAAAATAAATGGATATCTTGATAATGGCGTCCGAGGAAGAAGAAACGGCAAAGGCCAACAGAAGCCTACTGCGACCAAAACAAAAATCAGAGATATTCTTTCCCCCCTCTCTCGCGCCTGGAATAGAATTCTGATTCTTACTGACGATGAGATGTAGACGCCGAGACCAACTACCATGGACGTCGACTTCAATATGCATGTCACGAAACACCACCAGCCATGACTAGTTGCCTGACACCCACAACCCCTTGTGTCTTGATGTTCGTGGTTGCGTTGGAGTTGGCGGTTGTACTCGTGGTAGTAGCAGCAGAAGCACCATTGTCGCAACCTCGAGTGGTGTCAATTCTCAAGTCTCTCAATTTCGCGGCAATGTCAGCAGCATCTCCTCCTCCTTCTCCACCAGCAGCAGTTGGACTTGCATCATGCCCGATCCCTCCGTCCTGTCTCACAATTAGGCCGGCACGACACATGTTCTCGGGTATAGGTAGCTCCACGCATCTGGCACCAAGGCGTCCTCTGATGTCTTCGAACAAGACTTCCATGGGCGCAATGTAAGCGGTCTTGCTCTTGTCGCCCCAGGCGAGAACATGTCCGCAGAGGCCTCCGGTCACGGGGTCGTAGACCCAAGCGCCACTGTCGCCAGGAATGCCGAAGCCGCCTTCGACGCACCACGAGGTTGAGAAGGATTGGCGACCATGCATTTTCACCAGCGCCATGGCTTGTGAGATGCGGCCCTTTTTGAACCCAGACGAGCGGCCACGGCAGTGAACTTGCAGGCCCGAGAGTTTGGCCAGTGGGGTCACGGTGGTGAGAACAGGAGGATGGCTGTGGCTGCCTTGTGGTGGTTGTGGCTGTCGCTGTGTTTGCGAAGAATCGTCGGTTTTGTGACTGACGGGACGAGCAGTCGATTTGGATGTTCCACCTGGGTCTACTAGCAACTCATTCTCAAGTCGCAATCTGCAGCGGTTGACTCTGATCAGGGCCCAGTCGACTTCGTGCTTCATCTCACCCCTGATCACTCGGCGTATGCCACTGCTGGCAAAGACGTAGCCAAAAGAATGGCTGGCGAGATGGTCGTCATCCCGGTCTTCCTCGCTAGGGAAGAAATCGTCCTCGACATCGTCAATGGCAGGCTGTGTGACGGTGAGATCGTCGTCCGAGAAAGGAGCTATGCCGGTCTTGTCACCGACAGAAGCCGCGTCATCGAGGTCGTCCGAGGAAGACGAAGATGCGTCGTCCTCGTCGGAGCCGGCGTCCTCGTCGAGTTCAGGCGGTGAGTCTTCCAAGAACCAGAACTCGTTTCCGTCGGCATCCATGATTGCATAGTCTGGCCGGATGGTGGTGGCATCGCTGCCATCATCACTGCCTTCGAACTCATCATCTGAGATCTCAAAGTCAGAAAGCCGCGCAACGTCTTCGTCAGACTGCATAAACCGCAAATCGGCAGCCGTGTCAAATTGACCGGGCATTGTGGATGGCGCTGCAGACCTCCGCGGTTGTCCCGGGACGTGGGCCTCGTCATCTATTTCATCGTCGCTCGGGACGTCCAGCATGTGGTGGACCGTCATCCCAAACGCTTCCCCATCCACAAGAACCGTGCCCCCAAACGAGACTGGAGGCAGATGTTCATTGTCTTTGAAAGCCCCAATGCTAGCCCCGCTCGAAGGACGCTCCTGGTATTTCTGTTCGCGCGGTCTTCGCGTCATGGCTCGGTGACCTCTGCTCATCGAACTGTAACCCGACCGTCTCGGCTTTCTCCTCTTGCCACTTCTCCTAACTTCACCGTTAAGGACGACAACACCCCAGCCCAGCTTCGGCCTGAAACGTTTCCTCAGCACGTCGCGGACCTTGTCAACCAGCGCGCACTGGACACAGATTGTTGTCCTTGCGTTCTCGGGAGCTGCGCCGACCATCATCAGACTGAGACTGCATGAGACTGGCGAGTCTTTGAGTGCCGCCTCCAGTATCTTGCCTAGTTTTGGCATCACCAGAGTGTTCCAACGGTCCAGGTCTGCTTGGGGAATATCAACCTCTGGCCATTTTCGCAATGGTGCCTCTACTGGCGGAGCGGACTGCTGGATTGTTTCAGCCTTGCGCTTCGAGTTTGCCCGTTTCGGCAACTCCGGCTTGTTTGCATCGTCCTCCGGCAGTGCCTTTTTGGAATATTCCACGGCCTTTGCCTCCGCTTTGCACATTTGCTCGATGATCAGCAGCTCGAATACTTCAATGTCTGAGACGGGAGGAGGTCCTTCCTCGTCCAAGACACAACACTGATGTAAATCCTTTATTACTTGCAGCATAAAGGCCCCGGCATCTTCATAGTTGTTTCTGAACTGCAATTCAGTCGGTGCCTGGAGACATTTCTGGACAAGGCGCATGTACTTGCTACCGCACTTTGGAGCGAGTTTGTGGGAATAAATCTGCTGGATCCTGTTCATGAAAGTCCGGCGGTCATATTTTGGCTTCCATAGTTTCGAGAGGGGGATCCACAGTCCAACCTCCAGTAGCAACAACCCCAAGCTGTAGATATCGTATGCAGGGACGACTTCGGCAACATGAATGTCATGATCTGGATGGCGGTAGATCTGCACCGCAAACGGCTCCTCGGCCCGCGAGCGGGAAAGAAAGTCCTGGCATGACTGCAACAGATAGGGGGACCTCAGTTCCTTGGGCAGATTTGAACGATGCATGTGTTCGCCCGAGCCGATGAGAAGAATGTTGCTGCTGTTGACATACTGATGCGTTTCACCGTGTGAGAAGTAACCCAGAATCGAGAGGGCTAGATTGTATGCAAGACGGAATCTGTCTTCCAGGGCTGGTTGCGATGTTTCCTGATTGTTACTGGCCGCGATCAGAGATCCTAAGGTCCGATGCTGCTGCAAACTCTTGTGGTCATGACCGTCAGGTAAAGCGTAGACCATCCCATAGCGAGGTCCATTGGGATCGATAGTGAACCCGAGGAGCCTCAGATGGCCACACCATGAGAGGGAGCGGTTTTTGCATAGCTTTTCGCCAAGTTCGTGAACCTCAAACACATCGTCGGCGCTTCCCACAACATAGAGTGGACAATCGGCCGTGAGGTAGTCAACCAGGACATGTTGAGCTGCGGTGCGATAGTAGGCCATAGATCTCTCCCTAGTTGGGACCGAACCTTCGGCAGGGTCATAAGGGGGCGGATCCGTGGCTTGGTGAGAAAATGAACCAAACTCAAGGCTGGCAAAGTCGATATGGAGTGGGTGGTGGGTTAGATGCCCATATTCGGGCCTATCCGAGAATTCGTGGGCATGCTTGATCCGTTTCGCCTCGCCCTTTTCGTCGGCCATCCTCGACTCCTCCAGGCTGTAGAGAAGATCGATGCAAGACGTTAGCTGCTCGAGCAGAGCTCTTCCGGTCTTGACCTCGTAGCTGGTCCAGTCCTTGCGTTGGGTGACTGGACTGGAACCGGGTCCTCGTTTCGACTTTGCCGCCTGTTTCATTTCATACCTCTCAGGATGTTCGAGTCGGCCACTTTCCTCCAGGAGTCGCTTGATCTCGGACATGACGCTGGCCACCACCTCTCCCAGTCCCGCCTGGTCGATCTTCTTGTCGATGTCGACATCGCCCTGACCTGAGTAGGGAGCCCCAACATCGGTCCAGTGCATACCCCATGCTAGTAACCTGTCCTGCTGGATTTGAAAATCACGTCTCAGATCCCGCACCTCGGGCAAGTCGGTGACATCTGCAGCGGCCTTTGCGCTCTCGTAGGATTGCTTTGTGTCGGAGTACAGCTTGGACAGGCGCTGGAGATAGGTGCCGCGCCGTTGAAACATGATGGCTGTTGTTTCGCTGATGGTTATCTAGGTTGTCGTTGGGGGTATGCCGTCATGGCGAGGCGTATGGCATTGGATATGTCTATGATGTCTGTGTTAATAGATGGGCCAGACTAGCATCATGCCGGCATCAGGTCGAAGGGTGTTCTTGATAGGAGTGGCCGTTCTCGACATGTACCATGTATGGCGGCTGAAGAGAAGTGCACTCAGTCTAACGGGAGTAGATAGTGGGGGGTTGAGCGACAGGCCGCGTATATTGGGCCGGGGGAAGAAATCCTGCTGCCTGTTGGTCTGGAAACTGCATTGGCGTCGCCACCTCCCGGATACAGATTTGATTTATTAATTAATAGGGAAGCCTAGAAAAACGAGGATGCCTGGACACGCCCCGGACTGTGCTACGCCTCGCTCCTTCCGACTGGCTCCTGCCACAACAATGCTGCTGCCTTCAGAAGTATCGTATCCAGATTCCAGACTCCGGCACGTTGCACGGAGTACTTCGTCCGTCTGATCCGGCGCTGCGGACATTGCCAATGTCTGCAACAGACGGAAACGAAAACTTACATAGTATACGCATACCTGTCGCGTCCACTTGGGCTCCGGAAGCTGACTCGCCCTCTAGCTCTTGTAGTTGCATCTGCCCATCTTAGTTATCTCTTCCTGATACGGAGTATGTATGCCATGCACAACATAAGAAGCGGGGGTTCGAGCTGCGAAAGGTTCCTCGAACTCTAGCATTGATACCACAATGCTCTGGAGGCAGTCACCAAACATACAACCAGTTCTACGCATAACAGACCAAGACTCAAAATGAAGGAATCGATGAACAAGTGCAATTCCGTTTGATTGTGGTTTACATTTACATTTGCGGTTGCTGTTCTCAGGTCCACCTTGTCGTCAAGCCATGATGGTGTAAGACTTGTTCCGAGAATCCCCGTCAGTTGTTGTGTGAAAACATCCCCATGCGCCGTTTCATCATCCATAAAGCTCCGTGACCCATAGCAATCAACCAGATTCTAGCAGGTGTACCGGTAGTAGACCATATCTTTCCAATACCAGTCTAGCCACCGAAACCATAGAGGGTTCTGCCTTGTCGCTTAAGAGCATAGACGACATCTAAGCCCTTGAGTTAGTGCATGGTCCTACCGTGGAGTTGTATTCGGTGAAACTTACCCAGAGAGGTGACGGTCTTTCTCTTCGCGTGCTCAGTGTAAGTGACGGCATCACGGATGACAGATTCGAGGAAGGACTTGAGGACACCGCGGGTTTCTTCGTAAATCATGGCAGAGATACGCTTCACACCACCACGACGAGCGAGACGACGGATGGCAGGCTTAGTGATACCCTGGATGTTGTCGCGAAGAATCTTTCGGTGACGCTTAGCACCTCCCTTTCCGAGGCCCTTGCCGCCTTTGCCGCCTGTGAGATGGAGTGTTAGCAGACACGCATGCAGGAGGGAGTCACATGTGGTAGTGTCTGAAAGTCACGGTTGGGTGAGGTTGGGGGTGGAGTGCAACTTCTTGGGCCCGCAGTTGAGATCGACAACGAGGTATAGACGCGACACCGACCACGACAGTGCAGAGGAGAACAAAGGTGTTACTTACGTCCAGTCATGTTTGATAAAGTGTAGAAGTGATGAAGATTGGGAAAATGATGGAGTTGTTGATGGTTGGTTGATAAAGGACGACTGTGAGGAGTGACAGGTTGTGGCGGAGGAGTGCTAAAACAGAAAGAGAGAGAAGGGAAGAAGCACGGAAGGAGGAAAGCAGGAATATAAGCGAAAGCAGGGAGGGCGGTCGCGCAGTAACAACGGCAGATCAGGCCGGGGGCTTGGCGGGCGGTCAATGATCTGAGCAGAAACTGAGCGTAGAGAATCAGGCGACAAGAAGTGCTGGAAATCAGCCTCTTCAAAAGGCCTCGGTTTCAGGGCCGCTGATTGGGTGTGGGATTCAGCTTCTTTGTTTCATGCTGATCCGGCTCAGATAACGCATCACGTGTCAGGTCCGGACTATTAGCACCAGCTAGTACTAACCTAAACTTTGAATAAAGAGTATGATGCTCCACCCGAGTCTACTGTGTTAGGTTAGGTACCTGTAGGTACACATCTACTCCGTACTCTATAGGCACTCCGTAAGGCGTTCGATATCTCTGGTGTGTCTACAGAAAGCGCTTAGGTTGTACTGGCGGTGGGTAGCATATGTATATTCAAATGCTCTGTATACTCCGTAGACCCCATGGCAATTCCGATCCACTCACCACTCGCTTTTGTATTTGCATCATTGTACACAATTAGGTCGTCGCAAGTGCTATGCAGGTACCTAGGTAGATACGTAGACACTCCTTGTGTCAACGCCCTATCTAGAAGAACCCTGAGTATCGTTGCTTCTGTTTGTACCTGGTGTACCCCACGTAACCACCACCGACCAAGCCAACAAAGAATATCAACTTGAAAAAGAACCATCCCCATCCACCACTCTTCTTCTCCCTTCTTCCTCTAGCGCTTGCTCGAGCCGCCGCCGCCGCAGTCCTGCCCGCATTCGTCGCCACCGGGTTGTACAGATTCCGCGTCTCCACGCTGATGATGTCGAAGTTGTCCGACAACTCGCCCGTGTGTGCGCTGAAGCCAAGATAGGCCGTGTTGGGCAGCTTTAAAGGTTGCTGTTCTGTGGGTTCGACACTGAAGCAGTCGATCCACGAATCTGCCGCCTTGTATTGAAGTTGTAGAGTCAGCGACTTGTCTTGGAAATATGTCAATTTGGCCTTCGTGGGGATCGAAGCCCCGCGCAGTCCGCGAGCCTGAAGGTACGACACTGGTCAGCCTGAACACGAGACACAAGATAAGCTCCACCATGGTATTGGCCCTCCTTACCGAACAGCCAGCCAGCTCATTCGCCTTGCCATCGTTTGCCGTGTCGTACGTCGTCTTGCCATCGCCTACCATGGCCATCACATAGGGAAACACCACGCCAGGCCTGTTGTTCTTGTAGGTGTCGAAGAAGATGCCCAACCCTTCAAACTGGTCCGCATGCCCGAACACCGGCCCTGGTTGACCCCTCTCCTTTGTAATCCACATAGCAAATCCATCTCCATGCAGATGTCCTTTGCCGTTTATCGAGAATTCGAATTCCACTTCCCAGTTCGTGGCCGTGACAGGGATTCTAGAAAAGAGCCAGCCTGACTGGGACGGGAAATCGGACGTCAGTCGGATGTATTGGTCTGTTCGAATTATGGTGTCGCCGCCAAAGTCCCACCATCGACTGGACATGTCGGAATCAAGGTACGGAGGTGCCAGACTGTGCGTACGCAGCTAGGTGTCGCCACGTCGTTAGCCACCCGAAGATAGAATCCGCGACATCGCCATGGTCTACTGCAACGCTTACTGGTATGCTCTTCATGGATGTATCCGCCTCAACTGCTGCCCACGTACCCACCGTGTAGGCCGCCAGCAGCCATAGTAGCGACGCGGCGTTGGAGAGCCACATTGTTAACAGGAGTGTTTGCAATCAGTCCTCAACTCGCCTGCACAACGCGGCCTTCGGAAAACAGAAAACGTGAAGCAAAAGAATTGAGGAAGCGAAACTATCAAGGCCAGTGCATGGCAACAAACAACGAGCGAGACAGATGACACCTCCTGAGCGGCTTGGGCACTGTTACTAGTGTGTTACCATAAAGGTGTCCAGTTTGCAGAGGATTTGGTGCCGGGCGTGCAGCTTGTGGGGAGAGCGATCGCCTGGACATCGTAACCAGTCGCTCACCAATAGTGTTGTGAGACCCGCGGAAGACTTGCCATAATCACCCATATATAACTTTTTAACACAAACTTGCACACCCATGTCGGCTGCGGAGTAGCATCAGAATCTTGAAGCTCTTGACGAACTCCGTACTTCCATTCACACAGCGCTCTCAAGTCCCAGCTTACACTCTTCGCCTATACGAACCTTTCCATTTGCTGAACAGCTACTACTTGTACAACAACACCGACACATCCATCTCCTAGCCCAGCAACCCTCTTACTTCAACATCAGTTATCTCCAAACAAAAGCACAACCAACAATATGTCTTTCGGCGGTTTCTTCGGCGGCGGTTCCTCCTCTTCCTCCGACAAAAATAATAACACATCCTCCTCCTCTTCTACCTCAAGCGGCTTCAGCAATCCCCTCTCTCCGTCATCCCCCAGTGGCTCCGAGACCCTGCAAAAACTCCAAGCCGCCGTCGCCGAGCAAGCCAACGTGGTAAACGCGCGAACTTTAATATCTAAGGTGAACGAGGTGTGCTTTGCAAATTGTATCACCAACCCTGGGACGAGTATCAGTGCCGGCGAAAACAAGTGTCTCAACGCATGTATGGAGAAGTACTTTGACGCATGGAACGTCACGAGTCGCGTGTTCACGACTAGGGTACAGAGGGAGAGTGCAACTGGCAGCATAGGAGGAGTATCGCCGGGAGGTGGCAAAGAGTTGTTTTGAGAATGTCCAACAAAGGACTGGAGATTTGGGTTGAATACAAACGTAGCTGGACTCAGCAGCGTACTATTCTTGAGTTTACATCTACAGCGACCGCCAGTAAAGGTCGGAAAAGCAGTAAACACTCCATGTCATCTTCAAATCCCGAAAGATATACTGCATCATCCAAGACTCGACTGCTTACCTAGGTAGTCGAATGGAAGTTTACTAGCAAAGCCGGCTCTGACGCATGGAGTAGGACTCTATCACAGAGCCAGGCGACGCCGTCATAGTTGGCAACAGTAGGTGCAATCTATTCTATGGGTTCAAAGGTTGATATCAATCCAAGTACGAAGCACTCAAGGTTCCTCACTCAGCGGCTCGACCATGATGGGAGATGCTACCACACGGACCCAATCCTGAGCTGGCCAAAACCGCTTGCGGGTCTAACTCAGGCTGACTTCGTATAAGTACTCTATACCAGGTAATCCATGTTCCGTGGGTCGGATACTCTAGTGTCGGTAGACGTTAAGGGCCATCAAGACCCAATGATCGGACGATACGTGCAGGAAACGACGGGAGAAACGAGCAGGCGGAAGTCCTCCATAATCAGGCGCTCACCCAACCATGATTGATCTCTCACGGCATCGCTCCAGCTTTGAGCCATGAGGTTGATCCAGGCGCCTATCTCTGGCTCGTCGTCAATGTCGACACCGCACTACAGACGGCCAAGAGACTGGTCGAGGAGATGGGCGCTATTGGACTCGTCTGTTGCGGTCGGTCGCCGACGCCGAGAATCCACAGTGTATGCATATACTGCTTCTATCTTCTATCTTGACTACTCTGACGACGGACAACCACACCGGCTCCCACTTCAAGACGGAACCATGGCCGACGACCTGCAAACAAGTGCGGACAGGATGGACTCCTCGATATCGGTGGCGGAGAAGCCCTTTCGGATATCCTGGACACCACCCTCTTTATATCATATCTGACCCTCTCCGCGAAGGGTACTATTCCGCACCCATTCTATCCTGCTCAACAAGCCGCTCTCCTTGACTGTTCATGATGGGATCGTTGCAAACACCCCTGGCGGAGCGCTGGCAGGACATCAGCCTGGAGGCTCGACGGAGGCGTGATGCTCTCATCCCCGCCGAACACAGATTGTCTTCCGAGTTTCTCAAAGCCACAGCACACGTTGCCGACGTGTCAGACGTGCACCAAAGCACCGGTCTCTTCACAGCTCCACAGCTGGAGATCATATCTTCGAGTGCCGAAACCATCCTGGCCAAAGTTGCAAAGTCTGTATGGACGGCACTCGAGGTCACGGAAGCTTTCTGTTTGAGCGCCAGCGTGGCCCAACAGCTTGTACGTACGGACACATGTCCTCTCACCATATATGACCGCCTTTGCAATCATTGTCAAGGGGGAATCCTTTACTAACATCTGGGCTTGGTCCAGACGAACTGTATTACACAGCCTATGTACCCGGAGGCTGTGAAACAGGCCAAATATCTGGATGGCTATCTTCTCGAACATGGACAGGTCATAGGTCCACTACATGGTCTTCCCATCTCGCTGAAGGACAACATCGTCACCCCGCCATACCCGTCTTGTGCTGGCTATGTGGATTGGGCACTCGGCTCGACCGAGGGCTGGACGGAGGCACCTCTTGTCACCCGTCTCAAAAGCCTGGGGGCAATTCCATTTGTCAAAACAGCCGTTCCGACCGCAATGATGATGCCCGAAACTCGGAATAACATCTACGGGGATACATTGAACCCTTACAATCGAAAACTTAGTGCGGGCGGCAGCTCGGGTGGCGAGGGAGCGCTGATTGCTATGCGAGGGAGTCCTCTGGGAGTTGGTAAGTCGTCCGTCCCAACATCCCAACATCCCCACAAGCCGTTATGGCAATCACTCCAAGCTGCTTCTGTGACCTAACAAAGCACTACAAAGGTACCGACATTGGCGGCAGCATCAGGATCCCATCCGCATGGAACAATCTCTTCGGTCTTAGGCCAAGCGGGAATCGATTCTCACATCAAGGCTTTCGCAGCGTTTTCGAAGGGCAAGAGGCCGTGACGGTCGTCCAGGGCCCCATGTCCCGGCACCTGGAGTCCTTGAAGCTGTACTGCAAAACATTGGCCGACTCCGAGATGTGGCTGTCGGATTCGACGCTGATACCGATGCCCTGGCGCACAATCACTCTTCCACCGAACGAGGAATTGTGCTTTGCATTCCACAAATATGACAAGCTCGTTCGCTGTCACCCCCCAATCGAGCGTGGGGTGGATATCGTGGTAGACGCATTACGAAAGGCCAACGTGACCATGATTGACTGGGATCCCAAACTTCACGCGCTGGCCTGGAACTACCTGCGTCGACTCTTCCGAGCGGATGGAGGCCGATCCGTCAGCGACCGTATCGAAGCCACTGGCGAGCCATGGTTTCCGTACATGTACGACTACCGGGACGCCGCCAGGGCTGGCAACGACTTGCCCACTTCGGAAACTTGGAAGTTGCAGGCTCAACGCACGCAACTGGCCGAGGAATACCTCAAGATGTGGAACGACACCGCCCAAGCCACACCTACGGGTCGGCCAATCGACGCCATAATTGCCCCCGTCAATGCATGGGCGGCTGCTGCACATGGTAAATGCCTATATACTGGGTACACCGGGGTATGGAATCTTTTAGGTAAATACTATACCCGGCGAGAATCCTTCTCCTCATCCTGACTCGCTCTTTTCGTACTGAAGCTAATCGTCGACAGATTTTACTGCATGTGTGGTTCCTGTCACTTGGGCAGACCGATCCATCGACGTCAAAGCCAAAGATTCCGCCGACTATGTCCCCATCGACGAGCGCGACCGCAAAGTGTGGGAAGAGTATGACCCTGAGGTGTACCACCACGGACCAGTGGCCATCCAGATCATCACACGGAGGTTGGAAGAAGAAAAGGCTGTGGCGCTCGCCGAGGTCGTTGTGCGTGCTCTTGGAGGAACGGTGCCCAAGTCGTCGTTCTGAGGATCGACATGTGCTACTTGGTTTGCCGTCTCATTTACTCTTCTTGGTGGCAGTGATGCTAGAACCAGCCTGATGCGGTTGCTGGCCAGCCATGAAGACTTTGGAAGTCGAGCTCGCTGATGAAGGGATAAGCAGTGTATGAATTTAACAGATCCCCAAAGCAGTTTCGGAATTCTAGGTCCATGTCCAAAGTTGGCGGCTGAGAATTGAACATGTTGTTTGAAGAAGCAGCCATGGAATCCCCCGACATGTCACTTGTAAACCACTGATGATGCCAGCCGTTGCCGACCAGTGGCATACTTTGACTTTGATACCGGGCCAAGTCTTCATTGTGGCCGTCTTGTAGAGGTGGGCCGGCAGCATCATTGTTGATAACATCGACATGGTCAGCCGCTTGTTTGGAGCCGCATTGTCGCGACGGCTTGACAGCTTCTGCCAGGATGGCATCACTCAGCTGGTCAAAGACCTTGTGGCATCGCTTCGTGAGGTTCCAACGCTCCGAGACCGCGACGAGGATGTTGGAACATGCTCTGGTGTCTGTGGCAATTTCCACCACAGTAGGGTCATGGCTGAGCAAGTTCCCAAAGTTCCCAGGCTTGTTTCTTCGCGCTTGAAAGTGGTGAGCCACGGCGTAGATGTACGACAAGCCCGCCATGAAGACGGAATGCAACGTTATCCACGAATAGTTGAGTCTCCTTGATTCGTAGAGATGTGCATACAGCCTGACCGCTTGTTTTGACGAGTCGAAGATTCTCTGCAATGTTGAAGAGTCTTGGAGCGCTTCGGATCCTGTCGGCGACGGTCGAAGAGCCAGGAGGATTGCATTATGGTAGAGGACTTCATACCATTCTCGGCATCGGAAGCATGATGACGACGTCTCACCGGCGTCACTATTCCGCCAGAAATGCGTCAACTCTGCAGTACTTTGGCGCCACTGGTCCAGATCTGCCATCAGATGGTTTCTCAGGGTGAGCACTGTGTCGTCGCTCTGGATGGGTTTGACTCCATGAAGAAGACGCATCACGTTGCCGCAGATGTTCATATGTTGGACGAAATGTACGAATATAGGCAGGGAGCTCTCGGCTTGCGCCGGGTCCTGCGCTTCATATGATTCTCCAGCGTCAGCAGCAGTCTCAGTCGTTGTGGTGGACAATGACGGCAGGTGGACGTCAAAGTCATCCGCATTCATAGCCAGTGGTCTTCCTAGTGTGATACTGACGACTCTGCACCGTCATTAGTCTGGCTCGACTTTTCTATGTCCTGGGGAATTTGAGATGCAGTCTCACCTGTCCAGAGCAAAGACACACCAGAAACATAGGCGGCGGATTGCATGCTGTTGATGTGCTTGCCGCGTTCGAGGCATTGTACTACTCACAGTATGGTAAGATGCCTCACGGTGCAGTCCCAACTCATAGACCATCCTGGTGGCTATACCGACCAGGTGCCACAAACTTGCCGAGGTGTCCTGAACCGGGCTGCTAGTGCGGTATTGAATCAGAAGCAGAATTGCCTGGAGACTCTGGAGGCCACCTGAGCGGAGAACTTCCTTGATGTGGAACATTGCCTTGATATGGTGTGTTGCCGCGCTCGGCGGCGTCTGCTGCCAGTCCGACTTGTACTCGTGCAGCTTAGCGATGCCGAGAACCATGTCGAAGGCAAACCATTCGAAGGCCGAGACGCGGTCGAACGCCCGCTCGGTATAGATCTTCTCAAGGGTAGAGCGGAGGAAGGCCGGCTCGAGGAATGGGTATCTCAGATGGTCGTGACCAAGATAGGCCCCAACCAGCTTCCTGGCTAGCACATCCGCCGGAAGGGTCTCTGATGAGGCACACTTAGGACCGACATCAGCGTATGTGTTGGAAGAGTTGTCTCGAGAGCACGCTTCCGGCACCGCGGTTGGACAGGTTTCCACGATGCTTTCCTCTGCCTCGGGGAGCACAAGATGCGCGAACAGCACCCCGCTCGTTGAGCCCAGGTAGTGGCGGTCCCCGGCTGCAGTAGACGCAAAGAAGGACACTTCGTTGACTATGTCCGCGCGAGAAGGTCTGTCGGCAGCCACTCCGGTGGTGGCGGCGGTGGTGGTGGCAGTGGTTGGTGCAGTGGCTGCCCCGCGTGCCTGCGATTGGGCTTGGGCCAGTTGAGCTGCCAACGTCTCCCTCGCTGCCTCCGACTCTTTCAGTTTGCTCTCGAGCGTCGCCAACCGCTCGGCCAGAATCGCTGCATTCCTGGCGCGGTCCGTGTAGACACATGTGTTCTTGGACTTCTGGCACTGCCTGCAACACGGTCGGTCGCCGCTACAGCGGGATTTGCGCCGATTGCATCGGTCACAGGCCTGCATGGTATGGCGACTCAGAAGATGCGAATGGGATGGGATGCAGATTCAAGGTCAAGAGGCCGGGGTGCTGCTGCTAATATCCTGACATCCTGATATCCTGTTCACCAGTTCGGGCGGGATCCCGACCGATCATCTCGAGATACTGTACTAATATGCTATACTAGTACCCCGAAGTCATACTTGTTATCAGTGGATCCTGCTGCTTCTCCTGCCAGATGCCATGATATCCGGCTCTCCAAAGGGGTCGATTCAACACCTCCAGGGTCAAAGAACAGTAGTCGACCGTTATGACATGTCGAGATAAGGCGGAAGCAGGCTGTCGAACAACAAGGCTTGATCATGGCCAGGTATATAAACACAACCTGCGCTGGTATACTGGTTCGGTCTCGACACCTCCACGACCACGATCCTCGGCAGGACATCTCACAGCATAATACAATACTGCCTGCGAGTTGTTTTCGCGGCTCTTTCCAAAATGGATGTGTCTAAAAGTTCCATTGTCCGGGCCGACAAGGTCGACGACGAGGTGTCCGCTGCAGACAACAACGGCATGGACGTCGATTATGGCGACAAAGAAAGCCTGGCCGACGACACCCACAACGACTTAGGTCGTGACATGTACCTTGCCTCCTTGCGGATCGATCCAGCCGAGCGAGATATGATCGCTCGGCGGGTGAAGCGCAAACTGGACTTCATCGTCCTTCCGATTGTATGTGCCCAACGCGTCAAGTCGGTCGCCAGCTAACGAAATGCCTGGAGATGATTGTGGCCTTCTTCCTCTCCTTCCTGGACAAACAGACCCTCAACTTCGCCAGTGCCTGGACCTTCAATGCCGACCTTGGACTGACAGGAGGCGAATATAGTTGGGTTGCAAGCATCTTGAACTTCGGGTAAGTGCTCCAACGGGCACGGGAACGGGATTGTCGACTGAATCACGAATCCCATAGCTATCTCATTGCGGTGTACCCGTCAATGGTTCTCCTGCAGAAGTTGCCCATCGCTCGGTTCGTAGGCGTCATGACCTTCTGCTGGGGGGTTCTTCTCATTGGAATGATCGGGGTCAAGCGATTCGAACATGTCATGGTCATCAGGTTCTTTCAGGGTGCGGTGGAAGCATGCATTGGGCCGGCATGGATGTTGTCCACCTCGATGCTGTGGACACGAGAAGAACAGTCCCTCCGAATGTCCTGGTGGTTGGGATGTGGAGGACTCTCCTCGCTCATCGGGGCCGGCATGTCTTGGGGACTCGGGCACAAGACCGGGGGCGCCTTGAAGTCGTGGCAGTTGATCTATCTGACCACTGGGGTCATCTCAGCCGCCTGGGGCATCCTCATCTTCTTCATCTTCCCCTCCGATCCCAAGTCGTGGATCCTCTTTACTCCCGAGGAAAAGCTGGTGGCCGTGTGGCGCGTGCGAGCCAACAAGACCGGGGTCAAGCACACCAAGCTTCTGCTGTTCCAGATCAAAGAGTCGTTCCAAGACCCAAAGCTCTACCTAATCGCCTCGCACTCCATGGCCATGGGCATTCTCAATTCCTCGTCCAACTTCAAATCCGCTTTCTTCAAGGGGTTCGGCTATGATGCTTCCACCTCGCTCTTGATGCAACTGCCCGGTGGCGCTCTGGAGTGCATTGCCTGCCTAGTCGGCGGCTTCTTCACAGCTCACACCCATAACACCATGGTTCTCACCATCATGGTCGGCTTCGTACCCGGTCTGGCCGGTATGATAGGCATCGCCACCATCTCGCTGGAGCATCAAACTTCCCTGGCGGCTTGTCTCTGGCTGCAGGCCATTTTCGGTGTCTCCATCGTGCTCACCTGGGCGCTGATCTCGGCCAATGTCGCCGGTCATACGAAGCGTCACTTTTTCTTTGGCACCGAGCATCTTTTCTATGCCGTTGGCAACATTGTCGGTAAGTCGAGAGTCCTTCCTTCTCTCTTCTCGCAACAGCTCTGATCTGGAGCGTGACTCTTTGCGTCTGGGGTGGTCCTAACGTTGTATGCGCTGCTCTTAGGTCCGTTTCTCTTCATCGCCCATGAGGCGCCTCGCTACTTCACCGCCGTCAAGGCATTGGCCTCCCTTTATGGCGTATGCATCTTCCTCTCCGCCATGTTTGGCCTCATCATGCTACGATCCAATATGGCCCGCAACAAGGCTTCGGAGAATATGCCGGAAGCCCGACTTGACGAGCAAAGCTTTATGGATCTTACAGACTTTGAGAACAGGGCCTTCCGCTACAGGCTCTAGGGCTACGACAGAGTGTTGACCCCATGTTGAGACAGTCCAGCTGTCTGGTGACGAGGTGGGGAAATCCCAGAAGGGAGCTAGTTGTTCTTTTATAGTGAAATATTTCTCTTGCCCCCTTGTCACTGTTGTTGCCCCGCGCCGTCTGGGATGTGAATCTCGAGCCTACAAGACCGTAGTTTGTCCGCTTCCCCTACCCATCTGCCAGCTTCCTACTTCACCTACAACGAGATGACTCAAGACCATGACTCAAGACCAGAGCTTGAGAGCGGGGGCGGGCCCGGCACTTAACTATTGCTTGCGCCCCGATTTGCTATATATACCGCACCTTCGTGTTTTAAAATCGCTCGAAGTTCACAAATTTATAGAAAGAACGAACTGTCTCTTCTCTCTCGTTTCTCCTCTTCCTCTTATTCTCACACTAATCTAACAACCTTTGACCGGTATTGCACGAATGTTGATCCGCTCTGCTACCTCTACCAACGTCCTACCCGAGCCTACAAGACCACAGCTTGTCACTTACATACAATATTAGTGATAGAAGGGACTTTGGCTTACGTTTCTGTCGCACGCCCTACCCAAGATGGCCCCCGCAGACTTTTCTTCTGAGGAGGAGATCCTAGATCAAATTGACAGGATCACGGTTCAGCAAGAAGAGACGGCAGGGGAACCATCTCTGGAAGATTCTGAAGAGTTGTCAGACCAAGACATCGAGAAGCTTCTGTTGAAGCCGGCGAAAGCCAAGAGACTCCCAGCTATGTCCTTCCGCAAGGACTCAGAGTGCCTTAACAGGGAACCATCTCTGATTAATTATGACGCCGACGAGTTGCAGCAGAGGATCAAGTATGCTCAGAAATTGGGACAGCGGAAAGTGTCACCGGTGACGACGGCATTTGCAACAAAATATATGATCGCGGCAGAATGTGCCCTTGCTGCTGAGAAGGATGCTGAAGTGTCCCAAGAAGAGCGCGAAGCACTGAAACGAAGGGTGCAAGAACTCGATTACATGCTTGAGGTCCACCGATCCCTCTACTACATCCCGAATACCGGAATGCGGTACATGCTCGCCCAGGCCAGAAAACTCGAACGCCTGCAGTTTCTAGCAACATACGGCGACTATTTTGCCATTACGTGCAAGGAGGTGGCAGCAGCTACAAGGGAGACCGAAGCCCTGAAGTCTCATCGATCCATCTTCACTAGATGGTGGACAGAGATTCAAAAGACTATCCGAGCAGAAAAGGAAAAGCAATCACAGAAGGATGCCCCTCAATTACTGACCGACTACCCCACAATCCTTGCCGTGTCAAACTGTGCCGCTGTCTTGAAGATCGACGAAGAGCAACTCTTTTGGACCATTGAACAATACGCCGAGCGAAATGCGACTTTCCATGCGGACATCGACCTGAAGCTCCAACAAGGCACGTATCCGGCTGGCGCCGAGATCTTATGTAAAGATCTGAAGGTAGTCCAGCAACTCAATGCGGACAGAGAGGACAAGGCACTCCTATACGTGGAAGCCCTGATCCAGCGCCTCATCGAAAAATGGTTCACCTATGATGAGGGCGAAGAGGAAATGTCCGATACCTGGCTGCCGACCGAACTGGCGAAGGCGAGAAAACGGAAAGGAGCACAGAAATCCTCGAAATTTGAAGAGACGGACGAGATCGTCGAGTTCAAGAAGGTCACTGGGAGACATGTTGCCGACGACGTTGATGCATTCTTGGAGGAACGGGCCAAATGGAAAGAGATGATTTCTTTTAAGCGGAAGTGGTCAGGGCAATTGAAAATGGCGGCGAACAAGAAGCATGGGATGACAAGGGACTCATTAGAACTCTACGAGAACATGCAAAAGTTCTCGCGTCATATGGACGCTCTGTTCATATTTCCTGAGGATGCACAACCGGAAATCACGCTGGTGCAAAGGCCAGCCAAAGAGGATGAGCATGAGGTCGGGACCTAGAGAAATCGGAGCATCTACACATTAGTAGATAGTCTTGATAAACCGTACTCAATGCCACGGGCTCCAATCATGGCTTAGGTCCTAATGCATGTTTATCTAATAATAAGACTACCGAACGCGGATTGCACCATACCTGCCTGCCTATGGCCTGCCTATGTGTGGTAGATATGTAAGTCGGACGGTGGTGCATGGTTTGATCCTGGCGTGCCAAAATGAAGATTCGTAGTCGTCCTATTTGGATACTGATATGGACTTGCATATGTAGTCAGTACTGTATAAAACCGCCGAACAATACTAGGTAGGTAGGTAGTACAACCACCCCTGCGTCCGCCTTCTATCGTCCGCCCTCGGTACTCTAGACTCGGTGGCTAAGGAACGACCCCCAAAGTCGCTGTTCGTGGCTTGGAAGTTGTCGTGCTGCATTTTGACATGCACGGGATGGGGCAGCGATCAGTCCCTGAACTATTCCTCTTCACTAACGTGCTCCTGTATATAAATTACACTTTTTGATTTCCGGTCGGAGCAAATTGCATGGCCGATCACCATCACGACCGCGGGCCTTGACGTCCCGCGGTCTTCGTGGCTAAGTACATACAATCTTCTGTCAATCCAGAGCGCTGCAATGGGTGTCTCCTCACCACACACAGCCTCTAGCTGCCCGGGCAGTGAACCTTCCTTCAGGTTGCATCTCAACTCATTTCGTTGTCGTACTGCCTCAAGTGCAGTGGAAGAGAAATCATATCCAAATGTTTTGGTGTTAGGTGCGTGTATCGTGAAATTCTGCATGGATATCGTTCGCCATAATACTGCCCTTGCCTTGATCCTAATCCTACGCAGTCGCTGCTCCCTGCCAGCCCAGCGACCGCCATGGCTTTTGTTAGCCGACGTTGTCGTGATAGTGCAATCAGAAATCCGTGAAGAAATGTCCAAATCTGACCATTAAGTTAGTTCGAAGGGCGCCGCCGTGGAAAGGTCAGGAAAGGTCTTACGGATCATCCCCTTTCTTGCCATATTCCTCCGTCTCTTCAGGATACTTGTCGAATTGACTGGCATCGCCCGCCCCTCCCTTCACAGGCGGTACGTAAGGAGCGTCAATGTCTTTCTTCAGGAGCCTTTCCCAGGTGACTTCCGCAAACCACGGATGATTCTTGATGTCAGCTGGACCCCCATGTAAATTGCCCAGCCGCTTCGTCAGGTCATTTGTAATAAGCTGTACCAGGAGATCTTGAGCGTCGTGATGGATATACGGGGGATATTTGACCCGCCCCTTGAGGATGTTCTCATAGATTTTGACGGGAGATCCGCCATCCCAGAACGGGGTAAATCCGCACAGCATCTCAAAAATCAGGATCCCGAGGGACCACCTGAGCACAAGTCAGAACCCGCAGAGACATTTGTTTTCACACGGCTAACTCACCAATCCACGGATTTGTTGTATCCCTTGGAGGCCACAACCTCGGGGGCAAGGTAGTCCGGGGTACCACAAAGAGTCCACGTAATGTCGGGTACATCCTTGGCGAAACCGAAGTCGGTGATCTTGATGTGGCCGTGTCTGTCCAGTAGCAAGTTCTCTGGTTTCAAGTCTCGATAGATGATGTTTTGTGCGTGCAGATACTCGAGCGCCAAGGTCACTTCTGCAGCATAGAATTTCGCGACGGGATTGGGGAAACGCTACCACGGTCAGCTCCAATGTTGGCCGGACTGGGTTTGAGGTGGTACCTGTGACTTTCGAAGCAGGCTGAAGAGCTCACCGCCTTCAATAAAGTCCATGACCATGTAGAGATTCTTGGAATCTTGGAATGTACCCCAGAGTGTGATGAGGAAAGGGTGCTTGACTCTCTGTAACATTCTCCTTTCATCGTTTGTATGCTCGATCTGTTTCATTTTGACGACTTGGGCCTTCTTCAACACCTTGATCGCGTAGAAACGCTGGTTGTGTTTTGACTGTACCAAGTGTACGCGTCCGAAAGAACCTGTACCCAATGTTCTCTGAATGGTGAAGTCGGTGAGAGTGTATTTGCCCTTGGTTTGCCTTGCCACCGGCTTAGGGTCGACCACGCCGGCAGCAGGGCTGACAACATTGGCGAGGCTCATGTTGGGAGTGCCGTTGCTTTCGATCGATGTGGCATTTGGTTCCGGGGTAGAGGTCACGGTAGTGGTGGGAGCTGCACTGGATTGGGTAGGTGCATCTGACGCTGTCTTGGAGGAGGAAACGGGTGAAGAGGCATCAGGCTTGTGCGAGGACTTGTATTGAGCGGGATGATAGCCGCCGCCGGCGGCCGATTTGTCTTCGGTGGACTCCTTCGTCTTCTTCTTCTTGAGCAGGCCCCCAAAGGTCGGCATTTGGGCGCCGGATGGAAGCGCACGTTCCCGGTGAATGGAATGTTATAAACAGAGGAGATTGAAAGGAGCTCGCAGGCCCGTCCGATTGGCAATCGAGTCGACGCGGGACAGGTGAGGGAAGGGATAATGGGGGGAGGAGGGGTAGCAGGAGCAAGGACCCAGCGAGGGAGGGCTCGTTGCGGCCGAGCTGGAAGCTGCAATGCAGGCGCAGGCCGATAAGCTCCAATGCACGGGCGGAGTTGCGCAATATGCACCTGATAGCGAGACTGCACTTGGGACACAGACACTTGGGACAGCGCAAAGGTGTTGATTGAGGCCGTGGCGAGTTTGGAGCAGGAAAGTGAGAGACAAGCAGCAGGTCAAGCTCGTCAAGTACGAGGTAGTATTACAGGTTTGAGTGAGAGATGCCGGGGCGGGAAGTCAACAGACAGGAGGGAGGAGCTCCTTGCAACTATTGACAGAAGGCGTTGTGTGGATGATTATTGGCGGCGACCTGCATGCACTGTGCTTGTAGGGAAGGGAGAACCAGATCAACCCCCTCTCTGCCCGCGAAGCAACCATCCCATTGCCTCATCCTCGATAAACGGGACGCGGGGAAAGGCTTTTTGTGTGCTGCGAGCGAGAGCACGGCCACCGTAGGCTGTAGCTGTCTATCTCAGGGCCACTTAACTCCGTAACATAAGGTACCTACCTATACCTACCACCAACCTACCCACCTAATAATACCTAAACCTAGGGAGAAGGTAAGGGCAGTATCCGTACTCCGTAGTATGTAGTCGAGGGTTAAGGGCACGTATGTAGGTGGGTGGCAGAGTTGCCCCCCCTATGACGATTGTCCAAATGCCCCCTCGCTTCGTCTGACCCGCGTCCAGTCTCTCAGCCACGTATGTCACCCGCCCACCAGAGAGGAAGAACCCAGAGGGAGCCACAGAGCTACCCACCCCCCTTCAGCGCCAGGACTGATGACCGGGATCTTGTTCGGCTATTGCCGGGCGAAACGAGGTACGTATGAGGTGCGAGCAACACTACCCATAGCAATATCCATACAGTACCTAGTATATAAAAGCAGCCTCCCCAGCGCCAATACCGAAGTCTAGTCCTTTCCAGTGTTCAGTATCATCTCTGCTGTCTCCGATAGATATTCTATGAAGCTCGGGCCAGTCTCATTTCGCGGGTCACTTCGTCCACTATTTCCTGGGCCTCTCCCGCGGTCCGCGCCTCAAAGTCATATCGCTTAGACTCGTTGATTCTTCGGACCACCAGTCGGACGATCTTAGCATGCTTCGTGCTGACCTTGCACCGGATGATGTCGCCAAATGCAATTGAACTGAATTTGGCGTTGGAGGTGTTGTCCGCAGGCATCACGTGGATAAGGTCGCCGTCGAAGACGAGAACGCGCTGGCTCCCCTGAGCAAAAGGGGCCAACTGCTTCCGTGTCACGTAATACTTCTTGAAGTTGCTCGCACTGGACATGAGGTCTTGTTTCAGTGCCAATGGATGCATCGGCTGGCCCTTCTTGACCTTCTTGGGACCCTGTATGTCCAGGAGGAGAGGCGCATTGGGTGACGAACTGCCCGGCGAGCCCGTCAAACTTGAGACACCCGCCCCAAAGCGTTTTCGTACCAGCTCCAGGTCAGATCGAGCGCCCAAGGCCTCAACTGTCCGATCCAATGGCGCCACAGTGTTTGTTCCTGCAACCTTTAGCACGAATCCAGCCTTCTCAAGATTCCAGCGCTTGCAGACGTGGTCGAGGATTTCGGCAATATAGCTGTCCGTTGAGCTTTCCAGAGTCGTTGTCCGTGCGGACATGTCAATATCGAAGTACCTTACTCTGATGGTCTTCGTCCTGCCCATGCGGGGTGTCGCTTGGGGTCCAGCTGGTGCGGGTAAGTCAGCCGGGGTCAAGGAGGTATTGCTCAAGGCTGATGTGAAAGGCTGTCCAGCTAAGAGGATGTTGGTCTTTGACGGCGGTCCCTTAGTGCCCGGAGGAGGTTGCGTCTGTAGAAATGGTGGATCTGGAGCGAGGACTGGCACAGCTTCTTCTTGGGCAGTTGGTATATACTGCGGGGTCTCTTTCTTGTTGGCTTCTACCTGGGCAGGCGATGCCTCAACGAGAGCAAACTCGTCGAAAGGCCGTTCTCTGGACCGCCCCCTACCTCCTCGATTGTTGTTGTATGTGAAATCAGTCGCGGGCCGTGTGCGTACAAGCGGTGGGAAGTCGTAGTCCACCTCTCCATCCTCAACCATTCGCAGGGTCCATTTATTCACATCGAGTTGCGCTTCACTGAGAGCTGGCTCCCGTCCCTCCTCCATATATCTCCACAGACTGAAGCCAATCGCCTCAGCAACTGTGACTGGGTTGCCGTCTTTGGACGTCCTTGCTAACGGCATCTCAAAGGGCTTGTTGGGGTTTTTGGAGAAAGCCGCATATATCTTGATCCACAGCGGGTTGGGCGAGCCTTTGCCTGACAACGCAGCGAAGGTTTGTAGCGGATTTGTTGGCGCCTTTCTCTGTGCATTGAGAGCCGCGGATAGCAAACTTTTGGGTTGTATCATGCTGATCGGTCGAGGAGGAGGTAATTCGTGCAGGACTGGTAAGGTTCTCTGCTTTCTCGGAGACTCTGACGGAGGTATACGAGGTGCGGATCCTGTAAGGCTGCCTAAGATTGAGGGCGAAGAGGTGAGATTTGTTTCTTGCATGGTGATCAGCAGGGAAGTAGAGTCGATTGTATCGCCCAGTTCTGAGGACATTGCTGACCCAACAGATTCTGCATCAGAATCGTCTTGTCCCGGCGCATCTCGACTGTCCTCCGGGCCCAGCCCGTGGGAAACCTCATTGGGAAGTGGTGCCGATTTGGATGCCTGACCGGGAGGCAGCCGACGACGCTGAAAGTAGGCCGGATCTACCTCGTTCTCGGACGACAGGTCACTGCTAGTGGTGGTGTCTCGCCTGGCACGTGCTTTGACAGCCTCTACTGCACCAAGCGATCCTGTGCGACGTCTGTTGTCTGTGGACGGCTTCGAAGGCGAAGTTGTCACAATCTCAGGGCCAGTGCTACGGATCGGAGATGAGTCGGCACGATGACGGGCGGGCATCTTTGCAAACCGGATCTGTTGCGCAGCGCGTTGCGCGCCTTCGGCCTCTTCTTCTGACTCGTCAGTGAGGTCGCTGCTGTCATCATCATCGGCTTGCTCCTTCTTTCGTCTCCGCCTGACATTGAAACCAGGACCAATAGTATCATTACTGACCCTGCCTGTAACGAGGCCTCCTTCGTCTTCCTCATCACCTTGCGAGTTGAGAAGTTGAAGTTCAGATCCATTTTGAAAATACTCGGTGCTGATAGATGTGGGAATGGGCGGAGAATACGTTCGTTGAACGGGATCTGCAGACCAGCCAGCCGCACGGAAGGCTGCTATGTTCAGAACGGAGGAATTGACATTGATGAGCCGTTCAGCAACACCGTCCTTGACATTGGCTAAAAAGGAAGTCCGGAGATACCAAACGGCGAACCTAGTGTCATTTCTCAGCAAACCTAGTGATGCATGTACACCGGTATCACATAGATTAAGGGGCTTAAACGAGAAAGGGGATTGACTTACTCTTCGTTTTGGAGGAGCGCCATACTTGACCAGTAAACGAGACTGTCGACAGGCTCCGTTCTGGAACGCGAATATCTGGAAGGCCGGCGAGAAGGGCTGCATGCAGCCTAGGCGGCAAGACGGCAAGGAGGCGCCATCAAGGCTCCTAGGTGTTATACCGGGGCTTCATGTCCCCAAATGCTCAATGCGACGTTGGATCCTTTGTCCTGTAGACATGACACGTAGTTTAAGTGGTGACACCTTGACAAACATCGCGGGGTCCAAGTTTGGGGGTGCTGGGAGGCTGACACTCTGGCCAATCGGAGTGAAGTCTGTGTTAACATGTCTATTTCGTCAGCCTCGTACGTACTAATTAAGTTGCGGGCAAGTTGAACACAGTCTGGTGCCTGCGTCTTCTTTTCCTCCCCCTGCTTGCCTCTCACTTCGTCATCCCACCCTCACTGTCCATCAACCTCGACTGGATTCAGCATGGAATGTCCACACGTCCACTTGGACGACCTCAGACCTCCCAGACCTAATCAGAGCGTGTACCGGGAGGACTGCACCCAGTGTTTCGACTCTATAGACGATGACTCTGGGCTTGACGTCTGCCTACACTGCTTTAATGGCGGCTGCGCTGGGGAAAGAAATCATTCTCTATTGCACTATTCATCCACCGGCCATCCTCTAGCACTGAATATCAAGCGGGATCGAAAACAAGTCCAACGAGATGAGCCTCCGCCTAAGCTTACCAAACTTGCGATTACCGCCGAGACCGAGGAGGACAAATATGAGACAACTACAAGAGTCAAGTGCTATGCATGCCAATCACAAGATGTGGACAAAGCATCCGGTAAACTCCCGGCTGTCGTGGATGGAGTCATGAAAGCCATGACCTTTGCCAAACAAGAAGAAGTCAAGGCATGGGAACAAGAGTTTGTACCCTGCGAACACACACTTTGCCTCGAGCAGCAGCCTGGCAGACGAATTGAATCTCAGCATCTGGGATCATGTTCCAGGTGCGATTTGAAAGAGAACCTCTGGCTCTGCTTAGATTGTGGCAATCTGGGATGTGGACGAGCCCAGCTTGGTGGTGCGGATGGCAACTCTCACGGCCTCGGGCATGCTACAGAGAGCGGCCACGCAGTCGCCGTCAAGCTCGGTTCTATAACTTCTGAAGGCCATGCCGACGTATACTGCTACAAATGCAACGAGGAACGAATCGATCCAGAACTGGCCAAACATCTTGCTCACTGGGGCATAAATGTCACCGAACGGGAGAAGACCGAGAAGAGCCTCATGGAGATGCAAGTGGAGCAAAATCTGAAATGGGACTTCTCCATGACCACGGAGGATGGCAAGGAACTGTCCCCCCTGTTTGGACCAGGCTTTACTGGCCTCAAAAACATCGGCAATAGCTGTTATTTGGCCAGCACTGTCCAGTGCCTATTCTCACTTCCAGAGTTTCAACAGCGTTACTACCGCCCCGGCCTCCCTCCGCCCAGCGCCCACTCTCCCGCCGAAGATATTGAGACACAACTACAAAAGCTCGCCGATGGCATTCTATCTGGTCGGTATTCGAGTCCAGAGAGCAACGTCCATGCTTCTCCCGACAATGCTGAGGTGCCCCACCAGAAAGGTCTCTCCCCTGCCATGTTCAAACACCTCATTGGTCGAGGACACGAAGAATTCTCGACGATGAGACAACAAGATGCCTTTGAGTTGCTCCTTCATCTGTTCAAACTCATCAGTGTCTCCAACAATGCCAATCCTGCCAACGACCCAGTACAGTCATTCCGTTTCGCTCTTGAGCAGCGTCTACAATGCCTAGAATGCAAACGTGTACGGTATCGAACAGACGAACAGGAGAACATCTCGATCCCGGTCCCAGTTCGCAGAAAGCAATTGTCCAACAGTGATGGAGGGCCATCAGATTCAGCAAAGGGATCCGAGTTTGAACCGGTCTCGCTCAAAGAGTGTCTTGACATCTTCACCGCACCGGGAACAGTTGAGTTGACTTGTCCAGCTTGTGGCTCCAAAGCTGGGTTCTCGAAGTCTTCTAAATTTAAAACCTTCCCTCAGAACCTAGTGATCAACCCCCTTCGGTTTGAGATCATCAATTGGGTACCAACTAAGCTCGACATACCTGTCGAAGTATCCGATGAAGTCTTTGACATAAGTAGTTACAAGTCCCAAGGATTACAGTCGGATGAAGTGGAATTGCCTGAAGACGCGGTTGTGGGAGGCTCTGACACGACATCAGCCGCCTTCGTTCCGAATGAGGCAGCTCTCAGCCAGCTTGAATCCATGGGGTTCCCTCGTGTCCGAGGTGAAAAGGCACTCCACGCAACCGGTAATGCAGATGCAGAAGCGGCCATGAACTGGTTGTTCGCGCATATGGAAGACCCTGACATTGACGAGCCATTGAATCTTGGTGGTGGCCCGCCGGGTGGTTCTGGCGACGATGCGGACAAGATTAGTCAATTGGGAGACATGGGGATTAGCGCACCACAAGCTCGCAAAGCCTTACGAGAATGCAACGGCGATGTTAACCGAGCGCTGGACTGGGTTTTCAGTCATCCGGATGATCAAGGAGATTTTGGTGAAAACACCGTCTCAGGTCCAGCTCAACCGAAGCCTCTTCCAGGGAGCGAGCAACTACCTGCAAACTTTGAGCTTCAGAGCATCGTGTGTCACAAAGGAGCAAGTATTCATGCTGGCCATTATGTTGCATTCATCCGGAAACAGATCCCCGGTGAAAGCAAGGAGAGACAGTGGGTGTTGTTTAACGACGAGAAAGTGGTCAAGGCGGTTGACGTGGACGAGATGAAGAAGTTTGCATACATCTACTTCTTCCGCATGGTGTGAGAGAGAGCATCATGTCTTGGGCCTGAAATGGATGTCACAAAAGAGACCTGGCCCTGATGTATGCAGAGCCTCTGATGAAAAGCACACGATACTTTATAGGAGGTATCCGATGTAGCAAAACCACATACCAACCAAAGTTCTAGTCAAAGAAATACAGCAGCTTCGACTAGATCCCTATCCCAGGAGCAGTGCATCTCACGCACTCATTCATCTCACAGTTAGTGGACGTCTGTGACTATCAATCGTAGCACAGTACTATATGTACAGAGTCCTCCGAATCAGTAGTCTCTGGTGCCTGTGTGTACACAGTATGACGTTGACCATCCCCAAGCAGAAAATTGTCGGGTCACGTACTAATGGAGGGAGTCAATGACTGTGGGGAGAAATCATCGGTGCTCTCCAAATTGTCTACCACGTATGTTCCACCCGCCCAATTTTCGAACTTGCGCACCTTGTGACCACTGTCAGGCTCCAACAGCTGCTAGCCCGCCTGAATGTTGTTGGTCTGGAGATCATCGTCGACGGTGCGAACATTATTCTACAGCCCGTCCGTCTTCCTTTGATCTGTACAACCTGCATCCTGCCTCGCGGCGTTATAGCAACCATCTCCTACTTCTATCCGGGGGTGCTCTGTCCGACCAACATCTGGCCACCATGTTCGTCCTGTTCCGTTATGTCCTCTATTTTCTGGGCTTCTACACGCTCACGATGTTGACCTGCTTCGCTCTTCACGCCTTCCTCCCGAATCCCCCTCGAATTCTCGGATTTATCGCCCGCTCCATGTCTGCCTACCTGACACTTATTGTCTGCGCGGCCTATGGAACGATCGCTTCGGCCACGCTCAAGGTCTTGGGGCTACACTATACGTATGCTTTCTGGACGGTGGCTAGGGCGTTCAAGTGGCTTGGGATGTACACCATAGGTGTGAAGTTCGATATTCTTGACAACGGCGAGGATATTCTTAATAATAACCGGCCGGTTGTCATTATCGCAAACCACCAGACCGAACTCGACGTGGGATTGTTGGGCTGGATTTGGCCTAAACACTGTTCAATCACAGCCAAGAAATCTCTCCGCAATATTCCGTTTCTGGGCTGGTTCATGACTCTCGCCGGTGCAGTCTTCATCGACCGGGTGGACAGAAGCCAGGCAATAAAGGCCTTCGAGGGAGCTGCCAATGCCATGAGGGAGAAGAAACAGAGTGTGGTTATATTTCCTGAGGGCACGAGGAGTTATTCTACTACTCCTATGCTGCTGCCTTTCAAAAAGGGGGCCTTTCATCTGGCAGTACAGGCCGGTGTTCCCATAGTACCGGTCGTGGCGGAGAACTACAGCCACGTGCTGAATGTGAAGGCCAGAAGGTTCAATAGCGGTACCATCAGAGTCAAAGGCATGTTGGTACCAAAGTCGTAAGGATAGCTTGAGCTGACAATTGTACTAGTCCTGGATCCAATCCCTACCAAGGGCCTTACAGCTGCCGATGTCGACCATCTAACCCGAGATACACGTGAAAAAATGCTCAACGTCCTCGAGGCTCTGGGAAGAGACTCGGCCTCGCAAACTGAGCGGAACAAAAAGGAATCATGAAAGAATAGACCGAAAAGCCACATTTAACCCTCTCTATGGGTATGATTGGTGCTCTGATCGTGGGTGAAAGGTCGCCATCATGGTTGGGGTTATGATGGATATAATCAGACCTCATCCACTTAGCAGATGCACAGGTCGACTTTACCTTGTCGCCTCACCTCTTCTTCCTGTCGACCTCCTTACCCCTGATCTCTAATGCATTTGGGCCATCACCTAGCCGAGCGTCGCGCGGGAGCCCTTTCACACCACTAAGATGGCGACATTTCTGGACGCAGCAGTGAGTGGGCTAGAGTCTTACGGACGGCGGACCCACACAGGTTCATTGATCCAGTACTGAGAGGGTAGAGAGCGGCAGGAAGGCAATATGCACAGTGCGAATTGAAGAAACCAGCAGACCAAGACTTCGTCGAGAACGGATCTCAGTTCGAGCTTGTAAACAGATAAGCCTTCTTAGAGCCTTGGTGAGGTTCGGGTGCGGATTTCCCTACAGGACCTTGACATCATGGTGAGGTACTTAAGGTAGTAGATATGAGAGTATCGATAGCTTCTATGGCTGCCCGGCTGACTATGCGCAATCCGAGAATTGCCCCAATCTAACAGGCGGTCCAATGCTGGCGCCAGGCAGGCCTGTTGCCAACTCATATCTGTCTTTCTTTCGATGAGGCTAAAGGGGGCGCCTTCCGCACAATTACATGTAGGGTGTGTAGTAGACCAGGAGGCCTGCAGCCTTGTGGTCTGCGTCTGGCGAACTCGTCCACGAATGGCATAGCTTGTGCCAAGCCGAGCGCGCCGCGTCTCACGTGCATTGCCTGCGGTTTGTAGAGTTAGCCGTGTTGCGCATCTCAGAGCTGCCTTCGTTCCTAGAGTCAATCATCAGTTTAATGCAACTCTGCTGCACTCTTCCTCCTCCTTCCTGACTCGAAACGATCTCAAACCCTTCTCTATTGCATCTAGCTGCTTTCACTTCGTGCGTGTGGCAGTTCCAACACTCTGGACTTGCAGTCACTTGTCCACCTGATCTAAAGGCTTCGTGCCTTCGCCGCAACTATGCCCGGCTTCGACTTCAGCAATTACAACCGGAATGCGGCTCTTCACGCACGAGGAGTACCGCTGCCGAAAGCTACTAGCACCGGTACAACGATTGTAGGGTGCATATTCGACAACGGCGTTGTGGTGCGTAGCGATGCAATCCAACATACATGGGTGTGCTAACGAAGCAACCATACAGATTGCGGCAGATACCAGAGCAACAAGCGGCCCTATAGTTGCTGATAAGGTGCGTGGGCTATTTCGCCTGCTTCATATACAAGAAGCCATGAACTGACTTCCAGCAGAACTGCGAAAAGCTACATTATATCTCTCCAAATATCTGGTGCGCCGGCGCCGGTACTGCTGCTGACACAGAGTTCACCACCGCCCTCATCTCTTCCAATTTAGAGCTGCATGCTCTGTCTACAGGCCGAACACCTCGCGTTGTAACAGTCATGACTTTGCTGAAGCAGCACTTGTTCCGCTACCAAGGTCACATCGGTGCCTACCTGGTTGTTGCTGGCGTCGACCCCACAGGCATCGGATTGTTCACTGTCCATGCCCATGGCTCGACTGATAAACTCCCCTACGTGACCATGGGCTCCGGGTCTTTGGCCGCCATGGCTGTCTTCGAATCGACGTGGAAGAGAGACTGCACGAAAGAAGAAGCGATCAAGGTGTGCTCTGAAGCCATTCTGGCGGGTATTTTCAACGACCTGGGCTCAGGCAGCAACGTCGATGTTTGTGTCATCGAGAAGGACAAGCCGACACAACTACTCCGCAACTACTTTAAACCCAATGAACGGGTCAAGAAGGAGCGCGACTACAAATTCGCCCGTGGCACGACTGCGGTGCTGAACGAAAAAGTGATCACCAAGGAAGAAATTGGTCGATATGTTACCGTGCATGAACTCAGCAGTGGGAGTGATTCGGACAGTTTAGTCGTGGTGGAAAAGATGGACGTGGACGAGGTGTAGGTGTTGGTTAAGTCGAACGCGCCGACCCGGCACGAACATGTAACACCACTTTTCTCTGGGGCGGAAATGGGACGAGGAATTAGTTCAACTGGCCATGTTATGGCAGTAAGCATCGCTGTGGCGCCTGGTCCCTTCTAGAGGGAGGAAGATGGAACTAGGAAATCACTTCAACCCCTCTAAGCCGAGACTTGACATCAATGCATCAATACAAATGACTGGAGCGCGCCATCTCCAGCAAGAACAGAGCACCGCACGGCTTGGACTCTTACTGTAAGAGACATGGTCGGATTCACTACTTCTATGCCACCCCTTAACTGGTGCTCTTTGAGGTGCGGTGATTCGTTGGGCCCAGAGGCCACAGACCAGAATTCTTTGCGTAGCAACTTCGTTCTAAAGCAACTTCGTTCTAAACATATCAGACTCACTGTTGACCTGCTACCTGTTCACCTGCAACTAAGTCTGACTTTGGGGCCGATAGGGGGTGGTGGATGAAGTGTGTGTCAACACGTAACCCAGATGACAATTCCACCGACCAAATCTACAAGAAATCCGTACACTCTTTCGATATATTTGGCTCAACTTTAACAACAGCCGGCGAGCGTCGAATACGGTGCGCCAGAATATCGTGGCGGTTCCTGTACTTGGAAGGGGTCGACCTCTATCATCGATCTGAGGCAGAGGGCAGAGGATGCCATATCAGGCGTGTTGTGCACACTGACCACTGAGGGCAACACTTACTTGTCTACCGGACTCCTACGATGCCAGCTCCAGAGCAAACCGCAAGCGGGACCTTGCTACTCATTTTCATTCAGGTGTCATCCCGAGCGCTGACATTCGCCGGCAATCAATTCTTGCTGCGCTTCCTTTCGCCGTCTTTGCTCGGGATCGCCGTTCAGCTCGAGCTCGTTTCAGTCACCACCTTGTACTTTGCAAGAGAGAGCTTACGTGTGGCTCTACAGCGGCGGACGTCACCGACGACAGCAACACCGATAACAGATCCTGTCAAGAAGGTCCCTCCAAGTAAGGTGGCCCAAGAAAAAGACTCCCAGACCGTCGTCAATCTATCATACCTAGCAGTCTTACTTGGGTTGGGCATCTCCACGTTCTTTGGCTTCTCCTACCTCCAAAGCGCACCTCAGGAGGTCACCGGGAGCCCCTACTTCAACACGTCGTTCCGCATCTACGCATTTGCCACATTGGTTGAGCTGCTGGCCGAACCTGCGTTCGTGGTCATTCAGCAGAAAGCATTGTACAGAGAGCGAGCGCGGGCGGAGACTGTTGCCGCAGTCGCACGATGTCTCGCCGCGTGCTCAGCGGCGGTGGTTGGGAATAGGAGAGGCCTGGCGGCCTCGATCCTCCCTTTTGCGGTCGGTCAGGCCGCCTACGCACTCGTCCTGCTCACTCTGTATCTACTTCCCGTCATCCATGTATCCAGCAACGAGAACTTCAACCTCGTCCCTCGGAAAGTGGCGGTTTCTACTTCGCAGGAGGCCTACCATGCAAATCTATTCCACGCCGGCATTCTCTCACTCGCGGCGACGATGTACATGCAGTCGATATTCAAACTGCTGCTCACCCAAGGCGACGCCTTGATTTTGTCGTTCTTGTCGAGTCTTGCCGACCAAGGTGCTTTTGCACTCGCCTCTAACTACGGCGGCCTCCTAGCAAGACTTGTCTTTCAGCCGGTAGAGGAGAGTAGCCGCAATACATTCGGCCGACTGCTCTCGGCTCCCCCCAGCGGAACGGCCTCGCGGGAGAGAACCATCGCGTCAAAAGACCAGCGTCAGGCACTGAAGTATCTGGCCAACACCCTTCACTTCTACATGCTCATGGCTCTCCCACTGGTCAGCATCGCGCCATACGTTGTTCCTGTGGTCGTGGGCCATGTAATCGGTGTGGACTGGTATACCGCGTCCACCTCATCTCTGCTGTCCACTTACTGCTACTATATCCCTCTGATGGCCGTCAACGGGATCCTGGATGCATTCGTCACCTCGGTAGCTACGACATCGCAGCTTCGTGTGCAGTCGCTCTGGATGTTGCTGTTCACTGGCATATATGGCGCTGGGGCGTGGGCGATGCTGAAGAAATTCCAGCTTGGGGCGGCGGGCCTCGTGGGCGCGAGCATGCTCAATATGAGCTTGAGGATTGTCTGGAGCGGCCGTTTTATCAAAAGCTGGTTACGGGGCGAGGCTAGTGATGCGGCAGCAGTGCAGAAAGAGACCATCAGAGAAGCGCTTCCAGCAACGTCTTCTCTGGCCGTCACTGGTCTATTGGTCCTGGCTTTGAGAATGAACGTGCTGAGCGATCTGGAAGATGATCGGGGAGAGCTGAACCGCCAACTTCTGGGTTTTCTCGTGGCAGGGACTGTGCTGCTAGGTTCAACAATGTAAGCCCACCCTTTTTGATTGCTCGGCACATGCCAATCTATGGTGACATCAAGCCACTGACTAATCATTGATACATCCTGCTTTAGTCTATTGGCCGAGCAGAACTTCTTGCTTCAGATGCTCGCTTCTACCGTGCCACAACGCCTTGCTACCAAAATCCCAGGACTGGCGAAACATCGGATCCGAGATTCAAAAGATGTGCCGAACGCCGAGACAGTGCGAGAGAAAAAGGCATAGTACACATAGTCATCAATCGAACGTGATCTTGGTGGCCTTCTTGCCCTCATCTGCTTCGCGATAAAACGCGCCGTAAGCGTCATGCTGCTTCTTCTTGACCGTTGTGCCGAACTTGAACAAATCCTCTGGGACATCCTGCTTCGCCGCCTTGAGGACATTGATCAGCGCTCCAGCAAGCGGTTTATCCTGTTCGGTGAACATGGTTATGGCGAGACCCTCTTTGCCCGCGCGACCAGTACGGCCGATCCGATGCACGTAATCTTCGGCCGTCAACGGGAAAGTTACATTGATGACCAGCTTGACTTCTGGGATGTCTAGCCCTCTCGCGGCAACGTCGGTGGCGACGAGTAGGCTTACGGACCCCGATTTGAAAGCTTCAAGACTGGCGATACGGGCCGACTGGGCCATGTCACCATGGATTCCAGCCACGTCGTACCCACGACTCCGAATGAAGTTCTCGATCCGGAAGGCCTCTTTCTTGTACAAACAGAACACCAAGATGCGATCATTGCGCTTCTTGCCGGCGGTGTGCTCTTTCAGAAGTTCCAGGAGACGTGATTGCTTCGCAAAGCCGTCCATGACCTCGACCTTCTGTACAATGCGGGTGTTGGCACGAAGCTCGCCCGAGTCTTCTTCGGCGTTGCGCCCGATGGTAATCTTGACAGGATCTTTCATGAAGGTCGCTGCAAGGTCTCGAATCGACTTCGGCCATGTTGCCGTGAACATGGCTGTTTGACGCTTGCTCGACGACGGCATCTGCGAAATGATGTGCTTGATATCGTCTTCGAACCCCTTGTCCAGCATACGGTCGGCTTCGTCCAAGACAAGGTACCGAGTCTTGGACAAATCGACCGTGCCGTCCGACATGAAGTCCTTCAATCTCCCGGGTGTAGCCACAACCACATTAGCCCCCTGGAGACTCCGACGCTGTTCGTCTTTATTTGTTCCGCCATATATGCACACCGGCTTCAGCTTATGGGCTGTTTTGCACAACTTGTCAATCTGTTCAAATACTTGAATCGCCAGTTCTCGAGTCGGGGCCACGATCACGGCTCTTATGCCCTTCTTCTTCCCCAATGCCGAGAGGCGAAACACCAGCGGCATGCCGAAGGCGATGGTTTTGCCGCTACCCGTCTCAGCCACTCCCACGAAATCTCGCCCGGACAGCAGGAATGGCCAGGACGCAGACTGGATTGGCGACGGCTTATCGAAGGAGGAGAAGACGCTCTTGAATTGTGTGGCGAGTTCCGAGGAGAGCTGCGTGAAGGCTAGGATGGGCCGCAAGTTTGTACCCTTCGGGTCGTCAATCTGCACAGATTGCGACTTGAGGAATTCGTCTACGGCGGCTTGGGGGAGAGCAATGAGAGATGGGTCAGGCTTGTAAGTTGCGCCATCATCCTCGTTGTCAGGTGCAGGTGTCGAGTGGGCAGTGGCATCAGTCGAACTGGGAGTAATGTCTTCGTGCCGTCGAGCTTCCTTGCGTTCCTTTCTCCTCCGCTTCTTGTCTTGTTTGGCTGTTTGAGCCTCTTCCTCGAGTTTGTGTTTGCTCATGTCTACCTTTTGGCTCGTTGGCTGTAACAAATGCAAATTGGAATTGGAAGTGGGATTTAGGCGCAGGCTTTTGTTCAGTAAAGAGAGGGCGCCACAAAAATTTCTACGGCATGATGTTGAGCACTTTTTTCTGCCTACAATAATCCAAAAGGCGGTGTGCGGAGATTTGCAAGCTAGATTTCTCTTCAGTTTCTTCACCTCTCAACAACCTTCAAGTTGGAGAGTAGAGACAAACAGCAACACACCTGCTATTTTGCAAGCACATGGTTGTCCTTGAATTTCCCTTGGATTGATCGTAAGGCCTTGTACTTCAAAATGGGCTCCAGTAAAACGGCCCTTGAGAGCGTTCAGGACTGCTGGGCACGCATTTCCCAAAACTCTCCCATCTACAACTTCTTCTTCTCAGACATTGTCCTTGTTAACGCAACGAATGGCTCTATGGTGGCTACGCTGCATGTTAACTCCCATCACCTGAACTCCAAGGGCGGGCTTCACGGTTCTGTCTCAGCGACAATTGTCGATTGGGCAGGTGGAATGGCCATTGCAAGTACAGGTCTCGAGAAAACAGGAGTAAGCACGGACATCCACGTGTCGTACGCCTCATCCGCAAAACTGGGCGATGTATTGACCATCGAGGGCAATGTGAACAAGGTGGGCAGAAACCTCGCCTTCACTACTGTGACAATCTACAAGGGGGAAGGGGAGGACAAGACTATCGTCGCGCACGGCACCCATACCAAGTACATTCTGCGCGATCAGCCGGACAAGAAGGCATGAATTTCCAGGTAGTTGCTTGGAGACCTTCCACAACTGGGAAGCGTGGATGCTACCAGCTAAACATCCTACCATCTACCATATCCTCTTTTTCTGCGCGCACTTATGGAAGACAGGCCATGTGGCCTTCCAGAACCCGGCATCTTCTTTGCATCAGGCATGAAACACCACCATGGTGCTATGATTCACTCGGATACCGGAGAACAAATTCACACCTCTGCTTTAGATCTCTGGCAACTCTGTACTTCTTGGTTGCATAGAGAATTATGGTATGAGACAAAAGATAGAATACACAACAGCAAGCCAATGTCAAAGGAACTGGCCTGATCATACTACAGTCAGGGACTCAATCGGCCTTCACGGAGCCATTCTCCCCAGACACCTCCCAGCTCCAGCGCAAGTGCCGCCGGTGTTCGCCCTTCACTGTCTTCCAGCGTCCGGATATCTGGCTCACCATTCCTCTCTTCTTTGCGCAAGCCCATCCCTGGCATCGCTTCAAGGACAGCAGCAGGGAACTTGTCCCACTCGAGCTGTGATCCGAGCGCGAGGAGGAGCCATGCCACCTCCTGCTGCTGGTAGCGGATGGCAACATGGAGCCCCGAGCCTTCAATGCCCTCGAATGTGCCACGGTACCTCAGTAGATCAGTGTGCTCATCTTCCTGCTCGTCCTCCTCCTGGTCCTCATCATCGTCCTTGATCATGTGAATAATGGCGTCGATGTCGCCTTCCCGACAGAATTCTAGGAATGCATGCCCTTTGCGTTCTTCGGGGTATGCCCGCAGATATGCCTCTTCCGTAGCAGCAGGGAGAATATCGTACCCTTCCTGCACACCTCCTTCGTTTCTCAGAGTTACTAGGACTTGTTGAGTTTGGCTCGGAGAGAGTGAAGAGATTTCTTTGGAGCAATTGGGACATTGGGTGATCGTGTATGCATCTAGAAAGCATTCCCTGACAAGAACAATTGTTTTTAGCTTCTTTTTGATTAAAAGCCTGCATTACTCTCTAGCTAATCTTACCAGTGATAATGACATCCGCAACTTAACTCCACGTCATCAGGCACGCTTTGCAACTGCGCAACTGCCTTGCTGTCTTCGATATCGCTATCCGGCTCGAAGTCAATGAGGAGCGGCTCGTGGCAGCTCGAACAAATTTCGGTCGCCATCGTATCGACGAGGTATGGTCAGGACGTCCAATTTCGAAGCCCGTAATCCAATTCAGTATTATAATATGTAAAGTGGAAGTTCCTGTCGGGTTTGGAGCCGTCCGAAACTTTTTCTGAACCAGTTCCACCAAATATCGAATTCTGCCGGTCACTTACAGTAGGTAAGGCGGTCTGGCCTGACGTTTTACAGTAGGCGGTGTGCAGCCCCTGTCGGTTCATGCCGTCGCCAGGGTCTGTACTAGTCGTCAGCCTTATCGAGGACTCTCCGCCAAATAAAACAATCAAGAACTCTCATCGCAGAGTCGACATTTGAATAATTCTCTATTGTTTCGATAGGCTATATCACCATTCTGTGTTCTTGCAGGCTGGTCTTGTATGAACAAACTCAGACTCGATCTGGCTAGGTATGTGGCCCGACAAGGCGCTGTTTCAAGTGGTGCCGTAAGTTGACTAGCGCCCCTATTTCTTACAGCAGCGCTATCCTTGTTTGAAAAGAGACGCAAGCACTCTTACGGGCTGTCCGTTCGGCTGAACGCGAATGAGGACTGCTTATGCAGCCCCCTCTCTGATCTCCAGAGACATTCAAATCCCTGAACAAGTCGCTCTTGGGTGAGCAGCTGGCTGGAGCGACCATGAGCCATGACGATGATGGAAGAACACCATGACAACGTCGGTCGGTCCGAACCCCCCAAAACAGAATCGGAAAGCCTACCAAAGCCAACTCCGTCAACAACAACTACAACCCCACTCACAGCGTCCGCAGCGATAGACGCAACCCTCAGATTCTTCGCCAATGCGAGCAACGAGACTTTGGGAGCCTGCGCGATAGGCCTAGGTACCTCCACTTATCTTGTTCTTGGACGCGTTGGCCTCGTTCTGATCGGCGCGGTTGGGGGCATCGTCCTCCATGCCACTTGGGAAAGTCAGTACGGCGGAGAGTCCAACACAGAAAAGCGCGAGAGCAACCGCCGGAGAAAAGAGCTGGGGATAGAAGTGGCACACCGGGTTTTGGGATGGCGGGACAAGAATCGAAAAGATAAGGAAGACCAGGTAGTCGTCGACGAGGCTGAAGTTGAGGTCCAAGGGGCCTCTACGGCTTCGGACTATTCCGGGTTCGAGCCCGAGACAAGAGAGGCACTGGCAAGCTTGACAGACGCTGTTATACGAAACTATGTGACTTGGTGGTACAGTCCATTGCTTCCGAAAGACCGACACTTCCCTGCCAGTTGTAGCCAGACTTTGACGAGTTTCATTGTCTCCCTCTCAAACCATCTCTCACGGAAACGGCCGGCCGATCCTTTCCTGGATTTTCTCTCGAACTCGACCTCTATTGTGATCGTCTTCTTGAATGAATTGGGCAACGCATTGAAGGCTTCACAGTACCAGGATGCCGAGACAGCCATCAACACATACCTGCAGTTTCAACCAGAGAGCAATCTGGCCAACGTGCTGAGCAGAGACCAACAGACACGCAAACTCAACCTTGTGGCTGATGATATCCTCCAGAACTTTCTTGACTCAAAGTCTTACAATTGTCCTCCCGTCAGAACTTTTTTACGTGAGATCTTGGCAGGTCTCGTGCTCGAGACCACTGTCGACACTTGTTCCAAGCCGGAATGGATCAATGGGTGGATTGTCTACTTGTTGCAGGATGGAGAGCCAGAAATCATGAATGCAATCGATGCCGGAGTCGAAGACATGAGCGGGGCCATCTCGGATGCGAAGGCCGATGCCGTTTCCCAAAAAGGTCATATCAGACGAATCAGCAGAGCCGAAGAGGCAATGCAAGAAGCCATGCGAGAGGCGCAGAGACTCAACGAGATGATTGCGGAAGATGAAGCCAGGCGGAAACGCGGGTTGCTTCCGAGTGAGCTTGAGGAGACTGGATCTGTGGCCACAACGGACGCAGGATTGGCTACGCCTACCTCGTCGGATAGCGATCGGAACAGACATGGGGGCCCGTCCTTGGATTCCTCCCTGATATTTGACATTGATGGCAACGCAATCCATTCTGCGAATCCGAGTCCGAATAAAGAGTCCGCTTCCTTCACAAGCTTTGATCAGCTGCCAGAGTCTGTCCTAACACCACCACGGCCCGTGTTGAGTGCTCCGGCTCCTGTGGAGGCGATGGTCGCCGTTCCATTGACATTACATAACGCTTCCTTGACAATCATCGATCTTGGCGACGGTAACGACAAAGCTACCCTCAGGCAAAAGCCCAACAGCGAGTACTTGCTACAAATTGAGCCAGCTTCGCAGCGGTACCCTGGGTGGATGGTCACTCGGAGATATGCTGACTTTGAACCTCTCCATCAGACCATGACCACGATCGCTCGACTCTCGGGCGTTCCAGAGTTTGGACAGAGATATCCCGCCCTACCCAGCTGGAAGGGACAGACAAGTGCATCATTGTTGCAGAACTTAGAGGGTTATCTGCGGTTCTGCCTTAGGTTTGAACCGCTGGCGGAGACCGAGGTGATGAAGAAGTTCCTGGACAAGGAGACTGGCCTTCAGAAGGCGCCGGCACAAACCAAAAATGTCCTAGTCCAGGGCGGTGCTGCATTGGAGAATGTGGGTAAGAATTTCATCAACGTCCTCGGTCAGGGCGGGAAGAATATCGCTGGTGGTGGCAAGGCAGTGCTTGGAGGAGTCCAAGGTGTTTTTGGTGCCGTGGCGACCGGTGTTGCGGGTGGGCCGAAAAAATTGACGCCATCCCGTCCGTCGCAGCAACTGTCAAGGACGAATACAGCGTCAAGCACACCAAGCTTTCGCCAGAGTCAAGAGTTGCCCAGGCAGAGCACTGAGAGCTTCGATCTCAAGCCACCGCCTCTTCCAAGCAGACCTAACCAAAGTCCTTCGGTTCATGGACAGGAATCACGGACGTCATCCAGTATAGACGAAGCAGCCCGTCAGTCAGAGGAGATGATATCAATGCCGCCGCTTCCGAGTGTAATCTCTGATGATTATCAGCCGATCACGCTGCCGAAGCCCGAAACTCCTCCTCGACCTCGACAAGAGACGGTTGTAGCCATTCCATCAACCCCGGCTTTGGCAGTCAAGCTGGGAGGGACAGACACTCCCTCCTCGAGCGCCGCAAAACTACCACCTAGAAGAGCTAAAAATGACGTTCCGATTTCTGAAGAAGAGACCCGGATTTTGATTGAGTTGTTCTTTGCTGTTCTAACCGAACTATACTCGCTCTCTGGGGCATGGTCAATCCGATTGTCTCTCCTGGGAGCCGCCAGAACGTTCCTTCTGCGACCCAACAATCCTCAGTTGGAATTGATCCGGTCGCTACTCCAGGAGAGCCTGATTGTGGCGAATTTCTCCGACAAAGGCCGGGCAAGTCACATTAACAAGCTACGAGAAAACGTGTTGCCGACCGAGGAAGAGCGGGCCAAGTGGTCGAAGGAAATGACACCGGAAGAGAAGGAGAACCTCCGGGTGAAGGCGCGCAAGTTGCTAGTCGAGCGAGGTATGCCACAAGCTCTGACTAGCGTGATGGGCGCGGCTGCCAGTGGTGAGGCTCTAGGCAAGGTCTTCGATTGTCTTCAGCTCGAACCCGTGGCGAGAGGTCTGATATTTGCGCTGCTGCTACAGGCCATTCGAGCTGCCACGCAGTAGATGCGTGTCTTGTATATCTAGGATGACTTTCTGAGTACACGAGGTGAAATGTTCTGGAGGTTTGGGACTCTGAAATGTATAATAGGATGATAGACTTGGCCTGGGTTGGATGAAACTGGCTTTGAGGTTACGTTGTGTAGGAGGTCGGCGGGATGCATGGTTCATCACGTACCTAATGCTTAACAGCAACAATACGTTCTTTTTCAGTCTTGGACCGTCAGTCTGACGGCTACGTGGTCGTCGGGTCTCGCATTGTTCAGGTTGTAGGTATGAAGGAGGGCGACATTGGCCGTGGTGGGTTTGCAGCCAATCGGAAGGCTTAGGGTGGGTGTCAGAATTGAATGCGCTTTATCCGCTGTGCCCTATTTTAAATCTCTTATAACTTCAATAGCTTTTACTCAATATACTTTATCTTCACTATAGTGATAGCTCTAGACATTCTCTATAATATCCCCTAAGTATATATTCTAGGAAGAAACTTAGCGTTAGACAGAAAGTGTAGAAGTACTCCGTAGAAGGGTGCGAACGGATAAAGCGCATTCAATTTTGACACCCACCCTAAGGCCTAAGGCTAGGTGCCAAAATATATGGCGGGTTACAAGGCGGTCCTACCTATTACTATCTCTAGTCCGTAGATATCGAATTTATATAATAGGTATAGGAGGTTACTCGAGGAAGGCCGTAGAGTATATCTAGTGTCTTAGAAAGATAATTATCCGGTAGAGCTGGAGGTTTCCTAAATCCCATCGAAGTCGCACTTAGATAAACCGCCTTTAATTCTGGCACCCACCCTAAGCCTAAGGCGGTGAGTCATTGTCCAATGCGGCTTCAAAAACTCCAAATCAAAAAATTGTGGCAGCTGCTGTTTCACAGCCTCATCCCCAACGGATACAGCGACGAGCATACCTACAACGCAGGCGAACTACTGTGGCCAGCACAGCCCTACAGGGCATCCGATAATTCATCCACCAACATTGCGAATATGAACGTACCCTGAAGGAGCGAGTCTACGCCACTAACCTTCCGCGCTCGCCCATCGAGGTTTTCCACCCGCCGATATGCCCAAAGTCCACCTTGTTGATTACGTGGCGGGGAACATCCGATCCCTGGTCAACGCCATTGAGAAGTGCGGGTATGAAGTTGAATGGATCAGGAGTCCCGAGGATGTGAAGAATGCAGATGTAAGCTCGAGTTGGATTGTGATCGTTGTTCATTCGGAAGCAGAACGAGGCCTTCGGATCTTTTGAATTGGCGTGCTTCTGTGCTGTTGAAGAATAAGGACGGCCAGCTGCGTTGTATTCACCTGTCTTCGTTCCCCGACATTGTATACCTCAGCCTTCTCCTCCTCCTACTTGAACTCTTAGTTCCACAATTTTTCGTTTCGTCGCTTTCCCTGTCTGACAAAGTCCAGAAAATCATTCTACCAGGCGTCGGCCACTTCGGGCACTGTCTCAGCTCTCTATCGTCAGCGGGTTATCTCCCCGCCATCCACGAGCATATCGCCTCAGGCAAACCTTTCTTCGGCATCTGTGTGGGCCTGCAAGCACTCTTTACCGGCTCCGAAGAAGCTCCATCGGTGCCAGGGCTGGGGCTGATTCCGACGTCTCTCCGCCGCTTCAGTCCCAAGAACAACGATGGATCACGAAAGTCAGTACCATGCATAGGATGGAACGATGCTTCTACACTCCACCAGCAATCGCCATCTACTTCGTCCAGGGACCTTTCAGCGACTGGGAAAAGCTTTTATGGCCTCAATCCCACCAGTAAGTACTACTACGTACACAGCTACTTTGTCCCTTACACACCCGGGGAGTTGGAGAAGCAAGGCTGGACAGTCGCGACAGCCACGTACGGGGACCAGACGTATGTAGGGGCGGTCGGCCGGGGTAATGTTCTAGGCACACAATTCCACCCTGAGAAATCCGGTGCCGCCGGTCTGAGAGTAATCAAGGCCTTCCTTGAAGGCCGAGTATGGTCGGAATCTACAGCCACGGGGTCCTCACCAGTGGTGTCAGTATCAGAGGTCAATGACGCCCTCCCTACTCTGGACAACGGCGCCAACGGTCTGACACGGCGCATTATCGCGTGCCTGGATGTCCGAGCCAACGACTCCGGCGACCTGGTCGTCACCAAAGGCGACCAGTACGACGTGCGAGAGAAAGCCGCGGGCTCGCAGGTGCGCAACCTAGGTAAGCCGGTTGAGATGGCCAAGCGGTATTATACACAGGGCGCAGACGAGGTGACATTTCTCAACATCACGTCATTCCGCGACTGCCCTGTGGCGGATCTTCCTATGCTCGAGATCCTACGGCGCACTAGCGAGACGGTGTTTGTGCCGTTGACCATTGGCGGTGGGATCCGTGACATGGTGGACCCGGCGACGAACAAGGCCATCTCGGCGCTGGACGTGGCAAAGCTGTATTTTGCTAGCGGCGCCGACAAGGTGTCGATTGGCAGCGACGCCGTCCTCGCCGCAGAAGAGTACTATGCCTCGGGCAAGCGGCTGTCCGGCAAGACAGGGATCGAGACCATCTCGGCAGCGTATGGCGGGCAAGCCGTGGTCGTGAGCGTCGATCCGAAGCGTGTGTACGTCTCCTCGCCGTCCGAGACCGCGCACCACACCGTCCGCACCGCCGTCCCCGATGCCCAGGGCCGTGAGTTCGTCTGGTTCGCATGTACCATCAAGGGTGGTCGCGAAACCCGCGATCTTGACGTTGTTCAGCTTGTCACCGCCGTGGAGGCCATGGGCGCCGGCGAGATTTTGCTGAACGCCATTGACCGTGACGGCCAGAACAATGGATACGATCTCGAACTGATCGGCCTGGTCAAGAGCGCGGTCAGTGTGCCCGTCATTGCCAGCTCCGGTGCCGGAAACCCCTCTCATTTCGAGGAGGTGTTCAGAAAAACCGATGTGGATGCCGCTTTAGGGGCAGGAATGGTAAGTTCAAACGTCCCGCTCTTTGTGTACCTAATGCCCCTTTCATTTCCTCCTCTTCGAAGACCTCCATTCCGGTTTTCGACATATCATACATACCCGTTCTCTATCCGGTTTCTGCAACATCCTCTTTGTTGTTCAACTTCTCAATCTCCTGGTCGCCGTGCGAATTTCTTGCACAAAACTTCTCAGGCTGACGCTGACCCCTATCGTATTTCTGCTATAGTTCCACCGAGGTGAATACACTGTTGCCCAAGTAAAGGAGCACCTCGCCCGCGCTGGACTGCTCGTTCGACCCTTTGAGGAGTTCCAGCCATGAGAAGAAAAAATAGATAGAAGAGCGCAATAATAAAAGGCGAAATCAAGCAGTCTATCAACTGTTGAGTCATTCAACCAACGCGACTACAACCTGAAGCATATCATGTCTCGAGGGCTGCTCGTAATGATAGACGAAAGGCTGTGTAGCCTGGTGTCGAGTACTCCGTACAGCAGTGCTAGATTCAGCCAGCCCTTGCGCCCTGGGTTTGATCGGCCACAGGAGAGTCAAGACGAAGAAGCGAGGCAGTTGAGTGATAGACTCGCTAAGGCTGCGGTTCGGGGATTAAATGCCAACCTGTACTCCGTACTCCGTTCTGCGCTACGGTTCCTTATGCTTCGCCGTGGCAACTTTGTATGACTTGTCGGCGCGTCTTGTTCAAGCAGCGGGAGTCGCGCAAAAAGATTCCAGGGCTTGTAACAACTATACTGCCTGCCAAACAATACCAATCTGTCTTCCAAACCGCCCACCACACACCACCCTTTCTAGTCGCCTAGACCGCAGACGGCTATTCCCCGATGCTCAGCTCTCAAGATTGCTGACCACAAGCGTGCACCCTCTCTCTGGAGGCCAACGGCACTCCCTCGTCGCTCCTTTACCTTTTCCACACCCACGCGTGCCCTGTCAAACCCGCATGTCTCGTTCAGTAGCTCCCCCGTCGATGTGAGAAGATCGATTTCAACTGAGCTACCAAGGTTGAGGATGGCATTCAGCTTCTCAAATATGGCGTCCAGCGCCTCGGGGTTCGGCTTAGGGGCAAATGCGACGCAGGGTGTCAGTGTGAAGGATGGGCCGGAATTACGAGAGATCCAGACAAACGAGTTGGGGTTCGCTGCGCTCAATGGCGAGGCAAAAGTTCGACTTCTCCCTACCCCCTGGCCTTCAGATGCCTTGCCTCCTCCCTCCTCTTCCCTTCTCGCCATCGCATCAGCCAAAGGGCTCCTAGCAGCTGCCGGTCCGGACGCTCTTTACATCACCTCTACAGCCAAAATCAGAGACTCCTTCCGCTCGTCAGCACCATCAGCTGACGAAACCGTTCGACCCTTCACACCTGAGATCAAGATTGCAGTGCCTCGGATAACTCACCTTGCCTTCTCCGCTGACGAAAGTGTCTTGGTCGTGGCTGCGGAAACAGGAGGAGAGATTCTGGCATTTCCGGTTGACAAGATCCAGCAGGGCCAGCTGGAGCCCGCTGTACGAATATCCACGAACGGGCAGAGTCTGCGAGCATTAGTACCGAATCCAGCGCCTGAGTCTGCCGAGTTTTTTGCCATTATCACTGGAAACGGGGATCTGATGATCCTGGATTTAAAGGCAGGGAGCATGGTCTCTGGGATCAATGGTACCGTTCTTAAGAGTGGAGCAAGCTGTCTATCATGGAGCAACAAAGGCAAACAACTCGTTGCTGGCATGGCGGATGGGACTGCCATTCAGATGAAGCCAGATGGCACCGTTGTTGCGCAGATCCCAAAGTCGACTTCTGTTGCAAGTGAAGTACATGTTTCCGGGATTTCCTGGCTCGAGAACGATATATTCTTCATCATCTACACGCCAAATGATACTGGTAATGGTATTCTGCCTTCCGAATATTACGTCGTCAACCGGGAACCGAAACCAACAGTTTACATCTTTCAGAGGCTACCCGAAGTTCTGCCACCATTCGGGGTCGAACGACTACCATCCTCGCATTTCATATCAAGACTTAGAAAATTTCCTCCACACGTGCAGGATTTGTTGGTTGTCACGGCCACAACATCCACGGATGTCGGTCTCATCTCGAAGACGCAAACGCCGTTGTCGAGGGAGGATCCGGTGACTTCGACGTTCACGTTCACCACAATCGAGGACGACACTCGACGGGCCCAGCTTCCCCTTTCGTCGGAAATGCAAGACACCTCTCCCATTGGTATGTCGCTAGATTTATCAAGTACTGAGAAGGTCCCAAATCCAATTCCGGCGGATGCGGAGCTACTGGAGACTGCAGGGCCTGTCCCTGGCCTTGTGATATTGAACAGCGAAGGTGTCCTGGTAGCCTGGTGGATTATCTACAATGACTCTATTCGCGAAAAGACGACATATCCCGGCCTAAGATCCGTGCAAGCCGCAACAGAACTTCCAACACTACCCTCTGAGTCTCAGTCACCGTCTCCTGCACCTTCTACCAGCGCGTTCGGTCAAACCAGCAGTGTCAGTCCTTTTGCGAAGCCTACAATGTCTGGTTTTGGAGCCCCTAGTAACAAACCCTTTGGAACTTCTTCCACTACTGCTGACAAGCCATCTTGGGCTACTGCTGGCTTCGGTTCTACTATGAGCACGTCGGCAGAGGGCTCAGCTTTCGGAAAGCCGGCTTTTGGCTCGTCAACTCCTATCAGTAGCCGAGCGACCACAGCTTTCGGCTCGACCAGCGCTCTCGGAAGTCGACCTACACCTTTCGGACAGCCCTCCACGATTGGCTCACAGCCCGCTTTTGGACAACCGTCTCCGTTTGGGACCGCCTCAACTTCCAGCCCTTTCGCAACTGCAGCGGGTGGCTCAAGCAACTCTGGCTTTGCCTCCTTTTCCAAGGAAGGTGGATTTTCCTCGTTTGCAGGAAGCAAGGCAGGCCAATCCACTCAGAGCCCCTTCGCCGCAGCCTCTGGGACGAGCATTTTTGGACAGCCATCTGGCAGCACTTTTGGCAAGGACAAGGCTAGTGCCTCCCCGTTTGCGTCAGCCAAACCCACCGGTGGACAAAGCATTTTTGGCAGCAATGATTCATTCAAACTACCATCATCATTTCAGAGCGATGGCAGTGCGAAAGAAGACTTAACCGCACCCAACGAACCCGGTGGTTTTGGTTTCGGTGGCTCTTTAGATGACATGTTGGGCGAACCGCAGAAAACCCTCTCGCCGACCCATGACAAGGAAGCCGAAATGGACGAGAGCCAGGTCGGTGAAGCCGATTCCGATAAAGCTCAGAATGCTCCCCCCTTCCAAGGGATTGCATCACAGAATGCGCCCAAAATTCCGCAGACCCTCGTAACTCCTCCTTCGACGTGGACTCAATCCAAAGCTACTCCTGCCCCACCTGTTTCGAACTTATTTGGTCAATCGTCCACAACTCCACAGCCTCAAACAACTACACCTGGGTGGTCGTTCGGTGGTGTGGCCTCTACCACTCCTAAGGAGACCCCTGATCCTTCGCACATGGCCCTATTTGGTACCAAAACAGCCAAAGATGAGACTCCCGCAGCGGTGCACAAGAGTGAACCAGCTAGCACTTTTGGAACCCTTCCCGAAACATCGAAGATCAAGGAAGAGCCTCCCAGTGACACCGAGTCTGTTGATCTGAACAATATTCCAGAGGCGCCTCTTCCCCCCGATCCGGTCAGCAAACCACGATACTCGTCTGCGGATACCCCAGCCTCACCTACTGTATCGAGGAGCCCTCTAGACGACGCACCCCTACCCCCAGACTTCCTTCCTACGCCCAAAGCAAGTCATGACGAAGAGCCGCTTCAACAGCTCCCCAGTGAAGATGAGGTTGAGCCGGAAGAGGACGAGGAGGATGAATTCAGTTCAGATGTTGACGACAGCGGCGAAGAAGTCACAGGAGACATAACCGAAGGGGGAGACGCCACGGAAGATCAGCATGAAGATCTGCAAACTTCTCCCGAAAGCTCATTCAAGAGTGGCGACAGAAGTACGGAAACGAGCCCGACAGGCGGCCTCTTCACGAAAATATCCTCAACGGCTATCTCACAAAAGCCATCCCGACCATTGTTCGGTGAAGTTGGCACAGGACCTGTCTTTGCTCCTCCGAAGCCACACGAAAGCCCGCGATCACCAAGTCCAGTAAGAAATGTCCCTGCAGAACGCCTCCGACTAGATGCATCTAGATCCGTCAGTGCGCCAGCGAATCCTCGGTCCATCGTCGATCAACGAAAAGCGGAGTATCAAACGTCTTCGCTAGCTGCCCAGGCAGCTAGGACAAGAGAAGAAGAAGCCTTGAAAGAGAAAGCTCGACGAGAAGCGGTCGCTCGGCAGAAGGCTGAGGCAGAAGCCAAGCAGCTCGAGCCACTCGAGGATGACGAAGACGAGCTTCTCCGCCAGGAACTCGAGCGGCCTGTCTCACCCACCCAGTCGCTAGACGACTTCATCACCTATCAGCCCAGGCCGGCAGAAGAGACCAAGAAGACTGGAATACCTGCCCAGATTGAAAGACTCTACGCGGACATCAATTCCATGGTCTACACACTAGGGATCAATTGCCGCTCCCTGTCGGCATTTATGCGGTATCAACAACCTGAAGCGACCAATCAATCATGGCCATCGGTGCTCAGATCGGAGACACCAATGGATGCCCTCAACGATGAGTGGTTTTTAAGCGACATTGCGAGATTGCATGAAGGTCAATCTGTTCTCTCCGAATTGCTCGCCGAGAGCAACGTTGAAGACTTTGGCGAGAAGGTCCAACAATGCCAGACTCTTCTTGGCTGTGATCTATTCGAGCTGAGGACAAAACTTACGTCCATCCGGAAAACAGTTAACGCCCTAGCTGCAAAAGACGGTATCATCACAGCTCCGCTTTCCGCCGAACAGTCATCGATCCAGCATGACCTCCGCAAGACTTATAACTTGGTTCAGACCAAGCTTATAGAGATCGAAGACGCCATTTCGGTTCTACGGGCCAAAATAGTCCAGTCCACGCCTGCGACTACGTCTGGTCGACGGTCCAGCATTCTTGGTAGAACATCCTCGCAGAAGAAGCCTACTGTGGAAGCGGTAACAAAGACAGTGGCAAAGATGATGTCAATGGCCGAGCAAAAGAGTGCAGATATCGATGTTCTGGAGGCGAAACTGAAGCGGATGGATCTTTCCTTGGCGTCGTCGACACTTAGCAATGGCAACCCGTCGAATGAACAGTCAGCCATTGTGACCCCGCATCGATTGAGAAACTCATTAAATGGTGCAACCCCTGGAAGTACTCGAAGTATCTACCACACCCCCGACTCCAAATTCAGCAGCAGTACGAGGTCGAAAACAAGCTTCAGAGCTAGCCAAAGTGGCGGCCTGGGACTCTTGTCGACCGAGGACAAGGAACGGTGGCGAGCACAGGCACGTCGTCGCAAGGAAGCTGCAAGTGTATTGAGGGACGTTTTGGAGGACAAACGCAAGGGTGCAGCAACCAAGAAATGAGGGTAGTGCAAGGATCCCAAGACGACTCACCGTTGACCCGGGAATGATTGAATGTGCCGAGTTGGAAAAGCGAGGCCCGCCACCCATTTTGATGGGAAAATGTATCAGCTAAATGTGAACGAATGAAACAAAGCTAAACACAGGATTGGACACCAAAGCTGCCCTAGGGATATATGACCTTCTCCTTGCTTGCAGCAATGCATACGAAGGTTATTATTAGATACTGCTAGGACTAGCAGTAGGTACATAGAAGTATCCGTACCACTGACTGTCCGTACATACTCTACGGAGCAAGACCGAGCCATATCACGTGGCCGACAGGTAGAGAGGCGAGCTGTCTTGCACGTTCTATTAGTACTAGTACTAGTACTAATTAGTCGACCCGCCAATCGGCACACCTTTTGCTTCTACTAAACAAAGTGCCATTTGGGGCTTGCTGCTTGACCGTCGAAAATCTCCTCCCGTCCACCTCCTCTTTCGGCCAGATTGAGTTCGAGTGCGACCGACGGCAGAAGCTTTGACTGCATCTTGATCCAGGTGGCATCAACCGTCTGGCGCCTGCTCCTTGACTGCTTCTGAACTCCTTTTGAGGATCGCCGTTTTCTTCAACGCTTGTTTCCACCTCACCGTCCCACCTGACAAACCGTGCAGGTTTGACTCCCATCTCGCAGACACCCTCGCTACCTCTCGTCGCGTCCGTACGGCTGTCAAACTACTCAACTCCCTTTTCCTCCACATCGATTCTACCGCTACAAACCTCTAGTCAATCTCGCGCCAACACCTTTCTTCCTCTCCTTCCTCCTTCATCGACGTTGGTCGTTTGAGTTAAGTACTGGTTCGCCCTTGGCCTGCTGGGATCGAGAATTGGGTTCATCTTCGAGGCGTTGCTTTACTCAACTTCACCTCTTCCTCATCCTACGACTCCTCCGTTGACCATTTCACACCTCCGCTCACAAACCTCACCTCCTTTCCTGACTCTTCGGCATCTGCAGAGCATCCAGCTTGTCTCAATCCCGCCACGCAACCCCAGCACGAATCTCTCAAGCATCCTCTCTCACCGTCTCCCTCCGTTTGACACTCTCGAATCCCTCTCTGCACCAGCAAGTTTTCCTTCGACACCCTGGTGTACATAAAAATCTATTGGGAGAACAATAATAAAGATTTTGGCCCCATAACATCTTTGTGGGTGATTTCCTCAAGTCACACGCGACATGTCCGCATCACCCACCTCCAACATCGCAATGTCTTCGGCAAAACGACCCTTGGAAGATCCTTCGTCACCCTCCGCTCCCACTGACCTGCCAGATGCCAAACGTCCAGCCCTTGACAAGCTTGTCAAAGAAGACACCACCGTCCAGGACTCGGCACCCGCCGACACTCTCTCAGCGGAGACTGCAAAGACTGTCGAAGAGCCGGATTTGCCTGCTCCCGTGACCAACGGAAATGCAGACGCACATCCCGAAGTCGCCGCATCCTCAGGAACCAACGGTACTGCAGCGGCATCACTCCCAGAGGCTCAAGTACCTTCGCTTCCGAACATTGTTCCACAGAATGAGCGATCATCATCTGGCGCTCCGTCAGTGCCCTCACAGGACGAGACCAACTGGATCCATATTCGTGCTGTTATTTCAAGCGCCGAAGCCGCAACTTGCATCGGCAAAGGTGGCGAAAACGTAACCCAGATTCGAAAACTCTCTGGGGCAAAATGTACCGTCAGTGACTATGCGCGTGGTGCGGTGGAGCGAATTCTGACCGTGAGCGGGTCCCAAGAGGCAGTCTCCAAGGTATGTGCTGTTCTTTCTCGCCTCAGGCAGGTGATACTGACATGAACAGGCCTTCGGTCTCATTATTCGTACTCTCAACAATGAACCTATCGACGCCCCCTCTACTGCCCAGTCCAAGACTTACCCCCTCCGCTTGCTGATCCCCCATATTTTGATTGGTTCCATCATAGGAAAGTCCGGCGTTCGCATCCGAGAGATACAGGAAGCGTCCGGGGCTCGTCTCAATGCCTCGGATTCCTGCTTGCCTCTTTCCACCGAGCGTTCATTGGTGGTCTTGGGGGTTGCTGATGCAGTGCACATCGCCACGTATTACGTTGCTGTCACACTGGTTGAGCAGCTTACGGAGCGATTCGGCGGTCCGGCTGCGTCTGCTTATGCCACGAGGAGTGGAGGTCCGGCAGGAGTGATCCCGGGTGGTATGCAAGTAGTGCCATACGTTCCTCAACCTGCCGGAGGCCAATATGGCCACCCAGACACCTACAAGAGGCACAATACCCTCCCCCCTCAGCGCGTCCCCGCCCAGCCTTACGGTGCGCCTCAACTACCCGGTCCCGCTCAGCAACCTTACGCTCCATACGCCCAACCTTACGCGGCAACACCTCGTACTCCAAGCTACGGAGCAGTCCCTCCACAACCGGGGCCGTATGGTCAAGTGCCACCCCAGCCTGGTCCGCATGGGCAACCCGCACAGCCGGCTCATGGGATGCCTGGACAACCCATAACCCAGCAAATTTTCATTCCGAACGATATGGTCGGCGCCATTATCGGCAAAGGTGGCGCTAAGATCAATGAAATTCGTCATCTCAGTGGCAGCGTTATTAAGATCAATGAGCCGCAAGACAACAGCAACGAGCGACTGGTCACCATTACTGGAACCCAAGAATGCAATCAAATGGCCCTGTACATGCTGTATTCGAGACTGGGTAAGTCTGAAGCAATCTTGTGAGAAATTAGTAATGCGCGCTAATCATGTTACACAGAGAGTGAGAAGCATCGAGTCTAGACTCGGCGTTACCTAGGGACGTATGCGCTGGACAATGATGGATTTTCTGCGGTCGGTTCAGAGAATGATTCAAACTGACCTGGCCGAGGTTGACCTTAGGGAGAGTCTCGTGCAACAGGGTGGTGGCATGTCAGTATGAGACCGCAGAACTTGAGGAGTGCTCCAAATATCTGGAGCCACGGAACTTTACCTCTGGAGTAGGGAATCTGCAAAGAGTGTGCGGCAGCCCTGATGGTATCAACCTGCCTCACATGCCAAACGAGGGGACGGTGCGTAGTTATTGAGAGCTGAGGCTCGAAGAATGTTTCAGCAGTTAGCAGTCGAATCCTGTCACGCCCCAGGCCAGGAGATTAGGTATTCTTCCGGTCTCTGGGATTGACAAATGATGCTGGTAGTATCCTAGAGTTCCAAATTTCTCGATCTATCATGCATCCCACTGTGGCATTGCTTTCTTTTGGTGACGAGATTTGCAGTAGAACTGCATCTGTTCCAGCGCATTTTACCTGGTAGAGAGTCGCAGCCACTGCGTAGTATAGTACTAATACCCCTGTACTTGGCAGCCTTGACACTCTGTGGCTTCCCTGTCATTCATGACAATCCCCTAAATACCCATATTACCTAGGTAGGTGATGGGAAAAAGATGTGACTCTTGTCAACAGGCATCCAGTCTCGAATCATGACAATAGAAGGCGACTTTGATTTACGCCCCTTGTTGAACTTAGTTGTCAATGTCATATGACACGGCACGTGGCTGGCTCAGGGAGTCCGCCCTCCCTCTCGACATACCTGGCACCTACCTGGCTTCCTTCTTGTCAGAGATAGCCAACCCCATACAGATACAATTGATGCTACCATACAGCTATCAGGGCTCTTTCTTGTGTTGCTTACTTACAACAATCTGGTAGAGGCGAGCCGTTGACTTCGTATTGCACGAACTCAGATCCATTCTATCTCCTCCTACACCTCCTACCTAAGCCTACAAGCCCGCAGTTGGTCTTAACTCTTCCTTCTCCTACCGATCTGCCAGCTACTACTTCTCCTACCATATAATTCCTTAAGTCCAGAGCTTGAGATCGATCGCCGGATGATAACCGGTACTTAAACTATTGCTTCCGCACCGATTTGCTATCCAGCACCTTCTTGTTTTGAATAGCTCCAAGCTTCCAAGTTTATAGGAAGAACGTCATCTTCTCTTTTTTTCCTCCTCCTCTTATTCTTACACCGATCTAACAACCTTCATTCTTATCAACGACCTTAACCGGTGTTGCACGAATTTAGACCCGCTCTGCTACCTCTACTAACGTCCTACCTGAGTGGATTCAAGAGCCTCGAATTTAGAGATTCTCGAAATTTGAAGAGACCGACGAGGCCGCCGAATTTAAGCAGTCCACTGGGAAATAAGCTACTGACGACGTTCATACATTCCTAAAGGAACGGGCCAAATGGACACAGATGGTTTCCTATACGCGGAAGTGGTCAGGGCAATTGAAGGTGGCGATGGAGAAGAAGCAAAGGCTGTCAAAGGAGGTGTCAGATCTCCACGATAAGGCCCTCGCATCCCCAGACCTTTTTATTCATATTTGATGACAATTTTAGACCGGAAAGCAAGCTCGTGCAACGGCTAGCAGAAGAGGATGAGCATAAGGATGATGCGATATAGGCTCCGCAAATGGACCCAAACCCGTGCAGGACGTTCCGACACGCTTGGTACAATCGGCGTACAAACCGAACGACAACCGTGTGAGCATCTGGACCGAGAGCTACGGGGGCCACTATAGCCTAGGCTTCGCTGGGTTCTTTCAAGAGCAGAACGAAAAAACCGCCAATGGCTCCTGGAGCGATGCGGGCGAGACATTTGAAATTCACCTGGACATGCTCGGCATCATCAAAGGCTGTATCGATATGCTCACCCAAGAACCCAGCTACCTAGGTACCCTCAGATAGCATACGACAACACGTCTCCGGGATCCAGGCAATCAATCGCACCACTAATCAATGGGGACTTCAGACCACTAGGTCGCTTTGATGATGGTGGTCGATATGGACTGGCCCCGGGTCTTCTGTCGTCGCGTGCAGTCTGTACGTACGTACATGTATATGGCATATGCTGTACACCTTACTCCATACCAGGTACCTAGCTACCTAGTATATAGGTGATAGGGAGACGTCCCCTGTCCTTCCTTCCGCTCTCAGACATCGGGCTCGGCCCGGTCTCCACTGGCCTGCCTTCGGAGTCGCACCGAGATATCAGATGATGGATGATTAGTGCCACTACCACTACCTCATTCTCCAGCCTCACCCCCATCTTCACCCCCATTTCCTCTCCCTCATCCCCCGTCCCCCACACCTCCAGACAAACGTCCCCAGTGAAACAAGATATCAGATTGGAGAATCAAGTACCTACCTAGAGCAAGACAGTGGCTCCAATTTCCTCATCGCTTTGAAATGCCGGCTTTTGCCTCCGGATGACTGACCTGTGTCATGCAAGGCAGAAGGCACAGTCCCAAGCGATGCTCCCCTGTCCCCTCGCTGCTGGTTGCTGGGTGGATTCCGCCGTGATCACCTGAGGATCTTCATTTCCTGACCTCGCTGGCCATTGTCCCGAACCATGGGAGTATGGAGGATGGACACGTTCCCCTATCCTCCCACCAGCTCCTTCATACTATGACACGAGGCATGGCAGGCAGCCTAAGCCCTCGCCGATCCAGCCGAGAGGTGGTCAATCCTGCCCACTGATTCTATATCTGGCCATGGGCTCCTCGGGTGAGGGCCTGCTGGTCTGGTCCCTCATGTTCTGGTTGTGACCTTCCCATCAACAAGCAGCATACGACGCTCTACATCTCTGAACTGAGTATCTTCACGACGAGGTCAGGACTTACAATGGCGGGCACAGCATGGTATTCCCTGGGCGTGGCGTTCTTCGCCGCTATCGGCACATTTCTATACGTACGATCATCTTTTGCCTTTACTCAATGACAAGAGACTGACACCAAATTACCAGGGGTTCGACAGCGGGATCGCAACCAGCAGTTAGTCAAGGGAAGAAAAGAAGTCTAGACAGGCCGGACTGATCAGATCTTTAGCCATCGCTCACCAGAGCTGGATCAACTACATGAAGGAGCCTTCGAAGGGATTGACTGGCGCAGTAAGCCTGGCTCCGCAGACGTGCCCCAGGGCGACTTGCTTACACCAGGACAAAAGGTCGTTTCCGTCTACATTGCTGGCGAGGCTTGCGGGGCATTGACCCAGACATTGGTCGCTGACAAACTCGGCCGCCTGCGCTTCATGCAGGTGCTGTGTGTTATTGTCACGGCAGGCACTGTCATTCAGACCGCTTCTCAGAACATCGGCATGTTTCTTGCTGGTCGCGCGCTTGCTGGCTATGCTGTTGGGTATGCGCATTTGATATCTGCCCTCTTTGAAAGTAATCTGTTGCAAATGCTGACCACGGCCGCATCCAGTGGCATGGTCTCAACTGTTCCCGTCTACCTCAGCGAGATTTCTGCCCCTCACAACCGTGGCCTCATAGGAGGTGTTTCGGGCTGTGGCATCTCCTTGGGCACCATGGTTTCGAATTGGGTTGGCGCCGCCTGTTCGTATGCGCCTTATGGTCCCACTCAATGGCGGCTGCCTCTCGGTGTCCAAATACCTTGGGGTATCATGCTGTTCATTGGCCTTCTCACCTTCATGCCGCACTCTCCTCGTGAGTTGGTCCGCAATGGCAAGATTGACGAGGCACGTCGCCAGTTTATGCGGATCCGCCGGGATCTCAACCCTTCCCAGCTAAACGAGGAGTTCACCCTCATGCGTCGGCAAATCGAATTTGAAATGCAGCGAGAGATCAAATCACTGAAAGAGGTGTTCCAGCTGTTCAGACACCGTGTTCTAGTGTATGTGTGGTATTTCCATTGTTACTTGCTCTTGCGTTGACGCTGACCTCTGTTCTATACCAGGTCGATTGGTGTCCAAACTATGACCAGTCTCACAGGCGTCAATGTCATTCAGGTAAGCAAGCCTCTCTCCTTAAACATCGCACGGTTTTGTGGTCAAGCTCTCGAAACTGACGGCTTCTATAGTACTACCAAAGTAGGTCCAAATATTCCGTGGATGGCTTCAGTCTCCCTATTCCTGACCACGCTCGCAGCCATCCTTTTCAAATCCTTGGGGATCAATAGCCACATGATCCTCATTCTCGCCTCGGTCTACGGCACCATTGCTTTTCTCTCCAACGCCCTCACCACCAGATTTCTCACTGACCAGTGGGGTCGTCGAAAGTATGTTACAGCACACTCGAATTGGTCTTCCACGCTGGACTACGCCAATGTTGATTTGGTTCTGCCAAACAGGATTGGCATATTTTTGGACAAATGCTTACATTACGTCGGTACAGGATGATCCTCGCTGGTCTCATGGGCATTATTGTCATTGAGATCTATGCTGCCGTCATGCAGCGCGAATTCCAGAACAGCAACAACCAAGTCGGCAAGGGCTTCGCCGTCCTGGGAATTTATCTCTTCGTAACCACATATTGTGAGTTGTGTCCACCATGCTCTCGTGCCGGGTATCGGCCCCGCGGTGTTGTCCCAAGCGCGCAAGGACGAAGCAGAGATGGCATGCTAATTCATCGTGTCTTACAGACGGCATGCTCAACAGCACAACCTGGCTTTATGGCGCCGAAGTCCTGCCCATCGCCCTGCGGTCCAAAGTCATGGGTCTTGCTTCGGCGTCGCATTTCATCGTCAACGTCGCACGTAAGCACATGTATCCTTCCCACACGCACGTCGTGTCCTCCCCTTTTTTTTGTTTTCCCATCCACAGATGTTCCTGCAGAATACATCATATCAGCGGAGCATGCTGGATGTGTTGCAATGACCAAAGCTAATGTGCCGTGATTGCAATCAGTCACCGAAGCCGGCCCCAGCGCTTTCGCCAACATCCACGAGAACTATTACTATGTCTTCGTCGCATGTTCTGCCTTCTTCCTGGTCATTGCCTACTTCTACTTCCCGTAAGTCCCCTACAACTGGATGGCTAGTCACTTTCTTTTTGCCTGCCTGATTTGCGTCTTCGTTTTTGCCTTTCCGCTATTAGTACGTCAGGGACGTTTCTATTTTATTTGCGTCTGGTCTGGTCTGGTCTGGTCTTTTTCTTTCTTCTTTTTTTTTTGTTCTGTTCTGTTCTTTTCTGTTTGCCACTCGCCCTCCAAACCGTGCGTGCTACGCTGACGCAGTCAAACTCTGTGCAGGGAGACGAAACAACGGTCACTGGAAGAGATCGCCGCCGACTTCGGCGACAAGATCGTCCTGATCGACGAGATCGATCTGGCCGTCGAGGAGATCAGGATGGAAGAAAAGGTCGGGGACATGCAGGTCGAGATTGCCCCTCCGGCCCCTGGCATTGCGCAGTCCAAAGTCTGAACGACCGGGACCGGGACCGGGACCTCGAGCGAGCCTACGCGAGATCAAAGTGAGTGTAGGCCTGGGCCTGGGCCGTAATGCATACATTATATACAGTATAGCTCTGTCTAGATTTGTACAGAAATAGAGAGTCGAATGCGGATGTGGATGCGGATTCGGACACCAGTACAAGGATATTCCCGAGTATATAACCCTAACTCTACCCACCTACCATCTCAATTCGATCCGATTAGCCTCGTGTATCATGGTCCGACCCCGAGGACGAGCAGCGGTGCGTCTGGAAACAGTCCTCTGCTTTCCACTTCACTTCTCCCGCCTTCACCATCGGTCACGTGAGCAGCTTCAAGGTTGATGTCGACATGGACAGTGACTGAACGATAAGTGCATCTCATTCTGTACACAAGGCAAGTCAGGAGTTCCCAGCTCATACACGCACCTGCCTGAAAGCAAAGTCCCTGTTTTGATTTATAAAGTCCACTGGCATGTCTATTTCCCCTTGGACACAAAGTCTTCAACCCTTTTCCGCGTCTCGCTGGTCGTCTCGTCCGCCCAGTCTGTGGCTAGTTTCGCATGTACTTTCGCTGCCCTCCAGGCATCCTGCACGAAGCCCCGGACTTGAAGATGCGTCTCACTGATGACCGGCACTTTCTCCTCATATTCCCAGATCAAGTTGGAGGTGTTGCGCATGGTCACCGGGATCAACAGCCAGCCTGCCGTAACTCCCACGGCCAATGGGAATGTTGCTCGCAGAAAGATGCCACGGTTCCGACTGACGATTGACCCGGCCATGGTCGCAACGAGAACGTAGATAACCCCTGGCAGTAATTGTTCACCGGTCTCTGGTGCAGGAGCTAATGAGGCAATGGTGCTGGTCAAGTTGGTCTCTTTTTTGAACGCCCAGGTCAACAGATCGTTGACGCCATTTTCGGCAGCCAGCGATTGGTCGTAGAGGAAGAGACGCGCCTTTTTCACTTGTTCCGTCAGCCTGTCTGTCGGAGTCGGAGAGCGTGGATTCGGCTTCGAAACTGGTGAGGTCGGTGAGGGTTCGGGAACGGTTGGCAAGACGGAATCAGAGGAGTATATAGGTTTCTTTTCAGGGAGCTAAAGAGCGGCACAGTTAGACCTAGAGGGGACAAATCAAGGCTGGATGCTGGAGGCTGGAGGAGAGCTTTACGGTGTCTTTGGAGGGAGCTTCTGCAAACGCGGTGCGGAAGCGGAGGGATTGAGGTGCTTGAGTGGCCGCCGTTCCTCCGAGAACTAAGAAGGCGGCCTGCCTGGACTGCAGCTACGGTTAGCTAGGTAATAGGTACGCCGGTTGTAGAGACGAACTTACAGCTCGAAAGACTCGTGCGCGCGCCATGGCTGGAGAGGTTGGCAATTGCAGTGGCGGGCTCGCAGAAAACACGCAACTTGAAGTCGAGCTTCAGGTCCAGGATTCAGGTTCGCGGGCGAATCGGGCTTGGCGAAGACTGACCACGGCAAGCCAGTCTTTGTCTCTGAGTGCTACGAGCCTCTCGCTTCGCTTCTAGAAGCAAGTCTGCATATGCACATCTCCGTCATTACGAGGCCAGCACCAAGACAGAGGAGGCACCAAGGTACAAGGTACTTCTGCTGCTACCGTCGTTGAGGTGTGTGCAGCGTCGCACAAGGATTGTCGGCCGCTTCGCAACACCTGACGGCCGAGACAACTTGACCTCGGACCTTTTCTAAAAGTATGCACAGACTGCTGCGCCGGCAGCCATGGACGTGTACCAGATGCCTCCGCCAGCAGCAACGACACCGTTCTACGGCCACCGGCACCGCTGCCGCTGCTGCTGTGGCAGATAACTCCTTCGAGTCTGCGTACCTTCATGCAGCGCCCGCGCGAAACAGTGACAATGCTTTGCTGCGGGAGGTCTTCAACAACAAAGGCACATGGCGAACCTCGGAGAAGACAGGCTCGGGACTGATTGGGAACAACCATCTGACTACTCCGCGGGGCTTTCAAAAGTTTGCAGAGACATCGGTGGCCCAATGCAAGAGACTGGTAGAGAGAACGCTCGCCGCATCGACGGTAGAGCAGTACAAAGCCATCCCCAAAGACCTCGATCGGCTGAGCGACCTGCTGTGTCGGGTCATAGACCTGTCCGACTTTATTAGGAGCATACATCCAGACGCGGCGGTCGCGGCAGCCGCGTCGGCGTCGTACTCTCTCATGTTCCAGTACATGAACGAGCTGAACACGACCACCGGACTGAACCAGCAGCTGAAGAAGGCGTGGGACATGCCTGAAGTACTGTCCCATTGGAACGAGGAGGAGAAGATGGTGGCGCAGCTCTTGATGAAGGATTTTGCCAAGTCCGGCATCGATCTCCCTGAGAAGCAGAGGCAGCAGTTTGTTTCTCTGTCGAACGAAATTGCTCAGGTAGGCACCGATTTCGTCAATCAAATGGACCATGCCAGGACCCGTATCACGCTCTCCCTTAAGCAGCTCGACGGCGTCGATCCCACTCTGGTCCAAGGGCTCAAGTCTTGGGAACGAGTACAGATACCTGTCTACAGCACGGCGTCCAAGGCGATCCTGAACTCGGCCAACAACCCTACCACGAGAGAAGCCCTTTATGTGGCAGAGCGAACGGCGTCTAAGCAGACAATAGCACGGCTCGAAAAGCTCCTCCTTCGTCGCGCCGAGTTGGCCAAGCTCACTGGCTATGACAACTACGCGCAGATGACGCTGGCGGACAAAATGTCCAAGACACCAGCAGCTGTAAGTAATTTTCTCGAATCTCTGAATTCAAACAACACGGTGCAAGTTCGGAAGGAGCTGGCACCACTCCTAGAGCTTAAGCGCAACATCGACCATGGTGCAACGACAATTAATCCTTGGGACCATTCCTACTTATTGGCCAAGCTGGCACAAGTCGAGGCTGCAGCAGGCCCTCGAACATCCAAGTCTCGCCTACGCGAAAATGTCAGCAACTATTTCGCCCTCGGGCATGTCATGCAGGGGCTGTCAAACCTGTTTGAGTCGCTGTACGGCGTCCGGCTCGTGCCCAAAGAAACCCGACAGGGCGAAGTCTGGCACCCCGAGGTGAGGAGGTTGGATGTATACACGGACAAACAAGAGCACATTGCGACCATGTATTGCGACCTGTTTTCTCGGCCAGGCAAATTGCCGAACCCGGCACACTTTACCCTACTGTGCTCGCGAGAGATCTCGAACGAAGAAGTCAGGGAATGTCAGGAACGAGGCGAAGCTCTGAACAACGGCCTCCCAACGCTGGTGGCCCCGAGTTCTACCTCTAGCCCCAGCTCGACCAGCGGCGGCAGCAATAGCGGAGATCTCGCCGACGGGCAAGCATATTATCAGATCCCAATCATCGCTTTGGTGTGCGGATTTCCCGACCCCAGCACAACCGTGGGCCCGGCCCCGTCGCTTCTGTCGCTGCACAGCGTGACGACGCTATTCCACGAAATGGGCCACGCCATTCACAGCATCCTTGGCCGCACGTCGATGCAAGGCATCTCCGGCACGCGCTGTGCCACAGACTTTGCCGAGCTTCCTTCGGTCCTGATGGAATATTTTGCGACCGACCCAGCAGTGCTCAAGAGCTTTGCCCGGCATTGGCAGACCGACGAAGTTATCCCGGACGAGCTTTTGGCGACACTGGCCCATGAGAGGACGAAACAGGCCGAACGCTCCGGGGCCTGGAACAACGAGGCTCAAATCCTCATGTCCATCTTGGACCAGGTATACCATTCCAACGGGCCGGTCGAGGCTTTGCGCACAGGACGGTACAATTCGACCGCCGTGTACCATGATGTCTGGGACAAGTATGGCAGTGTGCCGGAGCCGCACCAGACGGCGTGGCAGGGCTTCTTTGGCCACTTGTACGGCTACGGCGCCAGCTACTACTCGTATTTGTTCGACCGGGCTATTGCGCGACAGGTCTGGCGCGCCGTGTTCAGGGATGGCCAAGATGCCGCCGCGCTTGATAGAGCAGCCGGTGAGCGCTTCAAGCACGAAGTCCTGCGCTGGGGAGGCGGCAGGGACCCCTGGCTGTGTCTAGAAGGCCTCATGGGCGACGGCCGCGGCGTCCTGGCCGAAGGAGGCGAAGAGGCTATGCTTGAGGTCGGAAGATGGGGGGTCGGTGCGTCGAGTGAAGGGGCCATGTAACTTATAAGTATGACTAGCAAAATACATACAATATAAACTACTACCTATATTATGAAAAATTCTACCCCCAATAGGCGAAAGTACCTAGGTAGGTAGGTAGGTATATATGGTTCAAGATCCCTTCTGGTAGGCTCGACTTAAGGATAGGTACTTCAAGTTCGTTCTGGTCGTCCTCCCTCCTCTAGTCACCTGTCTAGCCACCTGTGTCGATTGATTTGGTTGGCATTGTCAGATCAATCTTGACATTCACGTCGTTCAAGCCACACGCATACTCAGAAGTCCGGGGTGGTTGAGCAAACACTCTGGACAACCGGGTTCCCTGCTACCAGTCTTTGTTCGTCGAGCAGATGAGTGCAACCTAGGCTGCGTGACCCGGAGCAGAACACATCCTGGCCGTTTCAGGCAGCTTGATGAAGTCTGACCCTCACACTCATCGGAGAGGTTGTCAGGCTGTAGTTATGCAGCTCTTCGTCGGATTCATTGCAATTCGCAATGCCATCGAATCGCTGCACAACTCGACAGATGACATAGCCGGCCTCGGTCAGAGCGAACTGCTGGCCTAGACATACGCGCGGCCCGCCATTGAACGGGATATACTCCCATCCATATCTTCGAGCGGACCAGCGCTCTGGGATAAACTGGTCGGCATCCGGGCCCCAGATATCGCGGCGGCGGTGTAGCACGTACACGGAGTACGACACCTCCTGTCCGCGTCGGACGAAGACCGGGCTCAGTCCGTCGGGACCGCCACCTCGTGGGAGTGTCGTGTCTTTGGTCGCTTGGCGGCCGTTCAGCGGGACAGACGGGTACAGGCGGAGCGTTTCATTCAGGACATGTTGGAGGTAGGTGCACGATTTGAGCCTGGCAAAGGTGATGTCCTTGTTGTCGGAGGTGTATGGCCCGAACGTGTCGAGGACTGCGGCTCGAAGTTTGTGAACCACCTCTGGGTGGCGCGCGAGTTCCCAAAACGTCCAGCCCAATAGTCCAGCAGTGGTGTCTCGACCGGCGAGAAGGATGTGCAAAAGTTGAGTCCGAACCTCGACCTTGTTGTCTGTGGTCTTCAGGAGCTCTTTCAGAAATATATAGCGACTTTCTTTCTCCTCGCTGGAGGGATTGGTCGTGGCTGCTCGTTCGATACAGTAGTCTGCGAAATCGTGGACCACGCGGATGGCTTCACGGAACGAGGATGGATTGTAGAGCCAATAAAGCGTGCTCAGTCGGGTGCGGATGCCCAAGCAAGATATTCCATGATCGAAAGACTCTGCCACGTTGGTGTGGTTGAAGGCTAGTGGGAGGGACTCGTTCTGGGCTAGGGCTGCGTGTTGGGAGTTGATGCTGTCCCCGAACAGGAACTCGGTAGCAGAGTCAATGGTCAGCCGGAAGAAGATAGGCGCAAGATCCGTTGGGACAGTCCATCCTAGTGCATCGACGGGGAGATGTTTGAACAGGATTTGTACGTGTTTCTCTTCAAGGTCCAGGTCGGCTACCTGATCGCGGGTGAACTGTGGTCTTAAAGCTGCTCGGGCATGCTCCCTAGTACGATGGAACAATTTGTAAGAACTGACCACGTTCTGCTGCGCTCGAGACTGAAGCGGGACATGGGCAGCTTAGGCACTTACCAGGTCTTGCCGTCTGCAGTAAAGATACCGATGCCCAGCATGGGAGAAAAGATATTCCGCCTGCAAGCACCAAGTTCAAAATCGTGGAACTGCGTGGCAAGCATAGCTTGGATGTTCTTCGGATCATGGGTGACGATGATAGTTGAGCCTAGCAGTCGTTGCATGTAAGTGGGATGTCCAGTCTCCTCATAGAGCTTTACCACTTCCTGCGGGATTTTATGCTGATTGCCGGCCTGGATCAGTCTTACGACAGTGTCAGCGCCCAAGGGGAGGTTGTGATGATGCATGGGGGCGGCTTGACACCCCAGTTGCTGTGATATTCTGGCACGGTGGCGCGAAGACCTGAGAGCATTGATGGCAGCAAAGACGACTGCCGATGTGACAAGGAAGACAGCAAGAGGTAGAAGCTGGATCATCCTGAAGGATCAACGTTGCGGTTTCTTTACACGGGATTCAGTTTCGGTGTCGCTTGTCTAGAGCAATGGAGACTTGAGGATAGGTATGAGGAAACGAAGGACGAAACACAACAAAAGTTGCGTCGACAGGTTCATAAGTCAGTCTCCTGATCGTTATTGACAAGCAGTTGACCCCGCAGCGTCTCGTATGGCAGACAGCCAAGTTGTGGAGGTGATGTAGGGATGGGGATAGGGATCCCCCGGAACGCATCGAGGAAGATACATCCTATGCTGGCGCCTTGCGTCTCGCGGCGTCGTCTTGAAGGCAAACGATGATTGGAACTGATGGAGAAATCGCATACGGAATACGAGATACGTGATCAGGTGTTAGCATGGTGGATGGTGGTGATCCTGGTATGGCGGGGATAGAACGAGTGAAAGTGCAGTTACCCTTGCTCTGCCGCGGCTTCTGCCATGTTCTGCAAGAAACAAGCGTGCTAGCCTGTTTGGCTGATGCATCTGACATGTGAGGGGGAGCATTGTCGATATTCGTGTCAGCCCATGTCAGTCGAGTTCACCAGACACGAGATCAGGCCGCGTCGGAGAGGTTGGCGGTGTTTTCGAAACAGCGCAGGTAGACAGAAATACGAAGTACGGAGGAGAGGTAGGTGCCAAGTGGTGCCAGTTCATTTGCGGGCTAGCGGCCAATACGGTGATTGTGATTGGACTGTCAGGGCCTCTTAGGCCTCGGCAAAGCTTCCTGTCCTGGCTGCGGCTGTTCGGGTAGATGCCTCTTTTCAGCAGCTTCCGCCCCTCCTGTCATCATCTTCCTCTCGTCACGTCGTGTATCGCTCCCAATGCAAGTCGTTTGGGAAGCAGATACTGCGGCCTTTGCCAGTCGCAAGAGAGCCGCTCGAGCGTGTGCCAAATGTCGCGCTGCCAAAAAGCGCTGTCATCATACCTTCGAGCGCCCTCCAGAACAACAGGCCGATTCTGCCGGCCTCGACAGAGTTCTCCCCAACCTGACGCACAAAGAACCCATTCGCTTCGTCGGTGACACGAACCCCGAGTCTATACTGACAGATCTATCATCACGCTCCCAAGGCGCGACGCGAATCAGCCGTGTGGGGACTTGGGTGCAGCAGCCTCGTTCTTTGCAGGATGAGCTCCCATCAGAAGACCTTGGCCCCCAACCGAAATCGGGGGACAAGACTCCCGTCAATGTCGAGAAATACGGCAAATCCGAAGGCGGACGGAGGACCCTGACCGGTCACCAACGAAACTACCTACAAGCCGTGGGGGCATTTCGAGTCCTCCCTAAGGCGACCCAAGATGCGCTCATCACCACGTATATCGCATGCCTCGGCGGACTTTTGCCCATCATGCACAGCCCGCAGCTCCTGAAGGACTATACAGATGGGCGGTGCTCCATCTTTCTCATCCAAGCAATATGCCTAGTCACCTGCAAGGCTGAAGAAGCTGCACCGTATTTGCGCCTGTACGATGATGGACCCTTGCTTGATCCAATCCCGTTTGCTCGAAGTCTCCATACCGGACTGGACGCGGCGATGAAGGCAGACCTGGAACCCGATAGAGTCACCAAAATCCAAATCCTGACCTTGATGCATCTACATAATGACGGTCCCGGAGGGATTGAAGACTCGTCATTACACCTGGCCCTTGCAATCCACGACTCTTGGACGGCGGGACTTCACATCCTAACCGCAGGACGTACTCCCAAAGACCAGAACTCTATGCTGTGGTGGACGATCTGGACACTGGACAAAATCAACGCCTGTCTAGGAGGCCGGCCCATCATGATTGCCAATCGAGATATCGACATTGCACGCCCACCACTGGACCCTGACCCAAATAACCTGGTCATCAATGTCTGGCTTCGTCTTGGCGATCTTCTCGATCAGGTCATTGAGTTCTACAGACCCACCGCAGACATTGACACCACAGGCTGGGAGGCCGAGTTCCCTACATACTCCTCGCTGACCCAAGATATAGACCTCTCGTTGCTTCCCGAATGTGAGCAGAGTAAGTGGCGCCCAATCCATCAATCACTTCCTCCCATGGACTCTTCTAACCAATGTTCCTTCCCATAGACGTACTGGAACTCTGCTACCACGTAACAGCCATCTTGAGCTGCCGCGCCGGCGGACCAACCACCGCATCTTACGCCCGTCGCATCTCCGCCGCCGACCGAATCCAACAACTCCTCTCCAATGGCGGACACACCCACATTGCCCCGATCCCTTTGGTTCCTTATGCCGTCGGGCTCTCTCTGACAGTAGCTTACCGCTCCCTGCGTGACCATGCCAACGTTGACCCGGAACAAGCGCAGGCGGACCTCGCCACGCGATGCGAGACACTCGAGGCTCTCAGTATGTATTGGTGGACAGCAGATGCGATGGCACGGCTAGGTCGAAAAGCTCTCAGGAGTCTCCAGCAACCTAGCGTGTCGAAGTACTCGATAAACAACATTGCCAATGCCATGGACGCCGAAGTCGCAGTGTGTAAGTTCGGCCCATTCGACCCCAAGCCACCTGGTTGTTCCGGTACATCCCAAGCAACGACCAAGTGCACCAGGAATGCACGTGGGAATACCCATGATGGAAACGCCGGGAATGCACTGCATGTTCTCTCTGATGCGGCGGCCACGCACTCCACGCAGCCCCAGCACGATAACCATGGCCAGGCTGTAAGCTCAACGACTACCACTACCCCAACAGCGTTCACAGCATCTACACAGACGCCCACGGCCGCTGCACATAATCGATCGACAAATCAAAGCCACACTCCCCAATCCATCGCAGGTACTAGTGCGACGACAAACACTTATACCGGGTTGATCCCGCCTACCCCTCACAACAGGCCAGCTCCTGGATCTGACCATCCTTACAGTGGGGACCCGGTCAACATCCCATCATCTTTCAACGACCAGTACCAATACCAGTTCGATGACCTTGATAACCTCTTTGATGGCTTCTTCGATCTCAGCATGCCGACCATCTTCCAGGACCCGCTGTTCGATGGCGACGCCTTCCTTAGCGCAGACGTGAGCTTCGCTGAGGCGGATGGAATGGACACGGATGCGACCGGAGGCATTGAAATGGCTGGCTTCGACGATGGCACCGGCGGTATGCCTCCTCCGACTGATGGTCATGGTCCAAGTGACGATAATGTAATCGGACGGGCTATGGCGAGCAACAACGCGCATGCACTTGCGCATACAAGAGCAAGTATTGCTACCGTGAATCCAAACGCAACCTTGAATGCAAGCACGGCAACAGCGAAACCGAAAGGTCCAAACCCCATGTTTCCTAACATTCTCCTAAATTGATTTGAGATGATTTGACTACACGACTCAGACTGGAGTGAACGGGCTGATATTACGCGATGTACACGACCGCTGTCAGCACACCAGAGCGATATGGCAGAACACTAGACACAGCTGAGCTGACAGGGGAAGGCCGGAGCACTGAACGAATGATCGAGCCCTATCAGTCGTGTACGCGATACGGAACGCCTCGAAGATAAGCCATTCAAAAGTCCCTAAGTAGACGGCGAAGATTGAAACGACGAAAGCTACACCGCACCAAGACAATCAGATGAAATGAGCCTGGGTGAAGAATACGGCTTCACATTCTGCAACCCAGAGGACACATCCAACCTACCCACCGACCTTGCTTCCTTTACGCTATGGAATCAAAAAGGCCGACAGCATAAGAAGCCGAGACCAAGGCTGTGCACACATCATTAGACGAGACGTCCCGCGACATATGGCTAGCAGGCAGGAGTGCATGCATGCATACGTACATATATACCTTACAGATCGGCCTTTCCCCCGCAAGAATGCATGGATCGGACTGGTCGATTGTGTCTTTGGCTGCTAGAGAGAGATACGGACCGGGGGTTACTCCCGTGCCTTAGGCCAGGCGGTTGATCCTGTATATACCTTGTATCCGTCCATGGGGCGAGATGTATCACTCACTACATGTGAATACGGTGGCAGCATAGCATGCTGTTGGGTTGAACTCGTGACTCCTGAATTGTAAAGACTACCTCGCAGGACACTTGATAGCCACCTAAGGTAAGTGACATGGAATCGAATCACCTCAATATCGTATCTAATAGAAGATTACATACGGATACAGTGTTGAGTGAAACCCCATTCGATTCTAGCGCGACTTGTTCAGGTTCTTATCGTCTTGAATTCAATCTACATCCATCCCTCGTTGCTGCTGTATCCCGTATCTCATATGCCGGCAATCCATGACTCGAGTGGTCCATCGAACGATACACTGGATAAGGACCGTGAACTAACTAGGTGGCTCTCCACAGCATCAGCCATCGCAAGTCTGGACGACCGACACCAAAGAAGCCGAGTGTCCTGACTTGCTGGTTTTCTGCAGCCCTACCCTTAACGGATGCTGTCATCGATTCCTCCGATTGACCAGCCGACTCAGCTTGCATGCCGCCGCTAGAAGGACACTGCTCTATAGCAGAGCATAGCAAGATCAAGACTTTATGGTGCGCCATGGAAAACGACCGAACCGAACCACCCAAAGGCCCTCCGAGGCACTGTAAAACCGTGGCGAGAACTAAAGTCGCATATCCGTACAGGGAGTTTTGTGTGGTACCTAGTTTACAATTCGTCGTGTTCCTGAGGACCGCCGTCATCCGTGTCTGCGATAAACGTCCTGGCAGCCTCGGCAGCCTCGCTGACTACTGTCTTGACAACATCGGCAACACCGGACGAGGCTTCTTCAGCTGCAGTGGTGGCCGCAGGGGCAGCTTTAGCCAAAGTGTCACTGGCAGCGGACGTCACGTCTTCCATCTCGCTGTCTTCGTCCTTGGCGGCGAATCCATCCACACCATGCTTGCCATTGTCACGAATGAAGGCCGCGAGATCTTCAATGGTTCGTGAACCTGAATACTCGACTGGCGAGTCTTTGGATCCGGCTGGGTACAGTTTGATGGTTGGGAATCCAGCGATCTCATCCGGGACATCGTTCAATGTAGCATCAACCTTTGCCACAACCACTTTGGAGCTGTAGTCGGGATTGGAAGAGTAGAGCTTGGCCAATTTCTCATAGCTAGGTGCAAGTCTGGGAGAGTCAGCAAAGATCTTCGTATGGGGTGACACGGGAAACTTACGATTTGCAGTGTCCGCACCACGGAGCGTAGAACTCAATCAGAACATCCTTGGAGTCATCCAAGACAATGTCCTTATAAGAGTGGGCAACAACCACCGTAACAGGCCCTTCCTGCTTCTCAGGAATAGGTTCGGATTTGATGCTGGGCTCGAGTTTGCCCTCAACAAAGGCCTTGACGAACTTTCCAACGTTCTTTTCGGTAAGCTTGTTGCCATCAAAGGGGTATTTTTCGTTTTTGACCGTTTCTTGGATCGCGAAGGCTGGGAACTTGTCGGTGGGCAAGTTCAAGTTGCCAGCATGGGCACCGAAGGCCTTTGCATCGATAGTTGCAAAGTTGATGGCACCCTTGTACTTTTCAGCGACCGGTTTCAAGGCCTCGGCCAAGGAAGCGCGCTCTTCAGGAGTTTCCGAGAAGATGTAAGCAAGCGGGATTCCGGCCTGTAATTCAATGAGTACGCGAGTCGTCCATATCGGGCAGGGTAACACATACGCTCATGTATCCAGCATAGCTCTCCGGACCGACTTCGCCAACTAGAGGAGTGGAAGCAGTCTTGATGAATTTGGTGATCGCCTCGTCTTCAAACTTGCCTTCCAAGGTGTTCTTGCCCTCGTCAAAGTCCTTATACAGAACAATCGCAGGCTGCTTGACGCCCTCGGCTTTTGCGAGAGAGGCGTCATTGGAGGCGCCAAAAATGTACTCATCTCTTAGAGATTCTGCAAGAGCAGTGTAGGTCTGATTCGAGGCTTTATCGTCGGAGGCGATATAGGCGACGATGACGACGTTGTCGGTGGTCTTGAAGTCGTCAAGGGTCTCTGAAGTGAGAAGAGACACAGCAGGTAGTTGCTGCTTGGTCATATATGAAACAATGCTGTTCCAGTTAGCAGCGTGGACACAACCGCTGGCAACGGGCAGTACTCACGCTGGAGCTTTCCTGGCACCAGGATATGACTTGATGTTATCGAGGCCACGGAAGACTTTGACGGTAGGGTATCCCTCGACACCATAGTCCTTGCACAGTTCACCTTCGGTGGTGCAGTCGACTTTGACTAGAGGAATGTTCTTCTCTTTAAGAGTGGTCGCGGCCTCCTCGTACTCAGGTGCCAGAGCTTTGCAGTGACCGCACCAGGGGGCGAAGAACTCTGCTAGCACCAGATCATGTTCGGCAACAAAATCTTTAAAGTTGTCTTTTTGCAGGTCGTGGACGTCGCTTGCGGCAGCAAGGCCGGCAAGGGTAAGGATGGCCGCAGCCAGGGAGGAGGAGGACCGCATGGTGCTGATGGCCAATACCAGGTTGCCGGAGGAGGAAAAGAAAGTCAACAGGTATAGAACAGCTACTGTATGAAAAGGTGGAATGAAGAGAAGAATGATCCTTGGGGGAGACTGGATTAAGGGGGAGCAGTCAAGTCCGCACCTGTGCCACGGTTTACTAATTATTATGTAGAGTGGTGAAGCCACGGACGCGGACGCGCTGAGGAGACGGTGTCAAGTTGTCTGCCACTTTGGCGGGCTTGGGCCAGAGCGCAACTCTGTCCAGACCCCCTCCTCCGGTCGATACCTCACCCCTTTACCCTCCTGAAACACGCAACCTGGCCACTAACTAGACAGCCGTTGTATTCGCATATTCTTGTAGGTACCTAGGTAGATGGACATTGTATGACTAGTACCCCGTAGATAAGAACATTTCGCGTCTCAGCAATATGCTGACAACTAGGGTATTTCTAAGCCTTGGTGACTATATCCTCTACCACGTCCGCCACGCTCATTCCTCTTCTTCTGAAAGCACAATGGTGGGAATCGCAGTATATGGTGTATCACCGTTGACCCTCTTTTGATGTCCTTCCAACTCTAAAGCCATCTGAAGTGCCTCAGCCTTGCCTCGATCCACATCCACCAACAACATCAGGGGCAAAGGCAGAAAGATGAGCACCGCCAGAAACACAAACGCCGGGCGAATCTCTCCGTATCGATCGGTGATTGCGCCGACGATGGCTGGACCAAAAATGCTGGAGCCCTTGTCTGTAATGGCATACAGCGCATAAAATGCTGCCTCGAACCCCGGAGGAATCAGTTCTCCAAAGAACGCCCGACAATAGGAGGAGAGCCCCCCGAGAACGAAGCCATAGATCGCCCCAAGAGGATACATCTCCCACGGTTGCTGCAGCCCAAAGACCCCATATCGTTTGATGGCTGGGATGAAGCCCAAGAGCCCATAGAGCGGGATGATTTCAAACAAGCAGATACAGGCCACAATTGTCTGTGAGGCTTTGAGGTTGAAAAGTCTGGAGAGAAAGCTCCAATAAAATGCCCCGACCACACCTGCGATCGTTGCAATCACATTGATCAGGCCCAGTGCTTCTGTTTTCATTCCCAGACTAGTTTTGGCGAAGAGAACCGCCGTCCTATTCCGATTAGCTGTATGCGGCGACCAGCCATGTTTCATGACTCACCCGCTCACTGTGGCAATACTGTCACTCAGCAAAAACCATGCGCAAAGGAAGATCACTATATCCTTGAGACTCCGAGCATGTCCAATCGTTTTAAAGAGTGATTTCCACGCGTACGTGACATAACCGAGCCATCCTGAATGCCCCCCCAGCGCAGCGGGCAACGGTGGCCCTGGCCGAGGCCGCAGCCAGATGGCAGCTGGAATGCTGAATCCAAACCACCACAGCCCGACCACCATGAGAACAAGGCGTAGAGAAAACGTGGTCGATCCTGTCGCGACCACGATGAGGATGGCAATTGTTTGAACGAACAGTCCAGCAATATACCCAATACCAATACCATTCGAGGATATCTTGGTAGACAACTTCAGTTCTGGTGAGATGGCTGCAGGCATCTCCTGGGTGGGAGGCGTCTGATCTGGAAGGTCCCGAGGCAGTAGAGCAGAAGAGGAAGTGGTCAAAAAGGAGCCTTCCTGCTCGGAATATGCTTCATCATCACCGGACGGCCTTGAATCTTCAGAATGACTCCCCCGTCGATGAATGCTATGGCTGATGGAGGGGTGGTAGCGAACCAATAGCGGTAAGAAAGAGTTCAGCAAGACAAACGATGCGCCGAAGCACGTGTTGGAAATGATGGCAAGGAGCGCGCCGAGCAGGTAGACCTTGGGAACTACTCCAATGAACAACGCAGTCGCAGTCGCACCGGTAAAGGCGAACACGAGTAGAAACGTCTTTCGAAAGCGGCCGTGATCCGCCGCTGCGGACATGGAGATGATGAGTAGAGCCTGAATCAGCACACTGACCGAGAAGGTGTACATTGCGAAGCTTGCTGTGTTGATTTCAGCGCCGAGAAAAAATATGACACAGGGAGGTAGTTCGTTATGCCGGTGTTTGGGTGGATCAAAGGTTGTGGTGTTGGCGGTGATGCCCTCCTGTCCAGTCTGCCAACCGGCACTGCAAGGTGTTGTTTTGTCGCTCAGCAGTACGCCTTGGTCTCTAGCGAGTTGCTCGAGAGTTATTGGTAGGAAGGAGCCTGGATGCCAAAGATGAGTATGATGTACAAGGTCTTTCTTTACACGGTTCAACCTTTGCTTACCCATTGCGCAAATCGCAAACACCTCAGCGGCCCAGCCATAAGAGTACCATCCCCAAAGCTCTTTCTGGCTCGTCGGTCTTGTGTCCTCATCTGCGAACCGGCCCTCCTCTGAAACTGAATCCGTCAAGTCATCCATTTCAGAATCTGCGAGACTCGAAGACGAATCGCGCTCGTCATCTGCTTCGACCGAAGGTGTAGGTGAGATCAGGCTTGCTTTGGAATGGGAGATCTGGCGCGGCAATGCGGGACGTGACGGATGGACTGGCTCCCCATACCGAGGGACCTAGGGAAATGTTAACCAAGAATAAAGGTGAGTCGCTGTGGTGGAAAAGCGTGACTGATTGATGCAGATGTCTATGATGAGACGTCGGACAGAGGGTGACTTCAGGGATGCCTAGCGATTGGCTGGGGAACAGACCATCTTGTTTGTGTTTCGAGCGTCCGGGCTCGAAACTCCGCCGGCCTAACTCGGCCCTACAATACCTTCCCGAAGTGCCATTCTACTTCTTCACAAAAAGAAATAGACAAGAGATCAGATCCCAGGCATGATCGAAGGCCCGATCGGTCGCGTTACGCGTTCACCTGGCTACCCACCTGAATTGGGGCTAACTGAGCGGATGATGTGGCGGGTCGGGCCAGATGTTTCAGCACGCAGAGTCGTCCGTTGCCACGACTGTGCCAGAGACTAGAGGAGAGCGATTGAGGATGTGCCTGTCTACTTAAGCAGCAGCGGATCGTTTGATATCTTAGGCAGGCCTCCTTTTCCCCTCTGCATATCAAGCCGTGACCAGCCACTTATCTTATGACCACCGATATTGCATGCGCTATAGCGAGAGAGGCTAGTCTTGACCTCGTTTGGTACGGCTTTCGAGTTGCTAGCCTTCCAAGAGTCACGAAGATCACACCCCCAAGGTGCTCGACCGCCCATCGTGGGCTGGCGTTGTCGAATGGCGTGCAGATAGGCACGACAGAGACGTCCGTTGAGGCGGTCAGCCACCCAATCAGAGGTTAGAATGAGGATTCTGGGCGATGCTGTGTCAGTTGCGGTCGAGGGTGCTCGAGTGTGGACATGTGCGTCGCGAGACGGAGGCGTGAGGTGCTATGAGCCATGACATAATACTATAGAAGGATAGACAGGTACGGGTCAAACCTAGTCGTAGGACAGGGAGACTGAGAGTTGATGAAGTTGAAGAGCCCTGAGAAATATCTCGGTCAAGTACTCCGTAGGTAGTATCCCGTCATAGGACAGAAGGCAGATCAACAGTAATAGATTAGTACCTTTGAAGTATCCGTACTAGCCACTAACTAGTAACTAGCTGGTAGTAAATAGTACCTAATACTTGAATGTAATTGTAAAAATGACCCGCCGCTTTTACTAGGATTGCCTGCGCTCGGGTGTGCTCGTGCTCGCCTGCGCCTGAATGCGCCACCACACCACGCTCTCATCCCTCCGCTCTGGGCGCTTCTTCCAACTCAGAGTCGAGAACCCCCAGTCGCTGTCGCTTTATCAACAACTCCTTCTTCGCCCGCTTCTTTCTCCTCCATTCATAGCCGCCGGCAAACGCCTCCCGAGTCCACCCAACGTAACACCACCGCTACTCCCCCTTCATCTGGCCACTGACCACCGCGTCGGCAAGCCAGCCCTACAACTCAGGCCCTGCTTGGGTTGGCTTTTTCGGGTCCGATCTTTGACTTGCCGACATCCGCGCGTGTCTTCATCTCATCTGCAAACCTCCATCCCCTTCGCAATTTCGGTCTTTCCAATACTTTCACCACCGCTCTCCTCCACCTGCTTCCTTTCCGCGTCACAAGTCGCCCGCGTGGTGTTTCCACATTTCTCGAAAGGCTGTTGTCACGGCAGGATTTACATCTGCGATTGTTCTTGTCGATCAGCGCCCTCAAACGGCTCGACAAGCCAGCGCATTCTCGGGCTCTCCCTGTGAACTCCATCTCACCCTTACTCCTTCTTTCCTTCGGTATACCAAAGTGATTCACAGTCATATCATTCACCGGCGACCGTCAACGTGCACCACCGCGAAAATCGAATCCTACTTCTAACCGCGCGGTATACGGTTGTCTTTGGGCTCCTGGGCTGGCAAGGAGGAGACTGCATCATCCGGGACTTGGGATTTTTGGTCGGCCACAAAAGCGCGCTTCTAGGTGTGCCGGCCATGCATGACTTGATGGTACAATTCGTGTCAATATGAACGGGGACAGGCCTACGGCTAATGGAGAGCCTTTGTCAAATGGCATTCAACAAGACGCTGCAACAACCACCCCGAGTGCGGGACAAATAAAGCAAGAGGGAGAGGCTGCGGGTTTGTCTGCTTCTGGCGGTGAAGGATCATCCCACGCCAATGGAGACATCAACGCCAGCCAACTACCTGAGGGCGATATTGGACCTAATGTTGCAAACGGGGTGGAGCAGGCGCCGTCGGAGATCCTTCACCTCATCCCCAAGGACAATTATCTGCCCATAGCTGCTCTGATAACTCGAGCTTCACAGTCGTGCTGGAATGGTTTGTCCGATCTTGTGGAAGAGCTTGCTTCGATACAGGTGCCTGAACAATCAGCAGAACATACGAAGCTCCTGCCCAACAATCTACCCAACAACCAAACCAGGGCAAATCTGGACAAGAAAGAGCGTTTGCTCCAGTTTGCGAATTACCAAAAGGCCGATTTTGTCAAATTGCTAGTGCTCCTTCAATGGAGCAAGAGCGTGGACGATGTCAGCAAGACCATCTCAATCAATTTTTGGCTTATGAAACGCCGTCAAGCCTATTGGGATGCCATCGCATCACTCGCTACTCTCAAACAAGAATCCGCCGGCTTTCAGATTCCCAATCCCGATCTGAAGGGAGGTGCAGAGGTTTTGGCAACTGGCCGGATGCGCAAGTTCTCTACCCTGGACTACATTCCGCAGAAAGATCTATCTGACAAGCAGATACTCCAGTTGCTGAGGACTTTGAACCGCTCTCTCAGCGTGAAACTGACACTTGCGGATGATCTGCCCCCTCAACTTCGGAGATATCGGATACACGATGGGCGGGTCACATTCATTGTCCCCCACGAATTCGAGGTCGATCTTTCCATTCTGGATGACAGTCCGGATGCTCAGTTTCGCATGGTCGATTTTCGCTTCTGCTTTTCGCCATTACCGCACATCCCAGATAATCTACGATCCGAGATTGAACTGTGTGCAAATACAAACATTGACCGCGACGGATTGCAAGGCTGTTATCTCTTCTTGCATGAGCTGGCCCTCTCTTACAAGTTGGCCGAATTCCACAGGCAGGCGCTCGAGTTAGCAAGGGGCCAGTGGGTGGGAAATATTCGTGTCGAAATGATTCGGCGAAATCTCATCATACAATACTGGCCAGAGAGGCAGATCGGTAAAAGCTGGATTGAAATTGGAATCGCCAGTGGAACAGCGAAGAAAGATGGCCGGAGTCAGGACTTAGTTCCTTTCCTCGAGATCAAATGCATGCGCCAGGGCAAGAGGGTGGACTCGCCACAGGTGCATCTAGATGAGTCCCGCTTGTCTCTTGAAGAGATACTTCATCAGGTCATTGCGCAGCATTCCACGCAAATCTTGGACTCCATCTATGACAAATTGGCTCTCACGCCACTATTCGCAAAAGCCGAACTGTCCTTGGATCAGAACATCTCGCATCAAAACCCTGAGGAGTGCTCCTTGACCATGCAATTATCCCGACCTTCTCGCATTCAGATCAAGATCGAACCCGTCACCGGGCTGCTGTTGATCAGTCCAGTCAGTGAAAGGAGTGAGCGTTTGCAATACGAAATCAATCGCATACATGGCGTCGCGGAAGAGATCGTGTCAAAACTGCTCAACTTTAGATGCAGTATCAGAGAAGCTTCGGTCTTTGCAGGCACGACAGGTACCAGCTGGGAAGCCTTGCGGGCATTCAAGTTCAATCAGGCGGAAATCAAAGCGCTGTTTGGAGACCCCGTTGTTCGGATTAACTTGTTCCGACAAGCTCCATGGGGATTGGGATATTCTCTAGCAGTCACCCACAGTCAACATGGCGATCATTGGTGGCTGTTACAGCAACTACGGCCGTCGGGGCCTCATCTACAGCCACGGTTTCAGGTCATCCGAAGCCAACGGATCGAGATCAGTGAGGAACTATCAGCTGCATATTTTGAGCGACTTGCGGAGTATGCGACTGGGCTGATCTGCCTTCGACGCAATGCGGACTATCTGGAGGAAAGAAAGGAAAAGGTCAGCCTAGCGCCATTCCCTGCTTTTGGACGAAAATACGAATTGCCCGAGTTGTCGTTCGACTTGGATCTGTCCAGACCGGCCTTAAGGTCTCCGTCGGGTTCTACAACTCAGACAGTGCCTGCGAAGATGTCGAAAACTTCCTGGACCTCTCCAGATATCCTAAAGAGCGTGAAATTCCGGTTTGGTGGACTAGATCGAGCGACGAATAGTATCACGGCAATTGGCCAGCTTCAGAACCGAGCAAGCTCTGCCGCACTGAAACACATTGATGCCTCGATTCTGGAACCGGATGTTACCATGAGCTCCGAAGATGGCAGTGTCACCATTCGAGTCAAAACTTCCATCACCGAGCCTGCCATTCCAGAGATTGTGGCCAAGGCGATGGACCTTGAAAAGATTGTGTCGACCGTTGAACAAATCCACCATCTGCCAGGGTTGCAGTTGAAGAACCTTTCAAATTCTGCCTTTACAATCACCTACCATACGGAGCCACCAAAAGAATACAGCTTGGGCATGACTTTCACGAGAGGCAGTGAAGTTCCCCGACTGGAGTTCCTGCCACTTTGCGACAACCCACATACTCTTCTAAGTGCACAATATTCTAAACACTTCGAGGCGGGGCGTGCTCCTTTTGCGACTCAAGTGCGCGATTTCTTGACTTCATTGAAAGTGACGCTGCCACTACTGACTTTTCTGCGCGATATTCAAGGGAGTCATGGACTTGATATCAAAGATTCCCAAGTGCCCTCGTCGGACGGCCAGCGAAGTGCGATGCGGGTGCATATCCTTCCGAGGACCACAACGGCCTTTGCAATCCAGTATTTTACAGCAGCAGCCGATGTTCCTCGTGATGTAGGACCAGGATCACACCCACATTTGCTCGCTCGACTGGAGATATTGCCACATCTCACTGTGTCGGAAAAGCCCATGTGGCTGGTGCGGGCCGCTCTTGAGGATTTCCAATCGTATTCGAAACCGTCATATTCCAGTCCAGCGCTGCGGAACAAGCTGAGGGAGGAAGTATTCGCTCGTGCAGATAATGGAGGCAAGTGGCTGGCGCTCGACACGGCTGCGGTCTGCCCGGCTGACCAGCCCGAGACAATGCTTCGAGCAATCCACGATCTTCTCTCTAAGTGGGTCACGGAGGGAACGGCCTCCACCTCCAAAGGAGACAAGCAGATCAAGGGGACGACGACCAGCAAGCAGGCAGGACGACAAGACAACAATGCCAGCAACCTGAATCAGCAGCGCAGCAGTAATGGCAACGACAATGGCAACAGTAATGTCAAGCCCGTCGCGAAAGCTCCAGGTCCCGCCAAGATGCAGGCCCACGGGGCCAATGCGTCGCCCAACGGAGGCATCAAGACTCAGTGGCCGCCTCCTAACGCGAGCATGAACATGGGAGGAAGAATGGCAGCGGCTGGGAAAGGCAATGCCAATGCCAATGCCAATGCCAGGAGGAACAATGAAGTCATTACGCTGGACTGAGGCAGAGGCAGAGGCGTGTAATGTATGTGTTTGTTACAGGACCTAATCACGGAGCAAGCTCGGCGGCGCTGTCACGGAAGCAGTCTGAGGTCTGAGGTCTGAGGTCATGCCATATACCCAATGATGGACGGTTTTGCTGCTTGTTTCCATATTCGTTTTTCCTTTCCCATTTCAAGCGCGGCTGGAGGCTGGAGGGGGTCACTCAGGGTAGTACTAACACGCACTTACTACCCAATGTCTTGCGATCGCGGTGAACGGGCCTCAAATAATGACGGTGACGACTGCTCTGCTATTTTTTCTTCCATGACCATTGGGCGGAAGGGACTTCAAGTGCACTGGGACTGAAACTAGGTTGTACAGGGTCGGTTGTATTGATCTCGATGTCTTGTCGATCTTGATCTCGGTTTCAGGCATGCCAGGTTGTCAGGCTGAACTCGCAGTGCAAGCAATGCAGTACTAGTGCGGAATACTGTACGGATACATGCAATGAAAGTACCTAGTAAGGTAGCGAGTAGCGAGTAGGAATGTCGAATTGGAACTGACGTGGCCAGAACAGTCTGATCTCAAGTATCTGACGCTGTAAAATAGTAAGACAGTATCGTCACCATTGTAAGTATATCATATCATATGTATGCCCCTGAATGTGCTACTAGTTAGTAATATGAATATGCCCCTGAATGTGCTACAAGCAGTAATAAGGGCTCCACCGATCCATTGTCTTCCTGCTATTCCTCCTCGTAAGAGTCTCTTGGGCCATATGTTGTCAAGACCAATCTGATCATGTATGGTCTTAATGGCCGGCCACCACGGTCCGCCCCTTGATCCTCATGCGCTCCTTGATCTCCTCTTTCCTGTCCTTCCTCAACTGGCGGGCATAGCGCACGCCAAAGCCATGCTGGAAAACCTCGCTGATCTCCTCGAGCGTCAAGCCCGAAACTTCGGGATAGAACAACACGATCAAGATATAGCCGATGCCACAGATGGCAGCATAGAAGCCAAAGGCACCACTAGGAGTCATACTCTTCATCATGGATAAAAAGGTCGAGCTGACGATGATGTTGGAACCCCAGCATGAGCAGGTCAACCACATGGTGCCCATGGCGCGGACCTCCATGGGGAAGAAATCGGTGCTCATCCACGCCGTGTTGCCCACAGAAACACCGTAGAAGAAGACGAACCAGATGATGAAGACCAGCACCACGATGGCCGGGGCACTGACGCTGTTCGTCTCGAGAGCCAGCGTCTTGGTGTTGACCGGAATGAAATGGAATGCGATCGCCACCGCCACCAGGCCTGCGCTCATGCCCCAAGCCGTGAGAAGGAGTACGCGGCGTCGACCGATCGGATCAACCGTCATCATATTGACCCAGGTCATGATGAAGTTGGTGCCTGCTACCACCAACCCCACAGCAACGGGGTCGGAAAATCCAACCAGCGCGAAGAGTGTGGACGAGTAGTACATGAGCGTGTTGAATCCGGACATCTGCGAGATCACCATCAGGCCGCATGCGCAGACCAGTGCGCGGAAATAGGCAGGGTTGGTGTGTAGTTGCTTGATCTTGCTCCACCGCGATTGATCTTCGTTGAGTTCTTTTGCTTCTTCGCACGCGGCGGCGATCAGGGCGCATTTGGCTCGCACCTGTTCCGCGCTGGCGCCTTTGTAGATCTTGGCGAGGACTACTTCAGCCTCGGCGATTCTGCCGTGGTACACAAGTTGGCGAGGTGATTCCTGAAAAAGAAGAAGGAAGATCTGTTAGTGATCCTCCTAATCATGGCGTGCATTGGCGGGAGGAGGTGGAAAGGACAGTGTGCTTCAGAAAGAGAAAGACGGGTCGCTTCAGGGGTCCTTTGACTTACAGGGCAGAGGGGCAACAAACAGCCCAACAGGATGGCTGGCACAGCACCGAGTCCAACCATATCTATTCACACCCAAACCTGTCAGTGACTGAATGCAAAAAGATCCAGAAGAGATGGTTACGAAGAGTCTTTTGCAAGGGGTACGAAGGAGAGGAAGAAAGTGCTTGGAGGTTTTCTTACATCGCCAACCATGTGGGACATGTGCAAACGCCGCACCAATACCGTAAGAGATGACCTGGCCGCCTGTGATGGACATGTTGTTCAGCCCGATCAGCCTTCCACGAACTTTGGTGGGCGCGATCTCTGCAATATACAGCGGAACCACCATGGCGGCGGAGCCAACGCCGAAACCGACGACCAGTCGGCCTACAGACATCTGGGCGATCGAGTACGCGGCTGCTTGCAGAATGGCACCCACGGTGAAGAGAGTGCAGCCAACGTAGATGGCAATTTTGCGGCCGAACTGCAGACAAGAGTGGTTAGAATATGGCTTAATAGCATGACCTCTGAGCTTTTCATGGGAATGCAATACAGTAGGGGATGTTGTAATGCGAAACCAGTATTACGTGAAGAAAGCTTCTCGTCTCATATAGATTCCGGGACACGTCCAGACGTACCTTGTCAGCGGTTAAGCCTGCGATAATAGCCCCGACAAAGGCACCCCCAGAGCAAAGAGAGGTGATGAGTTCCTTTTCATTGGCTGAAACCGGACGGTTGTTCAAGTCGTCGTGGAGATAGACCAGCACGGCGGAGATGATGCCTGTGTCGTATCCAAACAAGCTTCCAGCAATGGACGCTGTGGCCGCAACGAGCCAGACAAACCACGAGGGGGAGATGTCGTCGATGTTACTGCCGCCCATGTCATCGTCGGTCATTTCGACGTGAGTGGAGTCGGGAAAGACCATGGCGAGGTTGGCATTGTCGAAGCTCTTGCGAATGCTGCCGCGGCGGTCTTGGGGGATGGAGGCGGAATGGCGTCTGTCGAACGATGTTCGCGTGACACTGTCGGCGCGGAGGCTACCTCGGTGGGCTGGTGCTGGTGCTGATCCCGGAGGTGACAAATATTCATGGTGAGATGCTTTTTCTTGAATCTTTTGTTCGATTGAAACGTGGTCGCGGTTGGCCATGCTGGACTAGGGTCTCGGAGTTGGTTCCAATTCGAGATCGAGCAAGAGCAGGACGAGCTAGACAAGCAGAGACAAAAGACAGCTCGATCGTCTAAGGTGGTGGCCCCTAGGAGAGGAAGGAAGTTTGGCAATGATGACGACGAGCGACTACGATCGTCGTTGTTGGATGGTGTTTGCTGCTGCAGAGGATATAAAAGCGTTTGGACAGAGCTGGGGACCGCTGGAAGTTATATAGACCAGGAGGCGAAAGCTAGAGTTCTCTGATCAGATGTCTGCCTCTTCCCTATCCCTCTCTTTCTTCCATCCAGCCACCCATTCACCCCTGTTGATCTGGCGTCCGGGGCCGGGCTGGAGGAATCGATCAAGATCCCCAGGTCACACGACGGCAGTATTTCCGAGGGGCCGGTAGAACTGGCTGAGTAGAGCCAGGTAAGAGCAATTGGCTTTTGGGTTGTGACTCGCGACTCAGTCATGATGAAGCTCTCGTGTCGTGCAGCCAATGGAAGATAAGGCAATTCGAAGGGTGGACCAACCAAGCACGGTCAGAGCAGGTGGTTTACCCCGGACGCCCTTGGCCTGACCTTGGTCTGGAGATGAAGATGGGAAGATGGGGTTAGTGTCGTCGAGGGTGAAGTGACATTCGGGTAGGAAGGGCGAACGCAGGCTGACAGGCTGACTTTGCCTGCGGGGAAAGTCTGGGGCATTCGCCGGCCGGGTGCAGGCGGGCGTCGCAGGCGGTGGAGGGTGGAGATGAATGCGGTCAACAGTCGGCGAGGACTTGCCCTCCTGTGCGGAAATGGATGCCACTTGCGTCCCAGCCTCCGCCGACCAGAGACCTAGAGATTCAGAGACTCAGAGACTGAGTTTAGGCGATCGACGCTGGTGTCGGCAATGCCCTTCGGCAGCGGCACATCGACACACACGTTTCTCTCCCTCACGAGCATTGGCGTCGATCCGAGTATCGAGCACCAGCACGAGCACCAGCACCAGCACGATCCCGAATGTACGAGCCTACCGAGCAGGATACAATGGGATGGGGGGTCCTGGTAGACAGAGCTGCTGAGCCTACACCTACACGCATCAACATCAACAGCCTTAGGCATACTGTATCTAGCAAAGATTCAATTGATTGAAGGAGACGGTCTGATCTGATTCACTCCATGTGTATTCTGCCTGATCACTCGCCACGATTGAATATCAAATGCTTCCATGCAACGCTCAGGCGTCACTCAAGCATTTCCTCTTCCAGATCTTGAGCGGCATCGGTCCTGGAGACAAGTTGAAGTTCTCTCTCCTAGTCGGCTCCCACCGCGCATGTGGTAGGGCAAACTCGTAGCGGTGCAACAGCGAGGCCAACACCACCATTTGCTCCAGGTAGCTGATGTTACGCCCAATGCAGCCGCGCGCCCCCGCGGAAAAGGCAATGAAATAAGGCTGGAGTTCCTTTCCAGCATCGCCCAGCCATCGTTCTGGTCTGTATTGCTCCGGCTCTGGAAACACGGTCGGGTCGCGATGTGCAATGTACGACGAAATCGAGACCGATGTATGGCCTGCAATGAAGTCGCCATCCACGGGGGCTCCCTCGGCCGGGGTGCGGCGAGGAAGACCAAAGGTGGTGGGTGGAAGCAGCCGCATACTCTCATCCAGGCAGGCCCGTAGGTAGGGCAGATGCTTGACCTTGTCGTAGGGGGCCACGTCCTCGTCGTCGTCGAGGGCACCGTCGAGCTCTTCCCTCAACTTGTTCAGGCAAGCTGGGTGTTTCAGTAGCAAGAACATGACGTTATTCATAGCGATGGCTGTGGTGTCCGACCCGGCATTCATCATGATACTCACTTCGGCCACCATCTCTCCCCACTCCAGGTTGTTGGGAGTCCCGGCCTTGTCGTGTAGAATGGCAGTGAAAAAGTCGTCCAGTTTCTCTCCGGCCTGATACCGCTTAAACCGGGTGGTGGCTCGGTTGCGCACGATGCCATCCCAATCTTTGTTCAGCCTCCATTTCTGCCGGTATGTGGGAGACACGAGGTTGCTGAGTGTGACGAATCGCTTGTACCAGCTGTATGACCAGACCAGATTCGACTGTGCCCACGCTGTGGCTGAAAGGCACTCTCGGAAATGGACCTGCTTCAACGTCCCGTCTGCTGCCTCAGAGGTGATCAGGTCGTCACCCCGGTCGAGGAACCCTAGATCCTCGCTCAATCCGATGTTTGCAATCGCCGCCACGGTGAAGAGATTTGACCACATGCGGTAGTCAACGGTGAGATCTTGCTGGCTTGGATCTTGCCCTTTGACAAGTGGCGCCATACAGCGGGCATCAAATGCCCGAATCATTCGGCCGGTCATGTCGGCCACCTTGTGCTCCCAGCCTTCCAGATTCTTGATGGCGTAGGCACTGGAGAGCATTTTCCTCTTGCGTGCATGGTCGGACTTGTCAATGACATCTGCCAGGTGGAAATGTGATCCTGCAAGCTCTTGATAGAAGAGGTCTTTTGTGCATGCGGTGTTGTGCCCATAGATATCTTTGATGGCCTTGGGACTTGAGAAAGAAAGGGCATTGGGTCCGATTCGCACAACAGGTGATTGTCGGTGTGCCTTGAGTACGGCATTGGATCGGAATCCTCGGTGCGACTCGTAGATGAAAGGTAGGTCTGAAATACCAGACCAGAAGGACAACTTGGGATACTTTCGCAGGCCTTTGGGGTCGCGAAAGTAGTTGATAAATGGGACGAGGATGAAGTAGCAGAGGGTGAGGGCAATCGAGCTGACAAGCGCTGCAACACCCAGCATGATGGAGGAATCTCTGCTAAGAAACAGATTGCACAGGAGCAGTGTTGTCTCGTTGATTACAGAAGGCGAAGGGCTGGGGTTCAATAAATCTGAAGACGGAGTATATCAAGACTCTGGCGAAGGATCAATCAAGTTGGCCTTGTTGTGCGTGCTTGCTTGCTTGCTGCCTTGAGCCGTGGAGAGACTCTGCCCATTTCATTTTGTACATTCTGTTTCTGTCCATCTTGTCACTAGGGGATCCGAGATGCAGGCCGTTCGAAGGACCCAGCTGGATGCATGCACCCATTCAGCGATCAAGATGCGGCGAGGAGTCTATGTTGCTCAAGTGCCATCTTTTCCTGTTGCAACAACCCCGATGCGGTATTTCCTCGCCGAGTTGGACCATCTTCACCACAACCCTCACATCTTCGCCGCATTCCTCCCCCTTTCTCCTTTCTCATTCCTCCTCTTCCCCGCGGGGTCCGCCGCCAACAAGTGTACATGGTCGCCCCGTTTCCTTCTAGAACGATCCGGGCGGCATTCTTTTCTGGGAACCCTCGCCGACTGGAGACTGGAGGGCTTAGGAGGCCCCTTAGCCATTTCTCCAGACAACAAGGATGGTTGGTCAGGGGGGCCGCTCGCGGAGCCCATACGGGCCTACGGTGCCCTGGACGGGGCATTGACCGAGTATGGATTTTGGAAGACAATAAAAACAAGAGATGTACCAAAGCCACCTGGATGGATTGACTGAGTAAACGAGTGGCTTCGTCGTGGACACAGTTTCGGCATATTGGTCAACACCATGGTCTCGTCTTCTGCATTTGCCCTGCCCAATCTCGAGATCTCTCAAGTGCACCAGCTCTTTGCAATAGCATCATTAGACGACCTCTTTCTTCTCGCCGTCCTCCTACTTGGGGGCGCTGCGTATCTCAGCAACGGCGTCCTCTGGAACAAACCTGACCCGTACCACTACAAATGGTTCGAACGGCCTCAAGCCGCAGCCGTCGGCTTGCTGGCGGCAAACACACAAACCCGCGACATCGCCCTGAGGCTCGAAGAGACTGGCAAGCAAGCCGTCATATTTTGGGGCTCACAATCCGGAACGGCCGAAGGGTTTGCGCACCGCCTGGCCCATGATCTCCACCGTCGACTTCAGCTGGAGGCTCTCGTGGCTGACGTATCCGACTACGACGAAGATACCATCGCCAAGATCCCAGCATCCAACCCGGCTATTTTCATCATGGCCACGTATGGAGAGGGTGACCCCAGTGACAACTCGGGGCATTTTGTCCAATGGCTCAAATCCAATCCCGAAGACGTCTCATTTGGAACCTTGAAGTTTGCAGCGTTCGGCTGTGGAAACAGCAACTACAAGTATTACAACGCCGTGGTCGACGCGGTCGTTGCGTCGCTCCAGAGTCTCGGCGCGGCCTTGTTTATGCCAGTGGGAAAAGCGGACGAAGCGAGAGCCACAACCGAGGAGGATTTCCTGGAATGGAAGACCGCCCTTTTTGCGCAGCTTTGTGCGCAGTTTGGACTGTCCGAACGTGAGCCTGAGTATGAGCCGTCCATCTCAGTAGTGTTTGATGACTCCATCGACATCAGCGGTGTGTATGTTGGTGAGCCGTTGGCTCCGAGAGGGAAGAAATTGTCGCTCAAGACCCCCTCGACACCGACCGTCCTCATGCCCGTGGTTGCGTCTCGGGAGCTGACCACCCATGGGTCGGCGCAGTCGCAGGGGCAAAGGCGAAGTTGCCTGCACTTGGAACTCGACTTCGCTGATCTGCCGGAGATCAAGTATAAGACGGGCGACCACTTGGCCGTGCAGCCCGTCAATCCCAGCAGGGAAGTGATGCTTCTGTTGAATGTTCTGGCTCTCTCAGACCAGGCCGATACTCCTATCATGATCCAGACCATGGATTCCACGGCCGACCAGACCAGGCTTCCTTCCCCTACGACCCTGCGCGCTCTGTTCCAGCACTACCTGGAGATCTGTGGCCCTGTGTCACGAGAGACCGTTCTGTCCCTGGCGAGGTTTGCCCCAACAGACACGGCTAAGTCGTATCTGGTCAACATTGCCTCCGAGAAAGCCTCGTACGCCGAATTCATTGCCAGATACCATGTCACGCTGTCCCGTCTTCTGCAGCACGTCACCGCCGCCGTCGACCCGTCTGTGGACTGGAAAGCACTTCCCTTGTCCTTCGTAATTGAGAGTCTTCGGCCCATGATGCCTCGCTACTATTCGATTTCCAGCTCTTCCATCATCTCCCCCCGTCGCGCAGCCATCACCGTTGCTAACAACCCATCCATCCTGGCACACGACAGTCAGACAACGATCCCTGGTCTGGCGAGCACATACTTGTCTTCCTTTGTGGCGCCACAGGATGTCCCAGCACATGATGTACAGATCATCGCAGCTGGTGATGTGGGAGATGCGATGGAAGCCAAAGATCTGGTCGCGTACCCTCCCATCATTTCCTCGTCCTCCAATTCCACCTCCCGAACGGCCTTGTACGCCAGCATCCGCCGATCGACATTCAAGCTACCTGCATCGCCAGCGACACCGCTGATCCTGGTCGCTGCGGGCACGGGGATTGCTCCATTCCGCGGGTTCTTGCACGAACGGGCTCGCCTGGCCTCGATCCAACTTAGCCAAGGGAGACCAATCGGCCGGATTCTGCTGTTCTTCGGCTGCCGCCACCCCGACTTGGACCTGTTGTACAAGGACGAACTGGTGGACTTGCAGCAGAACTCGGCGCTCAAGGAGCATTTGGAGGTGGTGTTTGCCTTTTCACGGTATGATGGCGACAAAAGTGCCGTGGACTCAGACACGTCCTTCCCAGCGAGAGAACAGAACCCGAAGACAAAGCGCATCTACGTGCAAGACAAAATCACCCAGCGCAGCGCCGACGTGGTAAAACTCCTCCTCGATGAGGATGCGGCCTTGTACATCTGCGGCTCTGCGAGTATGGCGCGCGAGGTCGGCGTCCAGGTCGGGGAGGCCTTGAGACGGGAAAAGGGCACAGACATGGACGACACTGCGCTGAGGCGTTGGCGAGAGGACAGGAAGCGTGTCAAGAGATGGCAGGAGGATGTGTGGTGAATTCTATCTCTTCATCTTCATTTCCATGGTTTTACACGAAGGTATTGATTGTATCTAGACTTTGGCCTCTTGTCGATAGAGATGAGTGATATGTTATCGATTGGATCCATCTCCTCAAGTAAAAAGGATACAATTCAGCTCATTGACGCTTTTGGTTTCTGGGCTTTTGGATTCGTATTCGCAGCTGTCATCTCACTGGGGAAAGAAATCCTTGAAGTAGCCCCTGACTCTCGTGCTATGATGTAAGGACTACTAACACCCGAGACACAGACACACACCACCCGCCCCCCCAAGCTGATTGATCAGCTCCTAGTCCCCAGTCCCCAGTCCTCAATCCTCGGCCCCAGGCCCTCAAGCCATGCCCCAAGCCTCCCTCAACAAGGTCCTCGTATTGCCCACGGGCCAGGCATACACGCCTTCCAGCTCGTCCATGAGGCCCAACAGGGCGTGCTGCTCGAGCGGATCTTCGAAATAGTCGCCGCACACCACGATGGCCAGAAAGGCGGTAAGCAAGGCCGGCGGGCTGTTGCGGTTGCTCATGGCGATGCCACAGAGACGCAGCACGATGTGGCGCAGCTCACGACTTAGGGCGCGCATGTTGGCGACGTGGCCGGGACCCAGGCGGGCGCGGCTCGGATCATAGACGGCGAGGAGGATTTTGGCCAGCTCGACATGCTGCACGCCCGCGACGTGGCAGTCGGATAGGTAGCAGATCATGGGGAAGACTTCGCCACGCGTCCGGTCCGGGTCGCGGAAATAGATGGGCTCGAAGCTCGAGGGCAAGACTTGCGCCCACATGGTTTCTTGTTGCTTGAGCGTCAGCCAGTGCTCTTTGGCCGACACAGACGTCGACAGTGGCATGGAAGACGACGAGGCTGAATTGTGTCTGGGCCGTGTCGCCGTGCCGGCGGGGACGCTGCCGGTGGTGGTGTTGGTGGTGGTGTTGGGGTTGCTGTTGCTACTGTTTCCATAGCAGTACTCCAAAACGTCGGCGCAGAAGATGATCAATCGGTCAGCCCAGACGGCGTCCTCGGCCGGGGTAAAAGAGCGGAACGCCTCGCACCGAGCAAGGTCGTGGTTGAGAGGCCGCTGTTTCAGGAAGGCCGAATAAATTTCTTGCCGGAACGCGACCCAGAAGCCTGCCTGGCAGAGCCCGTCCGTTCGCCAGCGGGCTGGGGGTGCTTCGACAGAGCCACCGAGCATGCCTAGTGAGTAAGATGTGGTTTCGGACGTGGTGGGTGAATGCACCGCCTCTCCAGGTGATGATGGCATGGGTGCGTAGCGAGCAGCGTCTGCACTCCCGACCTTGAGTCCATTGATAATAGGCGAACTGTGTGGCACGAGTGGCACGCTGGGGATTTGAGCGTCGATAAAGACGTTGATCACGCGCAGGAACAGCTCACTGTCCCGGTCGTCGTCACGGAGAGGTGCGTCTATTTCCTCGTAGAACCTCAGAATGATGGCTGCAGCGAGCAGGTTCTCGTCTCGGGTCTGCTGTGGATCGAGACTGCGGTGGAGAAGATCCTGGATGCACTCGGTGTGGTAGCGAAGCGCCGTTTCTTCATTCAGGTCCGTAACAAGACGGCCCTGGTAGTAGTACACGTTGTCCAGCCCACCCTCCGCATTCTGCTGGGTGCGAGTGAGATGCCTCGCCGATGCAGCGAGCACGGCATTTCTCAGGGAAGGACAAGACCGCGCTCTTTGCGGGACGATCAACTCGAAATGCTTCTCGGGATCACAGAGATCAAACCAGCGCGCAAGAACATCGACAAAGTACCGAAGCAGTAGCACCTCCAGGGCAGTGTGGATGGGTTGCGTCGATGATGGCTTCTTGACGAGGCCATCGAGAAAAGGGGAAGTAGGTATTTCGATATCCGTTATCCTGCTTTGAATTGGAGATAGAATAGGCATCGGGCCATGAGATTCCCAAAAGTCGTGGACCGAACTGGTCTGTTCTTGCGTCGAAGGGTCGACCACACTTCCTGTTCCAGGTCCCCTTTGCCAGTCCTCGACAGGCAGTTGTGGCGTATTCGAGACCCCTTGGTCGGGGGTGTTTGACCCAACATCGCCAGGTTCATACGAGAGCGAAGACGGCTGTTGGAAGGCGGAGACGAAAGTATTTCGGTCAATCTGTTCGTCACCTTGGTAAGAGGATGCAGGCCTAACATCAGGGTCGAGATCCAGTTCTTCGTCTTCGTCTTCGTCGCCTCGATTATGATCCTGATCGTAGATTGCTGTCAACTCGGCGGTTTCATCGATGAACATCAATTCTGTGTTGCATTTGATTAGCAGTATGGACGTCTGTCAAGGTTGAACGGCAATCACCAGAAGCCTTTTTGGGCTTCAACCAAGTCTGATCCTTGGAGAAGCTCTTGTTGCTGTACCTGGATTTGGAACTATGTCGGAATCGGATACCGGCTCGGCTGCGAACACAGCGTTCGCCGGATCTTTGACATCTTTTGCAGGTGGAGGAAGCCAAGTCACCTATGGGCCATCAGATCGAGGTACTCAGTCTCTCCTTTTGAGCGTCAGAGCCAGCCTTGCTTACACTTCAGGTGCTTCTGCGTGCAAAAATGTCAGCAAGGTCACGCGGAAAAATGACCCTCCCGAGGCTGAACACCCAGTCGGAAAGGGAGGTTTGACATATCTGCAATTGTCACACGGTGCCCCTCGCTTCTTGCCTTTGTCCCTAGAGCCCGTGGCAGCCGCATCAGTGTCCTTGAGAGCATCTTGACCTGGACCTCCTTCTCCATGCTCAGCACGTGTCGGGGCCGCCATGCTCAAAACATTCAAGGCCTCGCCGACCGCGCGTGTGCCCAGTCATCGGAGGTGGTGATTGTGGCGAGGGATGGGCTCGCCGAAGCTCTCTCTGAACGTACAGAAGGATCAGACAACGGGGCAATCCAGCATTCGGCGGTAAGTTGCCCTCATTTGTAGCTCCTCCTCCACACTCCATCTCCACCTCCCTTCTCCATGAACTGCAGGGCCAAAGGCGGAGAAGGTCACGGGCACCCTGTCGAACAGCCAGTCAATTTCCCCAAGGGCCAAAGGGGCAAAAGGGCCCGAAAGAGAGCCGCCTCGGGCTTCAGGAGCCCCGCAGGGGTGGCCGCTGGGACAGTAGCACGTGCTTGTTTGCTTCACCGCCGGACAGAGAACAAACTTTTGACGGTAGAAGTGTCGGATTCATCCCTTGGCTAAAGGTATTGATCAAACGCCGATAGCCGTGTTTCGCATAAGTACGGAGTACGTATGTACGGTGGACAGGGGTTTGCTGTCGGAGCTCCACTGGTTCTACTCCACAAAGCGGTGACCCTGGAAAGGCTTTGAAGACGATAAAACAGAGTCGTTGACAGCCTCCTCCATCTGTATTTTCAACCTCGTCGTCCACATACCACGCCACCAAAATGCCTGGGAGGAAGCTGAGAGTCGCCATCGCTGGACTGGGCCGCATGGGCGCCCGCCACGCGCTCCATTTCTACAACTTGACACCAAGAGCGGAGGTGGTGGCCGTGACCTCGCCAGAACCCAAAGAATTGGAATGGGCCGCCCGGACTCTGGGAGACGCCAGGAGATATTCTGACTACGATGAGCTGCTGAGGGAGGAGAAAGACTTGGATGCAATTGTGATCGCTTCCGCAACCATTGTTCATGCTGAACAGGCGATCAAGGCGATCAACCTGGGGCTCCATGTCCTCTGCGAGAAACCTCTCAGTACGAGTCCCGAGGTGGTAGGTTGATCTTCATCCCGTAACAGCCCTAATTGTTGTTGACTCCGTCGTCTTTGCAGTCACAAACGGTACTCTCGGCTTATCAAGAGTCGAAAAAAAAGTATCCCAACCAGAAGGTCATTTGCGGTTTTTCACGCCGATTTGATGCTTCTTACAGGGATGCCTATCAGAAGACGCGCTCAGGGGCGATCGGTCAACCGGCCGTGATTCGCTCTCAGACCTGTGACAAACTCGACCCGTCCGGGTTCTTTGTGGAGTATGCTCAGTTCTCAGGAGGCATCTTTGTGGATTGTTCCATCCATGACATTGATCTTGCTCTGTGGTTTTTCGGAGAGGATTCGGTGGTCAAGTCTGTCAGCGCGGTGGGAATCACCGCTGTCTCTCCTGAGCTGAGGAAGCACAACGACCGGGACAACGCAGTGGGGATCATCGAATTCTATGGCGGAAAGATTGTTCAGCTGTTCTGTAGCCGCATGATGGCTGCTGGGCAAGACGACTGTAAGTGGCGAAGACTGCAACGCCAGTGAATGGCACGAACACTCGCTGACTCTGTGTACAGGCACTGAAATCACCGGCACCAAGGGAAAGGTTTCGGTCAACGCTCAGCCGACGGGAACTCTCGTCAACATCTATGAACCGTCGGGGGTTCGTCGTGAGATTCCACAAGACTATTATGGCCGGTTCCGGGAAGCCTTCATCACTGAGGCCAATGAATTCACCGCCTGCTGCCTCGACAATACGGAGCCTCCGTTGCGGCTGGAGGGTGCCGTGGCTGCAGTCAAGATTGGCGCCGCCTTGCAAGAGAGTCTCATTACAGGCAAGAAGATTGAATTCAACGAGAGCGGCGAACGGATAGGCAGTGCCGCAGTTCAGGGCAAGGCGCCTGCACCACTGACTGCGAGACTGTGATCGTGTTCTCGATAGACGGACGAAAGGAATAGCATGGATAGAGAGGCCGCTAGGAAGCGGACAGTGACGCGCGTGGCATGGCACAAACGAAAAGATTAATTAGACTGATTCACGATTCTTCAGGACCCTGAAGCCAAACCCATGTCCCAGGCGCCCCAGGCACACTTACAGCTACGATCTAGGCTTGAATGCACTAATTCAATGGAATCCCGGCACCTAAGCAGCCTAAAGAGCCTAGCACCCGCCTAGATGTCTTCCATGGTTAGGCTAGGCGATCCCTGTTGACGCGTGTCGTGACGTCGCGTCGTGAAGCGCGTAAAGTACCAGGTACCCTTGTACTGGAGGTTGTCTGCTAGCACAGGACCAACCTCTTGATACAGCGCAGGTTAGCCTGAATCTGTGAACATCTCGATGGCTTAATTTCTGTCAGGGGCATTGAAAAACTGCATGCTGGGTGTGTGTGCCTCTACACGTGTTGCTGCGTCTGTCCGTCTCCTTTCTCTCCGACGTCTCGCCCAGCTACATCGCAAATCGGCCGCGATGTCGTCTCTCAAACGAAAAGAACCTCCCACCTCAGCCAGCCAACCGAAAAGAAATGGCAGTCTCACTTCCTTCTTCGGTCCTCCGAAAACCACTGCCTCAGGTGGAAATCCCGGGTCACTGACCACAAGCGCAGCCGACAATGCAGCAGCTCCGCCCCCATCGAAGTTCGACAAGGAGAAATGGGTAGCCAGCCTGAGCGAGGAGCAGAGGAAACTACTCAAGCTGGAGATTGATACCCTTGACCCTAGCTGGCTGGGGCAATTGAAAGAAGAAGTTACATCGCCCAGCTTTCTGGAGCTGAAGCGGTTCTTGCAAAAGGAGATTGATTCCAAGCAGACCATCTATCCGCCGCTTGAGGACGTGTACAGCTGGTAAGTCAAGACCACAAGCACGCACACCATCCTTCTCGTCCGGGATTTCTGGTGTCTTCGATACTGACTGTGTGCTCTGGACAAGGTCTCGTCACTGTCCCTTGCACAAGGTCCGCGTGGTGATTCTCGGACAAGACCCCTACCATGGTCACAACCAAGCACATGGCCTCTGCTTCTCAGTTCGCCCACCTACGCCTGCTCCGCCTTCCCTCAAGAACATATACATAGCCATCAAGAAAGAATATCCTAGCTTTAGCCCACCACCCAAGAACTCTGGTCTGCTCACACCCTGGGCTGACCAGGGAGTGCTTCTGCTCAACACCTGCTTGACTGTGCGTGCAGGGCAGGCCAACTCGCACGCCAACCACGGCTGGGAGAAGTTTACGCAGAAAGTCATCGACACGGTGGTCAAGGTGCGGACTCGTGGCGTCGTGTTCCTCGCCTGGGGCTCACCGGCCCAGAAACGGTGCGAGAAGATCACAGGAGGGCGACATTTGGTCCTCAAGAGCGTGCATCCGTCTCCTCTAAGCGCTCACCGGGGTTTTTTCGATTGTGGCCACTTTACGAAAGCGAACGAGTGGTTGCAATCACGGTACGGACCTGAAGGGGTGATTGATTGGAATCTGAATGTTCAGCACCCGATCAAAGCGCCACCAGTCCAGGCTCCTGTCAAGGTCATGGCCAGTCAGGACAGGACTCCGGAAGAGGACGGCCCCGTGACGGAGCTGCCGGAGAAGAAAATCGGCAAGCCGATTGTGCAGCAGGACGAGTTCGACGGCGAGGACGATGAAGATGCCATTGCTGCGTTGGAGGAGATTGCCAAGCAAGAGGATGATGCGAAGAAAAAGGCGAAGTCGAAAGTCGACGAAACGGACAAGATTGGTGAGCATGAAGCCGAGAAGACCGACTAGGATGAGGTTGGAACGCCTGAGGATGAGGGTAGAAATCAAGCGAGGTTGGAATGCCTGAAGGATGAGGGTAGAAATCAAGTGAGGCTGGAATGCCTGAAAGGGAAAGGATGAGGGTAGAAATCAAGGCTTGTCCGAGCTGCCCAAGCCCCGACGGAGACGGCCCAGAGGGACGAGCAGACAAAATAAGTTCTCATGAACTAGCGGTCCGAGCTGTCTATCCCTGCTTCGACTTGGTTTGACGGTCTCCATGTCGTCGGAAAGTGTGATAGTGTATGGGCAGCCTGCGCAGTTCAAGAAGGGGACAGACACAGGCGCTTTAGGAAGAGAGACAGGCGCTTAGGGGCTTCAGGAGGAAAGAGACGCAGGACCTTTGGGAAGAGAGAGGAGGAAAAGAGAGAGGAGGAAGGAAAGCAGATTGTCAATCATGTACCACCACCACCACCACCATCAATTCGGCTGAACCCCCTAATCCTCCATTCGTTCCACCAGAAGCTGTCCGCGATCTCTTAGTTTCTTAATTGGGCTCAAGGTCGGCTACCGAGGCGTGTGTCATGTATGTACGGAGTACGGAGTACAATCTTGAAACCCAGCCACCCTACTTACACCTACCTCCCTACACCCACCTTACTTTCGACTCGGTCGAGGATACGGAGTACGGTGTAGACAAGGGTGACTTGAGTCCTTGAGTCCTTGAGTGACTTACTTGCCACTGCACTGCTGATCGAGCAGGCGCGCATATTCCAGAAACTTGGGGCCTGATATTCAGATTCATGTTCCAGAAACTAACTGCTGGGGCTGATATGTAATCGACTGGAGTCTTTCCTATTTCCCACACCAAGTCCAGTCCACTACGGAGCACACACACACACACACACACACACACACATACATAAGCGCGCTCAATACCCAAAAAGCCCTCTAGAGCCTCAATACTCATAAAACCCCTCTTCCAGACCCTTGATCTGCAAGGCCAGAATTTTGGAATAATACCGACACAAGGCCAGATTGCCGCCCATGAACCAGAAGCCAGGATGCCCCGTCTTGCGCCAGATGGTGCGCATCTCGCCTTCGGCATTGTAGCCCCAGATGTCGGCGACGCGGTCGGCCAGCTCGTCGCCAAAGATGTCGCGGGCCTGCGTGCGCATGTTCTGATAGCCCGTGGCGAAAATGATCTCGTCGGCCTCGAGCTCGCTGCCGTCCGCAAAGCGCAGGCCGTGCGGGCGCACCTCGGACACCTCCTGGCCCTGCTTGACTTTGATCTTGCCGTCGATGATCAGCTGCGAGCACCCGACGTCGATGTAATAGCCGCCGCCACGCTGGAAATATTTCATGAATAAGCCGGCGTTTTCCGGCCCGCGGTCCAGGGCGAAGCCGGCCTTTGCGAGCCCTTCGAGAGTCTTTGCGTCGTACTGCGCTTGCAGCTCGGTGATCTTGACCTGCAGCGCCTTCAACACCTCGCTGGGCAGGCTGTGGAGCCACAGATCAGCGTCCTCAACGGGTGGGCCGTCCTCGGAATAGAGACCCTTCAAGCCGATCTCGGTGATGGCTTCGCTGGAGATGACGCACGTCGTCGACCGCTGCACAATCGTCACGTCGTAGCCCTTCTCGTAGAAATCCTGCGCAATGTCGTGGCCCGAGTTGCACGACCCCACCACCACGGCTTTCTTGCCCTTGCCGTCCAATCTGGCCCCGGTGAATTCGGACGAGTGGCACAGCCGGTCGCCCTGGAAGTTGCCCAGTCCTTTCATGTGCGCCGGGAAGTTCTTCTTGCCCGAGTGGCCCGTGGCTTGGATGACATGTCTGGGGTGCAGCGTGCGCGTCTCGGTGCTGCCGTCTGGCTTGGTGCGTTTGACGGTGACGGTCCACTGCTTTCGGCCTTCGTCCCACGACGTCGATTCCAGACTGCTGTGTACCCAGACGTTCAACTCGAGCAGCTTGGCATATGACTCGAAGAACTCGGCCAGCTTATCCTTGGGCGTGAAGATGGGCCAGTACGGGGGGAACTGAAGGTACGGCAGGTGATCGTACCAGACCGGGTCGTGCAGCACGAGTTGGTGGTAACGGCGTCGCCAGTTGTCGCCAATGCGATCCTCGCTGTCGATCACCAGCGTCTCAACCCCCAGCATCTTCAGCCGCGCCGCGGCAGTCAGTCCGCCTTGGCCAGCCCCTAGGATAATAGTCGTCAGTAACAGCAACAGCAGTCTTCGGACGAACCCGAGACCGAGTCTATCATACCAAGAATCAGGACCACGGGCTCCTTGTTTTCAAACTCGATTTCCGCCTTCCTCCTCTCCAGCCAGTTCTTGCGATCTGGCTTCCCGCCGTGCTCGACCCCTTTCGACCGTCGCGGGCCTACGGCTTCTTCATGGCCCTTCAGCTCTCGCAGGGTAGTGAAGAAGGTGAAGATCTTCCACTCTCCGTCTCGCTCTGCCAGGCGAGCAACCCCCTGACCCGTGCCCACTTGGGAGGTGAAGTTGAAGTAGAATTGGATGCCCTTGACATCTCCCGTGCCATCGAAGGCTCCTAGCTGAGGGGCCCGATACGCCGTGCTTCGGTCGATCTCAATCTTTGTCAAGGGGCATCCGTTGGCAAGAAATCCGGCAATCTTCTCTCGCCCTTTTAGAGTCCGCAAGTCCCAAGACACGCTAAGATGATCACGCCAGTAACCATCTTCGAGGAACAGATCGGCAATAGCCTTCGTGTCTCTTTTAGCAAGGGCACTATTGAACGCATCGACAATTTTGGTCGCGACGGCATCTGAATCGACCGATGTCGTCTCTGCCGTCTTAGGCCACTTGGCCACCGGTATGTTGACGGAGCCAGGCTCACAACGGTCCTTGGACAGCGTGAGGCCCGGGTCCGTTGCGGATTGCACTTTGACACTCATGTTGGCGAGATGGCCTTTATAAATAGGCGTTCGCTTTCGCTGAGGAGGACCCTGACCACAAGTGTTCGCGGATCAACCCGTGTATGTTGCTTGATTGGTGAGGTTAAAGGACAACCTGTGTATATTGCTTGATTGGTGATGCTGAAGGACAACCTGGGAAGGACGAGGTATATGAATCGCAGAAATCCAGATCCGCGAGGCCAGTTTGCCACCTTCTCCTCTCCGCGCCTCCAAAATATCATGGGGAACACTCACTGGGGACGCGGGGCGAACGGAGAAACAGACTTTGCCATTCGTCCATGTGAGTGGACGAGCTCGGGATACCCGATCTGGAATACAGTATTCCAGGGTAGCACAGGTATTTTGGGAAGATGCGCGGGGAGTGTTCCACAGAGCTTGGAATCATTTGGTGTGTCTCTTGTCTTGTCCCATGCGCCCCCACAAATCGGAGGCGGTACCGGCGGGACCGATGTGTTTACTCCTTTCGGAGGAATGCGAGAGGAGATCCTGCCCGCCGCACCGATCCTTGAAAACATGTGCCTTGCCGACACATCATCTGACATCGGGTATAGGGACACCAGGGATACCTTGTGGATTGTCGCTTCGCTCGAAATAGGGGTTCGGCAATCTCCACGCAATGCAGGCTCAACCTTATCTCCAAATCAGGCTTGAAAATCCATGCCAGCATAGACATTCTGTACATTCTGACATCCCGTGGAGCGTAGACTGACCCTCCTCGCTACTATTATGGTCTTTAGAAGGCTGCCTGAAGTCCTTCCCGCCGACGCCAATTCCTGGGCGCGGCCAGATCACTGCTCAGCCGGAACACGTGTCGCAGAGGGGGATGCCGGCGTCTGAGCTTTGGAGATCAGTCTAGGGTGAATGATATAATGCAGACAGCAATTCAAAGTCCTTTGATACAGTCGGGCTGGATTCGACCAGTTCAGACATGAACCTCAACATCTTGGTACACCAGACTTTGTGTCCGATGGGGAGGGCGTCGCGGACCCGAGGGTTGGGAGAAGAATCCAGAGCATGGAATATAAACAATTGTCCAAACATTTGACCGGAAGCAAAGTACTTCAATGGCATAAAGTCCTTCATCCTCACACAGACATCCAGGGCCAAAGGCCAGTCTATGGCGAATTGGAGCGCTTCAGTACACATCTTCAAGTCAGTCTCGTTCACCGACATCGGCTTTTGAATGGCTTTGTACAGAAAGGGCCGACCGAGATGGAATCTCGAAATTCGATACCGAGCTTGGAGTAAGGTCATAGTAACTGCATCGGCGGGACAATCGAATGTCTGATCTTCGCCTTCGCTGGTCCACTGGATTGCCTGTGGAAGATTGTCGCGCCACTGTTCGAGCTGATGCCGCAGCTCATCTGCAAGCGTTGCCGAAGGGTTGCTGTAATACAATTCGTCCCGAATTCGACTCAGGATGATCCGGTGGGCGATCTGGGCGAGGAAATGATAATGGTAGTACGAGTCGTCTGAGTTGCGCGGACGTGACTTATCGGCATAAGGGTAAACGGTGAACTTGGGAAGAGGTACCACGTCCTCCCACTCCTTCAGTCTGCTGGGAGGCAGTTCCAGCTCTTGAACAATGACAGTCTCGAGCACCAGGGCGGTCCAGAAAAGCCTTGATTGCATGTCTGCCATGTACTCGTCATGAGGCTCCGGTGGACATTTGAAGAACGCAGTGCAGGTAGCTGCGGCTCGGTTTGTCATCATCCATTGATCGACCGGACGCATAAGCTGGGCGAAATATACGGCCGAGACCAAGTAATATTGGCAGCTCTGGATATCCCGTTCACAAAGACAGAAGCCGACCCGCTTGCGTGCTTCGTTAAAGAAGCTCAACCCGGGGATTTCTTCGTCCATGATGTCGCGGATGACAGGGGATGATGGGGCCTGGCTGGAGGTAGCAAATCCTCCTTCTTCAAAGGCCCTAAGACCCATACATCCCAGTGCCATGACATTCAACACGAGGCAGGACTCTATGTCGTACCCGAAGCCCTCACGTACCACAACGGCAAGAGTGCTCAGGAAGTAGAAGTCGCGGTCGATGAAGGGGTACACGCGATTGAAGGTATCAAAATACGCATTTGACAGGTCTTTGACACAGGACAAGCTCAGTGAGACCAGCCAGTCGGCCCCCGGCATACGGGCTTGGGCTGGGATAACCGGATCGAGCTGTGGCCGTCCAGATTCGAGGAGCGTGGGATAGCTTGGTTCGAGGCTCTGGGCGGCAGAAACAAGGCTAGTCGGAAGTGTTGCCACTACTCCCGGCCAGTGTACCGTCTGATGGGCGCTGAAAGAGAGAAGATTGGGGGAGGGAGACTGAGCCACAAGCCCGGCATTGGGAGCCTGAGGCGATGTTATGGCTCTGATGGGCGTGTCGTATTCTAGGCGGTAGGGACTCTCTACGAGAGGACGACCCAGGTCACTGCGAGTTGATTCAGACCCCTGGCGAGGCTTCGGAGGGTTTTGCGAGGAGAGATGGTCGATCTTGGACTCCATCCTCTTCAAGGTGTTGAAAACCATGCTCATGGAGATTTCGGTCCTTTGAGCGTCTACTGTCAGTGACAGGCAAGACCACTTTGGGAGTCGGGCCTTCATACTTGGTAGGCTTGCGCTCGGCATAGGTACACTCGATGCCGAGATTGCGGCAGAGACTGCAGGGCATATCCTCGTCGCATCGTGTCTTTTTGGAGCGGCAGGCCTCGCATGCCTGGTGAATGGTCAGCACGACAGAACCAGCACCAGACCGGCGGCCGGGAGCGGGAAGGACCAACCTGGCGCGCGATGAAAGTGCGCTGTCTCTTGCCTGGTCGTGAGTCAGGATCGTGGGAGTCCTCTCTCGCGAGGAGAGGGTCATGCCCTTCGTCGCCCATTATTAGGGTTCTGTGAAGTAGGAAGCACCGGTCAGCTTGGAGGGCTGGTTAGGGCCATGCTTTGGGCGTCAAGACGGCCATTGTGATGTGGTAGCAACATGGAGTCTTTTACTGTAGGTTGCGAAGCCCAAAAGATTTGTTAGGGAGATTTCCAGACACGCGGCGTACTGCTTAGGTAAGATGCTGGCTGCGCCTATAGACATTACCGTAGGTAGTCTCGGGCCCCTAAGCCCCTGGCTGCGCAGACTGCGGCCTTAGGAGCCTCCCGACCCCTGCATTATCGCCTAGTAATTCACGCCGCAAGGGATCGATCTGATCTGCAGGCCCTGAACTCGGTGAACTGAATCTCGATTATACACCAGCGACAAACGCACGTGACGCTGCACGTGACGTCAACTAGCCCTTCGGCTAACCTTCCGTACTCTACGTCAAATGTATTAGGTAACACCTACAAGGCACGCCTCACGCAACACCGAGCCAGAGGAGGAGCAAGCAAAGAGAAAGAGAGAGGGAGAGAGAAACCGTCTATATTTCTTTTTTGGCCCTCCTCCGTCTTTGCTCTCTAAGCCAGGTCCTACTAGCACCACACCAGTCCGCGCTGGCTGAGCAGAAGAAGCAAGAAGCGAAGATCACAGCCTAGCCAATGTCGGCCGTTTCTGGCGGTCAGCCTCAGCCTCAGCCTCAGCCTTCAGCTGGTCTTCGGTTTCCTTTGCGATCTGGCGCCATTTTTCAATCCTCTCTTGCATGGTCTGCTCGGCAATGCCCAACCAAGCCGGGTTCCACCTGATGAGTCGTCTTCCCGGCGTGCCAGGGGCCGGATCGCCAGCCAACTTGCGGAGATCTTCAAAGTATTCTTCAAAATCCGGGGCGACTTTGAAGAATGGCTGACCGTCGCCCCGTTTGGCCAGACGGTCGGTCTCCCATTTCTTCTGGACCTCGCGCGAGGGAAGAGTGATGCGTCCAGCCAAAAACCTAGCCACCACCACTGCCTGCCACTCAAAGACGAGGAATGTGAAGCCCGCCGAAACCTATCTCGCGGTCAGTATGTACCAGAGCCGCCAGCAAATGGGGTGAAAACACTAACCCCGCCGACAAATGCGAGAGTGGGATCATCTTGCATGAAGATGTGCTGGTAGGTGCCCGGGATCCTGCGATTGACCACTTTCACCGAGGGGAGGAACGGCAAGCTGAAGTCGTAGCCGGTTCCAAAGATGATGTGGTCCACGTTCTCGACCTTGCTGCCGTCGGAGAAGAAGACGGTCCGACTGTTCGGAGATGTCGACACGTGCGAGATGGTGGGCTTCAGCGAGATTTGTGGGTGTTCGAATGGCACGGTGCCGTAGACCCGGTGCGGTTCTCGGATTGATGCGTACACGGGCGACTTTGCAACCTTGACAATCGCTCTGGTAATGTCGGTTGCCGACACAGAAGCGCCGACTGTGATGACCGTCTGTGTGCCCGGTCACGTCAGAACCATCTCTACGAACGTCGTCCCCACCACTTGACTTACCTTCCCGCGATACCGTTCCGGTCCGCGGTAGATCTTGCTGTGCTCAACGCTCCCAGGATGGTTCTGCTCGAATTCCGCCAGTCCGGGGACAGGAGAGAAGCGCGGGATGCTGTAGTGGCCGCTGGCGACGACGAGGGCGTCGAAGGTCTCCTGCCACCAATAGTTGTGCTTGCCGCCGGGGAGGGTTTTCCTCAGGGTCAAGACCCATTTCGAGCCCTCCTTGACTGCTCGCTCCACCGACGTATTGTACTCGACCTGGTGGCGGTACCCCTTGCGATCGAACAAGCTCTCGACCCATTCACGCACGATCTCGCTGTTTCGAAACGGCGCTCTCTGATCTATCGGTTGGTTGGTGACTGGGTCCCGGGGTAGCGGAAACGGCTCTTTGGTGTAGGCCATGATCCGCTCATCGATGTTGCTGATCATGCCCGGGTAGACTGGCGTATACGTATAGCGGTGTTCAGCACTGTTGATTCGGGGCTCCTGAGGTGTGATAGTGGGGAGCTGGGATGGGATCGGGACTGGCTGATCGGCTGTTTGTTCCAACAGCGGGCGAAGAGAAGCCAACTTGGGACGTATATCGGTGTCGCCGATCCTGGCACGCCGTGTCTGTCAGAGCCCAAGTCCAAGTCCAAGTCCGACCAGACCATGATTGTTGTTGCAACAAACAACAATCAACAATCGACAATCAAACAATCTTCCCTACCATATTCCGCCCGCTTTCTCCCGCCTCTCAAACACTCGAATCACGTCGAATTTCTTCTCCTCCGCCAGTGCATCGATCGTGATGGCTCCAGCCGGCCCAGCGCCGATGACCGCCACGGCCTTGATATTGGCGACCATGATGTACCCAACGACACAATCACAACCAAAAAGAACAAGAACCCACCACAGAGTCTATAACGCTTTTCTAGACCATGAAACACGTGTCCGTCAGTATTTATATTCGAGTACAGAGTACTTTCCAAGGACAGGCTTCACATGCAGCGGCCGTCTCCACCGCGCCAAGCGATATACCGCGAAGGCGCAATAGGCGGCTTGAATGGCGAATGCCAAAATATGGGGCTTAGGCCTTTGTCTGTGGATTCTGCTCAACCGACGGGATCTCTCCAGCCGGACGGTATCGTATCTGTGTCCGTCTGGCCTGAGGTCTGGGCCATATGTCAGGATGCGACTGCGACGCTCCAACGCGCCTCAATGTGACTTGCTATTTGTGATTCGCCATTCGTCATTCGTCATTTCGAACTGAGCTGCACTACTCTACGCGTCCTTCTTGGAAGTAGAGTTGAAAATTCCAGTTCCTTGATGTCTAGTATGGGGCCTGAGATCATGAGATGGCCTGCGGGGATCCTGACTATATAGATAGATGAAAGTAGAGACGACAGTGATCAGACGATTTTTCCAAACAATCCCGAGTGGTATAGTAAGAACACCTCACACGGCAAGGTCACTGGGATAAGAATTTCCAGCGTTCCAGGCTTCTTGTCTATGAGATGCAGAGAAGACGAGCTTGTAAGAGCACACGGTCACGGGCGAGGAGTCACTAGTGGTAGCCTCGGAAATGGGGAACACGACAGACATGTTGATCATGAGCAGTCACAGTTCTTGATCACCATCAATGGCATTCATGAAAGATTGAATATTGCCTGCCTCTGCTAAGGAACATGGCGATGGTACCGGCACGTGCTCTTCTTGTTTATATTCGACGGTGTCGGCACATGCTCTCCTTATGTATGGTGGACAAGACCACTGGCAATGCACCGCAGCCGGACACCCATTGAGGCGAAGGGAAGGCAGGTGATGGCCTACTAGGGGCCATCGCATTGAACCCCAGAATCTGTCCTTCTCAACCGGCCGATAATAAAGACTATAGCACCACACTCAAACCGCCGTGACATCTGATTTGACCTGACTCTTCAATCCTTTGTCAGGCGCATCGTCCGAGTCTTCAGCCTGACTGACATCGAGCGCAGTAGGGCCCGCCAACGGGTCGGATTGACGCCGTTTCGCCTTCGAGTGCAGCATGTACGCCAGAGTGAGGGAGCAGATGATCTGGACAATCCAAAACCCAGCGGCCGTGAAGTTACCCTTTCTGACGGCCGGTTGGTCGACTGTTTTGAACACGGCCAGAGGACTAGAAATAGAAATTGACATTGACAATCAGGCCATGTTTCCGAGCGTACGAGCTTTCCAAACCAGAGAGAACACTTACATGGTTGCGGCAAACACTTGTGACCATACCTGCAGACCAGCGCCTGCAAAGGCACGCGTGGCAGGGTCTCCCGCCCTATAGCTGTCTGTTAGCGATGGCCAAAGCCTTTCTCAGAACTAGTGGCCGCCCAAGAGTTGCGGAACGCAAGGCGATGGCGAGCTCGACTCACAAGATTTCATTCGTCCATGCCCAAAACATACTAGAAATAGAGACTCGGGTCAGCTTCTGTAGCTTGCGGCTGAGAGTGACAGTGAGTGGCACCACTGCAGCTGAAACTCACCAATTCGACGCTTCTCCCCATCCAGTCTGATAGTAGAGAAACCATCGGAATGCTCGGTTCTTGGGGAACACGGGCGTGGTGGCTAGAAGGATACAGACCACAAAGTTGACGGTCGCGCCCACGAGCAGCATGGGCCAGCGGCGACCTTTGCAGATTGTATCACCTGGACTCTATCAGCAGGGGTCCCTGTGGACTGGGGGCATTTCAACTGACTGGCCCAAGCCATCAAGGTGGTGACTGTGATTGTAGTGGCGTATAAGGGGGTGGTATAGTTGTCTTCACACGTATGTTATCAGTACCAACTCAACTTCCATGAGGCTGAGACAGCAATTCGTGATATAGACGCATCAACATAACATACTGATTTGTTGCACGGTAAAGGATCCCTTCTTGATGGAATTCCACGCTTTGAACCAGAAGGCCATGGACTGGTTAGGCAAATATCCAATGTTTTGCGACCTGTCGACGGATGCTGGTTAGTAAGAGAGGAGTCTAGAGGATGCTCGAGCGATAGGCTCCATCCTTCGGGTGTTGTTGAAGGGAATACTGACGCAGCGATGAGCCAAAGAATCCAGATCTCGGGTGTGGTGAACCATCTCCATATCTACTAAGGTCAGCAAGAGCCAGACATTTCCACCGATTGAATCCAGTGTCCTGGTCCTGGTCACGGTCACGGTAAGGCAACCTACTTGAGCCCGAGTAAACGCCCCTTGTCTGACGCGACCTTCCTTTGGCTTCCGGTCTCTTGCCAACTCGATCTCCTAGACACGTGTGAATGAGCGGTCGTCCCGGAGGACAGAACGTGATGCCATCCATACCTGCTCCGAGAACATGAAATTGGGCGTCAGACGGGAAGGAACCTCTGGTAGCAGAAACAGTTGCGGAATGATGATCCCGATGGAGATGATGCCGTCAATAATGAACAACTATGCTGGTATTAGGCTGTGATGGACACTTTGACTTGACGGTCAGACTTACCCATTGCCATCCGGCCATGCCCTGGACGCCATTGAGGCCAGAATATGCCGCAGCTGAGGCGTGTTGATCAGTATTTGAACTTGAACTTGGAAAAGTTCATGGGGATGCCGTCGTCTCGTCGACTTCAAATCACATACCCTGGAGATATGCAGAGAACATTGGGCCTGCCTGCGCTGCCATGTTGACGATGCTCATGCGCTAGTCCAAATTTGGTTAGCTGCTTTTCAAAACACGCTGCTTTATTTACAACACGCTTCTTTTTTCACAACACGCTTCAATACATGGGAGATGGGAGATGGGAGTTGGGAGATGGAGATGGGACTGGAACTCACACGAGCTAGTTCGCCCTTTTGATACCACGAGCCGCAAAGAAACATGACTGCGGTGAGTTAGAGAATCATAACGCCTCCCTCATGGATTAGACTGGATTGATCCTACTGGCGGAGTAATGGCCTCTGCGAGTATACAAGTCAAAGTTAGTCAGGCTTGACTACCTTCACCTGCATGATTTGGACTTGGAATGGAAGAGGGGAGAGGGGACAGGGGGGCGGAACAGCTTACGTTTCAAAGATGGCCAGAATTGCTCTGATCACGTACATGTGTTCTGCTTTGGTCATTTTTGCCTGGCAGAAGGTACTGTCGCGCCTCGTTAGCGGTCTGGGATTGGGATTGGGATCGGGATCACCTCAAGCCGCGTACCATATGGTCCATCCAACTTCCAGAAAGCTGCGAAAGAAACGTCAGCCATTTGTATGGGAAGCTCAAGCTCAAGCTCAATGCTCTCAGGGGTCCGAACGTACGGGATGAAATATCTCGGGTTTGTTCGCGTGAGAATCAGGTTGGTCGGCACAAGAGCAATGATCTGGGTGCATGCGTGGCGTGTCAGCTTACCCTCCATCTCCATGGAAATTGAAGGGAGGGAGGAAATACCGAAGCAACGCTGTAAGAAGTCTGTCTCTCCTTCAGTCTCACGTCCTAGAATATGTTGATGTTGTTTGCGAGACTTACGTTGGCATAGTTGAGTTGCTGTGCGAATGTTAGCAAGTTTCTTGTCGGTCGGCTGGACCAGGACCACGCACATTCTGATAGAGAGAAAGGTCCTCTTTCATGCCTGACACGAACGCCGTATTCAAATTTGACCTGTCCCAGGTTAGAAGAAGGCTTTGGGTTTCGCCTCAGCCTCATAGAGAACTGGATCTGGAATTGGATCTGGCTTTGTGCCACGCACCGATCGAGGAACTTGATAAAGGTGCCCAAGCAGCCAAATGTCACGAGCGTGATGTCCACCTTGAACAACAATCGCCTCTCCTGGGAGACGGTCAGCACTGGCTTTTTGCTTCTCGTCGTAGTAGCAGTCGTAGTGGCAGTCGCAACCGGATCAGGTACTGTGTACAGGACAGGTACCCAACATCCACACACACTTGTACCTACCTCTGCTGTCTTGTCCCACGTATCCCAAAGATAGCTCTTCCAGGTGCGATTTTTCGTCGAGACGTCCTGGCCCGCCACCACCCCGCTAGGTGCAACATGGTCGATCTGGGCGCGTGGCACGTTCTCTTGCAGCTGGACCGAAGCCATTGTTGTTGTTGACTGCGGCTGCAAGCAGAGACGTGATCACAGATGGATACCTAGGGTGGTCGTCTCGTGGTATCCCCTCGCCTCGCTGCCCACGCTTTATTATATATGTATATCTATGTGTATATATATCCACCCCAGCAGGCTGGCACTACCAGGGGGCGCTGCCGCTTGACTTTCTTCTAGATCTACCCTCCCTGCCATGGACAGACCATACAGCAATGCTGCATCTTACGAATTTACACTGGGGACCCCGGTGAGGTGATTTAGGCCCACTATGGCATTGCTTGTTCCGACGGAGTCGTGTGCCTGAGCCGTCGGGACACGGCCAGACGAGGTCGACATGCCCATTATGAGCACGCCTTGCCTGCACGATCCACCATGATTTGTCTCCCGTGTACGGAGTATGGTTCCAAGAGCCTAGATCTGCAAGAGTAGGCCGGAGTATACTGCCTACTACAGAGTAGTCGTGGTGGTATTGGGCGCTGGGCTTGGGAGGCTCTGAGCACGTCACTTTCGGGCGGGATGGTGTGATTTGTCCCACGTCCACCACCTCAACCCCCTTGCAATAATGGGCCTAAGCCTCAGGCCTCAGGAGCCCCTCAGCCTTCGGCCATCCCGTACGGGTACGTCGACACGCGAGAGGTGTTTGTTGATGATGGAGAAGTACCGATCCGCTCCCGATGGCGCGCGCAAGTCCATCAGGTCTGGGTCTCTGCCTTATACTTGGCCATGTCGCCACTACTACAATACAAACTCTCAGTGATTATGAAGGTGAGCCGTGAACGTGAACGTAAAACGTGAATCGTCCAAGTGACCAGCGACCACAAGCCCAAGCCCAAGCCCGCCAAACCCAAAGATGTCGACCACCACCGAGCAGCCACGACGTCCTCTCCAATACTCGGGTTCCCTAGATGGTTACCAATCCTTTGACCTCACCCCGGTCATTGGGAGGGAGTTTCCCACTCTACAGCTGAGTTCGCTGCTTGGGGACGATCGCAAGATCCGGGACTTGGCCATTTTAGGTGCGTATCTGATGTTTGACTGATCTGCTGATCAGGGTCGATGTGGGTGTGATGGCTAACAAGTGTGATCAGTGTCTCAACGGGGGGTTCTGTTCTTCAGGAATCAGGACTTACAGCTGAACGACCAGAAGGTCCTGGGCCAGAAGCTGGGAGAGCTCACCGGCAAGCCGAAAACCTCCAAGCTTCACCGCCACGCCCTGGTAGACAAGAAATCGCAATCACCCATCGATGGAGAGAAGAAAGCCGACGAGGAGGTCATGGTGATTTCTTCCGCCGTAAGTGCCGTACTGCACCAACACCATGGCGAATCCCCGATCCCAACACGACAAATTTTCATTTCCAGCGAGACTGACAAGGATCCAGAGTGCCAAAAACTCCCATGAGGCGCACAAGTCCAGCTTGAAGCCTTTGGCCAGCACATTATGGCATGCCGAGTATGTATCACCCATCGTTCAGAGAACATGAACTCATATGAACTTGATCCCATCTCGCGGATCAGGATCAGGGTCAATATCAATGATCAATGATCAATCACCGCCCCAAGGGAGAACCAAGCACTAATCTGACTGTGTGTGTGTCTATCCTTTAGCATCACGTTCGAGCATGTTCCTTCAGACTATGCCATCCTGAAGATGGTCGTCCTCCCAGAGTCTGGAGGGGATACCATCTGGGCGTCCGGGTACGAAGCATATGATCGGCTGTCTCCGGCCTGGAAACGCTTCGCCGAGTCGTTGACGGCCACTCACCGCAATGTACGTCTCATGGAACGAAAGGCGATGTGCATCGACTAAGCTAACATTGACATGAACCGTGTAGGCTGGGTTGATACGAAAGGCTCGAGGATCCGACGTATATGTGATCGACCACGATCGGGGTTCGCCCGACAACAAAGGACTTGACTTCGAGGCCACCCAGTACGTACTTGACTCTGCAGGGTGACCTTGAAGCTGTTTTGTTTCAGGCCAGCTGAACCAGACCGTGCTGACTACAATCTTCTCTGGCAGTCCTGTGGTGCGCACCAATCCTGTGACTGGGTATGTACTATGTGCTATGTTCTGTGTACCTTCTCAGATCTCAGACAATCACTCTCACTCTCACTCTCACTCTCACTCTCACTCAATCTGCGCATGCCGTTCATTGCTCACGGATCACATATAGATGGAAGAGCCTTGTGGCCGCTGGCCATCAGGTACAAGACGGGCAGTTCGACAATGTCACCCCGCGTGAAGATCAAATCCTCAAAGCATACTGTATGTTGTGTCTTCTGGCTCCGGCTACGTCCCGATGCATCCGTCATACATGGGTTTTGCTACATGGATACACGGTTTCATACACGATATACTAATGAGATCCTACCTAGTTCTGCAACTCGTGGCTGAGAATCACGACCTCCAAGTCCGCTTCAGGTGGAACAAGAACGACATTGCCATCTGGGACAAGTGAGTATCCGTCTCCGTCTCCGTCTCCGTGCCCGGCATCTGTTTGTCGGTGGACTATTGTCACTTGTCTTTTGTCTATTGACCTGTCATTCACTGACTCACTCTTTCTCTCTCATCTAGTCGCTCATGCTTCCACACCGCGACCTTGTAAGTGGCGTCCGATTCCAATTCCATCCCCTTGAGCTTGTGCTTAGCTTGAGCTCCCGCTCCCGTTTCTGTGGCTTTGGCTTTGCTAACATGATCGAAGCGACTATGATGCCCCCCGTGCCGGGAACCGCGTTGTCTCGATCGGCGAGAAGCCATATCTGGACCCTCGGTCTGTGTCGCGGCGTCGGGCGCTGGCCAAGTTATAGTTATAGTTATAGCTATATCCTATGACTGAAGGCGAATCTGTTGCCACGGTTGGAGACACGCCTGTCACTCATCGAGATGAGGTCGGCTGAAGGACAGTATATGTTTACAAAAGCGAGACTAGACTAGATTAGACTGGACCATTGTTGCGAGTATCATTCCATTCCCTATAACCCTCAAATGTACTCTTCGGTTCAGCGATCTCCAATAGCAACGCCAGGCAGGTTACGTACAGGAAGGGTGCGAACGGGTAGCTACGTACAGGAAGGGTACGAACGGGTCGCTACAGAGTAGACACCAGATGGCCGAACAGGACGAGTACAGTGTACAGCAAGCTCCTTAGTAACAGTCGTAGTACTGCATCTCCAAGAGGATCGCGTGTCTTTTGCCGTCCTGTCCTCCTACCTACTACACGCGCGTCGGATGAGGACTGAAGACGCGCATCGGATGAGGACTAAGGGCCAAGGATTAAGGGTTCATGATTGATGTGTAGTAGTGGATATGGTGATGATATGTGATAAGCAAACTTTCACCACTTCAGCTTCTGACTTGTCTTGTCTCGGCAAATCCAGTCCATACTACTGTAAGTACTAAGGAAGCACTAGTCAGTGCCATCTAGATACAATTACTCAGTAGCATCGTGTGCCGTCGCCCGTCGGGCCCTGGGAGCCAGGGGGGCGGCCGTGGCTTGTGCAATAAGTAGGGCGGATGATGCCATATTCCACATCTCCAGAAGAGAAGAGCCCAGTCTCCAGTCTCCAGTCTCCACTACCAAGCGAGACGGCATACAGTATACCTATAACTTGAAGTTGGGACGGCACAATAATACTACGCATATACATATACGCTGACAGTGTTGTATATTGGTGCTGAAGCTGAACTGTACATATACACAGACTCTGACAATACTGTCGCGGAAGCTGAACTGGTCTACGCGGGGCGACTGACCTGGTAGAGTTTCCCATCTTGTGTCATCACATCAACCAAATACGACCAGGTATCCCGACCAGGGCATAAATTATCATCAACGATCCCAAGACAACCCAGCACAATATACAACCTACAACATACAACACCAAGACAACCCAGCACAACATACAACATACAACATGGCTCCATCCGTGGCTCACGATGACATCGGAACCAGCCAGTCCACGGCCACGCCACAAAAACAACACCAACACCGCAAGCCATTGAAATTGAGCGGTGCCCTGGACCAGTTTGAACGCAGAGACCTGACTCCCGTGATTGGCACCGAGTTCAAGAATGTCAACCTGGTAGACTGGCTGAATGCTCCCAACTCGGACGAGCTGCTGCGAGACCTGGCCATCACCAGTAAGTTCCAGTGCCCTACGATTTCATTTATATTTATTTTTATACTGTGTTTGACCAAAATGCATTACGACCATCTACATACTACAAGTTTATACCACAAGCTCACAGAATGAATGAAACACTTTGTACCACAAGCTCACAGATGAATCAAACACTTTATACCACAAACTTACACAATGAATGAAACAGTCTCCCGCCGCAACGTCGTCGTCTTCCGCCAACAGGATGCCCTGGACAACGACCTGCAGAAGCAGCTGGTGCAGCGACTGGGCGAGCTGTCCGGCAAGCCCAGCACGTCGAAACTGCACATCCATCCGACGGTCAACATCGCGCCGGCCGACCAGGGCCAGGGCCAGAAGCGAGACAACGAGATCAGCGTGATCGACTCGACGCGAGGCCGCATCATCTTCAAGGGCGTGCAGGACCGCGAGGTCATCAAGTCCAGCAACATCGACCAGTGGCACTCGGACATTACGTTTGAGAGGGTGCCGAGTGACTATGCCGCCCTGCGACTGACCAAGCTTCCCGAGACAGGCGGAGGTATGTTACATATAATATCCATATATCCATACCGATCCAGAGTCTAGACTCCAGACCCCAGACCACAAACCACAGACCCCCGATGGCCAGTAGTACTGTACTGGTTGCATCTTACACACCAGCATCCTGTCACTGTCACGGTCGAATAACACTGGGTTACGGATTCCGGCTAACGTAACCCCAGACACCCTATTTGCATCAGGCTACGACGTCTACGATCGCATCTCGCCCCCGATCCGCTCGCTGCTGGAGTCGTTGACCGCCACGTACGGCCAGCCCAAGTTCGGCAAGGCCGCCGCCATCAACGGCTACAAGCTGTACGAACAGGAGCGCGGCGCGCCCGAGAACGTCGGCCCCCAGCTCGAGGCCATCCACCCCGTCATCCGCACCAATCCCGTCACGGGCTGGAAGTCGGTCTTTGCCGTCGGCCACCATGTGCAGCACATCAACGGCGTCACCGAGGAGGAGTCGCAGGCCCTGTTGAACTGGTTCCTACGCCTGATTGTCGAGAACCACGATCTGCAGGTCCGAGTGCACTGGGACAACCCGAACGATCTGGTGATTTGGGACAAGTAAGTTGATTTGCCTTGGGTTGGCTTGCCTGTCCTGTCCTGTCCTGTTGATTTGCCTTGCCTTGGTTTGCCCTGTCCTGTCCTGTGATTTGCCTTGCCTTGGCTTGCCCTGCCTATCCTGTCCTGTCCTGTCCTGTCCTGTCCTGTCCTGTCCTGTCCTGTCTTGCCCTGTCCTGTCCTGTCCTGTCTTGTCCTGTCCTGTCCTGTCCACCAATTTCCTCTGTTCTTCTTCATGGCCAACTCAGCCAAACAAAACTAACCACCCACCCACTCTCTATAGTCGGTCCACATACCATGCCGCCACACCAGACTATCAAGGTCTCGGGACACGAACGGGCCAGCGCGCCGTCAGCCTGGGCGAACGGCCATACTTGGATCCTCTGAGTTCGTCGAGAAGAGACGACCTGGCCCGTGAAGGGAGCAACATTGCGCTCTTGAAGCTGACGCCAGAAACGTTGGCTTCATAGGCGGGCTGGGCTACTGGTGGGGGTAGGTAGTAGTAGTATCTGATTCGACCCTGGCTGGTCATCCATGGAGTGACTGAATCGTCAGGAAGAGGAAGCATGAGGAAGATGAAGCGTCAGGAAGAGGAAGCATGAGCACGCGTGACATAAGCACGTGAATGAGGCATCGGGAAACCGCAATGGACCGTCAGGGAGCCATCAGAGCAGGTTAGACCAAACCTGACATGGATGTAATTGAATCACGCATGCGATACACAGGATCCGTATCGCCAAGGGAACTCAGTTGCTTTGCTTATCTGAACACATACAAGTCAAATCGACCCAAGGAGCTATAAAACCACAAATCTAAAATGAGTGCGGTTGAAAGGCTCCTTCCTGTTCTTGTTCCTGTTCTTATTCTTATTCTTGTTCTTATTCTCGTTCTTGTTCTCGTACCCGAACCTCGTATATATGGAAAGAACTTAGGGAGAGCCTTGGACCAGATCCACAGGGATAGGGGGATAGGGGTCAGAAGTATATAAACCAAAGGAGCGAGGATTCGAGACCAATCGACCCTTTCCTTTCGGTTGGCATTGGCGTTCGGGATGACTGACTACCTTTACGAAGTAGGCTAGATCTTTCATACTCCAGACTCCGCACAGTGGCCGGTGTTTCCGAGAAGTCGAACTCGAAGTCTAGCTGGGAATCAAAACGACAATATCCGTACATTGGCAATAATGATGGCTCATGACTAATGAATGGCAGGCAGACCGGCAAGGCCGATAACGGCGCCTCTCGGAGATTCTCGACGAGGGCAGGTTCCGAGACGAGGCCGGCCAACCCCCAAACGGGGAAGGCGGCAGACGGCAGACGCCAGAGCGAGATCCGAGGCCGATAAGAGTGCCTCGCAACCGCTGACAATGAGGGGTTGCGCCACTGGGCAGACTTTCGAGAGACCAAGCCCGAGGATGTGCTCGAAGAAAGTTGGAGTTTCTGGTCTCTGGCATCTCCATCTCCATCTCGAATGCGTCCTGACTACGACCACACCGTGTGTCGTCGACTTACCTTACCTAGTCTCTGTACTCCGTCCCGTCTACAGTACAGTGCTGTATCTATAGTTATTGTCGCAGGAATCAGGGCAGGAATTGCTTGCTTGCCATTCATATTCATATTCATATTCATATTTTGAATCGGCAAAAGTCAATTCATCATTGGCGCAGTTCAATCCCATCCATCCCTCTGATTTGGTTGATTGATTAATCGTCAACTTGGATTGACCCCCGGTGGCCTCTCATGTCTTTGTCTAATGGGACCGGGACCGGGACCGGGAATGATGTTGCCAACAACGATGGCAACGTCCCCGTCCCCGTCACCCGCATCTTCGCCGACTTCGTGGCCAATGTGCAGCCCGCCGCCCTGACTGCGCAGGTGCGAGACCGGCTGAAAGAGTTCCTGCTCGACTTCATCGGGGTCACGCTCGCGGCCAGCCAGACGTCAGACTCGACCGAACCCATCTGCCGGGCGGTGCGGGCGCTGGGCGGCCAGACAGACACGGACACAAAGAACAGCTCCAGCTGCACGGTGCTGGGCAAGGGGCGAGGCTGGACGCCGGCGTACGCGGGCCTGTTGAACGCCGCGCTCGGCCACTCGCTGGACTTTGACGACACGTACGCGCCGGGCACGCTGCATGCGGGCGTGACGGCGTTCGGGGCGGGCTTGAGCCAGGCGGAAGTGCTGAGCCACAGCGACATCGACACCGACATTGACATCGACCGTTTCCTGCTCGCCGTCGCCGTCGGCTACGAAATCACATGCCGGCTGGGCCGCGAGCTGGGCAACGAAGCGTACGCGCGCGGGTTCCACAACACGTCGACGGCGGGCATCTTCGGCGCGGTGGCCACCATCGCCGTGCTCAAGCGGCTGCCGGCGGCGACGGTGGCAGACGCCTTCGGGCTCGCCGGGTCCAAGGCGGCCGGGTCGATGCAGTACCTGGCCAACGGCAGCTGGAACAAACGACTGCACCCGGGGTTCGCGGTGCACGACGCCTTTGTGTGCGTGGCCCTGGCCGAGGCCGGCGTGGTCGGCGCCGCCAGCATCCTCGAGGACGCCAAGTTCGGCTTCCTGCACGCCTACAGCCCCAAGCAAGACAAAGACCTGCACTATCTGGTCGCCGATCTGGCCGTGCGCTGGGAGTTCCTTGAGACCTCGCTGAAACCCTTTCCGGCCTGTCGCATGACCCACGGGTTCATCGAGCACGCGGCCAAGTTGGGGCGGGACCGGGACAGCGACAGAAGCCAGAGTCTGGGCCCTCCCCAAGTCAAAAGAATCACTCTGTCCCTGAGCCCCAACAACCTCCTCGTCGTCGGCGCCCCCACCCCTAACAAGATCCACCCGGAGAACATGGTCGACGCCCAGTTCTCGGCCTACTTCACCACGGCCAACAGTTTCCTGTACGGCTCGGACAACGGCGTGCGGTGCTACGAGCCCGACCGGCTTCGCGACCCGGCCATCCGCGCCCTCGCCGACAAGATCGTCTGCGTCGCCGACCCGTCCATCAAGCAGTTCGGCTCCAAGATCCGCGTCGAATACGCCGACGGCCACGGCGACCCGGTCGAGGTCGACATCCCCTATCCGCTGGGCGAGGCTCAGCATCCCTTCACCAGGGACCAGGTCGACGCCAAGTTCTTCAGTCTGGTCAATCCCGTGCTAGGGGAGGAGCGCGCCCGTAGGATCAAGAGTGTGGTCGATGACATTGAGAAATATACCGTTGTCGAGTTGTTGGGATTGTTGTATTAGCCCTACAGCTTGTATTGACCCTGCAGATTGCAGGGAGAGGTCAGAGGATATAGAAACAGAACAGAAGAAAAGCAAGAAGAAAGGAAGAAAGGTCCGCGATCGTGACTGTGGTTGTGACTGGATCTGATGAATCAAATGGCACACACACACACACACACACACACACACACACACACACATACACATATACATACCATGTAAGTATATATGTATGGTCCACTGCAGGGATCAGGATGCACGAGCAGGATGCATGATGCAGGATGCATATCTGGATTTATCGCATAGCGGATGACATGGGGTATGTAGATACAATCACATACAAAGATACCAACTTACTGGGTCTCTGCTCAATCCGGCTTTTCTATACTCCATATAGCACTCGTATACGCGGTCAATGCCTGGACGGCAGGACAGTACATTTCCGGATGTCGGAAGACACTGGCAGTACATTCTAGGATGCCAAAGTCTCCATGGCATAGGGTTAGGGTTCGGGCTAGGGGTACATACATAGTATGAAGCATGTCCGGCAGATGTAGAGCCTAAGCCCTCCAGTCTCTTTAGACAGTGGGATGGCCGAATTAGGTCCAGACCTCGTCCAGTCAAGACCACGTCCGTCAAGACCTCGTCCAGTCATGGGCACTGACTCTCCAACGACGTACGGAGTACAAAGAAACGAGATAACATGCACTCCATTGGCGTCCATATCCCTCCATGTGGAGTTCAGGGGTTACTAGATTATTTCAAAGGTTGAAATATTCCATGTTCGCTATCAAAGGGGTACGGGGGGAGCCCAGACTATACAGTATGCCTATACCTATACCTAGACTCCGTATTAGCCCTCTGGTTAAGAACAAGGCTGGGAATGCCCAAGTTAGTGCCTAAGTTTGATATATGGAGTTGACCGCACCTGGAGAAGGCCGAACGCTCTCCTCCTTACATATCCCCTCACCTCTTCACTCCCCCCCCCCCTCCCAAGCCCATGCCCGTGCGATTTGGCGGCGACCATCTTCTAAAGACTGAGGTGGATGTGGATTCCAATTCAATACCCACCAGCCAAGAAGATCCAATGCTTGAATCCGAATCCCACGCCTCTGGGAGACAAAAAAACACTGGGCACGCAGATTTGCACCATGTCACCTTTTTGACCCCGAGGCTTGCCCGTCACGCAAACAAGGATCTCGAGAGAGGCTTCTGTTCGCCAACACCAAGGAGAGAGGCTTTTGTTCACCAACACCAAGGAAAGAGCTGTGTTTTCATCCCTTGCCCTCACGCTGTTCAGTGTCCAGCATGTCTACGACTACCACCACCACATCTCCCGCCACCCCTGTCTCACAATCGTCCAAGGCTGTGGCCCCAGCTGCCGCACCCCGCTCGGCCCTGAACACGACATCCGAACCTTCATCTGGGCGCCGGCGGCTACACTACATTCCGACGCCAGCGACCAAAGAGGAAGAACGAAGATGGCAGCTCGAGCATATGGCCGGAGCGTTTCGAGTCTTCGCCAAACTCGGATATGCAGATGGTTCAAGCGGACATATTAGTCTTCGAGGTAGGGCTTAGGGGTTTCGAGGCATACGCCTTACTCCTTCCTGGTTGCCTCTCCCACCACCACCGTCATACTCCTTACTCTTTCCTGGTGACCTCCCCCGTCAGTGTGCTTACTCATCTTGGAGCCTGCAGACCCTGTTGACCCGAACACCTTCTGGATCAACCCCTATGGAGTACATTTCGGCATGCTGAAGGTGTCCGACATGGTGCAGGTCGACGAGGACGGCAACCAAGTGGGCGGCAACAACCAGCCCGTCAACACTGCCGGGTTTATCATTCACAGCCAGATCCACAAGGCGCGTCCGGACATCAATGCGGCATGTCACATGCATAGTCCGTACGGTCGAGCTTGGTCGACGTTCGGCAAGCCCATCGAGATGTTGAATCAAGGTGAGAGCGAGAGCCTTTGATTTGCCGGGCCTCTAACTGGCAGGAGTTCGTTGTGTTTCCTTCCGTTCTGACTCTGACCTGCTCTCGATCCAGACTCATGCATGTTCTACAACGATTTGGCCGTCTACGCCGGGTTCGGAGGCGTGGTCTTTGCCAAGGAGGAGGGAGCGCACATTGCCGCCGCCCTGGGGCCGACCAACAAGAACATCATCCTGCAGAACCACGGCCTGTTAACGGCTGGGGGCACGGTCGATGAAGCCGCGGCTTTCTTCATTGCCCTGGAACGGGCGTGCCAGAACCAAGTCATCGTGACCAACATGGTCGCGTCGAACCACGTCACAAAGACCTATGTCGGCAAGGAGGAGGCCGAGTACACCAAGAAGCAGACCGGCTCTCCCGAGGTCATGTACATGCAGTTCAAGCCCGAGTACGAGTTGATCTTGAAGGAGACTGGCGGCGACTTTCTCGATTGAGGACATGCAAGGTGTTTCACACCCCCTGTCTGCATTTATTGCGTTCTTGACAGTGCCCATGATTTTGATCTTTCTTCTTTCTTCTTTCTGCATTCTTGTTTCTTGTTTCTTGTTTCTCGTTTCTCGTTTCCCATCCTCAATCAATTAATGGGTGCGCACCGTCTTGTCGCCAGTACAAGGAAGGCTACGTCACGTGGCTTGGTGGCTGACCGCTTTACGCGTCTTCATTGGATCTCGGCGCGTGATATTGATATTGGCGTTGTCACATTTTACCATCCCTGTGCCTGTGCCTGCGCCTGCGTAGCGCCCCCCTCCCGCCTCCTCCTCTCCTCCTCTGGACGGCGGTGCTCAGCCTGACAGCATGAGCCTCGCAGCTGCCAAGCGGCCCTTCCCTGCCCTGCCGCTGCACGGCTCGAGATGTCTCAGTTGTCGACCTTGTCACAGTCCCGGCGGTACTTGGTACTTACAGGCCACCTGTTACCATGACCTTCTTTGAGGTGGGTAAAAACTGTCTTGACCTCAATCCTACTGGTACTGGATTGTCGATGCTGGATGTTGGACGCTTCTCGGGATGGTGCTCTCCATTGTGTATTCTCCCGTAGATGTCGTCGCATCGCCCGCCGTTGAGTAAGTCCCTCCTCAAGGCTCGAGAGGTGTCGCCAGCCACTGCTCAGGCTCTTTATTAACGGAAATCTGACCCTGACCTTAGTATTGTGGCCGTCCACGGCCTGGGCGGCGACGCCATCCACACTTGGACACACCCAAAGTCCAAGGCCATCTGGCTGAAAGACTTCCTCCCCGCGCAGATCCCGAATGCGCGTATCATGACCTTCGGCTACAATGCGGCCATGGCGTTAGGACAGTCGACGGCGGAAGTGATTGATCATGCCAGAAGCTTGTTGGCTAGTTTGGTGGACAAGAGAGAAGAGCCGGAGGTGCAGAAGATCACCAATATGAACCCAAGAAGGAAGAAGATGTTGATACTGTGCTAGGAGATCCAGCGTCCACTGATATTCATTGCACACTCTCTCGGCGGAATCGTGGTCAAACAGGTATCTCAGCGGCCAAACTCGGGGGAGGGTGATTTCATCTGATGGCTGATCGGTCCGCAGGCTCTGCTACAAGCACGGCTAGAGTCACGGTACCACTGCATCAAGGATGCCACGCGAGGTCTCATCTTCCTCGGCACGCCTCACCGTGGCAGCGAGAAGGCCACGTACGGGAAAGTGCTGGCGAATGTGGCCCAGTTTGTGACCTCTCGACCCCCGGCACGTCTCTTAAAGGCGCTCGAAACGAACTCGGCGACCCTTCAGCGGCTGACCGCCGATTTCCGCCATCAGTTACCCGACTACCAAGTGTACAGCTTCTATGAGCAGCGGCCGATGAAGGGCTTTTCCAACCTGGTATGGGGCATCCCAAAACCGTGTGTTATCAGATTTGTGCCTAATCTGAATCGGGAGCTAGATTGTCGAGAAGTATTCCGCTCTCCTCGACGTCAACCACGAGGAACAGATTCCGGTCGACTCGGATCACAGTGCAATGTGCAAATTCGAAACCGAGAGTGACGATACCTTCGAGAAGGTCTACAAGAGAGTCAGGCGGATGATGAAGACAGAACCGCCGCCGAAGGCCGTCGACCCGGCAGACAGCCAGTCAACCTTGGTTCCACATCCACCAGTGGACGACCCGTACCACGCCCTCCCTCCCTCGGTCGGTGATTCCGGTTCCAGTCCCAGTCCCAATTCCAACTCTAGCGACCCAACTGCCAGCAACTCACTGTATGGATCCGGCAAGTGACAGCGGATACAGGGTTCATGAGATACTGACGAGGGTGCAGGACTGTGGCTGATCTCGCGCTTCAAATCCCGACGTTCCTCTCGGATTTCGCCAAAGTGATGAAATGCATCCAAGACGTGCAGAAGGAGTATATTGTGCCTCCCACGTTGATGGCTTCGGTGGCGGCGCAGTGCCACGGAATCCAGACCGCGATGGCCCGACTCCAGCGACTCGACGTTCAAGGAGCCGTGGCCTTCAAGAACGAGCACCAACGCATCGTCCACGTGCTGCAAACCATCGTCATCGGCTGCAAGGGCGCGCTGTCCCTGATCGAGGAGTATATTCTGGATTTCCGCGCCACGGCAGGAAAGCAGATTGCGAACCAGGAGAAGATCGACGCAAAGTTGGAGGCGGTCTGGAAGGGCGAGGACATTGAGGAGCTCCTATCGCAACTGGACGGATACCAAACCGGGCTCACCAATCTGTTGGTCGTCTCGCAGAGTACCTCGATCCACGAAATACACTCGCTCCTCACCGACCAGATCTTCGCGCTCGACGACTTGATCGAGCGATCTCGGATATCTTGGAACAAGAAACCTTCGACCATGACGCCGTCCGGCTCTCTCCGGTTCAGCATCCTGACTCACAGCGACAACTTTTCCACCACAGCCATACACACGGATCGAGAATGTGACGAGACGCCTGAATCGTTGATGCCGCTGGATCATGAGATTGCCAACTCGAGAGCCTATAGGCGGGTCATGTTTCGAAACCTCCGTCAACGATCCAGAGGCATCGGCATCGACGCGGCTCGGACCATGCAGAAAAAGACGGCCGCCAGCTCTCCTCTCCCGACCATAGCTTCAACCAGTCAGGAATCTCTCGTACACAGCTCCGACGGAACGATATCACGGTATTCTCCCCTGGGGGGCGAATCATCCAACTATAGTAACAGCAACAGCAACAGCAACATCCACAGCATTCAAGTCCAGGTGCAACAGCCGGATGGGCCTGTCAATCGACTTGACACAGAGGGAATCGCAAGTCGCACCTCAACTCCAACTCCGACGAACATGTCTCTTGGACTCACGAGTGGACTCATGATACAGCGCCCACAGAACAGACCAAGAAACTTTTCTCGACTCGATTGGGTGCCCAGGCAGCCCGAGCAACACCCTGACACTGTCTCGTCTTTGCCTGCTGCAGAGTCGGACCTTGCGTTCCCAGTCTCCGACGACAAGGCCGTTAGTGGTCCAGAAACGAGCAGCTCCTCGTCAGCCGCGCGTCAACTGTATAAATTGATTCTCCTCGGCGGCGGTGCGGTGGGGAAGTCTCCGCTCGTACTTCAGGTGAGTCGACTGTAGTGCAGGCCCATGTTCAGGTGGCAGGTCGCATAGTTCCCATCGGCTGTATTCTGCATCTGTAGATCCAAGCCAGTTGAGAGCCGAGTCCTGAATCGCGAGTGTCGAGTGTCGAGTCCTGAGTACTGACTGACCTCTGACCACCAGTTTCTTCATCCCGGAATGATCTTTGCTTCGGGGGATAATTGGGACCCGACCATCGAGGACAGCTACCGGGCCGAGTGCAGTGTGGACGGCAAGCGCGTGTCTCTCGACATCGTCGACCACTCGGGCCAGATGGAGTATTCGGGCCTGTGGGAGGAGCATATCCGGACGTGCGACAGTATCATGCTCGTCTACAGCATTACGTCGCGCAGCTCGTACGAGGAAGTGTTGTATTTCATCGAGCAGATCCCTCGGCTCCATCAGACTCTGAATCGGAACGACGAGCGCCTGCCCCTAATCTTGGTGGGCAACAAGTGTGATTTGGGAGGGCACCGGGAGGTGTCGACGGCCGAAGGGCAGAGCCTGGCCGACAATATCATGTGTCCGTTCTTCGAGACATCGGCCATGTCCAACATCAATGTGCAGGAGGCCTTTCATGAAGCCGTTCGGGAGATTCAAAGAAGTCGCGAAAGTTTTATCGACTGGATGATCGGCAGCTTTGCGAGGGCCACCGGACGCCTGCACTTGAATCTACGAGGTGTATAGGTGTGGAAGGACGAGATGAGTATATTTTATATGGAATATAAAATATAAATACAAGTTGGATAGTTGTTCATATAAAATATAAATACATGTCAGAAAGCTGGCAATTTCAATTTCACCAACTACCTTCCTCTGTGGCTCTGGACGTCTCACCCTGCATGCACATGAAGAGGGCACAGCGACTGGGACAGACTGGGACAGACGAGCCTCTATCTTCGAAAGGCCTGCTGGCGTTCATGAGATCACCATGAGTTACAGGAGAGGGACACGGGCTTGATTACGGACTGCCACTGCCACTGCCACTGCTTTGGGCTGATGGGGAGCTCAACCTTTTGACTGTTCAAGCCTATCCAGACCTCCAGACATCCACACATCCAGACATTCAGACATCCAGACATCCAGACCCGGCCAGAAACCGGCCAGAGCCCCGAGAAGCCTCATCGGCCTACAGATGCCTGAAGGTCGGCGTCGAGTTGCCACTGGGAAGAGATTTGACTTGCTAGGCAACAATGATATAACCGTGTCACTGCGCCCAAGATGACGACGCCTTTGTTCGACACTATTGCTGAGGTATGGGGAATATCGTGTACGCCAAACCTTGCGATGACATGTCTGCATATGTACATGCCTTTTAGTCTTTTTCAAAAGAGCGCTATCGATCGGAGTCTAAGCAGGCTAGGCGTCGACAGGGTGGTATAGTGCGAGGCATGTCTACAGACTGGAAGCACACGCTGGGACACGGACCCAGCCCGTCGAGGCGCGGACATGTCCTCTCAGCCTCTACTACTCTCGTCACACGGCATTACACACTGCAAACTTTGACTTGTGGCGTAGTCAAGCTATTGCCAACCTAGTTCAAGCTTTGACGATGGGGGCTATTCAGAGGGCTGACACGAATACTTCCACCGAAGCAGCGGTCCGCCTGCTGCAGTAAGGCTCCCAAGGCCTCCTGCCCCGGTGGAAAGTTGGATGGAGACGGATCGGCATAGCAATACCTCAGTCAGTCTCTTTTCGCGAGACTACGCGTCATACTCCAGCATCGCCATCATTCTGGTGGTTCCTCTCCCACAACCCACTTCGTGGTGGCTTGCTCTAAAGAAAGCATTCCCATTCCCAACCTACGAGCGGTCGGCTGATGCGGAGTGGCAATGGAGGGCCTGAAGACAGGATATAACGCAAAACCAGAGCAGAGACCGATTATAAAGATGTGCAACCCTTCAGGAAGGGCTGGCCGGAGATATGTATCTATCCCTAGCCCTTCCTCCTGTGACCTGATCAACAGCAAGAGAGGAGACCGAAAATGTACCTGCATTACTTCAACACTCTTTGCTTCCTCGCATTGGGTATGTGCCTGTGCCTGGACTGGTATTGTCGGACGTGCACCTAACCCGCCTCTAGGGATCGTTTCCGGCTCGCTGGCTGTCAACTTCACCAGCTACGCTCCTCTGCGCACAGAGTGTCCTGCACACCAACAATGGATCCGTCCAGCAAATGGCCTGTCTTCGCAAGAGGCGACTTGGGTGCAGGGACGTAAGTCGGTCGTCGTCGAGGCCTTCAGTGCCTACCTGGACCGTCTCAACATCACCGGCTTAGATGTCCCGAAGCTGGTCGACGCAATGAAGAAGGACAACAATGCTGGCGTGCCTACCCTGTCGGTCGCCATCAGCGGAGGAGGCTGGCTCTCTGCAATGACCGCCATCGGAATCCTGCGTGCATTCGACTCGCGCTTCCCCGACGCCATCACCCAGAAGACCGGAGGGCTCCTCCAGAGCTTGACCTATATTACAGGATTGTCGGGCGGGGCATGGCCGGGCATGTCTCTGTCGACCTACAACTTCCCAACCATCAACGACCTGGTTGCCGACTGGCATACTGACATCGACCGAGTTTTTAACCCTCCCAACAACTCGGTCTACGCCGCCAATGACTCGGAGCTATTCCTAGATGTTGCAGCTAAATACAAGGCCGGGTTCAATGTCAGCGTGGCCGACTTTCTAGGGCGTGCGTATAGTTATGAATTCCTGCCCCCTCCTCATGGAGGCTTGAACGTGACGCTGTCGGGAATCAGAAATCTGACCAACTTCCGGAACCATTCGGCGCCTCTACCGTTGTTTGTCGCCAACCGACTCTCCGACGACGACGTGGAATTCTTCGGCATCAAGGTGCCTTACTCGAACAGCACCATTGTACGTCCCGTGGCCTGGGCTTCGCTCTCGGCGAGACCAAAACGCAATCTGGAGAGGACAAAGAACTGACATGTCCATAGTTTGAGATGACCCCGTTCGAGTTCGGCGCCTGGCAGGCTTCGGCTGGTGGTGCAACTGGATTTCTGCCCACCGAGTATCTCGGGACGACGCTTTACAATGGCAGCGTGACAAACAGCTCTGACTGTGTGGTGGGCTTCGATCGGGCGAGGTATGCTCTGTGCTTTCTTGTGGCTGGCACGAGGCATGACTAACAACGTTGCTCAGTTACATCCTCGGCATCGCCGCCGGTGCATTCAATTTCTGGTACATTGAATCCAAATCCAATGGGACTTTGGCACAATTCTCCAAGCGATCGGACCTGCCGGAAACGCCGGCCGTGCACCGCTATGACCGACGCGCTGCCATCTTTCCGTCCACGGTGGTCAATGAGGTTCTGGCGGCGTACGAGGAATACTTCAATCTGTCCACCACCCAGTCCATGTACCCATCTGTCCCGAACCCATTCGCCGGCCTACCGGGGTCCGAGGGACCTGAACCAGAAAGTCTCCTACTCGCTGACGGATCCGAGTCTGGACAATCCATCCCCTTCTGGCCGCTTATCCAGCCGGCACGAAAGGCCGACTTTATGTAAGTCTTCTTCGACTCGAATTTTGCTGCTTTCCAGTTTGCGCCACATGCTTTAACTTTACCCGAGGTGGTCGATCATGTCTTGAGCTGACGGGTTTTGTTTCTAATCTCCAGCGTTTCATGGGACAACGACGGCGACCAAGCGCCGTACAACTGGAACAACGGCACGAATCTGTACAACACGTACATTCAGGCTCGACGGGCCGGGCTGGCGTTTCCCGAGGTTCCTCCCCCGGCGACTTTTATCAAGCGTAACTACACGAGCAAGCCGGTGTTCTTCGGCTGCGACACGCAGTACACGACGACGCGGAACGCCTCGAGTCCGATTGTGTTGTACTTGACCAACACCCCTTACAGCGCGTACAGCAACTTCACCTGGTTCAAGAGCACGTTCACGCCCGTGCAGACGCACGAGCTCCTGGTGAATTCCTTCGACATTGCCACACAGGGCAACGGCACGCTCGACGCCGATTGGGCCCAGTGTCTCGGTTGTGCCGCCATCGATCGGAGTCTGACCAGGCTGGGCATCGACCGGGTGGCACAGTGCGAGGCATGTCTGCAGAAGTACTGCTGGGACGGCACCTATGAAGCCGAGGGTGACCTTCCGGTGGTGGATCCGTCGTTGAGACTGCACCCGAACGTCAGCTTCGCCGAGTGGAACGCCACGCATCCATTTACATGAGGGTGGCCGGGGAAAGGAGAGCAAGGGACCATGAGAGTGGCCTAGGAATAAGGACTATAAGGAGCAGACCAATGGACCATGAGAGGGTGGCCTGGGAATAAGGACCAAGGAGGAGACCAAGAGGACCATCACGAGCACGGTATTGGAAGAAGATCATTACCAGTGATGGTATTGTTACTGTATACAGTGAAAGCGAAAAGCGAAAGCGAAAAGAGACAAAAGCAATGCCACGGACGACAGTAGTGATTGAGATATCCTGTCACCATGCTGTATGTATATCATATGCCTGACTCATCAATCTCTTACTGAATATGCCTTTGCCCGAATTATTGAATTGTTCCTACTGTTCCTGTCACTGTACTCTCGTCGTATATATCTACCTCCGCCTGAGACTTATATCTTTACTACCTACTGCCTGATACTGATACTGATACTGACACTGATTCCGAGTCACTGCCGCTTCGTCCACATCCACATCCGCATCTGGTGTCGAGTTCGAGTTCGAGTTCTGCCATTGCCATCCCGGATCTGCCAGAGCAGATGGTCTTAGACGATGGCTTGTAAAGCTAGTCAGACTATCTTTCGTGTAGAGACTCTATTTCGAAACGCTTCGTGACTGCGTCTGGGTCTGCTCACTCCTAACTCGTTTGTCTGTTCGTGTGGGGGTTGTCTAGGTAGTATCTCACTCGTTGCATTCTGTTCCTCTTCCTGTTCCATCCACTGCACTGCATGACGCAACGTCCGGCATCGACATAGACATAGACCCGTCCCCGACACTGATATGATATTGATACTGGCACTGATACTGATTGACCATCGACTCGCTCGCCCGCCTCGACGTCGAACTGGTGAGGATGTTGAGGATGTTGAGGAGTATGAATTCGGAAGGACGCCTGCTCTCCTAGCAGCACAACATCAACATCAACATCAACATTGAGTTCTACCGCAACATCGGTGTCGGTGTCGGTGTCGGTGTCGGTGTCGGTAGGACCAGAGTGTTCTCTCTGGATCGTGGACCTGGCTGTTGTTCTCTCTGGATCGTGGACCTGGCTGTTGTTCTCTCCGGATCGTGGACCTGGACCTGGACCTGGACCTTGACCTGACCAGGACGTCGATGTTTCCTTTCCTTTTCTGGTCAAGGATCTGGTGGGTGGTGGCACCCTCTGCATTCGTCGTTTCCTTTCCTTTCTGCCTTCGTCGTCTCCTTCCTGCATTCGTCGTCTCCGTTCTGCATTCGTCGTCTCCGTTCTGCCTTCGTCGTCTCCTTTCTGCCTTCGTCGTTTCCTTTTCGCATTCGTCATCTCCTTTCCAGCAAGAGTCGACACACAGCTGTGGTGGAAACTAGGATATCGCAATCGCATCTCGTGCAGCGGATGGATGCTTCGGCGGTGGGAATTCCTCGAATCACTGAGTCGATACTTGGATTCAGGACAGCGCCGTTGGTGTCCTCGTCCCAGTTCCAGCCCCTACCCCGTCACCGTCATCGTCAATGAATGTTGTAGCAGTCTAAACGAGACGCCCCGTCACCGTCGATGCTGTAGCAGCCCCAAAAAAACGCCTCCGTCACCGTCAATGCTGTAGCAGTCTAAACGAGACGCCCCCGTCACCGTCAATCCTGTAGCAGTCTAAATGAGACGCCCCCGTCACCGTCAATTCTGTAGCAGTCTAAACGAGACGCCCCGTCACCGTCAATCCTAGTAGTCGAAACGAGACGCCAGCAGCTGAGCTGGCTTAGCTGTATTGACCGAAGAAGGATTCAGTCTGGGTGTGTCGTGGAGTGTCGTGCCGTGTCGTGCCGTGCTGGTCGGGTCATTGGGTCACCACCACCACCACCACCATCGGCGTTCGATTATCATCCCTTGATCTTGTAAAGTATGAAGAATCTTCTGCATTCACCAATCATAGATATCTTTTATGGTCGAGGTATTTTCCCTTTCCCATTTCTTTTCGGCGAGAATCAGAATCCTCTCGGGATCAAGATTGTTTCTCCTTCTCTTTCTCTTTCTCCTTTTCTTTCTCTATTTCCTTCTCCTTCTCCTTCTTCTCGGGCTCTGACTCTGCCTTCGAATCTGGCTTCGAATCTGGTTTTGGCTCTGACTCTGCCTTTGCCTCTGCCTTTGCCTCTGGCTTGTGCTGTTCGGCAGGCCCCCCTGCAGCTTGCGGGGCATACCAGCTCCGGCCGAAATGATGCTGGACATATTTCTCGCCATAGGCAGGATCCCCCGCATGGCTGTGTTTCTGATTCCCGGCGAAGCCGTTGATGGGCAGGATCAAGACGTCGCCGTAGAGCTTGGGCTCCTTCTGCTCGTGAAACGAGTCCCAGGTGACGTTCTGGCCCTGGTCGCGCAGCACCTGCAGCACGACGTCGGTGATCATGCCGGGCCCCGTGGCTTCCAGCACCTCGCCCTTGTCGAGGGTCAGGTCGGCCATGGTGACGCGTCGGCGGCGGGCGATGAACTCCAGGTTGCTCATGACGCGCTGGACGGCCAGCTCGAAGATCGGGTGGCCGGGCTTGGACATCAACGTCCACTGGCACAGGCCGATGGGCCGCACGAACATCGGGTACGTGTGGTCGTCGTACTCGATGCCGACGATCGCGTTGACCGTGTTGGCCCCGAGGTCGATGGGGATCCAGCGGTCCGGGTGCACCAGCATCGACGTGTCGATGTCGCTGTACACCCCGCCCGCCGCCAGCATCACCAGGTAGCGGAGAAAGTCGGCCCTGAGCACCGGCACCGCCAGCTCGTCCCAGAAGTGCACGATGCCCGGTCGAGAGGCGAAGCTGTCATGGACGAATTGGTCGGCTTCGTCGTCTGTAGAGGAGGGAGGTAGGTCAGCTTGGGTTCTCGTTCGACGACAAAGGAGTCGGTCAGCTCAGTTTGGGCATAAGATCGCAAGATACTGAAAGGAAAGGTCTTGGTTCTCGTTCGATGATAGATAGCAACAGCTATGGCAGTGTCGAGTTGGGTGGACTGAGTTGACCTGATCTGTGCGGCCGAGAGCAAGACCTGACACTAGGCAACCAATGCAAACCAGAGGAAACCAGATGAAACCAGAGGAAACCAGGGGAAACACAGGCGCAGGAGGGAACTAGAGGAATTCGCCAACACATCTCGCGAGATATCTTACCACTCAAGAAATTATACTGAAACCCCTGCACCTTCTTCCACGTCTCCGCCTTGTCGGCGTACCGTTCTCTCCCCTGCTCGCTGGCCGTCTGCCACACGATCCGGGGAAACCTGGACGGAAACTCCTGCGAAGGCACGAACGTCGACTCCAGTGCCTGTGCAAGATGCTGGCTTTCGTCCACCTCGTCCAACTCGACCCGCGGCCGTGAGATTGGAATGCCGAGGTTGCTGTCGTCGTCGCCGTTGCCGTTGGCCTGAGCCGTTTTCGGTCGCGGCAGGTGTGACCACACGTTGACCCGGGTGGCATGGAGAGACCAGTACAGGATGCAGATGATGATGATGGTCGCGGCCCAGTAGCGCGTGAGGTGGGTGCCCGAGACCATTTTGACTGTGGTTGTGGTTGTGGTGTCGGACAGTTGCAGTTGGGAGTGTGATGTTGATGGTGTCGGACGGTTGAGAGATGTGATGTTGAAATGGTGAGATGACTGAGACTGTTTGCACAGGTAGGTAGGTGCTCACTTCAGTTCAGTCGATTCAGTGACTGGGACTGACGGCACGGCACTGGTCTTGGGGAGTGACAAGGTCCAATGATGGAATCGGCAGTGAGTAACAATGTCCAATGATGGAATCGGCAGCCAACCCCCAGACTCAGGTTGTCGCTGAGGAGTTGACGAGGCCGTAGAGGGTGGCACGGCTGTTAAGGATCCCGTCGACAGCCACGACACGGCCTCAATGGCGGCGCACTGTACTGCAGAAGACCAACGTTGGTGCAAGACAATCGTGATCGAATTCGAACCTCGAACCGTATGTGTTGAGCGTTGAGCGTCGAGCGTCGAGATGCAGTGGACAAACACCCTCAACCTTCCCACTTCCGACTGGACAGTCTCCAAGAGCGATGGCTTGTGTATCCAGAGTACCTATGTATGCAATGTGCACTCACTGTACGGATACAGCGTACACTGTACAGGAAAAAGAAATGCTTACTTTGGCTTGCTCGCTTGCCCCGCTGCCTGGCTGCCTTTCCACAAGTTCGGACTTCAGGGGTCAGTGGTGCTAGTATTCAGTGTCCAGTGTCCAGTGTCTGCGATAGTACAGTATCCGTCCTGTGGACTCTGTAGGGCTGCCATTCTGTAGGGGGTTTAGACTGTCAAATAAGTTCATACAGGAATGGGAAGTCGAGCCCGTCAACGCCAACGCCTCCCAGTGGGCCTTCGCCATCGCCATCTCCATCTCAACCTAGTGATAGGCGTCCTAGCTGTGGACACGGTCCGGGCGTTGGGACGAACGTTTGTTCTACATTACAGTAGCTTGCACATGCCACATGCAGGTACAGACAGGTACGGTAGAAATGGTATATTCAGAACACGTAGAGGACACTTACTAGCTACTTATCGATACTTTTATCGTCTGTACCTAATCACTGTGTACAATGTTCATATAGATAGATAGGTCCTCTACCACGTGTACTGTATCACGCCACGTCCGCGGTCTCGCAGTGTAGTAATGATGATGATATCAATCAATGGACGGCAATAAGATTATCATGATGAATGGACATGACATGTCGGGAGCGCCGCCCCTAGACTTGGGGGGCCTGGTACGGAGTACATACATAAACAGAAAGGAAAGGGAAAAGGGACGGAACGCTAAGATCGGCCAGGCTCGCATTCGCATCCGTTTTGAACCTCAAACCCGAAAGCCGACCCCCGAAACGTGGCAGTCTCCAGACATCCATCACTGAAGCCTTATGTACATACCTTAATGTACAGTAGTACAGGACTCCATCTCCGGACTACAGTGTGTTGTGTACAAAGTATGTGGTTGACAGTGACAGCCGGGCTGGACACTGTACGGAGTATCCGTATTTGCGCCACCCAGTCCCGACAACTCAGAGTGGTTTTTGAGCCACGAGAATGCCCATGAGACAGATCTCTGTGCTATAGTAAACCGAACCGTGGTTAGGGGTAGGTATCTAGGTAGTTAGGGTTGGTGCACACCTGTCAGACGCCAGCTGCCAGATGACTGGCTGAGCTGTCACACTGACAGTTCTGGTTAGGACTATTATTAGTGTTAGGGGTTGTACGGACAGGCCGAGCGAATAAAGGGGTTTGGGATCGAGGCTTTTTAGGTGTGGGTGGAGGTGTTACAGTAGCTTAGGCCGTGGAAAAAGGGGTAAGTTTTCTTACAGCCCGTACAATCTAGATCCGTCAGGTTTTCCAGCCGATCGCGGAGGAGGAGGGGCCGGCTTGATTACCATCACTGTATGCACGCTACACATATTAATAATTACTCTGAGAATCGGTCAGTACTCAGCTCAGAGGCTTTTTAGGGTAATTGAATTGGGATAAGGCTTATTTTACTGAACGGCGTTGTACGGATACAGTATCCTGCATACAGTGGCGTCGTTCACTGTACTCTGTACGGATAGTATGTAGTACCTCCCCATCATATCATGCTTCATTCTTCAGCCGCTCGAGGCGGCAGAGCACCGAGAACGAACCAACAGTCGTGGCTGTCACTGTCAAAACTGCCAATATCAATGTCAAGTTCCAGCCTGGCTCTGGATCCTGGCTCGGCTCCTGGGATGTACTGTACGAGTAGCATGGACAGTGTACGGAGCATGTACTTAACTGTAACTGTATCGTTGACAGCCTTGTTTGACAGCGCCGAGGGCTCAGGGTTAGGCTCAGGGTCAGGGTCAGGCTCTCACACGCCGCAGACAGTATCCGTACACCAACTCCCTATCCTAGAATTACAGATGTTGAAGGTTGAAGGTTGAAGGTTGAAGGTTCAGCGTCCAACGTCCAGCGTTCAGCTCAGTGTTCAGTTCAGCGTCCAGCGTCCAGCGTTCAGCTGTACGAAGCATGTAGAAAAGGAGGCGTCGAGGAGTCCCGAGGCTGGCTGACTCCTGAGGCTGTCAGTTTATTAGTTTGCTTTCGAAGCAGTAGTACTAGTATCCACCAGCCAGCCATACTACTACTTAGCACTATGTCCGTCCCGCCTCCCCTTCTTAATCAAACAAAATGCTCAGTTCACTGCTTACAGTACGTTGTAAAGTACAAGTCTATGGGCATGCAGTCCCTCCTGCCTGCCATCTGGCCAGAACGTCCGTCTCCTTTCGGCGGTGGCGGTGATCCACAGGGCTCCCATCCCCCCCCTCTCTCTTCCTAAGCGTTCAGGCGCCGGACTCCACTTTCAAGTTTCCAGTTTTCAGTTTCCTATACTCCGTCCTCTGTACGCCTAGGCTACCGCTACTTCTGTAAGCTCCAGCAGGAGGACAAGTGAGAAAAATTGGGACAGATTACAGTACGTAGTTTCAGAGTGTAACCCACACAATCCTAGTAATAGCAATTAGTACCTAGGTGCCCAATGTACGGATACTGTGTCTGTATCTGTCTATGTCTCTCTCTGTACGTGTGTGTACGTGTACGTGTACTCCGTACATGAACGCGTTTTGTCTATAGTTTCCACTCTCGCCTCCCATTCGACTAATACCACTACCACTACTACCCTTGTCCCTTGTATACTTATTCACTCCATACTATTTCATCTACGATCTAAGATCTGCTATCTGCTATCTACGATCCAGTTAATTAGTTACTTATCTATAACCTTGTGCGCCGGGGTCTGCACTGCACGCTTGATCTTGATGACGATATTCTCACATTATTAGATCTCCCCCCTGACCCTTGTCCCCTGCCCTGCCCTACCCCCGTGAAGACAAGACACACCGCAGACAAGACACACCGCACTCTTCCCATGACGAGCCTCTCACTACCGGACCGCCAGATGATGTCTTTATGACGAGACCGGACGAGGACGAGGGCCAGGACCAGGATCAGCATATACCCAGAGACGCGGTGCGCGTCTGAGAGGGAAACGAGCGGGCCAAGCCAAAGAAAGGGAAACGGGCCAAAAGAGAAAGAGAGAGAGAGAGAGAGAGGGACACGGACCAAAATAAACGGAGGGAGACTGGCTAAAAGAGAAAGAGAGGGAAAAAAAGACGGCGGTCAACAGTGTATACTGAAAACTGAAAGAAAGTGAATGGGCCAATTCGAGGCCCTCCCCTCTCGCAAAATGATCACCCTCGGCAGTCTTGTGGGCAAGACCAACATCAAAATCATCAGCATCGTCACCACGCTGGTATTCATGAGCACGGTGATGATGGACCTCGTGGGCCGGATGGGACAGCCACCACCACCACCCCCAAACATGCTGGATGGCCAGAGCCACAGCCACAGCCGGTCGAGTCGCGGGCGCTCCGGCATTGGGAAACTGTCCATGCTGTACGGCGAACCGAACTCGCTGTACGAACGGGCATTGGCGGCGCATCTGCCGCACAACAAGCAGTTTGGGTACAGCATGTACGTGCTGAGAGAGAAGACGCTGCCGGGATACTGGTCGAAGCCGGCCTATATTCTGGACCAATTGCTGGCGGAGCTGGCGTTGCCTGAAGAGGAGCGTTTGCAGTGGCTGGTGTGAGTACTCGTCCTGATCCAATGCCTATTTTTACATTTACAGTATTCCCCCTCCTGTCTTGTCTATTTCTACAGTTACAGCATTTCCCCTCCAATATCTATTTCTACATTTGCAGTATTCCCCCTCCTGTCTTGTCGCAGAAGGGCGTTCCCTCGACAAAAAACAAACTCTTGTTGCTGGTGGCGTGGCTGACCTGGGCTTGACTTTTGCTCCCGTGCAGATGGTTCGACGGCGACACCGTCCTGATGAACCCCAAAATTCCGCTCGAGATCTTCCTTCCGCCGGACGAGGCGTGGAGTCACGTCCATGCGCTGGTGACCAACGACCACCGAGGCCTCAACAACGGCGTCTTTTTCCTGCGGGTTCACGAATGGTCGGTCTGGCTGATGACGGCCTGTTTGGGCACCGAGATCTTTGACCCGGACATTGACTTGGAGTTTGGCGATCAGTCGGCCATGGGCATGTGGTTGAAGAAGGTAGGACTCTCACTCTCATCCCAGAACGATGGTTTGGTTGATTTGATGCTGATGCGCTCTCCGATAACCAGGACCGGTTCCGCAACAACACCATGCATGTGCCCCAGCGTTGGTTCAACGCGTACGCCGGGTATCGCGGTGAGACCGACGGCCTCTTCGCCGACCCCATGGCGCCGCAGACCAAGTTCCGGCACAACTCGATCAAGGAAGGGGACTTGCTCGTGCATCACGCCGGGCACAAGTCTCTGCGCGCGCAACGGATGGCGCCGTGGATGGACGTGGCCGAACAACACCTGCCCACATGGGAGCTGGACCTCAACCAGACCACGTACGAACAGGAGATCCGCGACTTTTGGGCCAAGGAGGCGCCACAGGAGAAGAAACGCATGGACGAGCTCATCAAGAAGGAAGACCAGAAGGCGCAAGAAAAGGCCAAACAAAAGGAAGCCGCGGCACAGAAAAAGCAGAAGGAGAAGGAGGACGAGGCTAAGAAGGAAGATGAGGCCAAGAAGAAGCAGGCTGAAGCCAAAAAGGCCGACGACGCGAAACGGAAAGAGTTGGATATCGACCTCGCCCTCGAACTCGAAGACGAGGCCGATGCGCAGACGGTGGACGATGAAAGCTAGAGAGAGAGGGAGAGGGAGTGGGAATTGAAGTTGAGGTCGACGTCGACGGGGCTACACTGACGCATATGCTGCTCGATGTCGACGGTGCTACTACGACCACTACTACTAATGAGTGACGACGACCCTAACCACAAGCCTGATGTTCTTCGGCTTACACATAGATCTGGAGTAGATATCTGTTTCGACCTCAGGGACTGTCCCCAGGCAAGGTTGAAGGCCGCCAGGCAAGACAGTGACCCTATTGTACACTACAGTATACGGATACTCTGTACTCTGTATTCTGGCATAGTATTTGTTTGTCCCAGGCACGAGTGACATGAGCACAACTTAGGCAGCAAATATCAAACATCAATACGATCTGCCCACCCACGGGGGAAGCGTCCCAAGCTCGCGTAGGGAGCAGATTTCTCAGTCCAAGAACAGCCAACAAAAGAACGGCCAACAAAAGAGCAGCCTGTGGCTCCTTGGCCTGTGGCCTGTGGCCTTTTGCAGTTCCACGTCGACACGAGGTACCAGGGACAAGATGTTCTGACAGCTTGACGTGGCCTGGACTTTCGAGGTCGCAGGGCCATGCACCACACCATGCTGTGAGTGACCACTGTCCACTGACTACTGACTACTGACCGCCGACTGTCATCAGTGTCTGGCAGGCGACGGCACGTCACGGCAGATCAAGAGAATGCTAAACGGCAAAGGTGAAGAAAGGCAAAGAATTTTGTCTGTCTGCAACCCGACCCTTGGCCCTGGCCCTGGCCCCTTTTGTGCCTGCTCTCCACTTTCGCTTTCGCTTTCGCTACACATGCAGGACTTGACTTGGCTGGATTAAGATTGGCCACCCCAGCAAGGGATAGTATACTGGAGGACAGGGGCCAAGGGCGTACTACTGGCCCTGACCCCTGGAATTCAGGAATATCCCGCATTCAGGATTTCCGGTGAAGAAAGCACCAATTAATAATGAGCCCCTCAATGGACGAGAGAAACGTCGATGTCGTGATGGCGATGTCGCTCACGTTCCCCAGGCCGAGAGCGAGAGCTGTGTTTAGCGAGATTGGTTGACTATGCTTTAACTACAAACGTACTTCTGGAGTTTGGAGTCTAGAGTCAAGTCTGTACCCCTGTTGTCTTGGCTGAGGCTTCCCTAAGCCTCCCTAGCCCTTATTAGTCCTAATAAGGTCTGGGAGGGTGTTGAGGGTGTGGTCCTTAGGCTTAGGCTTAGGCTTGGGTTAGGATGGCTGCCTCATGGCTGGCTGATCCATGGCTTGGCTGATCTCGTTTCGGGCTCGCCTCCGCACTGCAGGCTTGCAGACTTACGCCTTCACCCACGATACAGATTACGGAGTACAGATCGCAGATTGCAGGCCGAGGGGAGCAGGGATCCAAGGGTTGGGCTGGATTGGAATGGATTGGAACGGGCCAGGGATTGTTGCACAGTAGTACCGATTAGCAGGCTCCAATTGCCTTTACTGGCTGGCTTACAGCGTCCAGTAGGCTCAGGGCTCCTAATAAGGCCTAAGGCCCAAGGCTCTCGCTAGAATTAGGTAGGGAGTCAGTGTGATCGCGGGTACCTGCATCCGGTCTCAGGCTTAGACGGCCCCTAACTTCTAAGCATTTGGCCAAGCCCAAGCCCGAGCCCGAGCCTACACTCCTCCCTCAGTCCTGGGTGCCAATATTGTTATTGAATAGGGGCCCCAGGCCCCAGACAATTAAATCGAATCCACTGACGACTGACTGAATGACTGGCACCCACGCGACTCACGCGACTCACGCGACTCTATCCGCACTCCGTCCTTACTCCATTCATCCATCCATCAATCTATCAATCAATCAATCTATCCAATTCCATCAAGCCACCAGCATCAATCGTCCACCGTCCACCGTTCATCGTCAGACCAGACCGAGGCCCTGGGATCGCTTTGGTTTTGGTTGACTTGTTCTGTCCCTCCCCAGACAGAACACTGCACATTACTACGACATACTACTGAGTATCTCCCGGTTCTCGCCTCTCGCCTCTCACCTCTCACCTCTCACCTCAACGGAAACAACGTCCAGACTCAAAGTGACGTGTCCGCCACTGATTGACTGACTGGGCTGGGCAAGAAGCTAAGGCCGGAATAGCTCGTGTTATTAATACACACTGGTCACACGGTATTAGGCATTTACGTCTCATTTGCATCTGGCAACTCAACACTAACATAACAGCAGAAGCCTAGGCGGCCGGAGCCTCCAATCACAATCACGACCCCAGGCCTACGCCTACTCATAAGGGCTCCTAAGCCCTAAGTCCTAAAGTCCTAAGCGATAGGCCCTCCCTCAGAATCAGGGGATTCAGGTTTTACAGCCCCGTCCAAGAGAAGAGAAAAGACACAAGGACACAAAAGCCACCACTACGGCAAAACCATTGCGTGCTACCGGCTCACACTTCACGCTGACACTCAGCTTCACCCTCACCCTCACCCTTAGCACCCTTGCCACCCTTGCCGCCTCACGAGCCCTCACCATCCTCACCACTGCTTGGCAGTCAGGCACTGACATACACCCCTTGCGTTTCCGCAGACCCCGTGCACCACGTCTCTCCCTTCCGGGGGCAGCGGGCGGGAACCTTAAGTACTGGACTCCAGACGACTAGTTGACTGACTTGCCTGCCTACCTGACTGACTTTGGGCCGGTGTGGTGTTCTGATCTGATCTGGTCCTTTTTGCATCTTGCTCTCGGTTCCAAGTCGAGCTCTTTGCTGCCGTGGATGTGACACTCTCCTGCCGTTGCGTTGTCGTTGTCGTTCCACCAGCCTGCCACTTGGGTGCCTCTTCGCCGGCTGACCACCAGGCAGAGCTGAGAACTAAGAACCAGGAACCAGGAACCGGGCCTGAAACTAGACGAGGCCGACCAGGCAAACAAGCAAGCAGATCAAGCCATGGAGCAACAACATCATGACGATCGATACGTCGACGTGGACGACGACAGCAGCGAACATGCGCCATTGAACCCGAGCGGAAACGGCAATCCTTCGTCGGCCATCGGTGCCACGACGACGACATCCCCATCCACATCGACATCGACGTCGTCACCACCATCACTACCGCTCCCACTACCGCCGGCGTCATCATCATCGACATCGTTCAAGACGCCGATCTGGTACGAGTTCTCGACGGTGCGACGGACGTACGGGCAATTTGAGGTGCTGGGCAGCGTCAAGCGGTTCTTCTACGCGCTGATCCCCAGCTGGATCACGACGCACGCGGCGACGACGCCGTCCAAGTCGGGCATCTCGGCGCTGGACGGGCTGCGCGGGCTGGCGTGCCTGTTCGTGTTCAACGAGCACTACGTGATCTGCTACCAGTCGCGCGACACGCAGGTGTGGCTGATGCGGGTGCCGTTCATCCGGCTGCTGTGGTACGGCAAGGCGGCCGTGTTTCTGTTCTTTGTGATTTCCGGCTACGTGCTGAGCGTCAAGCCGCTGCGGCTGATGCGGGCCAAGGCGTACCTGGACTTCCACAAGACCATCTCGTCGAGTTTCCTGCGCCGCGGCATCCGCCTGTACCTGCCGTGCATGATTGTCAGCTTGGTGGCGTGCGTGCTGACCAGCATGGGCTTCTTCGACCGCTCGACCGACGTCTACCTGCAGTACCGCAGCTTCGTCTTCCTCAAGGAGCAGCCGCCGAAGCACCTGGACGGCTTCGGCGCCCAGTTCGCCGGCTACCTGACCAACGTCGGCTTCCTGTTCAGCGGCACCATCCCCTGGGACATGGACACCGACGTGCTGCACTACTTCATGTACGACGACCACCAGTGGACCATCCCCAAGGAGTTCCGCAGCAGCATCGCCGTCTTTGCCCTGCTGGTCACCACGTCGCGCATGCGCAGCGGGTTGCGCATGCTGACCATCGCCGCCCTAGCCGTCTATGCCATCGCCACAGCCCGCCTGTACGTCTCGCTGTTCATGGCCGGCATGATATGTGCCGAGCTCGACCTGGTCCGCCAAGCCTACTACGCGCGCTGCAAGGAACAGGATGCGAGTCTGCCGGAATTTCTGCACCGCAGCGTCAGCGCCGGCAGCAGCAGCAACAGCGGCGGTGGTGATGTCGAAAAGGCCTTGCCGTCCTCCTCCTCGCGCTCCCGCTACACCGGCCTCGAGACACTGATGCACCTCCCCGACCTGGTCTACAAGACCATGTGGATCGGCATGTTCACGCTGGGGGTGTTTATGATCTCGTCGCCGCAAGAGATCCAACGCACGCTCAACTACCTGCCGTCGCTGCTGCTTCGCTGGGGGGTGCCCCCGTACAAGATCGACAACACGCTGTTGGTGATCGGGTCGGTGCTGGTGGTGTGGAGCACGGCGACCTGTCCGTCGCTGGGCCCGCTGTTCAACAACCCGTTCATCACGTACCTGGGCAAGATCTCGTACGCGCTGTATCTGATGCACGGCACCGTCATCAAGTCGCTCGGCTACAACGTCCTGCCCTGGACCCTGTACATGGCCACCTGGACCCCGTGGGAGGTCGACCTGGATTTGGAGTGGTGGCAGACCGTGCCGGCCTCGCAGAAGGTCACCGCCTACGCCTTGGGCCTGTGCTTCGTCGCCACCACCTGCTTCTGGCTGTCCGACCTGTTCTGGCGCTTCGTCGACATCCCCTCGGTCGCGTTCGCCCGCCGCGTCGAGAACTGGATGACCCGCGGCGCCGACGACCCGCCCACCAACCCGGATCGCCCTCACCCGGCCTCGGCCGTCAACCCTTCCAACGACTCGTATCAACATTACCGCCGCACGCGCGCCGCCAGTTCCGGCCCGCCCGGCCACCTGCGAGCCCTGAGTCAGCAGGAAGTGGGAGGTTCGAAGAGGAAGAATGGTTGAGGAGGTTAGAGAGGTTTCAAGAGGAAGAATGGTTAGAGGAGATTCCAAAAGGAAGAATGGTTGGAAGGCCGACAAGAGATGCCCGAGGAACCGAACAGCGCTCGCGAGGTGCATGGATGCATCATCGATCGTCCCTCTAGCAAGGTGGCGCAACAAAATCACGGCCTTGATGCCCTACCCTGGCACTACCACTACCACTACTAGTACTGGTACTTGGCTGGGTTGGATCTTACTTGGCCGGGTCCGGGTCTGAGTCGGAGTCTCTACATGGGTTTCTTCAGTGTTGATTTATTGTCATGTCATGTCAGGTTAGGTTAGGTTCTGCATAGCATCATCTATCGTATTGCATTGCATTATATTGATTATGTCACTTGATATCATATTTTCCAACTCGCTGTCTCGTGTCGTGTCGTGTCGTCTCGTCTCGTCTAGGTCATTCTCTGCTCTTCTCGTTATACAAACTAGTCTCGTCTCGTTATACAAACTAGTCTTATACTATCTACCTTAGGCTAACTATTACAATTAAGCGGAGCGCGAGAATAGACTACCGGAAGAAGAGGCGAGAAGAGGCTAATTATTCTCTGCTCTCCTCGTTATACATACTAAAAACTAGTCTCGTATCGTCTGGGCCATTCTCTGCTCCCGTCATACATTCTATATAGTTATACCAGCCGGCTCAGGCCCAAATCCAAGACTAAGTCCAAGGTTCCCGGTTCCGGAAATAAACAAGCTATAGCAGCCCGACCTACACCAGACCAACCAGACCAGACCAACAGATACAGCGACAGATACAGCAACAGGACCTAAAAATATCAAGTATCCGTGTATCTATGTACATAATTTAATATATCTACCATGTCTATGTATATATATTTCGGCAAAAATATCGTAATCAAGTCATCACTCCGTGGATGCATCGATGGCATCTACCGTCGGTGTGGGCCGCCCGGCCAGCCGGTTTTGTTCACATCCCTATCACATCCCTAGGGATCTGGAGGAAACCTGGATACCTAAATACCAGGCTCCCCAGATCACCGTATCTTAGATCATCAGATCCCAAATCCCAGATCACTGTATCCCTAGATCACCAGATCACTAGATCCCCATTCATGAGTCACGAGTACACTCGCACGCTGTTTCGTGGCTGGTCGAGGCCGATAGATATATGATCAGTCCAGCAAGCCGTCAAAGGCTCGCGACGAAAGAAAAGCCAAAACAAACCAAGGCATGCGTACACATACACGCACGATGCTTCCTTGTTCATGTTTCGTTTCAGGGCAAGGTCGTCCGTCTGACGAGTTCGAGTTCAGTTACACGCCTGCCTCGGGCACCACTTTGTCTTCGAGTTTCTTCTTCTGCTCGTCCGAGGCTTTTGGGTCGGCGGCCTGTTTCGGGTCCTGGGCGGTCGTGTCCTTGTCTTTGTTCTCCAAAGCAAGTGCCTTCTTCTTTTCCTCCAGAGCCTTTTGCTCTTGGAGCTTTTTGGCTTCCGCCTGTTTCGTCTCCTCTTCGGCCTTCTTCTTGGCCTCCTCTTCCGTCTTTTTCTTTTCCTCCTCAGCCTTTTTCTTCCTGGCCTCCTCCTCGGCCTTTTTCTTTTCTTCCGCCTTCGCTTTTTCCTGGGCTTGCTTGGTCGCATCCACATGGCTATTGACGTACCGAATGGCAGATTCTTCCAGGCAGGCTCGGACATCCCATCCCACGGCATTCGCGCGCTCGTAACGATCAAAGGGGCTGAGAAGGTCCGCATGTTCGTCTTCGACATCGTTGACTGGAGGGAACCCATCGATGTGTTGGACTTTGTCCTGGCTGAAATATCGCGCAAGGGATGGCAGGCCGCGTAGGAGATCCCAAATGCCGGCCACCCGCAGCACCTGAACCGTGGCGTCGTCCACCGACAGACTCAGCGTCATGACGTCCATTTGCTGACCGTTGGAATCTCGGCCTTCCAGGTCCCACCGAGCAATGCTGTTGGTGATCATGATTCGGCCCTTGCCACAAGGGTCTGCCAGGGCATTGGCATCCATCACCATGCCCTCGCTAAAGTCCAAGGCTTCGGATGCGTAGGTCAGATAGAAGTGCGTGGTGTTGGTGACCAGCACGGCCAGTTCGGGCCGGTAGACCGCCTGCCGACAGCCACCGGCCCTTTCCACGTGGGTCCGCGGGAAGGACACAAAGGCTTGCACGTTCGGCGAGCCAAACCGGGATTTGGATTTCGTCTTCTTGGTGGACAGCGGAACCGGAACCAGCTGCGTCCCACCCCGGAGGCTGCCGTCGTGGTCGTCATGCTGGCTGGACAGAGCGGGCAAGACGGCCTGTTCAAACACCACATCGCACATGCCGGTCGAGAGTTGACATTTGAGAACGGTCAAAGGCTCAAACCGCCAGATGAAATGGATGTGCGTGCTGGGCTGGCGTTCCGACGTCGAGTTGGACGCCCCTTCCAGCTCTCGCACGAAGAAAGGGGCCCAGTTCTTTTCCTTCTTGGGACGTTCCGTCCCTCGCACGGTCAGAATGTGCGATTGTTCGGAGAAGGGTCGGAAAATCCACATGGCTCGCTTCCAGTCGGAGTGAGTGGTGATCATGTTGAACACCACCACCGGCTCGGCATCGTCGACGCCCTCTTCGATGATGATGCGCGCATCTTCAGGCCCGTACAGTTGCCCGCCGAGTTTGAACTCCGTGTCGGTGTCGAACACCTTGGGAAACACAATCTCTTGGCCTTTCCATTTCAGCTTGTACCGATCGAGATGCACCCAGTCTTCGCTGTAGATCTGGCCTCGCAAGAAACTGATGCGACACCGGTCTCGGCGGCCGCCCGGGTGGAAGATGATGCGTGACACGCACAGATGGACGCCATGGTCAGGCATCCATACGCAGGCGGTGGCCAGCCGATCCCACGAAGAAGCCAGCAACTGCTGGAGGGAGAAGGCCCCGTCGGCGAATTTGGCCAGGCTGGGCACATAATCGACCATGGGGTGAGAATCCAGCTCACCCGCGATCTCGACGAAGTTGTCGTGGAGGAAAAAGGATTCTTGCACCCCAATTTCCGCCGAATGTCCCAACGACTCACACGACAGGTTCCGACCGAGATATTCTCCCCCGGGGATCCCGTTATTGTCGTAGCCGTCCACCCATATCGGCCGGAACAGGCCCCGTCCTTCGTAGTTTTGACCGGCGTCAGGCCCAGATACAGGTGCCGGCGATAGCTCGACTTCGGAGGATATTAATAACTGTCCGTATCCATGGTCAGCACTCGGTACGGTACGGTACTCGACGGCAGCAACTCACTTCGCTTTCACGCAAGTAGTGTGCATGATGAAACAGCAGAGACAAAACGGAAAGGGTAGCGCATGTAATTAATACCCGTTTGGAGAAAAACGGGCGCATGTTCAAGCTGAGCAATTGCCTCATGGACAGAGGACCCTTTTCCAAGGGTTGCGCGAAGGGCATGTTGGAAATCTCATCTTTTGCTGGACTCATGACCAAACAGCCGGGAATGAGAAGACTTGAAGGAGGGGAGGCAACGAAGACTTGAATCAAAAGAAGGACTCGCCCGACGGGCGTTCATGTGAAGTACCTACCAAGTACTTTACCAGGATAAGCAGGACGGGGATGGGACGGTAACGCACTTGCAGCTGCCAGCCGGGCTGGAAGGGAGCCCAGTGCGCGTGTCAAAGCATTGACCGACCTGTGACATGAGCAAGGCCGCGACGGAGACGTCGCGACGTCGAAGGAGAAGCTTACTCTGTAGTCTGTACCACTACAACATGACCGTGTTCAAGTTCGCCTGTCCATTTCGAACAACCGGTACATACCGCCAGATAGAGGAGCCGTAGAGCCATCTCGCTGGGTATGGTGCGTCCTCCGATAGGCGGTGCCCCTGATCGGCAATCCAACGAGATTGCACGACCCAGAACCTCATCTCATCAGAAAACGGACCTGGCCGATTAGATGGGAGCCACCATATGTCCGGGAGAGTTGTTGTAAGTAGTGACCAAAATCACGCCTCCCAGAGACCATGCAAGCCCCTGGACCCGACCAGAGGCCACTGTCTGCGCGTGGGGAGATCGAGTGCTAGGACTGGCTTGTCAAGGAATGGACTGTGTAGTTGGAGGGACTACGACAGAAGTGACTGGTTTGGCCATAAGACCTGACAGCTGTCAAGCACTGTCCCCCTTCGCGACGCGTTCGCTGGCAGGAACGGAGATCGTAAGAGTACGAGTACGGGTACCATGTGGCGACAGCTGCGTCATGTACCAAGAGTACTGCACTCAGTCACCAGTCGAGAAAATCTCCAACGCGGGTACCAGAGGGTACCGTAAGTCATGGAGCGACAGGATGTTGCTGACGGTCTGACGTTGTCTCCTATCTTGCCTTGCGCCCACCACTCGCATTGGCATGTGACAAGGTGAGAAGCGGCGGCGATGGCGACACTGTGAATAATGATGGTTCATTATTGACGCAGAGGGGATGTGTGTGGCGGGAAGATGGTGGCAGTGGTGGTGGGTTGGACGATCGAGGAGCCGGTGGGGAGGAGCAGGAGCAGGAGGGACAGAAAGGGGCTGGGTGGGTTTCAGCCTGCTGGGAGTGAGCCTTGGGGCCAGAGATAGATACCGCCGTGGTCTTAGGGGAATCCCTAAGCCCTAGGCCCAGGCTTAGGGTTGAACCCTAACGCCCAAAGGCCCCTAGCCTCGAGCCCCTGGGACCATAAGCCTCGGTAGGCTCGAGACTGACAGATCCGTACTGTACCTGGACTTCGTATCCGTCCGTACATATGCAGTTAAGAGCGCCGCTCGTCCTTAGCTCCTCATCTTACAGGCTCGCAAGGCCTGAGGAGCTTGCAGCGGCCTTGAGGCTGGAAAGCTTGTGTTGCTTGCCACTTTACTGTACCTGTGAGGTGCCTGTCACATGTCTCGGAGTAATATCGCGATACTTCTGTCACCTCCTATACGAACGAGTCCAAAATGCCATCTAGTTGCAGTCGTACGTGGCCATGCCCGCAAGGAGAATGTCATGTTTGACGCGTGGCTGGCGGCTTTCCCATTGTGCAAATCTCATACCCTCGCACTCTGCGTCCAAGCTCAATCCTGGCGTTGCGGCCCTTGGATCTTTTGTCGCTGCCAGGCAAGTCAGCTTATGGCACGGGCGCGTTCGCCCACCAGAATGGTTCCTGCCACACGAGATGCTGGTTGAACCAGTTCATCTGCCCGTTACTTGCCGCCCCGGCCACTGGGAGATCTGATGGGGAAGGTCAAGCTTTCCAAGCTTCACAAGTGAAAGGCTTGTCGGACTTTGGGCCGTCTGCGTGCATATGGGTGGCGGGAGCCATGTGACACCAGAGGATCAACTTCTGCCGTGTTGACCATGGCTGGGTCGGCCTCGTCCAGGCTCTTGAGCCCAGTGAGTTGCATGGCTGTCACCACTTCCTCTTTGAGGACTGTGCACGAGAAGACAAGTCAGACAGTCAGAAACAAGAGTGCTCGAAACATCACTCACTGTCCACAAGGTGTACCACGCCCTCTTTGCCATAGTTGAGTGCATACAGGAACGGCCGTCCAAGACCAACGCCGCTTGCACCCAAGCAGATGGCCTTCAGGATGTCCGAGCCTCTCCGGATGCCACCGTCCATGAAAATCTCCATATGGTCGAATACTTCCGGGCACTCCTTGTGCAATTCTAGAAGAACGAGAATCGCCGCTGGAGCCCCATCAAGCGCCCGGCCTCCATGGTTGCTGACCATCAGTCCTTGACAACCCATGTGCATGGCAATCCTGGCGTCTGCGGCTGACTGTATCCCTTTCAAAACAATTGGGAGATCGGTCTGTCGCCGCAGCCAGGCGAGGTCATCCCAACAAAAGCTGGGGTCGATCGAAGACCCCACACGTCGAGCGAGACCAGATCCTTTGCTGTCGCTGGATGTAGAACCACTGAGACCGCTGGCTTGGAAGTGTTCGAGCTTGACGCGTTCATCGGCCTCGCGTTTGGAGACGACCGGAAGATCGACCGTGACAAACAGCGCTCGGACTTGCTGTTTGCTATTCACAAGCCGTAGCAGTTCCTCCGTTTTGCTCCTGTCTTTATTGATATACAGTTGGAAGAAGAAAGGATGGTCCTCCGGCGCTGCTTTGAGAATCTCACTCAAGGGGAAAGACGCGTTGGTAGATATCTGCGACAGTCAGCTAGCTCAAAAATGATTCACCCCTTACCACGACCGACGTACGATTTGTATGATGCCGGTCTCTGCTGCTCCACGGCTCAGGGCAATCTCGCCTTCCGGCCCTCCAGTCTTACTCAGCCCGGCGGGGGAGATGAAGACCGGAAGGGGCACATTACATCCAAGCATGCTGCCCCTGGTAGATACCGTGGCCACATTTCTCAGGATCCGAGGTCGGAACCAAATCTTTTCAAGCAGGGCCTTGTTGGCGTCGCGGGTGATGTTGTCGTTGGATGCTCCTGAGATGAAGGCCCAGCTTTTCCTTGAGATGGACTGCCGGGCGGCGTCTTCGAAGTCATTCAAGTTGATCAGCGCGTCCAAGGGTGGCTTTTGCTCCCGGCTCTGAGGCACTTGCACCGTCTTGTTAGCAGAACCAGCACCGAGCTCGGTAGACGGGTCGAGATAGCCTCGATGCTCCTGTGGCAACAGTGTAGCCGTGATCAGATTTGGCTCATGAACCTCTCTGTATGCCTGGGAGGCATCTCGGCCAGCGTAAGCGTATATGACTGCATTCGTCACTAAGTATGCGATCATCACCAGTTCTTCAACCTTTCTCACTCTGTGATCCTCCTGGATGCGTCGGTGCGAACCTGGTCATATCGTAAACCTGGCCATCTACGACAATCCAGACGTCATCGACATGGTTGTGTCTCTGCACCTCGGATGCGGGAATCAATCGCCTGCTTGACTCGCCCATGTTCGTTTTTGAGCGCTTTCAACCGCATTCCTTAACCAACACAACGTACTTGAACGATCATGCCATGAGTGTTGAGTATCCGCACTCTGGAGAAGGGATCAGGTCCAACACGGTTTCCCCGCATTCTCTTCCTCGGCTCCAGGATGTGCCTCGATGTGCTAGACTGGCGTCAAGCGGTAGGCTTGCCTCCGGCGTTCCACGATGAGAATGGCAATCCCAGCCACGCGGAGGTTAGATTAGACTCTCCAGGTGCTGTGATGGTACCGTATGAGTTCGCAAGCCCGATACAACCTGGATGATGTTGGTCGGAATCACCAACACCATCAGTGATCTTGCCCCGCGACACAAGGCATCGCACGTCTCCCGACCATTCTTACTCTCGGCCCGGCACCAGCCAACAGATCCCAGAAGATATGGCGATGAGCAGCAAAGGGCCTAGGTCTCCAAAGCAGTGTGTGGTGGTCGACGGTCGACGCTCAAGATGGAGTTTCTCACTAATAATGTGGCCCGGTTCCGGAGGTACCACTCGCAGCACGCACGCCGCCGCACGGTACGTACTTGATGCACTATGTGGTTCCAGTCGATTACCGCGACACAGAGAAATATTTTGCTGATGTTGAACTCCGCACAAGTCCGGGGACGATGCTCGTCTCCAACGCAACGAGTTCTTCATCGGTGATAGTCGCAGCATACGACAAATTATATTCCTGGTCAGTCTTCTCCGTCTCTTTTTCATCTCTGTACCCAACGACGAAGGATCCTCATAGCACGGGAAAATGGCACCGCGGCGGCTTGAAGGCAAAGTCGCCATTGTGACTGGAGGGGCCAGTGGTTTCGGGAAAGGCATCGCAAAGAAATTCGTCGATGAAGGTGCCAAAGTCATCATCGCAGACCTGTCTGCTGCTTCTGCCGAGGCTGCCGCAAAGGAGCTGGGTTGCCAATTCTCGGTGATCAATGTCACTCTGAGGGAGGACTGGCAAGCTTTGCTCAAGAGTGCTCAAGACCAATATGGAGGTCTTGACATTGTTGTCAACAATGCCGGAGCCACATATGTCAATAAGCCCACCCTTGAAGTCACCGACAAGGACTTTGACCTCGTGATGGATGTAAATGTCAGGTCCATATACCTGTCCACGAGCGTGTTTCTGCCATACTTTCTGGAACAGAAGAGACCGGGAGTGTTCATCCAAGTATCCTCGACTGCTGCCCTCCGTCCTCGCCCGGGGCTCACGTGGTACAATGCGTCCAAGGCAGCCGTGAGCAACGCCACCAAGACCCTGGCGGTGGAATATGGACCTCAGAAGATCCGATTCAATGCCGTCTGCCCAGTGGTGGGAAGCACAGGAATGTGAGTGTGCAGCTACATCGCGTGGACATCTTTGGACTCTTCTCACATGTCAAATGCAGGACGCATCTGTTTCTCGGCAAGCCAGACACCGAAGAAAATCGAGCTGGTTTTGTTTCAACCATTCCCATCGGTCGCGGAAGCACACCAGCCGATGTTGCAAACGCTTGCTGCTACCTTGCAAGTGATGAGGCTGAGTTTATCACTGGCGTCAACCTCGAGGTATGCCCGCCCTTTTCTTTTCCAATATTTGCCACATGCTTTGCTGATCAGGGTCATTCTAGGTTGATGGAGGCCGCTGCGTGTAAAGAGTCGCAGGACTTCAGAGGAATATCTGACAACTTGCACCGACACAGGGTATCGACAAGGACGTGTCTGCTGCCTTGCTGCCGATGAACATTACTAGCCTGGCAAACTAGGTACAGGAAAAACGAAGGAATTCAGAACAGACCCTTCCAATCGCTGTCACACCGTAGTCTCTTAGTGTCCCAAGCTCACAAAATCATTGAAGCGTGTGCTCTTGCAGGCCAAAACAGAAACACCCTTTCAGAGCGAAGAGTAAATGAATGGACCGCGATTTCGAAGATGGGAAGCCTGTTCAGAGTGTCTCTCGCAGCTTCAACCTTCTTTTTCCCCGGTTCTAGAGGTAGGCCGACCGTACGAACTCCGAGGAGGTAGGCAGGAGCATGAGGGTAGAACCGATAGGGATAAATCGATAAAGTCGACAAGGTTCGAGAGTACCAAGGCGCGTTGGACCCTGCCAAAGTCCGTCGTTGATCATGCTGCCACCAGGTATGGAAGACACAGATTCCGCATCAGACGGAATTGCTGCAGAATGGACTCGCTTGGAGTACTGCGGAAATGGCTGTCACTCAGGCTGAAGCATGAGCTTGGGCAGAAGCTGGTGATGGAGCAGGAGGCTTAGGAGGCCTTGGGGGCGCCTGGTTTGACTGGCTTAACTGTTCGTCACCGGCGCCCTTCCCCAGGTTCTCGTTCGGCCTCAATTATTCGGGGTAGCGTTGGGGCTTAGGGGCTTAGGAGGCCTAAGCTGGATAGTGTGGAACGTTGAGTGGTGGCGGCGCTTCCACAACTTTTTGAATTGTTGCGATCTCCCAACACCACCACTGGCACCTAGACTGGCATATGGAAGAGTGAGCCGGGACAATTGTCCCCAATGCGCTCTGTAGTTCCTCAAGGCCTGATGCCTAGCATATTCCACATCAGGCTCTGACATGGTACGGCCGCTCTCCTCACACGCTTCCACGAATGCCCTTCTGTTGAGCACTACGACTGACTCACCTCTCTCTAGGCCACTACGAAGAAATCGCGGACCCTCAGCTGCCCGGACTGCCACCTCACTGTGGCTCGTCCCAGCCATCTTGCTCGCCATATCCAGTCTCACCTTCCTCCCGCTCGACGTCAGCATTTCTCCTGCGGCGAATGTGGCCGCCAGTTCTCTCGCAATGATGTTCTGCTTCGGCACCTGCGGACGGCTCACCAAGCATACATATCTCGGAAGAGGTCAGCACAAAAGTCATGCTTTCGTTGCGTGAGCAAGAAGTTGAAATGTGACCGTGGCCAACCATGCGGTCCATGCGCAAAGTCATCTTCCGCCTGCAAATATCCCGCCGAGCAGCCTGGTGCTGAGACGGAAGCGCGGGAGGGAAAGGTCGAAACGTCTCCTCAGACAGGCCGATCGTTCCAAGAGCACATTCAATGTACAAACAAACCATTTGATACTACCTCTGGTGGCTTTCGACGTCCCTCGGCGCCCCAGCCAAGCCTCGTCAAAGGAGCGACTGGATTCATGCAGAATGCGACACAACGGTCGACAGATGTTCAGACATATCACAATGAGAGTGTGCATTTCTTGCAGCCTGGTGCAGAACCCAGCTCTGTCGACATGATGCCTTCAGGCCTGGATTCCTTCCCGACTACGAGCCCAACCACGACGATAAACGATTTCCATCAGTCGATGATGGGCTTTGACAGCGCATATTTGCAGGGGGATTTTAGTTTCATGTCAAACCCGCCTGCCAGAATAATTGGTATGGCTGAAGGCGGAGTCGACTGGCTGAATCTGGAGCTGGATTCTCCTAGCAGCGGTGATTTCGCTGCCCAAAGCGTGGGCCAGGAGTACCACACTGGTTATATGCAACCCTTTCATGCACAGCCCTCGGTGTCGATTGGACTGGAGAGCACCTTTCACAACCGGGACCATGACACTGGGGCGGCACGATATGACCAGCTCCGGCCTCAAGACACGAACCAGCCTGCTATTCACGTATCAGACTCGCAGCATTCGGCCCAACAGTGGCCTTTCGATCACACTCGCCATCCTGAACCGCAAAGGTATCAACTGCCACCATTGCGCCAGATTCTTCAGGGCACAATAATATCAGATGGGCAAGACTGTGGTAACACGGCCAAAAGCCTGGTCCAATTGTTGTCCGCGCCGGTCCTGCCAGAAATCGATCTAGTCCAGGATCTGAGCATCATGTCTGCTATGGACTTGTTGAAAAACTCGTTGGACCTGTACTTCTCCGAATTTCACAGCGTTCTGCCACTGGTACATATACCAACGTTCGACATGACCAAGGTGCCCACCGTGACGTTGGCAGCCATGTCGTGCATTGGGGCCATGTATTCCGATGATCGCCAAGGCACAGATCAGTCCTGGTCCCTGAGTGAGATGTGCCTGCAGATGATTGCCTGGCTGGTGAGTTTCGACCCCTGTGTGGAACGAGGGTGCCCTGCTAATAGTAAGGATAGGGAGGTGCCGATAGCACGAACTACTACGATCCCGCATATCTCATAGCATCCTGCCTCCATCAAATATACTCACTGGGCTCGGGAAACCGACGGCTCTACCAAAATGCCGATTGCTCGAGAGGTATCTTGATCGGGTGCCTCAGAGGAATGGGGCTGCTGAAGTCACGTATCAGCATGGAGATTGAGAAGGAGGACTTTAAACATGCAGCCTTCATCGAAAACCCGGAAAGCGAATGGCTGAGGTGGAAGGATCAAGAACAGGACAAGCGGATCGCGTGGTCATCCTTCGAATACGACTGCAGTCTCTGCACCTTGACGTCCAGGCGGGCAGCAGTTGACTTGCCCGAACTTCCCACTCACTTGCCCTGTGCAGAACCGCTCTGGGACGCACCAACTGCTCAGGCCTGGGCTGCACTTTATTCACGTCTATCTCCGACGGCCCGTGGGGCACCCACTGCGAAAATCATTCGCAATCTTCTGGCCGGCAAGGCCATCCCGGAAGATCTGCCGGCCTGGGGCAAGAGGCTCTGTGCCCAGAAGATTGGTCGGCTGCTCTGGGATTTGAAACAACTGGATATCATGTCCACTCCGGAATACTTGAAACTCCCGTCCATGTCTGCGGCCCAGAAACAAACCAAAAGTGTGCTCCTGCAAGGCCTGAACGCTCTATGCGAATCAATGTACACACTTACCTCCACCGCCGAATTGATACACTACAAGTAAGTCTTCCTCTCTAGAGTCGGCATTTCTGCTAACATGGGCCTGCAGCATCACTTCTCTGATCTGCCGTTATTCCCACTTGTACAGTGCGGACGAGGCCATGGATCTTGTCGTCCACATCGTCCGCGCCTCTGCGTCGCCGTCGAGACATCTTGATTTCAGCTTGATATCTGCCAAGCGACGACTGAGATCCATTTTGGTGAAAAACCCCAGCAAAGCTCGCAAGCTGGCCTGGCATGCCGCTCAGATCATCGCGGTGGCCAACGAGTACTTGGTCTCAGCACCCTGTGAAATTTTGCGGGTCTTCATGGGCTACATCTTTCTTCTGGCGTTTGCCAAATATGGACCTCAACCGTCTCCAGAATCTGCTTTCGGCTCATTTACTGTGCGACTAGACCTGTCGAATCGAATCGAGGGCCAAAGAACCGCGACTACCACCTGGATCGACGTTGGGGGGCCAGCAAGTATCGGTGGTGTCAAGAACATATACGACGAAGGAGGCTTGAAGGCCATCAGTCAAGAAGCTCAAATGATATTGCGAAAGATGCGATTCTGGGGACTGGCCAAGAAATTTATCCGGATCTTGGAGAGTTTCGACTACAACGAGGATTGAGGACTTGCGAGACAGGAAGCGGGTGTCAGAGAGAGCGACGAATGCTACTGGTCTCGGTAGCATTTGGCGATGGGTCAATGTCGAGACCACGTACTGTATGTGCAGTACCCCTCTTCGCTTCCCTTCCGTCGCATGCTGCCCTGATGGGATGTATGCATGCAGCAAATGGCGGGGACAGCCTCTCCAACCCAGACAACTCAACGAGAGCGATTTGCAGGACAAAGTACGACCTCGCCGACAGCAACAGCAGCAGTTGGACCATCTCTCTGGGGGCGCCGCATTGTTCTCCACCGAGGTAAGCTTCATACTCCCCACGTCAAACAGACTGTTGTGGCACGCCCGAAGCTTGGATGCCAACAGTGCGGGGGGAATCGTGGAGCGGCCGAGTTTGAAGCGAGGCAGATTTGGAGCTTGCATCACATGAAGAGGTTGGTACTCTAAGTCCCCGGCTGTGAATCAAGCACTTGATTCCCTCTGGGAGAGGTAATCAGTCATTCAGCAGCGTCCCGACTGTGGCCTCTTTTGAAGTCAGCTTTTGCTCCGTTTATTGGCCAGCGCATCGCATCAGTTATTGCCCCTCACCAAGTCCGATTCCTTCCTCCGCCAACAACCTTACCCCGGGCCATCTTCACGATTGCAGCATCATCCTGCTCACCATTTTGGCCGGGGTCAACTTCGAGATTTGGCTGTGTTGGTTGAGCCGACAACCATGACCTCCACACCACCGACAACAACCGACAAGAAGGATCAGACCCCGATTCACCCTCTGCACCTCACCGCCTTCGACTCCCTGCCTGACAAGCGACGAGTGTGGACCGGGACTCCAGGATCACGGGAGGAAGGACTGGGCCGGCTGGTGCTGTTGACGCCGGAAGTGGTCGCCTCTGCAGCAGCTTCCTGCATCCGCAGTGGCCGGCGCGTGACGGTTGGCTGGGAATTGACCAAGCTAGAGATTGCCAACTTTGGCCGGATGCCCTGCAGGCACCAGATCGTGCCCATCCTCAACGGCGCAGCCTTTGACGACATCTACACTTTCAACCCGCAGCAAAGCAGCCAATGGGACGGGTTGCGCCATTACTCACAGCCTTGCCCAACCGAAGAGGAGCCTGGTCGCCGGCTCTTCTACGGCGGGACCACCAAGGAAGAAATCACGCAACCGGGCGGTGACCGAATTGGGCTACAGCACTGGGCGAAGGAGGGTATCTGCGGTCGCGGCATCCTCCTCGACTACGTCTCGTACGCGGAGCGCCGGGGGGTCGAATATTCGACGTTCAGCGAGCATGCGATCCCGCTGAGCGTGCTGCTCGAGATGGCGGCCGAGGCGAACCTGACGTTTCGGCGAGGCGACATCCTCTTCGTCCGCATCGGCGTCACCAAAGAATGGGACACCAAGATGACCGCTGACGACAAGGATGCCTACGCAACCAGCCGGAATCCCCTGCACGCCGGCATCGAGGGCACCGAGGAGGTGCTCCGCTGGATCTGGGACAGTGGCTTCGCCGCCGTGGCCAGCGACGCCATCTCGTTCGAGGTCTACCCGCCGAAACAGTCGCATCCGCGACCCGACGGCCGGCATGTCCCCGGCCTGATGATGCACGAGTATCTCCTGGCCGGCTGGGGCATGCCGGTGGGCGAGCTGTTTGACCTGGAGGACTTGGCGGAGCTGTGCCGGCGCGAGAACCGGTGGGAATTCTTTGTTGCTAGCACTCCGTTCAACATGCCTGGCGGAGTCAGCAGTCCACCGAACTGCATTGCCATATTTTGATGGCAGCCTGGAGCTGGGGCTTGGGCTGGGCTGGGCCTTTCTTTGTATGTCGTATGTCGGATAGATGGCAGGAACTATAGCTCTATAGGTCTGTATCTATCTTGTGCCTCTCTATCTATCTCGTGCCTCTCAATCTATCCATCTGGACCCGAAGTCTCATTATAATCTTCATCTTCGTCTTCATCTTCGTCTTCATCTTCGTCTTCATCTTCGTCTTCATCTTCACCTTCACCTTCACCTTCACCTTCCTATATCGATATAACTCTTACATCTACATCTAATATAGCTCTTCTATCTGCATCTATATCTACATCTACATCTACATCTAGGCAGTAGGTAGTACGAACCCAAGTAAGAATGATATATCGGAACCAGCGCCCACTTGATGCTTAAGGTATTACGGTTACGTTTCGTGTCCAGTCCGACCGCTTATGTTCTTTTCCCTTCCACCTTCCTTTCCACTAAGGTACCAGATACCAGGATCATATAAGAGGGAAGGTGAGCCTATGCTCAGGCTTGTCAAACTCAGGCACTAACTTAGGCATTCCCAGCCTTGTGATTTAACCAGAAGGCTGGTTTAGGCATACTATACACTATATAGCCCGCGCTCCCCCTACGACTCTTTGATAGACAATATAGAACATTTCAACCTTTGACAAGGCTTAGGCTCAGCCTCAAGCTTAAACTCAGACTCAAGCTCAAGCTCAAGTTCAGCTTTAGGTTCAGCTCAAGCTCAAGCTCAGGTTAAGGCTCAAGCTCAGGCTCCGCTCAGACTTTCTCCGTCTCCACGACCCCCCCGCTCGGCGATGGCCCTGTTTCAATCTCAGAGGGAGCGGCATGCACAATATCCTTGGACCTCAAGAACTCGTCGAGCTCGCGACGCTGGTCTTCGCTGACGTCGTTGACATGGACGGCCACGTCGTCGCCAAATTGCTTGGAGATCTCTTCGAGCGACAGCCGGGCCGTCTCGGGCCAGAAGAAGTAGATCATGGGCAAGTAGACGATACACCAGGCCACGATGACCAGGTAGTATTTCCAGCCGACGTCGTTGATGCCGATGGGCGCGGTCTGCAGCAGGATAATCGTCGCCGCGAACTGGCCGAACATGGAAAAGCCCATGCCAATCGGCCGGATCTCAGTGGGGAAAATCTCCGAGACGTAGAGATACATGGTCGTATCGCAGCAGGTGCCCTGAAAAGGGAAAGGTCAGCTCCAAGACAATCAATACTCGAGAGGACGGCTCTGATCTGGGACAATCAACACTGGAGGGGACGAGGTCGATCTGGGACAATCAACACTCGAGAGGACAAATGACTGACCTGGAACATGAGGTATAAGAAGACAAAGGCCACACCCGCCGAGTTCCCAGCGTGGTTGGAAGTCCCGGCGTACTTGGCAATCATGGCGCACAGGCAGGAGGTTGTAACGAGACAGCCGGTGATGCCGACCATGTACATCAGTCGACGAGAATTCACCTTGTCGTGGAGCCAGGCCCCGCCTGGGTTGTAGATGACACCTGGGCCATGTGTCAGCAGATGAGATACACAGAGAGGAGGATGCATGTGTCAGCAGATGAAATGACCAGAGAGATACTGACGGCTGTCCCTTCACGGGGGTGGTGCGGGAGAATGCTTACCAGCGGTGGTTAGCCAAAGAGCGGAAAGAAGGAGTGGCATGCTACCCGTTTGTCCCAGATTGGTGTATAAGATGACAGAGTAGTTGTTCTGCGTCCCAAGTCAGCGCCCTTCTTTCCACGTCTTCACATTCACAATCTCGAGGCAGAGTATGGCACGTACAATGACCAGCGGGCCGGCAAACTCGGCGCCCCATTGAGTCAAGAAGCCGATAATCATCCTCTTCCGATAGCTCTTCTTCTTGATACAGGCCTTCCACGGGCCATATCCTACCGCCTTCAGCTTGGCGTGGTCCAGGGCAAGTTGTTCCTTGGTCTGGTAAAGTTCTTCTTTGGCCGCGAGGTCGTCGGGATCGTCTGGTGTTCTCCGCAGAGCTTGAATCACCTTCCACGCCTCCTCGATCTTGCCCTTCTGGAGTAGCCACCTCGGTGACCTCGGGATCCAAATCGAGGTGACGAGCAGAACGAGCGGTGGAAGACTCTGAATGCAGAGAGGAAACCTCCAGGCGAACGACTCGTTCTTGCTGGTGGCAAAGTAGCACGCATACCCAAGCCAACTCGACAACATGTAGCCGAAGACCAGGAAGATTGCGTGGTGTCCGACCAGCCAACCACGGTTCTCGGGAGGTGCCAGCTCGGAGAGATACATTGGGCAAGCGGTGACCAGAATGCCGACTCCCAGACCAGCTATGACTCGACCGACATGGAACATTCTGCTACACCGTCAGGACTTTTACTTGGCCCTCCCGGAAAGTGAAGGATCTTACGCAATCGCAGCTGCTCCGCCCTGAAAGGCACCTCCGATAATGGCGAGGATGGCTCCGATCTGAATGCTGTGCTTGCGGCCGATGGCTGTTGCTGACCACATGATGAACAGACTGCCGACCGCTCCGCCGGCACTGTAGAGACCATTCACCGTCCCGATGGCTTCGGTGGTCTTTCCCCCATAGCCTGGCTCGCCTTGCATAGGAAGATCAAAGTATCGATACCATCCCGGCTGACCGATAGTGCTTCCGATGATGGAAGAGGAGTAGCCATAGGTCTTTGCAAATTAGTGTTGGCCCCCATCCCCTATGGAAGGGTTTCCAGGTGGACGTACCATAGACCCGAAAGCGACGGCGACGGTAATAAGTCGGTTGTACAAACTGGAATGGGATGAAGATTTTCTCTTTCGGACAGCCATTGCTTACGGACTCGAGGCACGAGGATAGGGTAGGTAGGATGCCCGTTAGCAGACCCAGAAGAAAGACCTGATGAAGGCGGAAGTTCCGAGGAAGGGAGAACGCGGATCTCGTGAGTTTTCACCAGCAGGAAACCCCGAAACTGTAGTTTCTCTTCCCGAGGCTGTCAGCAGGGTTAGGAGACCTTCTGATGCTCTCGCCGTTTGCTGGGGATTTCCTGCGGGGTCTGGGCACGGGTCTGGGGATTGGTTCTGGGGATCAGCGTCCACTTCCCTTTAGGGGTTGTCAGGCTTAGATCGGGCTGGTCATTGGGCAACCAATGCGGTTCCTTAGGTTTCTCCGCCAGGAAGCAAGTTAAGGCATCCGCAATTTGGATGGTCCACGCCGAAGGCCTGTTGCTCGTCATGTATACGGAGTACGTACGGAGTATTACTGTAAGTGCCGATGGCGACCTTGAACCTTGCTGGGGAGCCCAAGAGTTCTCCTTGGTGGGAACGGGCCGGGTTGTACCACAACAATCTCCGGCGACCAGGAGCAAATGGAGGTCCAGACCCTCTGATAGGGGACGCCATCGGAGGCACAACAGATACCTGGTCAGCAGCTAGTATTACGTAGTGAGCACTGAGCAGCGCACATCTGAGCCTGAATATACGTGTTTTACAGATTCGTGCCGTGGTGGAAACTTTTCCACCTTTTTGGGGCTCTGGAACCGAGACACGTTCTCTTTCGTTTTTCTCGTCACTCTTGTGTCTCTGCTCTGGCGTTGGAGACCGACCCGGCGTTGGCGCATTGGTCCCGCATACTCTAGCCAGGAGAGTTAGATCGAGTGATCCTGTTCGTCCGGGGTAAGGCGTCGTTGTCTGGAAAATGGATTTGGAAATCCTGTTTGCTGTTGCAAAAGTTGCTCGATGGTCGCCGGCCACAACGCTCTCCGTCAAAGAACCGTCCATCTCGAGCCACGGCAATCGACCTCCACGACAAGGTGTGCCACTCCTGACATATTTTGGCGGCAATACTCCTTCCTCAAAGATTTCTCATATGGGAATAGGCTAGCTGATGCCTCAGAAGCTCTCCTGCAGCCTTGGCCACGCCGAACATACTCCAGCGCTTTTCATCCCGTCATCTCTCCCTGCCTCTTCTTCAGACTTTCTAGACTTGAAATCCTCGCAGGCGGTAGTCCAGATTGAGGGGCTCAACGCTTCGAGTTGTCGTCTGATATCAGCCATAGACTCGAACTTTCCTTGCCAGCAGCTTTGTATCAGAGCTCCGAGAGATAGATCGGAAACGTCGGGGAACTCATTCTGCTCATATCTTTGTTCCACTAGATAATCATTGCCAGCCACTTTTTCGAGCTTGTGGTGCGGAGGCTTGCCGGTAATGATTTCATACGCTGCGCAGCCGAAGGCAAAAAATCCGTTTGTTTGCTAGTGCTGGGTATTTATCGTCGGTAACTAAACCACTCATAAGAAGAACCTGCCTCTGCGCCATCTATACTGCAACCTTCAAAGTCAATAACCTTCAGGTTTTCATCCGGCGTTAGGATCATATTATTGCAACCAACGTCAGCGTGGACGATATCGTTCTCGTGCATATGTTGATACCCTTCTGCCGCATGCTTGAGCCATCGAATTTTGGTCTGGAGTGGGATACGATCCGCCGGTTGCTGAAGGATCGACCGAAGTACTTGTCCTCGCTCAAGGACTATCGACCCGTCCGGAAGGTCGCCTAGATATTTTGTGATGTGATGGCAGCCTAGGCGTTCCTATGCTCGACGCTCAATAGTGCCGTCACAGTGCGGGTAGTACTCCTTTACAATCCTCTTGTCATCAATCGCATATACCACTGCAGATCCTCCTCTGGAAAGGTATGCTCGTTGCGCGAATAGGATTGAGAAGTCTGTTTTGCATCATGTAAGACGTTCAATCCAAAGGTATTCGAGGAGATGCAGTGTTGAGAGAGGAAGGTTGATGTGCCAGTGTGTCAAACTGCAGGCAGGTGGCATAGGCGAGCAGATACATCGAAGACACTGGCCCAAAGGCCACGGAGGCGTGCGGGGATGGTGGGAAACCCATGTTGGGCCTAAGCCCATTCTGTGGAGGGGAATCTAAGGCCAAAGTCCACGTCCTCTAGGTAATTGAGTAATTGACCCAGGACATTCCATTCTCACCATAAATCAGTCAGACTGCGGCGCCTGTGACACAGCTGCCTGCGGTCTGGGGTGCAGCTGCGCCGAGAGCCAACTACGCAGCGGTGAAGGCTCACTAAGCTACAACACCTAGGTAACTACTACTACCATGTCAACTTTACCCCTCCCAACCTTATGCTTCCTCTTCTTCGTACATGGCCTCCACTGAACACAATGTGTCGTTCCTTTGGACCGATGGAACAAGATTAGAATGGCACAGTCCCCTCCACTACGGTCGGACTGGCTTGGTGCTGGACTCCTCTGACTCGGTCCTCCAAATCCCCCAATATCCGGCTTTCCAGGCCTCCCACAGGCGGCAATCCGATCATTCTTGACATATGACGACATAGAAAATGAAAAGAGAGTCTATCGCCATCTCAAAGGCTGCCCGGTTATCATCCAATGCTTACAGATTACGCCCAGCGGGATTGGGCTTAGGCGAATGAGGCAGGGTTCGCTGGAACACTACATCGAAACTCACGACCCTCTCTCAGTACAATTGAAGCTGCAACTAAGCCTTCCTTACTATACACAAGAGATGGGTAGTGTTTGACGTCCATCTGCGGAATCTCCTCCTCACCGACGACCTCCGTGCCGTCGGGGAGGCTATCAATGTAACGCTAGGGAGCAGATTATGCCACTGAAACACTATGAGGAGATGAGGGCCGGTAGTATGCTCACTAGTTGTGGAGGTCGAGGGTCTAGTAGTACTCCGTACATGTACATGTATGCGACGGCGACCATGCTCACGTGCACCGCAGAGACGACTCTTGCCAATTGGAAGGCACCTAAGGCCTAAGGCTTTGATTGTCTTTGCCGGCCAGTGTGGTGATGCCAGATGCCAGATGGTGCTACCGGCAGATCAAGCGGGTAGTGGGGCCTAAGGCATGGACTGGGCCGCTCCGGGCATGCGAAAGCCAAAAGACATCGAGTTAGTAGGCTGACTGTAGGATGTTGAGGAAAAGCGAAGGTGCTCAGGTTCGGATTTTGACACATGGACTTCTAATAAGCAACCCAAAAGATTTTACTTGATGCACACAGTACCGAGTAATGAGGCTCAAGCCGAAGTACAGAGTAGGTTAGAATTGCGTGCTTAGCGAGCCTCTTCCCCTCCATCTGCCCCTCGCTCTGCCCCTCCCCTCCCTTCCTCCCATCCTTCCTATTCCTCGTCTCACCTCGTCCTTGCCACCTTCCGTATCCTGTTATTCCATCGGCCAAATACAGGAATAATGGCAGACGCTACAAACATAATCGAACTTGCCCAAGACGTCTACGGAGTGACCCAATGGCTCATAGGAAAGGCCAAAAGCTACAAAGAGTTTCCTGGAGTCCATTTGAGCTTGCAACGCATCAGTGAACAATACAGAGGGTTCCTTGAATTACAGTTAGAATTCATTCAGGACATCAAATAGGTCGACGAAACCCCGAGAAGGATTTCTCTCAGCTCACTGTGGCGCCTTTTCAGGAATTAAGCAATGCATTGGAAAATGCGAAAATTTTCCTTGAGAACCAGGACCCTAAGAGCTGGAAGGATGGGTTTAAATGGTCCTTATTAAACCGTGAAGAAAAAGCCAAGGACCTTCTCAACACAGTTGAGAAAGCACAAAACAAGTTGTCGATTTTCTTGAACTTGATTCACCTCCTCCAAAACACACCTTTACCAGATCCGGAACTTCATCCCGACAATTTCAGGCTATGGAAGGAGAGTAAAAAGTCGAAATCTAGGCTGCTTACCGCACCTGCTCATTACCAAGTTGATTCTAATCTTCCTTACGGTGGCAAAATCAATGTCATCGTCGACAGCCGGGATCTAGTCAACAGCCGGAATACAGTCGACAGCCGGGATCCAGTTGCCACAATTGCGACAAGACTGAAGTCTCTTGCGGGCGAGGATAGCCTAAGCTATAAGTCAAAGGACTATTCTGGAATACTCCCGTTTGTTGGATATCAGAACTCCAAGCTTATATCGCTCCTGCCGAAGAATCTGAAGAATCCGAAGGATCTCCAGACATTACAGGAGTTTATCGCAAAGAGCGAGGCGAAAACCGCGATTCTCGACGAGCGATTTCGACTAGCTCGTCAGCTTTCCCAGGCACTGGTGAAGATCCATGCTACCGGATTGGTACACCGGAATCTCCGCTGCAAGAACGTCCTCCTATTGGAGCCAGAGGAGCCAGACAACCGTCTACAGACCCAGTCAGCCCCAGCAGTCAACTCCATTGTGGATCCTGACAAGCCACCCGGACCCCAGCCAGGATCTCACGAAGATTCGAAGGAAGAGAAGCAGGCGCCGAAAAATCCAAGGAGGAACAGCGTTACCCGTCTAATGCGAAGGTTGAGTGGGAGGACCTTCGCGGTGACCAGAAAGGCACCGACAAGAAGGGTGCTGAGGGACAGAAAGAGAAGCCTGACGCAACGAACCAGCCAAAAGCTACATCAGCAACGGCGGAGAGCGCGAACAGAGGAAAAGACCCAAACAACCTCTTTCGCGATAGTGGTGGCTATGAAATTCCTGAAGGAAGTCCAAGTCTCTACATCACCCAGTGGGATTTCCTTGCGAAGCGGGGAACACCGACAGCACAACTAGACCAACGGCCCAATGATATTCGTGTGAAGGTCTATCGGCATCCGAAGATCCAGGTTAAAACTCCCACAGATTTGTTCAGCATTGGAATCGATGCATACAGCCTTGGAATCGATGCATACAGCCTTGGAGTCTGTCTCCTCGAGATAGGACTTTGGAAGGTTCTCATCAAGTTTGATAAAGATGATGAAGATCGCCTACATCCAAGGCCGTCCACACACTTCTGCACCATTGCCGAGGAAAAACCCATCGCCAGCTCTGGAAACGAACCGGCTGACTCGTCAGGAAACCGTCCGAGAATCTCCATGAGAAAAGAGTTGCCTCGGCTGTCGGGACAGAAGTTACAGGATGTCCTAATTGAGACCGCGGAGCGGTCCTTGCCAAAGGAAATGGGGAAGCCATATGCCGACTTTGTGGTTTTATGTCTGCGCTGGCTTGACGACAACTCCGAGACCGAGCTTCGGGAGTGGAAGCAACACACTGAGGCGTACCTCAACTTCAAGTGCGTAGTGGACAGGATTTTTGACCAGGTGAACTTGGGTGGAGGGCCAATTTGATGTTCTTCGGTCACGACACTGGTTATATCTCGAAAGGTATGTACATACCTAATGTACCTACCCTTTCCATCACAGGGACAGCAAAGGCACGGGCGCTGGACCAAAACGAAGAGGAAGAGGGTCGTACAGGACTGAATGACTGACGGTCGTAAGGTATTTGAATTCTTCTCAATCTTGTTGTTGTAACTTACCCCTTTCTGCGAAGCTTGTTCTCCAAGTTCTCTTCATCAAGCTTCCTGTTAAACTTGGTGCTTTGCTGGTGAATCGGACTGTGGTTTGGTTCAACTATCTCAGAGAGCTCTGAAGAGTCCATATGTACCTACCTACTAATAACCATTATTCCCTTCGTTTACCAGGTATTTTAACGTTGTTTTGGTTGATTCAAAGGCTGTTGAATTCCAATGGTAACAGTGCATGATTCTGTGTCATGTGTTGTAACAACTGTTGCATCCAGATCCAGTGAGATGGTCATCAGCATCAGTTGTTTGACACCGCACACCTCTGTCCTAGCCTCTAGCCGTGGCTCGAGCTCTGGGCCAAGGCTCGTCCGCCACAGGTGGGTTTCGTAGACGAGCCATTCCGATGCTGGCGAATGCATGAGGTGGGTTTTGCAGACGAGCTATTCCAATGATGGCGAATGCATGGTCGGCAGAGATCCGTTGACCGTGAGACTGTTCAAGACGGACGTTTAGGGACAAAGATGTCAAACTTGGGCATTCCCAGCCTTGTGCTTCAACCAGAAGGCTGGTTTAGGCTATACTATACTATATAGCATGCGCTCCCCCTGCGACCCTTCGATAGAGAACATGGAACATTTCAACCTTTGACAAAAGAGGGTTAGGTAGAGTGCGGAAGAGATAACGATGTGATGCGTGAAAGAACCCCTGAGATCTCGAACTGACTGTCACTGGGAAGCAAGGTCTATTTGGTAGACATGTCGGCGCCTCGACAGGCTGGGGGGGCGTGTCCCAGTGTGTGCTTCTGGACGGCGGTGTGCTATGGATGTGGTCCTGGATGAAAGCTTCCTTGAGTGTTGAAGGCCTGAATTGATGCGTACAGAGTACATACTCTATAGGTATGTAGGTACAGATCCCGAGTACCACAGAGTATGTGCTATGTGAGTATGTGTTATGTGTCGGTACAGGCAACTCAACCAACGCACCCATCACCCTGTCAAATGAAGGTTGAAATGTTCCATGTTCTCTATCAAATGGTCGCAGGGGGAGCGCATGCTATATAGTATAGATAGTACCCAAACCAGCCTTCTGGTTAAAGCACAAGGCTGGGGATGCCTAAGGTTGACACACCCATCACATGACTGCTAGGTAGCCCGATATTCACTGGAAATACCCAACACCTGCCTCGCACCTAATGGTGTCTATGTATATTTCACTGGCGTAATTTTGCCCAGTCGCACCCGCAAGATCAAGTGGTCCCACGGTGTAGTGGCATGTCTCTGGCTCTAAACCCCCCTGGTTTAGCATGCATGTCCAGCCCAGAATCACCGGGTTCCTGTATTCGACTCCCAAAAAGGCCATTCCCGCCATGGCTTTCACTTCCCTACAACCTCTAGGTCATCCGGCCTAGGGCTTGTAGGAAAAAGTTTTTGGCTGGTTCGACCCACGGTATTGGTGTTTTTGTTTTTGGATCTTGAACTGTGCGGGCGTGGAACCGGGTGTGGGTGCGGCAGAAAGCTGATCAACACCTTCACAGAACATGTCTGTTTACCTACCACCTAACTTGGCGAGTCCGACCATCGGACAAAGACGACAGCGTACCCCGGTTACCTATCTCATACTCTATACGAAGCTCTAGGAAGGTCATTCCACACTCCTCGAACCTCTAGGGCCTCGACGCGATTCTTGTAGCCATGCTCGAGACAAGAAGCCCCTAGTGAGCACCTAGACTCAAACGTTCAAGACCACGTCTTTCAGTATGAAGATGGATCAATGAGGGGCACCAAGCATCAAATTTCCACCCGAGTGTTTGTGCCTTGAGCGGTCGAAACATCTCTCTTGGGAAACAGCATCAGTTTACAGTAGGCCAACGAGGCTGCGTCAAATGCAGATGCAGGTCCAGGCCCAACCCTGAATGCCCTCGTCTGCCCGTCAGCCCGTCAGGCATACTGTGACAACACATCGGTAGATGTCCCAAGTGTGGAAGGACTGACATGACACGAGACTAAGACTGAGACTGGCTCCCCTCACGGCCAGGCCATCCCATATTTGCGATGAGGATTTACCCCATCCTCCCCATCCTTCCACTTCGGATCCCTGTTACCCCACATCTCGACCACATGCTTGCAAACATTGTCTGGACACATTCGGGAGGTCTGGATGGCCGATAGAAGGCCTGGAAACCGAGAAGCTATAAGATGGAGGGGAGTGCTGTGCCTGGCCCTACCTGATATGGAGAAGATAGGCTCGCTCATCCGATCGCAACATGGCACCGAAGGCAAACCCATGGGTGATTATTGTCGGCGCAGGCCCGTCCGGCCTCCTTCTGGGGCTGCTCTTGGCCAAGAGAAATATCCCAGTTCAGCTGGTCGACCTCTCAGACAAGCTGGACGAGCTACCTAGAGCGACTCACTACGGAGCACCAGCCATGTACGAACTGAACCGGGCAGGAGTGGTCGATGACATTCGTGCCGCCGGATTCCTGCCGGACGGAGTAGCGTGGAGGAAGCTGGACGGAACGTTCCTGGCCGGGATTGACGCCACCGTCACCGCCGACGACCCAGATCGCATGACGTGTCTGCCGCTGAACAAACTCGGCAGGATCTTGTTGGAACACCTCAACCGGCAGCCGGCAGCCACCATCTCCTGGGGCCACAAGGTGGTCTCGATCGGCCAGGACGAGGAGAAAGCGTGGATCAACGTCGAAACGCCCCATGGACCCAACACGCTCGAGGCCCCGTATATTGTGGGATGCGATGGTGCCAACAGCCAGATCCGGAGGTCGCTGTTTGGCGACTGGGAGTTTCCAGGCAAGACCTGGGACGAACAGATTGTGGCCACCAATGTGAGTGGAGTTTGTCACTTGTATCTACTTGGTTGTTTAAGGGTCATTTGTTCTAACACGCACACCCTACACTATCGCGCTTCTTCTGACACGTACACCCTACCCGGGTTTTCAGACGTACTACGATTTCTCACGCTTCGGCTGGCACGACTCCAATTTCATCATCCACCCTGAGCATTGGTACATGGCGGCCCGAATCGGCAAGGATGGACTCTATCGCATTACATACGGCGAGCTCCCGGGCCTGTCACTGGAGCAACTGCGGGAACGACAGCCATGGAAATTCGAGGCCATGCTCCCCGGCCATCCCAAGCCTGACGAGTACCGCGTCGTCAATTTCAGCCCCTACCGCATCCACCAGCGACTGGCCCCGAGCATGCGTGTCGGACGGTTTGCTCTGGCAGCGGATGCGGCTCACTGTAAGCATGCCCATACCCATACCCATATCCATATCCATACCCATACATACACTCATGCATCCCATACCTTTGCGTGTCCCATCTATACCCGTCCTATACCTTTACGTGTCCTTTGCGTCCGTTCGTGTCATATCTGACTCGATCACAGTATGCAACCCCTTCGGCGGCCTAGGGCTGACAGGTGGAATCGTCGACATTGGCGGCCTGTACGACTGTCTGGCCGGAATCTACGAGGGCGTCGCCGACCCTTCCATCCTAGACAAATACTCCGACATTCGACGGCAGAAGTACAACGACATCGTAAACCCGATCTCGAGCGAGAACATTGTCCGGCTGTTCGGCCAGGACCCAGACACGGCGCTGGAGAAGGACGAATTCTTGAAACTGTGTAAACGCGCCGAGGCGGACCGTGATTTCTCCCGCGAATTGCAGAACGGCGTCAATTCCCTCAAGCATGACTTTACTCAATATTACACCAAGTCAGGGGGAGAAGCTTACACCAACAAGTCAGGGGGGGAAGCCTACACCAACAAGTCAGGGGGAGAAGTTTCGGCGGCGACCACGACCACGACCAAGATCCAGCCAGGCAATGTCGATGTCGATGTCTCGTCGTCTCAAGACCACACCACTATGCCGGTCCAAGCGGCGGCGGCGGGAGTGACGGATTGAATGAATGTAGCCACTACGTCTCTATACCTATCTATCTCTATATATCATAAACAAGGAATGTGAATGTGAATATAAATGTGAATGGTTGAAGATCAAGACCAAGATATCGAGACTCCAGACATGCTCACTAATTAGGATATGTCAAAGGTTGAAATGTCATGTTCCATGTTCGCTATCAAAAGTGTATGGGAGGAGCCTAGACCTATATACCTAGGTGTGCCTGCCTATACCAGGCTTTTAGTTAGAGGGCAAGGCAAGGCTGGCAATGCCTAAGTCAGTGCCTTAGTGCCTACGTTTGATAGGATGATAGACTTATAAAGAGGTCGAGTTCTCAGAAGCGTTATTTGTATAGTAGTTGTCCAACTCAAGATACCTTTGCTGTCTGGAACGAGACGGGCGCGGTCGTTCTAGTATCTCAGTTTCGGTTTCTGTTTCAGTTTCAATTTCAGTAACTGTTTCAGTCTCAGTCTTAGTCTGAGTGTCCCTTCAAGGTCCCCCTTTTCTTTATTGCACTGCTAGGATTGCTTCCACTCTCCTTGCCTCTTGAGGAGGCTCACTCTTCCTTTCATATCATGTTAGGATGCTATAAATGCCGCGACTTAACCTAGTGAACCAATGATTGAATTAGAGAATCTTAGGACATGTTCGCGAGGAGCTTGATCTTCAGCCAACGTATATATTCACTGCGATCACCTGCGCCATGGCATACCATAACATGGCATAGTATACCAATCTATCCTGTTGAACCCTAGACACAGTCACAGTCATAGTTCCAGTCACAGCCACAGCCATCCTCACCATATGGCCTTCAACGAACGGCGCCATGGCATACCAATCCATACTATACCCTACTATACTAATCCATCCTGTTGAACCCGTCACAGTACAGTCACAGTTACCCTCACCCCACCCTCACAGTCACCATATGGCGTTCAACGAACGGAACGCTGCCTGTTCTTGTCCAACTTAGGCATTCCCAGCCTTGCTCTTTAACCTGAAGGCTAGTCTAGGCTATACTATACTACACTATATAGTATACGCTCCCCCCCACCTAGGTGCCCCCTACGACTCTTTAACAGAGGATATGGAACATTTCAACCTTTGACACTCCTGTCCATCTCATTCCCTTCGTTTCCGGAGATAGACCTCCAGACCTTCCTGCACGACAAAGAAGGTGGAATGGTACTGCAACGGGCGGCCCAGATGGGCGAGGGTGATGTCGTATTCCCTCAGGATCTGGATGAGAACCTTGTTCATCTCGAACAGAGCCAGATTGCGCCCGATGCACAGATGGCTGCCGCCTCCGAACTGCGTGGGGAATCATATACATGTCAGCATTCTGCACCGACTTTATTTGTGTCTTTGAGAAAGAAGCACAACACCACGGTGACGACAAAGCACAACACCACTGGTGACTCGAGAAAGTACAACACCACTGGTGACTCGGTCGCAAAAGGGTCGACATCAACATACCTGAGCCATATGCGAGGCCATGACCTTCGCATCGCGTTCAAACCATCTCTCGGGGCGAAAGTCGTCTGCATCGTCTCCAAATACGGCCCTGTCTCGATGCAGGACCCATCCGTTGAGCGCGACTTCGACTCCGCCCGGGTAGAAGCGACCGTCGATCTCGGCCCCGTCCGGCGGCACTCGGCGGTAGATGCCCAAGCCGACGGCCGGACGCACGCGCATGGCCTCCTTGAGGCAGGCCTGGAAGTATTCGAGTTTCTGGGCCTCGGCGTACGTGACGATGGGCGAGAGCTGGCCGGCCTTCTGGGCCTCGTCGACCTCCTTCTGCAGCGTCGCGTACACCTCGGGCGAGTTGAGCACCAGGTAGAAAAAGGATTGCATGGTCGACGCCGTGGAATCGGAGCCGGCAAAGATGGCTCCGTGGGCGATACTGAAGACGTCGTCTATGCTGAACTTCTCCGAGTTGGTCTCGTGTGCTCGTAGCAGCTCGGCCAACAGGTCGATCCCGGAAGAATCGTAAGTCCCGTCCGGCCGCTTTCGCTTGGCCAGCTCCTGCACCGCGATTTTGGTCATCGTGGTTGGCGCCGGCTTCCAGAAGGGCAGGTACGGCCGCAACGGATTGTTCCGCAGGAAAATGTCGAATTCCGGCACCTGGCCCACCAGCCCGTCATACCATTGCACGTCGTCGATGTTCTTGATCGACCCTTCGATGTCGACCTCGGCCTCGAGAAACCCGAATCGTCGCGAGAACGCCACCTCGCCGAGCACCTGGAGACGGGTCAGGGTCAGCAAACAATCAAGCCATGGCCATGGCCATGACCACAACGGTCTACAAAGCCGGTAGATAGGACACCCTTACGTCAAATGCAAAGTAGTGCAGCAGATTGCTCAGGTCGCAGAGTCTCTTGGAGTCGCTGGCGTAGTTGTCCAAGTGGTCCATCAGGAGCTGGATCATGCCCTCGATGGGCCCGGACCGTTTCTGCATTTGCGCCAGGCTGTACGGTGTCACGGCGTACCGCTTCATCTGCGCATGCTTCCATTCTCGCACTTCGGTGAAGATGTCGGGGGCGTGCTGGCAACGAACAGGTCAGACCAAAGGTCAATTTCAACTCGGACTCGGACCAGAAAGCGAGGTTGTGTGCTGGTATACAATATTCGATGATAGCTCACCTTGGGCGGGAACACGCTGTAGAACATGGTTTTGTGGAATCCTTTGCCCACCGCGAAGATGTCTTTGGCCGCATTGGGAGATGCAAACGACACTTCTTTTGGCGCCGTTCTCACGATAGGTCCTACGGCAGTCAGCACTCAGTCATACAAGATTGTGCGGAACAGGAACAGGAGTGAGTGGTTGTTGGCGGGTTGAGGCACCACCATATATGACTGACACCACACTATCCACATACCGTATTTCCTGTGCAGTGCGATGTGGTCGAGCTCAGTGTGACCCGAGTACGTGCTCCAAACTATCGATTCGTCAGTCACCAGTCACGATCGCAGCTGGATCAACACGAGGTAGGGGTGAAGGCCTACGTTTCCACAGACGAGAACACGACGCAAGAAACGGTCCTGGCACATCTCGAATAGGAGAGACGTATCGTCTGTACAGGCCTCGGCCGATGATCAAGGAGAAGGCCACCAGCAGAAAATGCGCCTTCACAAACGCAAGTGCCACCACGACGAGCGGCTCGTTCGACCCTGCTTGGACGTCGGCCATGGTCATAGGTATGGTGTTCGATATGGGGGTCTAATGTTGGTCCAGCGCAGCAAAGAGAAATTCTGGTTCAAGGGCTGCCCATGGCCTGCTCCTCGTATGTATATCACCGACAACGAGCATCCACACCCCCTGCCCCACTGCAGGTCTCTTCCGTATCTGCCGACGACCAGACATCATAGCGGCTCTTGGACGTGAGTCCCACGAGGCTCAAGGATTCAGGCATTGGGACAATCCCACCTCGGTGCCCCTGTGCCTCTGTGCTCCTCATCGGGATTTACCCCACTATGGGGTTGGACGTTCGGCAGTGGCACTGATCCGGGCGGTTGCAGTTGCAGTTGCCGTTGCCTCTGATTTTCTGTTCCCTGTTCCCATGTAGGGGATGATTTCGACCCCACAAGCGGTAGTGGTGGTGGTGGTGGTGGTGGTGGTGGTGTAGGGCCGTTGACGTTGGGTGGTCGAGGTGGGAGGGACAATGAGGTACAGGTACTTGGTACTTGGTACTGTAAGAGTCAGGTCAGCCCACAGTAGCTGGTAGCTGGGTACTGGAGATGGGTCGACCTCATCTCACATCCCCTCTATCACGAACCGAACCATACCTACCTACTACATTGAGGACCGTGAACAAGGCAGAGTGTGTAGGTACACAGCTAGATACCTAGATACCTAGATACTCAGTAAGCCGAGTCGCGGGGTAATATTAGTATTGCCTAGTAGGTGCCTAGGCGCTGCACGTGACTCGGCTGGGTTGCCTATTTGCATCTTGGAGGCACCAAGGGAGGTGAGGGGCACCCTGCATGTTGGAGGTGACACCGTCTGCAGCTCCGTCTCCGGCCTCTTACACAGCACCGATATGTACTGCATGTATGGAGTACTACTACATACATCCTGATGTCGCTGATGGGCTTTAAACCCGCCTCCAGGTTCGCCATATCGCCCATGGCCATTGCTGTGACGCGCACCGCATTGGGCCTCATTAACGATGAGGACATCTGCGCCCGAACCTGACCTCCAAGCCCAGTGGCAGGCGGGCAACGCGTCCATCGACTACCTCCCCCTCCCTTTAGACGATTCTCTTCCTCCAGAGAACCAGCTCGCACACCCTGTTGCAACTGCTCCGTTGAGATACCAAGGACCCGAACTCCTCAGGGACGCCGACGAGCGTTGTGCACAGGTTGTGAGGAGGATGGAATGCCAGGATATAGACTACTCGCATCATTAATGGTGAAGACGACGATGGGAGAGAAGATTGAGACCTCGCATACTATGTCGGACCGTGCTGCAAGTAGTATGGTTTGATCAGAAGACTAGACAGATACTGTAGTAGGTGCTGCGGGTGCTAGGGTTTGGGTCAGAAGACTGGACGGATACTGCAGCAGGCTCAACCGTGGCGCCACTGTAGATGATGAGTTCGATCCCATATCTAAGGATGTAAGAGCATACAGGACAATGCACGGAGAGAGGCACACAATCATACAAGAACACAATCACAGGAACATGACAGCTGGTAATGAATACTTTGTAGATTCTTCTGCAGGGCGACTTGCCAAACATAGACGTCCAAGAGGATCTGGTCTACAAGTCATTTGTACAATACTAGTACTCGGCTAGGCTAGGCGATGGTACAAATACTCGGTTAGGCTAGGCGAAGCTCACAGCTCAATGACGACCTTGCCAAAGTGCTTCTGGTCCCATTGATACTGATAGGCGTCTTTGGCCTGGTCGAACTTGAAGATGGTCTGGTCGACGACGGGACGGATGGCATTGGCCTCGATGGCGCGATTCATATCCTGGAACTGCTGCTTGGAGCCGACGACGATGCCACGGACGGTAGTGACGGAGGTGAGGGCGTCGAGCAGCGAGGGCGTGTTCTCCTTCTGCACGCCGCCCAAGAAGCCGATGATGGTGATGACGCCTTCGAGCTTGACGGCCTTGAGCGACTGGGCCAAGGTGCCGGCGCCGCCGACCTCGATGACATGGTCGACGCCCTCGCCGTTCGGGGTCAGGGCCTTGGCCTTGTCGCCCCAGTCCGGCGTGGTCTTGTAGTTGAGGACGTGGTGGGCGCCGAGCTCCTTGAGCTTGCGAGCCTTGTCGTCGGAGCTGGTGGTGGCGATGACGGTCGCGCCCGCCGCGGCCGCGAACTGCACCGCCGCCAGACTGACGCCGCCGGTGCCCTGGGTCAGCACCACGTCGCCGGGCTTCAGCGCCTTGGACGCCAGCCCGTACAGCGCGTTCCACGCCGTCAGCGGCGCGCACGTCAGCGTGCTGGCCTCGATGGGCGACAGCGACGACGGCGCCGCCACCAGCCCGTGTTCCGGGAACACGGCCACCTTGCGCAGCGTGCCGTCGATCGCGCCGCCGAGCCCGCTCCCCAGCGCCAGCGGCGTCACGGGCCCGGCCTGGTGCTCCTGGTTGAAGAGCGTGCAGACTTTGTCGCCCGCCTTGAATTGCGTCACTTTCTTCCCCGCCGCCACCACCGTGCCGGCGCCGTCGGACCCGGGCACCACGGGCAGGGTCATGGGGAAGGGATATTGGCCCTACATGGTTCATGTCAGTCAGTATCAGTGGTTGTAGTTGTTAGATTGATAGATCCGAGGCATGGCATGGCATGGCATGGCATTGAAAACACTGCCTTGGGTGAGGGTGGGTGAGGGTTCGTCGCCTTGAAGGGATGGATATGCCCATGCTGATGCTGATGCTGATGCCATGTCTCGATTTATCATATCTCTTACCTTTGCAATGATCAGGTCTCGATAGTTCAGCGACACGGCCTGGATCTGCACCACCACATCGTAGTCGCCCACTTCCGGCAGCGGCCGGTGTTTGTCCAGTTTCAAGCCGTCGAATTCATTGTGGCTGTCAATGATCCAGGCTTCGGTGGTCTTCGGGACAGACATGGTGAAGAGTAATAGTGGTGAGTAGTGGTCAGAGGAGTGGTAGGAGTTGTGGTGGTGGTAGTGGTGGTGACAGAGGTGGTAGTATTAGTAAGAGCAAAGAGAAGACTGGGAATCGCAGTGGCAGTAGTCGTGTATAATTCTGTTACGGCGGTAGTGTAATCGAAGCGGTGGGAAGGTAATAGTAGATATCCCGATGGCGATGGCGATAGTCTGTCAGGAAGACTAGGCAGTGGACTCCGTACTCGCCACTCTACTCTTTTTATTACCAGGTAACCTATCCTTTCTAACATGAATATATATTGTTCTCTTGATATTCTAGTGGTGCTAGCTATATCATCTATGACGTCGAGAATAATACATAACGATAATACATAATTAATCTGTCCATAGAATCTCGGAGAAGAATCGGGCCCTGGGGAAGCTTTGAAATCAATCAATAATCAATACCCCGTACACTTCCATATGACCGGCACCGGCACCGGCACCTACGGGGGAGGGAGATCTACACTGCTACCCAGGATGATAATTAATTGCTGGGTACTCCATGCTGTGTACCATGATTCAATTATGATTAAACTGTTGATTCAATATTCCCATCCATCATCCATCTACTTTGTGTTATGGTATGTTACTGGCCACTGGTACCATCGCCCTGATTTACATCTAGGTATCCGTACTGTTCAGGTTCTGTATGTAACTCTATGTACTCCGTACCATACCTTGCCCTTCTTGTTCGGAGCCGTCGGTCCCGAGTCAGCCTCAAGTCTTGGCCGTGCCATACTTCAGGTTACTCTGTACATACAATACCAGTACCAGTACCAGTACCAGTACCAGTATCAGGAATAGGTAGTATCTGGTGCTTGATCTACTTGGTACTGAATGAATGATGGACGTTGCAGAGGTTGATCAAAGTACCTAACGGATACTATGTACTGTACTGTATTCAGTAGGTACTTTAGGGATAGGACAGGATACTCTGTACTTTCTTAAGACTGCCGACAGATCCTCTGATCCTTTCCTTTGGCTTGCTGACTATGACTTGACCTACACCTACACTATACTTCCACCTACACTCTGGGTGTACTTACACCTACACCTACACTCCTATAGTATAGTACCTGGTAAACAATATATGCTGTAGCCATTGACCACGGCTGACTTCCTCGAGAAGCATATCCCCCTCCTATGATCCAGCAGCCTCATCGCGGATATCTTGGATCCCTTAAGGCCTCGCCTTGCCTTAGAGTAGAACAGCGTAGATACATATACTAGTATTTCACCAGCCTGCAGAAAAGAACAGTATACTGTGTTAGATGACTCCCTCAGCCTGTAGAAGAGAACAGCATCACGTGTTAGATTACTTCCTCGTCAGCGTCACCATCACTACACTAGTGATCAGAGAAAAGAGGAAGTAGAGTATATATACCAATACCATACATACAACGGCCACTACCTAGCAGCTGGAGGTTCTCAGATGCCAATGTCAGGTCGAGTAGAGAAAGGCACGCTTAAACATTCCAAGATTCTATAGAGTAAGTATATACTGACATCAATCATAGAGTAGAAGTAGAAGAAGTAGTAGTCGTCGGTGACCAGTAACAGTAACTGTATACTGACCTGTCCTGCCCGGCCGTGTGTCCTCTTGCTCTGGACCTCTTTCTTTCCCCCCACTGGCAGTCTGTGTAAAGGGATTCCAAATGACTGGTCGAAGATATTTCCTCGCCGTCGATGTCGATGTCGATATCAAAGTGGTTTAAATGCTCCAATCCTCGCCCACACCCCCACCCACAGATCGATCTTGAATTCATCTCGTCTCCTATCAGCTCAGCTCCCCTTCGACTGCTCTTCCAGATAGCGTTTGAAGCCAGGGAAGAACCTCATCAGGAACACCGAGTCCATAAACTCGTCCAGCTGCTTGATCTTCTCGCCCTTGTCGTCAAACTCGACGAAGCAGGCATATTCGTTCTGGAAGTCCCCGAACGGCGTGTCTCCCTGGGCCTCGGCGTAGATGGCCGCTTTGTTGCGTGCCGTGTCGTGGATGACGTTGGAGACCTTTAACTGTTGTGTTGGAAGAGGAATGGTCAGCTATAGTCCTTTGCTTTCTCTGCTCTGCTCTGCTGTGACCGAACCAAACTGAACTAGACCAACTCAACTTACACTGTAGTTGCGAACCGCCTGCACCAACTTGGGCAGCGTATACTCGATCTCTTTTCTCGACCGGCCGGGAATCCCCAACGCCAGAGGCATGGACCGTTGCTGGATGTCGGGCGAGAAGCAGGCGATCATGTCCTCGGCCGACCACGTCTCCCACGCGGCAATGAAGTTGGTCAGAGTCAGCCGCTGCACGGCTGCAGGTGGCGTGGTGTTGGTTGCCATAGTGCTTTTCTTTTCCGATTACTAAGTAATCCTTGTCCTTCGTCCTATGTGGTGAGAAAGGGGTGCGTCGTGGTGAGTTGTGAGTAGTACGTCGTTCGTGGTGAGTGGTCCGTGGTATGTGGTACGTGGTACGTCGTAGTAAGTACCTGATTAGTACGCAGTTGGTTCGTGTCGTCGTAGTAAGAAGTAGCTCTAGTTCAAACCGTCCCGTCGCTTCTCCTGGAAGAGAGTAATGTCACCCAGTGTGAGCGACAAGTACGAGTATTAGTAGATAAACACAATCACATCCTGGGAGGATGTCTGGCCGTCTTACTACGACTTGTAGTAATAGTAGTAATAGTTCTTCCCAAGCGCATTGCATTGCATTGCATGGCATGCTTCACCTCCCGCACTGTTCTCCTCTTGCTGCGTTGCGCTGTGGCGTGCCGGCTTGTCCTTGGCCCATCCGGCCGCCGTCGACGATGGCGTGTAGTGTGTTCTTTTTTTCGCACACCGATGTATTGTCCCCGGAACGTCCGAACGCCGGAACCCCGGAGGCGGAGGGAAGAGAGTTCGTGCGTCGGTCGGTCCTGCAGTACTAGTGGTGGTACTACCGTATTCTCCGGTCGACGGAATCACCGGCGTGGATAATACTAAGTGGTGATATCCTGGATACAGGCCATGAGAGCCTAGCCTAGGTACAAGGTCCAGTATCGGGTCCTGTGAGAGCGCGGGTCGAGGTAGAACGGTAGGTGATGAAGATGAAAGCCCCTAACGATATCGATTTCTTCACATGGCTCACCGGCATCACATAAATATAACACAACATACTAGCATAAGCCCTCGAGTTGAGTTTGGAAGATAGATGCACAAGACCATAACCAAATTCTGATAATATCCCATTACTAGTCACTAGCTATCTATCTTATTTGCATAACTAGTAATATCTCTCCCCGAAGCCCGGACCGGCTGGATGCTCCGACCCCTCCCTACACAGCCTCGTTGCGATCACTGGGATCGGAAGTAAGCTGCAGCTGCAGCGGCCGTGGCACCGGCGACAACGGCACCGGAGATGGCGCCCCACGTGAGAAGTGAGGAAGGGGACGAGGAGGATGCTGATGCTGATGTTGATGATGCGTTCTGAGCTCTGTCCTCTGGAAACTCGAGCCTGTCGCAAACCTCGCCGTCCCTCACGAATTCCTCGATCCAGCCCACCGCTATCCTAGTGGCACGGTCAGTCAGTCAGTCAGTCAGGCGGTTCCTGTTGCTGTGATTCACGAACGCTGCTGGAGTAACATGGCGGAACACGATGACGATGGTGTATGTGCTCTGGTAGAGGATACCGAATGCTGGAGAAGATAGGTGCACTCACTTTGTCCTCTTGGTATCGGCAAACTTCTCATGATCCGGCACCAACATCTGTCGGTACCACGGATCCTGCTTGATCTTCTTGTAATCCTCCAAGCTGTGGAACACCACCTGGCTGAAGCAGTCGTAGTCGACCACATTGGCCATCTGACGGTCGAAGAGCTCTTTGGTCAGCGCCCTGGTCTCCTCGGTGCAGTGGATCTGCGTCCAGCGCTTGACGCCACACTTGACCATGAGATACTTGTTCAGAGGCGCGGTGATCTTGGTCATGTGCTCGACGTATTCCGCTTCGCTCAGAGATGGATTCCGGTAGCCGAGGATGGTGATGCTGAGGTATCGTTTGCGTTGGCTCTGTGGCTTCGGCTGGCTGGCCTGGTGGTCGACAGGCACAGGAACAGGATCAACTGCTGAGAGGTCCAGTTTGGCTGGATTGACAATGGCCTCTGCCATGGTCATGGTGGCCGTGGTGGTTTGAGACATGCTGCAAGAACCGTCTGTTGGGCCGCGGAAGACGTCGAGAGTGGAGAGTGGAGAGGAGAGGGCCCGTCCAGCTATGTACCTACCTCCATATACAGACAGACATGGACATACCGAATATCCAGACATGCAGACATACAGACATGCATGCCCGGACCGGATAGCATTTGTTACGTACATATGGTGTATCAATCAGTACAGTGCCCGAACCTGGATTTCCATGCTCTCTCCCGGTCTGCTAGGGGGAGACTTCGACCACGTAAGATCTAATATCGGATCCTGCTTCTCCTGCGTTCGGAGCCCGGTCGACACCGCTGCTAGTCCGGATTGGGGTGCCCGGAAAGCGATGGACAAATCATGATCTGCCATACTAGTAGTAGTATCAACCTTAAACTTGGGGCGGCGATGATTCCGGGATCCTGTACGCTGACTTGCGAAAGGACAGCAATAGTAATACTCGTTCATCCGGGACGGCAAGATCAGTCCTGACCAGTATATTGAGGTCACCAGTACTACTACTACTGTTACTACTGCAGTTGCTATTACTACTACTATTACTACTACTATTACTAATGTCTGTAGACGATGAAGCAGGGCTTAGGCATAGATGGCTTCACCCCCTGAGGCTTACTTGACCGTCGTAGTAATGTATGTAGCATTATTGTCCCATCCCCGGAGCGAAGCTCGCTGCCAGTGCAATGACAACCAACATCCTTGGTCAGAGTTGGAGTCAGACTGTACACAGAGCAGATATAATAGAAATCTAGGGTAAATTCAACTTGAAGTCGCCCCCTTCGCCCTTCGCCCTTCGCCCTTTACTATTCACCCTTCACCCTTCACCCTTCACCCTTTACCATTCAGCCTCACTCTTTACTATTCACCATTCGCCGTATACCCTTCACCCTCATCATTAACCCTTCACTCTTCACCATCTACTCCCCAGTCTCTTCAGTCTCTGCTGTTGGATAGGACCATGATAAAAGAACCTTCCCTGGAATGTCATATTGATGCCCTTTGCGCACCAGCGACGGAGCAGGAGACCTGCCCTCAGGCTGGGCCTGAAGACGGCAAGTAAGGATGCAAGGCAGGGCAGTAATGGCGGACCAGACCCCAAAAGATACACTCAGGGGTGCCGCGGGCGAACTTTGCTTTCCGGCGCGGGTCTGCATTGACCACTCCGACATTCTTCCCATCCCACTGCCCGGACGGATCATCGGCGGCCTCCAGCATGCCGGCGGCCAGATCCAAGTACGACAGGAAGGTCTCTTCGTCGTGGAGGGTGAGCTTGTGGCCTCGCTCAATGTCACACGACAGACCGCCGGGTTTGATGTAGACGGTGGTCAGCCAGTGCTCCTGGGCGCGCAGGAAGGCCTCGGCGCGTCTCAGGTCCTCGTAGACGTTCGAAGCCGCCCGGAGCATGATGGGCCGGAACCGAGGGATCTTGCGGCTGAGGTGGTCGTCGATGGTGGCCGAGGACAATAGCACCAGCTTGGGCGGCTGATATTCTTCTTCCCCGTCGTCGTGCTCCGCCTGGAGTTGCTTCAGCGCCGCCACGGTCGACTGCGCGAGATCCTGGCTGATGCGGCAGCCGGGCACGTTGGTGTTGGTGCTGGCCAGAAGGAACACCGTCTGGCTGCCCCGGGCGCATTGGGCCAGCAGGTCGACGTCCTGGATGCTGCCTTGGAAGATCTCGACTTTCTTGCTCTGGCCTGCTTCCGGCACCAGCGCCAGGAGTTTCTGTCGGTTGCGGCAGTATGCATTCACCTTGACGTTGGGCATCTTAACCAGATGCTGGAGAAGGGCTGTGCCGCAGTTGCCGGTGGCGCCAAAGATGCTGTATTGTCGGAGTCTGATGCTTTTGTCATTGCCTTTGTCATTGCCGAGCTGCACATCCTTGGCCTTGGGCTGGCTGTCAGTTGATGCTGCTTCGGCCCCCATTCTAGTCACAGGTACCAGTAGTCTATGTATGAGTAATATATTGGATTGGCTGACTGGGAATGATAGTAAGCGACCGGGACGTTACTGGTAGGCAGTTTTTGATTCGAAGTCTTTCTGGAGACGGAGACATCGAGGGAAGATGGTTCTATTTACGATATTAGTAACAAGTACAGTCACCAACATCATCCTCGTCCTCCCCGGCCTCATCATCGCCAGCCGGCCACGACGGTCGAGCGGCCAAAGGGAAAGGTAGCTAGCCCTCCTCTCGGTGCGGTTTGGCTTCGCCGAAACCCGGTCTCAATCTCCAGTCCCGTCAGGACCGGAGTCCGATCGTGACCGCGGTACACCGATCCCGTCCCGCTGCTGTTGGAATGGATATGGAGGAATCGCAGGACTGATGACCGGTTGAGTCGGAGGGAACGAGAATGACAGAGGGGGCTCCTATACCATGATCAGGTCAGGTCAGCCAGGATCACGATCAGGATCAGGATGACTCTCGGCCCGGCCCTAATAAAAGAGCCTCGCGCCATACAGTCCTCCTCACATGGGTTTTGTTCTCGGCAATCATCTCATCTCCTACCAGGTCAACAAGTCCTTTGCCTCTTCCTTTGACCTAGATATCAGTCGCATCTTGACGGTTTGGTTGCCTCGACTTTGGAATCTGATCCCCAACAATGGCCAAAACTCAAACTCAGACTCAACCTCCAAGTCCAGCAGGCAAGTTCTGAACCCCGATACCAATATCATTGCGTGCAACGACCAAACCAACTAACCGGGCGCAGATGTGGTCGGGTGTCAAGGTGCCTTGTTCGAATGGGCCGACAGCTACGACTCTAAAGACTGGCAGCGGCTTCGTCAATGTCTGGCGCCCACGCTGAAGGTCAGCGTCCTCTCCTTCTCTTTCTGGCTTTTACCTTAGCATAGTGCTTCGTTCCTCCCTCTCTTCTGATCTTTACACTAGCATAGTGCTTTCGATACAGTTCAACTTGCAAAGCTAATCTGTCCAGCTCCCAGGTCGACTATCGCACCGTCCTCAACAAGCTGTGGGAAGAGATGCCGGCCGATGAGCTCGTCGCGCTGGCGTCCAACCCGCATTTCTTGGGCGACAAGACACTCCGCACGCAGCATTTCATCGGCGGCAGCAGGTGGGTGCAAGAGTCGCCGGACAAGATGGTCGGCCACCACCAGCTGCGGGTGGCGCATCAGCGATACACCGATGAGTCGCTGAAGACGGTGGCTCTCAAGGGCCACGCACACGGCACCGCCACTATCGCGTACAGCAAGGTTGATGGCGAGTGGAAGTTTGCCGGCTTGACCCCGAATATCAGGTGGTTCGAATACGACTATGATCGGATGTTTCAGCCACCGCCACAAAATGGGGGGACGGGGGCGACTGAGAATGGAACACATTAGATGGTGGATGGTGGATGCTGGAGAAGGGGAAGGGGGAAGAGTGGTAGTAGTACTGTTAGAAACAACATTGGTGATGTATTTACTATACAGTACAGTCTGACTATATGATCTGGTCGATACAGTACCACTCTACAGTACCACTACTACAGTACTACAGTATCTTCCCTTCAAACCACGCTGAAGTGGCTGAAGTCAAATAATGGATGGTCGTGCTCTATCCAAAGGGTCCCTGTATGCCCAAATACACACTCAAGCATCGAGGTTGAGGGAAAGGGGTCAGGTAAGGTTGAGTTTGGACCTACTGGAGGTGGAGGGGCCGTACCCAAGAAGAAGAAGGTAGTTAGTTCAGTGCGTCGGTATCCGGCCACTCGGAATATATCATACGTACGTACATGACCTAATCAGCACTGTTCCGAATATGCACGTGGCCTGATCTTGATCTGATGCGAAGTGAAGCGAATGACTAGACTAGCGCTTGGGAAGGGGGGAGGGAAAAGGGACAATGCAGGCACCAGGCAAGGCAAGGCAAGGCTTCGGTAAAGTTCCACAGACAGGACCGAGTACAGTAAGCCAGCCTAGCCGGTCGGAGTCCCGGCCTCCGCCCACCGGCCCGTAGCGTAGTGGTCGGAGCGAGGGCGGCAGGCGAGAGGCGAGAGATCTCGACCGGAACCCGGTCCTGACTAGATTACTGTACTTGGTGGTAAGTACTGATACTGACTACGGATACGGATAGTGGTAGTTGTCTGATATTGTCGGAGTAGGCATAGAGGGAAATGTAGTATGTAGTACTCTGTATGTAGTATGTACTTGTTTGATATGGTCGGAGTTGTAGTAGTAATAGGTATCTCTCTGATACCATCCAAGTGAAGACCAAGACTAGACACACTCCATCCACTTGACGTCCTCTGAGTACTTACCACAGCCGACAGAGACGGAAAAGAAATATAGACAGACAGTCACCCTTACCCTTACCAGCTTTTCCCTGCCCGATCAGATCAGACTTCTTCCGAATCACTTATAGCCACGCCTCCCCTGCCCTACTAGAGTCTACCCCCATCACTCAGTTAGACCAAATCAGTCCCACCCCTTGACAGACCGACCAAAGCACTTCTACTCCTTGATCTAGACCGTCCAATCACACCCACCGCACCGCACAATGGGTTCCCTCGGCGTCGACACCGTCCACCTCCCGTTCCGACTGGACGGCAAGGTCGCGCTCGTCACCGGCTCGGGCCGCGGCATCGGGGCAGCGATCGCGATCGAACTGGCGCGCAACGGCGCCAAAGTCGTGGTCAACTACTCTCGCGCCAGCGGGCCGGCGCAGAAAGTGGTGGCTGAGATCAAGGCCCTGGGGTCGGATGCCATCGCCATCCAGGCCGACGTCGGCAATGTGGCCGAGACGGTGCGGCTGTTCGACGAGGCCGTCCAACACTTTGGCGGGTTGGACATTGTGAGCTCGAACGCGGGCGTGGTTTCGTTTGGTCATTTGTCTGAAGTTAGTGAGGTAGGTACCGTACATGCTCATCCTCATCCTCATCCTACATCCTACATCCTCACCCTCATCCTCATCCTCATCATATATCCTATATAAAAACCCCTGCTCTCCCAACACTGACTCCATCCCACAGGACGAATTCGACCGCGTCTTCCGCATCAACACCCGAGGCCAGTTCTTCGTGGCTCGCGAAGCCTCCAAGCACGTCCGGGAGGGCGGGCGCATCATCCTGACCAGCTCCAACACGGCGCGCGGGTTCGTGGTGCCCAAGCACTCCATCTACTCGGGCTCCAAGGGCGCCATTGAGTCGTTCGTGCCGGTCATGGCCAAGGACTGCGGCGACAAGAAGATCACGGTCAACGCGGTCGCGCCCGGCGGCACCGTCACCGACATGTTCTACGACGTCGCCCACCACTATATTCCGGGAGGGGAGAATTTGAACATTGACCAGCTGAAGGAGGTGAGTTTTTGTTCCTCTTACTACCTCTTAGTGTTCCTCTTGGTATTTCTAGTTTTTCTGTTTTTCTGTGTTTCTGCTGTTCTCTTTCGGTTCGGTTCTAACGTGACGGAACAGTGCGCCGCCCATGCCTCGCCCCTCACGCGCTGCGGTTACCCACTCGACGTCGCTCACGCCGTGGTGTTTTTGGCCAGCAAGGAGGGCGAGTGGGTGAATGGCAAGGTGTTGGGAATTGATGGTGGCGCCGCTTAGATCCAGGGCCAACAAGTACAAGAAGATTGAACTGAGTCTGCGTCTGCGTCTGCGTCTCGGGCCGGATCTGATATTCTTCAACTGTGATACTGGATTCAAAGGTAGAATGTTGGAGTTCATGTATCTTCGTATAGGAGAATATAATGGATTTCCACAAGTGTCAGTTTCAGTATCAGTGTCAGTATCAGTGTCAGTATCAGTGTCAGTATCAGTGTCACCATCAGTATCAGTATCAGCATCAGTATCACTGTAAAAGACATGTACATGTACATGATGGTGAACAAGCCTGGGAGGATGCCTGGTACTGGTATCTGGTGTCCTGAATCTGTCAAAGGTTGAAATGTTCCATGTTCGCTATCAAAGGGGTATGGGGGGAGCCCCGACTATATAGGTGTGCCTATACCAGCCTTCTGTTTAAAGGGCAAGGCTGGAAATGCCTAAGTCAGTGCCTATGTTTGACAGAATCCTCTTTGTCTTGGGCCCGTCGCCTTTATTCTTCGTGGTTGCTGACCAGACTTGCTCTACCAGTCGAACAGGGGTCAGTGCCATGAATGAAATCCCATAGCTCGCACTATATGATATATGAAATATAAGATATTTTATACGTGAGCTGACCCCTCTAATGATCTGTTCTAGCTCTTTCTACCCAATCCCAATCCCAATTTCAACAGATACTAGTAGCGAACGTCGACTCTCTGGGGTCTGGGTATGGTGTCTGGGGGATGTTGTATGAGATATTGTATGGTGATGGGATCAGAATGCCCTGATGGCCGGCGCACTCCTCATGGAATTCGAGCCGGTCATGGGCGAAACCGGCACCGCCGCGGCCACATGAGCATGAACGTCCTTCTCCGTGTCCCTGTTCCTAGGCGCGGCCAGCTCGAACCACCTCTTGACGCCCTTGCGCTTCTCAAAGGCGACCTTGCCATCGGCGGCCAGCTTCCTCAGGACCTCGTCCATGAACGGCTCCAGAGCCAACTCAGCCACGTCGGAGTTGATGCCGCCGCCGTACATGCGGGCGACCAGCTCCTTGACCGTGACGCGCTGGACGCCTTCCCGGTTCAGCCGCTGCAGGGTCTGCAGGACCTGGCGTTCTCGACGCGTCTTGGCCGCCAGCTCCTGGGCGATCTTGGCCGGCAGGTCGGCCATGGTGCTGCCGTGGGCCGAGTAGCCGACCTGGCAGGCCTGGGCCTGCATCTTGCGCAGCGACTGCATGAAGATGCCCAGATCTTCGACCGCACTGGTGCCCACGCCGAGGATGTTGTCGCCCGTGAACATGGCCCGCTCCTCCTCCAGCACGAAGCACATGTGGTCTTCCGAGTGCCCGGGGCTGTGCACCGCGCGGATCGTCGCCCCGGCCACGACGAACTTCTGGTTGTCGGCGATCGCCTGCTGCCCGCGGTCCGGCGTGTGCTTGTAGATGGAGTCGCTCAGGTCAGGGTACAGTCGCAGCAGGTCGGGCACGCCGCCCGTGTGGTCGCCGTGCCAGTGCGTGAGTAAGACGTGCGAAAGCCTGATGTTGTGCTGTTGGAGCGTCGTCGCTACCAGCTCGGCCCATTCGGGACTGCCGCCGCCGGTGTCAATCAGCGCGCGCTCATGGCCCGTGCCGACAATGTACGTGTTGGTGCCTTGCAGCGTGAACTGGAGTGGAGGGACAGTCAGTGTCTGGGCTTCCCGTCCGACCTTGACCCTGACATGGCCAGGGGGGAGGGATTGAGTAGAAGAAAATTAAAGGGTGTAGTGAGTGGCATGGTTGCGTGGTGGCGTGGCACTTACTTTCCCCGGATTCTGTCCCAGCACACGTAATACTCGTGGTGAGCATTGCTCGACATCGGCCAGCGGAGGGAGACGTGCGGTCTGAGACTCGAGGTAGTCTTCGAAGGCGCAGATGTTCAGGGATTTGTTGATTTGGCGATAGCCACCCTTGTCATTGGCGTTGGGTTTGGCCTGAGCCTGGTCCTTGGTTTGGTCCATGGTGGTCGGTGGCAGCGTTGGGAGCGGTCCTTGCAGGGGTCAGGGGTCAGGGGGGCTTGGCTTGCAGAATATTACTAAGTTAGACTTGAGAATATTACTCAGTAAGACTTGGTCGATCACCTCACCCAGAATGCGATGTGTCAGAGGGACAGTAAGAGGGAGAGTAAGCCTGCTTTAAGTATATGCCGAATTCTGGGTTGTCATCTCATCACATCACATGTGTCTATGTTACTCTGTTACTCGTACTCCGACTGCCAGCCTCGCTGTGCGCTGGACGCCGTGCTGTGCTGTTCTGTGCTGTGGCCTCCGGTCTCCGGTCTCTGTGAGCCTTGTCTGACTGTACCTTCGTTCAGCGCGTGGCCCACACCGAAGGACCGAGTACCGGAGAGCGAAGAGATAAGGCCACTCTCGGTGTGAAAAGGACGTCAAACCCCGACCTGTCACCCAACATTGGTACAGTCTCAGTCTCAGTCTAGACACCGACCTCATCCAACACTGGCTCATACATCAGATCAGAGACCGACTTGAACCTCCACAGTCGGCATGATGCTAAGGCTGATGCTGAGGCTGAAGGATCCGATCCCCGTCGGGCCTGGGCCTGGGCCTTCGGGTAATACGGTGTAGTGTGGACACGGAGGAAGAACAATGAGCGAGACAGCCAGCTCCAGCTCCAGCTCCAGCCAGTAAGATGCTCATCACGGGTCACCGTACTGAGTACACGCCAGACAGATACGGACCCGGCAAGGTTGGACGGACGGCGGTCGCAGATACACACACAACACACACAGACTCACTCACTCACTCACCCACCCACCCGCATACTGCACCCGCATACACATGCTGGCCAAGTCATGGATGAAGCTTCCCGGGCCAGTACCATGTACTACTATCCGTAGCCAGTAGCCCCCATCAGCAGCCAACCGGAGTCCCGACGAGTCAACTCAACTCTTATATAGCCTTGGCCTACGACGCCAGTTCTGTCTGGCCTGGAATCGAATCAATCGGAAAAGGAGCAGTGTCCTGTCCTGTCCTATCTGTCCTGTCTGTCCTGTCTGGACCTGTACACTTCCAGCAGGAGACGATGGCCATCTACACGCCCTCGTCCAGCTCCGAGGCCGAATCCTCCAAGATGGAAGTGGTGCACTTCAGCAACGAGTTTCCTCGCGACGACCTCCAGACCCTGCTCCGCAACCTCTACAACCACAGCAAGGGGAATCGTCATCCGTTGTTGGCCCAGTTCTTGGCCGAGGCCACCCAGGCCATCCGCGACGAAGTGAGGGCCCTGCCTAAGCCGCTCCAGGAACTGATCCCGCCCTTCCGAGACATCCTGGCCTGGGCGGATGACCGCGAGCTCCGGGAAGGGCTGCTCTGCGGGTCGGTCGATGGGGTTCTTCTTTGCGTGGTGCAACTGGCCACATATATTGGGTGAGGCTTGTCCCTGCTGCCGGGACTGGTACTGATACTGGTACCGGCTCCTGATATTGAGACTGATATTGATACTGATATTGATATTGATATTGATACTAACTGATACTCATACTGAACTGATACTAATACGGAGACCCCCCCAGATATGCGGAGACGCACCCGAACGAGCTGTTCAACTTTGCCCACACTTGCCTGACCGGCCTGGGCATTGGCCTGCTGTCGTCGACCGCGGTGGCCCTGTCCCCCAGCCTGGCCGAGCTCCCTCTGGCCGGGGCCGACGCGGTGCGCACGGCATTCCGGCTGGGGGTGTTGGTGGCCGACGTGTCGTCCGACTTGGAGGCGCGCGATCCGCACGAGGCGCCGGACACGTGGGCGTACGTGGTGCACCACGTGTCGCCGGAGGAGGCGCAGCGCGAGCTCGACGTCTTCTGCGCGCGCGAGAACCTGCCGGACACGGGCAAGATCTTTGTGAGCGCGGTCAGCCGCACGTCGCTGACGGTCAGCGGGCCGCCGTCGCGACTGGCGAACCTGTTCAAGCGGTCGGCCTTCTTCCGCGATGCGCGGTCCATTGCGCTGCCGGTGTTTGGCGGCCTGTGCCACGCCAGCCACGTCTACAACCGGGGCCACGCCCAGACCATTGTGCGCGACAGCGGTGCCCACACCTGGAACCAGCTGGAGCCGCACCGGCTGATGCCCATGATTCCCATCTACTCGACCAGCACGGGCAAGCCGTTCCAGGCCGAAACCGCCGTCGAGCTGGTCGAGCAGGTGGTGCTGGAGCTGCTCACCCAGCCCATCATCTGGGACCAGGTCATCGCCGGCATCGTGTTCCGCGCCACCGGCACCAACACCTCCGAGTGCGCCATCTACGGCTTCCGCAACTCGGTGCCGGTCAAGGAGCTGTCGGACGCCCTGGCCGACCGGGTCACCGAGTTCAAGGTGACGGCGGTCGATCTGATCCCGTGGGTGGCCGAGGCCGGGCCAGGCGCAGGGGGCGACCCCTTGTCGAAAGGAACCAATGTCCCAGCCAGGCCGCGCGGACCGGCGCAGGCCAAGATCGCCATCGTCGGCATGGCATGCCGGCTGCCCGGGGGCGCCAATGACCCAGAGCAGTTCTGGCAGGTGCTCGAGCAGGGGCTCGACGTGCACCGACGCATCCCGGCGGACCGGTTCGACGTCGACAGCCACTACGACCCGACGGGCAAGCGGATGAACACGTCGCCGACGCCGTACGGGTGCTTCATCGACGAGCCGGGCCGGTTCGACGCACCGTTCTTCAACATGTCGCCGCGCGAGGCGCAGCAGACGGACCCGATGATGCGACTGGCGCTGGTGACGGCGTACGAGGCGCTCGAGCGGGCCGGATATGTGGCCAACCGCACGGCGGCGACCAACCTGCACCGGGTGGGCACGTTCTACGGGCAGGCCAGCGACGACTACCGCGAGGTCAACACAGCGCAGGAGATCAGCACGTACTTCATTCCAGGCGGGTGCCGGGCGTTCGGGCCGGGCCGCATCAACTACTTCTTCAAGTTCTCGGGCCCCAGCTACAGCATCGACACGGCGTGCTCGTCGAGCCTGGCGACGATCCAGACGGCGTGCACGGCGCTGTGGGACGGCGCGGTCGACACGGCGGTAGCGGGCGGGATGAACATCCTGACCAACTCGGACGCGTTTGCCGGCTTGGGCAACGGCCACTTCCTGACCAAGACGGCCAACGCGTGCAAGACGTGGGACGCCGAGGCCGACGGCTACTGCCGCGCCGACGGGGTCGGGTCGGTGGTGCTGAAGCGGCTCGAAGACGCCGAGGCCGACAACGACCACATCCTGGGCGTCATCGTCGGCGCCGCCACCAACCACTCGGCCGACGCCGTGTCCATCACCCACCCGCACGCCCCGTCGCAGGCCTACCTGTACCGCCAGGTGCTGGCCCGCGCTGGCCTCGACCCGCTCGACGTCAATTTTGTCGAGATGCACGGCACCGGCACCCAGGCCGGCGACCTGCAGGAGATCACCTCCATCACCGACGTCTTCGCCCCGGCCGCCGGCGCCCGCCGCCGCGCCAAGGACCAGCCGCTGCACATCGGCGCCGTCAAGGCCAACGTCGGCCACGGCGAGGCCGTCGCCGGCGTCACCGCCCTGCTGAAGGTGCTGGTCATGTTGCAGAAGGGCGCCATCCCGCGCCACGTCGGCATCAAGACTCAAATCAACCCGGGCTTCCCCAAGGACCTGGCCAAGCGCGGCCTCTTCATCCCCTTCGACCAGACCCCCTGGCCGCAGGTCGCGGGCCGGAAGAAGATTGCCGTCGTCAACAACTTCAGCGCCGCCGGCGGCAACACCACCGTCATCGTCGAGGAGGCGCCACCGCGGCCGGTCGAGGTCGATAGCCCCCAAGATCCGCGCCCGACCCACGTCGTGGCCCTCTCGGCCAAGACCAAAGTCTCGCTCGAGGGCAACCTGCGCAAGCTCCAGACCTACCTCGACACCCACCCGGAGGTGTCGCTGGCCGACCTGTCGTACACGACGACGGCGCGCCGCCACCACCACAATCACCGCGTGGCCGTGGCGGCGGCCGACGTCAAGGGCGTCAAGAAGTTCCTGGCCGCCCAGCTGACCGGCAGCGGGCTCGACGCGCACAAGCCGATCCCCAAGGCCGGCGCGCCGCCCATTGCCTTCTGCTTCACGGGCCAGGGCGCGTCGTACAAGTCGATGGACCTGGAGCTGTACCGCGACGTCGCGTCGTTCCGCGCCACGATCCAGCATCTGGACGCCCTGGCCCAGCGCCAGGGGTTCCCGACCTTCATCCCGGCCCTGGACGGCTCGTTCCCGCGCGACCACGCGCACTCGCCCGTGGTGACGCAGCTGGCCCTGGTGTGCTCGCAAATGGCGCTGTCCAAGTACTGGGCGTCGCTGGGGGTCAAGCCCGACGTGGTCATGGGCCACAGCCTGGGCGAGTACGCGGCCATGTACGTGGCCGGCGTGCTGTCGGCCAGCGACGCCATCTACCTGGTGGGCCGGCGCGCCCAGCTCCTGGAGCAAAAGTGCACGCCGGGCAGCCACCAGATGATGGCGGTGCGGGCGTCGCTGGCGCAGATCCAGGACGTCGTCGGCTCCACCCCCCTCGGCTACACGGTCGCCTGTATCAACGGTCCCCAAGACACCGTGTTGAGCGGCACCGTGGCCCAGCTGGACGCCGTGACCGGCCCGCTCGAGGCCGCCGGCCTGCGCTGCATCCGCCTCGACGTGGCCTTTGCCTTCCACTCGGAGCAGACCGACCCGATCCTCGACGAGTTCGAGCAGATTGCCCAGACGGCCGTGCTGTTCAAGCCGCCCACCCTGCCCTTCATCTCGCCGCTGCACCGCAAGGTCGTCTTTGACGAAAAGACCCTCAACGCCAGCTACGTGCGCCAGGCCACCCGCGAGACCGTCGACTTCCTCGCCGCCCTGGCCGCCGCTCGCCACATCGACACCGTCGGCGACGACACCGTCTGGGTCGAGATCGGCCCCCATCCCGTCTGCTGTGGCTTTGTCAAGTCGAGCCTCCCGACCATAGCCCCTGCCGCTGCTGGTGCTACCCCTGTCACCGCCGTGCCGTCGTTCCGTCGCGGTGACAACAACTGGACCACCATCGCCCAGGCTCTTGCCGCCCTGCACCTGGCCGGCGTCGAGGTGGGCTGGACCGAGTTCCATCGCCCGTTCGAGTCCCGCCTGCGCCTGTTGGACCTTCCCACCTACAGTTGGAACGAGAAGACTTACTGGATCCAGTATAATGGCGACTGGGCCCTCACCAAGGGCAACACCTACTACGACGCGGAGAAGAAGGCGGCCGCGGCAGCAGCAGACCCCCAGACAACCGTGTCGGTCTACCGGCCCAGCAGCATCAAGACCTCGACCGTCCAGCAGATTGTCCACGAGAGCTTCCAGGACGGCTCGGGCGTGGTGACCATGGAGTCTGATCTGATGCAGCCGGATTTTCTTGCCGCGGCCCATGGGCACCGGATGAATGGATGTGGTGTTGTGACATCGGTACGTTTGGGTGTCTTTTCTATGCATAACCCTAACCCTAACCCTAACCCTACTATACCCCCTATCCCCTACCCTACCCCTTTATCTGTGTGCCTTGTCTTACATTTCCTTGACGGACATACTGCTAATCTCCCTCTCTCTGTTTGTCTAGTCCATCCACGCCGACATCGCCTACACTCTCGGAGAATACCTGTTCAAGAAACTGACTCCCGGCGCCAAATCCGTCGACATGAACGTGGCCAACCTCGCCGTCAGCAAAGGCCTGGTGGCCAACCAGAACACGGACAAACCGCAACTGATCCGAGTGACGGCCAGCATCGCCAACATTGCCGACCGGGTGGCGCACCTGCACTGGCAAAACGTGGGCTCCAGCTCCGGTTCGGACGACGACGTCTTCGCCACCGCCACCATCTACTACGGCGACGCGGGCGAATGGACCAAGTCCTGGGTGCCGATGACGCATTTCGTGCAGAGCCGGATCCAGGATCTCGACCAGCTGGCCAGCCAGGGCCGGGCCAACCGGTTTTCGCGAAACATGGCGTACCTGCTGTTCAAGAACAACCTGGTCGACTATGCCGACAAGTACCGCGGCATGCAGGCGGTCACGGTGCACGGGCTCGAGGCCTACGCCGACGTGCAGCTGAGCACGGAAAAGGGCGGCGTCTGGACGGTGCCGCCGTACTTCATCGACAGCGTCGCCCATCTGGCCGGCTTCGTCATGAACTGCTCCGACGCCATCGACACCGTCAAGGACTACTGCGTCACCCCGGGCTGGGCCTCGATGCGTTTCGCGCGCCCCTTGACCCCCGGCGCCAAATATCGCTCCTACGTCAAGATGATCCCCACCGCCGACGACCCGTCCGTCTACCTCGGCGACGTCTATATCTTGCAGGACGATGTCGTCGTCGGCCTGGTCGCCGCCATTCAGTTCCGCAGATACCCTCGCATTCTGCTCAATCGCTTCTTCTCGCCGCCTGACAAAGCAGACAAGCAAGACAAGGTCAACCAGAAGGCTGTTGCTGGTGCTGGTGCTGGTGCGGCTGTTGGTCCCACTATCACTAATACTGGTGTTGGTGCTGCTCCAACTCTTTCTGCCACTCCTGCCACTCCTGCACCTACTACTACTGCTGCTCCTGCTGCTGCTCCTGCTCCTGCTCCTGCTCCTGCTCCAGCCCCCGCCCCCGCCCAGGCTCCCCCCAAGGCCGACGAGGCCCCCAAGGTCACCGTCACCGCCACCGCCACCGTCACCGCTGGCGCTGCCAACACCGTCGTCGCCTCTGCACTACAACTCATCGCCAACGAAGCCGCCCTGGAGCTTTCCGACCTCACCGACGACGCCAGCTTCACCGACCTCGGCATCGACTCCCTCATGTCGTTGGTTCTCTCGGAAAAGTTCCGCTCCGAGCTGGACATCAAGGTTGGCGGTACTCTGTTTATGGATTATCCCACCATTGGCGACTTGAGGGCTTGGTTGGAGGAGTATTACGCCTAGGACAGCATCTAGGACTGCACCTGGTGATGGATTTACTGGAGAGAGCTGCTGCTACCTACTACCACGACTATATTGTGATGAAATGGATTTCCTTACTTGTTTGCTGGAGAGATAAAATCAACTGCGTGACAGAACATTACATGGTGGACTGAGAGAGAGAAAGAAAGACAGTGAGTGTTTGACTTGGGTTATGTCTTGGTCCTTTATATCTAGAATGGGTTGCTGGGTACGGAGTGGAGTACAGGTTTCAATTATAGCTTATTGATCAATCAATCATTCTTCATTCATTCATTCATTCATTCATTCATTACTCGAGAGTCTGGAAGTTTGGAAGTTTAGAAGTCCTTACTATACGTCTCAACCCTCCCTTTGCTTTAGCCGGTCTGTTGCTGCTGACAGCTTCAGAGCTGAGACGTTACGATATAGACATTGAACTTGTAACTTGAACCTAGACCTGGACCTGGACCTTATACCGCAGTACTGTTCTTGTTTTCTGTGATACATCCATCACTTGGAATCATATGTATACCTAATGTAATGAAACCCTTATCCTATCTATACACATATTGTACAATTTAGAATGGAAGCCGGGACAAGGTCAACATGTCCTGACCTTACGGAGCCAGGACAAACCGTCTAGATTAAGTACTGTAATTACAGCACATGTGGTGGAACCACCTTATCCTCAGAAAGAATCCAGACAACGCAACCCAGCGCAACCTAACCCAACCCAACTCTACGACAGTAACCAGCGACATCATGATGGCTCACCTGACTTGACCGGCACAGTGAGGATTATGTATTTATTCCTACTGTACAGTACGTGGACAGCCTGGCCTGTGCACGTACCGTCTCCGAGACGCCGGAATCCGAAAGGTACAATACAGTACAGTAAGCCGCATCGGTGTCCGGCCTTTTACTGCAGGAGCAGGATTTGTTTCATGTTTCATGCTGTTCCGCTACCGCCACCGCCGATGGTGATGGTCCGCAGGGACTGCCAGTGGTCGTTATGGTCACACTCCAGGCATCCTGGATACCTATGTATATACACTTGCACGGAAAGTGATCCTGAAGACATTCGAATATGACTTGATCTGGTTGATTGTCATCGCTCTCGTCAAACCATGGCAACCTCACTCGTGCACGATACCGCTTTTGCCAACCTCGTCCGATGGTGGTCGAGAGGGAAATACTTCAAGCACCTCGACGAGCTGGACTCGTGGACCTGGACCCCTTCGGCCGACCATGACACGTCGGCTTCAACTTCTAGTTCTTCACATGCTAGCACCTTGCAATTCCCTGAGACTGAGAATGGAAAAGAATCGAAATCCATCCATGATTTCGAAACTGGGAATGGGAATGGGCCCATGCCTATTTCTGTCCTCGAAACGAAAGGGCCCCAGATGGTGACATGGGCTGGCCGGCACGATACGGAGAACCCTCTGGTGCGTTTCTTGCTTGTTGCTTGTTGCTTATTCCTTGTTCTTGTTGATTTGATGGTCATCTCTTCTTTCCAAGTCCGCTGGCCTGAAAGAAATGGGAATCGAAATGCAAAGCCTGAACTGACAAGACCCCCTCCCAGAACTGGCCCGTGGCCAAAAAATGCTTCGTCACTTTCATCATCTGCTTCTTCGATGCCGCAGTGTACATTGGCTCGTCGATCTATTCCACCGGCACCCAAGATATCATGCGCACCTTTGGAGTATCGCAGGTTGCGGCCACGCTGGGCCTCTGTCTCTTTGTGGCCGGCTACGGGGTTGGACCGATGCTTTTTGGTAAGGCCAGACTTTTTCTCTGTCTCTATTTGTCTGTCTCGATCGCTCTCTGTCTAGAGTATTGCCTAGAGACAGCTTGGCCAAGACTGAAGACTCAAGACTCAAGACTCAGTCCAGCCCGCCCTAAACACGTACTGACAGACACCTGAACCCGACCACTGAGACACGACCGTCTTCCCGTCCTATGCTGACCGCGTTTACTGACAACATTTAGCTTCCATGAGTGAAGTGCCTCTCATCGGCCGCAACCCCGTTTACATCGGCACGCTGGTGGTGTTTGTCGTGCTTCAAGTGCCCGCGGCCAAGGCCTCGAGTTTCGGGATGCTCCTCGCCTTTCGGTTTTTGACCGGCTTCTTTGGCTCGCCGGTGCTGGCCACCGGGGGTGCTTCGCTGGCAGACATCTGGTCTCCGGCCAAGCGGGCATATGCCATCTCGCTTTGGGGGGTGGCTGCTTTTTTCGGGCCGACGATTGGGTAAGTTTCAGTTTCACACACACACAGAGAGAGAGACAGAGAGACAGAGAGACAGAGAGACAGAGACAGAAACACCATAGCATTGCTGACTTTCCCAGTCCCCTCATCGGTGGCTTCGCTGTCGAATACGCACCCACGACCGACACCTTCTCCGCTCCATGGACATGGCCCCTTTGGATCTTGCTCTGGCTCTCGGCCTTCTGCCTGGTAGTGTTGTTCTTCTTCCTGCCCGAGACAAGCGCGAACAACATCCTCCTGCGCCGCACCATTCGCCTCCGCCGGCGTGCCCACCTGGACAAGCACCAACTCACCTGCAAACCCGAGCTAGATCAGGAGCACATGACGGCGCGGGATATTGTCACCATGGTGCTTGTGAGACCACTGACTCTCAACTTTACTGAACCAATGGTACTGTCCCTGTTACTGTCTTTACTATCTCCCACTGTCTACCAAGTACTTATCATTCTATAACTTCAGGTCCTTCTACTCAATCTCTATATCGCCCTCATCTACGGACTGCTCTACATCTGGTTCGAGTCCTTCCCGATCGTCTTCATCGACATCTACCACTTCAGCCTCGGCACGTCCGGTCTCGCATACCTCGGCCTCCTGATCGGCATGTTCATCATCTGCCCGTGCTACTTTGTCTACTTGTACCTCTACCTCGAGCCCCGGTTCGACGCCAATGGCAACATTCGACCCGAGGACCGGCTGACGGCGTGTTTTTTTGGGTGTTGGTGTATTCCGATGTACGTTGGCGTTTTTCCTTTCTCTTCCCCTGTTCCTTTTCTGTTCTCTCCTCTCTCTTCATCTGTTCTCCCTCTCCCCTTGTATGTACCGACGCCAACTACATATACTTGAACCCTAACCCTAACCTGGTCAATCACCAGCTGCCTCTTCTGGTTCGGCTGGACCGCCCGCCCCGATGTCCACTGGATCGTCCCCATCATCGGCTCGTCCTGGTTTTCGTTCGGGGCCTTTCTGCTCTTCAACAGCATTCTGAACTACTTGCCCGACGCCTATCCCGAGTACACCGCCTCGGTGCTCGCCGGCAACGACCTGATGAGGAGCGCTTTTGGCGCCGGCTTTCCGCTATTCGGTGAGTCTTGGTCTTTCTTCCACTTCCATCATAAGGAAACCGACAACCGAACCTCCGTCTCGGCTTTTTATCTATTCCCCCAACCACCATCTCGCCTTTTTATCTATTTAGTATTTACTAACACTACGCGCTTCCCAGCCACCGCCATGTACCGAAACCTAGGGGTGGGATGGGCGAGCAGCACTCTAGGATTCATCAGTATTGCCTTTATTCCCATCCCGTTTGTGCTTTACAAGGTGAGTCAAGTCCACATCACATCACATCCCCTGGCCCGCCACTACAGAGTGACTGGCGTGATCCATCGATCATGTACTATCTACCCTCTACCCTCGGCCGATTGCATCGGCCGTCAGTAAATAAGTAGCGGGGCGGGGCTAACCTGCGGCTTGGACTTCTAGTACGGCGAAACCCTACGCAAGAACTTCAGCAAGCATGCCCGCAAGGACATTTGATCTGGTCTGATCCCACAAGTGCCAAGGCGCTTAAGCTTGAGTGCGAGTCGACCGTCCATGGTAATAGTGATAGACAAAACCGAGGGAAAGGCGAGACGGGATTTCAAGTACCTAATGTTGTTCGACTTCGACTGATGTTGTGGGGTGGGAATGGTCTGGAAAGCGAGACTTTACAGGATCTAAGTACTTGTTCGTACTTGTTCGTACTTCGATTAACCTCGCACCTACGGAACAGACGGTGGAAGCCACACGATATAGTAGGAAACGTACGATACGCGCCGATACCAGTACATACATTTAGATTGCACTCAGGGTTTGGCAGTAGCCTCATAAAGGCGATACGATGATGGTTGTGATGATAGTTGTGATGATGGTTGTGATGATGGTTGTGATGATGGTTGTGATGATGGTTGTGATGATGGTTAGACGATGAAACACAAGGATTCTTATAAACGCGATGTGATGAGATGATGGTTAGACAAGGCTAGGACGGGATCGGGATCAGGATCACATAGTATTCGCTGAGAATCAAGGCGATACTATGACACTATAGTTGGATACTATCGATGAAGTATGGCAGGCAGGCCTTGGTACAGCAAGCATGTCACGCGAGCGTCAAGTTTGGTCTGTGTCTGTTTTTCTGTAGGTCTTGTCCTGTCCTGTCACAGTCACGCCACGTCGGTCAGGTTAGAATTAGAATATCTGACACTGACACTGACAATATACATAACAGATAGTATATGCTATACGAATAGATCATGATCACGATCAGCAGGCTTATATCTATACTATTTGTGTATATCGTATATCCGTGGTCCTTATATAGTGTAGGGAAGAGACTACTAGTGGTGATAGAATCGCTGTCGCCTAGGAAGCCAAGCAAAGTAAAGCAAAGGAAAGCAATGCCAAACAAGTCAAATCAAGTCAAGTCAAGTCAGCCAAACAAAGCAAGCAAAGCAATGCCAAACAAGTCAAGTCAGCTCACCCCAACCCAAATCAAACCATACAAGCCCAACTCTGGAAGCCAGGCCTGATTGGACTGGACAAAGTCTCGTGGCCGAGGGAGAAGGGACGAGCAGCTGAGCCCCTGGACCCCTGAGCCTACGGAGCCTGAGCCTTACACTCCCCCTCCTCCCAATCCCCCCCAAGCCTGACCTTGACAGTACAGTAAGGACAGTACTCGTACCAGTAAGCCCCTGCCACATAGGCCCGAAGCCCAGCGAGCCTTACATACGCCCCAAGCCTAACCTTTACAGCACACAGTAAGGACAGTACAGTAAGGACAGTACAGTAAGCCTAGGGACAAGGACAGTAAGCCTTATCTCCTAGCCTTAGCCTTAGCCTCAGCCTTAGCCTCAGCCTTAGCACCTCCCCCCCCCCTAGCCCCTAGTCTAGCGGAAAGCCTCGTCGCTCCCAGTCCTTCCACTCCTGCATCGCATATCGCAAGGTGGCTATGAGGCGCGGCAGACGTCTGGTTTCGCTTCCCTCGTTGCCCATCAACATGTTGGATTCGTCGTCGACAAAGATGTTGTGGTATTCCATGACGAGAGCGGCGAGGTCCGGACAACCCACACGTCGTGCTTCGTCCGCCACGTGTCTCACGCGCTCTTCTAACGGCGCATTGCTGGCGGGTGGAAGTGGAGCTGAAGCTGGGGGTGGAGCTGGTGCTGGTGCTGGCTGTGTCGTAGATGGTGACAGTGAGAGGGTGTCGGGGTTGTTTGCCGTTGTCGTCGTCGGGGCTGTCATGGCTGGGGGGCCGGGGCCAGTGGTGGTGGCCTTTCGGGACTCGTGCGGCGAAGAGTTCAAGTTCAAGGTCGACGACAGTTGCATGTAGTCGGCACAGAGGGAGGAATTGTTCGACGGTGATGCTTCGCCCCAGATGGTGCCGCTGCCGCCGCCGCTGGCAGAAAGTGTCGATCGGTTGCCGAAGGCGAGGGCCTCGTAGTCCATTGGGACACTGCTGTTGTTGTTGTTGCCGGTTACTGATGTGTCGTCGGGCCGGCCGCTCATTGCGGCGTCCATGAGAGCCATGTTGTCGGAAAGTCGGTGGACGGGAGGAGGGTTCATATGCTGCTGCTGCTGCTGATGTTGTTGGTGTTGGTGTTGCTGATGTTGTTGTTGGTGTTTTTGCTGCTGCTGCTGCTGCTGCAAAGCTCCGGGCCCAAAATAATCCCACTGTCCAACTGAGTCACGGTGATAGGGCGAGTGGAGGCTCAGATTGTCCAGCAGCTGCATGCCGACCGACCGGGTGTCGCCCCTGGCCACAGGAGCACTGAAGCTCTGCGTAGGAGTCCGCCTTAGTTGGCCGGCAGCCGATAGCGACAGCGGCAGCGATGCTCCTGCTAGATCTGTCATGCTGGGCCCGGGCCCGTTCCCAGTCCCAGCCCCGGGTGTGCTGGCGCTGGAGCCGGAGCGCCGGGCGAATAGGTTTGCGGAAGCAGGAGGGGGTGCGAGGGGCTGGTAGTCGCGACTTCCACTTCCACCGCCCATGTAGCGTGAAGCTTGCTGGAAGTTGCACAGAGTCTCGTCGATGCCGGTTCGAGTTCGGGGTCCGGTCCCGGTTCCGCCGCCACGCTCATCTCCCGCTCGAGAAATGGCGCCATGGGGAGTATCGGCCCGGCTCGTGCTGGTACTGGTGCTGGCACTGGCACCGCCAGATCCAACTGGCTGCTGAGCGCCTTCGAGCAGGTCCAGCTTGGCTTGCAGCTCTTCCACTCGCGTTTTCATCCGCTGACCTGATCCATGTTAGTGAGATAGAGTAGGTCGCGACTTGGTCGTCGTCCCCGCTATGCAGCAGCAGTGACTGTGCAGCCGTGACACAGCTCTGGGCGTAACGGATGGATAGATGGATGAGTGGATGTAAAACACCTACGATATGTCCGCTGCGCTACCCGATTTTGCATCCTCTTCTTCGCCTTGCGATCTGGAGTCTGCGTCCATTCTTCCTCCTCTATGGTCGGGTCCCTCTCCTGCGGCCGGTGCTCCGGAAGGCCATCGGCATTGTCACTATCCATAGGTGGCAATCAGTTCTCGAGCCCCTCGAGGCCCCGTGGTCTGGTCTGGGATCGAGCGAGTAAGGAGTGAAGTGATTGATTAGGAGGAGGTCAGTGTGCACCGCAAGTGCCAACCAACCTACCGGTCACAATGGCATCGAGATGGAGACGGAGATTGATCTGATCAGCTCAGCTCGGCGAGGAAACAACAGGTAGAGAGGCAGGACTAGTCCGTGGTGTTATGTATGGGCAGTCCTGGTACGTGGTGATATGTATGGACACTGGGCAGTCCCGGTTGAACCCATCGCCCATTGCCCATCGCCCATCGATCATCCATCGACCGTCGACTCTGACGGAGGAAAGGTGAAGACGAAGACAGGGATGAACATTGAAGGGGCGGGGGGCCGAGGCCGGTACCGAGCCCTGGTGCCGTGCCAGGGATCCACCGGTACAATGTACTGTATGAGAACGGATGCCATTGATTGTTGAGAGACTGAATCGTGCCGTTTCATGGTGGGGAACCATTTCGAGAGGGTCCTATTGGCGAGTTTGTGGCTAGGTCAGGTGTGCTGGCATGGCATTGCGCAAGGTGGTAACCGCTTAGTAGCGGTAACGCCATGCAGGGCCGGCACGAAAGCTTCGCCTTAGAGGCTAGGGCCTTAACACCAACGAGTTGAGATGCGCTCCAACGTCACGTTCCCCTTGTCCTTGGAGTTGGAGGTCCTCGACCAGCAAAGCATGTACATACATAGTAGTACTTCACTGTGTGACAGGTCGCTTCGAGGCGAGGAGCATAAGGCAGTAAGCTGATATCAGCATCAGTAACTGCATCAGTATCCGCACCATCACCAGCACCAGCACAGTCCCCTTCCTACGAGCTCATTAGGACGAAACAACAGCCCTTCCCTTTGGTCAATTGAAGTCATGCAGGAATGAGGTGGGCGGTGTTTCGTAGGGGTGAGAGGGAGAGGGGAGGAAGCGGGAATTCCATGTGACATTGATGTGTTAGGTACTGTACTCTGTATGTACCGTATCCGCACCATATCCGGGCTGGACTCGAGTACAGTAAGTAGAGTCGAAGCACAAGCCAATACCATCCCGAGTAGCATCGTCCGCAAGTCCAGACCCGTATCTTCGCGAGTTGTTTCACCAGTCGAACCCTCGACCCAGCTCACTGGGGGCCTAATGCATCGGCAATGATGGCTACCCTGACCTTGACCCTCTCCTCAGTATGTCCTGGTCGGGCCATGTTGGGGGTGGAAGAAGAGCTTGGGCCAGGATCAGATTGTTGAGGTTGCAAACAACCAGGCTCTATCTAACCCTAGTCCCCAAAGACCACTAGATCTTCCTACCGTAGGCAGTAGGGTCAGCAGTAGGGGACGGGACTGAACTCTGAACTGAACTGACTAGAAGTCTAGATATGACAGACATTTCCGGGTGGAGTCGGACCAGATACTGTACCAGTGACCAGTGACCATCGTACCTAGTCGTGTAGGATGTAGTGTTGCGTAGCCCTACCCCAACCCAGTTCACACAGGAGGGTTATTTTGGCGACTGCCGATGGATACTCTGGGCAAGATTGAGGAATTCCTTATGTACAGCGTACTGTAGGAGTCGACCACGCCATAGGTACGGTTGTTTTTGATCGACTCCTCGGGCCGTGTTTAGGCGCCGTACAGTGGCAGGCCATGGGTGAAAGGGTGGGGTTATGTCTGGAAGGAAATGGTTGATCCGTCCCGGACTTCCCAGTTTAGAAGGATATATGAGGGTTGGGCCCCAGGTCGACAGGGAGCAGGGAGTTGGGAGTTACAGGACGGAGGATGTATCTGCCACCGTCAACCGTACAGGAAGTAAGTAGCCTTAGCCCCAGCCTTAGCCTCAGCTTCGGCACCAGCACCACCAGCGAACTACTACTACGTACTCCGTACTCCGTACTGTACCTATCTATGCCTGTACCTGTACGGAATACCCCCGCGGTCATGGACAGCTTTGTTGCCGAATCAGTTCAATTTATCGGCTCTCCTGCCCAACCACACAAGGCTGTGGAGTCGAGGAGTCAGAAAATCACGACGTCGCGTGCTGGGAAGTTCCATGCCATTCTACTTGGCCCTGTATTTCCACGATTCCAAAACAACGGAGGCCGAAGACGTCGCCACGCGACAGCAGTCCACCAATCACACCGCCACAACGCCTAGGGTGCGCTATGGGGATAGGATACGGACGGCGGGCGGCCGGGCGGGAACGCGACACATGCTAATTAACACATCCTGAGCCGAGAGGGGGTGGGGGGGCGGCAGGAGGGGCAATTAGGCAGTAGGGCAGAAGGATTGGGAGTGCAGAAGGATTAGGAGGATAGCTAATAGGGGGCTAGGGAGCTTAAGCCTCCTTAGCCGTAGCCTCCCTCCCAGGGCCAGGGGAGGCAGTTCTGTCTTTTGACGTCGACCAAATTTAGCCCGTCGTGCCGTCTTTTTCAGCAGGTCCAAGTCCCAAGTCCGGCTGATTTTCCTCCAAGGGTCGATCCGGCCATGGGGATTGGATCGTCTACCGGCTGGTGGCTGGTGGTTGCTGGCCGCTGTCTCCTGTCTTGCAATACATCGGTGGTATGATATGCAGCTGATACGAACTCAGATGAACTGATATGATACTCGATGCACGGCATGCAACTGCCCGCCCTCCCCAAGGCCCTCCATCAATCATCCTACTTTAGGGTTTATTTACCTTACTACTCAGTATTGTACGGAGTACTACTTGGTACTGCTAGGACCACCAGGACCACTAGAACCTCTAGTACTTCTAGGACCTCTGCCCCCTCTGCCCCTCTACTGAAGATGTAATCCGGAGTCGCACCGGCTTTCCGCATAATTAACCCTAAATTCCCACTCCCCCTCCCCCTCCCACTCCCACTGCTACTCGCTCGCTCGCTCGCTGCCTTACTCGCCATACAAAGTCCCCTCCCACCACTCCTGCTGGCGTGGCTTACTCGGCTATGCATCTCGTCAGCATTAGTACATAGCACTCGATGGTCGGATTCCGGGTCCCAGGCCTAGACCACGATGAATCACCTTACCTGACAATCAGTGCAGCCAGCGCCGAGATGGAGATTCCTTTCAACAGTGTCCCCGGGGGAAAGCCTCAGACTGAGGTGCGTGCGTCGACCGAGTTGACCGACGAGGGAGACAGCCTGAATTTATATCTCCGTGCTATACTACTATATACTACTACAGACTGCCAGTCGTAGATTAAGACGCTCTCGCCCCACGCAGTCGCACTGAACCAGATTCTTGATCGACATTGACGAGGGAAGTTGGAATCGAACCTAACCGATTTGACTAGCATCCCGATACTACTGCTACCACCACTGCTATTGCTATTGCTACTGCCACTGCCACTACTGCCATCACTACTACGACCACTACCACTACCACTCCTCCTACCGCAGCATGGTCAATAACTTCAGCCAGAGCCAGGTCAAGCTCCGTGACACGTGCGAATCCTGCGCCGCGGCCAAGGTGCGATGCTCCAAGGAGAAACCCGCGTGCTCTCGTTGCTCCAGCCGCGGCCTGAGGTGTGAGTATGGTACGTCCCGGCGCAGCGGCCGAGCATCTTCAAGTTCTCACAGCACGGCCGGTTACCAGCAGAAGAACCAGACCCAGACCCAGACCGCGAACGGCGACCGGTCCAAGTGCCCAAGTCAAAGTCAGTCACCCGGCGAGGGCATGATGCTCCGACCTGACGCGGTGGCCGTCAACCAAGACGAGTGGCTGGCGTCTCTCATGGGCTTTCCGCCCGATGATCACGGGCCTGACACGTTCAACGACATGAATTCCGTCCCTATGGATGCATCCATGTCCATGTCAACGACGTCGACCTCGATCCAGGACATGCCAGACTACCGCGATCTCATGTCGTATCCCTTTGGCCCGGGCGGCGGCGACCCCCACACCAACACGACGACGAACACCAGCATCGACGCCTTGTTCAACATCAACGACCACGACCTCACGGCCATGACGTGGGAGGGCCTCCAGGAACCGGATCTGGACGGCCACGATTGCCTGAGCATCGCGCTGGACCTGTTCAAGCGATGCAGTGCCACGGATTCGTCCCCCACCACCTGTCCGCGCCGGCTGAGCTTCTCGCGCGAGACGCCGCCGCTGACGCTGGAGACGGTGGATTCCATCCACCAGCACATGATCGAGCCCTTGAGCAGGATCCTGGACTGTAGCTGCAGCTCCAACGGCAGCCTGATCACCATCGTGTCGCTGGTCATCTTCAAGATCATTGCATGGTACGCTCGTGCCGCCAGTCTGTCACCGGCCGCCACCGCCGCCGGCCCTGGCAGCGGCCCTGGCAGCTCCGAGGGCAGCAGCAACAGCAGTAGCAGCATGCCTCTTGACAGCCGCTTCTCGGTCACGGACCTGCTCGGCGCGTCGGATTCCCATGCCGGCTGCCGCGGTCTCATGAACTGCACGGGCGCCGCAGGGGACAAGCGGGGCCGGGCCGCGGTGCGAGCCATCCTCGATGACCTCTACCGCGTGCAAGATATTGTCGACCGCTTCTCCGTCCGCGCCCAGACGGCCCGGCTGCAGGACATGAAGGACGGCTCAGGCGCAGGCTCGGATGCCAGGTACGGCCAGCACGGGTCGGGCGCGGCAGGGTCGGGCTCGGATATCCAGGCCGCCATTTCTGGTCACCTGTTGCCACTGTCCAACACCTTGTCCGTACAGGTTCTCGCCGAGCTGCGCCGCCGGCTACGCGCGGTCTCGTTCGAGGTGGTGCAGACCTTACTACGAGGCTGCACCAATTGCAAGGAACAATCATGACAATGACAGACAATGACAATGACAACGACAACGACACCACAATGACAATGAGTATGAGATGACACCACAATGACAATGACGACGACAACGAAAACGACCCCATAACATGGCATGGCATGGCATGGCATAGCTTGACTGGACCGGCCCAGGCTGACGACTGACGAACATGACGCATTAGTACTGGTATTGGTTACTGGTAGCATTCCATGGAGGTGAGGGACGGCGTTGGGCATTAGAGGTGGAGGGACAGCGTTGGGCATTAGAGGCGGGAAGGGGAGGGAAGTGTCTCACCTACCACTACCTTTAGTAGGTACTATGTATGTAGTGCTCATACTCTGGCTCAACCTTCAGATAGTTTGGTTTAGTTTACACCCAGGCAGATAGATCTAACCACACGGCCACGGCGTCTTTCACCATCACTCACAGCACCGTTCGGATAGAACCACAGTACCTAATGATACTGCTCCACCCGTCTCTCTGTCCACTCTCTGTCTCCCTGCCCTGTCCTGTCCTATCCCGTGTCCGGTGTACAGTCAGCCGCTGATAGCACTCACTGTACTGTATGAACTGTATGTACGTACGATAGTGTGAACTATGAACCTTCCTAGACTGCCACTGCCGTTGCCGTTGCAATTGCCACCCTCCACACTGAACTGGTGGCCGCGCCAACACCAGCACCAGCACCAGCCCTAGCCCTCCCTCTCTTCTTGACTGACACTCTCAGCGGCAATCTTGTGCCCCTGCCCCTGTCCCTGCCTCTGTCCCTGTCCCTCTGGCACTCCAGACCCCAGACTCTAGACTCCAGACTCTAGAGGGTGGCAGGTGGCACTGCCATGCACCTTCACCTGCACCGATGCCACCCGAGTATCGTAGGACATGCCAACCAAGCTTTCCCAGGCCGCTCCCACTCCCACTCTCAATCGTCTCGAACTTTCCCGAGACGCTCCTACACTCCTACAGTACTAGCACGTAGTAGTGGCCGCGTCGGCAAAGCGGGGGCTAAAAGGCTTACTTAGGTGGACCTAGCCTGTGTAAGGTAAGCCCAAGCCTAAGCCTTAGGTGCAGTCGCTCCCGACGGGTTTCTTCTGGCATACGAGTACGGTGTACGGTGGAAGAAAGGTCGGCTAGGGGAGCTTATTGAGCTTAATCCTAAACCTGGCACTAAGTACCGTGAGGCGAGGCGAGGCGACCTAGTCCTGTATGGATACTGCGTGCGGAGTACAGTGTATGTACAGTACAACTCGGTAGGAAATACTATATCCTGTCAGGTAATTATGAAGGGAGATATAGCTACAGTATGCCGATAATATAACCAGGGCTCAGGAGGCCTTATGGTGTTTGTTGGTCGAGGCCGAAGCCGAAGCCCACAGCATTCTAGATCTCTAGGACACGCCACACCTCGCCGCGCCACGCCACTTCACCTCACTTCACGTCCTCCTATGCTCCGTACGCTGTACAGTACTGTACTCCGTACATCCCGGTGAGGGATAAACTAACCAGTGTTTCTCCGGAAATACAGTATCACCAATTCCCACGGCGGACGGGGTTAGGGACGGGATCTACTGTAGAGCGCTCGGTGCTCTGCATCGCGGTCCTGATGGTGACGGTACATACTGTAAGCATCTGGATCTCCAGTGTTAGACGAGTCTCAGTCTCAGTCTCAGTCTCGCGTGAGTGGGGAGGACTGGGGACTAAGGCTGCTTTGTGGGCGAGCGCCTAAGGAACTGGAAGACAGACATGTCTAAGTCCTAAGCCCTAAGCCTGGCCTCCTGAGTTGAGCCTACTGTATGTTCGTGCCGTATTAGCCCTTACGGAGTCCAGTATGTACTGTGTACTGTGTGGGTACGTAGGATTCTTTATCCGTACGGAGTATTCTGGAAAATAGATGCGTACGGATACCGTAGCCTAGGGGCGCTTTCCGCTTACTCTAAGGGCTCTCTATCTACTGTATCTACAAGTACTCGTACTCGTACAGTATCTAGTTCGGTCTCCGGCCGGGGTCAGATCAGGGCCCGGGTGAGGTGGAAGGAAGATAACGCCATTCTGCGGGGCCCAAAGGTTTAGGGTACTTACGACCCACCCGACATGCATGTACTGTAGATAGGAAATGGTTGATCCCGAGTCGCCTCCGCCTCCCTTGGCCGGCGATCATCTTCGGTAGTAGATATGCATGCCACTTAGTACTCGCACCAGTGCTCGGTGGTGCTGTAATTACATCAGTATCAGTATCCATCCGTAGCAGATATGCATGCTACTTAGTATCCGTACTCGGTGGTACTGTAACTGCTGGCTAGTCCAGTATTACGTGAGGCAGTGGGATGATCTCGCCGATCTGACCCAGACCCAGACAAGACGTCGAGGCCTAAGCCCGCGCCGATAGAGTTGCGGTTCGGTGTTACAAATAGGACTGCATCCTCTTATCCGTATATGTATCCTACTGCTACTTAGGTATGTACTGGATCTATCTAGTCTACTACTACTACATAAGACATCGACTATCACTTTGATTGCCACACATCCACCTCCACATCCACGTCCACGTCCATATCCACATCCACACGTCTAGAGGACGACAACGGACAACACATACTGTCTGTAACACGCACAAACACCAGATCGCTGGGGAGCCGAGCCGCCTCTACAACTTGAACCTGCACCTGAACCTGACCCTGCAGGACGCGACGTCGAACTCTAACTCTGCGACCCTGTCTTCATTCCACTGCTAGTACATACACAGTTAGTACCTACGAAGGACGTACCTTACTCGACACACACCACGTCCACGATATACACGACACACACGACATCTACGACATCCACGACATCCACGACACATTCACCATGAGCGGCCAAGTCCATCGTCTGGTGCCAGTGGCAAAGGTCGTCGGCCTGGCCAGCAGCTCTATGCTCACGGGTACGTACGTGTTACATGAACCAGCTGGCCGCGGATTCGGTTGAGGTCCTGGCTCAGGTTGAGGGACCAGCCATGGCATCGCATCCCGTCTCATCCCGTCCCGTCCCATCCCATGCTCGAGAGGGCTGACATGGTTGTTGAACACCTTCGCTAGCATACATTGCCTCTTTCTCCATCGCCACCGTCCCCGCCCTTTCCGCCGCCCCGGTTTCCACCACCGACATTGCAAAGCAATGGAACTACGCCTTTGAGCTGGGGAGATCGACCGCCCCGCCCTTCGCCGTCACTTGCGCCTCTTGTTTTGCCTTTCTCGCCTACCAATGTATGTACTGCATGACTTTTCATACATTGCTTTCCATACATTACTTTCCGTGCTGGATATACAGTCTGCACTTGAAGTGGTCGGCCACTGTCGGCCCCCAACTCACGCCCAGGCTCAGCTCAAAGACATGTGTGACTGACTGGTGGGGATTTGGTGCAGCTCGTCACATCAAGGGATCCCTCCCCGTCACGCCATCCTTCCTCTACGCCGCCGCCGCCATCATCGCCCCCTGTATCGTCCCCTACACGCTCACCATCATGGCCCCGACCATCTCCGCCATCGTCTCCAAGGCCCAGGGCAAGGCGAATGCCCCTAGCGAGGCCGAGACCAAGGCTCTGCTGGAGAAATGGAGGGGCCAGAACATGCAGCGCGCTTACATCACCGGCACCGCTGCTGTCCTGAGTGCTATTGCTATACTTGCCTAGGCGGGTTTGGAACCTAGCCATGGTAGACCCGGGAGGGTCTAGGTCATGGTCATGGTAGCTCTATTAAAACCTTAACCGGGGGAAGAGGAAGAGGAAGAGGAAGAAAACAACGTTTCCCGCAGACTGTTGGTCTTAAGATTTCAATTTTCGGTTTGGGACTGGCAGGACTTTTCACACGTTTCATATCCGGAATTAGATAGGTAGGTAGGTATACCAGTATTAGACAACCTTAACCTTCTACTAGTACTAGTAGTATATTCCTCTTAGAGACGCGGACATAAAGCGTAGTATATGGTTAGTCGCAACCCGGTGCTTGATAGCGGATAAGTTAGTACCTTGTGTATTACAGTATTTAGTACCCTTCCTCCGCTACCAAGTTCAGGAAGATACTAAGAGTGTGAGGTACTATAAGCTCCTCAATTTGAAGAAACGGTCGGCGGTCAACAGTCAATGGTCAATGATCAATAGTCAATGGTCAATACATAGTTAATAGTTAATAGTCAACAGGCCCGGTCCTCGAAAGGCGAACGGAACCTGCTCCGGACCAGCCCTAATAGCCTTGCTGTAGGTCATAATACTGTTCTTTGGCCTCTTCAGAAACTCTCTATTTCCTGCTTCCTGCTTCCTGCCTTCTACCATAAAGGACTCAGGCTTTGCCGTCGAAGCGGAAAAGAAAGTTGTCCGTCTCGCGGTCTTTCCTTACAGTACCTCTAAGATTTTTCGGTCTGGAGCTTTCAGGACGACAGAACTCAGTACTCAGTACGATATAGACCACAATAGAACATAGACGTACAGTAGACGGGGCAGGTAAATCTACCTTGATCATCTACTACTACTACTACTACTACTACTACTACTACTACTACTACTACTACTACTACTACTACTACTACTACTACTACTACTACTACTACTACTA